TCTTTATAGATTATTCTTAAAGACTTTAAATACTATTATAACCTACCTCTTTAAGCTATTATATTAAGTTATATACTTTAATTTAAATACCTTAATAAAAAAGGTCTTAGTCTTAAAAACTAACCTTTTTAAAAGCCTATTTTTTAAAGCTTTTTAGGCTTTTAAGCTAATCTTTTATATACCTTAAACTTAATATTTTTATTTAATAAAAAGAACTTTAACTTTATTATATATAAAAAAGTTTTAAAAGCTTATAGTTAGAGGTAATTAATTTGATTAAGCTATAATTATCCTATTTAGTGTAGAAAAGTAATAAAAGGCCTTTAAAATCTTACCTTATTTTAATCTTAAGGTCTTTAACTATATATATAAATTACTTACTTTTCTCTTTATTATAGTTATTAATTACCTTATAGATCTTATTATAGATTAGGCTAAGATTTATATTATAATAAGTATTTATTATTTCAGTAGTAAAACTTATTATATTAAGTAATAATTATAAAAAGGTTAGTAATATAAACTAAAAGATAAAAAGCTAGGGGTTAATTAACTAACTATAGTTATAAAGGTTAATCAATTAGTTTATAATATAAATTAGGTTAAGAAATATAAAAAGAAGGCCAGCTTTAATATATATAGTTATTAATATATATATCTTGGTTATATTATTATTAAATTACTATTAATTACCTCTTATCTTATCTAGTTACTATAGGGAGGGGTTATTAAGTTATATAATCTCGATTTATTAATTATAGTAGCTTTTTCCCTTAGACTAAAAGACTTTTTAACCTTTAATAAAAAACTTTATTTTATAATATATATAAACTTTCTTTTTATAACTTTAACTTTAATAATTTCTTTATAGTCTTTAGACCCTTAAAGGGTCTTAATAATTAATATAGCCTAGTTAATAACCTATATAATTTATATTTTATAGCCTATTTTTAAGGTATTAAAGAAGTCTTTAAGGCCCCTATCTTCTTATAGCTCTTTAAGTAGGTTAATATCTTTATTAAGTTAGTAATATTAATTATAATATTAACCTAAGGTTAATATAATATTATAACTAAAAATAATAAAGATTAATAGGTTTTTATTAATTTTATTATATTACCTAATTATTAATAACTTATTAACTTTTTTTATATTTCCTTATAGTCCTTAAGGATAATATTCTTATATAACCTAATTATAATAATATTATTATTAAGTTACTATAATATCTTATAGACCTATAGCCTTATATATAGATATTAATAAATAGGGATGCTAATTATAATTAATATCTTAATTATAATTAAGGTTAGTTTAATTAATTTACTTAAACTAGTAGGTTAATTTATAGATAAGTAAAGGTATATATATCTAGTCTATTTATATTATTTAAGACTAACCTTTAGTAGAAACTTATAGGTTACTTATTATAATCTTTTTCTATAGGTATAGATTAATTAAAGTAAAGTATAGAGAGGGAAAAGTAGCCTTAATAAGGGTTTTTATATTATTAAGAAATAAAGTTATAATTAATATAGTAGGGAACCTTATTAAATTTAAGATATTATTACTTTTTAGTTTATATAAAGACCTTTATTATTAATATTTTTATAGATTTAATTAAGATAGCTAGATCTCTTTTTTAAAGGTATTATTAGGCTTTATATAAATTAATATATATATTTATTAAATTAAAGTTTAGTTATTATATATAATATTTATTATCTTAATTATTAAGTTTTAACCTTAAAAGAGGTTATTTTTATTATTAATATTATTAAGAGATTTAAAAAGCCTAGGTTTAATAAAGTTAAAGGTTAAAATAAAAAGGAAAAATATATATATATATATAAATTTTATCCCTAATTAATAATATTATTAATAATATTATATATTATATTCTAGAAATAAATATAGTAAGATTTTAATAAAGGCTATATAATTTAATTTAATTCCTTAGCTTAAAACTATCTTTAACTTTAGGCTACTTTAACTTTAACTTTAACTCTAATTAATAGAATATATATTCCTTTAATATATTTTAACCTTTTACCTTTCTACCCCCCCCCTTAATACCTTATATATAAGTTCTATTACTATCCTTAATAGTTATATACTTTTAGTCTTAGGCTAGGACTAGGATAGTTTTTTTATAGATTATTTTTAAAGACCTTAATTACCTTTATAACCTACCTTTTTAAGTTATTATATTAAGCTATATAATAAGGCTTTAATTTAAATACCTTAATAAAGAAGCTACTAATCTTAAAGACTAGCCTTTTTATAAACCTATTTTTTAGGCTTTTTAAATATTTAAGTTATTTCTTTACCTTTTATATTTAACTTAATATATACTTTTAAATATAATTTCCTTTATTAAGCCTTAAACTATAAAGTATTAAAAGTTTATAATTAAAGGTAATTAATTTAATTAAGTGATAATTATTTTACTTATTATAAAAAGGTAATATAAAGTAATTATTAAAATCTGACTTTAAATTAAATTAAAGATTTTAATCTTATCTTTAAGAAAGTTAAGTTTTTACTTATTATAATAGTTATTAATAACTTTTTAAATAATCTTATAAATTAAAATAAGGCTTATATTATAATAAATATTTATTATTTAAATAGTAATATTTATTATAGTAATAACTCTAAAAGAGATTAGTAATATAAACTAAAAGGTAGGGAATTAAAGGTTAATTAACTAACTATAACTATAAAGGTTAATTAACTAGCTTATAGTATAAATTAAGTTAAGGATATAAAAAAAGCTAGCTTTTATATATATAGCTATATAAATTATATATATATTTATTTAATTAGAGTTTAATTATTATATATAACTTTTATTATATTAATTATATTAAGTTTTTAACCTTAAAAAGGCTATTTTATTATTAATATTATTAAAAGATTTAAAAAGCCTAGGCTTAATAAAGTTAAAGGTTAAAGTAAAAAAGAAATATATAACTTTTATTATATTAATTATATTAATTATATTAATTATATTAATTATATTAATTATATTAATTATATTAATTATATTAATTATATTAATTATATTAATTATATTAATTATATTAATTATATTAAGTTTTTAACCTTAAAAAGGTTATTTTATTATTAATATTATTTATATTAAGTTTAGTAATACCTTTAAAAAAGAGATCTAATTATCCTAATTAAATCTATAAAAATATTAATAATAAAGGCCTTTGTATAAACCGAAAAGTAATAATATCTTAAATTTAATAATATTACTTACTATATTAATTATAACTTTATTTCTTAATAGTATAAAAACCTTACTAAGGTTACTTTTCTCTCCCTATACTTTACTTTAATTAACCTACCTATATTATTATTAATATTATTAAAAGATTTAAAAAGCCTAGGCTTAATAAAGTTAAAGGTTAAAGTAAAAAAAAAATTTAAAACTTTTTTTAATTATTTTTTATAAAATAAGTTTTTAAACTTAAATTAAAAATTCTAAGGAAAAATAAATTCTATAAAAAAGAATTCTTTTTTAATATAATAATAAGTAAAGAAAAATCTTACTTATAATATAATATTATTAATAGTAAGGCTTATTATTATTTTAGTAGAAAATCGTAAAGTTAGGGTCAGACTATCGTTATAACCCGAAAATCGGTACAGTACGTAATTGTTATAGCCCTGTTTTTCTATATGTACCTTTCGCACTTGAAACGCGTCGCGTGTAGTATAACGCGTAGCCAACACTAACACCTGTCCAGGAACAACACAGGCTCTCTAACAACAGCACGGATACGGTTGCCTATTGCACACACTTATTGACACTGTCCTCCTACCAGGGCCACTTCTTATGCATGGTCCCAGGGATAAGGGAGCAAGGGGTCTATATGAAATACTTCTTTAGGGGAGATAATCTAGAGAAGGGTATATTATATATGTTTGACTGTATGAAAGCCTGTCCAACTGACTGTAACTTTTAACAGAGTGTAATAATGTGACTGAGATTGAAGAGTCACTATCCAGAAACATCTAAGGGATATTTCAAAAGTATAATGCTTTTTAGAGAATAACATGTCTCCAGGTCGAAGCACCAGTTCTAAAGTGGTCTGCAAGCCTATTCTGCAAGCCTATGAGTAGCATATCAATGGACGCTGAATTGCAACAGGAGGAGTATCCCTTGACCATCCATAACCACGGGAAACAAGAGAAAATCGAGTTGGGGATTGAATCTTACAATCGCTGAGTAGAGCTCTATTCACAGAGACTAATCCCTGGAACCCAAAATTCATTCTTATTCTCCGACCGAGCTCGGAAAGTGGAACTACAGATTGCGGAGCAGGATCGATTGACCAGTAAGAAGCTGTATGAAACTAATTCACCTGTTACTAAGATCTGGCGGTTATCTATGTCTAGAAATCCAGATCTTGTTCGAGTACCTCAGTGTTTCGATTATCAGCCCCTTGGCGTGATCAAATCGTAACAGTCAAGTCGGTTCAACCCTACATTCTTTCCTATCAGGCCAACTCGTTAAGATACACCGGCCAGCTCGCCCGCGCTGTGAAAATCTATCCACAGATGGAGTCATTTTTGTCGTTGTACTGACACCCGTCCCGGAAGATTTGTGATTCCATGCTCAAACCACACTACTTAATTACCGCAAAGGTCCCCGCGATATAGAGACTGTCTATAGATCTGCAGAAGATATTTCATATTGTCCTAACTGGATGCCACGCCAACGTTTCTATCAGGACCAGAAGTATAGGGTAGTCCATATAAAACCGGCTATTCTTCGGAACGAGGCTCCAAGGCATGAAGTATTTGCCGTCATTGTCGACATTCTTCATTTACCTTAATCTTAACCAAAGCGATCAGTATAACAACGAGACTCTCAAACGAAGGCCAGACGGCATATACCCCCGCGAAACCCGACCAATTGCCCGATAGTGAGGAGCCGTTCTCGACTGGGCTCGGTCACGCGTCCTCTCACCATCTCATTAATCATGTCGACGCGACGAGCTGCCTTGTCAGTAACCTTCATCTCTCGAATGGCTGGAGCTGGACCAACGATTGCCGTTTCATCGAGCTACGTGCGCTAACCAACATCACATTCAGGTCTCTCTACCGCCGCTCGCTGAAGCTGGCGTTGGATTGGGCTGTCCACCGACACCTGTGGCGGGGCCAGGCTCTGTATATTCGCTCACTCTTCGAGGCCAACCGAAATGTCACCGATCCTCGGCACCAAAGAGTTAGTCAAGAACTTACGATTCGGGGATAAATTAGGTGCTGACTGTTACGGTCTACAGGCCTTATTAAGTGAAACAGAGAAGCTGCTAGAGAGCTGGAAACACCCCGACCCTTACACCCCTCCGACAGCTCCTGGAGGTACGTTTCTCCAAATTGTATTCATTGTCCTTTGTAAACTGCTAACAACACTCTCGCAGGTTCCAAGTTCGAGCGAAACCTTCCATCGCCTGTTCTCGACCGTGAGTCTCCAACTTACCCAGTGGAGAATAGCCTGGAAACTGACAATCCAAACAGCTCCCCCACACCCCGTCAACCGACATTAAAACCCGACGAGATTATTTGGGCTATATGGGGGATGTATATAGAAGACACGGACGGGGCAAAGAAACGACTGTAGCATGAATCAAACAAATTTGGTCTGAAGAGCGACAACATATCATCGGGGACAGAACGCGTTCAAATTCGCAATCCAGCAGGCCAAGCATGTTGGAAGAGGCGGGAGAAACGAGAACTGCTCTTTCCACAGCACAGGAGCCGGCAGATTCTCACATAATTAATGGAGGAGCGAAAGTCCACGCCAAAACCTTACGTACAGTCGCAGATTAACACCTGGATAATACATATAGCAGCCGTATTCATTTCCCAATGGCAAATCAAACAGCCTCATGTAGGAGCATTTCCTACAGATAGGAAACACATGTGATCTTAGAAGTATTCTTATTTCATGACCATAGCCGTGGGGGATTATTGTACAACCCTAACGCGCGAATAAACTGATGAAAAGCAACCGTATGAACCCTTAAACCGTGACCCCTGTGTCATGACATCCCAAACAACCAGCTTGCGCATGTAAAAACATAACCGAACGACCCATTTACAGCTCCTGGCTAGCGTTCTTACCAGTCTTACCAGTCTTCTTAGGCAGAAGGTCTGAGAGAAAAGTTAGTATGGGCAAAATATGGGACACGAAAGTGGATAACGTACTCTGGTGGATGTTGGGGAGGACACCACCCTGGGCGATGGTGACATGACCCAAGAGCTTGTTCAACTCCTCATCGTTTCGGATAGCAAGCTGAAGATGACGGGGGATGATACGGGTCTTCTTGTTGTCGCGGGCAGCGTTACCGGCCAACTCGAGGATTTCGGCAGCGAGGTACTCGAGTACGGCAGCGAGGTAGACAGGAGCACCAGCACCGACACGCTGGGCGTAGTTGCCCTTTCGGAGAAGACGGTGGACACGACCAACAGGGAATGCGAGACCAGCCTTGGAAGAACGCCTGAAGGATAATGTGAGTTCAAATACAAGACGTGATACATGGACGTGATCAAAAAACGCGACCAGGTTAGGGAGAAAATACTTACGATTGCGCGTTCTTGGAACCAGAGGCCTTGCCGCCAGACTTGCCGCCGCCAGTCATTTTGAAAGATTGGTTGTTTTGGGGAGTTGTGGTGGGAAAAAGTGTCGTTGGGTTTGAAAGACTTTAGAAGTGATGTGAGAGTCGAAGAGCTTGGTTGTAATGACAATTGGTGGATGAGAAGTGGAAGAGATATCGCTGGCGGGGGACGTAGAGGTTAAGTACTTTTCGCGCGTCAGAGCTCTGCTCCAAGATCACTCGCAGCTAGCAACGCGATTATGCGCTAGCCGGTTTTGGAGACATTGGGGCAACTTGGGTGCGCATTTAAAAAATAAATCGACACCCCTGGCGCGCTCGCATCACTACTGGTCGCTTGGGCTGCAGGTGGCCCCGGCGAAATAATAAAACCGACTCTCTGCCACTGCGCGATGCCTCCGCCCACGTCTTCCAGATCACTCACACTCTGTTCTGATCATCTCCTTGCGCCCTGCCCACACCACGAGAAATTTCGCCCGTTTTTTTATTTTTCCCTCCTCTTTATTTTCTCGCCGGCCCTGATCAGATCAGCTCGATTTAATGATTGGATGACAGTTTTGTCTTTCACTATCAAGACTTTTGTTCAGTACTTTGGACCTCCCAGGTTTGTGCACTTTGACCAGGTCCAGCTCATCTCGTTTGAGCTGGTTCGGGTCGGTTGCTCAGTTGTTGCTTGGTCGACTCCTTTGCGAGGTCTGTTTTAGGAGAAGATTGCTTTTTCTGCTTGGTTTGATGGAAAGTTGTCAACGAATCTATGAAAGGTCTTTTGTTGTTTGGCCTTGATCCTTACTCCAATTTGGTCAGAAAAACTCGTGGTTTTAAGAAGGTTTGATTCGCATTAAACATTTGTGAGGTATATTTTTGTCTTTTTTTTTTTTTCTTCAACTGGATCAAGCCCACACCCCCTTAAGGTGTATAAAACGTCGATTTTTCACCCTTCAATTTGAGTATTTTTAGATGTATTTAAGCCTCAATTTGACTTCATGAACCCCGGATTAAGGTGCTGTGACGTGCAAAGCATATGCAGATGGTCCACAAATCGATTCCCCCGGCTTTTTCGATATCAGATCTTGTCGAGATCCGTCTTAAAAGCCGGCCGCCACGGAGCCAGCAGCCCTACAAGTCTCGGTCTCGGAGCTCCCACAGCGGAACATGGAAGAAAGAATGTGGAGAGAAGCAACGGGACCGGATCCCCAGGATTCACGACAACCGACGCCGAGTGGTTGTGCATCATGGTCACGGCGGGACGGCCGTAGTCCGAGATCTCCAGGAAGGGACGGACGCGTTGATGGATCAAATACGCGTGGGTGCGCAAGGAAGGGGCATGGCAAATATGTACACGGCTTGTTACTAGGGACAGAACGGTCGGCACATGGAGTCTAGACTATAAATCTTACAGCCATCTACCTAGGTAGGTAATCTATCTTTATGTAAAGATGCACCAAAGTCACGGTTATGGATGCTGGAGCACATTTGCAAGATGGGATGCGTCATGGAATTAAGAAGCATGTGGGTTGAGTTGAGTGATATGTAGAAGGGAGAAATTGAAACCGTATGCTAACATTGACCCAGGTTGAGACGCGACTGCTGGTGAAATGGCGATGATGATTGAAGTCGCGATGGTCAGACTGGTCCTGCCGCAAAGGCCAAAGACGCGACAAACCACGGTCGCATCAGCATCAGATATGACGGACGAAAAAGGTTGATGCGGGTCCTGGGATCAAAGCTACCTAGCCACAGCCAATAGAAAAAAAGGACCGTCACCCATTTTTTATTTCACCAGCAGCAACCGAAAAGAGGGGCTGTCAGGTCCCTCCCCAGCAGCACCCAGATCACCTCCACCAGCCGCTAACAGCAGCAAGCACGCGTGCGCACGCCCCCCAGGCAATCAGTAACCCGCTAACACCGACACGCGCCCAGCTACAAAAACCCAACCCACCCCCCGATCATCTCGTTTCGCCATCAACTCTCATCTCACAACAGCATCTTCTCGTCTCACAGCAACATACTCACGCACGAGTTCTCTTTCAGCCGAATCAACCAAACCCTTAACTTTTCTCCCAACCCAACTCTTAAATCTTTCGAAATGGCTCCCAAGGCTGCCGACAAGAAGCCCGCCTCCAAGGCTCCCGCTACTGCCTCCAAGGCTCCTGAGAAGAAGGATGCCGGAAAGAAGACTGCCGCTTCTGGCGACAAGAAGAAGCGCTCCAAGACCCGCAAGGAGACCTACTCCTCTTACATCTACAAGGGTGAGTTCATATTCAATTGCGCCTGATCGCGTTTTCTTAACGGGTTAAACTAACTTGCATTTCCAGTCCTCAAGCAGGTCCACCCTGACACTGGTATCTCCAACCGTGCCATGTCTATCCTGAACTCTTTCGTCAACGGTATGTTCCTCAATTGCATTGCTTTGTCTTGGTCTGACTTGTTCCAGATATCTTCGAGCGCGTCGCTGGTGAGGCTTCCAAGCTTGCCGCCTACAACAAGAAGTCCACCATCTCTTCCCGAGAGATCCAGACCTCAGTTCGTCTCATCCTCCCTGGTGAGCTTGCCAAGCACGCCGTTTCCGAGGGTACCAAGGCTGTTACCAAGTACTCTTCCTCGACGAAATAGGTGCCTTGAAGGCTTGATTTGTTTTGGGCATTTGGTTTTTCACGCGTGGCATCAGGGTGTCATGAATCTGAGGTTTCACGGGGATCCAGCCCTGTTTTCGGGGCTTCATAATGCGTTACGGATGGTTTTGTTTTTTTTCCTGGGGGCAATGTCTTCACACGGGCAACGGGGTTCGCGGTTGTACAATAAACATCGAGAATAGGGTCTCGATCAAATGAATTCGTGCACATGAGCTTTGTTTCCCATTCATTTACTGTTACATGTGCTTTGTGCGACTTGAATTTAATTTATTGCACTGCAAACTTACATCCTCCCTATTGTGATTTATTCCTCGCATTGTAAACATGCACACGCACCTATCCTAACCCAGCCTTCGTTCGCTTCATAGTGTGCGTGACGGGTTGCATGATACCTTTATTGTTCATTGAACCCAGCGCGGTACCCATGCTCCAACCCATCTTTTCCAACATGGCTCTTCCACGGTTGTCAATGCCTAGTTCCGGTGCCGATGCGCCGACAACCTCACCATCTTGATATGTCGCTGCTGCGACGGAAGTGCCACCACGGACGGGCGGAAGACGCTTGCTCTTCTTGCCCTTTTTATCCAGACGAGGTAAATACTTGCGATTCACCCGATTGAATGCTTGATCGAATGTTGTTTTGGAGTACGGGGGCGTGCGCAGTGTTCGATAAAGTGTCGGCCTCCGTTGGTCGCCTTTTCCTATCGATTTGGACTTGATCTTAAATTTATTTGCCAGCTCGTGTATCATCTTGCGGGCATGGTTATCCATAGGGGGTAAAATTAGTCTGGATACAGGTCAGTTATTGATATAAGAAGTGAGTGCCAATATACGTACTGCTCGTCGGTACTTTGCATAAAGGTTCGCATCTCGTCTGCGACCTGTTCCAAATTCATTCCGTCTGGGTACTTGACGCGGAGGTCATCGGGGTTGACGTTCTTGCCTAGCATGCCAAGTGCACGCATCTCCTCGCGTTGCCTCTTACGGTTTGACTTCTTTAGTCGATCGTTTTTCCAGCTGGCTTGCAAGGTTGCCTCCAATTCGGAGTCGGACAAGTTGAAGTTGATCTGGGTTTTGGCTCCATTTGCTTTACGCGAATATAGGCTGGGTCGTTCCCAGTCCATCACGTCGAATTCATCCTCAAGCATTTGTCGCTGTTTCGTCTTTTTGGTGGGTTTGTCGCTCGCCAGGTCCGAATCGCTGGAATCCCCAAAATTTACATCCTCCATTCCCAGATCTTGGCTAAATTGATGGCCAGCAATCAACCTTGCCAGTGTTTCGTCGTCCACCTCGCTCGGAAATTCATTTTCGTGCATGGCTTCAGCTTCACCCTCAGAGTCTTCGTCCGACTCGCCACATTCTGTATCATCGACATCCCCAGGAGTATGGTCTCGTTTAGCATTGGAGGCGGAAAGGTCAGATGCGCCACTGTTATCGGACTCATTTCCTCCTTCGAGTAGCTGTTTAAAGTAATCATCCACGTCAGTGTTATCTCGCAGGTTAGCAATATAATCGGCCAGGATGGCATCCTCTTCGTCCTCGAATCGGGTTTTCGCGTTGCGCTTTTCACGGCCTTTCTGTTTCTTCTCGTTTTTGGAAAGCTTTCTGCTGCGTACTGGCTTTGTCGGGAGCTCGGGGTCCGGTGAGGGTGCGGGTTGGGTGGGCTTCGCGATAATGGCTTGCTCGACAACTCGAATTTCCGCCTGCATCTGTACCATGTCGATTCCTGATGCTGTTTCGTTTCTTTTTTGGCCACCCCGGCCTTTGAATAGAATTACTTCTTCGCTTGAGCTGCTGCTTCTGGACGAGGGTCGCTCAGGAATCTTCACTGGGGCTCGGTTCCGGTTTTCCATCGATTGATCCCCTTTAAGGTCGAAGAAAAAGGATGGCTCGCTCTGGACATCCTTTGCAGCGGCCGATCCGGCCTGAATAGCTTTCTCAAGATCGTCTGGCCCTATGAAATCATCCTCTCCGGACTGGCCTGCGGGTTCTTGTTCGTCAATATTGTCGTATCTACCTCCCTCCCCTCCTTCTTCTTCTGCTGTATTCTCCTCGGCGTATTCTCCATCTTGTTTTCCGGTCGTCTTCGAATCTTCCACTGTGTCGATTATTGTTTCCAGCAACTTTAATGGTTCGCTAGGTCCAGCACTGACAAAGGAAACTGGTCGCGAGCGCAAGCTAGAACTGCCCCATGCAGAGTGGTCGTGCAGCGACGTCTGACGGGCTTCATCGGCAAGAGTGAAACCAGCTGCGGTATGTCAGCTCAGTGTTCAATAAATGCAGCGCAGGAGGTTCTTTGGTGCGCTGTGTTGTCCCTTACCAGTTTCATCCCTGGTAAAATTGATCCGAGGTGGTGTAAATGTATGGTCGCCACGTCCATGGAAACCTCCTCTACCACCGCGGCCTCCTCGTCCACCTCTGGCCTTCGTTCCGCCACGGGGGGCAGCAGCTCCCTTCTTGTGTCTTGCCATTGTAATAGATTATGTGATAGCAGTACTCATGGTGGTTGACAGGCGATGGGACTAATGATATAGATTGATCGCTCTGTGTTGTGTGATGTTTGATTTGAAGGTGTTAGAAATCTTTATCGATGGCAAACGAAACGAGTCACTCCGCGGGGCCTTGTATTGCCGCAAGACTATCGATTGGCTCGGGATAGTTGTGGTGGAGCTCCAGAGTTTATCGATAAGTGTCATTGAAGCTTTCAAGGTGCAGGGGCAAAGCTGTTCAACGGGACTTCTGGTAAACAGGGATCAACAAGCAACGCGGCATGTACCGCAAATCACCACTTTTTGGAAATGGGTTATAGGGTAGCCAAATGTGCAGATCGCTGCAGGACATGATATTTAATATTTATATACTTCATTTTGCGAACAATAAATATAAATACCCATTGTCGTACTATCTTCAGCTATTTATTATTCCGTATCGCTTTTAAACATGACTCAGTGGTCGTTGTAGTGTACCATTCTGATATCTCACTACATCACTCTTTCTTTACTCCCCTCGAGTATGACTTTCATGCTATTAGGTAGATGCTAACTTATAATGTTCGTTGACTAGCGATGTACATTCAGCGGTCAGCTAGTAAAAGGTTAAAAACAGAAGAAACGCGCCTGTGAACGCGTAATTATATACTGAGATAGAAAATCAGCAGAAATCGAAGAATTTTGACTACCAAGTGATCACATATATTCAAATTCAAGCGCTTCTCTCACTCCCATCTTGATTGTCGAACTACATCACGAGTGGACCGTGCTCCATCCCCATCCCGCGCGTGGGTGAATGCTGCTCCACACAACCGAGCCAAGGTAGGTAGCTTCTCCTCCCTCCACCACCGGTAGGTGGAAGTCACAAGCAGTCAAACTACTGGTCTCCCCCGCCGCCCGCCGGCCCCAGCTGACATAGCCAGCCCGTTCCCTGCCTGCTGCCTTTCTGCCAGAAGCCTCGTGTTGCTTTGTTGTCAAGGCAAACCTTCTTATTGCCTGATCTTATGTCAGTATACATCACCTTGGAATATTATCTCACGACCAAATAAACGAGGGCCTGTTACTGCATATCACCAACATGGAGAACGCCATGGCGAATGTCGACCTCGGGCGCTACAGGCGAATTGTACAGATGTTTTGGGACCCTGAACCAGCCAACGATGTCGCCCACGACCTCCCAGTATGGTGCCTAGGACGTTCGTACAGGCTCTGCGATAAGAAAAACATCAAGTCTGATGAACAGAACCCCCAAACGCCGCCACCATTACCAAAGGCGGACGCAGAGACCCACGATACAGCTCAGCCGCCGAACAAACCAGCAAACGCACCTGAGACTCCACCAGAATCAATATCGAGTAGTTTCTCATCATCGCTGGCATACAATGATCCGGCAAATGATGGGGGATGGCCATCGGGATTTTTAAACGACTTCGAGTCGAGAATATGGATGACATACCGATCCGAGTTTGAGCCTATTCCCCGATCTGCCAATCCACAGGCTACTTCTTCACTGTCTTTATCCATGAGACTCAAGAGTCAACTGGGTGACCAGAGTCCATTTTCATCAGACACTGGGTGGGGTTGTATGATCCGGTCTGGCCAAAGCTTGCTTGCAAATGCCATAGCATTGGTTCGTCTAGGTAGAGGTCAGTATATGCATCCTTCAGCACGATAGCTTCAATCATATGCCTAACATCGAAAAAAGATTGGCGTCAAGGGCAGTCACTCGAGGAAGAGTGCTGCATACTCAGAGATTTTGCCGATGACCCCAAGTCCCCTTACTCAATACATAGCTTTGTTCGACATGGTGCCAGTGCCTGCGGCAAGTACCCAGGTGAGTGGTTCGGTCCATCAGCAACAGCTCGTTGCATTCAGTAAGTCACATATTCATATACCACAATTTATCACATCTTTACTGACACATGGCGACCTAGAGCATTAGCAAATTCGCACGAGCCCACGATTAGAGTATATTCCACTGGCGATGGCCCCGATGTATATGAAGATGAGTTTATGAAGATTGCAAAGCCATCAGGCGAAGCATTCCACCCCACACTTGTTCTGGTAGGAACTCGATTGGGGATAGATAAAATTACACCAGTATATTGGGAAGCCCTCATTGCAGCTCTCCAGATGTCACAGTCTGTAGGAATTGCAGGGTGAGTGCCTGCCCCTATACGCAGTCTAAGCACTAACGATCGTAGTGGCCGGCCATCTTCATCACACTACTTCGTCGGCGCGCAAGGTTCCTTCTTGTTCTACCTTGATCCTCACCATACGAGACCAGCCCTTCCTTACCACGAGGACCCCACTGAATACACCAGTGAAGAGATTGCTTCATGTCATACCGCGCGATTGCGCCGCATTCATGTCCGCGAGATGGATCCGAGCATGCTTATAGGCTTTCTGATCCGAAGTGAAGATGACTGGCAAGACTGGAAGCGACGCGTGAAGCATGTGCAAGGCAAGTCGATTATCCATGTAGCAGAGAGAAATGCGGTCCTGGGAGGATCCAACGAGGGTCGAGAGAGTGCCATTGATGAAGTTGAAACGTTGAGTGACGATGACACGGATACCACTCAAGAGGTCTAAATTGTTTACCTGACCCGGCGTCTTTTGGTTGTATTTTTTCAGCAGCGCATGTTGGTCGGCAGGACTGGGAGTTCCCCTGGGATAGATATGAATTTGGTTCGTATAAACTCTTTTGTGACACCACAACTGCGAAACTGTCGATTTGAATTGCGTCTCGCGACGCGTTTCACACGGGGCAGGTGTTGTAGCCCCTATCGTGAGGTCACTGATTCCTGTGACATGTACGAATACCACAAACGTGCCAGATTGTTTATCGTTTTTTCTTCTTACCATCCCCAGTTACTGGTTTCAAAGCGGCATGTCCTTCGTCGCGGATATGGGTAAATAACCTGGTTCTGGACGGGAATAATTCACCACATACTCCACATTGTGACTGTGGCCTGTAATTAGTTTCCAGTCAGAAAATTATAATGGTGATTGACATACCGACTCATCTTGTTGTGTCTGTACAGCTGCAGCCTTCTTCGCCCGTTTTGCCTTGGCCTTCCCAATCTTCTTCCCCTTAGCAGGCTCGTCGACAGATAGATCATTGACAGACGCTGATAATACAGTTTCTTCATCGATATTATCCTTGCTAGCAGAACTTATACGCTCCTCGACAACATCCCTAGGTGCATAATCGGTATCGTCTGCCGAGTCTGCTGAGTCTGCTGGCGCCGCCTTTGGTGATACGTCTTCGGGGGAAGGCGAAACAGTTATAGATTGCGCCAGATTCGTTGAGCCTTGGCCGTTGGTGTTTTCCTCTTGGGTAACATCATTCTGGGCCTTGCATTTATCTGCACCTTCGTGGGTAAGTGGTACCTCGTCAAGTTGCAAGTCAGCACCTTCACGCTTCATTTGCCATCGCAACTGCTGAACTGCCTTGATGTGCTTTTTGCTCTTCTCGTGCGCTTCTAGCTGCTTCTCGCTCTTGAACGTCTTGTTGCACACGACACACTCTAGAATCTCGACTTCCGATTCTTCTTCAGATTCTGTGAAACCTCCTTCAGCTCCATTGTCGTCGGATCGAGCCTGTGCCCACTCTGGAACCTCAAATACAGCAATGCGCTCCTGGTTTGCAGCACGCGACCGAGCGGCCTGGGCAGCAGCGGCGTTGCGAAGCGAAGATTGACGCTCATCGTGCGACTGAGAATTGGGCAAATATCTAGGATCGCGCTTACGCACAAATCCTACAAGGAAGTTTACAGCGTCGTTAAACTCGCGTATCGCGTCGTCGCGCAGCTTTCTGTTTTCCTTCTCCATCAAACGGCGGACACGGCGGTCCGGGGCATCGGAAAGTCGATATTTATCCTTCCATGCGAATGATTTGACAGTCGAGAAGCCAGCCCAGGTAGTATAGAAGGGTTTCACAACGTCCTCATAGTCATCATCGGAAGAACCAAAAGTTGGGTACTCTTGAACGTCGAGGTCGTCGTTATCTGCAGCAGCTTCCTCTTCCATGGCCAAATGCTCGAAAGTCTCCCTGCATATTCCGTAAAAGCCCGTTGGTTCGTCGTCAAAGGGGACGGCGGCATTGAATTTGCGAATTAAGCCCATAATTTCCTCAGCCGACGTAAGTCGCACATTGCGGAAAGTAGCAGGCTGCCCATCGCCGTCGGCGCCGTCCCTCCCACTCAAGATGGCATCTCGGTGCGAGTCATACCAAGCTCTCTCTTGAGGATCCGAGAGGATTTCATAAGCGGACTGGACTTCGGCAAAGCGGCGTGTGGCTGTCTCGACATCGTTGATGTTGCGATCAGGATGCAGCTCGAGAGCTTTTCGACGGTAGGCTCGCTTGATCCTGGAAAAGGAAGGAGAGTTAGTAGAACGCTAGAGTTCAAGGACTGTGGGGTTGAAAGAAGAAGGAAAATTACTCATCATCTGTGGCAGAACGCTCAACATGTAGCAGTTCATAGTAACAAGTCTTTGCAACAGGCGTAGGACCAGTAGCACCGGAGCTTTCAGAAGACTGTTGGGCACCCATGACTAATTCAAAGAGTGGCACAAGGCCATATGAATCCTCGATGAAGTTGTCGTTTTAGTCAGCGATATTTGGATTTGAAGCTGTTTTTTATTTATACTGTTGTCACTTCGCTGTGTGACGAAGGAGGGGCATCGCGGGGCAAAGTCAACGAACACTACCTAATTTATGTAGTCTCATATGAGAGCCGACCTGCTTTATTCCCCCACAGGATCTGTCTCCGCTATTTAGTGGCTTACACATTCCCCTAAAATATGAATAGAAGCATGTAAGCTCATTTGCCGACATTGTGTTAGCCATTCTCGAGAACCCTGCACGCCGAATGATGCAGAAAGAGTCATACTACTTGAAATATGCCCTCAGGTATTGCTAAATATCCATCGCGTTTCAACTTGGTGTGGTATTGTAGTGTTTGCTAGATTTCGAATAGTTCATCACATCCCCACCAAGGACATACTGTATCTCAACTGCGGAATGCCGATATCTTTTGTCCAATACTATCGTGCCGACTAGCAGCAGCGTTTTTCTTTAATGCATATGAAGTTCTTACGCCATTACGAAGTGGATGTTTAGGTGGCGAACGAGGTTAACCCTGGTGTAAATCAGGTACCAGCAGTACTATATGCCTAAGGTAGAACAGTACACTGTTGTGCCTTTGCTATGAACATGTGTAATTTCGTGGATAGGCTTTGCCCAGAATCGAAATTATCTAGAAAACTTGTACTTCTACGGAGTATACCTGCGCCAATAAAAAAGCGCATGTTGCACACGGGGCTAAAGGGAATGGGCTACTACGTAGTTGCACGGGCGATCGATAAGCTAGGAACCTAGCTATCCTTGGAGGGAGATATCAATATTTTGCGTGTTGCGATCTTGGCTGTCCGCAGAACGCATTTCCACCAGACCTTGTACTAAATGCTGAATGCAGTCATCTGACGACTTCTAGCCACATGGAAAGGAACGTCAATAGTGGCCCAGCCAATGACCACTGACCAATCTCGATAATGTATTCCGTAAACCCCCATCAAAAATGCGAAAACCAAAAGAAGAAAAAAGTTCTGGGTCTCGGCTTGGCCTGATGAGTCTCGGTCAGCGAAAGTGGTCGAACCATGTTGGCCATCTGATTCATGCAAGGCCTGGTTCAGTTTAATACCTAGACGCCTTCACTGTTGCCGGCACGAGATTGCCGAGAATTCACCAATCCGCGAATCCACCCTAGGAAATCCCATTCTTGTTTCTTCTCTTCCAAAGACACCACGAGGGTAAAGAGGACATGAGTTACCCGAAATCGGTACTGGGCGTCTGAATCGAGTAAGGTACATACATACCCTCGCCTCGTCGATATTGATCTTTTCCACCCACGAGGTCGTTACAAGCACCACCTCATGGCCAACTCACGCGGCGTAATTTTGTACTTGACTCTTTAATCCTCTTCTGCACTTTTCCCTTGCGACGCAACCTTCTAGATCTGCTTCTGCAAGTTTTACTCTCCTCTTTCTCCCAGCATCGCCTGCTTATTCTGCAGTGCTTTAATCTTTTGCCACCGACTGCCTTATACAGCAAGTGGTCGCGTGCGTCTCAACGCAAGAAAGTCCAGGCATTTGGTGCTACTACACCAGTTTGACTTGACAACCATGAAGTTTGGTCACGATTTTAAGGAAACCCTACGAGCTCAAGGTTTGTCCAGCTTACGATCCGCCACCCTTCTTGCCTGTGCCTGCATTTAAAATACCCTTGTTTCCTTTTCCAGCAATACTCTACCCAATCATGCATCTTCGCCTCTAATTGAAACTGTAGATTTTCCTGCTCATTGGGTAGATCATGCTATTCCTTATAGTCAGCTCAAGAAATGTCTCAAGAAAGTAGCGCGTGAGTTGCATGAGCTTGGGCTTGATCCCGAGACGTTGCGCGAACTTCTTAATCCCGACGCAACGTCACCCGTGGCCCTGAAGTATAAACTCAACGGTATGTTCCTAATTCTCAACGGTTTCTTGTATGTCAAGACTCAAGACTGACCTTACCACAGATGGTACTGACTCCCACCTCCGTCCAAAACTCACTGTTCAGGTTCACCTGCAAGATGGTGTACCCGTTGATGCTTCGCTTGCACCCAACACGCGCGACTTTCTTAATAAGATTGCCATTAACCTGCCACAAAACGAGTGGGCAAATACCACCAAATCGCCGAAACCGAACTTTGCAGACAAGGCTACAACCGCCGACCCCATTATCGAGACCTCCAATGAGACAACCACTGTTACACCATCTACCGAAGCCCTCGATGCGCTCGCCGACGAAGCCGACAGCAAGCTTTCTATCGTCCTCGACGAATACAAGACATCCCAAGTTACCGCGACGTCGACAACCGACTCTGAGAACATTCAGGCACTCCTTGAAGCCTCAGCGACTTCGCCATTAACTAATGCGATTGCCGGCACGTACGAGGTCATCGAGGTTCCACTCGTATTCGATGCAGAATTCTTCGAGATGCTCCAGAGCGATGTGAATCACCTCGACGCGCTGCAAACAGAAGAGGAGAAAGCAATGACCTCGGAAATCGTTGCGCTTGGGAAGGAGGTTGAACAAGTGGTGAAGCCGAAGCGGTTCTCCAAAACTGACCTAGCACGATGGCGACAAATATTCGAACTTTACTTGGACGCTGAAGTGTTCTTCGCTACCCACGAACAAGATCACGGAGAGCGCACGAGTCAAGTGGCTCTCAGGCAGTTAAAGTGGTTCCAGGATCAAGTGGCTAAGCAGAATCTCGTTCAGGATTTCAAGCTTCCCGAGAGCAAGACGGCATTTGCTCGCTTCCTGAATTTAAACGCGTCCCTTCTCAAGAACATGCAGTTCCAGGAGCTTAACAGGACAGCTGTTGCCAAGATCCTCAAGAGTAAGCAACGCTGACAACCCCCTTTTGTCCCTTACTCAGATACTAATACCCGCTAGAATTTGATAAGCGGACAGCGTTGGGTGTCGCAAGAAAGTTTCCCACAGTTGTCCACTCGGACAAGCTCTTGGCTGGGACTATCGCCAGGGATGTTTGCGCACAAATGTCGCAAGAGCTCGTTTCCAAGGTCCCTCAGCTGAACGACTATCTTTGTCCAGTCTGCTTCTCGGTAGCGTACATGCCAGTCCGTCTGGACTGTCAGCACGTGTTCTGTATTCGCTGTGTCATCAAGATCCAACGCCGCAAAGAGAAGCACTGCCCACTGTGCAGAGCTGACGTTGTTCTGAAAGCATCTGCCATGAATCTCGACTACGAGCTTCAAAAGTATATGAAGAAATACTTCGCCAAGGAAGTCAAAGAAAAGGAGCGTGCCAACGAGATTGAGCGTGGCGTTGAGGATTACGGACCTGGCTATGTGCACCAGGAATGCTGCATAATGTGAGCTCCACGTTACTCAGACACTGAACGACTATAATGTTATTGGAGCGATGGGAATCATTGCAGAATCTTGGATTGACAATATTTATGACATATGTAAGTGTTGTCTAATACCTCTGCTTGACACATACATAGGATTAACTAACATGGCCGTCATAGACCTACGACAACAGACCACACCTATACATGCATGGCAGGAAACCACATAGAACTTGGACTTAAAGATAGTAAATCCTGTACAAGCAAAACAGCACTTTTGTTCTTCCACTGTGACTATCTCATAACTGAACAGCCTTTGCCGCCTCCAGTGCTTTTGTGAAAGTGTTCGCAAGCTCAGTAGTCTCCTCTAACCCAACACTCACACGAATAAGATAAGGATCGACGCCAAATTGCTCGGCCCACTCTAACTCCTGATAATGTGCCAGGAGAACATAAGGCGAGGCCAGCGTAAAGTTAGTTCCTAGACTGGGTCCCTTTGCAAGATCCAACGCATCAAAGAAGGCCTGAGCATGCTCCTTTCTCTGGAAAACAACGGAAAGTAGACCACCATATCCTCCATCTGGCGAGCGTACCTTTTCGTAGTGAGGCTTGGAATCGTTGAACTTGGGGTAGTAGATGCGCTTGACGAGGGGGTGCGTTTGCAGCACTTTGCAGATGGCATCCGCATTCGCGTTGATACGTACTACACGAGACTCGAAATCACGACTGTTCCTCTCCATAAAGATGACATCCTCGGGCCAGTAGTTGTCCTCATAGATATCGTCCATGGCTGTCTTGAGTATGCGGTAGTACTTGCTTTCAGGATTGAGCACAAGGCCGCCACCCATAACGTTGCTGTCGCCAGAGAAAATCTTTGTCAGGCTGCTAACGACAATATCGGCGACTGGAAGAACGTTAATATTGGAGAATGTCCCTATTGTCTCATCGACCACAACTGCAAAATCGTACTCATCAGCAAGCTTGCGGATACGAGTCAGATCGGGGCAGGTCAAAAGGGGGTTTCCAGGGAACTCGCAGAAAAGAGCAAGGAATTGTTCGCCTGCTTTTAGTCGGGCCTCCAAATCATCAAGGTCTTCTGCTGAGGCGTGTCCGTAAAAGTGGCAGCCAGGGCCGAACTTCTGCAAAATCTTGAGTGTATCAACATATGGGAAACCAAAGTTGATACTCTTGGCCGGCTCTCTCGCATGAAGGAGCACCCGATGGGCGTTAAAGATGGCGTTCATACCCGCAGGATATAGGTAGACATCCGTTTCCTCGAGATTAGGCATACCGCGAGTGTTTGATGTCATGGCTGGTAACGGACCATCGTTCATATCAACCTCGTGAGCCATTGCACCGGCAATACGCCTACGAATAGCAGACTGAGCGCGCTCTGCCATGGACAAGTCAAGGTTTCTACCGAAGCGTTCTTCGAGGAATCTCGAGCTCTCGATAGACTCAACAGGAGTCTCCGGCAATGCAGCCTTGGCCGTTGTAGGCGCCGGAGAGGAGATGCCATCGATTGAACCTGGACGAGTGTAGCGTTTTGGACCTCGAGAAGCCCGACTCTGCCCAGCCCTGGGGGGTGTGCGGGTACGGGTCAAAGGGATAAGAAGATTGTCTTTGAACAGGCCGTGGCAGAACTCAGCGCGCCTGCTAGAAGCGCCCTCTCCAGTATGCTGCCAGTACTGCTTTGCGATGGGAAATACCTCAGCGGGATAGACCACGGCTGAGATTGTGGAGGTGAGCTTCTTCAAGTCAGGTGATAGCTGTTTTGACTCGTCAAGAGTCAGGTCAAGGGTGCGGATCTGAGAAGCCAGCTTAGGGGAGACTCGCTGAAGAATAAAGTCAAGGCACCGCTTTGCCACTCGTGGCGTAGGGAATAGCATAGCCTGCTGGCCCGCGCTACCATGACGATCAACAATATCCTTAGCGAAAGCCTGGATGCCTCTATGAACAAAGAAGCTATTTTGAAGCTTGGTGTAAGTGAGAGTTTTGAATCTAGCACAGAAGGAATATAACTCACCGAGGGTAACCTGTCGTCATGCGGCTAACAACCCAATCTTCACCCTCTTCGTAACCAACATTGGACTTCCATGTTGGCAGAGAGACACTGACAGCCTGGGCAGGGGAGGTTGAATCAGCAAGTCGAACTTTTGTGCAGTACACGCACTCAGATTTCTAATGTTGACTCACATGTGCTGTGTCAGGCGGAATTGACTCGCCAAGATCAATGACAGGCATGATGATGCTTCTCTTCCAAGAGATTCAGTTGTAGGAGAAGAAAAGAAATATCAAGATGAATAACAGTTGATTGGTGTATGTCAAATGGAGATACTCTGAACGGCAAATGCATGCATATATGGTGTATATGAAACAACTTTTTTTTTAGACTGGTCACGAATCGGTGGCGTTGTGCTGGATGAAGGGGGGTAACATCAGAGTGTCCGAAAACCGGAGGGGAAGGCCTATGTGAGTCTTCCATGTTCTGTGGAGGATCATATGGGCTAAATAAATTAAGGTGGTAGGTACCTACCAAAAACCTGAAGAATTATGTGAGACTAGCGAGGAAGTTGAAAGTGGGACGGATATATGGAAAGTCTATCTGATCAATTGGGTGTTAGTAACTACTAATCCAGTCTAGGTAGCGAAGGTAGGTAGGCAATGGTTTAATTATTGCGTTTGTACGCACCTGAGGTGACCAATGTCTTTTCCCTGGGGGTTACAAGTACGAGGCTGATCAATGACCAATGACCAATGTCGGGGGTACGGAGTAAAGGACAGAGGATTGTGGACGGTTAATGGCACTGTTGTAGACCGCTGATAGGAGTCTTGTGCATGCCTGTGTCTTCTGTATTGTTTGCTTGCGTTGCTTTTCTAACTATCATTCTCCTGCGAATATATATGTCTTTCTTTATGTCACTTTCCTGTGTCCAGTCTCACCACAGCTACAGCTTGTGATTAGACCAAACAGCTATATTCCAATGCATCCTACTCAAGGAAAAAGGAACGACCGCAAAACCTCCGTCCACCAAGGACTGGGCAATGACACCCATTACCCCTGCTAAATTCCAAAATCAAGCCGCACACAAAACGCCTCCTGCAATATACAAAAAACAACAAAAAACAACAAAAAACAATCGCATGAGATCAAGCTGAACATTCTCCACTCAACGCAAAAACCTATCAAGTTCCATGCAAGGATTGTAACCGAAACGTTATCAGTAGGTTCATCTCATTCCGTTTAGCCCATTTGGCTTGATCATGCATCGCTTTATATCTGCTCGTCAACTCGTGAATCATGTCGTCTAATCGCCGCTTGTTAAAATGCATATCATCGTCGTAGATCTTGTTTATCGTATCTTGCGACTTCGTCTGCTTGGTTTCATACCAACGCAACTGATACTGTCGCTAGGAGCAACACTAACCATGTCGTCGTCCCATTCAGCATGGCTGCTGCCAATGCCACTCATCGGCAGCCCTACGTTCTTGGCAGACACATAGCTCTGAGCCTTGCTTGGGTAGCCCATATGTTGATAATCGGGTCCGGTAGCCATCCGAGGCATGTTGTACCGGCTTCTGGCCCGACTCCTGGGCATCATGTCTTGTACATCAGGGGCTTCGTATACATCGGGATCCAATGGAATTTCGGGGGCATCGGGTACCTCTGGTACCTCTGGCGCTTCCATGATATCAGCCTCAACCTCTGTGCGTGAGGATCGACGAGGAGCTCGAGAAGACGGACGTGACCGTGCAGGAAAGTATGTGCGCTCGTCATCGTATGCCCGTGGAGCACGGACGACTGACTGTGATGACTTGGGTATCGGAGGGGCGTGGCGAGAACCCGCATGGCTTCGGCGGTCGTCAGCCAGTACTACGGACTTGCTACGGCCAACTCCTGCTTCGCTACGAGCCCGGACGATCCGAGACTTGTCAGTCACAGGAGGCCTTGATGATCGACGACTTCTTGTTTCAAAGCCATCTTCCTGGGGAGGTCGCGACGATCTGCGGGTACGTGTATCGAAACCATCTCCAGGCGGAGGCCTAGAGGAACGGCGGTTTCGTGTATCAAATCCATCATCCGCAGCTCTTGCAGTGTGGCGGCTGCGTGTTTCAACAAACTCATAAGCATCTTCTGGAGGGGGGTGCCTGGACGTGCGTCGACTTCGGGTCGTCTCATACCCTTCATCCGGAGCCCGACTTCTCGATCGAGCCCTGGAATGAGCGACACTCCTTGCAGTGCTCTTCGTGACAGTTCTTGTGCTCGGTGCGGCACTCAGAGCAGCACTCTTCGCAGCCACGCTTCTCGCAGTGCTCTTGGCTACGCTGCGAGTTCTGCTCCTACTTCTGGCACGGGACTCTGAGGTCCATGGGTTATCTTCATCGTAAGGAGCCTCAGTGAGATACTGTATAGGGCGGCGGGGCGGTGGTTCGTCTGGAGAGTCTTCACTACTGTCGTCTTCTATATAGCCAAGGTTTCTCGGGGGGTACGATTCGTGATGAGACATCTTGCGGGGTGCATAATCATTCTGCATGTGCTGCTGGAAAGGGTATCCTTCGGGATACATATCTGGAGGGGCAAAGCCACCATGGCCTCGATATGGCAGAGCTTTTGGAGGGTACTGCGATGCCTTTGGGGGTTGGTCGCCGTAGACCATTCGGCGTTCGTCGCTGTGCAACTTGTGAACGGTTGGAGCTTTCTCGGGGAATGTCGAACGTCGTGGAAGCGAAGGGGCTTCGTAATCCTGTCGCGGTTTCCGTTCTCGTTCCTTGGCTGCGTGACTTGCGAAGCCGTATGTGAGAGCCGCACCAGCAGCAGCAACACCAAGGATGGCGCCCACTACCGTAGTGGTACTTAGGCCATTGTTGTTTGAACTCTGGCGAGGTGAGACAGATACTGGTTCATCACCATTCTCAGCACGGGCGGCACGTTGAGTCATTTCGGCTGCTGTCACGGTATTGGGACCGTGCTTGGCGGGAGACTGACGAGGCTGGAAGGGGGACTGTCCGTTAATAGATGAGGAGGACGAACGTGCGGAAGCGACAGGTTCAAGCTGAGGTTGTGAAAGAGAACGATTCCTGGTGTGAGTTGTGTGGGTCGTGCGAGTTATATGAGTTGACTGAGTGGCGTGAGCTGTATTTGTAACACCGTCGTAGGTCCATTCTATAATTCGACCATAATAATCTCGGGGGCAGGTAGGTTGACGATAAACGACTTGGATAGTGTTGCCGTCGAGGTCGCGTACTGTTGCTCGGCGTGGGGTTTCACCGCCTTCAATGCCTAAACGAGGCCTGGGGCTGGGGCCTCCGGGATAGATTGGGTCACCGTCAGTCTGAATGCTCAGCCACGGATTCGCGGTGAGAGCAGCGTCGTGGAAGTTGACCACTGCATCCGGGGACGGTACCGCAAAAACCAAAGTCGAAAGTCTGACGGGCTCGAAAGGACGAGATACCTCACGAATCTGCAAGACTGGCACTGCACTCCTTTGGCTGTCGCTGCGTCCGTCGGTTAGGGCCTGGCGATGTTTATCCCCAGCCTTGGTAGCTCCGGCCGAGATTCCGTAAGTAACTGTCCCGATGGACGAGTTTTGTTCGCGAGACTCGTTGATGAAGCGTAGGCCGATAAGCTGAAGGGTCGCCGAGTAGAAGGATGAGGACGATGCCAAGTGAGACACCTCAACGAAAGGTAGTGTCATGATCTCTTATAGAACCCCCGAAGTAGCCAGGACCGTCCGATCGGCTGCCTGCTGTGAGGTACCCGCTCGGATGCCTTGGCCGAATTTTCTGGAGTCTTTGGAGTGTCTCCAAAAACTTATGATTGATAGAATGTCCTGCTCGTGCTTGACTGGTCAAGCAGTAGGTGAGGAGTGAGGGGGCTGGTGGGGGAGACTGGAATATCGGTCAAGGCTGGTGATGAGTATGACAGCAGAGCAGAGAGTAACAAGCCCAAGTTCCCGGAGCATAAAAGTCAAATGGGGGGGGGGGGGGGGGGGGGGGGGGAATGAAAGAAAAAATAAGATAAAACGACAGATTAGAAGAGAAAAAGCCGTAAGGAAGAATGGCCTGGAGTGATGGTAACAAGTACAACGAGGCAAGCAAGAAGTTGGCCAGGTGAGGTGGCGGAGTGGATGAGAGAAGGCGGTCGAGAATGAAAGGGTAGGGATTGGGAGGCGACCAAGGTAAGAACCAAGGCGTATCCGATTCGGTGCCCTGAAGTGAGTGAGTTGGCGAGCTAGTGTCGTGCGCAAAGTACAGTAGCAGGAATCAAATCAAGTCAAATCAAATCAAATGGGTCCGTTAATCTGGAGTGGTCAAAGTAAACTCGGGTGGTGAGTTGTCTGCTCCTTTAGTCGGTCAAGTCAATTGTTGTGTTGTGTTATGCTGCTTGGACACCTTGACGCCCAACTTGAGTCAAGATGATGAACCGAGTCCAAGATGCTGGATAATCGAGGGCGCACAGAGATCGATTGGTACCCAAGACCGAGGGTAATCCTCGTAGTATTAATGTGAGTAATAGTAGTTCCTTGGGCACTGGAGGTAAATTGTCGTTGAACGTGACAGTGGCAAGTGCAAGTTCCAATATGAGTCAAAAGAAGGATGGATCTGTGTCGAGTATCCGTTTCGGTTATTGTTAAATGCAATTGGACCAATTGCTCAGAGAGACTGGGGTCGAGAGACTCTGTAGCAGAAGAGGGGGGAGAGACTCTGTAGAAGATCTAAAGAGGAGAGGAGGAGGAGGAAGAAGAAGAAGAAGAAGAAGAAGAAAAAGAAGCAAGATAGCAGCTAAAGAGAGATCAGCTGGATGCCCTGAGAAGGTGTCTTGGTGGCAGGCTCTAGGTAAGTACCTACCTTTACCTACTAACTTATCTAACCTTAGGAGTCCAGTACCTAAGTAAGGTCCCCAAGTGTCCATACTATACTTTAGAGGTACAATATTGAAATCGGCCACCCGCTCACTAACTGGCTCAAGGACCCTGGCATGGGCGTTTAGGGCCTACCTTTCGGTTCTGTAGGTACTGATAAGTCCAGAGGTGCGTGTCTCAGCCAGCGTTACCGCCGCGTCTCATTCCGAGTCAACAGCCCCGTCTCGCAACTCTTGTGACTGTGGCTCCGTGACTCGCAGACGTATGACCCTCCCTCCTCCCATCAGTCAGTCATAGAGGGGTCTACCATGACCAGAAAGCGAAAGTATTCGTATGTATCCCACCATCTGGTGTGAGCATGGACCTTGGATCACATCGCATTATATCACGTTGGGTCGAATCACAAGCCATCACAAGACCCAAGGCCTTGACTAGACTTCTCCATCCCAGAGATATAGTGCCTTGCGCGCTACGAGCTTCCATGGAAATGCTCTAGAATTATGCACCAGTGCATCTTCACCAGTACCTGACGACCTTGCCTGGGCTGTGTGAGCCTGTGAGGACTGTGGAATGAGCGAGTGAGTGGGCGTAGGTTAGGCGTATCTCGAGTTAAAAGAGCGTGCCGGTCCACTAGCCCCGCGCTATCCGGCAGCACCCGCCCATGATCACCCCTGAACCCTTCAACTTGATGCCAAAACTGGACAGCTTTTGTTCTATTCACGGGTTTGGATGGATCATATCCGCATGTACTCCGTACATTGCGTTGATTGAGAACAATTTCTCCGAGCTTGGCGATAGTAAAGCATCACCTTCCCTTCTTTGTGTCATGCCGTACTCCGTACACGTGTGGTGAGAGCAGCTTGCACCATCCTGGTCACGACTTGTCCCAACTCGGTACCTGCAGCTAGAAGGGTCAGTCAAGATGGTGCCACGAATTGGATGGATGGATGGGTGGGCATCAACGCGCATTGGATCAAATAGCGAATCGACTGTCAATGGTAGGGTTGGGTGATCCAAACAGAGGTCTAAACCTTTTGGGCCCTTCCTCCAAGCTCCAGTAACCACACTAACCAGCCATGACTATGCTTGCCCGTGTTTGTCCATGCTTGGAATTCCCTCATATATGACAAAACACTTTGCACAAACGCAGTACTACAAAACGCTACAGCCCAGTAATACACAGTACGACTCTGTCGTGGCATTTCTTTTGGCTGTGCAGCCGAGCTACTCTAAAGTTGTCGTTCTGATACTGTCTTCCCCTCATACACCCCTCTCTCCACACAGTATAATCATTTAGCATACCTTAGAACCTCTCTGCTCATCTTTAATCGTGTTAACTTTTAGAAGCAGAGCAAACGGGATCACGACTCATTTTATTACAATGTGGCTCGCTAGGGCTATATGGTTGTCTTTACATACTGCGCTCATACAAGATAACGCTGCTGTGGTTGTGTGCTCTTGAAACTGCATTGTTCGATCATCGGAGAAAAGCTCATGCGAATTGGTCCAATGACTCCCGGCCACCGATGCGTGACCACGTTAAGCCCAGCGGCTGGACTGACGGCCGCCCGGCCTGGTCCACCGGACATCCACCGGCACCTCCACCCCCGGCCTGTGCCGGCCTGTCTCAACCAACCCCGAGACTTCGGTTACCATAACATGCTTGACATATCAGAAAGGATTGGTTGAGGTCTCGCGAATCAAGTGGAATAATCGGCCAAAATGAATATAAAATTGGATTCAGAGCATGAGCCTGGAGTGCGCATGTCCGATAAGGATACTGCAAGCCGTTTACGGTTTGTCGTGGACTTGTGGTGCTGGCCAAAATGAAGAATCAACTTCCAGGTCCCCAGCCATTTTTGACCCGCCTGTGTATCACGCTTTTACGGATAGTTACTCTGTTGCGTTTTGCTCCACGCTCACGTGGAGATACCATTCATGTCGCATCAGCCGCTGGACAGTATAGCCAACAAGAAGATTATGGCTTTATGCTGGCTATTTGCAGGAGAATGGTTCTGAGTCCAGATTTCGTGTTGGCACTGGAGTTATTGTTCTGGCATCATCCTGTATCACATAATTATTCATGGCTGGTATTTATGGATATCCTCCCAGTCCCTTACCTGCTCCCGCTCCCATTGGGAGGTAGTGTTGAGCACACGAGATCTGAAAGTGCGGGGCGGATTGGTGTAACCAGCCCCTTTGGGCCTGCTGCACGGTTGCGGCGGTTTGCGGCTGCGGCGGACCTCTCTTTTTCTTCCTTTCCACTTGGTGGCCTCAGTCTTGACGAAGTCTTTAGTTCAGAGTCAGAGTCAGGGTTTTGGTTTAAGGCCTGCAAGCCTACACTTGTCTGCTACCTATGTAATACTTTACAGCATCTCCCCATCCTTCATCAAGATACATGTTGTCCTTCATTCGCGTCGCGCCTTGTCTGTCCATTCATTATAGGCAATGCGGAGTGTTGTAAAGCCATGTGTGGAATTGACACTCCCATAGTACCGCCAGGCCCCCAGCATTAGTCCAATCGCCAGGAGCAGCTCCAGATATCATCCCAATATTTCTCGGCTTTTGTTCACGATGACCCATTGTGGATTCTCGGCCAGGAAATGCTGTTTGGCTAGACCAGCAAGTCCCACAGCCATGAACAAGTTTCATCCATTCTCAACGTAAATCATCAAGGAGTGGGAGGCGAAATAGAACAGACTCGCTATGCACAATAAAGAAACAACAAATAGGAAAGTATGAATCAGGTTGAAATGATCCATCAAGACGACCTTCACGTCTTGGACCCGATGTTGAACGCCCCATGTTTTGGTTGCAAAAACAAGCGACAGCGAACACCCCAGGCATTCCAAGTTACCACTGAACAGTCCCGCCCCTAACGACGATGTTGTATCGTTGTAGGGCGAGCCGGCATTTGGTGTACATCGCAGCTCTGTCCCCTTGCTGGCTTTGTCGCAGATAGGTCTTACATAATGTCCCAGACATCCTCAGCAGCATGGCAGAACTTGCTGCAAGCAACACTAGCAGACAGGGAGAAGTTACTGATGGAAATCTTCTCATCTACCAGAGCATCGGCAAAGTTATCCTCACCCTTAGCCATAGCACCAACAAAGACGCAGATGCTATCTTTGGAATCCACTGATTCGACATACTCACGAACCTTAACAAGTGGTGCATCGAAACTCAAGGTGACCTTGCGGCAGTTGGGGGGCAAGTGGTCAGTGATGGGGTTCTGAATAACTCGGAGCAGTTTCTCGTTAGAGTTGGTGGAGCGGATAGACAGGCGGTGCAAGAGTTGCACCATAAGGCCAGCAAATCGCTTGAAAGTTCGGGGGATGCGAACCGAGGGCGAAACTTCAATCAGGACGCCCTTGGCGGTGTGGATATAAATCTGAAGCTTGCCGGCTTTGTTGATGGGCGAATCCAGAAGGGTCAGTAAACACTAAGAACGGTCAGCATGTTGAATGCCGACTCAGAAAGCCAGAGTTGAAACCTGATGGGTGATGTCAGGACGAGCATCGCTAATGTCCCGGTTCATCTTGCGCATAACGCCAATGTGCTCATCGCTGTTAAGCAGAGAATACTTGTCCTCGCGGTTGCGGCTGGTGCCTCCGTGAGACGCCTTGTATGTCTCAAGACTGGCATTGGACAAGACAACGATCAGACGTTGAGAGTCCTTGTCTGTGGGAGGAATGGGTGTGCTCTGTTCAGCGACCAGTTGCGGCAGCGATGGAGGAGGAAGAGACTGTGTGCCTAGATTTTTCGACATGTTAACGTCTGGTCTCTTGACGGCAGGCCGTGTGTCTGATCCTTACGAGGTCGCTTCACACCAGCAGTTCGACGCTCAGGCGAAGACATGGCGAAGAGATGAAAATAAGAAGTGTGGGGATAAAGCTTGGATATCGGTGCTTCAAGATTGTCTCTAGAAAATTACAGTATGAATGAGCTAAAGCGGAGCGGTGAGATATGTGTAAAATATGTTCGTCTGTGGCGGTTGGTTGAAATCGTGTTTGTCGCGTGCAAGCGAAGAGGAGGAGGAAGAGCAAGAGGAAGAAAAGAGTAAAAATTCGTCTTAGACGGAAAAAGCGGCCATAAGTTCACTGCAAAGTGTTGTTGAACCCTCAGGCCAATCGAAATCCTGCAGGGCCCCCACATTTGCCCGGTTTGACGCAGGTTACGGGCCCCGGCTGCCGATAGGTGGGCGGGTTTCCGGGGATGTATTGTCAATCAATACCTTAGGTGTCGATGAGTATTACAAGTCGGGGTCGGTGATTAACAGCAGGTTTACTGCTGTTACGATCTAGGTTCAACAATGTCCAACCTAGTTGAAGTATCTAGCCACTTTCCTGCTATCCATGACTGATTAACACAGTGGAAACACTCTTCAGGATTCAGTCGTGGAGGCTCCATCCCACCAATCGAAAAGGCTGAAGTTTGAAAACATTACATAATCATCATTTTTAGTACTGAAGGCAACTTCATTGGCTACCGAAATTTAGAACAGCCTTTACGAGCTACCTAGTGATCGAACAATTGAATATCTATCCCATAGAGACCAGCAACTGAGGAATTGGCGACGCTTCAGGCTTCTCCAACAAGTGACCTGACACTCAATCGAACAGAAGAGACCTTGTCGCCATGTCTTCTCAAGTTGCCAAGGCTGCGCGCCGTGTTACGCACGAGCTTCACGGCGTCGTTGTTTCTGCTGGCCTCATGGACAAAACTGTCAAGGTCCGAGTCGGCGGCCAGAAGTGGAACAAGATTGTTAACAAGGTGAGAGACTCTTCCTCATACCGAGGGTTAATAACATGGCTAGCTAACAAAGTCTTCCAGTGGTTTGCCGATCCCAAGCATTACCTTGTTCATGATCCCAACACATCCCTCCGAACCGGCGATGTTGTCTCTATTGTCCCCGGATGGCCGACATCCCAACACAAGCGCCACGTTATCAAGCACATCATCGCCCCCTACGGCACTCCCATCACAGAACGCCCACCTGTGCCCACGTTGGAGGAGAGGATAGCAGATCGGGAGGCTAAGAAGGCTGCCAAGGATGAGCGGAGGGCAGTGAGAAGGCAAGAGGAGGAGAGTAAGATACAAGAGGAGAAGCGGCTGCAAAATGAAAAAAAAGAAGCCAAGCGTAGAGCCTGGGAAGCGGCTCAGGAAAAACACAAATCTCAGACCTCGGCGAGCGATGTCGATTAAACACCACGAATTCTCATCTAACGACACATAACGGCGGCTATTTCCAGGCAGTGGGATACAGACGGATAATACTGGAATGCTTCTCCACAAAGCGCGGCAACAAAACTCGGCAGGGACGGAGAAACCGGGCGAACAGTCAGGATTTGTACAATATAACACGGCGAATCGTGCAACGAACCAGAAGGATTGCTAAACCAATTGTATCATTTGTAACAAATAAAACAACATACTAGACATTGAGCCCGTTCACAACTCCGGGACCCCGCCGCCGACATCTAAAATCGGGCTGTCATATCCATGATACCTTTGATGCCGTTGCACTATGATGTACCTTTGTCCTTCGCCTCAATGTTGTATATAACGCCATGCTGCAATCTACCCACCACGTTCTCCAAACTCTTGTGCCCAATCCTCGTACTCCTTCAATCCAGTTTTGCTAACACTGGGTCGTATATTGGTTAAACTTGCCTCGAAGTCCAGTAGTTGAATTGCCCGAATTTCCTCCATTGTCATGCGTAACAAAGCCTCTCCGAGGGACCGCAACGGTCCCATAGCTGCGTCCTTTGCTAGTGCCGTAATATCTGAGCCTGAGAATCCTGCAATCACATGTTAGTTGAGTTCTACCCACGGGACAGACTACTTGCCATCTGTCAATTGTACCAGTCTGAGGATGTCTTCATTGGATAAATCATGTTTCTGTTGGCCCAGCAAGGTCCGAAGCTGTGTCTCTCGAGTAGTTGGTTCAGGTAATGGGATGTATTGTCGTCGAACAAAACGTCTTCGAGCCGCCTCGTCAATCGCCCATGGAAGGTTCGTCGCTGCCAGTACGAGGACTCGGTTAGCATCCCCTCGTTCCTTGTCCTTCTCGGTTGTTTCTCTCCCGGCAGCAGCTCGTTGGAGATCACTCCACTGAATAAGGAACTCCGTCTTAATTCTCATGGTGGCTTCGTGTTCTCCAGATCCCGATCGCTGCGACAGTAAGGAATCGATCTCGTCAACAAATATAATACTGGGTGCTAGCGTTCGGGCCAGTCCAAAGAGAGCTCGCACAAGCTTTTCCGATTCTCCCAAGTATTTGCTTGTGAGGCTACTCGCAGAGATCGAGAAGAACGTTGATTTGGATTCCGTTGCCACCGCCCTCGCAAGCATGGTCTTGCCCGTTCCCGGCGGTCCAAACAGCAACATACCCCTAGCCGGTTCTCGAAGACCCATGAAAAGGTCTGGCCGTAGGAATGGATACACAACGGTTTCACGAAGCGCGTTCTTGGCTATTTCAAGCCCAGCAACATCGTTCCAATGAACTTCATCGCCTTGAACGACAATATCGTTCAAGATCTGCTTGGCGGCTGCCGGATCGACACCTATGGGTAGATTTTTCAAGATCTGCTTTTTCTTATCTTTCCATTCAGTCATGTCATTATGACTTCTGTCTGATTCGGAAGCCTCTATATCGTCCTCCTGCGAATCAGCTTCTACGAGGTCTTCCTTTGCCTTCACTCTCCGTGTTCTAGAATTTGGTTGGTTGGTGTCATCACCAGATGTACTTGAGACAGAAACGTGTCGAGCCCTGCGTTCGCGTCGTCGTGATCGATCTCTGTTCTCGGTATATGACATTGATGGTTTTGAGGATCTCTCTGGCTGCTTTGCCGCGGGACTTCTAGTTGGTAGATTATTAGGCGGATTTCTCCTCTCAGACGTCTCTCCGGAATCGTCAGCAGTTTCAGTGTCGTTAGCCAACTCTTGTCTTGACGTTTTGCGAATCGAGGGTGAAGGGACTCCATTGCGTGCATTTGCCAGCCGTTCTGACCGGCTAGTATACACGTCCGAAGAAGGTAAATCCTGATAAGAGGACGAGTTAAGGGCGCTTGAAGCAGCGGTTACTGACAGCATCGATGGACGAGTATAACAATATTCGTCGGAGTGACGCGCGGTGGATGCTGAATTTCCATCAAAGTCACGGTCCCTAGGAACGACTAGTCGTCTGGAATGACTATCCCATTGAGTTGGGGTTGGTCTGCGGGTTTGTTCAAGGGAGACACGAGAACTAGGGCTTGCTGTCGCTGGAGTCGATTCTGACTGAGTACCTCTTGCAAACTTGTCTCTTGAGCTAAGGGCGCTCCATGCTAAGGTTGCAGCTTTGCTAGACCCTTCCGCCAGAGGTTTATGTGTCTTGCGCGACTTTATAGCTTTATCACCCGGTTTGCCGGAGCGCAGTGTTGTTCTCATCGTGTGTTTTTCTGGGCTCGGCGTTCGTAGCGTCTTGCTCGGTCTGGGCGGTAGAGCAGGCCCCCCTGGCGAAGCCGATCGAGGCATTGATGGCAAGTTTGGAGTTGGATCAAGATGTGTACTAGGCCCATCCACAATAGCCAGTTCGGATGACGTACGGCGGGGCTGTGATGGACGATGTGGGAGAGCTGGACGAGATAGCTCAGAATATTGCATGGCAGTGATTGTGCCTTGTCCAAGAGACCCTCGCCCTTCAGGTAGACCCGGTCGTTTGGTTAATCTTCCAAGTGGCGGCGGCGGCGGGGTTGCTTCTTCTTGTCGTGATACTCGAAGAGCTTCGAGAAGATCGATCCGCTCTTTGCATTGCAATTCAAGCTGTTTTAGGGCTTCGTGTAACGCCTTTTCGGTATCTGAGCGTGGGCTGTATGCTGGCGGTGCCCGATTTGCATTGTAGTCGTAGATCTGGTCAAGGGCAGCCCTCCAATGTCTCATGGCCTCTACTTCACTTCCCTGTAAACCGTTGTAGTGATTAGCTTAGGATTGAAAAGAAAAACGCAGTCATGTAGTATTACCTGGCCTTCATAGTAAATGGCAGTTGAGCAGCTTAAATAGCTATCATCGTAGGTCTTCTGTAAAACAGCCAGGGCCCTGTTCCTTAACATGACTCCGGGAGCGGATCAATACCATAATATCCCCAGAGACTGACCCTAGTCGCGCTCCAGTCCGCCGACCGTCAGACACGATGGTAAAACTGGTGATCGTTGTGTTTATCTAGCAGATTCTGCGACAGTTGAGTACGTGCTTATGGGTAGGATGCTGAGTTTTTCCCTTGGAATTTTTGCCGCAATCCGATGTCGTTGTTTTACACGTTGGGACACGACGGATATGAAAACGAATGTGCCCGATATGTAATCTCGAAACTCTTTGCTTGGGGGATAGTTGAACGTGATGAAGTTGATTGTCCTGCATACCTTACATGGGTTAAGAGGTAAGTAACTTGGGTAGGCGGTGACGTAGTCTATGCTCGCACTGCCTACCCTAGTCGCAATCGACGGTGGCGGGGTAGATTGGACCCTGCCGTCACCAGCCTCATTACAGAACCTCTAAGCCCAAAACGACCAAAGTAGGGTTGGCGAGGGGGTTAACAGGTGCTTCTACGGATAACAATTGTCAATCAGTTTCGCTAAGGTGGAAGTAAACCAGCTTTGTTCATGTAAGGTCTCTGGAGCAGAGTTGCACAAATCAGGTGGTTTCACATAGTACGTTTGGTCAGGTCCCATATTTTATATCTGGATGTTTGTTTTTAAGAGAGACTTTGGTTCACCTAATATCTTCATACTTCTTTTACCGACTATGACAACAGCACGCGAATCTCGGCGGTTGTTCTAGGGAACACTGACCGAAGCCCTTCCTCCTCTTCCGAGTCCACGGAGCCGTCGTCTCCTTCTGTTATCACCTCCTCAATCTGTTCGAAATCATTGCAGAATTGCTCTGCTGCTTCCTCAGTGATTTCTCGGGCCAGCTTAGAGTCCTGAAGATGTTTCAAGTTATCCATGGCGTCCATGAGTGCTGATGGTAGAAAATCGTCCAAAATCTGGCTAGCTCGAGAGAGAGCTTTCTCATCGAGCAACGAAGCGCTTTTCCCATCATCTTCCTCTAGCTTCGAGAAAACGGCATCTAGCCCTGACCCCCGTCGGAAGAAGTGGTATTGGCTAGTGACAAGCCCCTTGGCCGCTTCATCTGATTTCTCACGCAGTTTCGTGGTCCTGCGTTGTGTGAAATCGAATGGCTCTAACGACGAAACTGCTGATGATATGCAATTAATGAGGAAGATGGCACCGTTCTGAGTATTCATGTTCTTGGCCATATTTTCACAACCGGCCATAAATGGTTCAAAAGCCTCTGCCAACACATTCTCGAACTCGCTCTCCCGATCTTCTGAAGCAGACAAAGAGGCATCATATGTTTTGCAAATGGCGTTCAGCTGCTTAAGCGACTCCTGCAGGAAGGGAGGGGGACCAAGGTCCAGTGGAGCGTGCTGGAATTCGCCTTGGAGTGTTGCGATATGGTCCCTGACCAGTGCTCGGAATTGGCGCAATGCTTCTGTTTCTAACCCTCCGATCAACTCCACCAAGTTGGAGCTGGGGCCGAGTGTCTTTTGAAAAGTGATACGGTAAAAGTTGATAAGATTAGCAAGTTTGTAGGCGGGTATAGTATCTTCGTTTGCTTGAATTACCTGCTCCATTCGTTGGCGAAGCACACGAGCGGCCCCAGAGATGTCGCGATCGACTAGATCATTCAACGCCTTGAGAGCATTGAAGTCAGCTTCGACTTCGTCATCCTCAGCAATCAGTCGCCATATTTCAGCGTCCCGGCCAGATTTGAAACCTCTAGCAAGCTCCTCCCCCTCTGCGACGAATAAAACTTCCAATGCTTCGCGTTCGCTGACAGTGGCCGAATGAATCCAAGCCAACATGTCTCCCACGTAACGGAGCGGATCGTGTGCTAACATGTCAATCGGTTTAACAGACTGGTCCTCAGTCCCCGACTGCGAGGTCCCTGTCAGAGCAACGTAGAACGAGTCCGAGAGAATTCTTTCTCGAGCCTCGGAGAAAAAGTCGAGACAGTTCTGGAAGAGTGATGGCCTTTCAGCAAGAACTCGAAGAGCCCGACGTATCGACGAGTTCATTTGTGGATTTTCTAGATTCAAGGTCTTGAATTCTCGTTGGATCCATTTATAGAGCTTCTGAAAGCCAAGATTGATGTTCTTTGAGGTTTGCTCCATCAACTCAAGGCCCAGCGTCTGTTTCTCAAAACCGAGTAGAATTTCACAGTCCTTGCTAATCTTTTTCGCTTTGCCCAAAGCATCAAAAAAGCGGCCGTCTACCGGCTCAGCTGTTTGAGTAAGAGCAGCGATTTCGTTATCAGTCATAACGAAATGCTGCCTGAAGGCACTGAGAAGCTCTTGCTTGACCTCGATTTGTTTTCTTTGCATTAAAAGAGAAGATGCCTCAGAGAGAGCTGGCAGTGTTTGCCTATGAGCTTCAATAACTTGACTCTTCATATCCTCGTAGCCATTGTTGAGCTTATCGATAGTTGTTTTGATGCGCCGAAGTTGCTATAATCACATTGGTATTAATCCTCTTAACTTGAGTTCTCTGAACCCACCTCTGCTACACGGCCAAACTCGGCAATAACCTCTCCGTTGCTATCAATGACTTCTTTTTGCAAGTCCAGCCGTACACGGCGGCGAGTTTCGGCGTCATTTTGGATCCCACGTTCATCCAGAAGATTCAGAGCATCTCGAAACTCAGTATCAGAATGTGTCGTCGAAAGAACGCTAGTTACTTTGAACGTAAGGGGAGTCAATCCTCTGGGCGTCGCTGGAGTTTGGGGATGGCCATCTGAGTGAAGTACGCCTGAGCTCGAACTGTCTCGTAAAGGGAGGCTCTTCAGTGACCATGATCGGTCTGTAGATGCCATATTGAATGAGACTCGTAATAATGCTGACCGCTAGGTATTTCTCCTTTTACCACGCCGATTTTATTAAATCTGTACCAGCCAGTGAGTTGAAGAGTCCCACCCCGACGCCTGCATTAAAGCGCGAGATTCAAAATCGATAATGAAAAGAGATTGCGAGCGAATGCCAGCAATGAACGTCGTGAATAAGACAAACAGGCCGGATTGCAACGGTGTCGTGAGTGGAGTCTGAAACAAGTAGGCGGTGTCGACAACTCGTAGGGGTCTTGTTGCCGTTTGTCAGGCAGAACACCTCACCGCTCTGTAGCGTCATAGGCACCGGCGACTGGTGATACCTGGAGCTTGTAGCTGTATGTTTACCCTGACACTTGTCTTTGGGTGACGTTTACAGTATTGATTGCGAATCAAAAGCTCAAAGCCAGCCATCGACATAACTTTATGACTTTTAGAATTTAAGCACAAACAAAAAGTCTTGATCTTGTCTCGAACACCCAGGCATGTGCTTCAGGTCACGCTTGTCCTATATCCCCTCGTGACCATTAGTACTTACCTTCCCCATCAACACCGACAGTTGGCAGATAAGATTTATCTCATTCCTGCAACCTGACTATCCCGTATTGCCAGAATCTTGACTTCATCACGTTCAGGTGAATCCGCGCTCCGTTATATCGAAGGCTGTTTCGAAATTCCTAGTTCCGTCGAAGATCAACATCAAACCGACATGCCTATCAATAACTACGCATGATACATTCAAAGAGCTTGCCATGACCTCGAACATATTTTCACAACTTAAGTCCCCCACGAGGGGGACCCGACCGTTCTACAAACAACTGCGCTCCGGAGAAAGCGACGAGTACGATCCAGGTCTCGACGAAGAAAACCTTGGCCATCGATTCGACGGTTTTCACGCCGAAGAACTCGGAATCAGCGATAGCCGAATGACGGTAGAAAGTGCAGCCCTGGACCGAAAGGGCAAGGGGAAAGCTACCTCCCAACGAGATACCCAGATTCGAAGTCCCACTGGGCCATTACCACGCTGGAATCAGCAGGACGAGGATGGAGACAACGAGGTGCCAGCATCGTTATTGATGGAACCAAACGAAGTTATGAATTCAAACACAACGTCTCCCGGGCGAGCCATCCGGTCTGGTAATCCACGAAGTCCAACCGCTGCAGGTCCGTCATCAGCACGATCCAGGGCCCAGTGGGAAACCGTCACTGCCCAGCAGTTACTCCATCAAGATGACCCATGCAGCGCTTCCACAGGAAAACAGCCTATGCCGGTGGCCAGGAGAACGGCATCGAATAACCCGAGGGAGAAAGCACTATGGCGGTGGGTTAACACCTCAAACCTAGACAGCTTCATGCGGGATGTTTATGACTACTATGAGGGAGGGGGCCTCTGGTGCATTCTGTGCGCAAATGCTCTATGGCTCATGTAAGTCTTCGGCATTGGAAATATGAGCATCTGAGGCTAACACTGGACAGAGAGACACTTTTTGTTGCAATATTGCTTACTTTCCTTGGCCAGTGCATCGACTATTCAAAAATCCCGGGGAGTCGATCTTTGCATGAAGTCGTTGTTCCTCAATGCACCCGTAAGATGTCTGGGATCTGGAATCTAGCCATTTGGTTCTACACTTTCTTTTTCATCTGGAAGTGTGTGCAATATTTTGTCGAGATCCGCCGCCTCATCTACATCAAGGACTTCTACATCCACCTGCTTGACATACCAGAACAAGATATGCAAACTGTTTCCTGGCAGGATATTGTCGCACGAATCATGGCACTACGCGAACAGAACCCAAAAACCGCAACGAATATCACACCGAAGCTGAGACAGTTTATCGGTAGTCAGTCGAAGGAGCGGCTCGATGCACACGACATTGCCAATCGTCTTATGCGCAAGGAAAACTACCTTATTGCGATGATCAACAAAGACGTTTTGAATTTATCGTTACCGGTCCCTTTTCTCCGTGGTCGCCAGTTATTTTCCAAGACCATGGAGTGGTATCTCCATTACTGTATCCTTGACATGGCTTTCAACGAACTGGGTCAAGTCCAGCAGGACTTTCTGCGCCCGGATCGCAGACGCCTTTTGAGCCAGAAGTTAAAGCAGCGCTTGCTCTTTGCTGGTGTTCTCAACCTCATCTTTGCCCCGGTTGTACTGGCCTACGTCGTGATTGTCTATTTCTTTACTTATTACAATGTAAGTAATCAAATGCTAGCTATTGAAGTTATCAAGACTAACCTTGCTATAGGAATACCAAAAGGATCCCAAGCAAGCCGCGGCGCGTAAATACACCTCTCTAGCAGAGTGGAAATTTCGCGAATTCAATGAGCTGCCGCACATATTTTATGAGAGATTACACATGTCATACCCATTCGCGACACGTTACATTGATCAGTTCCCCAAAAGGATGACCGAAGACATCGCTAGAACTATTGCGTTCATGACAGGCGCTATCACAGCCATTCTAGCAGTTGGCTCTGTTCTTGACTCAGAGCTCTTTATCAATTTTGAAATTACTAAGGACAGGCCAGTGCTTTTTTATCTGGGTGTTTTTGGTGCCATATGGGCAATGACCCGCGGCATGGTGTCGGAGGAAACCCGAGTATTCAATCCGGAATATGCTTTGCGGAACGTCATTGAATACACGCACTACATGCCTGATCATTGGCAAAACAAGCTTCACAGCTTTGAGGTAAAACAGGAGTTTGCAGAGCTTTACAAGATGAAAGTGGTCATTTTCTTGGAAGAGATGATGGGTATCATCACAACTCCTATGCTTCTTCTGTTCTCGTTACCTAAATGCAGTGATCAGATCGTTGACTTCTTTCGGGAATTCACGATTCATGTTGATGGGCTTGGCTATGTCTGCTCGTTTGCAGTATTCGATTTCCAGAAGGGTCCTGGTAATACTGGGCAGCAGGGTCCACAACCTGATGTCCGTGAAGATTACTACTCCACAAAGCACGGTAAAATGGCAGCATCCTACTACGGCTTTATCGACAACTACGTCATGAATCCCAAGACGGGTATTCCAGGTCATTTGCCCCCGGGAGCAAACTCGGCATTCCATCCTCCTCCAGCGTTTCCAGGACTCAGTTCTCCGACGCTGGCGGCAGAAATGCAAAGTTCCCACGTTGCTCGGGCGGAGACGGGACGAAATAGAAGCCGAGCTCCTGGAGGGCGAGGCCAGCGCGCTGGAACAATGCCCCAGCCCTCGCCAATGGCGTCTATGCTGCTGGACCAACACCACCAGCCTGTTGGGGGCAATCCGGCCGCACGCAGCCTGTACTGGTCGAGGTATCCGCGAGGTCATCGTGGAGAGAGCCAAATAATCGAAGAAGCTGAAGACAGCGCAATGGGACGACACGGGGAAGATGACGAGCTGTACGAGCCAGGCGGAATGCTGGGTGAATCGACATGGGAAACGTCCCCAGCGAAAGGAGTTACTCGGGAAAACAGTGCAGCCAATACTGATGATCCCGAAGCAGGAGTATTGGGCCTGATTTATCAGCTCCAACAGACACAGCGTCCTCGGCGAGGTGGCGGTATGGTTTGAGTATTCTTTGTTTGACGTCAAATTTCCTTTTGCATTTTTCGGTTAACATGTGGTGTTAAGGCGCGTGCTGGAAGTCATCTCCCCAGAATACCCTGCCCCTCCAAACTGGAGGTCGGCGCCATTGATGTATGTTTTACATAAATTTGTGGGTTAATTGTATGGCCGCTTCTGTTGGGCTCAGGCGACGAGATTGGATGAAATGATTGAATGGTGCTTGTCTTTATTAGAGAAGACTCGTAGGTACCAAACATACCTAGTTACACCACATGTTAGAGAATATATTCATGATGAACACTGTTTCTAATCAATAATATGTGCCCTCTAAGTCTGCACTGCCGGCCATACAAGCCGACTTCATTTACATACAGAACAGCAAATCTGACTTCAGCACCAGTCACTGGCTCAACATGTGAATCCAAGCATACCTAGTATGTGCCGCCTAAGCACCTCAAACTGAGCTTGATTCTGGGTAAACGAACAAACTGAGGTCGGCGATCCGAACAAATTTGGCTATAGGACAGCATCACAACGCCGAGCTGTTTACACTTGGCGCCACATAAAGACGAAAGACCTCGGTTATAAGGCAATCACGAATGAGATAATGGAGAGATGGTGTGGAAGTGATGACTTTGGGCTGCGGTAAGCCAGTTACTGGTCAACATCAGCGATAACAAAGTCAGACACAAATCACGATTCTATTTGCTAGGTTAGTAGTTAAACAGAGTAAGGCGTTATACCTCGAGCGTTCACCAACATTAGGAAATAAGAAGAGAATAGAAAAGAACAAAAAAGAGCCCACCTTCGAGGTAACTTAGTCGGGAGTGCAGTGATGATATTACGACGACGGCAGAAGGCAGACAACTTTGCCGAGGGGCGACTGATTGATTGCAGATAATGGATCCAGTCCTGATTGATAACTTAAAATCAGTGTGCATCACCCTTGCACATGCCCTGGTCTGGCGCAGTAACCAAGGGTTCAATACCAGACCTTATGCATTCTTTCTAGCTCCAAGTGGGGCAAGTACACCTTAACATCTGTACTACGTAGTACGGAGTAATCGCGAGCGACTTTTCTCGGCTTTTCTGTGCAAGCTCTGCGTCTGAAAAGCAGGTCCTGTCAGCCTCTGCATAGATAAGTAGGTAGCCATGAAGGTCAAGGAAAAGACAGCGTGTATGATGTTGGGTCGATATGTAGCTGCCAAGTATTAGAATGTAGTAGTTATGTTCTTATCCGTATCTTGAGAGCACACAAGCAGCCCCGTAGTATCCGGTGTGCGTTATTGCATACCTACCCGGGCGAGGGGGTCTGGGTCATGGCTACTAAGCAAGATCATCTAGGTAAGAGTAACTACCTTATATTCAACAACATCAATCGGCTACAGCAGCTTTACAGCATTATTTTATCCTCTTAATATCAGTAAATCATTGCAGTTATGTAAATAGTTAATGTAGGTTAATCTCCTTTTTTAAAAGTCATATTGGGGCCAAAGTGTCATCTCAGCAGCAGCAATATTGCAATCATTTTTTAAGCGTGCTAGACCGACGCTGGAGACCCCCCCCCCCCCCTCCCCTGTCTCAATATTGTGTCTGGTTGTGCATGTTTCTTTAGATCATATCCTCCGCACTTATGTAATATCGATATTGCTACTGATTAACACCAAGACTGATACATGGCTGGATACCTGGACTACTGGACTATATGATATGACATGGAGCAGAGCCACTTCACGAAGAAGCGAATTGGCCGGTTTACGTAGGGACGTGAGCCTCTAGTTTGTTAGCGTAGCCTTTGTGCGGCCTGCCAGACCTGTCTTGCGCGAATTGTACTTCCTAAGTATAACTCTGAGGGAGCTTGCAAGACTAAAATGCACGGGGAAGGAATCGTAGTCGTGGGTAGGTAGATACGATAAGAGGACGGGAGTCATCTGAACGGGACAGCATGATGCCCTTGTTTAAAATGCGCACCAATACCGCCCAAGGAGCCCGAGAGCTTTAGGAGGTATCCGTACAGTCAGAGCTTGGATTTGAATGAGTAGTTGCTCCTTCACGGTTGCATTTGAGCTTAGATAATATTGATGATAAGGTTTGCAATAACGACATTAACACTTCCGCGGACAGGCCAATTGCCACAAACGAGATGACACAAAAACGGGATTTTAAACAAGGTGCCCCCAATTCACAAGTAAGAGCATTTAATTATTTCCTTCAGGGTACACTGCCATTACCCATCTAATGTTAGCCACGACTTACGTAGTTAGTACCTCTTCAGGCTTACCCAGTAGGATAGTCCTCAGCGTAGAGGGGGGAGGGGAGGGGAAATCTATGTAGTAGGTAGACGAGCTGGAACTCGGGCAGGTTAGAGAGAGGTACACGCTCGGGCTACGATGTACCCAGCCCTCCTGCCCCGACTCCGAGGCCGTGAACGGAGCTGTCCTATCCCCAGATTTTTTTTCTAGGTGGACAACAGCTCTAGTTAGAGGCTACCTTCCCTTGCCTGCCGTTTTCCCGTTGGGTCTTGTCCAAACGAAACTAGTACCTAAGAGCCAGCCTCTAAACTACTTTTTTTGCTCCATCCCCTCCGCTCGGCTGTGGTTTTCTTTCGTGCTCATTGGGACTGCCAACGAACGACAAATCTCATTGTTGATCGGTCTATTCGAATAAGCCGACTCGGGGCAGCAAACAACAAGCATCAGGCGGATATATCTAGAAACTTGCGCGCTCTTCAGTCTTTCGGCGCAAGCAAGTACAAGCCGCATTTTCGCCCCTGGGCGGTCTTATCTCGACATCGACATCGACATCGTCATCGTTCTCATCCGTAGCGAACACCTGGAGGCGCAACTCAAAATCTCCAACGTCCACATCCTCGAATCCACCATAGCCGACTCGATCGCCGGCACGCATTGCCCGTTACAATATCCAAATCACAATTGCTTCGATACCCCCTCCAGTCGCCAACCTGGCGGCCCTCGAGACCAAGCCCTTCGGCGGAGCATCGGAAGCTGTGGCCAACATGGCCCAGCCAAGTGCAGAGCCAGTCGAGGAATACGAGTGAGTCTCACTCGATATCTTGCCTGTAGATGATTCTTGAAACCGTAAAATTGACTGGATCCGGCGCAGCTATGAATCTCTCCCACCCAATTTCTCCCTGCTGCAGAATATGGCAGCAGGCGCCTTCGCCGGTATAGCAGTATGCTTCTCTTACACAATAAATACAAAATCTGCGAGACTAATTTTGCATGTTTCCTCAGGAGCACACTGTCATGTATCCCATTGATGCAATCAAGGTATTTTCAAACATTTTGTTGCTGCGTCGATCTACAGCCTAACATATTCTTGAGACGCGAATGCAAATCCTTAATCCTAGCACCACGCCGGCCTACTCGGGCGTCATCCGTAATACTGTCCAGATTGCTCGAACTGAGGGCTTCTTCAGCTTATGGCGCGGCATGTCCAGTGTTATAGTTGGCGCAGGTGAGTCTACCACGCCATGGCAGGGTTCAAGCTAGCTTGGCCCGTCCTGTACGATTGCTAAAACTGCTCAGGACCTGCACACGCCGTTTATTTCGCAACATATGAAGCAGTCAAGCATGCTATGGGCGGCAACCAGGCAGGCGTCCATCACCCTCTTGCCGCTGGTAAAACCTCCTTACTCCTACTACCTCGTGGTTGAACACTCGCTAACTTGAACCTCCGTAGCTACCAGTGGTGCTGCCGCTACCATTGCCAGCGATGCTTTCATGAATCCTTTCGATGGTATACCTCACCCCTATAATATCTCGAGTATGGTTGCTGACAACACTGGTTGCAGTCATCAAGCAGCGCATGCAGATCCAACATTCGAGCAAAATGTACCGATCCATGCTGGACTGCGCTAAGTATGTCTACAAGTCGGAGGGCTTGAGCGCCTTCTACATTTCTTACCCAACAACTTTGTCCATGACAGTACCATTCACGGCCCTCCAATTCCTCGCCTACGAGTCCATCTCTACCACCATGAATCCCGCAAAGAACTACGACCCCATGACCCATTGTCTAGCCGGCGCTGTTGCTGGTGGATTTGCAGCTGGTCTCACAACTCCTATGGATGTCATCAAGACCATGCTTCAAACACGTGGCACATCAATTGATCCCGAAGTGAGAAACGTTAACAGTTTCGTTGGAGGCTGTCGGTTGCTATACCAAAGAGCGGGTGTTAAAGGTTTCTTCAAGGGTGTGCGACCTCGTATTGTTACTACAATGCCCAGCACGGCCATTTGCTGGTCAGCATATGAGTTTTCAAAGTACGTCGTGTGACATGATTGTTCGAGTTGAATGACTGATTTTTCTTGACAGGTCCTATTTCATTAAGCGTAACGACGCTGCCTGAACGTCCCCTTAAGTCGGAAATCATGGATCACCGAGAGCAATCGATGCTTGAGCTGGCGCGCAAATCGACATCATATTTGGAGCCGTGTACTCATCATGTTTGCCGAGGGATTGATCAACGGTGAAGAAAGTTGAAGAAGGGCGATACGACTACAATCACGAGATCCGACACTCCTCTGGACAACTATTTTGATCTAGCGAGTGGCTGACCCGGCTTGCATCCTTTACCAGGGACACTCACCGGTTTTGCAGATCATGACGACTTGTACTCCAGGAGATGGACAACTGACTTCCGTGGCAGCCAGCGACGGATTCTGTACATAGAGGAAAATCATCACTTTTTACAATTGAAAACAGACCTAGGCAGGAGGAGTGCTGGTATTTATTCGCACAGCTAGACGGCGGAGAGCGTGTCACGATAGGTTGTCAGTTAATATTCATGCCAAACATTCAGCATGCATGCTTGATGCAATACAAGTTTCGGCCGGCGTTGATTTTGTTGGGTATTTTCGAATTCCTACAACAAGATCTGACCATGATCACCGTTGAACTGCATCCTCCATTTCATCAGTTTGTATGTGAAATTGTTTCCCCCACTTCCGTTGCCACGGTAGCGTCTGCGTTGAGATAGTGAAGATTTGCCAAGGTCGATATATAATACTCTGACTAAGCTTTGAGTTTAGTAAATGACCGACTTGATAGATTTGGGTTGTTGTAGGTGATGGAAGATAAAACGCTAAAGCGTTATTGTAGTATTCGCTATGACTATTCCTCTTCCTGCATGTAATTGTGTGAATCTACGAAGAACTCCGGCGCCATAAACCCCGATTACTCCATTAGCAGAGACGTGTATCATTTTCCCTCATCAGTATGAGTACGAAAACGATGACTCTCTGTCAATCTCAGCAAATCTATGATTGAACCCGTCGCTGTTTGACCCCCCCTTGCCCGTAGTCTCTTGCGATAGAATATCAAAATGTGTTGTGATATATCCGTACTAGAACCCAAACTGCTGACCACCGAAATGGAATTTCATGTTGGGGCCACCGCCACCTTGCTGGAACATGAATGGATGTCCACCACCACCACCGAAGGGGTTGCCCTGCTGGAAGGGATTTCCTTGTCTCTCTTGCGAGTTAGGATCATCACCACGGTCGAAGCGCGCGCGCAACTCGGGATCACTAAGCACTTCGTATGCTTCGTTGATGCTAGCCATCTTCTTCTCAGCCTCTTCCTTAGGAATACCCTGCTTAGCAGCCTTGTCAGGGTGGAAGATCTTCGACTGTTTGCGGTAGGCCGACTTGATCTGGCGCTCGTCTGCATCATTCTCGACGCCAAGCACTTTGTAGTAATCCTTCGTCTTACTGCGCTTGAGAGCGATATGGGCCTTCTGAAGAATGGGGCTGACTTTCTCCTTTTGTTCGGGGCGAAGCTCAGCGGCCTTCTCGAGGGTGGAAATAGCAGCCTCGAACAGTTCGCCTTTGAGTTGAACCTTGCCCTTGTGGAGCAGACCCCAGAATGAGTCTGGATTAAGTTGTAGCGACTCGTCGCAGTACTTGGCGGCCTCTTTGTGGTTTGACTGACAGGGCATTGTTAGTAACTTCCAATACTTGAATAACAATAGAGTCTTACCTCGGTGTATGCTTGGCAAGTGAGCTCGGCCAGGCTTTCCAGAAGGTGTATCCGAGCAGTCATGGGAATGCTCTTGTTTTCCTTAAGCTCTTCCACCTGTTGTCGAACAGTAGGCACTAAGCCAGGCTCTTCGGAAGTACCAACCAGTGATCTGCCAGCTGTAGTGGGTTGCCCGCGGCTAAGCTGTCCCTGAACTTTCTTGTACGCTTTCTCGAATTTCTTCTCCTGCTTGTGCAGCTTCTTACAGATCTTGGAGTCCGGGTCGGATTGAAGACACTTCTTGATCTGTCCAATACCGCTGTCCACGTCGCCTAGTGCGTAGAATGAAGTAGCTGAAATGACGACGTGAGGAGTGGTGTCTCCGGGCTTCATGTGAAGGACATGCTGCAGATCGCTGAGACCCGCCTCTATATCACCAAGCTCAAAGCGACAATGGGCACGGAGCTCACGCAGATGGGGCGATCGGCTTGCGACGACAATGGCGGTACCAGCATGGCTGGCACACTCGTCCCATTTCATGCCCTTCTCGGCCATCCCAGCCATGTGAGCAGCCAGCTTGGCTTCTTCGAGTTCCACGAACTCGGCAGAGTTTGGCTCTTTGCCGGCGAGACCAAACTGCTTCTTAGCAGCATCCCAGTCTCCTGCCTTGGCGCGAAGCCTCGCGAGTTGAAGGTGAGCGCCCTCAAAGCCAGGCTTGAGTGACAACACCTTGTTGAAATCGTCGGTTGCCTGCGAGGTTCGGCCGAGGGAGAGGTAGGTGGTAGCTCTCTTGAATATGGAAAGATAGTTCGTCGGATCACGGGCGATGGCAGCATCGTAGTAGACAAGAGCCTCGCTGGTCTCGCCACGGGACAGATGCGACTGCGCCGTGGTTAAGAGCTTCGAAACAGGAAGATCGGCTGGAACATCCTGAGGCGAGAGAGCGTGGGCCGAAGCGAGAAAGGTGGTAGCGGCAACTGCCAGAGCAGCAATGTTGATATGCATCCTGCCCAGCTTTGGTCGAATCGAAGTATACGCAAGGTCGAGGGACAAATCGCAAGCGACGAATGAAGGATTCTAATGGTGATGCATCAACTGCAATAGTTGCATGTGGTTGGCGGCGATTGACACGACGACAACAGTGGCAGTTTGGAAGCACTGTCTGTTTGGTAGAACAGGAACAAGAAAGAATGGTAGGGACGAAAAAAGGACAACTTGATCATCAAAGAAGCCAACAAAGCCAACAAAGCCAACTGTGGCCGGAACAGGCGTCCGCTCGACTCAACCAGGATAGTTAATGTCTGTCAGCCAGGTACGCGGTTCACTCGACATTGTCATATGTGGCCACAAGTATTACTCTAGCAGACACACACCTATTGAGGATTACGGAGGCGCAGGCATGCTCCAGGTTCCTGCCGCAGGAATTAGCGGCGGGCACTAGGAAGCTAGTGAACTCAAGGTGCCGAATCAAAATGCAGAGTTTACTCTAGAAGTGCCCGCTTCTCTAACTGACAGGCATTCTCAGTGGCTCACGGACCTGAGTGTAGTTTCCAGGTTGTTCTGTGGCGTTACACTCTTCTTTTCGCGACCCAGACCCACGATGCCTTTTGTTTACTTCCCATATTATTCCGTACATACAAAAGAAACCCGATTATCCACGCCATATCGCCCCTTCCAGCTAGATATAGAACAAATATTTCAACTCGGTGGGACAGATCTGACTATGGCTCATCACCGCCTTCTAAGTCAAGATTCAGCCATTTTCTCTCCTTCTGTCGCTCGCATTGCCGCATCCACCGCCCGCGATTGGTCTTACATCGACGCATGGCTCTCGTCCAAATTCCATCCCCGATCGGTCCCTCCTTTTGAGCGCAACAACGATACACTTAAAGCTCTCCTCGCCCTCGCATCTGTCAATGAGTTGGCTGATGAGGAGCGTAACCTAGTCGCCAAGTCTGAAGCCGCAGCGTTGCAGGAGCTCACCGAGTCTGAATCTAAGATCGACCAGACGAGCCGACCGTTGAGGGAAGGCCTCATCGAAGCTGTACAACACAACCTACCTACTGATGGCCATACCGCCCTCGATGCTATGGCAAACATGGCTTTGCAATTTGGTGTCGCCTTCCCCGAACCCGAGATACTAGGCCGACGCATGTGCCAACTTCAATCGAGCATCCATGACGCTGAACACATGAAAGCCCGGGTCGAGATTCTTCACAAACATATCGATGAAGAAGCGGCTCGTATCAACGATACCCTCAAAGATTTGCAGCGCGAAGACTACCAACCTCCTGCACATCTTGCCAAACAAAACCTTGAAATGCAGCGTAAGGTCAAGGCGTTGGCTACCAAGTTGCCTGAGCTACAGGACAAAGTTGCCACTCTCGCAGCGTCTGCCGACTTCTCACACCCAGCCATCGTCGATCTTGCTCGTGATGAGCAAGAGTATTTATCTGTGTTGGCACGGAAGAAGGAGCTCGACCTCCAGCTGGCTTCCTTCCAGGGTCTCCCCAGTAACCCAGACATGGCCAGAGCAGAACTCGAAGAGCTTCGAGACCAGCTTCGTTCAATAGAATCGCGGCGCGACGCTGTTTTCGAAGGACTAGTGGAGCGTGAGAGCCCTGTGAAGCGACGACGCTGAGATGTCTCCATTGATCTTCGGCTTGATACTAATCTATACATTAATGAACCCCTGAACACCATCAACTTCCACTCGCGCAGCAAGTTGACTCCCAGGCATAACGCTGAATACATATATAACCAAAATCGATGCATTTTCTATTGGTTGCGTCGACCTTTTCCTGCCACAGCTCCTCCCAATCTCCCAAACTGTCGGCCTAATCCTATTCTTTTGGCTGGTACTGGGGGCGCTGGCGCTGGCTCTTTCTGTGGAATAGTTTGCAGGCCGACACCGCGTGCGTCCTTGCCTTTCACGTCTGCTGCCCCGTCACCAATACGGAGCTCGCTGACTCCCATTAATGGTATTTCGTCGCCATCCATGTTGTTTTGACGCTGTGCCCTTCGCGCCCGTTCCTGGACACTTCGGAACTTCTCCAAAAGCTCGACCCAACGTATGTTCCCGTCTTCTCTGCTCTTGAGTCGATTTGGTCTGTCGAAATTGGAACTGCTTGGGGCCGGAGTGGTTGTACTACAAAATTTAGTATGATGCAACAGTTGAGATCACTCTGAACGGGGTCAAGAATTGATATCCTTGCCTACTGAAACACGCACAAAAGGTAACAGGTAACTTACGTTCGAGGTGCTACATGCAGATATCCTATAGCACTGACGCTGTTGAGTCTGTTCTTCAGTGCAGCGAACGCTGATGACTGCGGCAGAAGCATCAAGATACCATACATGCATTTGTACAGGAACGGGTACTTCTCAGGCTCTAGCAGCTGTAGGCGGAGGTCTGTATGGCTGGTTAGTCTGCGTACGATGAATGTATGATTAAAGTAAAGCTTACACGTGAAGACGGGCGACTCAATCAGTTGTACCAGCTTATCGACCTGAATGAGCATATTAACCGTCATATCCAACTCTCCACTAAAAACATTGTTAGTCGCCGTAGACTCTGATGAGTAGAGAACTTACAATATCTGCAATAGGTTATAAGCCTGCTCATAGGCTTGAGCAAGCAAACATAGCGAAAAGGTAGCCACGGCGTTGTAGCACCATGACCGAAATAATGCTACAAATAACGTTTGACCATCCTGGAGCTTGTTAGCAATATTCAATCGCATAATTCCTGACAGATTTGGATATACCCTGGCTTCAAGGTTTCGTAACCTCTTTCGAACATCGGCTAGCTGAGGCGCAGTAATAAGGTTGTTGTTGAGATTCTGCACCATTATACTTGCAAATTCGACGTCTTCTTCTTTCTCGATACAGTCCGCTAGTGTCCTGTAGATCCTTTCGGGGCTCAAGCTCAAGCAAAGTTGCCGAATGATAAGATTGCCCCGTGTTTCCAGCAACTTTCTATCCGTTGAAAAGAGCTGCAACAAGTTGACCATGAAATTGGCAAAATAGTCATCTTCTGAATTTCGCGATATTTGCGAAAGAAGCTGCAAGTCCTTGGTAACTACGGCGTCTGACGGATCAGACAAAGTCTTGAGTAACGCCGGAAATGTTCCATCATTGAAAGCGAGTACCTTTCGGGGAGCTTTCCTGTGTAGCATGATAAGCCACGTCAAGGCCGCCACCCGGGTCGCTTCATGGTCATTAAGAAAAAGAAGGGTTAGAGAGTTGACAGCTGCAGCATAGTCCAGGTCGGCTTGTGTCTGAGTAATGTTGATGTCGGCCGGAGTCGATAATGAGCGACCTTGAGCAGGCGTGGGACTGCGAAGGTCCAAATCTCTAGAGCTTGCCAACGAGGCCCGGTTACTGGTGTTAGCGTCAACACCCTTTTCTCCAGGAACAGGTAGCCGAGAGGTCGAGAAGTTTTGAGGCGGTTGAGCTGGATGTGGTTGGGTCAATTCGGAGTCGTCTGAAAGTGATACAACGTAGTCCATGAGGCACGTATTGACTCGTGTCGCTGCTTTATGTATAGTTTCTTTGGTACTGGCCATAGCTGGAAGCATGTGGGCGAGAATTTTGGGGGTGAAAGGAAGAACTTCTTCCGGGCAGATATCCAGGAATTCCACAACCCATCGGAGTGACTCGAGGAGACAATCCTCCTCTAAGGAAAGTTAGCCACAAGATCAAACAGTTTCAATAGTAACTGACCTAGGGGGGAGTCCAACGTAGCAGTTAGGATCTGAAGAATTTCCTTGTAGTTGATCTCTACATCCTGGCCGGGGATCCAATCTTCTCCGCTACTATCATCGTCATCATCCAGTGCAGCATCGGAGTCGAGCTCGTCCCCTTCTTCAAAATCCGGATTAATTGATCCACTGTCGATGGAGTCCTGTCGCTTACGCTTCACACCCTCCTTGGATCGCTTGCTCTGCAGGATTCCCTTTTTGATACGGGCTATTCGCTTAATCTCGTTCAGAAATTTATCCAAGCAAGTTTGTGTGGCGACCCGCACGTCGGAATTCTGATCTGAAAGAAACTTGAGTAGACCTCCAAGAAAGTCTGGTAGGTAAGTGACAAGCTCCAGATCAGGTATGGAGTCAAGGAGTGTAATCCAGCCGACAAGAAATTGCCGGGTGAAAGGGTTAATAACCCATATACGCTCTTTGAGCAAGGGGATGAATCGAGAGAGAGAGAACGCTGTTGGTAAGTGGGAATTTTCCCCTAACGATACCTTATCATCGCCATCGAACTCTGGAGGAGTCTCGAGAACAGAGACGTAGGAAGCAGCAGATTCGGATACAATATCTTTGACAAGCCGATCAAGGAGCTCTGCTCCATTCTTGACCGATAGTTCTGAATCCGCGCCAAGCTGGAAAGGTCAAGATGTTAGTAACCCCCATCTTAATCAATATTTAGGAGCAGGTTGAGTAAACATACCTTACACAGCTGATCAAAGATGCTATTAAAATACACGAGGATCTCTCCTTTTGCAACCTTGGCAATGTTGTACATGGCTTCGCAGGCATAATATCTTACCCTCGCATCTTGGTCGGTGAAGCACGCTAAGACAGGAGGGACGATCTTTGACAGATATCTGGGCAGCTCCTAATTTAACGATTAGAACTCGAGTGATAACAAGTACTAACGTTCACAAATAAACATATTTTTGCTATATAGGCCTCAGTGGAAAGATCATGATGGGGCTAAATCTTACTGGACCAAGGGCAATAGCAGCGGCAGCCAGACCTATCAAACCGCCATTCCTCGCATGAGGCTGATGTACGGCGTAGGCATACTCATTGCATAACTGCTCAAGAATATCATGAACTCGTTGGTAGTCCTTGACGTTGACGAGATCTCGAATTACACGCTCTAGCCTATAGAAAGAATGTCAATAGCTATACTTTTGAAGGAGTGGTGGTGGTGGTAGTAGTAGCAAGTCTCCGGGCTCGAGATATGGTCCATAGTGAGTATTAAAGCAAAGGAAGCTATCAATATGAGGCTCGAAAGCATTGAGCAGACTTGGAGTGAGGGGTGAGACATACTCGAGAGCTCCAATCTTGCGTTTGTCGTAGAGTCTATCATTGAGGGCCCGCTGGATGTTGGCATCCATAGCTGCGGCTCATTCACATAGTCCGCTGTACGCGACAAGTGAGGGCCAGAGAGTGAGCTTATTCGCTCTGTGGGAATGGGTAAGGATGGTATCCGTATTGTAACTTAAGATGAGAAGCAAGAGGGAGAGTCGCTTCGAACGAGCAAAACTCGGGTTGTTGTCGTGGGATTCAGGTTCCAAGTGGTTGGTTCGTTTGAGATGTAGGTAGCAAGTAGCAAGGGAACCTGACTAGTACGCACTGTATGGTAACCTGGACGGGGAAGGAGGAAAGCTGCCAACCCCCCACTAATGCCCCACGAATAGAGAGACTAAGTGACGTTCGCATTTAGGACTTTGTACTCCGTGCTCGTGATCTGACGTACAAACGCGTCTAGTTTTGTGAGACAGTCTGGAGGATGAGGTTTTGTTCGATTCTACCTATCTATCAAGTAGTGAGTTCTTTCAACAGCAGATTCATGTCAGTTGCCAAGGGCTTTTTTTGCTGGTGCTAAGGGCAGGTTACGGAGTAATGTATGTGGTATCTGCTACCCCCTAAGTTGATTTTACCTAGGAAGGTAGGTAGGTATTATTCTGTAACCCATTCCACTCTCCTCAGCTTTAGGGAAGAATGCCATTTTAAGAACATGCATATCAACCTGCATGAAGTGATATGGTGTTCTTGAGAACAAACACTTCCAGGCTTTTGGTTCCCCACAGGTACCTAGAGGTAGTCATCACTTTCGTGCGACACATCGACGTCACCCATTCACCACCGCTGACCCATGTGATGGTGATGGGCGGCAAGCCCGGTTCTTCATGCGCCCGACTAATGCTAGTCGGACAGAGCCTTATAGGGATTTCATATACAGCCCAGGGCTATATGGATATGGTATTCCATAAGCCGTGTGATTTAAACCCTTCCAGATAAAAAAGTGATTCAAGCCTCTTTTCACACACCTGGCGAACTCTGCTGTCTTGGCTGAGGCAGTTCCCCAGACATATGTTACTATCACAAGTATCCGTACAACGATCAACTTTGCCTCCAGATGGTCCAGCAAAAAGGCCGATGCCGACTGGTCATACTATCCATAGCACAAACAAGGCACTTATCATTCTTTGTGAGTTCGGGTCTCACAACACCGGACTTTTTGACTTTCTAGACTCAGACCTACACATGGAATGTCTTGCACAAGTCAAAGCTCTTCCGATCCAACCTAAACTCACACTTTGTGGCAGTGACACATGTTATGTCTAAGACAAGATCACGATCGCCGACAGGCAAAGTGGTATAGCTCAGAAGGTAAGTTCGTAAACACAGCGATATATTTAACAAACGATTTAGCATGGAAGGTCTTCTAGTCTAATATAATTCAAAACTTTTCGAAACTATGGCAAACAGGGACTGTGTCGACTATGTACAGCGCAATGCCAGTCTATTGGTTTGCGCGTCTAGTGATGATGACCCGCAAGGTCTCCGTTCTGGATCGACTTCTGGCATTTGGCAAGAATCGCCGCCTGCCGGGACACCTCTGCCAGCCTTCCAATAACTTGCTGGTTACCACCAGCAAACCCGTACAGCACGTAAGGGATATTGACCTCGTCGCAAAACTTCTGAACAAGCTTTTGTGTCGCACGCAAGTTGTGGCGGGGCACGCGAGGAAAGAGATGGTGGATAACCTGAAACTGAAGGCCACCGTGGAAGAAATCAAGCCACTCCGGACAGTCGATATCCATGGTCGTTCGGAGTTGCTTCTGGGGAAAAGACTCCTGGGGCCCCAGCTCTACCGTGCTCATTGCAAAATGAGACAATACAATCTGAACGTGGAGGGGAGATGCAGTGATGTTGCTGATCATAACAAAGTAGAATCGGGTCCAGTTGTCAGGAAGCATATTGTAAACAAGACCGTAACCAAACCAAGTCCAGAAGAAAACCTGGCCGATGACCTCGAGCCACCAGATGATCAACGCAGGTCCCTTCTTTGGACCTCGGGACATAAGGAGGAAGTCCCACGACAGCCGGTAGAGATTGAACCGAGCAAGTGCAAGCAGTGGATAGTAGGTCCAGGCCTGAATTCTAAGCAGAACCTTTGCCACAGCATCGTAAGTCATAACCCGCTCATAGTATGTCGACCTCAAGCTGCCAAGCAAGCGATGGGAGACGGCAAAAAGGGGCATGTGCTCAATGTCAGGATCGTGCTCCGGCGCATTGGTGACAACGTGGTGCACGTTGTGATTCCGCTTCCACCATCCAATTGAAAGACCCCCCATAAAGTCGGCAATAAGAGCTCCGATGCAAGAATCGGTGAGGTAGTTGTGGGTTATGCCCATATGGCCAGCATCATGAACAGTGAACGAGAGCTGATGCCAAAGAAAACCCAGTAAGAAAGCGCTGAGAGCATACCACTCATATCGAAGACAAAATAATGAGCCAACGGCCAATGCAATATACCGAACACACTCAATTGCATAAGCCTTGTAGTTACAGTTGTAAAGGCCATTGTCGTAGACATTTTGGTGAAGTTCGCGGTATTTCATGGCTACCTTGGCCTGTGTCTCTTTGTCGGGCGGAGGGTACTTGTCGAGGTCGATTTTGATATGCTCTCGGGTGATTGTGTCCAAATATGACATGCCATCCAACTCTACTTCTTCAACGCTTGACGTGGATGATACTGAGGACGCCCTAGCCCCGTCCTTCTTCGTGTCGGCCTTTCGTTGTCGAACACCCTCTGAAGTTTCTTCATCAAATACTGGTGATGGCACACGGGTCGATGGAGCACTCGAGTCTTGGTCGTTGTTCGTATTGCTTTTAGAGTTGATTCGTTCTATTTCTTCGCGGGTACGGTAAACACCTCCCTGAATTGGTGGCAGTAAGTTCTCCCAAGTTCCCTCAACTCGTCCGATACGATAACGCAGTACGTGCTGCCGGGTTTCGAAACAGTGGAAGCTATTCAAACCGCAAATGTCAGCATTGGTATGGAAATTGCGCCGCGAGTGATGGCTTACGCATCGATTTCATCCGAGGCATCCTTGCCAACCATATGAAGCATAGCTTTGTCACCGCCAGGGTGATACGGCATCCAAGGATCCATCTTGATGACTTGGTTGTGATAGATAGTGATGTGCTTGTCCTCGGCGATCAAGGCTTCAATCTCATCCCGGGTCATGAGCTTTGGTGTTCTCTCGGTAGCATTGGTAGCCAGGGGCGGCAAGCCCGTAACGATAGACTTGTGTGCCATCGTGATATTTGAGAAGGGAAGAAACAAAACGGCAACCCAAACAATCAGAAAAACCAGAAAGAATGGACAAGACTCTGTTGCCGAGAACTATGTGAAATAGCTGTTGGTGCTACGCAAGCAAAGGTGGGAGGAAGAGGCCCAGATTAGGAGTATGAAGGAAGGGGGCAGAATGAGCAAGGTCAAATCAGATGCAGCTTAATTCACCGCATCTTCCTGTCAGGATCAAATGCTTCCACCCTCTCGGTGTCTCGGTGCGGTGCGGTGCAATGTCGAGGATGTGCTGAGTTCTAGGTACGGCAGTGGTGGGGCCAAAATGGTCCGACCCTTCCACTATAACTGCGGGGCACGGCAGCCGCGGACCAGAGCCAGACGCCAGCCCAAGGGCACCACCATGACTGCTGGGGATGGGAGAACACAAGAATCACTTGAGCTTCAATATCAAGTTTTCTACACTGAAATTATTGTTAGGCCATTGACTCTTAAAGCTATAATCTTTGTTACTTCTCGACCTGCGGTGGCTTCTCATGACTACGGGTTTCTGTTTGAAACGAAACGAACATCTGTTTAAAGACTAGCCGACGCAGATGATCACATCAACGCAACGATTAAGGCAAAGATGAGCTTAAGCAGGCTGCAAGGTGCCAGTGGGTTTTCTCCCTCGAGCTAACAAGCGCGTGTAAGTAGTCTACAGCCGCATGCACTATCTTCGAGGTCGCTTTGGGGTTGTATGATAATCCGTATGCACTAAAGATCATTAAACAAACGCACATCTACAGATATGGGATGGCACCCCATTATTAGGATAACCACTTGATGCAATAAATACTCTCCTGATGATATTATTTATATAAGAGCCAGAAATATAGATAATGCCAATAGTCTGCATATATATAACGCTTACAAGGAGCGAGATCTTAAAGCAAGGTGCTGGCCAAGAATAAGCTGGTCTGATAAACGCGGCCAAGAAACTTTCGACTGTGACAACAACCTTGTGAACTTCACATACCACTTTCGTATAGCCACACATCTACTAAGTGCCTATTTTATTATACACAGCTTGAACAGAGGACCTATTTGTATGTGTTCGAGTTCGTATTCGAACTTCCAAACCACTAGACAGATTTGACTAGGTATTACTTCGACCCCAAGTAATCAATTAAAAATTCCGACGATTTATATTCCATGCCCCGAAGCAAAGTGATTCTAGACGGGAGGCTACCAAGTTAACAATTTCTACCAAGACAACCATCCCCAGACGAATCTTATGTTTTAATCGTTCGTACCTCAGATTCAAGGTATTGTATCAGTATTCGTACCATACAGTGAGCGTGCTAAGGTTCCAACAACTTCCTCGCTTTTATATGAATCATGTAAATGATAATAAACCCATTTCCCCCTATAGTTTTACATGATCTCATCCTAAGATTAGATGTAAATTTATATAATTACTATATATTCTATACACATGTATACGATTTTATATGTCCGTAGCTGAGTTGTCGGAATTTTTGTATGGAACTATAGGAGCTTCAACCTGATATAAGTATCGGATATGTGTCTTAAACCGAACAGTAATTGGATCACACGATATATATATTGTTCATTCGGTAAGGCTCGTAATATTCTTCAAACGCAGGCCCACGCATCTTGCCGTGTGCATTCCATTCATCATGTTCGAACAAATAGAAATTATTACTAGTTTACACAACCCAGAGTCCAAGACGCCCGGGCTCTATCCCGTTCGCACTGTCCTCGCGAGGCCTCCTCTTGACCCTGTGTCGTCGTTTTGGTATTTTCTAGGCGACCGCAGACGCGCTATCTAATCTAAGCATTCAAGAGTGTCTGCTTCCCGCCACAAAGGGCACAGAAGAGAACTACCAGTACCGAGTTGACACGTCTAAAGCCATTGGCACACAGCAACCTATCCAATCAATTTTGTCCAGCCAAACATTGCCTAGTAGTGGATGGCCTTGGCGTGGGTGGCCATGGCAGCTTCCTTGAAGGCCTCGGCAAGTGTGGGGTGGGCGTGACAGGTTCGGGCAATATCCTCGCTGGAAGCACCGTACTCGAGAGCCAAAGTACCTTCAGCAATCATCTCACCAGCGTTAGGGCCGATGATGTGAACGCCGAGAATGCGGTCGGTCTCAGGGTCAGCGAGCATCTTGACCATACCCTCAGTATCCTGGTTGGTCTTGGCTCGGGAGTTGGCGACGAAGGGGAAGCTTCCAACCCGGTAAGGAATGTTCTGGTTCTTCAGGTCCTGCTCGCTCTGACCGACCCAGGCGACCTCGGGGTGAGTGTACATGACTGAGGGGATGGCACCATAGTTGACGTGACCGTAACCCTTCTTGATATACTCGACAACAGCGACGGCCTCCTCCTCAGCCTTGTGTGCAAGCATAGGGCCGAAGGTGACATCACCAACACATCGGATGTGGGGGATCTTGGTTCGGTACTCGGAGTCGATAATGACACGGCCGCGGTCGTCGTTCTCAAGACCGATGTTCTCGAGGCCGAGGCCAGCAGTGTAAGGTCGTCGGCCGATAGCAACGAGAACGACATCGGACTCAATCTATAAGTCTATTAGCATCTCAGCCATGGTGCAAAGGGTCCATATACGTACGGACTCGGGTTTACCACCCTTGGCGGAGTCAACCTCAAGCTTGACCTTGTCGCCAGACTTGTCACCGCTCACGACCTTGGTGTTGAGCTTGAATTCGAGACCCTGCTTCTTGAGGATCTTCTGAGTGTTCTTGGCGATCTCATTGTCCATACCAGGTCCACCAATCTGACCGAGGAACTCGACGATGGTGACCTTGGAACCCAGTCGTGACCAGACAGAGGCCATCTCAAGACCAATGATACCACCACCAATGACGGTCATGGTCTCAGGGACCTTTTCGAGGGCAATGGCACCAGTGCTGGTGATGACGCGCTTCTCGTCGATCTCGAGACCGGGGAAAGGAGTAGCCTCAGATCCAGTGGCAATAAGGATGTTCTTACCACGGACGCTGGTCTCACCGCCCTCGTTGAGGTCGACCTTAATCTCATGCTCGCTGGCGAAAGAAGCGGCACCCTTGATGTATTCGACACCGTTCTTCTTGAAAAGGTACTCGATACCCTTGGTGAGACCGGAAACGGAGGTTTCCTTGGCCTTCATGAAGTTGGCCAAGTTGAGCTTGACTTCGCCGACCTCGATTCCGCGGGACTTGGTGTCATGGAGAATCTGGTGGTAAAGATGCGAGTTGTTTAGAAGAGACTTCGAAGGAATGCAGCCGACGTTCAAACAGGTACCACCGAGAGAGCCACGCTTCTCAATGCAGGTAACCTATATCACAAGAAAAGACCCGGTTAGCTCATTCTGCCTGCTTGCGCGTTTGCTCGAGTTTTCGAGTTGCAAGCTCGGGTGTTTCGTGAACCAACCTTCATGCCCTCTTGGCCAGCCTTGATAGCAGCGACGTAGCCAGCAACGCCACCACCGATAACAACGAGATCCTTCTCCTCTATAGCAAATTTCTGTCAGCGGGTTGTTCGGAGTCATTCTCCGACAAGCTCAAAGGTTAACATACCAGCCTCAGACGCAAATCCCCGGCTCCATCGCGACAGCGAAGGTGAGGTGACGACCTTAGGAAGACTATCAAGGAAAAAAGATCATGTTAGTTGACGAGCCATTTCCCCCACGATAATGGATCGCACCTAGCAGAAACAGGTTTCTGGCCATGCTTCTCCTTGGTACTTGTCACAAAGCACATTACAATAAACTTACGTAGGCTTCTGGAAGGCCGGGCGAGCAATAGCTCGTGATATTAAACGGCTGGTAAGCATGATGCGGGTTATGTGGAAAGACAATGGAGGACAAGCGGATTGTGGAGAGAGGAAGGGGCAGGTCGAGGTAGAAAAAGTCGATGAGGTTGAGGTTGAGACGTTAGTTGCGGCATCCAAAGCTCGCCCCCGTCAAACCTAAAGCACAGGGCACCCCAGTCTTGGAAACATGGGCGGGCAGCGCAGCAGCACCTCACAGCCCAGTGGTTCGGCAAAGAAAACCCCGTGGACAGCCCCAGGGGGTTAGTTCCGGGCAGGTTATCAGGTAAATTTTTTCTCACTATCAGCCGACACCTTCACGCGATTGGCCTTCTCCTCGATGATGGAACCGCCTACAGCGCTGTCCCTTCTGCGACTGCCCTATGGACTTTGCCCCCAGGCCTTGTGGAAAATGCATCACTCCCTGCCCGGACATATATCTCCGGTTCCCGAATTACTGCAAGCTATTCCCAACTTTTAGAGCTATTTCCGGTTTGGTTCGGGCAGAGTTCATGCTAATTCGTGCCTGGGGATTCGGGCAATTCGACTCAACCAACGCCGAAACGGCTGAGCGGTTCTCCCAAGGCACAAGGCGACCCCAACGAAGGATCCCTTGTGCCTCCAACAACCCGGCGTGTCCCGTTCCTACCCGGCTCCGGATGTGAATTGCCTTCATGATGCCGACGTCACTATAAATAAAGCCGTTCACAAACGGAGTATGTCACCGACTTGCCGAGATGATTGTTAATGTTAATCTGTCATGAGTCTGTCAGAGAAAGACTGGGGAAACTGATGGTATTATTACCTCCTGGCATATCTATGACCACTCTAGCCACTGTCCATATTCTATGTTTCGATCACTGTTGGCCGCACAAGAATCTGGGTCTTTTCACAAACACCGTCCAGCTTCTTCAACTCCTTGGCGCCAATCAACTTGGTCTTCCGAATCTTCTTCCGGAGCATCCAATGTATTCCGGCAGCCAGGCCCGGTAGCTCTCGGGCTCCGCTGAACATTTTTTCCAGCTTCAAATCTTCCTCGAGTGTCTCCTTCTTGTTTCGACATTCCTTCAGGAGCGCAATGATAAATAGCTGCACGAACATTGATGTCCAGTGATTTGTTTCAGGAAGCTCAAGAGGTTTGAGAACAGTGATGTTCAGAGTACCATCAGCAACAAGGGCCGCGTAGAACTTGGCTACATTGGTGATCCGTCTCTCGTCTTTCATACGTTCCGCATCAGCTGTCTCATCCTCCTCAGGGGCCTCCCCAAACATGGATTCTCCGAGACTCCTGAATATCTTCCACAGTCGATCCTGAAGTGCAAATCTGATTCTGCTGTTGATCAAGCAGGCCTTGCCTCCCACTAAAGCGTAGTAGGGATTGTACTCCATCTCGCTGCCTACACACTGGACCAGGACAGTAGCAAGGGCCAACTGGTCATCCTTCTTGAGTCTGAGGTTGACAAATTGTCTGTAGGCGTGCTCGAAATTTGACGCCGTCATCAAGGCTGTGAAGATGGCAATCTGTGCTGTTCCGCTTAGTCCCTGTGCGCGAGCCTTTTGTGGATAATCAGGTAAAACAAAATCCATGTCTTCATGATCGCTCATCTCAGAATCAGAGGCATGGGCTTTCTTGCTCTTATCCAAAAGAGTAGTAGGGACACTGGCGCCTACCAGCCACCACTTGCCTCGTGTCTCGGCTCCCTCAATATCGATCAAGCCCACACCCATAGGGGCAAGACCGTCGAGTCGTCGTGATTGGCCCTTAAGATCACCAAGGCGTTTCTTCATACGCTGTACATGCTCTGACACAACAGTGAAATCCAAGCCTCGGGCCTTGCGTTTTCCCTTTGTGAGGTCGGTAATAGTCTCGACAATGAACTTCGTGCGGGCAGAGATGTTGGCGTAGCCCACTTTCGAAAGAGATTGGTTTAGAACACTAGAGACGTGCTTCAGTGATTGCTGGTCATCTTGTTTGAGGATTCGACCTGCCATACGACATATGCGTAGAAGAAGTTCCACGTTGATCTCATTCAAGTCACTAAGAAGCCTCTCCATATAGTCGAAGATAATCTTGCAAGTGACAACCTCGAACACGTAAAGTTGAGACAATAGTGTCAAGATGTTAGAAGCTTCCTTCTGAATTGCTGTCTCGGCGCTGACCTCCTTGCTCGCTTGCTCATAATGGCCACCAAAATCTTCCACAATACGACGAATTAGAACTGAACCAAAACTTGATCCAATCAATCGGTAGATGGCAGCGGCGAATCCACCTGTAAGAACGAAAAACTGATCAGGTAGACTCTCTGGCTTGCAGATTTGTGCCATGATGGCATCGGTGATGACATCTGTTACGTCGCCACGAGCATTGCTTTGATAGAGCTCTTCGAAAGACTTGACAATGGACAAGATATTTGCATCCGTGAGACGGTTAATCAACCCCTGAACTTGTTTTCGTAATCGGCTCTTGCGCTCCTCTTCCGAGCTCGCAGATTTGCGCATTGAAGGAGGAACGTATTTAGCAACCGTAACTCCAGCAGTGGGCGCAACGTAAGGGTTCTCTCTTTGTCGTGGTTGAGCTGGTGTATTGTTTGGGGTATCGGCGTCGTCATCGAACCCCCCAAAAGACTCATCATCAAAATCTCCACCATCTTCATCATCCTCGTCCACCATGTCCAGATCCTCGTCTTCATCCTCGGACTCGTCTCCTATATCCCCGTTCGCATGTCGCCTTTGCGATTGACTTAAAGGTTCTGTCGTCTTTCGTCGTTTGGATGCTAGCCAGTTGTCGTATTCGCTTTTCCTCTTGCTGCTGTCATTATTGTTGTCGCTCAGGTCCTCTTCACCACTTAAATCGCCGAGGAGGTCACCGAGACCGTCCTCTTTGAAGGACTGAGGTAGTGATTTTCGACCCTTTCTGATCCCCAGTTTTCTCTCAAACGCCTCGATCTCGGCAGCATCCTGATCAAGCCTCTCCTGCACTGCTCTTGAAACGCCCTTTTTCTCGCTCTTTCCTTTCGCTTTTGCTTTCGTGTTCTCCTCCTCCTCCTCCTCCTCCTCCTCCTCCTCCTCCTCCTCCTCATCATCATCATCATCATCATCATCATCGTCGTCGCCATCTATCGAATCGTCCATATCCTCGTCTTCGCCTAACGAAACATCTTCGTCATCCTCTTCGTCATCTTTGTCGTCGTCCTCGAGATCATCTTCATCGTCACTGATCTGCTTTGAAGGCCTTGACTGGAGTTTGTGAGCTTGTGGCTTGCTTTGCGGTCCACTCGGTCTCCTCTGAGCATTATTGGCAGGCTGTGGTCGTTGTTGAGTAGGTCTTGCGTAAACATGGGATTTCTTCTGCACCCGCTGCGCCTTTCGTTGGTCTTTTCGCGAAAGTGGTAGGCGTGGCCTTCTTTGTCCGTCTCTTTGGGGTTTAGAGTCTGGAACACTCAGGCCCATCTGCTTGAAAATCTTCTGCTGAAGCTCTGGGGCGGACGACATATTTTGGTTGGAGGAAGTAAATGTCACTAATACAACGAATGTAAAATCTGTGTGTTGATGGAATTTTAAGCAACGATCCGCCTGGTATTTTGACGGTGTTTATGCCTATTTTAGCAGGCGGTCAACGGCCACTTTTGCGACTCTTGGAATAGTTTCACAGTGGCGGATCGCGAGTGAGGTATGAGCACTATCGAGTGGCCTCGCAGTCTATTCCAAGGTGAAGACCAGTTGGGGTATCTCTAAACTGTTTTTGAGGTGCTCGCAGAAGCCTAAGAATAATGCTAGAAGACACAGTAAAAAAAAAACCAATATGAAATTTGTCCGGCAGAAAGACGAAGTGATATCTCGAGAGTTTTGTCGGTACTTCTGATATAGCATTTATGTTGTCAAGCTCAAAGGTACTCGGACCTCACCGCCTGCGAAATCAAGACTAGTGCGTCAGACTAGAAGTGTAGGTACCTACTTGTTGGAAGTGATGGCCTGAGGCACACACTCCACTTATCCTAGCCTGACCACGACCAACCGTAGCTAAGAATAACACAACACATGTTCAACCCAAATCATCTTTCCAATACTACCTTACTCAGGCACAAGCCGCAGTGGCTGTTTACGCCACACTTCAGCCCCTGTGTCAATGGCGGGGCACAACTCAACTTCAATATTGGGTCGCTGCTTAACACTCATCTCTCCATATACATCGACTTGTTGTCTATACCTCAAATTTCATCACCATGGCTGACTCTCACATGAGCCATGACGAGGTAAGTAAAGTCGGTGCTTTTTCATGTCTGAAATAGTATCCCACGATGTTCTATGAATGTTTTGCCTGACACCATGACAGTTCTTCGCCAAGTTGGGTGAGCTCTTCAACCACCGCAAGGGCAGTGATCATGGCGCTATCTACTTGAGTCAAAAGCGACGTGCGTGAAGCTCCTATACTAAAGACTCTTCTTTGCTAAAAAATTATCTTAGTTACGTACGGCCAAGACATCCCCAGTTCCTCTGAAGAGGAGCCCTCACCAGATATTCATCCTGGCAAGCCTTTACCCCTCATCATCCGGGCAACAGACGGCAAGGGCAAAAAAGAGCGTTCCAGTAAGACCAAGTTATCCACAGTTGTCAACCCGGGTGATTTGGAAGCCTTTTACGTGCGGTACGCCGATGTGTGCAAGGCTGGTATGACAGCGTTGAAGCCCAGGGACAGGAGCAAGAAGAAGGCAAAAGCCAAGAAGAAGAAGGCTACCGCATAAACAATTTCTTTCATGTTTTCAGAGTCTACACGTAACAACAGGTCAAAGGTTATATCATCAATTAATGAATTATCGTCCTAAAAGATAACCCCCCAGGTCACCAAACCACCATAACTACCAATTATTCATACATGAGAAAGTGTAAACATTACACAGAGCGATGATCATATCCGACTCTGCCCAGAACCGCGTGTACATTAGGTAGAGTTGTCGAACAAATGTGGCAAAGGGATTAACTCCTTAGCACTTCTTGCCAGAATCCAGCTGTCCTCGGAAAGCACCGGGAACGGCAAGGCTGGAGTGCGAGTCGGTGAAGAACTTCGCGGGGTTCTTCTCAATCTGCGCAACAGTGAAACCGACACCAGTGTCCTGGCCGTTTGCCTTGATGCCAGTGCGGAATGGGCCCTTGAGGCAACCAACAGAGTTCCGGAACTTGTCGTTTCCGACAGGGTTAGGGAAGGCAATTCTAGATCATAAGTCAGCTTTTCTACCATCATCATCATCATTTACTCATTCATGGGCCATGTATCAACGTACCGTGGGGGTCCAGCTTTGCCCTTGACACCTTCGTGAATGTGGGTAGCTGTGTTGGCGAGAGACTCGTACTCGCCGCGGAAGCCGTAGAGGGTGATGTTGAAGCAGATGATGTCCTCGTGCGAGTTGATACCGTACTTGAACAGACCGTGACTGTTCTTGAGTCCGCCAGTGAACTTGTTCTCGGCGTCGACGACTTGGTTGGGAGTAGCAGTGATCTCGTAGGTGGAGGTGAAGGTGAAAGGGATATTGCTAGTCTTGGGCTTGAGAAGGCCTAGAGCGCGCTTCTCATGCTCCATTTCAGGAGTGGGCGAGGCGGCAGCAAGAGTGCTGAGGGTAACGGTAAGGAGAGAGAACTTCATATTTGCTTTGGGGGGGAGGGTTAAGTATAGAATATAAGAAGGGATTATTGGAGACTGTAGTGTAGAGTTGTAAAGTTGGGAGTTGAGATGATGAGAATAATACTGAATCTCAGGCCAGAGACTGCATACTTTATAGATATCTCCGGCTGGCAAGAGCGTGTGTTCTCTACATCTAGCAAGCATCGCAGTCACGTCATTGAAATGTCTACTGCGAGGATCGTGAAGCCCCTGGCGGGTATCTAGTCTGCGGCGGCATGTACCAAATATGCATGCTAGGCACTAACACCTCGCCAAGCTTGATAGTTTGCTATACAATGTGCGCCAAACTCATCAAACTATGCAGGGCAGCATCTCTTAGGCACTCAAACCACTGACGGAGTATGAGCCAAGGTGATTCTTCCCTGTGGTCTCTATGTAACAGTCTCTGAAAGTATCCATCCATGACGGTAATTAGGTTGACTTACCAAGCGTCTTGGTGTTGAGCTAGTATATCGCACAGCCACACGGCATCGCGGTGCCAAGACCTCTTGATTTACCGGAGGCCAAACAAAATCAACGTCGGCATATCTTTCATTCGTAGTTTATTAGATAGTTTAGGGGAAGTGTTTCCTACTGCATGCGTATGTTAGCCAGACGGGACGAGATAGTAGGCATAACTCCCGCCTAACACCGTACGGAACAAATATTGGCAATGATCACCACCATCAACTCAACTTCAATCCTAACGAGCAGGTGTAATAACTCATCTACCAAGCTCCATGACCGCTTTGGGCACCTAATGATCTCCTCTAGGTAGAAAGTAAAGCTGCCAGGCTGTCTTGGCATCGACCAAGACGGGGATCACAGATACGCCAGCACCTGATCTAAGGTTACCCCAAGACAAGCTTATTTCGAAGCTTAAACGTAAACGCCGATTATTGGCTACTTTCGTCTTAATCTGGATCAAAAGGCAATTGTGTAGCAAGTCAAGGAACTCGGACTAGCACCTAATACCCCAACGTGGACTTTGGCAAGGGAGCACCACAGTCTGGGGACGAATAGCCATCAGCTTGGCAGATGTCGATCAAAGGAGCACTTGGGGTACGGCAAGTCGAGCATCCGGCTTGGTATCCACTGGCTGGCTCTATTCCTCGTATCAAACGAGTGGTCACATTCATCACAATGATGCACTTTACCAAGCATTTCTGGTGGAGATGTCGCTCGCCGAAGACTATCGGACCTTTGTTTCTCGACACCGCTTCATGCCTTCGTACGTGACGCTCATCTTGTTTTCCCATATCAGTCGGCTGAATTTATTGCCCAAGTGCTAGGAGGGTCCTAGAGCCTAGCCCGAGGCTCCTAGTCTTGCTCAACTTTTATCCAGGCTCTTTCGTGAGCTGCAGGGCTCGACTGTCAACAAGCATCCCGGAAAGATCATCAGCAACAATACTATTGTAACGACGTGTCGCCTCCACGACTAAACCCCAACTCAAAAGGTTGGGGAGTCTGGAAAGGCTTTCCTCTCCATCACGCTTACGTTATACAACTCCTGATGTATAGCTTGACCATGCCTTGCCTGTTGAGCTTCACAGTGATCTGGCCATGACCGCTCTACAGCCTCCTAGGTACCTTAAAACACCATTGCCTTGCTATTACCACTGTTATGTGTTGTCGTTGTTACTTACATTCAACGTCCAAGGGCAAATGACTCCGAAACGCCGGTGTTTACCATCTACGCGTGTCCACATGAGTCCCTACACTCTTCCCCTTCACCAAAACCACCTGCCGTCGTTCTCAAAAAACCTTCGGATGATTACTCGAGATACATTCTAAGTAGAGCCACGCAATATCCTTCGAGACTGCCAGCTCGAGCAGTCATCCCTTCCTTCTGACACAATGAGCAACCGTATGTTTGAGAATCGCTTGCTGCCCGTCCAGGAGCCAGAGGTGGGACAAATCGGTACTGTTTGGTAAGCCCATAGTAAAACCCCCCTCGCCCCAAGTCCATCAGCATATTAGAGGACAAAGCGCAGATTCATCTTCAATAGTGATTCCGACCGCGTGCCCGTACGTTCCGATTCCACCGTCGATAACCTCCAACTTTTGCTGCTCATGTGAAGAACGAAAAGTGCCAGAAAAGAGAAAAAGCAAATATAAAAAGCCGTTGTGCGGAAACAAAAAAGCGGGCCATGATCATGAAGCAATATAGCTGCATGGGATTCATGTTCAGTGAGGGTGACCATCATTCCCTTACATGATCTGGTCCTGGGTCAAACCGTCATGAGGATCAGTATCCATAACGTCGTTTCCACCTTGGTTTAGATACTTGACAAAGCTCAGGTTAAGAGGACGGCCGCCGTATTGGTAACCCTGGAACTTAGAAATGGCTGTCTCAGCGGTGTCGGCGGAGTCGAAGCGAACCACGCCAGTACCACGGGAACGACCACTCGGCTCGTACTGGATCTCAGCTTGCTCAACCTTTCCAATGGTGGTGAACAGCTCAACCAGATCATCGTTGCTGGTGGACCAGGGCAACTGGCTGTTGTTAGCAAACACATAATGTTGGGGGATGCTGGACAAAGCCTTACATTGCGGACGTAGATGATCTCGCCTCTGTCGGTGCCAGCGGTAGCAAAGTCAGTGAAGGGGTTGGGAGGGATGGAGCTGGCAGGGGGCTCGAAACCGGGGCCGGCAGGCGCACCTCCACCGAAGCCTCCACGGCCTCCAAAGCCTCCACCAAATCCTCCGCGTCCTCCTCCGAAGCCACCTCGGCCACCGAATCCTTGGCCAAATCCTCCGCGCATACCGCCACCGCCAAAGCCACCTCGGCCACCGAAGCCCATGCCAGGGCCGCCGCCGGCGTAGCGATCCTCGCGGACCTCGATCACGCGGCCTTGCCAGTCATAGCCGTTGAACTGCTGGATAGCGGTGCGAGCATCATCGGGGCTCTCAAAGACGACAATACCTGATCCTTTGGGGCGACCATCAGGGCCGACATGGACATCGGCTCGAATAACAGTGCCATTTCGAGCTGGAACAAATGTTAGAATGCGAACCCACCGTATAATGGGCTCAAACGGGGGTGAATAAATACATACCAGCTTGGCGGAACAAGTCCTTTAGATCCTGCCAGCCAATGTTGAATGGAAGCTATCACACGTCAACACTCATTCAGCACTTACACACAAACCAGGGTTGAACAAACGTTGGCCACATAAATCTGACGGCCGCCACCACCAGCACCGCCGCCGGGGGGGCCACCACCATATCCAGGGTTGAAATGGCCAGGCATGCCGCCTGCGCCACCTGCAAAGCCACCGCGGTTTCCGCCAGTAGCTCCGATGAACCGAGGCTCAGCTTCACGGTCCTGAGCTCTGTCAACTTGGTGCCCTCGATGGGGTTGCAATGAGTTGTTACTTACCTCACGCACGTAGACTAGGCGACCCATGAGATTCTGGTTGCTCAGCTGGGCAACAGCCGCTTGGGCTTGCTCCCGTGTAGCATATTCCACAATTCTGTAGATCGTTAGTATGTCGCAAGATAGACATGACAGAAGTCAACTTACCCGCATCCCTACAGTAAACCAAGGACAACGTCCCACCCGTCAACCCAACCATCCATAAATGCTAAGAGGGAATGAAGAACCACAAAGGAAAGCCAACCAAGGGAAAAGAAAAATCATGCGATGAAGCCCACCTTCGACATTCCATTGGGAAGCAAGAGCACGTCGGCAAAGAGCACCTCTCCAGCTAAACCATTTCGTCAGTCCCATGTATTCCACCTGCATTCCGCGGCGTTGAAAGCCTCACCCTGTCTCATGAAGTCCTTGAGATGGTGCCACTTGACATCGTACGAGAGATTGCCGACGTAGACTCGGCGGTCCTGTTGGGAGGATTCGCGAATGTTGTTCATCATTTGTTCTCGGGCGACGGCTCGTTCTTCGTATGATCGTTGAGGGGCCTGTGCACCGTATCCTGCACTTGGTCCTCCGCCTGGTGCACCTGTACTAGTCATGGGCGAACGATCACGGTTTCGTCGATAATCGTCCCGGCTTCCTGATCGGCTGCGGGGGGAGTAGGAGCGGCGTCGATGTGTCCTTTCAGCGCTTCTTGAACGTCTGCGGGGAGATCGTGACCTCTCGCGCTTGTGAGCGTTAGCAGGAAGAAGTACAAGCGATGCCATGTCCAAGCTTGATTGCGTTGAGAAAATGCGAGGTGCTATTGCTGTGCCGCGAGGGGTATTGTGAACTGAAATGCTTCGGCTAAGGTGAAGTTGCGCGCAACCGAGCTTTGATTCACTGCCCGGCCAGCACCGTCACTGTCAAACGGCACTGCCAGGCACTGCCATTTATTATAAGTGCCCTTGAGCAAATGGAAGGAAAGGAGCAGTCAGAGCGCATCGCGAGGAACGATCTCGGGTCAACGGAGCTCCTTCCAGATATCCAGATTGCGATCGGGGTCCTCAAAGAGCGGGGAGCAACTGCCAGAATCGGCGACTAAAGCTGATAACACATTCAGGCGCGGAGGGGCGCACGAGCTCGGGATGGCAACAGCGCAATTGCGCATGCGTGAAGGCATTTTCAACAAGCAGATACAGTTGACTGGCAGGGCTGGGGAGAGCTTTAAACGGATTGTGTTTACTTACGGGTCGATAAGTATCACCGGAGTCAGCTATAGAAAGGTGAGCGTCAGAATATATCAAGTCAAGAAAGGATAAAACCTCTACGAAAGATGCGCAACAACGGGGGGAAGGTGAGAAAGAGGAAGAGTGGTTGAAATAGCAGGGAGTGAGGGTAGGTAGCTTGGTTGAGGTAGGCGGCAGAGAGGTTGACCTCTGTCTAGTGGAGGGGTGGTGGGTGGCAGAGTCGGGTGGCCAGTGGACCTTGGCGGGAGATGCAGGTAAGGGGGTTCGATAATGCAATGCAATGGATGGGGAAGGACGACGCGAGAAAGAAGAAGCGGCTGGAAGAGCTTTGTTGTAGTGGAATGGGGAATTTCCGAGGCTGCATCAGAGCAATAGGTGGTATCACATTGATTAATCAGGACACTCCAAGGAGTGGGAGCGCATGCGCGGATATAACACAATGCAAGACACAGCAGCAGCAATGGACAGTCTTGAGGCAGACTCAAGATCTGCTGTGTTCAGGCTCTCCAGACAACGAACGAAGCTCAGATCATGGGTTGAATTGGGGTCAATCAAGGTGATGAATGGATAGGCTGGGGCAGGGCGACTACAGGTAGAGCCGCCGAGTCTCGAGGAACCATTGGGAATGACAATAGGGTACTGCAGAGTCGAGACGACAAGGAAACGGCACACACGTTGCTTCGATGGATGCAAAGGCGCGTGTGTCTAGGCGAGCCATGACGGCACGAGAAGCAGCCGTCGCCGCCCATGATGGGAAATCAAGACGTGAGGAATCAAGCAGAAGATATCATCAACTTACCCATTGTGACTTTGTGGTCTGATCGCGTGCGTAGTACGTCTGGACGTACAGAAAGAAACCTCTTTTTTGGTTGGGGGTGGGTGGTGGCCTTGTCGCGTAATAAGGTAAGGTAGGTAGGTATTGAGTGACGGGTGCGAGTTCGGACAACAAACGAACGGGCGCGACCGGTTTCTAGGAGAGGTAGGTCGTGGCGGAGGGGAGCGGAGACGGGCCGTAGGTGTCCACGTTTCGTAGTGGAATATTAGTCGGCGAGGTGAGCGATCGATGAACGAGGATAGGTAGTTATGGGGGTAGCAAGTAGGTAGGCTAAATTACCAGGCCAGAACAAGACGGTTGGTCAGGTCAATCAAGGCAATGGCGATTGTCGCATAAAAATGCAAGCACCAGTGTCTGCAGCACACGAATGGAATCACACAGCTCGTGGCCTGGACTGGGCTTGGGTTTGGCTTGGCTGAAAAAGGCCTCGGCGTGCGGCGTGGTGGTACTAGATACCAGCTTCTGGGAGCGGATTGGTTTTGGTGGTTGACGTTTTTTTTTCTTTCACCTGGAATGGAAGGGTATCAAGCTCTGGCGCTTTCAAGGGGTTCGAAGAGACAATAGCGATACGTAGGAGGACGGCGGAAGGACGGCGAGGGTGGCTTCTGGTGTCTGTGGCTCTTTAGTGCTGACTTTCAAGGTTCTTTCTCCTCCCTCGTCTTGTGTCGTAAAAAGAAAAGAACGCGTTGGACGAGAGATGAGAAGAGACCAGGCGACGAATGAGAACACTAGGCAGGGGTAAGACCAGGGACTGTGGACGTGTAAGGGTCCACTCTGAAGCTACCAGATATGAGCATGATAACACGAGGTACCGTGAAAGTTACGTTGGAATCTTGCCGTATGCGGTACAACGTTTGAGGACAGAGGTACAACTGCGTGGGTCGATAATTTTGTCTCCAATTCCATCTCACTGTGGTCTTCGTGTAAGTCGCTTAGACCTCCTGCAAGTATAAAGGGAGAGTGTTTGTTGCCCATCGTAGGACTTAGATTTATACTTGAGCCTCAGGGGAAGACCTATCTCCTTCCTGCCTTTGTACTTCAACCCAGAAGAGCCTTCAAAAGACGTAAATTGCCCGTGTTCAAAATCCATCATAGTTACACTTACAGCTACAGTCTTCTTCTCACAAAATCATATGCTTTTTAAGCACATCTTGCAACTTTAAACCCATGGTTCCATATTCTTACTGAACCTCGCATGGGAAATAGGCCTTACAACCTCACAGCCTGGAGCGCCCTATATTGACCACAACCCAATCTTATTCTGACTTTGTATCATGGGGAACAATTCGGCAATAATGTCAAGGTGAGTGATGAACTTCGGCTCAATAACAGGCGGCTCCTAGCTCTGCAAGGTGCTAGAAGTGGCCTGGTATTAGTGCAGGTAATTATCCTGGCCTGCATGCGTGCCTACGTGCCTCCAGGGTTCATACGTTTGTATTACAACATCCAGAGACATCGCCGCGCTCATTGAGTTCCGTTTACCCATGGCTCAGCATTGGTGATCGATATTGTATTGATGCCAGGTTTCAGCATCCAGCCCAACGGTGAGCTAAAGAACCCATTGGGCTGTGTTTGCAGCACCTGCTGGGCCAAGGAACCGTTTGCACTAGGACTGGCTAGCACCAGGAACAAGCAGGTGTGCTTGCAGCATCAAGGGTCTGTTGCGTTATGGGACCTGGGTCGTCGTCGACTTCAAGCTCTTCAGTCGATCTGCAGAGCAAATCCAAGTCCCACAGTCTCTCTTCCACCACATCCAGTCTTCAGATTGGCTCGTACAAGATCATGGGATTTGACAGCAGGCTGAATTAGAGCCAACAGTTTTCCGCACATACAATAGCTGCCAAGCCAAGATTCACATTACATATCCCCGCATGGCGGCGTCTAACCTCATCAACTCACATTTACACTCACTCACCCGTGAGCTTATTCATCTCATCACCCTCGGTATCACTACCATTCAACCCACATAACCTTGCAGGGCACCAGAGAATTTGCTTCCTTGTTGAACAGTTCACCAAGTGCGTTTCGAAACTGTGTCTACTTTCCTCGTAAGTCGAGCATGGACTGCACAGCTGAGCTTACATGATGGAGACTGCGATTGGCTTGTGTAACGCCTGCCTTGGTTTCTTACAGAAGCACTCGTTGTTACACGACAGCCATCGCTTGAGGTTGCGGCAGAAGCCAGCCAATGGCACCCTCTCCAACCTTGGTCAGCCCCTCCAGTACACTGCGGATCAGGGTTGCTAGTTGTTTTGTCTCGTCACATCTCCAGCCAAGCTTGACATGCCCACTAACTTAGCCCATCAAGCAGTAGTGAACTTTCCGACATGCCGTGTTCACGGGGCATTGCATCCTTGCTCTGGGGGGTAAAGCTTTGTGGATGTTCATGGTTGGTTTCATTGACTTTGACAGCACCAATGATAGGCACCAAAGTATTGAAGGATCATGGCAAGACATGTTGTTGCATAGCGTCAACAAGAGGCGCAGATTGACAGTGAAACGACCGTTATATTGGAAGTACCCCAAATTCCTTTATTGGTACCACTACAGCACATACTCTACCGCATTCAGAACATGATCTTTAAAGAAAGGCCCAACCATCAAGGTAATACCGGCCAACCCCTGGCGATGCATCTAACGACGCTCAGGCCGTTAGCAGCATCCTTTGTGGAGAAACCACGCACTTCAGCTATCCATGATCTTTGCCTTGTTGCCTAGAACAGCAGGAGGATGGAAAAGCTGCAGGGGGAAGCAGGAAATACCACAATGAGGGCAGACTTGTGCTCCTTCAGGATTATAGGATGTAATAAACTTGCCATTTAAATATCTGAGGCTGTAACCTAGAGACGAAGCAATATTTTATGTATATTGAAGTCGATAGTAACACTGGTAGGAGGTAAGATCTGGGATGTTGTCCGTCCTGGAACACCGTGGGCGGATTCACACTAACAATAGAAGTTCTTATCTAACGTGGTATGCTTATAAGCGACATACCCGAGGTTAGTTTCTGAAATGCAGGAAAGACAACTAGAAGCACGACATTTTACCGTAGCTTTGCGATCGACGATCTGTTAGGCGTTTGGGCCGATCCTATCAGAATTACAATTACAACGGTCTCCTAAACCAGCAGGGCTATATAAACAGTACTGCCTTGCTCGAAGCCATTCACCTGCCTGATTCACTGTCTTCCTGCTCATCATACTTAGCATAGGTACCCATCGTGTATAATGTGAGCGCAAATCAGTATCGCAATATCACGAAAGCAGACTCATCACACTGCATGAGGCATTTTCAGTTGACCCGTTTCACGAGACTGTAGCTTTACTGTAGCTAGGTGCAACTCAGTTGAACCTACTGTACCTTAGTAGTAAGTAATTACCACTCTGTAGACTACCTAGGTACCTTGCACTAACTGTCAGTTTAGGTGCCTAAATACCTGCCTTACATCTGCCGATCCCGTGCAGTGGAGGGGGCGGAATGAAAAGCGCCGTCGTGGTCTACAGATTCCGGGAGTGGCCCGAGCTCCTCCGATGTGTCCCACCCCGGGGACTTCCCATCCCTCCCATTGGGGGAAGGCTAGCTAGCATCTAGAACAAATCGCAAACGTCAACTCCAAAAAAACGGACCACCTGAGTGTGAAGCAGCATTTCTAAGCTGGTATCACTATCAAGACCCAGTAGTTCTTCGGCATGTCAGCGTCTGCTCGAGTTCTTCCAAGAGCATCAGCCTTGCGCGCCGCGAGCTCAAGGCTGACCTCGGGTCTTGTCCGCCGACCCTTCCACTCATACGATCATCCACCACCCCCGGGAGCGTTTGGCGATGCGGAAAAGACCATCCTCGCTGCTGCCTACAAGCATGTGCCTGAACATGGATTCTCACAGAAGGCTCTCGGTTGCGGTGCGAGGGATGCGGGTTACCTTGATATAAGTGCGAGCGTCATTTCCGACGGTGCCTTTGGCCTAATCCGATACCACCTTGTTACCCAGCGCGAGGCTCTGGCTGCTCGAAGTCAACAATTATTCACCGATACCGATAAGCCTGGAGTTTCGTCCAGGGTGGAAGCACTGGTATGGGAACGACTTATGGGTAACAAGGTGGCTCTTGGCCGCTGGCAAGAGGTAGGAGGCATACCAAGCCCCTTCACGATATATGAATACTTATAGTTCTGCTTCCTAGGCATTGGCCGTCATGGCCCAGCCCAGCTATGTTCCCGAATCTTTAAAAGAGCTCGCCAAGCTCTCTGACGAGATCTGGTACCTTGCTGGCGACAAGGCCGTCGATCCCTCCTGGTACACCAAACGCGCCACCCTCTCCATGATTTACAGTACGAGCGAGCTCTTTATGACTAATGACCGATCGCCCGATTTTGTTGAGACGAGGCAGTTCCTTCAGCGAAGACTAGGCGAAGTTAAGACAGTTGGTGGTATGGTGGGAGCGTTTGGTCAATGGGCTGGTTACACCCTTAACGCCGGCGTAAATATACTTAGAAGCAAGGGTGTCAGGGTTTGAAGAGGCATGATATTTACATGTCATCCGAACGAAGGAGCTGGTTGTAAAATATTGTATGAGTCGTGTATACCATTGTCTATGAATATAGAAGCCTTGGCAGGCGTCCGTTGTAATGACATCCGTTGTTTAATCCCGTACAAAAACAATTCCTACAATGATTTCAGGTATCACACATGATTAACTCCACTATGTCCCAGTGCTCGCTTTCGTATGTCGACCCTATCAACACCGAGCTGATGTTCCGTGTTCGCGCCCAAACTCCTAGAAGATATTGAGTACAAATCTTACTGGAAAGTTTCGAGTGTCCGTTGTCGAGGATCCGTTAGCCTATAAAAACATCGTTAGCAACTCGATACTACGCCAGGTCTTGGAATAGAACTAACCGAATGATCTTCACATCCTTGTCTAGCCGTGCCCGGCCTTCAATGGCATTAGGGGTAATAAGAATATACTGTCGCGAGACTGATCGACGAGCAGCATCAACCTTAGAAGCACACATGTTAGTGTCTGTGTCCATATGTTATTTCAATGCATTGGTTACTTACCAGCATATTTGTACTAATTGCACGGTTCACATTGTCCATGAATACATCAAACTCATCCAAACATCGAATGGGCGAGCCAATTGCCTCCCAAACTGATAGCAGCATACAAATAGACGAAAAGGATTTCTCGCCACCTGAGAGAGTCTTGGTGTTTCTACCAGCGGAGCTTTTACGCGTCTCGTCTGGCTCAATCTGAAGAACAACCTTGCGGTGCTTGTGGTCTAAGTCAATCTTGCCTCGGAAGCCTCGCTCGCTCAAGAGGTAGTTGAACTGAATACGGATACGCGCACTGATCTGCCGTTGGAACTGGCGCCAGAGATGTAGACGGCTCTCGATGGCACGCTTGAGAGACGCGATAGTGTCATCAACATCCCTGGTCTGTCTCATAACATCTTCGTATCGTTCGCGGGCCTCGGTGGCACGGTCGTATATTTGTTGGTCTGTTGCACCGAGACGTGCCTCTCTTTGCTTCAGTTGCTCCCTGATTTTGGTGTACTTCAACTCAATGCTACTGTGTGTCTCCTCGTCTGGGATATGAACACGCTCCGGTGCGGTCTCTTTGGCCTGTTCTGTGAAGTCGGCAACTTCAACGGCTTGTCGATCCCTCTTTTCCTCAGCGCGTCGACGTTCGTTTTTGGCGATGTCAACACTCTCGAAGGCGTCGTTCTTCTTCGCAAGAGCTACTCGCCTCATGTTCTCGACAATAGCAATCTTCTCGGAAACCTTATTTATCCGGCCTTGAAAGTCATCCCTATCATTCTTCTCTTCTTCCAATCTCACCCGGGCTAGATCAGTCTTGGATTTAAGATCTCGTCTTGCTACTACCATTTCGCCATACTGTCTTCCAAGTTGATGCTCCTCATTTTGCCTCGACTCGAGCTCAGCTCGAAGAAGATTAAGTCGATCATCAACGCCTTCAAACGCATCTAATTCCATTTGAATACGCTCGACCTCGGCCTGCGTCCTACGAATGTCGCCCTCTAATCTCTTGGTATCCTTCCGCTGGCCGTCGAGCTCTGATCTGCATCGCTGAACCGCCTGTTGTGCCTGGCGCTCGTCGCGGCTGATCTCGGCCATCTCTTGTCCCAGGTGGTTGAGATTTTCTTCTTGAATTCGAACTTGTTGGGCGGCATCTGTTTGCATCCTAGCGCGCATTGTGTACGGTTGAACAGGGCTTGTTCCAACAGAGCCATTTCGATTGGTGAGTCGAAGACCCCAACCTCGCTTTCCCCTTCCATCGTGGAAACAGAGACAAGCACCCACGTTACGCGGAGGGACGCTTTCGACCATCACTCTCTCAGCCTCGACTCGATCGCGAATGAGGATGATCTTCTCGATCTGGTTACTGATGATGAGTTGAGATCTGACAACGTCGTCATCAAATTGAAGGACTCGAAGGATGGTATCGAACGCAGGATCAGGCTCCTGACTGCTTGTGTCGATTCTACCACCATAAGCAATGTAAATTGGGGGCTGCTTCTTGAGCCTGAATCGGCGCATCAAATTGGAGAGCTTCGTTTGGTCCGATTTACTCCGGACAACAAATGCATTGAGTCCCTCGCCGAGAGTTCTCTCCAGTATACCAGACCATTCTGGTTTAGACAGCCGAATATAAGCCCCGATGGGCCCGACAGGTTTCTGCTCCCATCCATTCTCATTCTCAATGGCCTTAATAACATCCTTGATTTCCCTGTCGTAGCCGTCAAAACGGCCTCCAGATGCCCCCTTGAGTTCTCTGACCTGTTGCTCAACGGAGACAATCTCTTTACGTTTGAGTTCTTTGCTTTGCGAAAGTTTCTTGTAGCGTTGTTCGGCCTCGCCAAGTCGACTTTGAAGTTCAGGAAAGCTGTTCTGTAACTGTTCCATCTGTTCCCTCAGTAGCTTTTCCTTCTTTCGTGCAAGATCAAGCTCGTTATCCTTCTGGGCCCTTGCGTTCCCAGTTGACTCACTCAGTCGACGTTCTTCCTCCTCGATCTTCTGTTGGCAGGCCTTCATATCATCCTTGACTGTTTTTAAACGTTGGTGGGCATCTCGCTCTTCCATAAGCAACTCAGACTCGCCTTTCTGTGCTTGTCGATGTACTTCAGTCGCCTTAGCAATCCGTTCGTCGAATGACTTTCTATCTTGTTCGAGTGTTTCTTTTGTCTGACGAACACTTTCAAGCTTCTCTTCCACTTTGGCAAGATCCTGTGTCGTCGTATCACAGTATATCTCCGTATCTGCAATGGTTTGTATCCGTCTAGCAATGTCTGTTTCATGCTCTTCGAGGATCCGTTCCTGTTCCACGACTTGAGACCAGACTAATTGATTGATGAGATGTCGTCCCTTTTCGCGAAGGTTCTTGTTCTTCGCCGCAGTGTCCGCAAGACGACGAGCCGCTTCCATCTCTTTCTTAACCGCGTCAATCTTTGAATTGAGATCGTCCCTAAGCAGAAGCGTCTTGTCAAGTGTGTCCTGTGACATCTTGTAGTCGTTGTCAAGTTGTTCCAGCTGCACGCCAGAGACGAAATATTTATACTTTTGGGCCGGCGTTGCCGCATTGAGGAACTGCCGCGCATTGTCCTGTGACAGAACTGTTAGGGGGTTGCCGATCTGTAGTGCGTACCATTCTGAGATTTCTTCCACCTCCTGCTTCTTGGTTGATATGATCCTGCCCATAGCACTCTTAATCTTAAATCCACTGCTACCCGTCTTGGAGAAATGACGTTCGACAATGATGGTTTCGCCATAGATGTCGGGCTGGTAAGCGTCTGAACCAGCATTCTTGATCTTGACGACCAGGCTACCATGATCGCATCCCTCTTTAACAAATGATTTTAGGCTTCCTCCTCGGTTTGTGTCACTGGCCTTGCCACCCAGACAGAGAGTCAAGGCAGTAAGGACAGCACTCTTTCCACTTCCATTCTCTCCCACAATAAAGTTGATGAGTGGACCTAGATCGACGTGCAATCGCTCGTGGCACATGAAGTTGAAACAAGTTATACTCTCGATAATGCCACTCTCGGACACCATATTGTTACCGAGACTTGTCCCGCGCTGCGCCAGCTTCTGTGTCGCTTGTTGGTCATCCCAGTCAGTGTGCTCGAGATGTCTGAAGCCATTATCTCGCATGAGTTCATATTGTGTTTGCGGTGGCGCATTCGTTTCTCGGCGGTCTTCGTCGTCTTCGTCTTCGTCTGCGGAGCTTGGTGTGACTTCTCTCTGAGGTGTAGGCTCTATCATTCGGTCGTCGTCGACAGCAACCCTGGCACGCTTTCTCTGCGATGGTACGTCAGTCGAGGTACTAGATCACTTATGTTTATACTGCATTTACCCCATCGTCTCTTCCCAGATTTGATCGCGCCTGTTGTACGCTGACACCATCGTCATCGTCGTCTTGCTCGGCGTCTCGTCGCGATCGTTTGGCTGGTGCCATAGTTGCGATGCGCACGGCCTTACAATATCGCAACCGACAGGTATATGGTATACGGCTTCTTCGCAGGAGACTTATTCTGATGTAGTTTATAATGTGTTTCAGTTCATGAGATGTCGAGAGATGAAGATGGCATCAGCATCTATCAAGAGAGAAAAGATAGACGATCAGACAATGAATAATGAGGGCAGTTGATTCTTAGGGACCTTCCCACTATACGCGACAGTGGACGTGACGAGCGTGTTATTAAAGTGGGGGTCTCTTTGTTCATATTCACGCTTGGCCCGTATAGGACTAGCTCAATTATATCGTAAATGAGACAAAACTCTAGCCAGTGTCAGTCGAAGCAGCTTACCCGGTAGCTGCCATGCTTGTAAAATCACAACCTCAACAACTCTCCCTTGACAACTCAGCTATTCAACAAATCTGTGTTTCGATTTGAACAATTACCATGTCTTTCAGATCGCCTATTATAGAGGAAGAGGAAGAGTTTGAAGAAACAGGCGGAACAGAAGAATCAGGTTCTAAAAATCAGCTACCTGATAACTGTGTCGAATATCTTCTGTTTTTTCTGGATTCTCAACATGATGCCCGGAAGCAGCTTTCACAAATCGAGAAAATCCGAAAAGCAGGCGCAGAACTCGCCACCTCTCTGACAAAGGATTATATATGGCAAAAAGATGACTTCAACCTCAACTTAAAAAATGAACATGGTGAGCTCTGGACTTGGTTACTATCAGTGTGTTTGTGATCTGCTAATACAGCTCATAGGCCTGGTGTACCTCCACGGCATCACGGACTACAGCGATGCTGTAGAAGATGAGTGGCTGATTGTTTATATTCTGAGAGAACTATCCAAGTTGCACGCAAACCTCTGGATTCGGGTTTTTGATACAGACGGCGAGTTCCTTCTCGTTGAAGCCGCCAATGTGCTACCAAGATGGCTGAGCCCAGAAATTGACAACAATCGGTCATGGATCAACAAGGGAAACCTACTTCTTATCCCAGTGAAGGATGAGGTCGGTCTGAGGTCTCGGAACCTCGAGCTGCCGGAGGCAGTTGAGGCCATCAAGACGAAACGCAATGCCCTCGTTCACTCGGGATTTGTTGAAGCCGAAGCCTTTTACAGACTGGAAAAGTACCCAGCACAGATTGATGAATCCATTCACCACTCTCTGGCCACGATACCCAGGAAACTGGCATATGTTCTACGCTCGCTGCCTAAATCAGTTGCACCAGCGGTCGAAACGTTCTACCTTCGAGACCCAATTGCTCTGAAACGTATCATCTCACCACCTGGACGGTCAACATTCCCACCAGAAGACCTCATCACTACCTCTGTTCGGTTCAGCAAAGTCCTTTTCGCCCAACTATGGTCCCAGCGATTCGATACCCCGCCGACCTGGAGTGATGTACTTCGAAAAGCACAAAACGAAGCATCCTCAAGCGAGGCCGATAAGACCATGGCGAGGTTGGATATTGGAATGAAGCTAACATGTGGATTTGAAATGTTGTCTGCAAAATCTGAAAAAAGTAAAAGCAGAGTTGTGCGTGAGCTTGCCATTGTCCTCGAGGATCTGGAAGAGGATGGAAACGAGGCCCTTCCTTCAGACGAAGAGATCAAGACATGGAAAGATGCCAACCGCGATGACAGTGAAGCATGGATGGACATCAACTACCAAGACTTTGAGAAAGAACTAGAGGGCAAGGGGAGAAATGCTTCCTTCAGCACGAAATCAGGTTTTGGTGACACAAATACACAATCTGACCTTCGTAAGATTGTGTCTCGTTTCGAAGCATTCTTGAACGATGATACCGCTGGAATGGACGGCGCAGAACTTGACGAAATGGACTATGACGATGACGGCGATGACGATGACGAGTTTGACGATGATAGTGAGTCAGAAGACAAGGAGGTCAGCTTTGACGAAGAGGAATTCGCCAAGATGATGAGAGAGATGATGGGCCTACCATCCACAGCCTCAAGCACAAACACAACCAGCAAGGCTACAGACAAACCCAAACCCCATGTTATAAACGAAGAAGACGAAGAGATCCAGAAGCTCACCACGGAGTTTGAAGCAGAACTCAACGAGCATGGCGCTCTTAAGCTTGACCCTGTCGACAAGCAGCCTCGTCTGAAGAACACAAGCCAAAAAGAGGGAGAGAGCAGCCTTCCAGACATCGAGGAAGAAGGAGAAGAGGACAGCGAGGAAGAAATTGACATCGATTACAACCTGGCAAAAAATCTGCTAGAGAGTTTCAAGAGTCAGGCGGGTATGGCCGGGCCGACAGGGAATTTGTTGGGTATGATGGGCTTTCAACTGCCCCGGGACGAGGATGATGAGAATACCAAGGATGAGGACGAGGAGGATGGCACGTCGACGAAAGGAAAATGAAAGGGAAAGGCACGAGCATAATATGCCAAATGGTTATTACGGTTAATAAAATCACCACGAGAGAGAGAATTGATTTATGGAGAACATTTTACGTGTATATTGACTCTCGAGTAAAGCAACTCGTTGTATGTATCTATTCGTGTACTATTACACCCAAGCCAACAGCATAATGAGCTTCCGGCCTGGGAAATATGGTCATATCTCATCAAGGTTCGCTATCCTCGTCACTCTCTTGACCAGAACGCGGCCTTTTAGCAGGCGACATCTCACCACCCATGCGTCTGCGTCGTGGCTGGCCCCTGTCATCAAGCTCTTCCAGCTGAGACAGCACGTTTCCGAGATGCTTCCGCGCCGCAAGTTCCCGCCTGCTACTGTCGTTTTGCGGCCTGTAATACTCTCCCACCAGAGAGACCACCGCGTGGTAGAGCTCGTATAACAGCGTGCGGATGTGTGCGTTCTCTCGGTCCTCGATGATGTCAGCCGGTGCTGCTTCGTGTCCTGGCAGCGGTTTGTCAAAGCCTCGCCAAAAGTCCTCTGATGGCCGTGGTCGTTTGCTGAAGACTGTTGCCATGAGAGGATCGCCGAACAAACAGTGGCTCCATTGTCGTAAACCAGTTACTTCAATGTTGCTCATAGTAGACTCATTCCCAATGAAGAAATCTTCTCTTTTGATGGTATCGTTCTGGATGACTATCCTGTAGTCAGGCCGCCCTCTCCCATAATCTGATCTCTTTGAAGTTCTCAATGATGATTTGGGCCGTATTGGAACACCGATTGATTCCTCAGCAGGCGCATTTGGTTCCCTCCCAGTTTCGCATGACCGATGTATCAATGTATTCGAGTCCTCTCCCGCATCCAGAACAACCAGGCGAGGTTTTGTCACTGCATCAAGCAGATGCTCGAAGCGCTCAAATTGGTATCGGATATTTCTGTAGTTGAACATGATAGTCAAGTCCTCACCATCTCGAAGGACGGATTCCAATAGGCTATGGAACGCTATCCTCCATGAGTCGGCACCTTTTGAATCGCTCAAGCTTCCCTCAAAGCGTCGTGGCGGGTGGTGGACAACTGAGGGAGGGACCGAGAGTACATCGGCAGCAATGCCAAACCTCCTCGTTGGTGAAACTTGACAAGATATCCGGCGGAGAAGTCGCCCAGTCTGGACGTCCGCCGCCTTCCGCTCACTTGAGCTTAGGGATTTAGTTAGAGTGGATATAGGTGTACCTCGTGACGGTCGGATGAGGTTATATTCCACAGGTAACATACCACCAAGAGACTCATGACGAACAAGAGTAGGTAGATATCCAGTCAGTAACTCGACAGTGGCCTCACTCCCTAACATAGTCCTGGTTGTCCTGTTTATGGGTTCTTTGATTCCAGAGTCCGAACACACCTTTATCTCTCTAGCAACAGCAGACAGCCACTTCAACACAGCAGCTTCAGAACCTAGCGTTGACTTCTCAGCACGCAGTAGGCGGATAACTGCAGGTGGAGGTAAAGCAAAAAGAAGATTTGGGCCCTCAGTGACCGTGACATTATAAAGACGTTGCAGGCGAGCCGAAGGGATGACTTGGAGCTCCTTGACTGATAGACAAGGGCTGATGCCACTAAGGAGTGAGAGGACAGAACTCTCTGGCGGAACAACCGCCATAGGAGTGAGAGTTGAGGTAGAAGTAGAAGTAGAGGAGGAGACGTTTGAGAGCGATTCAGTAGCGGCCAAGTTTCGGGCCGAACGGGGGATATTGTCATGTACAAGGTTGCAGCTTTTTTGCGCAACACAGTGGCTCAGGAGGGGCAGACTGCCGTCGTCCCGAAGGGTGCATTGGTACGACGCTCGAGTCATAGGGGGAAGGGTTATATATATGTAGGTAGATGTGGTAAACGGGTGGTTACGGTTGAGGTGGATATACAGAACAGTGGCTGCTGTATGTACAAAGGTGTTAAGAGAACGGGGGAAGTCGTAGTCGTCCGGGGAGATTGATCGGCTTTTGGTTGATGGGTGGGATATGAGAGTAATCGAGGATGAATTGTAACATGAGATGGACAAAGATGTTGGTAATTGAGGTATCAAGTGTAGGATGTATCTCGACGATGACTATTCTTTGTCACTCTGTTGAGAAGCAGTTAAGTAAGAAGGACGATAGACGAGACTGTTCTGCAACTCTCAAAGGATATAGAGAAGATATATTGAGAGATAAAGTGATTAAAATAGAAGAGCAAGGTGAGTTGAGTTAGTGTAGGACCCAATGTAGTAGTTATTAGCTTCCGCAACAGGGCAGATAAACTCGCCTTCTCGAACGCCTCGTGCGTATTCGAGAGGAAGCAATGCAAGATCAAATTAGACCCGGGCAAGTAAGCAAGCAAGCAAGCAAAAGCCAAACAAGTTAAGAAGAAATAGAGACAACCCCTCAAAGCTCAAGGGGGTTTAACGAGATGGATTAAAGTTAGACAACGTTTCGCCCCCAGCATACACTCTCGGACCCGAGAGAGGGACCAAGCAGGCAGACATGTTATTACTGCAGCTACCGTATGCATGCATGAATGAATGAATGCAAGGATGAATGAATAGATATCTACCTGGATAGATAGTAGCGAGTGTGCCAGCTGATGCTGCGTAGTGCGTAGAGCGTAGAGCATAGTAGAACGCGGAATGGGGGCAGGGATGGATGAATGCCACCGCTTGTCAGCGAAAGAAAAAGAAGCGAGAATTATGGAAATCGAACGCAATACCCAGAGAGGGATTGGTTAGTAGCCTGTAACTGGGTTCTCAGTTCTTCTAACTAAAAAGGGTCCACGCTCACGAAAAGTGCGGAATAGAGAACCGAGCAGATGGAGGGACGGGGAGACGGGGGGACGGGGGGTGTAAGCCGCATGTAAATGGTCAACGTAGCGAGCGAAAGGGGGGGGAAAGGGACTGACTTTGAAAGTGCACATACGTTATTGTTGGTTACTGGTCGATTGTAATGGATACAGCGACAAGGGAACTTTTGTTTTTGTTTCGTTGTATTCAGCGGTCAAGTAGACTTGTAATTAAAACAAATAGCGGAATCAGGAATCAGAATCATGCACAAGAGCTTTGAGGGGGTAAGTGGCTGAGCTTAGAATGTGCTAAGCTTGAAGATGTGAGGTGAGATGACCCCAAAGCTGAACTCACTGCTAAGATGGAACTAACGAATATAATAATAATAAAAGATATTATTTGTTTACAGAGAGGGAGCACAAGAAATGGCAACAGCTGTAGGGATCCCCAACGTCAGCCTTTGACTGTAAGTTTGATAGTCCCTACCGGAACGGTGTAGCCGAAGGACAGACAGACAGACAGACAGACAGTCATGGAGTTCTGGGGGTTAGCGAAAGAAAAAGAGACCAAGTGAAGTGAAGCGAAGCGGAATGAAACGAAACCAAGCAAAGCAGTAAGCGAAGGTTCATACGCATCCGTAGACACAAGGGATGTTGTCTTGTTACCGAGTAGACAAACGCCCGCAGCTTTAGTCCCAAGCCTCTTTTTTGTTTCTTACCCCCTCTCCCTTGACAGTTGACACGAAGAAGAGCAGGACGGAATAGGGCCGGTAGACTAGACGAAGAAGCAGAAGCAGAAGAAGAAGAATTGGAAGTATAGAAGCGCTGCCTGACACACTTCCATGGTTCCATGGTTGAGTTGAATGCAACCGTGATCAAAGTCGCATCGCAAAAGGACCCTGTGAGTTAAGTTTACGTGGTATCTGTAGGAATTAGCATTATATCGCATCGCATCACATCGCATTCTCACTAGCCTCGCAGCAAGATATGCGGTTCGGAACGAGTACCGCACCGCACCGCCCAGCCAATAAGGTCCGAGCTTTGATTGCATTGCACTACAATAAAGGGACCACAGGGCTGGGACTACCTATACTAATCAAGGAGTCTACGTATATGTTGTTCAGTACAGTGCTTTATGCCCTAATCTAGATACAAAATTTTGAACCTGGTGATATCCATTCGACAATTCTTCACAATTCTACTTCTCCAATTACCTCTCTACTCCATACGTTGTTTTAAAGAATTCAAAACTTCAACTGGCCGCGGAATATTAGGCTCTAGATGACGATCCTTGGATGCCATTAGCGTGCTTCCAGAAGCGAGTCGGGAAATTTATCATTGGTCAATTTAAGCGAAGCCTGCCTTGGGTCGCATTCCGCTAAAGCTCTAACCCAAACAGCCCCTGTCTAGTTTGGCCTAGCCTGGTCTAGCCTACTAGCATGGCCTGGGTCTTGTCTGGTCATGTTCATCTCTTCTCGATTCTCCCATCGAGGTTTGCAGGCTCCAATTGATGGAATATGCACTGATTATATATTCCGCTGTCATAGTTACTTTTCCCAAAACACTAAAGTTCCAAGATCTAACTATCTTCAGCCACTCCCGGCTTAGTTACCATTCGTGATGTGACCGGGTAAAAGGGCAGACTCCTTGCCCCGTAACTTCGGGTCCGAAATCATCATCACACACATACACACACACTCTCTCTGCTGGTAACATACGAGGGCCTTAATACCTCTTCTCGTGCTCTATCGGTGTGCGTATATACACGCACACGCACGCATGCATGCAAATCATGACCCCCCCAAAAAAAACACCTCGTACTTATCTTCCTTTGTCAAAGCATCCCATCCCATCCCATCCATCATCTTAACAAACTCGGTCTCGCACCGCTATTTCAGCCTTACAGCTCGTTCCACATCCCTTGTGCAACAAAGACGTTACTGCCCAAAGTTTATATTGCCCTTCTCCTGAGTCGAGCGCCAAACTTACATCGAGCTCGATCTGAGTCCTGAGGTACAATCAAAGCAAAGGGAGAGTATACAGCCATTATCCATACATAAAATTTGTCATAACGGTCGACTAAGAGATGCTGAAACCTGAAATTGTGTTCTTTTCCGTCTTTCAGAAAGGCTCTGCAAGAGCCTGCTGTTCTATTCACCGATATATGCTCCTTCATGCAGATAATCACCCGACATCGATTCTCCGTGACCTTGTACAACCTTTCCGTCTCCTTGGAGACCGCAAAACCCTGCAGGTTGAGGGTTGCATTGTTCTATGCAGAGTTGTTACAAACCCCCCCATAACAACTACTACGTGGATGTATAGCCACCAGTATGAAGGTTGAAATCCCATCTCGGCGGGCAACTATGACACCCCTATAGTGCCGAGGGTAGTTTGATGGGTCTTGATGGTGAAACTCAACTGATCCTTCTCGAAAGAGACCCAATCGGTATTTGTTGTGTAGCCACAATGCCAAGCTCTCGTCTTGTCTGGAGTGCCTTGAGTGCCCAATGCTGGCCCTCAAACGACATGAAGAGAGCCGCCTCCGTACGCGAGTGGACTCAAGGTTTACGTTGACTTCAATTCCGCGGCCCCCTCGGCTGCGGGCTCGCTCTTCTTCTCTTCTAGAGCCACCTTGTACAGCTCGTTGAGGTTGTAACGCTTCAGCTCCTCACTCTCCTTGCCATCTACAACCGAGACTCCGCAGAATGTCTTGACGCTAGTTAGCTACATGACGCTCGCGATAGGTCCAATACGCGAGAAACGGGGGGGGGGGGGGGCTGCTTACCTGGAAAATCTCAACCAATACCACCTTATCGGGGCTCGTCAGGTTGACCTTGTGCTTGGGCTTGACCAGGTCTGCAATCTTCTTGATGACCTCGCTCGACTTGAAGGTGGTGTGATTACGGATGTTATACCTGATGGCGTACTGAAAAGAACATGGTCAGATTTTGAACAGCAACCCACCTGCAAATCAAATCTTTCACTTACCGTGCAGGGCGCAGATTCCTCGCCCTCCTCCTTCGAAGGAGCTTCCTCTGCGGCAGCGTCTTCTCCCGACTCGCTCTTGAGGTCAAAGTGCGGTCCCATCACAGTCCGAGCTACACGCTCGATACCCTTGTCGGTTGCCTTGTCTGTGTCAAATATGGGTGTCAAGCGGTTGATGTACTTGGTCTTGCGCTGCATCGGGTCCGGGCAGTCCTTGGCATCCTGAGAGACCTTGGCAACAAAGGTGAGAGGCTCAACAGGCTTGACCGTCTTCATGAAGAAAACACAGTCGAGGCCAGTTCCAATGGGCGTGAAGGTCTGCTTCGTCTTGGGCTTTGGCTGCTGCAGGCTGGCCAGTTCCTTCTCAATGGAAGCCTCGATATCTCGGGAATCACCATCCTCGTCCTCTCCGTCCTCCTTCGGGGGCTTCACCCCAAACAGTGACTCGCCGTACTAAAACAAGTTAGTTTATTCTTGCCATAGGGCCTGAACAGGTCTCGTGATGGATGGCATACCTCGTCGCAGAGGGACTTGAATTCTCTTATGGCCTTTCCCTTCATTCCTCTCGCGTAAGTCACCCAGATTCCGGCATCGTTGACCTCTAGAGTTCTTCCTAGCTCCATCTGCTCACTTTGCTTAGCTTTCTGGTGTGTTGTCTGCCATTTGCCAGCACTGCCTCCCTTTGTTGTATCGTCAGTTCAAATGATTCAGAGAAGCCATAAATGAGCTCATGAGGCCGATTGAGAGTTTTCTCGTTTACAATAGCTTGAATTTTGTGCTTACCTTGCTCTTCTTTGAGGTTGGGCCATTGCCACTGGGGCCCTGCTTTCTCTTACCGTCACTCATAACGATAAGTTTGTGCCCAATTGCTCTTATGTAACAAGATTGCGAATATATCGTTGTTCGCGCGATTTGGCTTGCTGCAGGATAAAGATGCAAGAGGGAGTCGTGAATGTTGACTTGAGTACCTGGAGCTAAAAGTCGTTGCGCGTGGAGAATTTTGTCGCAGGCGAATCACGTGTGTTGGTTGGAGAGGTGCTTTTTATAGTTGACGATTGAAAGAAAATTGAGCTTTTTGAATAAAACAGAAATGTACTAGATAAATTATAAAATCTACTTGGTAACATGATCGATCTTACATGAGGTTTTTATTCGAATAAAGTTGGTCGAGCAGCGCCGTAGACATGCATACATCTACGCTGGCCAACCTTGTCAATTCATTAAGCCTCCAAGTTCCATTTCGTTTTGACATGTTGCCAGAAACGTGACATCTCCAATCGAACTTGTAATTTAGACCACAAATATAACTCCAAGAACATCAATCAAGTCACGAAACAGAATGTTATGAGAAAATCGCTTTTCAATTTGAGGTACACAAAACATAAACCATCCATCGTCCACCAGTCTATAGTATAAACCACTTTAATCATTATTATTAGCCAAACAGGGACCCGACCTGATAAGCTGTTCACCAGGAACCTTGTACAAAAACCCCGTCTATCGAAAATTTCAGTTCAATAACCATCTAGTTCTTCTTGGCGTTGTTTCTAGCGCTGGCCTCGGCAGTCATGATCAGGGCGCGGGGAGCGTCTTCTCTGGGCATGTAGAGCTCGACGAATTGCAAGCAGTCAGCAGCGTTGAACTCCTTGTCGGTCATGAGAGCGTTGAGCTCAGACTTGGTCTTGATCTGGAAGGTCTTGCAGGTCTTCTCACCACCAAAGACGCTGACGAGATCCTTGAACTTCCAGTTGTTGATGTCGTTATAGACAGCATCCATACCGTGGATGAATCGCTCAATGGTGAAACCATCGTTGCAGATGACGAAGCTGGGAAGATAGTCAGTATGAGTCTAGTGGGTTGGGTTGGGTTGTGTTGAGAACTTACATTGTGGGCTTGAGCTTGTGTCGGATCATGGTGCTCAGTTCCTGAGCAGTCAATTGGAATGATCCATCACCAACAAAGAGGATTGTTCGACCTTCCTTGCCAGCATCCCTAGCAGCAAGAGCAGCACCCTGGCAAGCACCAACGGACCAGCCGATGCTGCCCCAGAGAACCTGGCTGAGAGCAGTGACGTTGCGAGGGAACTTAGTGTCCCAGATACCGAAGTTAGCGGTACCAGTCTCAGTGACGACGATGTCGTTGGGGATGAGGTATTCGCCAACGCGGGGCCAGAGCCAGGCCTGTGTGATGATCTCGGAGTCGTCGGTGTTCTTCTCAAGCTCGTTCCTGACCTCAGGGATGGAGGGAGCGGGCATAGACTTGGGGTCGACCTTGGCGATGATCTTGCGGAGGACACCGCGCATGGCAATGTTGGGGTATGTGGAGTATCGGACCTTGCAGTGGGTGCTGTGGAAATCAACCGAGTTGATCTGAGATGTTCGGTAGGAGAAACCGGTGGTGTTGAAATCACTCTTGAGAGCACCAATGGTGAGAAGGAGGTCAGACTCCTCGACAATGGTCTGGGCACGAGCAGGGTGAGAACCGTCACCAGCAAAGACACCACCGTAGTTGGGGTGGTCCTCGTTCACAGCACCCTTGCCCATAGGGGTAACAAAGACGGGAAGGTCGAGCTTGTCAACAAGCTGGTGAACCTCCTCAACAACGCGGTGGCGGATGGCGCAAGAGTCTACGAGGATGACAGGGCGCTTGGCAGCGTACATGGCTTTGAGGATCTCCTCAACAACGAAGTCCTCGTTGCCGGGGTCGTTCTTAGGCTCAGACAGGTCAATCGGGGAGTCGAGGCGGGCACCCTCAACCTTCTCTTGGACCATATCGGTAGGGACCATGATGTAAACGGGACGAGAGCGGAGCCAGCAAGTGCGGAGGGCAGTGTCGATCTGCTCGGCAATCTCAGAGGGCTTGTTGAGCTTGGCGACGTTGCAAGAGATTTGAGAGCTCATGTTGGCAAAGACATCGAAGTCACCATTGCCGAGAGTGTGGTGGAGAAGCATCTGATCGCGCTGAGAGATAGTGGAAGGGCATCCAACAATGTGGACGACGGGGATGTGCTCAGAGTAGGATCCAGCAACACCATTGATGGCGGAGAGCTCACCAACACCGAAGGTGGTGATGAGAGCAGCCATTTTGGTGACACGGGCGTATCCATCGGCAGCGTAGGCTGGAAGGTGGTTGTTAGTAAATGTAAGGTTATACAATATAGACAAACTGGTTATCAGACTTACCGGCGTTAAGCTCGTTAACACTGCCAACCCAGTTGAGGTTGCATTGGGGAAGATAGTCGAGGGCGACAAGGTTGTAGTCACCGGGAACACCGTGAACGGATCGAACGCCGACTTCGTAAAGTCGCTTGAAGAGGTACTCAGCCACGTCGATAGGCTTTTGGAGGTTGCTGTTGCTCATGTTTGCGGTTGAATCAGTAATTGAAGTTGAAGTAGGAGTTGTAGGAGGTGTAGGAGTTGTAGGTGAATGGAGGGGTTATTTGTAGGTAGGGGAAGATGTCTAGGTCGGAAAGTAACCAAGACAACCAAGAGAGGAATGGAGTTGATTGTTTAATTGGATTGATCGATGGAATGATGAGGAAAGGAAAGAAGAGATTGTAGATGGAGGGGGGAAAGAGGTGTTTATACGTTTGGCGACAAGCAGTACCTACCTACCTACCTGATACTGAGGTGCAATTGAAGCTTGGATACAAGGTGTGCACGCTTCAACAGATTGGGTGTACACTCAGAAAGAGCTACTACTATCTACAGGCCCAATAAGAGACCCTTGCTAATTATGGGTTGAATCCGATCCTGATCTGATCTGATTTTCAAATTGCCCAGAAAATAAGACCACAGGCAAGAATGAGCCCAGTGCCAATCGGACCTGTCAGGGAAACACCACGGGCATAAGTCAGCCTCAAAGAGCCCAGTATTATTATTATTTTGACCATTAATTCTTAAAGTCACGATATTTTCTTGCTCGCTTGTGATCGAATTAAGCGGCTAAAACCGCGAGTTGGTTAGTTGTCAATGAGTATGAGATGATACCTGCACAGTTGCTGATGGAATAATTGATTGATTGATTGATTGATATATTGAATTTGTTGATCCATTATTAGCTGCAGTGACGGCAGTGACTGTAATATGGTGATGTAATGTGCCTGTCAACGCCACGGTAGGGCGACTCCTTGTCTACGAACTAACCACCCTCTTGGTTAGCCCGGGCAAATAGCAAATTCTAGGGAATCTAGGCTACGCTACGGGACTCAGCGACAGACACGACATGAAAATCATATGATGCCATGTGCCCAGTTACGGGCCCTCCCAATCGGGCAGACTTTGGCCTAGTTACAACTTACCAGTGCGGATACATCTAGATACAGGGGTCCAAGAACGTCTAGAAACATTTCTTAGCCTATCGACGCATGCTACAAAACGAAGTGGATCCCCTCTGAAAGAAATCGGATGCTTCTTTTTACATGCAGGCTAGACATAACAGGGGAACAACGGGACGATGCCCGTCAGACGGGACAAGAAAGGAAAAAAGAAAGAAAAAACTTCCTAAACAGGAGATGAATGGTACAAGCGATAATCCCGTCTAGATGGGACAATAACCATGAATAACTGGCGAGTCTGGATCTAATCATTACAGTGGAATATCTACGGAGTACGGATACAACACGAAGAATATCCTCCGGAGAACAACACTTCAGCACCCGGCTAATCCGGACCTGTGCAGCCGAGCGCCGGCCGGGTCCATGCCCATAAGGGAGTATAACAGCAAAATGCGGCAAATGGGCAATTGAAACACGTCAACGGGGGTCCAACTGCGCATTGGACTCAAGGACAATGACTGTTGGGACTTTTCCATTCTTTATTAACCTAGTCCGCGGTGGCGGATGTCCATGTTAACCTTGAAATATAGCTTCCTCACCCTCCTCAAACCCATCCATGACATAACTAAATTTTATCCTGTATGATACTGTGATCCAGCAACTGCTGTAGCATTGGTGATCATCACTGGCGAACGTATGCGTATGTAGTAATGTTGAGGCAAGAGATGACTAGGCCATGCATTGCATTACATAGAATTAAGAAGAAAAAAACAACTCAACCCCAACTTTCCATCCATTCAAGACTCTCTACGTTATTCATCCTGATTGATAGAAGATAAAGAGGAAACCACCAGTCAGAGTGGTTCAAGGCAGGGATCTAGTGTCCGTAAAAGGGCCTTTGCTCGTGTTGCAACTCGTTATCGTTCGTAATCGACATCCGATTTATATTGTCAAGCCTCTTCTTTCCTGCGTTTTCCGTTCTTTGCCGTCGTCCATGATTCAAGGCGCAACGGACATCGCGTTACAATAGCGGGACGATATTGACTATGTATTTTTCTTCTTAATTATCCTCCAAGGATAGTCTAGAGACCATGGATTTAGAAGAGGGGTTGTGGCAGGCGTTGGCTGCGAGATGGGATGTTGCAGGGTAAGGTTATGCAACCTGAGATTTGCGAACTATCTATACACCACCTTGAACCTAGCCATACTACTGGTAAGTTACTGTGACGTACTGTATTCATCGTTGGCAATATAGCCACCAAAAAGGCGGTCCAGTATTATTAGTTGCGTTGTCTGTTTGTTCTTGCATAGTGCATACGGAGTACAGCGGTGTCATGTCAGATCATTCTTATCGCGCCGTCCGTCCAGCCTAAAGGGAGTTCACCGAAAGTAGCAGGGATACACAACACCCACAACCAAGGGTCTTTTGCCGGCGAGACCAGCTTTTACTCAGTTTCTGGATTTGACTACTTTCATCCATCGTTGGGGGTATAGTGATTTACCTCTGTGTTGTGCTGAACTGACTCAATATCGTTCTCACCCGACAGGGCTGGCTTTGTCCATGTCATCGAAGTATGTAACTGACAGCAACGGGGTTCTGATAATTACTGCTTTCGTGATCATGAGCGGTGTACGGGATTTATCGACGCTCACGTGTTACAAAAATATCACTATAGAGTATAATCGAAACGTATTGGTACTCATGATTCGTTCTATGTTACAGAATTATTGTACATCTATCAAACATCGTGAGATGAGATTCTATGCATGCAGTTACTCGCTTCGCCTCCCCTCTCTATCTACTATACAATCCATACGTACTCCATTTCAAACATATAAAATCGGCGATTTCCATGCTCCGCTCATGGATGCTGAAACCGTTTTGCCCATCCTCCTTTTCCCCTGTATAACAAATCGACATATCGTTGCCTATCCGCCTCCTCATCGGTCCGGCACTCATCACATGTATCCACATAATGCCAACGACCAACGGCCCATCATGTCATCCTCACAGGGATACTCATATCATGCATCGCACACCGAAGGCCACAACAAGTCGAGACTCGAGACTCGAAACTGAAAGTGACCCCCATCCATTATATCGGTATAGCGCGTTAACCTCCCCCCAACCCCGGTAGACCGTCGATCCAAAGAATAACAGCCCAGCCTTAGCCCAGCCTTAACCTCAGCTCGCTCTCGCCAGAGCAGCAGCTTTAATCGCATCGCCCATCCTTCCAGCCCGTCCACCACCTCTCCTGCCATCTGGAGCAGTCGAACTCAGGTTTGCCAAGCTTGCGGTTGACGTCGTTGTGTGCACCGCACAGCCACTTGCCGAAGTCATCTCGGCTGTTGACCTGTGGCACTTCGCGCTTGAGATAGCCCTGGAAGTCCTCTGCGCAGACCCAGCACGGGTATAGCTTTGAGAACAGGCCAACAAAGCTGAGGAGGTCCGACTTTTGGCCGGTGGAAGGCTGCTCTGGGTACTGAGCTGCGATAGAGTGAAGCAGCGTCCACGTGCTACGGCCTAGCACCTCGACATCTGGAGGGCACTCGGAGGGAGGTCCATGCGTTGCCGTAGGTTGAGCCTTTGCTGCGGTGTCCTGTTTGATAGTGCTTTTTGTCTGAGAAGCCCATGCGGCAAAAGATGTGCAGTTTCGGCATCTGAATACGCACGTACAAGGGTTAGTCTGACCAAGGTTCCCAGTTGCAGGGCGTTATGTTGAAAGTTGAAACTCACGGCTTGCCATCTGGACCCAGTACCACACCCTTGGGGATCATCTTGGGCGGCTCAGCAGAGCCTCCTACGGACGACGCAGGGGTGGCAGAAGAAGCAGAAGCGGCCACAGCCGCCTGCTGTTGATCGTTGGGATCGCTCGACATTGAATGGCGCCACCGGCAGCGGTAAGATCTCTCTGGACTGCGGCAGCGGGTGTGGCGGCCAAGGACTACCTTACTACTAAAGTAGATAACTTATTAAGGTATAAGACGGCGCTTTCGTGAGGGAATTATTAAGGACCCGAAGTAAATGGATCAGATAAGGGTCGATTTACGTCAACAAAGGAGACACTCCGCGGAACAATTGAAAGATTCAGTAAGGAAAAGAACAAGAACCTGAGACTTTTACGAATGTCGTGGTGTGATTCCAATTTGTCAGCCCTGTCGAGAAGAAAAGAAGCTAAATCCACTGACTCGGTGACTATCGCCGGAATCCTAAGCTGTTATCGATAAGTATCCTGGAAGCTTCCAGGGGCATGCATGTTATTTTAGGCCGGAGCAACGCCGCCTCCCGGGTGAATATGGGGCGAGTAACACACTCAGGAGTCAGGCCACTTTCATGATGGAGCCAATTTATCTTATGGTGAGTCTCGATGACTCCGCAGCTTTGTTTGTTACTGTCTATATTGAAGTGGCGTCGTGACTGTGAATCAAGAGGTTGCTCAACCCAGCTCCAAAGACTTGCTTGACAAAGTTTGTACTCAGGGCGTGGTAGCCAAGTGCCGTCATGTTGTCGTCCAGCTGAGAAGAATGATAGATCTAAGGGCATGTGTTGCTTGAATGTATTGCCAAAGCCGCTGAAACGATTCTCCGCGGACATGGCAAAAAGACTTCTTGCCAGCTGGGCGACGGAGGGGGCAAAGGGCCTTTCTGATCTTGCTTCAGCTGCCTAGCATGCCTGAGATTACTTTGATAGTTAAGTATGCTAATGGAGAAGGCAGATTACTTTCCGGGTAATGGTAACAAGCATTGTTCGATGAAATAGAGGGAGTGACTCTCTGCGATCGACTCTTAGAGAGATTTTGACGTGAGCCGAGTGGGCAAGACACCGCCATCTTCTCGAGCTTGGCCTCCGATGGAGCAGTGAAAGTAGCCGATGGCGGCCCTGCTGTTGATAGACACTCATCTGTTACCAATAGTGTTTGCACTCGTCGTTACTTTAATTTCCAGGGGTGTTTTAACAGTTGGCATTGGATATCATATGGATGCCATGCCTGACTGATGGAACCTGCATCTCTGTTATCAATATAGGCCTCCTTACTCTAGGTATATATGCTTCAGCAGGCCAATGGGCTGGATATCAAGTCTTGCATGGCTTCGATATGGGTGCTTGTATGCAGCCCCCAACAGGTCAGCGCAGACCGTCCGCCAGCGCAATCAGGTGTCGATTGGTGCTTCACTCATGATCTTTATCTTTGCCCATGCACTCTTTGGTGTCATCTTTGTCTCTGTCAACCAGCATGTTCTCGATGGAGAGTTGGCCAAGCGGTTGTTAACCTACACAATCGTTGGTTCCACACATGACCAGGCCAGAAAGCCTACAATGGCTCAGTGCAGGTATGCTGCCGTGTTGGCCTCATCATTCGTTGTCTTGTTATATTAGGAGGATTGATCATGGTGTATGTAGTGTCGAGTGGGAAGCAAACATGTTGACAAATAATAGTGACAATGACCAACATGAAACAATATAACCGCAAAAGACCACTATTTCTTTTTATCATGACTACTGGTCTATATTGTTAAGAAGGTTTCCAGTAATAAATTGGAGCTCTCAACCATATCGATAAAGCTATCGCCCACTTTTCCCATGAGCCCCTCATCTTCCAAGTCTCCGAAAGTCGCTGATCTTCGTTCCACCTCATGATCTTTCACTATACCTTCCATTGACCCCACCCCACCACTTCTTCTATCTCTAAATAACGCATCAGGATCGCCGCAGAATACACGCACCCTCGAGCACATAAACCGACTCTATCAGGGCTGTTCTATAGCCATCATGACATCCAGCGAGCCAGTCGTGGGGCAAGCCACCAAGATACCCATTCTCCTGCTTAAGACCCGATCGAGCCCCGGCGATTCATACGAAAACCTCTTCTCAGAGTCCGATGCTAATGGAATTGGCTTTGAGCCTGAGTTCGTGCCCGTTCTGCTGCATCAATTCCATGATGAGGGCATGAAAGAGGTCGCAGCGCTACTCCGTGGGCGTCGCATTGGAAACAAGGAACATCATGAATACGGTGGCTTGATTTTTACCTCACAGCGCGCTGTCGAAGCTTTCGTAAAGCTTGTTGAGGATGGAAAAGCCGGTGCGTCGTGGCATCTAACTGTCATCCCACTACAATAGCAGAGAACTAACATCATTCCTCATGCGAAAGACGACGCCACCAATTCGACAGGAACAACATCATGGCCTCACCTCCAGAACGTCCCCGTTTACAGTGTCGGCCCCGCCACAACCCGCGCCCTTGCCGCCGTTCCCCAGGATCCTCCTCCTCAAGTCTTCGGTAGCCACACAGGCAACGGCGCCGCGTTGGCCCCCTACATTCTCGCCCACTACTTCGAATGGTATCGCGACCAGAACCGCCCTACCCTCCCCCCATTGCTATTCCTTGTTGGGGAGACACGCCGCGACATTATCCCCAAGACGCTACAGGACGGCGCGCTGCCCGATACCGAGCGCATCCGCGTTACAGAGACGGTCGTTTACGGGACGGGCGTCATGGAGAGATTTCCTGTCGATCTGCGCCGAGTTCTTAGCGAGACGCGGGATGACCCAGTGCGCTGGATAGTTGTATTCTCGCCTACAGGCTGCGATAGCATGCTCCGCGTGATGGGCATTCTAGACGCTGAGACAAATAAGGTATATAAGGGATACAAGCGGGATGGGAAGACCTTTATTGCGACCATTGGACCTACGACAAGAGATCACTTGCTGTCTTTTGGCTTCGAGCCGGATGTATGCGCTGAGTCGCCGACGCCGCAGGGTGTATTGGAAGGAATAAAGCAGTTTATGACCACGAGACAGAGATAATGCTGACAATTATAATGGAAACCTAAATACCTTTGGAGAATATGGGCTGGGTTCCGCAGATGTAAAACTACGATATTGATAGAAGAGTCAGGAGTGTCAGCTCCGGGTATCATTGAGTTCTACTGATCCATCCCTAGTTATTTTCGCTGTCACCTCCGTTTTATATACCCAGGAAGCATTGTTCCACACAAGTTCGTTCTGTCTTTTCGGAACATGTTTCCCCTGTCATATATCACCAACTTAAAGAGAGACAAATCCGCCATGCGTATTCCATATTGTAACACCGAGCGCCGTGCAAGCAGTAAACCCAAAAAATCGCCATCATACGCCCATGACCCAAAGTTCCACACCAATGACTCCGAACTTGGTGCCTTCATCGCTCAAAGGTTCGTTGCCAAAAGTCTCGCACCTGGAGCTATGCCCGACCTCAAGTCCATTGTCCAGCCACAGACCATAGTGTCCGCCGCCCGACCCAACGCTCAGGAAATTCGTTTCGCAGTTGATGCAAAAGTCATTTAGACCGCTGTATGGGAACGCCTTGAACCGAACAGCTTCACTAGGCGTAGGCGACGGCGCGCGGGAGTGCGTAGGGGTGTTGCTTTCCGATCCAGGCGGTGGTGGAGCGAGGGTTGTGATTCGAGAGTTGAGGTTCGTTGTATCGGCCGAGGGAGGCGGTGGGAGAGGCGTGATAGTCGAGGCGCGCCATAGGAAACACTCGCCGTTGCCGAAGTAAGAATGCGCAGGGTGAGGGTATTCGGAAAGGTAAGCGCCAAAGACCTAATTGTGTTAGTCAGGAAAACGTCATACGGGCTCACTTCATACGCACCCCTCCTTCGAGATCCTTGATAACAAGGACAAAGCCCGCTCGTTTGCCCTCAAATTGGCGACAATGCTGGTACAGCGTGGCCAAACTCGCTCCGTCCTGCTCGAGACTGTAGATAAGATGCCAATCGTCCACGATGCGCAAACGCTCAGGAACCATAGTGCGAATCTCCTCCGCCACAGCGCCGGTGAGCAACTTTGCCGATGAGGGCGTGCCCTGGCGATAACCATGGAGGATGAGGGGATCAAGCGGCGGTGGACGTAGGGGACTGGCCGTGCGGCGGACAGGGGCAAAGACACCGTTTATACCGTCCTTGCCGTTGTCGTTATGGTACTTGAAGTTGTCCTCGTCGTAGGCGGTGTCGGCCTGGCTAGGAAAGGAACCTTCGCTGGAGAAGCGACGGATGAGGCCGGTCCACATATTGGTGATGTACGAGGCAGAAGCGCGATTCGGGTTGTTGGGCGTACCAGCGCCAGAAGAGTCAGGTGTTTCGGGGGAGTCGTTGCGGTCAGAAGAGCTCATAACGATAGGTGGGCTCGAGTTACTATGCGATGCAGAAAACTAGGAAGCAAAAGAGGTAGGCATAGATAGCTACAGGATGCAAACCATTGACAATCAGGAAGTGTTGGAGAAAAGAGGCTGAATAAGATATGCTATTTTTTTGGTGGGAAGACAAGAACGAGGTTTTTGATTTGGAGGGTTGAGATATGAGGTGAAGGGAATTGAGTACCTTAGGTACTGGGTTAATGAATCAATGGAGTACGGATAGTGTCGTAGTAATAGGCAATGCCACTGGCTCTGACGCACTCGCAGCTTCCTTCTTCCTTCCTTTTAGAGGCTCAAGATTGGAGATGGGGGGAGCTAGTGGAGCTTGATGTGGCGGGGTCAGTGCCTTAACGACAGTTAAAGCGCCTGATCCTAACATGAATGATAAAAAACTACTAGCTAAGGCTTCACTAATGTGGTCTTTTTAGGCAACCACTGCAATTGACGGTATAAGACAATTGAACACAGCTTATTCTTGATTGCGTGGTGATTCATAAGCCACTCGATTGTTCTGGTCTCTGTCGCTTAGTCCCTCTGCATGTTAATGTACGTACAGCACACACGAAGACGCACGCTCCTAAACTTCATGATCGTCATCAAGATCAGAGCCTCAAAACTCCAGGCGCTAGCTTGTTCTGGTAAACGGTCTGTCACTGCTGAAATGTGAACATGGTCTAGACTCTTCTCTGGTGGTCTCGACATTCAAACCTTTGGTGGTCACGTTCCTGTGAGAGAAAGGCATGGCCGATTGTGATTAGACAGAGTCTAGAGGACTGAGCTAAAATAATGTCATGAAAGTATCATGCGATAGCATCTAACGTGTCGATTCCGTCGCTTTTCCAGCGTTAGTGTCTAGTGCAACATGATCTTGGGTTGTTATAGATCTCTGTTGACCTTCCTTATCTGGCCATACTCATTCACTCAACTATCATTACTTTACGCATAGAAGCACATATCATCATGGGTTTTCTCTTGGGATATAACTAAAAAGAAATTATCGCATTGTGCACTTCATCAAATCATCCTCGTCTTCATCTTCGACTCCCATAGTTGTCTCAGACACTGACCCATATCTTGGGCCCTGTTTCCTCATGTTGACCATCTCTCCTCACACCAAGATTGCCCTAAAAGACCCATGCCAGGTGCATGCTATGCAGAATAAACTGAACAGGTGATTCTGTGCTTGCATCCGTGTGTTTGTGTTGTGGTGGGCTATCTAGTTTCTCCAAACTCGCTACCACCAGTCTTTCTCTCGAATAGCACAACAATCAGCACACATGCCAACACCAGAGGCCTCATCAAAAGGCTTCTTAGATCCCAGATCCTAGATGCCTAATCGACCATCCCTGCCACCTGTTTACCTCATAATCTCCTGGTAAATCAACTGCTTCAGCTGCTCCTTGCTCAGATTGTCTTTGTGCTTGTCAAAGTCGAAGAACTCTTCGGGGATTGGGGGTGCTGTTGGCTCGTCCTCAGGGTCGTGGTAAGGCTCGAGGTATGGGTGCTTCAGGGCCTCCTCCACAGTAATGCGCTTAACAGGGTTGAAAGCGAGGAGCTTCTCAAGCAGATCCAGAGCGAGATCAGAGGTCTTGGGGAATAGAGTTCGGAAGGGAACCTTCTTCTTGAAGGGGAGCGATCGGATGTATTCTCGAGCACGGCGCGACTTGATTCCGTAGTAGTCCTCCATAGTGGGTGTGCCCAGCACATCCAGAATGAGTGTCAACTGGTGGTGGTCTATGAACACGACAATTAGCAACATGTTTTGTTATGTATATAACCTGGGGTATCTCAGTAGTGACTTACAGTCCTTTCCGGGGAAAAGGGGCTTGCCGCTCAGCATCTCTGCGAGAATGCAGCCAACTGACCACACATCAATAGCCTTGGTGTACTCCTTGAAAGTCAACATGATCTCGGGCGCACGGTACCATCGGGTCGCGACGTATTCGGTCATAAAACCAGAGTTGTCCTCCTGCGAGGCAGCGGATCGCGCAAGACCGAAATCGCACACCTTGAGATCGCAGTTGGCGTTGAGGAGAAGGTTGGAAGGCTTCAAGTCACGGTGCAGCACGTTGGCTGAGTGCATGGCCTTGAGGGCGCGGAGGGTCTGGTAGATGAAGTATTGGCAGTGGTCGTCAGAAAGATCCTGGGTGCGGATGACACGGTGCATATCCGTCTCCATCAGCTCCTGCACTGCTTGTTAGCCTGCAGTTCTTGTTGCGACAGAACGCTGGTGGGCTCAAACCTGGATCAAGTAGACTTCGTTAAATGACTCGTAACTTCGGGGCTTCTGAATGTCGAGAATGGAGATGATGTTCTCGTGGTTGAAGTATCGCAACAGCTTCATCTCTCGCAGGGTTCTTAAGCAGAACATGGAGTGATCAAAAGGAGTAATCTTCTTGATGGCGACCTTTTGGCTGGAGGGCTTGTGAATGGCGGAACTGAAGAGAGGAGGTGTCAGCACTTTTAATTTTGAAGATGCCACGGCAAATGCTGAAGATCCAAAAAAAACATACCAGACGACACCGTAGGCACCCTCACCAACAACATCCTGAATATCATACTGCTCGCTCACATTGAACGAGATCTTGCGGGACCCCGCAGCGTTAGGGGGGTTCGATCGAGACATGGTGGCGGTAAAGAGAAGGGATTGTGGAAGAAAAAGGAGGAGAAGAAACGGGCGACCGAGATATTGCGACAAATACGACGTGGTGATATCCCGCAGTCGATCGATCGGTCGGTCGAGCGATTGTTGGAATAGAATGGCGATAGGATTTGCGAGATTCAAAAGAAAGGGACCAGCCAAGACTAAGACTCCTTTGTTCGTACCGCACCGCACCGCACGCTGGCTGATTAAGGAGGATTTGAGGGGTTAGGTAGGTACTGAGCTCCACCCAATACAATCGAATAGCGAAGCAAGCTTGTGCGAGACACAGTCGACAAAGGCGGAGACGAGAGAGTTGGCGGTTGAAGAATTTATAGACAAACAGGAAGATGCTGAAAGTGGCAGGTAGATACCGGAATAAGAAATCAAATCAAATCAGATAGAAAAAGGGTTTCGACAATGTCCGCTTGGGAGGGGAGGGCTCAAGCGAGGTAAAGTATAGGTGATGGATAGTGATAACAGCAGAGGTAGAGAAGTGTGGTACTCCGTACTCTAGTAAGGTACCAGGTAAGTAACCTATGGAACACAGAGCTCCGCTTGGGCCGTGGTGGTGCTTGTGCTTGCTGCTGGTTCAAATAGTGTATCCGTAGGTACAGCTAAGCTGGAGCCCGCGGGGCAAAGAGCCTGAAGGGCTAGAAGGGCCACCTCCAAAGGGCCACTACTGTAGACAGCCTAGCCCAGGTTTGGTTTCAGTTCGGTTCGCGGTTCCGCCGGTCAACAACGGTGAGTATAGGTGGGAATAGGTAAGGATATCGTAGGAGCACGGGCTCCAAGTCCCTTGTGCTTGTGAAGCTGGTCTTGACTCTTCGTCTCCTCCCTCTTAGGCTAGTACCTAGGTAGGTAGAAGAAAGAGAAAGACTGAACAGAAACCGAGGGAACGTACTTTTAAAACAAGACAGGTTGGGGTTATGAAACAGACAACGATGGATGATTCAAGACAAGATAGAACAAGAGGGTAATAATGGAGAAAAATGCAGAAGGCGACTATATCAGTCTACGAGACATTTCATCATCTGATCTATTCACATTTTCTGTCTTGTGTTGGGCTGGTTGATGATTAGGTACAGAAGATACAACCAACAATAGCTACTACCAACTACTACGTACTTAGTATTACTAAGATGTGATAAAGCTATCTGGGCGGCTAAGAATCGACAACCACTTGCTCATGGTGTCATCTCAGCCTGACAAAGGGCATGCAGTGACTTAACTTAATTAGTCTAAGAAGTTGTCCAACGTTGGCATTAAAACTGACATCAAGAAAAGAAGGTAGACAGCCCTGTATCTTTCTCTTTTCCTCAACGAATACGACATGCCCCAACCAACTAGCCAACCTCAAGGCGAAACAAACCCTCAAAGGAAATCATTCCAGGTTCAAGGTTCTTGAATCTGGACCCAGGTTCAGGTCCTGAGCTATTAGGGTGCAATGATCGCCAGGACCTGAGAGTACCAAGGAGACAAAGCATAAGTCACCTCGTTGATAACTAAAACAAAGCAACTGAAATGAGCAACAAAAAAACCTGGTGCAGGTGCAGAACGGTTGTGATTAAACTACGGTGTCGGGTCGGATATTGCATTATAAGCAAGGCTCAAGCCTGAGTATAGCAAACGACCCTGGGCTAACACTATAACTTAAGGGTCATCCAGGTGAGAGTGGAAAGGAACATCCATGGTAACCTAGTGGGGTTCAGCTTTGGCTTTTGACTTTTGGCCTGGGGAACGGGCGGGACGGGACAGCTTTGCCGGTGGGCTAACCGCTAAACGGACCTGACCTTACCTTAGTAGTAATGGAAGAAGTAATGTAAGGCCTTCACGCATCTCTCACTCTCTAACTACCTTACCTATCCCTTCAATGAGTATCATATCACGGAACTCATAAGGAAACATCATCACCATCCATCCCCTCTCCAAGACGAAACGTTACAGAACCTCCCAATAACATCACGCTAATGATTCAAAATACTGGGCGTTTAGCATCTGACAGCCCCGAAACATGGAGAATCCTACCCCGGCCCTATTGCGCCTCCAAGACCTTTCACTTCAGGGTACCATACCCCCCGGTCAAACAAAGAGTCCTCTGACAAGACTTTAACGCGTTTCACCTGATCAATGCCACTGGGCCCTCCATTCACACAAGAAACATCTCACTTATCTGCTCTGTCAACTGAACTGACGCTTCTAACCATACCAACAGAAAGATGTTCTTTACCCAGTCCTACAATCTCAAAGATCTTAAAATAAACCCTCCCAGCGCCTAATCTCCCCCACCATTGGCTCCCTCACTTCCCTAGGGCGCGTGTTTCACACCCTCCCACCGCCGTCGCGTTTCATCATTGGATCGTGAGGCCCTTGTATCTCAACGTGCCCTCCAGCATCCAGGGACAGACATCGCGTCTGGTGCCTGTATCAGATTTCATGAGGACCAACCCCTCGGTCATAGGATTCGCTCTACGGAACTGGAAGCGGCAGAGCCAGACTCGCGTTTGTTTTTCCTGGAATCGTGCATTTCTAAAAATATCATGCACCGGTGTGCATTCCGGTTTCTTCTTGGTTGGTTCACCTGTCTATCGTTTCTTCGTCCTGGACTCTTGGTCAGGCTTTGCTGTCCAACGCTGTCATCGCCAAGCCTGAAGCGAAGCTCTGCTCTTTCTTGACCGCGGTGTCATGATAATCTCGTCACGTTGTTCTGCACACTTGATCGCAAAACAATTCATTCTCTCTAATTGACACCATTCGTCCCGTCCTCGCATCTCTTTTGCCAAAAACAGCCGGTTGCAACCCCAGGACCCCGACTCCGGCCATTGAATCCCTCCTCATCGCAGTATTACAAGGACTGATCCGACTCATTCCCTCCGTCTACACACCCTTGACTTTTATCAAGTTGCTTCCTTTACTGAACAACCTACGTGACATCCATCATTGTCAGTGTTTTGATCCTTCCGCAGAAACTCTGCTGTGATCAACTCACCTTTTCTCTCAACATGCCTAGCCATTGAGCAGCGCTCACACCTTGGTCGGCTCGGTCCTCCACAAGCAGGGTTTGCGCCCAGAGCTTCAGACTGGGTTCTCCGTCTTCTCGCACGATGTAGAGGTGGGGCAATATAGTGCTGCCCACACCTAGTGACTTGTGGTCTCGGCTCTTCTGGACCACGGCCCGCACACGTTCGTTGAAGTCTCCCTCCAGCTCCGGTACACGGCCCTTGCCAACCTGGATCTGGCTTCGGTCCTCCGCTCCAAACACATCTTGCACCAGCTGGGGCACGGCATCTCGGCCGATCCAAAGGAACTGGGTTTGGCCGTCATCGATAAGGTACAGGCCGTAGGGCACGAGCCGTTCTGATGACAGATTCAGTGCAGGGGGAAGCGCAATGTGACCTGTCTCCTGATCGGGAACTCCCGCGTTGTCTGGCATATCGTGTAGCGAGTACAGACGAGGGTAGATATAGCGCATAAGAAGGGGTACAGGGAGCGTTGACAGGAGGCAGAGCGCTGCTGATCTGATGTCGGATGGGATTTGAGATGACTTGCGGAGACCAACGTTCTTGATCAGACCCAAGAACAGAAGGGGGAGACCACGTAGGTTGGCAGGGAATTGCAGACCACCGCCCATGCTGCCTCCAGCAAGCTCCTTCTTGAAAGTCTGCAACAGCTCAGTAACCTTGCTTTGCAGTGCGTCTCGGGCCGCATCGAGGCCGCTTGAGAGTGACCGCTCCACGGCCTTGTGGCTGAAGTAAGTGGTGATAGCACACTGGTCGGCTGATGCGTACATGTCGGACAGGTTGGTCGTTGTGGGAAGAGCCAGAGTCATAACGCGAATACGACGCTCGCCATTGCAGGTAGTGTGCAGCACCGCTGCCTGGAGGCAGACGACGTTCTTGGTAAGATTCTCATCAATAGCCACCTCAACAACGTAGCACTGGTCGCGGGGGAAGGCAGGGAAGGCACATAGGTCAGAGCTTCGGTTGAAGAAGTTGCCATAGAATGTGTTCATTCTCAAGCCACTGGTAGCACGGACTCGAAGCACAGCCTCCAGGCCAATCTCAGACGATAGATAGTCGCTGAACTCTGAAGCAAACTTGAGGGCGTCCTCGGGTCGCGAAGCGTGCCAGCCCGGGTAGAACCAGGTCTGTCCACCAGTGTATCGAGGAAGGTTGCTGAGGGAGGCAACGTCTTGGTACTGTGATGAGAAGAGGAACATGTCGATGGACACTTGACTCTTTGAACACTCGACAGCGAAGCTCTTGTAGAAGCTGTTGGAGGTCTGAAGCAGAGCACCCTCCTTTGATGTGCCAAGCAGCTTCTTGTCCTCACGCATCTCAAGCTTGCCGACACCGATGTTGGGCAGAGAAGCAGTCAGGACGACGATCTTGCCTCCAAGGGTAGAGATAAGCTTGTGGGCTGCACGCAGGGCCGATCCCATGCATGATCCATTGCTCTGGTTGTTCTGGAACATGTCGGGAAGCTTCTGGAGGAACTTTTCGACGCTTTGACGGCTCTCGCTCAGGGGAACCAGCAGGTCAGTAGGGATAGGCAGGAAAGGCTCGTCGAGATCGCTGACAACCAGCATATTGGTCTCGCCGTTCTCGTCAGTGTCCTTGGGAACCGAGAAGTAGTGCAGGCTAGAATCGACAGCCAGGAATCCCAGGCGCGTACGGCGATCGGCATTCGGTATCCTGTCGAGGCTGTCCAGGATGGTGCGGGCCGCGGTGGCCACAAGTCCGGTTGAAACGGCAGCGTAGCTGACATCGAAACAGAACAGATAGATAAGAGGCTGAGGGGGGCGGACCATGTACTCCTGGGGAGCAACAAACTCAACAACGGCGTGGTTCAGTTCGGGTCGTTGCCATCGGTCGACACTCTGCTGAGCAGCAGCATCCCAGTCGAAAGCCTGAGGAACGTCGTTGGTGAGATTACACATGTTACACCTCCATCGATGTCCCTGGTCCAAGAAGGTGACATATGGGTTGATGTAGGTTCTGCAACGCCGGCAACGCGAGATGACCTGGTCCTGCACAACAGGCACGGGATCCTCATCATCGTGAAGAGAGCCGTAGGGCTGGATAACGAGCGCAAGAGGCAGCTTGGACTTCTTGAGGAGAGAGTGGGTTGTGGGAACGGCGTTGAGGGTCGACCGGAAATATCGCGGGGAACAGTTGGCGTCTGGGGACGGAGTAACGCTCGTCTAGTGAGCGCAAGTTAGCCATTGACAATATACTCTAGCTATTCCATGTAGTAGACTTACGTTGGGAGGAAGAACGATCGGGGGCGGAGGAAGGTCAAGCTCCGAGACATTGAAGGGCTGGCTGAGGAGATCGGTAGGGTAGAGCTGGTTCAGAACAGCAGGGCGAGGGGGTTGAGCGCCCTGAGGTTGTTGGGCCTGCCCGCCAATGTTCATGTTGCCGACACCTTGGGTAATGCCACCAACTCCTGGCGCGGGCTGCGGGGCACCCGGTGCTGGATATCCTTGGTCGGGAGTTTGGTAACCATACTGAGGAGCCTGGGGAGCAGCGGGTTGCTGTGCGCCGTAGCCCTGCTGAGGATACTGATAGCCTTGGGGGGCAGCGGCTTGAGGTTCAGCTTGATAGCCTCCGTAGCCTGGTTGAGCGGGAGGAGCGCCGAACTGCTGAGCAGGAGCGCCGGCCTGGCCACCAGCGACGGCGTTGGCGCCAGTTCCGACCTCGAAGGCTTGAGCCGCATATCCTCGCTTCTTCTTCTTGGGGCCTTGGTCGAGGGGCTGCTGGGCGGCAGCAGGGTCCTCATAGCCTTGCTGAGGCTGTTGATCTTGGGCGGCATATTGATCATATTGCTGAGCCTGATGGCCGCCAAAGCCATCACCAGGAGGGGGCATCGACATGATTGAAGGGTGGAGGAGCAGGGTCGCACCCAATGTTGAGGCAATGGTATGTATAGACGGTGTCGGTCAATCGGTCGAGATGCGGTTCGAGAGGCGCTGTAGAGAAGCAGGCGTATATGCGATTATAGGGAAAATGGGAGGGGCGAAAGGGCGACTCCAGGTCCAAGTGTCCCAGTCGACTAGGTTTTGAAATGTTGGACTGGGATGGAGGAGGATGGGTTGTGGTTGATGAGCTCAGAGCTGTTAGGTAGGCTTGTAGTCTGTGGTCTGTGGTCTGTAGTCTGCAGTCTGGCCTCTTCGCATTGGTCACCGCCACAACGACAGCAGCCAAGAAACCTGCCAAAAGGAGGGGGGCTGTCTCTGCCCGTGGTTGGCTCGCTGCGTAGTAGGTTGCCTGAGCCACGCTATCAGATGCCAGAGGCAAAAAAAGGACAACAATGTCAATAGAGAAGGCTCACATGGCGAGATGAGTCATTGAGATAATAGAGGAATATTTTAATGATGTTTGAGAATCCTCTCATCGACTTATAATTACTGACAGGCAAGCTTGGAGCTCGAAGCTACCGTGGCGTCAAAGCTTGGAGCTCTAGCACCAGCCACACTTTCATGATAGCCATATCCGGCGAATGTCAGGTAGGTAGCTGTATAAGCCGAGCACTTATGTCATGATGCTCGGCGACTAACCTTGCTGGCGATGTATAATAACAGCTTGTTAATACTGGACTATTACTTCAGCAAACTGCCCTATCGTGGGCAACGGGTCAACTTTGCTGAACCCTGCTCTATTCCCATTGTAATCGTTCAGGCCACATTGCAATGCATAATAGATGGACAGCAGAATTTCCTTACTGGAGCCATAATGTGTTGTGAACACCCCCCGAACCCATCCATAGTTCGTTAAACCACTGGCTTTCCCCTGGAGACAACATATGATGTGACCTGACCACAGGTGGTTCCAAGTTAGAAGCTGTGAACATGTATGTATCCTTGAACTGCAACTAATATGGTATTGACCATTGTCATTGCACAAACCAGGAGCCATTCGTGCTTCTTCTTGTTCACCCATTCGTAGTGACTCATTGTCTGACCTGTTTGTACACTCTGTCATGTACCTAGTCACCAGGCTGCAACCAGAAGGCGTCTGGGCTTGAAAAACATTGTAAGTCGGAGTTGGATGTTTCTCTGCTTACTGAGCAATACAAAGGACTAGGTAAACAAGTAAACTTAATGACCAATATGCATATACATCATAGAGCGAGGTCATGTTGACTTGTTTACGGGTTCGATGGCAGTTCGTCTTCTTGAGTCACACGTTGTAGTCCTTGTCTGCTTCAATGTTAGAGGAATCTCTTGGTGACGGCTATGTTGCTAGCTCTAGATACTATCATGAACAAGCCCAGTGGTAAGTCTGTGTTCATATTTTCTCGATTAAGTAGATTTCTCAGGTTGTAAACCACAGGTGCCCACTCTTTACCACGAAATAGGTAGTTCATACATATGGGTTGCCCACGGTTTGATAGGTGAGGTCAAATAAAGGTTCGTGCACAAAAACATGTTGCTAGTTCGTAAAACGTCTCTTTTTTCGTCCTTCTTTCGTCTCACCTCAGCTCCAGCACTGCCCTGCCACTATAAAATGACATGGATTGCATGGACGGCAGCGGGCCGGCATAGCTTCTTGGCGTTTTCAGGTACTGATGCAGGGCTGCCTTCAGGTCGTGTTCCTCTGTTTAACTATTACTCAAGAGTTATCATGCACGTAAAAATAAGCCGTCAATGAATATTTGGGTGTACTCGTGTCACAAATACCATCAATTGTTACAACAGAAGCCCATATGACCAAGATAATCCGTACACGCAGGGATACAAATTGTAGCGGTACATGCCACTAACAGAAGCCAATATTACAGGAGGGTCACCCCTCAAATCAGGATCCTTTTTTCGATCCAATTGGCGATCCTGTAACGGCATTTTGAGAACAGCTAGTTAGAGACTAACCTTGCTCCAACGTTAGTTAGTACCTACTAGCCTACCCAGGTATCTTCCCCCTTCAGCTCTTGGACCCCTCAAATTCAACTCAACTCAACTCAACTCAACTCAACTCAACTCAATTCCTTGCGCAACCCCCTTTCGCCTGCTCCTTCGTTCTTCTTCTTTTCCCCCCCAACTGCGTTGATCGCGTCAAACCTTGGCTTCTTTTCTGATCTCTCTCATCCAGCGCTTTAACTTACTACTCAACTCGCCAATCTAAACTTCTTGCCTATCCAATCTCGCCGATCTCGCATCGCACGTGCAACAATTGAAAAGAACCATGGCGAAACAATCTTCAGCTCTCAGGTATAGTTTTGCATCGCGCGCCGTCCTCACATTACAGCTCACACAAAGCGCATCCCACTGACTTGTTCCCCTTTCGCAAAACAGCCAGGTGCTTCCTCTCATCATCGTCTTCGCCCTCCTCGGCGTGGGCGGCTGGGTAGGCTACCAAGTCTACATCAGCGTCGCCAAGATGTCCGACGCTGCCTCGGAGCGCATGGGCAAGAAGAACGTTGTTTTCACCAAGGACGGAGTAAAGGTCGGCGTCAAGCAGATCAAGAACGAAAATTATGTCGACGCGACGCAGGGCTGGTTCGTCAAGGCGTGGAATCTTGGCACATCACAGGATGCTGGCCAGAGGTGCGTACATGGTGCTGCTTTTCACGATCAAGACTAACAGCTTGTATAGCAAGAAACAAAAGTAGAAAGCGACCGTCATTCCCATTACGAAATTATACCACGATCCAAAATTATCGGTACAGAAGTAACACACATCACAAGGACTTTCCAATACTTGTTTCATGGCCTTCACTGCCAGGTGGTCGGTCTCTCTAGCCATTGATCATATTACACAATATATCCAATTCCGAGAAATTGATACATTCGAAAGGCAACGAGATTCAAATGAGAACCCGATATTAAGAACATGTTTTACAAGCAATTTGCATCGGTATATGTCCGTGCCTCAAGAATCTGAAACTCGCTGATCATATGGGTCGCAATGGTACCCTGACAAGAATCCCCAGGCAAGCTTTGATAGACCCGAGCCAAAATCTCCGCTCTTTTGTCCCGTGAAACCCATCTTAGATAGCACAATCAAGCTCAAATTAAACAGGTTAATGGTTATTTTCAACGCCAGGTATCCAATAACGGCATATCTGATGCCTGACTATCTATATATAGCTTGCTTGCCCTCGCACACAAGGCAGCTATCCTCTCATGTAATTTTCTCAGTTTCCTTACATCATTTAAGGTGGTATATAGTAACAGGGGGTGCTTCAAAGATTAATCCAAATCCCAAACCTAGTTCCGCTGCCTTGATTACTTCTGGAGCTGCAGCATCCTGCTGGCCACCATCTCGTTGGGGTTCAGCGTCCCTCCAGCTTTGCTCAGCAGCTCGGTTTTCTGCCGGTCGATTCGCTCCTTTTGCATAGCTTCATGTTGCTGAATCGGATTCAATGAATATCCTGCCATGGCTGGTGCCGTTTTGGAAGACAGCAGCTTCTCAAAGTTGTATGACCCAGGGTAAGGACTGGCCATCAAACCATCCCTGCGGATAAGCATAGACGGAACACGAATATTAAGCTGTGGATCTGCGTCAGTCTCCCCTGAAGTTGACACCGAAAAAAGCAATAAATATGGAGAAAAGGACAAGTCCGACAGAAATAAGGAAAAACAAAAGAAAATGAGAGTGAAGAAACTCCAAAGAGGGTTGACTGTATTGCTTACCTGATGGAGGACATTGGCATATCTTACACCAAGATGGTTGCCAATGAATTGAAGTCGACCCTTGACCCATGCTCTCTGTGCATCAGTTGTGTAGTCTTGACCCTGAACACATGTCAAAGGCCAAGTAAGGAAATATCCTGGTAGACCTTTGAGTGCGTCCTCCTCGCCACATCCGAATGCGGAGAGGTTGGCTCGCTCAAGAAGATCTCTTCGGTTGGAAAACCAGCCCAGTTGGTATGGAACCGATGAAATAATATCCGTAATAGTGTCAACACACGTCCTTGCGGCTGTGGCATACTCGGGAGTTGTCCGGTAATCGACAGGTGCGCAAACCCAAGCGGCACAGCGAACAATCAGCGATGCTAGAATGATGCGAGAGCAACGCATCAAGTTCCAAACGCTAACGACCCAAAGATCTTGATATGCATCAATACGACCAGGGAAAACTTCCGCCAATGCGTAGTTGCCGTTGGGCACATTGTCCTCCCAAGCTACAGACTTGTACTGGAAATACTCGGGTAGCCCGTTGGCCCAGGTGACGTGCTGCTGGTCAAGGGTTTGGCACCGGCGAATTATGTCGAGCAATAATTCGATGTTCTCCGGGCTCCGGCTCAAGGTGGTCATCAACCGGTTGGACTCAGCTCTGAGTTCTGCTGTTCGAATGTTAAGCCGCTGACACTCGGCTCCGAAATGGTTCTTGACACTATCTGTGATCCACCATTCTACGCCCATAACTGGGGGTGTGCCTGTGGTTAATGTGTGAATGATCTAAATGGTTGTTAGATGATATTCAAGTTCGCAAAAAATGGTTGTAAAAAAATACCATTTGAGTTCGTGTAGCAACAAAAAGAGCAAGACCTGTTCTTGTTCGAATCTGCTTCTTCTCCCTGGCCTTGACCAGTTGGATGGCTCCTTCGATGTGAGAGCCCCAGGCGAGCATTCCAAGCTGCTTTGCGGTGATATTTTCGAATAGTCCTAGGAGGAGCACAGCTGCCAACGTAGAGTCTTCCTTGGATAGGACCGGGTCTTTTAAGGCGATGAACGTCGCAGAAAGGGCCTTCGTGTAGCTTCCCAAAGCCTTGCCCTCAAAATTGCATCCAGGGCCAACGCGGTTGCCAAGAGAAGCCATCGCGCAAGCATCGAAAGCCAATTTGAAATGAGGAGCTGGCTGTTCACTCTTGAGGAGAGGAACAACAAATTCCATCCACCCACGTGTGTTGTCGTGGGACGGCAGAAGAACAAAGTTTGACAAGAAGTGACAGGTAGCCTGCTGGTCCACTGGAAGCTGGAGTGTTGATAGAATAGACTGGTCGGGAGTCGGCTTGCGGAGAGCGACGACCTTGGAGTTTGTCTGTGAGCCTAGCTTGTCCTGTTTTTGAGCAGATGCTTTCTTGCTAGCTTTGCGAGCTCTCCTTTCGGTTGCCTGTGTTTCATTGCGGAAGACTAGATCAAATTCGTCCTTGTAGCCAGGACATTGTCTTCTTGATTTGGCGCATTGGTTACAAGTTGGCTTCGTCTCATCGCACTGCAATTGTGAGTAGATGCATAAAGGGGCCTCTTACGGTGACGAAAGGCCAGGCAAGGAGAAACTATCAACACACCTTAATTCTTCGGGCCCTACACATTTGGCAGCCCCGGGATGGCTTACCGCAGTAGACCATGATAGGCGTAGCTATTAGTGACAGCGTTGGTGCCCAAAAATAAGATGTCGATTAGAATACCAAGATTGTTTTCAGTGTAGGATAACAGCGCGAAAAGGAAGATGGGAGATTATCGTCCAACGGCTGACTGTCCAACGGCCTCCTGGGAGGACAGAGTAGACGAGAACCACGGGATAGGGCGTACGAAGACGCGATGTTGCATATGAAGTTGTAAGGGAACCAAGGTTACAGCCAGTCACTTGTCGTGCTGGATTTCAGTTGATAAGTTTGGCGGGTTAGGCCTGAAAGCTGCTAGTAAATCCAGCTGCTTGGTGTCGTTGCGATGCAAGGCAGAAAGCAGTTGACAAAACGAGTTGAGTTAGATCAAGCTAGAAGCATTTCTATCAGAGATGAAGGATCGATTTAACGCAAGCAATGACTCGCCAGTGGCGAAGAGCCCAAGCTATCGGTAATCCTGTTATTGAAGACTTTGGCGGTTCGTGTTGGAATATGCCAGGGTGAAAGACACGTGGATAAGGTAAGTTGAGGATGGAGAAGAAGCAACGTCTTGAACAGAACACAGCACAGGGGGGCCAAGCGACAGGACAAGGAAGAAAGAGGAAAATCCGTCCGAGAAGTCGTATCCGAGCGAGACGGGGTGAGGATGATGGATATGTTTGCTTTGCCTTACACAGCGGGGGCTAAACAGACGACAGCAGGTTGGCGGTGGAACCTTAAGGAGGAGATGGATGGGAGGACAAGGGGGTCAACGTGATGACAAGCGATGAGACAATAAGAGTTTGTGAGGTGGAAGTGGAAGTGACGCGTGAAAAGGCGAAAGATGATAGATGATAGATGATAGAGACGACAGGGGAACCAAAACGCGGGCGGAGGAATTGCTTTTTTAGCGGCAGAGTCTGGCGTTGGAGCAGAGAGAACAAGCAGGATAAGAGGATCCAAATGCAATGCAATGCAATGCAAGGTAATAAGGCGAGAGAGAGGTCATGCAAGAGGATGGATCGTAGGTAAAAAGGCCCCGCTTCAACTGTCATGTCAGTTGGAAATTACCAAGTCTTCTGGCAGCGGCAGTTGCCGGTGTTAACGACGTGGTAGCAAGAAGTAAAAGAGACAGATCCGGTTGAGTTTAATTCAATCCCCAACCTTGGCTCTTGGCTCTTGGGTATGAAATGCCCAATTGATGGAAGTTATTAAAGTGTGAAAGAGTTGAGTCGTGGAGTCTTGGTTTTAGAACGGAACGGGAAGCAAGATGCCGTCTGGCCATCCAGTCCCTGATTTGCACTTTCTGTAGGTAAATCATTGCGGTCTAGTACGTTAAAGACCTAGCGGCTGGTTAGTCTGACCTTAACACGCAGGTGAACCAACCGGGTTACAGCGGGGCTACGAACAGGGCCCATCGGCTGGGATGCATTTGATTGGACGGATAGGACAAACCGCTGGGTTTAGGGGCGTTACAGAACCCTGCAGGACAAGACGGCAACCGTTACAGCAGAGGGGCATCCATCCCGTTCAGTAATTCATGGAGGTCAGCAGTCTGTGGGTGAGATCCATCTACAGGCAAGATTCAGGTGAACCTCGGCATTTCCATTGCAGCATTGTCGACAACTTCACGACTTGTCACATCTTGATAGTGAAGTGCGTGCGTACATGTATGTACTCCGTATGCAAACTCACTAAACAAGCTAGACAAACAAGATGCCGAGGTTCGATTGGAGGGTAATATAGTCGAGACAGCCGAGGGAAATAGAGTATAGAGATAGGAGGCAAAATGAACGGATTCGTGTATACTGACCAGGACCAGTCAAGTCAGTTATAACCTATAACGCAATCAATGATGATCATGCAAAAGCAACAAGACAAAAGAAAAGTCGGCGCTCAGGTGGGATTCCCCGGGCGCTGCCAGAATCATGGCGATGAGGTTACAATCTGCCGAATGGTCTCTCTGGATGGGGGGTTACATAGATGGCTTTGGCAGGTTACATAGTCCAGAGTGACTGAAGATCGACCGGGCATCAGTGATCAAGGCCAAGGATATAGATAGACATTCACACGGACGATACCACCATAAAACACGCTCTTATAACATCTCGAATACCCAATGGGAAAGCCAGGGACGACGTCCCGGCGTCTGTGACAGCACGCGCGTCATCCGATGAATAACTCGAATAATCCTTGATAATAAAGCGAACTGGCTGATCAAGGTCTATTGTTTTCTCAGGGATGTTTTACGAGGTGCAAAATGCAGAGTACGTAGTGTTGAAGTATTGTAAAGAAAGGAACGATCTCAGGATTGTCACAGTGCATGATACGATGATCTGCTTGTGGGATATCCGAACTGCGTAACGTGTATCCGTAAATGCAAATCACTATCCTCATTCAACAAAAAGCCCAATCGCTTATACGTGTGAACAAGATACTTTCAATGATCGCCCCCTGATAAAAAAGCAACTACACATACATAGTACACTCCATAAGTGACTCCGTGAGTGGTAGGGCTGGCCCACTGCTTCGTCTGTGGCGCTTTGATATGAAGAACAAGAATGGCCTTGGATGCGAGAACCACAAATCAATTGCATGAAATCTACCGCTTTTGGCAATAGCGGCTAATCTTTTATTGGTCTGGAATCTAGCCTCAGGGCCTCAGGGCCATTTTGTGGATGTCTCGGCCATCTACAGACTCTACAGTACGCCTCGTCGCCCGTCAGAGGTTTCACGCATTGATCTATTTATTCAATCTGAGACATTGTTGAGCTGCCGAGGCTACTAACCAGATCTTAGCTACGTTTGTCAACTGTTCCAAGACTTTTTCAGAGCAGGTTTCCTGCACAAGAAGGCTGAGTAGATCTAATCGAGGCCCGCCAGGTAAGCCGCCTCCATCAACCTCAAACTTACTCACCCAAACCTGCATTCCTGATGTCGGTCTTGCGCTAGCGTTTCAGCCTTCAAGTCTCGAGGTCGATAGGGGGAAACCCAATGCCCAAGCAGGAACTTTGAGTTGAACATCGGACTTAAGGATAATCTCGTACCTGTTGATCTTGATGATACTCAATGAGAACGGACAATAGTAATGTGCGAATCCCGAGCTCGGTCTTTAAGCTTTGCACGACGCGGGCTCTTGCTGTTGATGGACGCGTTTCCCGGAGCACAATGGAGCTTTAGGGTAACATCGTAATAATGCAAGCAACTTTCCAGAAGGATGTACATCTATTTCCAATGCCTGGCGAGGTCTCATGGTCTGAAGTGATTATCATCGCCACTGGCCGGTTCTGGGGAGGCGTAAGAGATGACCGCTTGTGTTTCTCATACCCAGGCGTGCCAGGCCATTCGCTGGTCATCACCGGCCTCACATATAGTAGAATCTAAATCAACTCCATGAAAGGATTATTTAGGCGCCTGCTAAGCCGGATCAGAGCCCAAAAGTATTCCCGACGATCAAAACCGGCCTCACCGGCGCAGAACTCTCTCCACATTTCGGTGTGCCGGCCGGCACCCCAATTCGGCCACCGCGACCAGCACCGGCACGGCCCCTCGCATCTCCACACGTGAACTCCTCATAGAGCGTCAAAGTCAACCACAGGGCGCACTCTTGGTATAAATTCCAAAGCGTTGCTGTTATTTATTACTCTAGAAATTAAAATCATCATCTTTCTACCCATCAACTTTTATTATAAATAAATACCAACACCATTGAAAATGAGCAAGATCTCAGACTTTGGCCTCCTCTCCTTCGATGTCTACGGTACACTCATAGACTGGGAGACGGGAGTTCTCAATGGCCTCAAGCCCCTTCTGGAAGCCAACAACGCCGATATCTCTAGAGAGAATCTCCTTAAAGCTTATGCTAAGGCCGAGGTTGCGCAACAGGAGAAAACTCCTGATATGAAATACTCTGAACTGCTCGCCACTGTCCATCCTCATGTTGCAGAGAGTCTCAACCTTCCCAAGCCTACTGCCGAGCAGGACAAGGCCTTTGGCGACTCCGTTGCGTCATGGCCTGCATTCCCCGACACCGTTGACGCCCTTCGTCGTCTCGGCAAGTACTACAAGCTCGTTGTTCTGTCCAACGTCGACCGCGAGTCGTTCTCTGGCAGTAACTCAGGACCTCTCCAAGGCGTCCCTTTTGATCTCGTGATCACGGCTCAGGACGTCGGCAGCTACAAGCCCAACCTGAAAAACTTCGAGTATCTGCTGCGCGAGGTGGAGGTCAAGTTTGCAATTCCAAAGGAGAAAGTTCTGCAGACCGCGCAGAGCCAGTTCCATGATCACCAGCCTGCCAAGAAGATGGACATCAAGTCGTGCTGGATCGAGAGACCTGGAGCACTTATGGGAAATCGCGAGGGTCCTGTCTATAACTGGAAGTTTGACACGCTTGGTGATATGGCGGATGCATTGGAGGAGGAACTCACTAGCAAATAAGTTAAACCATGCAGAGTAGACTACCTAAGGCTAGCATAAATGGCATATAATATGTCTATTCATACTTCATCTACCATAAACCTTTGCCACATCACTACGGACTCTCATCTCAACAGTGATAATTCATTATTTGTAGGTGTAAGAAAGGACTTGGATAATTATTGAAAAAGCCACAAGCACAGAACAGCCTAGACCTCATAAAAATCAAATCAAAGTAAATCGCGCTTGAAAAATCATCACTATACTGAATTAGAAACCATGGGTCATAACATCATCATGTAACCAGCTGCTCAAAGCCAAGATCAAACCAATCTCCCATATCCGGCAACGAAATCACATCTGTTCGTCGAGACAAGTTACAACTATCACTATACCCTCCCGCCATTCCAGAGCACTGATATGTAGCCGGCAGTCCTCCAGAGATACTCGACATAGAGGTCTCCTGCCTGGGTAGTTGCAGCCCTTCTTCAGGGACAATCTGCTGCATAGCCACCCAATTGCGAAACTGGAGATATCCATCCTGATCCGACATCCCATCCTTGTCGTATCCCTTAGATCCGGAATTCAGTCTGTCGAATGCAGCTTCTAATCCTTCTACCGTGTGTTTCTCGCCGCTTGTTGAGAAGACTCCGGTTGATATTCCCCGAAGCAACTCCATGCCTCTCTTGCAGGCATCCTTTGATTTGTTATCCTTATCCGAGATGTATTTTGCCACGAGCGCCAAGACTGCTGCACAACAGGAGCTGAACTCAGTATAAGATGATTTAGATAGACTGCTTTCGTTGTGGAGAGTCTGGCAGAGGTCGATAGTGGCAACGGCACTGTTGATACAGTCGTTGACTAGTTCCTTTTGTAATCCTGAGCACCCCGCAATGTATTTTTCGTTAACATTGAGGTTTAACTCTTCAAGGATAAAGGATCGACCGATGAGGATGTGATTGAGATGGTACGTCAAGGCAAGATGCACGTTTGATCGAAATAGTGGTTTTCCGGGGGTAAGGTCTCGGCAGAAGGTTTCTTCAGAAAGACTCTGCCAGTATCTGTTAAGCCTCTCTTTAAGTTCAACAATGTTTTGAAAAGCTTTGGCTCGCCGCTTCTTATCATTGCTTTTCAATCCCAGTCTGTTCCTAATCAGTATTTGAGTTCGAAAAAAGTAAGGATAAGTATATAATCTTACATTCCATCTCGAGCATCCTCCATGAAAATGGTCAGTCTCAGCATAGCCACGTTGTTTTGAAATGTGTTGATTCGTTCTCTGGGTTGCAGCTCTTCCAGGTCGATAGGGAGATTAGCATCGACGTCTAATCGTGAGATAGAGACAGGCCGTCCGTGTAGGATGCAAATTCGTCTTTGAAATGTTAGTTTCATCATAGCCTTGGATTATCTGGACGAACCGTTCAAGAGCATATGCAGTCCACCAAACTCTCTTGCGCAACTCAACTTCCCTACGGGACATATCTTCGGGGCTTCTCTGATGGATATTAAACTGTGTTGCCACTTTGATGGCAATTCCAAAGTAAGTGCATGATAATCCAGCCGGGTCAACTGGGAGCACATATATCCCAAAGAGGAGAAAGGCCTGGACGCTTTCGATCGAGTCCATGGCAATAATGTCAGGAATCAAGTTTGCTGCTTTTCGATAAAACGTCGAGGCAATGGTATCATCCATGGTCTGGCAAATATCATATGCGTCTCTCATAAGCTCCCTACTCGAACCGCGGGCTGAAGATTGATGAAGATGTGAGAATTGTGTCCCGAGAGAAAACATCATCAATGCGACTGCAACCCAGGGGGCATCGTCAATTCCCACTCGGGTAGGGCAAGAATAAAACTGATCGAGTCGTGATCGAAGAGTCTCTTCGTCGATGTAGAAGTAGTTTGTCTGTGCAAATTCGAAGAACACTCTGAGGAGGACCAGGGCTGAAGGAGCTGGTGGGAACAACGAGACTGCTTCCAGAACTGCATTATCTCGGGAGAGGATATAAGAGGATGCCGCTTTCCCGCTCACTGCCGTCTCTGTATTCGAGTCCTATATGATTCGCTTCTGTCAGTCTCGTCTGTGAAAATCCTCAAGAGCCAGGCCTTCTTTACCTGATGCCCAAACCCGTCCAGCTTATCTTTGACTTTTCTTTGTACACGCTCTGAGAACCCATGATGAGAGAATTCTGCACAGGCTGCCAGAATGTTAGAGTTGTACCCTGTTTGTTGAACAATACTACTTACCGGTTGACGCTGTATCTATACTTGCGCAGTAACTACTATTACTACTCAAATCATCATTGCCATCCTTTTCCACCTTCTCGACAGCCCCATCTCTTGGCAAAAGGTTGGCGATGACTATCTCAAGGGCTTTTCTGCTGTACTGCTCAAGCCCCGTGTAATGTCTCACAATGTGCTCCAACGCTTGTATGCGCTTTTTCTCAAAATAAATGAAACCATCGCCAGGAGGCACTTCCACTGTTTGTCCTTTTTCAGTCTGGATGTGAGTTTGCCGATGGTGTCGTCTTCTCCTGAATTTGTTGCTGAACTGACAGGCTCTGCCAAACTTTTTGCATCTATCACAAGGAATAGTCCCAATGCACTTCTCCTTGAGGCGACGGCAGTCATCGCATCTAGTGACGTTATAAGTTAGAGATAAACGAGGCTTCAAACAGTGAAGAGAAGACAGCTCACGCTCTTGTCGTCCTCCTTGTCTGTGTCGTCCAAGGAGAGACGGATGTTGGCTGGTCCTCCATTGCTTCCATATTATAACCACAAATAATCACTGAAGTAGCTTTGATGGCGCGCTAAGGAGAAAGACAAAGCATCAATTCAGTACAAAACTCAGTTTAAGGAGCTCGTTGGGAGTTCTGGTTCTTATACCGGAACTTGAAGCCCAAGAATGCGCCGGCTAATAAATACGCTACGGCCCGGTGCCGGAGCACGATCCGGGGCCGGTGACGGGCCTCAAAAGACAGAAGCCTCAACAAGAGGACAAACACGTGCCATTACTAACACCACAATCTTGTTTCTATTCCAATTTTGCCACTCCGGAGTCAGGCCATCTAATATGTTCGAGCAGTTGGGGTAGCTCGCTTCCACCGCCGGCATTAAACCTCCAAGCCGCATGTATATCACAGGGATACAACACCCTCTCCCCCAAACCAACGCCTCTCGATCCCCTCGGTCCTTGCAGTTCTTCGGGTGCTTCTCCCGATGAGCAGTTCGTGCATTAGCCCTATTCTTAAACATCGACGTCATGTAAAGTGCGGCTACCAAAGAGGAAGCAGGTGCCCGGTGTGCTTTAAGTCCCGGGCCGGCTCCTCTGCCCGGTTTTCTAATCCCGTCGCCACGGGTTATTAACAAGCGGTACTGACGTTCGCCATGAACTGATTATTTCTAACTGTGGCTGTACATGTAATGCCACCGCATATTGTACTCAGAAACATTTGTGACTGGCCTCATCATTCTGGGCCCAGTCTATCGAATGTGTAGTAAGTGGTGTGGTGTGGCATGATTATAACGTCAACGTGCAAGTCCAGGTAATTGGATTATTGTGACAGTTCGTATTCCCAACCTTTGCTCGCTCTAATACTCCCAATGATTCACCCTGGTTCTCCAGTTCTTCCCCGTCTATTTCTCTTTGCCGCGCATCTCTCAGTTACGCCACCTAGCAGCTATTAAAACAATTGGTCCCAGCTGCTTGCTGCTGTTCAGCCCTTTTGTTAGTGAGGTCTAATTCCAATCCACCCATCTTCTTGTGATAACACTTCTATCCTTATTCCTAATCCTTAAGTAAAAGTAATAATCTAATCCCATTCAATTAGAGCGCCTAACCCTCGAATAGATTAGAGACCGCCTCTAATCCGTCTGGCGTTGCCTGGCGACCAACGTTCATGCCTGATCGCGTCGAATCCTGTCCTGCATGCTGATCACTCATAAACTGTTGCGCCATCTTGCTGCGACCGTTTTTCTTAGTCCTGGAACCGCCAAATCCACTGCTCTTGGGAAGTTTGCCCATCTCGGACACACTAACCCCCTTTAGATCCTTCAGAAGATCCAGCACGATAGCTCGCTGTTGACGTGTGTGCGAACCGGGCTTTGCCATATAAGTTGACAGCCTATCCAGGTCCTCCATGTCCACATTGGGCAACGAGAGCAGCACATCCCTGGGAGTCGATGTGATGGGGCTGTAGTAGACAACAATAGCCGCAATCAATGCGGCCAGGTCCTTCTGGAGTTCCACAAAGTAAGGTTCATGAAACGATGTAATGCAAGCCTGCAGCACATCAACCGAGATGTATTCCCGGATAGCTGATGAAATAGAAGTAGGTATAGGGAACTTGTCCCCTGCAAGATGCGCTTCCATTGGACTTTGCAGCACTGACTTGGGCAACTGGCCATCCACAAGATGGAACTCAGGAACCAATGACACGAACAATCGCAGTATCATGCTGCAGCACCTAGTGTCGCGCATCCGAATACCGTGGGTACAGAAAACAAGCAGTGGCTCTACAACCTCCTGATGATTAAGACAGAACCTTCTGAGGCTTGGATAGTTCTTTGCCTGCTCAGGGTCTGGGTTTCCGTCTTTGTCCTCAACTGGCGCATCTGTAGAGTTGTTAGTTTTCATTTCAATACAATAAACATTCCGGCGCTTACTTGGTTTTGTCGGATCCAGGAAGTCGGCCACCATCAACACCGCTGTGTAAGTGACTTGTCGCAGAATGCTCTCGGCCTTCATCTCTTCTTTAAGACCTGCCTCACCGTCTGCAGCCACTTGCTGCTGGCGCTCCATCTTTTCCCATTCACCATTGATTTTGACGTCCATCTGTTGGAAGCACGATGACAGTAGCTGCGGAAGAAAATGCTCCCGGCAGTCAACAGGACAATCGTCGACCAGGTACCTCACCAAGTTTAAGAGGTTGCTCTGTTGATGCGTGGACAACCAAACTGAGTCCGCAAAGAGGGCCTTGGAAAGGGGCGCAGAGAGTCCCTCGAACCCGTAGAATTGCCGTTCCAATCGACTCATGCAATATATGATAGCATAGGCAGTCTCACGAACAAATCGAACGGACCCACGGATAGTGGAAGCAAGTCCCTCGATCGTGTTTTTTTTATCCATAACACGGGCGTAGAAATCATCCTTGCTACCCTCAGAGATCCCTGCCTGCCAAAAGCGATCGCTAAGAATTCGGTGGACCGTTGATCGCATCTCAGCAGGCAAGCCGGCCCAGTTATCAGGATTGTGCGACGCGTGTGCAAAGCTCAAGAATTCAAGCAGATCGGCCAAGATGTTGGAGAAACCGTCTTCCCACAGAGCATAGGAGGCCTTGAAGGCATCAGATGATTTCTCAAGTCTCTCAACCGAGAATGCTAGGAAACTCTTGGTCGATCGAAGGGGGAGAAGCTTGAGACGTTCCTCGAGCTCATTCTGGAGGGCAAGTCCTTCAGCGTCAAGTTCGCGTGAACCCCAATCCTCGATCTCGTGTGCTCTGCGGCTGGCCATGTAGTTTTGGGCCTTGTCCAGTCCCAACAGCTCACAGAAACTACCATATGACTTGAGCGAGTTTCGCACGTTCTCATTCTGCCATTGCGCCTTCACAGGGTCAATAAACTCGCGAAGCTTCTGAATCTTAGCCTGGGCATCTACTCCAGTGGCTCGGTGTCTGTCAATGGTCAGCAAATTGCCAGTGGACGGCGGGTCCTGTTTACTAACATAATAATGAAAAGGAAGCTTCTATAGGCAATAGAGCGTTTCTCGTCCAGTGACCCAGACGACATCATTTCGTTCACTTTGTTCTCGATTTGGTCATATACACCCTGAAAGCCATTAGCATATGGTTTGACACAACTTTTCATACAACTTACCAGAAGATGATCAGGCATCTCTGAAGCCAATCGCTGCAACTCGACCATGCTCTCACCTTGCAAATCTTTGATGGCATCATTGAAAGCACGATATTCAGGTTGAAGAGCAGGCCATGTTAGTAGAATATGCTCCAGAACCTTGAGCATAAAGGTAGCATTTTTGTTAAGTGCAGTTGTGGAGAAGTAAACCAGTAACTGCAGAGTTCGCTTCCTGATCATTGGGTCTTCGAAACTCATCTCGAGGAGTTTGTTACACCACGACTCCAAGTTGGCTTCAATCTCTGGACCTTGCTGTTGATGCTCTGCAGGCCGATGCTTGCGCCACTTGGAATATCCTTTGAGCGTCGCTTCGATAACCGTGAACTGCGCGTCGACACGCAGGACTGGCATAGAATGCTTGAAATATGATTGCTTGTCTAGAGGAGGCTGCCCGTCGTAAAGATGCTGCAGGAGTTCTTCTGTGCGGCCCAGAATGTGCGAAATCGCGTCAACCAGCTTTAGCTGAACAACAGCCTCGATGATCTGAGAACTATATCGACGGTAGTTTCCCAAGAAAGCGTGTCGTTCCGGAATTGTGTCTGTATCTTCCAAGAGGAAGAGGAAAGTAGGGTCCTGGGTATCTTCGGGCAGGTTCTCGAATCGCACCAGTCTCGAACTGCATGTCTCCAAAAGGAGTGGGATGAAAGGGGAAACGTGCTCGCCAGGGCCAATTAAACGGTTACTGAGGAGCCGTGTCCATGTAACGAGAACGGGAATAGACACCATTAAGCTCTGATGTTGCACGATTTGGACTAGTAGTGCTAGGAACTCGTCTTTGGCGGTTCCGGCGGGCAGTTTCGCAAACTTCCTGTCAAAGTAGTCTCCGAGACATGAAAGCATCTAGTTTAGCCAGTCAGTATGAGCTTGGTGTAATACGTTGTTCAACAAACCTCTGATAGCTTCTTGAGGTTCTGGTACCTGTCCTCATCAGGATCCTCAGGGTCCACAGCACACCATTCAATGAGTTGCTTGCACAAGTTAATTGATGAGCTACTATACATTGGTGCAACCAGATCGCGAAACTCTTCATCAGAAAAGTTTGATCTAGAGTAAAGAGCATGGAGAGCTTCTAGCGAAGCCTGTATCGCAGTTAGCACTCAGCCTTTTATAGTTTGAACTGGAATATGCTACCTTCTGTATAGTAACCTGGGATGATGCGAGACCAGCGCACATGACTTCGACGCAATGCGCAGAAGAAACAGCCTTTGGGATGGCCCAAGGCATGAGCGATAGAAACACGGATAAGCCCTTGTGTATACATAGCTTAACCTCCTCGTTATCCTTGGGCGCTGAGTTCAGACAGTAATCCAGGAATTGAGACAATCGACTTAGCCAGCCATCGTCGCCATATCGCACAGGCGGGCCGGGTTGTCGATTGGGAAAGGCCTCGACCAATACGGCGGTAGGAGTAAATATTTCGACGCAGGCCTTGCTAAGGACGCCCTCCCGCATAGCAACTACTGAGTCGTCGCCAGTAAAGACCTCATCAGAGAGGTTCTCCAGGACAAACATGACAAGCTCCTTGTGCACCGCAGAGTCTGGGATCTCCCACAGCTGATAGAGCATGGAGTCCATGTCCATCCACTCGGCACCCCAGCATCTCTTGGCAACCTCAACCCAGAGCTGAGCTGTCTTGTTCCGTATGTAACCTGGGTCTTCCTTTGCGACAGCCTGGCCGAGGCTCAAGACCCATTGCCGCACAGCATCGGTCTGTTCTAGCGTGTATGATGACCACCGGTATCGGATCGCATGCTCGAGCAAGGAGAGGGCGTAGTGTCGGACAACGGGGGATTGCGATTTGTCGGAGGCGAGATTGTAGCCTTGCATGGGCGCTTCGTTGAAATCCTTGACCTCCTCGAGGAAGGTCTGCGCTTGCCTACGGGCATCGTTGGTCGAGAATGGGCTATGAACGACCTCAAGTGCTTGGTGAATCTTGGCGAGTACCTGAGAGTCAGCGCCAGAGTCTACCAACGGCATTGAACTACCGTTAGCAGCCATGGTGTTATCCCTTGTTGGCAGGCGACACGCAAAGCGATAGACGATTGCGAATATGGATTCACGGAAGAGCAAAGCAAAGCACGGGAGCCAAAAGTGCTTGTTTCTATGCAAGATCTTCTTAAGACGACTCAGTCACGGCTAGATATCTAGGCATAAGCCATGGAGGGAACGACCAAGGTTTTCGGTGTTTGCTGTTTGCTGTTTGCTGGCGTTCACGGTCTCGAGGTATCGTTTGCGACGGGTGCGAAGATGCAGCAGATAGCGACTGTGCAAGCAAGAAGCGGAAGTGACTGGGGGAAGATGGTCAGATGTAGATGAGAAAAGCAAATTGTTATGAGCAAAGGCGGTGAAGAGAAGGATAAACAAAGAGAGAGAGCCTTAGAGGTAGAGCGAAGATTGGTTACAGTCACAAGTAGCTTCTTGAGATGGAGATGGTTTGTGGTGAGAGGGAAGTGAAGTGTTGGGCTAAAATTCAAAGCTCTCAGGCTGAGGAGACAGCCGAGAGCAGCCCATTACTCCATAGGTAGGCGCAGGTGCTGTAGAGCTACCCAGAGCCGTCCACGGGTGTTAACAGTGCTGTGGATGGGTCCATCATTCACTAGCGGCGGGGCAAGGCTCAGGGTGAAACAATTCATCTTACAAGTTTTGTCAACGAGAAGCTTGTTGAGATAGAAGTTTTAAAGAAGAAGTCATAGATGTATAAAGTATAACTCTAACGCTTTATCTAAGTGTACGCTTCCATGGGTTAAACTTCAGCTTCTACAATACTCTGATACTCTGATCTCTTTGTCAGATTATATTCGCTTGCACGCCTCACTCAGTAATGTCTAAATATTTCTTCACCCTGTATCAAGCTCTGCAAGCACGGCCGCTGTGACACCTACAGATACAGATGGGGTCCTCGGGCTGTCTCTATCCGTAGGTGGCTTAACCTCCTGTTTTTTGCAGGGGACCAACCTGTCAACCTCCAAACATGCTGCAAGGCTGAATTCAGAGATGGATCTATTTAACTCCAGCCCAGCCCAGCCCAGCCCACGTCACTCTACAAGAGGGGAGGGGTTGCGGATCGTCGTGCGACTGTCCATTCTCGTCTACCAGCCTCTGTTCTACAGTACAAGCATCATGCAGCAGAACGGAGATTTTCTCCGATGGAACAGGTGATATAAGATTGACTTTGGCTGACGAGAGTATTTGGTTGTTTGAGAAGCTACCCGTATTTAACTTGGAAGCATTTAATAGAATATATACCTTTAAAAAGGTAATAATTGGGTTGCCCCATAGATAACACAATGAATTTTAACACAATAAGAGGCATTATGCACAATGACTTGTGAACATTTATCATAGAGCCTTTTCTTGTTGGGTTTGAAGAAGCTTCAAATGGTCCTATTCTCCAAAACTACCTATGGCTCATACTCCCAAAGACAGAGGAGCTTATCATAGAAACTAGTCGACACACATCGCAACCTCTCTCCTCCATCCGTGTCCCGCACAAAGTCACTTCCATAGTTCATACTCTTATGCTCTTCAAACCTTGCCAACACCCTGCAAGTCCAATCATCCCCATCTCTAACCTCTAAATCAACAATTCTCGCACCTGCGTGCATGCATGAAGCAAGAATCCTGAGTTTGGTAGACTCTATGCCCTCTTGGATCTTGACCAAATCTAGACGCCAGACGCCGCCTCCCATATTCTCTTCGAGCACTAGCTCAACCTTCTTCATGCCATATGTCTCATGCAGATCATGTATTATGAAAACACGAAGATAGTCGTCATAACTGCCAGTTACAACCACTCTCCCATTGTTCTTCATCAGCAATGGAAGCGGGAGGATTGCTGTAACTCCTGCGTTGTGCGTTCCCTTGATGGTGATGGGCGAATAAGGTTCTTCGCATAAAGCTTCAGACTCGCTGAGATCCGAAATACAAGAGGTATAACGAAGCATAGAGTCATCCCCACCGCAGTAGGCTGTGACCTGTACCTTATCTTGGTCCGGGTGGGGTTTTCTGGATGAGAAGGCAATACACCAAGCTTCGAGTGAATTGGGAATGTTCAAATCAGCATACTCGGTGATTCTGTACTCCTTATCCAAGCGCAACAACCGCGCAGCGCTTGTCGATGTCGTGACACCAATCATATCTGGCATCTCTGGATACCAATTGCATTGTAGGAACAAGATATCTTCTCCAATATCGTCACATCTGCTTGTCGAGATGTGCTGCAGGGGCGATGATGCGTTCTTTGTGGGGTCCAACTTGAACACAGCCAGTGTCCCAGTGCTTGATACCACGGCTAGAATATCTCCTAGATCTTTGCCAGGATGAAAGCGGAGGTCCAAAATAGCCGATGGCTGTGAAACTGTCTGGACTAGACGACTGGAATATCTGTTAGTTTCGACACAGAGCTTGGGATAAAAATAATACTCACAGTTCAGCACCATCTACCCTGTATACTAAGAGACTACCATTGCGGCTTTGTGGTGTTTTGGTCGCTGTTACAACCTCATCATCGTCACTGTCTTGTTTGTTCTCTTGGATGTCTTGTTCGTTTTTTTCAAGATTGTAAGTTCCCACCACAAACAAATCAGGATGCACGGGGCAAGACTGTATGCAACTGGGAGGGAGGTCCAAAATCAAAGAGACCTTTGAAGAGATCACTTTTGAATCGTCCATTGGGAAATGTACCAAGGTACTTCTGATATTGAAAGTGCAAGGTTTTGGCAAATCAACGACAAACGGATGAAGTTCAAACGGCGTGGATCCACCCTGGACATGTTTCTGCAGATATTATTCATTCTACGCCGTAACTTACTGTACGCTTCTACAAACTGGGGCTGGGGGATCGTCGTTGGACCTCAAGATCGTGTTTGCTGTATCTAGAGGAATACGACAGCAAACTAAGTCATCAAGGCTCTATAAAGAAACGGTACATTAAGTTAAGTTTCATATATCTACTACTCAATTGCAGGACCTCAAAGCCTTATCAGCGTTGCAGGGTATACACAGGCCTCAAAGCTTAACTGCCAGACTAGCGCTCCGTCAACGCGAACTTGCTTCTTCGACTCCATCCTCTCGCCTGGGGTAATTGTCTCCTACGTCAACAACGCGCACTTCACTTCGGCTGCTTTTGAAGGATCGACCGGACAAACGATTGTCGTTCACTTTTTATCTCCAAACTTTTGTGTGTATGCTTACGTTTACGTCTGCTATGCAGGTTGTGCTCTTGTCCACAAACCACAAACTGCTACCAACAGTGTCATAGCTCATTAACATCAGTCTTGCTTTCATCTCGTCCTTGCCGTCTCAGCATCTACTTAAACAGCAACATGGATTACTCCGATGATTCTGATTTTTACGGTAACCCAACAACTTCTACCAAACTTACTCATTAGCTTACCATGACAGGGGACGAGGAAACTGTAATGGACCTTCGTTATCGTGTCCAAGAATTCGACGCCCAGGGCTGGATGCTCCAGCAGCAACAAAGTCCCGGAAGACCACTTCCTCGCAAAAACATCGTCGCAGATACATCGCATCTCCATAATCCCTATGCTGGTGTTCACTATGCGTGGCAGCTTACAGAGACGGTAGATGACTTCCTCACCCGTCTGCCACCAAAGACAACAGACATCACAGAGGATACACCATGGATTTTTATTTGCAATCCATATATTCCTCGTGTGGAGAAATTCATGGCGCAGAACCAGCTCAGTAAAGGCAATGAAGACGAAGCCCCTGAAGAGGAAGGCAGCAAGACCGCGCTTGTCATGGAAGGTGGCCTTGAACGACTGGAGCTTCTAACCAAGTTCATGGACGGTATCAAGAAAAGCAACAAGGCCTTGTCAATACAGGAGCGGGAGATGACCAGGGAACAAAAGAAAGCCTCAGACGACATACTGCACCTGGCACACGCGGCCAAAGTTCGAGCTGGCAAGGTATGAAACATCAACCTTCTCCTGGCAACCCGCGACTAACTTCAACAGTGGATGCTATTCTGCTCACCAGCAGAAGTCAACGATGTGTGGGATATCATCGCAAAAGCAACTGCAAACAACGAGCTTGGCATCGCAGCAAAAGTTGCTCCTCGGCCAGTCGACGAAGATTCCCGCAAGGATCGAATCATCTGTGTGTACACGACCGATTTCGCAGACAAGGCCGATGTAGGCAGGGTTCTTCAGAAGCTGCGAGAGCTCAGATTGGTAGAGGCTCGAGGAAGGCCAATCTACTATAAGCCAGGTGAGTCATGGCCAGCCATTGGTTGCCAGGAAAGTGAGGCTGACGCAGTCGATAGATGCATATACGTACATAGGGATATCATTTGGCAACCCCTGGGGTCTAAAAGCGTCAATCTATAAGTCATCTGACATTTTCCAAACCTGATGACACGACATATGACTCATCCAACTGTGCAGCACAGAGCATCAAGCATATTCCAGCGCGTATCTGAAAAAGAAAAGAAGAAGAAAAAACCGGTGTACATAGTGGATAGAGCGAGAAAAAAATAAAAAAATTCATAACATCATAGGCATCGTTCCCGCTTTCCCAAACACCAGTCGTGACAAAGATGATGCAATCCCTCATGACGCTCAAATGCGGTATACCACTGAGCCTATCCATCCATACTCATTATCAATGACTTGCTATGATTCAACTCCGTAGAAACGCCATAAAACACATTCTTGAAGGCTTAAACGTCGATGATCTCAAGATCATTCGGGCCAGCATCGAGGTCGATGTACTTCAGCGGCAGAACAAGTCGATATGCGCTATTTCCATTGAGGTAGTAACGGTGCAGCTTCTTAGTACGCAGGAAGCCGAGCTGCTCATACAACCGCATGGCGGCGACATTTGTCTCCTCAGTCTCGAGGACAATTTCGTCAGCATTGCGCTTCGTCATTGCGTCAATGGCCTTCTTGACGAGGGTCGTGGCGATGCCATGGCCACGAAAGTCAGAGGCGACAGCCAGCATGGCGATGTAGCCTCGACGTGTTGGGTTTGAGTGTGAGGCATGAACTTCCAGCTTACACACAATGACACCAATGAGGGATGAATCGGCTGGGTTCAAGGCCTATGGGATGATAGTTAGAAATCCGAAGAGCTACTATGAGGGAGAAGGAAAGATCTTACCATGAAGCAGAGATGTGCCCATTGACATAAGAAATATCGATATACATAGATGCTATAAGGCTCACTCAAGTCCTTTGAGATCAATGCCCGAATAGCGGGTAGATATTCTGCCTCAAGAGCATGTTCGTATTGGATGTAGCGCAATTCGCTGGGGAGGCTGTCGGTTTTGTTAAGGGCCATGAGAAGATGAGGTTTTGCTGATGTGAGGAAAGGTTGAACTGATGTGGGTGCAGGCGATAGATGTATGAGTCCACTCCTGTATTCTGGTGGAGTCAATGTGTTGAAGTTGAAGTTTGAGTGAGATGTTGAAAATGGATGTCAAAGGGTTTAAAACCAGATTTCGACTTCCAATTGCTTGACACCTAAAGAGGGGCAGGCAGAAATGGAGCTCAGCCCGGTATCGGTGGGTGAGGGGCAGTCTAAAAATGAACAATGATGGAAGGAGGAAAGGACGAGGTTGTTTGGATCGACAGATTCATTAATCCCAAAGCAAGAGAGGGTGGGAATATGTCGAGATTCGATTTGAGGGTTTTGGGCTGAAGTGGCAACATGCATCTCATCTCGCAGCTGGAGACAGAAGCAGCTAGCGACGGGCGGGAGCGAATTACCAGGTTTGGTAACCCCCAAAGACTTGATGCACACGGCCACGAGGGCGAGGCTTGCAGGGCAGTTGGTAGAGAATCTGCTGCAGAAAGCCAAGGGCCCGACGCTAAGTATTTTAGAGCCTTTTTGCTTCAATGTGGAGGGGCTGAGGCGGGGTATTTCTGCAGTTAATGATACAGAAGGTGGGCACCTTGGATATGATCTGACTAAGGTACCTACCTAAGGTACCTATTTGATATGCTGGCAGGCTATATACTAGGTACTATAGATATCTGCAATGCACTCTATACACCAGGTACCTAAGGTACCTACAGGCCAGTTGAGTCGAACTGTATATAACCAGACAACCTATGGCTGCCTGCTGTTGGATCTAATGCATTTGTCAAAGTCTCCCCTCTCAATATCTGTCTACCTAGCATGCATGTAATATTGAGACTCCTCGAAACTTCCCTTGAATACTATTACCTTACCAAGTTATCCCAGACAATAACCCCTACCTAGCCCAGTCTCTCACAGCAATTTTTTAACTCGTCCAACAACCTTGCCTTGGCAATCTCGGTCCCTTCCGCATAATCCGGTAGATGTTTTATTAGCCTTGGCCTTAGCCTTATCCTGGTTTTGACGTCAGGTTCCTGCCTATCAGGTACAATAAGCATGTGCTCCCTGACGACACTGACGATTTTCATGTGATAGACGCGATTTACAAAACATGGCGCAGCTTCGTAATTTAACAAACACCTTGGCGTTGGACGTTTTTTTTCACTTATCATCGCGACTTCAACTTACCTAGTAAACTTCTTTCTTTTGGGTAAAAACCTAGGTACGATACTGTAGGCGTTGCGGTAAAAAGGTCCGCTGACAGATGATACCGGCGCACCCCGTTTTTTTCTTTTTGTTTTAGAGCACGCGCCAACCTAAGCTTAACCTCTATATGGGCGTCATAGCTACGTACAGCTCTTCTTAAACTTCCATCAAATTTCCCTAGTCTAGCTGTGGTAGTTTTTTTCCTCATAATCTAGAGACTGAACCAGACAGACGGCGCCTCCCAGAGGCCTGCTCCTGCGTCGACAACATGGCGACTAATCTGCGACGCCGGAACATTCAAGATGCGAAAACCGACGATACCGACGATACTTCAAGGGAGGAAAGCCCGGCAACTCAACCGACTACCCACGTACATGTTGTCGAACATGTCATCCCAAAGACCCGAAAGCGTCGCAATACCTTCATCTTCTTCCTCGGCAGTTTGTGTGGAATTATACTTGCAGGCTTTTTCGCTTCCAGCAATGACCTTATCGACCTTCCCGAGTTCACCGACTTATCCATGGACAATCTCCTAGATGCCTTGCCGGCTGGCTTGGTCAAGGACATGCGCGATCTTATTCAAGGCGAGCGCGATCTTGCGGAATCATATGAGCCTTTCTCTGTTGGGACCAAGGCTCGGTCAGAAGGCCTCGAAGCATACCATCCTATGATCATGATCCCAGGAGTTATCTCCACTGGACTTGAGTCTTGGGGGACCGCCAATATCTCAAGAGCATATTTCAGGAAGCGACTTTGGGGAAGTTGGACCATGATGAAGGCCTTGGTCATGGATAAGGAGGTTTGGAAGAAGCATGTCATGCTTGACAAGAAAACCGGTCTTGACCCGCCCGACGTCAAACTAAGAGCTGCTCAAGGGTTCGACGCCACCGATTTCTTTATCACAGGATACTGGATCTGGAACAAGATTTTCGAAAATCTTGCTTCTATTGGCTATGACCCAACAAACTCTTTTACAGCTTCATACGACTGGCGCTTATCCTATCCTAACCTCGAGGTGCGAGACCGTTATTTTACTCGACTCAAGTCGTACATCGAAGTCGCTTTGGCCGTTGAGAATAGAAAGGTTGTTTTGGCCTCACACAGCATGGGCAGCCAGGTACTATTTTACTTCCTACACTGGGTACAGTCTGAGCAAGGTGGTCGTGGCGGCCAGGACTGGGTTGAGCAGCATGTCGAAGCCTGGATCAACATCAGTGGATGCATGCTTGGAGCAGTCAAGGATCTGACCGCTGTGCTCTCCGGTGAGATGCGTGATACGGCCCAGCTTAACCCCTTTGCCATCTATGGCTTGGAAAAATTCCTGAGTAAGGAAGAAAGGGCCGAAATATTCCGCGGCATGCCCGGCATATCCTCTATGCTGCCCATCGGTGGCAATGCTGTATGGGGCAATTTGACGTGGGCGCCGGATGATTTGCCAGGCCAGAATCGTTCCTACGGTTCTGTCTTAAACTTTAGAGCCGGCTCGAACTGGACAACTCCTGATCGTAACTTTACTGTCGAGGAGGGTCTGTCCTACCTGCTCAACACAACTGAGGACTGGTACCGAGATCAGATTAAGGGAAGTTTCTCCCGTGGCATTGCTCACACTATCGCCGAGGTTGAGGCAAACGAGATGGATCCCAAAAAATGGATTAACCCTCTTGAGACCCGACTACCACTTGCGCCAAGCCTCAAGATTTACTGCTTTTATGGCGTTGGAAAGCCCACTGAGCGAGGGTACTATTACAGATCCCCTGATCAGCCTCTAACTACCAACCTTAATATCACTATGGATACTGGTTTTACAGAAGGGGATGTGGACCATGGCGTTATCATGGGCGAGGGCGATGGTACTGTCAACCTTATCAGCACGGGTTACATGTGTAATCATGGCTGGAATATGAAGCGTTACAACCCGGCAGGCGTCAAGATCACGGTTGTCGAGATGCCCCACGAACCGGAACGCTTTAATCCTCGAGGAGGACCTCGTACGGCCGACCACGTTGACATCTTGGGGCGATACAACCTGAACGAGCTGCTGTTGAAGGTAGCCGGTGGAAAAGGTGACACGATTACGAACTATGTTGTCAGTAACATTAAAGAATATGCATCCAGAGTCAAGATTTACGACGATAACCACGACAAAGACGAATAGGATAAGAGGAAAGCATAGACTGATCGCCTCGCAGCGGTGTCGATATTGGTTGTAGTTGTTTACATTATTTGGCGTTTGGGAGTACTCGCCATAGACGCTTTGTTTAAACTCATGATACCCTTCCTCACACGCTTTGTAACTCAACGCAGAATGGGCCATTTGAGAGGTTTGGGTTTGGGATAGAGAGAGCGTTTTACATATATACCTAGGCACTTTAGGAAATCATATGATCATGCGTTTCAGCGACATGTCCCGATACCAGTACAATTGAACGGTCCAAGTCATATACCCAATTCATACCATACCCAATTGTGGCGGTGCCTCTTGGATGTCGTGACACGCAGTAATCAGCCACATTACAATTACCAGAAGCCATAAATCCATAGCAATACTCATGACCACCAATGTTGATGCTCTATTACTCTGTAGGTGGTCCGCCAAGCCAGCGTTCAGCAGGATAGGACAGGCCTAGATGAGGTCACGGTACAGCTAACGTTAAACGCGACAGAGTCTCGACCCCGCCACCTGAATTCTCGAAACACAACCACAACACACAAACTTTGGCCTTCGAATTTTTGGTCCATCTCAGCTTCTGGTCTCGTCGCTCCAGGAGATGAACCCCTGTGTCTACTTCTGCCTCCGGAAGCCATTGTCGTTTGGCTCCTCGTTAAGTCGTTTCTACTTCGCGCAGCACTCCCGATCGAACTCGCATCACGCACGTCCAGCAGCTCCAGCCTCGGTAGCAGGACTCGATGCCTTGGTCCCTGTACCCCCACGGAAACGAGGATCATGGCAGACTTCGAAGATCCATCTTACTCTCATGAAGAGGATGAAGAAAAGCTCTGGAATGGTAGGTCTCGCTCAAATGTTATTGTAGAGGACACGAATTAGCTGACATTGTTGGTCTCGTAGATCTTGATAAATGCGTCTCGAGCCAATGCGATTCCCACGAAACGATCGACGATACCCTCCGTACCTGGATAGAATTGACGACTCGCCTCGGTGGCCTATCAGACGGATCTGAGGATGAAGTCGTTACTTGCGCACGAGTGCTCCTTGCCAGCAATCTGTTCAGGGTCCATAGAGACTATGTCCGCACTCAGATCATCTACAGCCTGCTCCAGGAGGACGAATCTGGTCCGTTGCATGCTATTGTTTGCCTTCTTCTCCTCGATGGCTGCCAGGATGAGGCCATGTTCCCTCGCATGGTGAACGAGGCTTGTTTCCCCCGGTTGTTGGAGCTGATCAACGGTCGTCGAGACCAAGATCCGCGTCTGCATCGGCTTCTTCTGCAGCTCATGTATGAGATGTCGCGTATGGAGCGACTTCGAGTTGATGATCTCACTAAGGTTGATGATGAATTCGTGCAATACCTTTTTGCCTTGATTGAAGAGTTATCTGATGATGCGTATGATCCATACCATTATCCTACTATTCGAGTTTTGGTAAGCAGTCCAACTTTCCGAGCAGATACACGTTATCTAACATAGATGCAGCTTGTTTTGAACGAACAGTACATGCTTGCTTCGACTGAAGTCGGCGATGCTTCTTCTGATTCACCCTTAACGAACAGAATTGTTAAATGTTTGAGTCTTCATGGGGCATCATTCCGAACATTTGGTGAAAACATCATCTTGCTTCTGAATCGAGAAACCGAGACTTCGCTACAACTACTCATTTTGAAGCTCCTTTATTTGCTATTCACTAATAAGGCAACATACGAATATTTTTATACAAACGACTTGAGGGTACTTCTGGACGTCATTATTCGAAACCTAATGGACCTGCCGGACGAAAAGATGTCCCTGAGACATACTTACCTACGAGTGCTATATCCATTACTGGCACATACACAACTTAGCCATCCGCCGCATTATAAGCAAGACGAAATTCTCCGCGTGCTGAATATTCTTCGAGGGTCGCAGAACGTGCACTTCGCACCAGCAGACAACACAACTCTTCGCCTAGTCGATCGTGTATCCAAGGTCAAATGGATTGAAGAGGCGCAATCACCCACTGTGGGATCTGGCGAGGCCGAAGTCGCACGCAGATTCTTGGGTATCAGCCTCTCGCGCTCGCAGACCGCGAGTAGTGTTAGCGTCAGCGACGTCGCGGCAGTTAAGGAGAAGCCGGGCGTGCAGACACCAAGCCGATCGGGTGAGGCGGGCGAAGCTGGCGCTGTAGATGAAGGTCTCACGATGGGTACCAGGCCAAAGAAGCCGCTGCCAGAGGTACCAAAGCATCGACATGGAGTTCCGTTTGCACAAAAGTTTGTCAATGGAGGACAGAAGAAGACGCCACCAAAGGCGCCACCACCGCGACGATGGGGACGGATGAAGACGGTTGAGAAACCTCCTGCGGATCCTGTTAAGGAACCGGCTCAGGAGCAGGAGGCCGCCTGATACTTCAACAGCCAGACTGTTGTTCTCCGCGCTGCAAACAATGGCAGAGTGACATCCAGTTAAATGGCGGGGACCGGTCGATAACTACGAGTCTGCACTAGGGGAGATTTTTGGGTTGACGAAGGCGTTGTGGAGCATTCTACTGTACTGTATCCGTACTTGGCTGGGCACAAAGCATGAGGCATGGCGTTTTGAGTGATTTTGGTCTTGGTCTTGGTCTTGGCCTGGGAGATTGCAAATGAACCGGCAAGTCTCATTAGGTACTGCCGCTTGTCAGAGTAGAGTTTATAGGATTATATGCAAGATGGATAACTTGTCTTTTGGCAGACATGTGACGATGGCATCATTGAGTGAACTGTGTAGCACAGGACTTGGTATCTCACCAGGAACGAGAGAATTAACTATGCATATCGCAGCAAAATACTCCGTATTTCTTTTTGAATTTCCTCAGTGGGGGGGGGGGGGGTTTGATCGGTAGTCAATATACCAATGTCGAGCCGGGGTTCGTCGTGTAATATTCAAGATTAACTCGGTTTTTCTGGAGATTTGAGATAAGTAATCAACTCCATGCGGAGAAAGTCGACGAAACAACGAAACAACAAGATGCAGATCCGGAGGGCGGCGATGCCGAGCAGATCTTGGTTTCAGGCTTCAGCCGTGGCAGTGGCAGCGGCAGTGGATGCATCCGTGAGATTCTGTTGTCTACATATGAATGGGATTGGCCGCGCATGAGATTGGGCAGAGCCTGGAGGTAATGACGATCGTCGTTGGGTTGCGGCTTTGGGTTGAAGACATCACCAAGATCAAGGGATAAAACCCTTTACAGTGGCGTCCATCTACGTCATCAGTGACTGCCAAGGTGGGGAAGAGGTGCTGAAAACTGGCTGCAAGCAGCTGAGCTGGGGTGTTCAGCAGCTGGAGGTGAGATATACTTGCGAGTACCTGAGAATAGCTGAAGCTGGATCAGATTTTAGGGACAAAATAGCGGAGCTTGGGGCGCTCAGCGTGCTGCCAATTAAGTGCTTCTTAAGTAAGTACTGCGCAAAAGCCCAGTTGGTGTCAGTGTTCTTGGCGTGCAACCAGAGAAACTCAATCCCCCTTCTCCAAGTCCGTCAACTGCATCATCCATTCATATCATAACAAACACCACAACCATACCGCCCATTGTTGTCTTCGATCACGATCGCGTGTGGAGGCTGCCATTAACGTTTACTGTCTCGGTTGATTCCTCCTATTCTTATTCCCTTACAGATGAAGACTACAAACTCCGGCCAAGAATAATGCTGTAAGTGCCTAGCTACCTATGTACATCGTTTTGCCGTTTAGTCTAAATGCAATAAACGGATTAAAATCTCTTCCATTGTGGAACATACTTACAAACAAAACCCCTGATCTTCAGTCTATTACCCGCTGATTCTCATCTCATTACTCCACCTAGAGTCTCTGTCCAAGCTTCTCCAAACAAGCCAAACTAACAGCCAAGCGAACGCGACAGACACACGTCGTCGATTTACCATCATCATTTGTCTCAGAAAGTTCCCCCACTGCAGCAAAGTCCCAAAGACACTACAAGCACGCTAGTCCCACGCTTTGAACTTGAACGGACCTCGAGTTTTAGTCCTAGCGGCCCTGCCAGCGGTCAGTTGTGCGCCCATTGCGTCAACACCATCCATCTTGCGAGTCTGCACCTTGGTTTTTGCTCTTTTCTCTCTCTGAAGTCTAACTAGACAGCTCAGCTCGCTCCGCATCTTCCCCTCCACTCGGCGCCATCACTGACTTTCTAGGTTCTAGGTTCCAGGTTCTAGGCTCCTCCCTCCCTTTCCGTCTCCGATCCCCCATCTTCGCGTGGTCCCATTCCGTTGTCTCTGTCTCCCCTCAGTTGGTGCTTGGTCCTGGCTTGCTTTAAGTCGGGGTAGTCTAAGTTGAACCACTCTTCTACATAGCGGTACCGTAGGAGAATAACAACGCCACCTTCGCCATGGATCTACCTACTTCTAACTCCCAATCTCAACCTTCGTCATTCCCCCAACGTTCCACTTTCTCCTACTCGCACGGGCAAGATTCTTCTGCAACTGATGCCAATACCGCTGCCAACACACACACAAACTCACACTCTCAATACGACGACAGTTACCATCAGTCGAACGCGATTCACGCACCACAGCCGCAGCTTCTGTCGCAACAAACAGGTCGTTTCACCGAGGAATGGGGAGCAGCACAACGCGGTCCTTCTGTCCTTCTTGATTATCCTGCGACTGGCGCAAATATGCAGCGTAGCAATTCCGTTCACAGCTTCATCACTGGTGATGACCAGCAATTTCCCTCACGTTCAAACACTCTCAAGAAGAAGAATTCGGTGCGCCGAAATGGGAGCCTCAAGCGTAGCGGTAGTCGCCGCAGCATGAGGGCCGGAAGCGTTAGAAGTCTCGCTTTGCAGTCCTCCTCTGACCATGATGAGGCGCGCAGCGCTTTCTATTGTCCGGTTCCTACGACAGGTAACCCGACCGACACCCTTTCAAACCGATTTCAAAACTGGAGAAAGGTGCTCAAAGATCTTATTGCATACTTCCGTGAGATTCAAACACACTATGAACACCGCTGCAAGTCACTCCTCAAGCTTGCCAATGTCTCCAACAACATTACTACGCCACCTGGGTTCCTGCAGTCGTCTGGCATTGATGATGCTCTCCAATTCCTACGAGCGTACAATAAGAACGCCATTCTCGAGGCCAACAAGGCCAAAGATATTGAAGAAGATGTGATTCTTGCTCTCACTGGATTGCGAAGTGATCTTCAACAGAAGATCAAGGAAATCAAAAATCTTTCGGGCGATTTCAAAAACTCAGTCGACAAGGAAATGGATCATACTCGCAAGGCTGTCAAGACTCTTAGTGACATTCTGGGACGAAATGAGTTGGATGATGCTTCAACGACTGGCAAGCAAGACCCTTACTTACTGCGTCTGGCTGTTGACCGTCAGGTTGAGCGTCAATTGGACGAAGAGAACTACCTACACCAGGCTTACCTTAACCTGGAAAATTCAGGACGAGAGTTGGAAGCAATTGTGGTTGGGGAGATTCAGAAGGCCTACAATGCCTATGCTGGCATTCTCAAGCGCGAAGCCGATAACTCCTACAGCCTCGTTGGCGAGTTGCGAGACGGCCCAATTGCCATGCCTAAGGATCATGAATGGATCGACTTTGTGACCCACGACGAGAAGTTTGTTGACCCAAGCATTCCCCTAAGGACGGCGGACCAGATTCACTACCCCGGACAGGACCATGAGGCAGCCCAGGAGATTCGAGCTGGATTGTTGGAGCGTAAGAGCAAATATTTAAAGAGCTATACAGCCGGCTGGTATGTTTTTTGCTAATATCACATGTGTGCTACATGAATAAGGTTAACACAATGGTTAGGTACGTACTTTCTGCCACACATCTTCACGAATTCAAGACCGCGGATAAGGCGCAAGCCCCTATTATGTCTCTTTATCTTCCAGAACAGAAAGTCGGATCGCACTCGAACGAAGGAGGCTCCTCGAACAAGTTCATCCTCAAGGGTCGCCAAACGGGCGGCATGCATCGGGGACATACTTGGGTGTTCCGTGCTGAAAGCCATGACACCATGATGGCGTGGTACGAGGACATCAAAGCTCTTACGGAGAAGACCCTCGAGGAGCGCAACCAGTTTGTGCGCAGCCATTCTAGAAGCTTGAGCCGATCATCCCGACGATCAGTTAGTAGCGATGGACTGGTCGACGAGGAAGACGAGGAGCCGTTCACGGCCGATACTGAATCTTTTACCAACCCGGGACCAAGGCAACACGAGGCGACCCCCCGGCGATCTCAAGCAGGTGGGCGGTTCCCATCTGATATCCAAGTCAATGCGCAACGTGGCTTACAGGCCCCTCATTCGCCTTCTAGTGTAAGCTCTGGCTTCCAGGACAACAAGGACCCCGTTGTACCACCGATCGTTACGGGTGCCCTTTCTGGTCCGGCCGCTGGAGAATCGGAGCATCAAGGCTATGGCACTGTTCATGAGACACCCATGGACGAGATGCCATCTCATGCTGCCATTGCGAGCCAAAAAGCTCATTACGATGGTGTTAACCCTTATACGAGCGAGCCTGTTCATCAGACTCCCATTGAGCCATCCCCTCTCAACCAGCAGCAGCAGCAGCAATATCAATCGCAGTATGAACCACAGCAGCAACAGCAGCCTATTCAGCTGTCAGAATACGTTGACCAACACAATGACCATACTTTTGTTCCTGTTGTGGTCCCTCAGGGTAAGGAGGAGGAACGTGATGACGGTTTCGCCAGCACTCAACAAAACCACTATGATGAAAAGCCTAACAACTATACCATGGCACCACGGGAGGAGCCGCATGGCGGTTACACCGTCAGTGGAAGTGGTCTCCAGGGATCAGCATATGAGCAAACTTCAGACGACTACCCAACATACGAGTCACAGACGTCTTACGGCAACCAGCCTAACTATGACCATGCCAACGGTGGTGCCAAGATCAACAACTACACAATGACGACAGTTGGAGAAGGCTTTCCTAGATTAGATGGTGCTGCGACTCAAGAGCATCAGCCATTGGCGCGACAGGCCGAATCGGTTTATACAGAGCGCGATTCTATCTTGCTCCAGACGGACGATGAAGATGATACCCCAGCCCCTATGCGACCGTCAGGCGGCAACCGAACCGAGAGCCATAACACGATCTCAAACCTGCATATTCCTGGTGGTTATCCTAAGGGCACTCAGGCATAAGGATGATGCCGTGACTTTAAGTTGTGTATTTATGCTTTTATGTTATTTCCTTATGATCAGTTTCATATCGCGTTGATGGAGAGTTGGGTATGGAGAATGGACAAGCGTTGGTAAATGGGCTAGCAGCGTTGATGGAACTGGCGGGAGGCGTTGGTTTCAGTGTTGGTGGTATATCCCTCGTTTGGTTTTGGTTTTGCGATTATTTTTACTTGGATCGTCTTGATAAGATATCTGTAGTTTGTGGAAAATGTACTAAAGTAAAGCGCGTGCTACAGTACACAGGTCTTCTAGTTGAGTGAATTTGTTGAGGTGATAGATCATTGGTCAAAATAAGTCGCACATAGATAAACTCAGCTCTAGGTAAACTTTTTCTGTTGATCATGTCTTCTTCTGCTGGGTCATCAGAGCTACGAGATGTCGGCCGCTTAGTTTTTCCTCTCCGTCCGTCACCAGCCAATCGGTGTGCTTCAAGCTAGCTCCCGCCGTACCTTCAGTGGGCACTCTCTTTGCAAAATTTCACACGGCAAAAAAAAAAAGTGTTCAGCATTCGACTACGCGGACGACCAAACCCGACGAACAGCAACAAACATACCAGCCCCGGGTACAAGTCGAACAATCAAGCACAAACGAGCGGTCGAATCGCGAAATCTTTCCATCTCTCAGATTTATCCCAATTGGCGACAAGGCGCAAAACTAGATCATCATGTCTTTCCGAGGAGGTTCGCGTGGACGCGGCGGTAGCGGATTTGGTGGCCGTGGCGGTGGTACGTCTTTTCTCTTTCCTTCGCGAGGGTTGATTTTGGGGGATTGCAAAAGTATTGGGCCTGCAAGGGAATCGACGATGAAGCAATTGAGGCTGGGATCGTGGGATGCTTAGCTGTTGAAGAGCAGTGGATGGTGTCATGAAATCGCAAAAACCACTTACTAACGTACATACTTATAGGTCGCGGCGGTGGCTTCCAGCAGCGAGACATGGGTCCTCCTGCTCAGATCCTCGGTACGTCTTTGCACCATATTCCCATCTCAGTCATCGTCATTACCGGCAACATACTAACGTTTCTTCAGAGATGGGCAAGTTCGTTCACGCCTGCGAGGGCGAGATGGTCTGCGAGTCCATCAACCCCAAGGTCCCCCACTTTAACGCCCAGATCTTCCTCGAGAACAAGACGGCTGTCGGCAAGGTCGACGAGGTCCTCGGCCCCATCAACCAGGTCTTCTTCACCATCAAGCCCACCGAAGGCATCCAGGCCACCTCTTTCAAGGAGGGCGACAAGTTCTTCATCGGCTCCGAGAAGCTTCTGCCCCTCGACAAGTTCCTGCCCAAGCCTAAGCCCCCGCCTGGTGCCCCCAAGCCCAAGCGCGCTGGCGGCGGTCGCGGTGGTGCCCGTGGTGGTGGTCGCGGCGGCTTCGGTGCTCGCGGCGGCGGCCGTGGAGGTTTCGGCGGTGGTCGCGGCGGTGGCGGCGGCGGTGGTTTCGGTGGCCGTGGTGGTCGCGGTGGAAGCGGTTTCGCCGCTCGTGGTGGTGGCCGTGGCGGCAGTGGTGGTTTCTCTCGAGGTGGCGGCGGCGGCGGCTTCGGCGGTGGTCGCGGACGTGGTGGTTTCAGCCGTGGGGGCCGATAATCTCTTGACGACGATGACAACCTACCGATCGCTCCCATAAACCAGGAGAGGACGAAGTCAACGCCATAAATTGCCTGTAGTGCAACGCGACCCACGAAAGGTGTTTAGACGGAGAAGAGGACGAGAGAAACCCCCGTTGGAATTAGGAGGCGGGAAAGAAAGAAAGGGATTAACATGTATTTCTCTGGCGTTGGACGGATTCTGATTTTCCAAAGTGCTTTGCTTGGTTTGGTTTTTTCCCCGCTGGCTCTATATCCCCAATCCTGCGATGTTCGTATGGTACGGCATTGGAGTTTGTATTGTACAGACACAAGAGGATTCAACGAAGAAGACAAGAGAGAAACCAAGAAGAACGGGCAACCTTTTAACCTTAACACATGTGTCTCTTTGTGAAGCGACTGGAATATGTATGTTGACTGATAGTACTATGTAATCTCCTGTCCACGCTCTTGGGTATAATAAGCTCACAGCTAAGAACCAGCTCCAGTAACTCCATCGAAACAAATGAAATCATTCTCTCCGACGTCTAAGTATTGCTGCGTAAAGTAGGCCGAGGGATAGAATGAAGGCCAGCCCTCCCAATCCTAGACCAAAGTACTGCGCATCTCGATATCCTCCTAGAGGGTTCTTGATATTTCTTTTCCGCGCCTCCACAGCTCCCGCCATACCCAATCCAACAGAGAAAGAAAATGCGGCTACCATGTTGGTGAGACTACTCGCGAGCCCAAGTTGTCCCTCGGGGACATCGCGTCCCAGTACTGTTGAGGATGAGGGGATAACCAAGACCATACCCACTCCCATAAATATAGTACTGGCAAATGAGTTGGACCAGTATCCCTGCTGAGCTGGCGCTGTAGCCACCAAAGCTGAACTGATCAAAATCGATATTGATGAAACAACAACCACGAGCTGAGCTGTGAACTCACGATTTGAGAAAGGCCAACTCAGAAAGCCAACCACAACTCCCACCACTAGTATTGGAACCAGCCCAGCACTTGTGAGTAATGGACCCCATCCTCTCACGACTTCAATGAACTGGGCAAAATACCAAACCCAAACCCCGAACGCTGCCGAGGCGACTGCTACGAAGCCGATAGTGACAGCAGCAGCCAGATGGATCTGTTTGAATGGGACCAGTGGGTGGCTGGCTTGCGCTTCAAAGAAGCCGAATAGTGGCATAAGTAAGATGCCGGCAAAAATTAGTATATATGCTTCAGCGTTGCCCCATCCTACGATGGGCACCTGGTTCCAGCCAACGCTGAAAAGAACCAAGGCAGCAGCTCCAAATAAAAAGCCCAAGATATCCAGGCGTTTCCAAACATTGCCTTCGAAATCATAGACCAGAACTCTCTTTGCGGGAACAACAAGCACGCTTGAGACCCCTAAAGCTACACAAACCGTGGCCAGGCAGTAGAAAGCCCAAGGCCACGAGGTGTAGTTAGACAAAAGACCTGTCATGACTGAACCAAGGACAAACCCGAAAGGAGCAGCAGCATCGAATAAGCCCATAGCAAGCATCTTGCGCGGTCCAGGGGGGTACGCTCTCAACAGCAACCCGTAACCATTGGGAATAGCCAGTGCAGGACCGATGCCTTGCATCGCACGACAGATGCAGAAGAATACAGCTCCTCTATTGTCACTCGTTTGCACGTATACACTTAAGCCAGCGAGAAGACTCCATAGCGCAAACCAGAAATATCCGGCGATAAATGTGTACCTCTGACCACAAACATTTCCAATCCGATTGCCGAGAAGAGTTGTTGAACCGTAACCTAAGGCGTATGCTGAAGTAAACCAAGCAAGGTGCGCCGTACGTTGTGGCTCAAAGAACGACTCTCCGATATGCCGGCCGGGTATCAAAGTTTGCGCAAGACCAGCATACATCAACACTTGAGCCATGCAAATTATAGCAACAAAAAGACTTTCGTTGGTGGCGTGGTTGAACTCGATCTTCCTCGCGCCTTCATTCAAAGGTTTCCTGCGCAAACCTTGACTTGCAGGTGAAACAGGGTCCGAATCGGAGCCTGCACGAATATGTGTGACCGTGCCTAGTGGTAGAGACCGTGTACCAATGTCAGGTCTGAGAGCCATATACTGGTGATGCTGCGTCGTCGATCTGAAAGCTTCGAATCGTCTGGCAGCCTGGACAAGTCCGCCGTGATTGACCGAGAAGTCCCCCGGTAGGGGGGCAGGGTTCGGGGCAGGAGCTACATGTGGTTGAGGCTCGGCGAGGTTTACGGGAATGCTCAAGCGAGGGGGGGGTGTATGAGGCGTATCTAATCGTGGTGGTAAGTTTGGTGTGGCGAGTCGAATCAAGTCTTCGGGGATGTGAGCAGATGTTTCGGTCATTTCTGACTCCAGGTCCTGATCAAGCAAATAATCCGCCTCGGCATTTGGAGGTCGTCCTGGCATAAGTATGGTGGGTATATAATTGTTTCGAGATGAAGCACTGGGCGGGCTGGTCATGTCCGATACGCTCATTTGGCTCACCGCGTCCACGTCGAGTAAGTTCTGTGACATTCCACTAACGCTCGAAGGACTTCGAGCGTGCGAATGGGACTGAGAGTAAGAGCGAGAGTGAGAGTGTGCATAAGAGTGAGTATAAGTATGAGGTTGATAATGGGAACATGGATTGGAATTCGTGTAAGTGGGAGCTGGCGTAGTTGGAGAGTGGCCACCATATTGTTGCTGATAATGATGACGGAAAGACTCAGTCACCGCAATCATTGTGTCGGTAACATGTTGAATGGTAGCATTAGAGCGACTGGCTTGACGACGAGCCTCAGACTTTTCAGAGTCTTGTCGCGACATGCTCCGGAGAGGCTCCATTGTGATGATGTGAGGAGGTAGTCAGCAGTACCAACATTAGCAATGAGCGGCCCTCCTGTCATTCCTCGGTTATATCAATGCTTCTGACGAATCGGCTGCGTTAAGTAATGTTGTAGATGATAAATTCTCAATCAGAAGCATCATGGTTGAACAAAAAACCATGAGAGAGGTTTCAAAGATCAGCCTGACAGAAGACAGTCAGGGACAGTTGGGGTAATATGCTGATGGACAGAGCTCGCGCTGACAGCTTACAACTTACAGGGAGAAACAAACCCATGCCATGCCTCCGAACTGTAAGTGGATATGAAACGTTGGCTAATAGAAAGAAAGCTGTCTGTGTAAGCCTTCAAGGCTGATTCACCCCACAGCTAAGCTTGGCTCTTGGGTCCAGGCTTAGGTAGGTTCAGGCTCAGGCTCAAGGTCCGGAGTTTAAAGACCTGATGCTTCCATGTCTTTTCCTAGTCGGGGTTGGTGTTGGGGACCTTGAACCGAGATGAGGGTGGGCTAAGTTGACTTTGAGCCAGAAATAGATCCCTCGATCTTGTCTGCCGTTAAGCAGGATAATCTAGGACTTTCTCGCCCATGTGAGTAGTGAGCTACGATAATTTTCCTTGTCCTTGAACTACCTATTCAGAGTCATCGTCAACTTCCCTGATTACGTTTTGCCCACTTCACGAGCTTAGAGTGAATCACTAACCATAACTAAACTGGCAGGGAGCGGAAAAGGCCGGTCTACTCAGACTCAGTTTTCTGTTGTGTTGGTAAACTGGATGATGCATTGGCATAAGCGGCTAAGGAAGAGAACCCTGCAGTTCTGGTTGGATCGTTGATCTTCAACTTGTTGGTGATGTTGAAGGAAAAGCTACATAGTGGTATCCGTAGTGTTGGTGATACGGCACCGGGAATAAAGGAAGGGAAGGCGGCTGCGACCAACCCCCCAAAAAGACAAATCTTAGTACGAGGTAGGAGGCAACATGTGTAGCTTCCTAACTTAGGCTGTCGTAGTTTAACCACCACCGATAATCTTCACTCTTTTGCCCAGAAAGCATCATCGCCACAATAAATTCGGGAAACGACTTGGGTGTTATTCCTCACACAACATGACCGTGCTTCCTTGCGGTAAACAGCGATATCCTTGTCTATCATCAACGCACCGCCACCTCGTCTTTTGCTCTAACGTCCACTAGCGTCTCATCCTGCAGCACAGCCTCGATATGTTACACCCATGTCTTAATTACCCTGAATCCATAGTGGCTTCAGCGCCTTCACAACTACTGCATGTTTCAGAAGAGACCTACTATCTCGATGCTGTTCATTGGCTTGTCTCAGGCACGAGTAGGCCTAAGAAGGACACAAACATTTGGACTGTTCAAAGTTGGGTTCTTGTGACACATGAAAACATGTATAATCTAGAAAGTGAAGATCTCCCACGTCACCCTGTACCCCATTCTTCTCCCATTGCCGGGAGTTCGGCAGCCAAGCCTCGTCATGTTGCCCCAATCCACTCCCAGCAGAGCCTCAGATGTACGTACTGCGTGGTTGACTTAAATATCTTGTCCTATTTTTGGTAATCTCTATCTCATGCCCTTATATCTGTAGATCGCCTGAGGATAGATCGCGAAAGATAACCTACAGCTTCCTGTGGCAAAATACATATGCACACGTTCACGGCACACGGTCAGCGAGAGGAGAGCCCATCCGAGTAGCGATAATCAAAAGAGAGTTTCTAAATTCCATAGGAGTCACGATACATACCCACGGTATGTCCTAGTGAGATCACTACTTTACTCCCCACGATTGCATGACAGGGCTAGGCGGGGTTAACAGCAAGCGCTCGAATTCTCACTACATATTGGTCTAGCACAAGGATAAGAATAAGGCAAGGCAATGTACTGGTATCGTAAACTATCGTTGTGTCAATGAGCTGCGTGAATCATGCCCGTAAAAAGAAACCAAACCCCAAATGAACATGTCTCCGCTCGTGTGCGCTGAAACCCACTCCGATTCATATGTTTTCTTCTCATAACCTTCCTGTTAAACCCTTGTTCAACTCAAAGACATATCTGTCAATAGCAAAGCACATGCCCATATCTAGAAGATTGCATGTCCACTACACCCGCCTAGTGTTGAATATGACCATGCAACACTTTTCAACATGTTATATTGACTTTTGAAAGCCATTTAAGGCTTGGGAATTCGAATGGTCTTGCTAGTCATGAGACAGCCGTGGATCACGAACAGAAGAACGGCAGGATGGAATTCAAGGGCCGAACCCTCGAACCAGACACCGAAGGGAAGGTTATCATGAACCCAACGCTGCGAGAGCCAGTAGGCCATGATGGCGTCCATGCCGAGCGAAGTGGGGATAGGCGTTCCCTCGAAAAACTGGCTCTTGCCAGTCGCATCTTTGGGGAGGACGGCGACGGTCACATTGAAACGGGCGAGGCGAGTGAGACCGCAAAGCACAAAGAAGGTAAGACCAACGGTATCGGCAAGCGAGCGGAAACCGAGAGTGAAGGCCACCATGGCGGGGGCAACACCAAACGAGATCTAAACAGCACCAGGTTAGAGATGTCTTCATGTCTTGGCATATCTAAACGTACCAAATCGGCAAGGGAGTCTAGCTCCTGACCCATAAGACTGCTCTTCTTCCTCCATCGAGCGACCTTGCCATCAAAGGCATCAAAGAAGAAACCGAATGGTAGGAAGATAAGAGCAAGCCAGAGGCTGTCAAAATCCTTGGGATCACCGAGTGCGTATCGTAGCGAGGAGAAGATGGACATAACGCCACAGGCACCTGGGACAGAGGAGGATGGGTTAGCCAATTGGTCTCATACTCGGAAGGATGAGGCGCTGCGACTGTGCTGTTGCTTGCTATTCAGGTGCACATACCGTTCATGAGAGTGATCAAATCAGCAAGGTGCATGGCCCGCACAAGAGAAAAGTGTCCAACATCAGCAGACAGGAGCGTCTTTTGCTTGTCGATTGCTGCAAGAAGCCACATTGTTAGCTCCCAAGACCCATGCTTGTTTTCATTGCTTCATCGCAGGCTGAAGCTCACCTGGGCTGTTGGACGACATGACGTCCTTGGTGGTTTCGTTTGAGTCTGACGACACGGTATTGCTTCTTCTAGACATATTGCTAAACTTGCGGCGAGTTCGGGGTAAACTTCCACTATCTATGGTGAAGCTTTATAGAGCTGAAAAGGTACGCAAAGTCAAGTTCGGCGGGAGGTTGACAATCGCAAATGGCCTCAAGCTGGAAGCAAGCGGTGGTGGTTGACAAGAAAGAAATGCCAAGATAGCGCAACAAAAGTAATGTTACTGAACCAAACTGAGTTATTATCAGAAATATTGTTGAGCTTCTGGTTGTTGTGCGATGTTGTAGGAGAGAGGGGAGAGCAGGTTTCCCAGAAGTGGTTGACGTTGAGGATTGGCGTCGCGGTAGCTCTTTCGCGGCGGGACATCCAACTTCTTTCCTTGCTTCGGGAGATGCGTCATTGTGGGCGCTAGCGTTGGCGCTTGGCACGTGATCCAATATAGCTTGTTGGTGAACCGGTCCAGCCAATTTACAGGTTGTCACGCGAAGGGACGGAGATGGTGTTTAAAGGTCACATTGATATGTTTTGAGGTGGACATCAGTACACTTTAGAGAGATAGTCTGTACAAAGGCAGGCATGATAGACTTTCACTGTGTTTTACTGCACATCTTAGACCGTTGGGACGGATTATCACATGCTTCTTCTATTCGCGCTACATCGTATTCGCACAGAAGCTGGCTCACCGCAGATTGATTATGTGATTTTAACTTAGTAGATTGACACTGGACCTCACACAATCACAGTAATGTTGAAAAACAACCGCCGCAATTGAAAATAGAACCTCTTCTGCGGCGTTTATTCAGGTCCGCTCCTGCTCGTGGTATAATGCGGATGCGTCTCCCTCAACTTGATATGCAAGCGTGTGTGTAACGTGTACGACCTCTGTAGAGGTGATAGACAAAAAGAAAAAGCGCAACCTCAACGCCGGACTCAGACAAATGCCCCGATCTATGCTTTCGATATCTGTCTGGCCACTGTATGACAAGTAGGCGTGCCTTGGCACGCAGCAGAGGCCCTGCCCTTGTTTCGTGATTAACAATTAATGCTTATCCATCCATTGTCGGCTGTTCTCCTGTAGTAGGTGTGTTGGAAATCTGTAGGTATTGTAGCTGTTGTCCGCACTCATCGTGTGATAAGGACCGAGAAACCATCGAGCCACTGGCCGCATGAGCCAGAAACACCACATATGATGTATCCTCGAGGGGGTATTAAAGTGTGCCTAATCACAAGTTGTCAGATAAAGCTCGTAATGGCTGGATGATAGACTTACGAATCTCCTCCATGAGCATTGCCGTAGATAGGCGACTTGCGACCCAAACTCGTCAAAATTTGTATACCATCAATCCAGAAACCAGACCGCACAACAAAACCGCTAATGTATTCACCACGGCGGACATCTGTATCATGTTAGATTCTCGTCGCACTATCACTGTGGAGTAGCTTACCAAATTCGAAGGTATCTCCGCCATCTTTGCCGCCTTTCTTTCCAAATGAATCTTGGGAACCATCATCGTAGAAGAATTCCATTCCATCAACAGCCATTCCGTGATAAACAACCACGCGAGAGACAACCCGATCTTGCTTGGAAGCACTTGGAAAAACAATTTCCGTAGGCTGGCTTCCATCCATCTCAGAACTTCCCAGCTTCTGACTCCGGAAGCTGTTTTTCCCATTCGATAGCTTGACTTGCGATTCCTTCGAAGTAAACTTCTTGTAATCGTCAATATCAAGCGATCCACCTCCGTAGGACTTGACAGAGATTTTAATAGGCCCTTTCCTCTTCTTCTCGGGCAATCGACCTCGCAGCTCGCTTTCGCTAAGCGTGATTTGTCGAGAAGGTGCTCCTTGCTCTGAGAGATACTCGATCCACGCATGACAGACATCATCACCATCGGCGAAGATCTCGACGAAAAAGATGCCAGTAGCGGCCATGACAAGTATATTGCCATTCTCAACGGGGAAGGCCTGGACGCTACTATCGGAGTTGATAGAAGAATCTGTAGGAAGACGGAAAGCTGGATGAGCTCGAAAGCGAAGGCAGTCAAGGCGATGCCATCCACATTCATCACCCTGCAGCGCCAGGCCACCCTTGGATTTGGTCCTTGTACAATAGGCTTCGCGGGCCACAAAGGTACGGTTGAGTACCACGTAATCCCGTAGCATGATACCACTTTCTTGATGGGGGCATCCGAACAAATGCCCAGTTTCGTGCATATGAGCGCCGATACCGATGTTGGCAGCTTCCCAGGAACTGCCCGCTTCGTTGCAGTCGTTAGCCACATGCTTGGTGTCGGTTGGAGTGCAATCGGTGAAAGCGGGCACCACTTCTTCAAAAGTGCTAGGGTAACTGTGAAGGCAATGTGATCCAAAGATTGCCAGTTGCAAGCCCCCATCTCCTCCACCAAGAGCGGCGTGTCCAGTTACGGTCTTGGCATCGTTATCCCAATGAGCGTCTAAAAGGAGACAAGAAACATAGAGCTTCTGTCCTGGAAGTGGCTTGAAGTGGTTTTTGATAGCCTCCGAAGCGATTCCATAAAGGGCGCCTTTTTCAGTCGCCTTTTCGTTTTGCTGGGCCTTATTGAGGTCTCTGATCTCAGCAACGGTCTTGTCCGACCGAATGATGTGTACCCTGGCTTCGGAGCGCATGGTACCGTTCTCTTGGTCACGATAGTTGGCCGAACCTGTCGTCCAATCCTCATCAAACCGGAATGCTCGGCGCCCAAGCTTGTTGCGCCACATCTGCTCCGAGGTGAACGCCTGCCACAAGTATGCCGCCATCCTGAATTTCTTCACAGCGGTATCCAATCCATTGCCTTCCTTCTCGGCGCGGGCAGGCGAGGCATCGAAGGTTTCCGGGGAGTCTTTTGCGACGAGTATAGCGAGCTGCAATGGTGGTGAGTTGATTGCCGGCAGCATGTGGACGGTTATGTACGAGGCGTGGATCGGGTTAGACGAGTTGCTGTTTGCAAGCTTAGGACTCAAAAACTCGAAGCGCAATTTGTTCGGACCTGATTGAAGGTATACCAATGCCTTGAAGTGTGAGTTGCATACGGGCCAACTAATCGCGGGGAAGTTGTCGTCGAGTCGGCAAACGTTAACAGTCCCGTCGAGAGCATTTTCAGCAGGGTTGCCGATTGTGCCGTAAACAAGAAGAACCTTTTGATAAACCTATTCATGGTTAGCGACCATCGGTGCATTTAATCGACACCTGTGGTGTAGGTCGTAGGTCTTGGCGATAAGATCTGGGCCACTAAACCCCTGACGACATGGCTTGCATTCGCATGCGCGCCACTAAGCAAACTAACCACTGGGCAATTCAAAAGCAAAACACCAAAGACATACCCATGCATTATCGGTTATGTTTATCAATCTTGGAGCATACGGTGACACCGGAGGTGCCTGTCTTCCATTGATGGAAGGCGCACCAAGACCTGACATTCCAGACACACTGTTGCGGTTTGAGCCGGACGTTAGCGGCGGTCGCAGTTGGTTGTTTTGTTGGCTCTGGCCCTGGCTCTGGCCTTGAATGATTTGAGATTGTCGACGCTGAAGTGGCTGGTCTTTGACCTGCAGATGAAGTGCAGGGTCTGACTGGTGATCAATCGAGGGTGGTGTTAAAGAACCGCTTGAAGGCGATGTTACTTGGCTCGCAGCGCCATCGCTTGAGTTGTCGGTTGAGCGGCTGGTACGGAAACTGGCCCTCGATCGGCGGCGCAAACTCTTGAGGAAGGTCGGAGCCATTGTCGCCGGCGACTAAGACCTGCCTGCTTTTCCCAAGATATTCCAAGATACTCGTACAAGAAAACCGTCGCGGGGAAACTTGAGGTCGATTGAGCAATCAAGAACTTGAGAAGAGAGAAAAAGGAAACGAGAGACTGAGTTTATAGTGCCCTAAGATTTGGTGGTTGATGGTAAGAGAGGAGAGCGCTCGTATTGTAAGCTTGGAAGACCGAATGGGGTGGTAGTTTGGAGAGGTGGAGTGAGATTCCAATGGGGGGGTGTAACAAGAACGGAAGTTGTCAAATGTTGACAGTCGTGGCTTCAGGAAAAAGAAAAGAGAAGAAGAGAAACAGAGAACGAGAAAGAAAAAGGGAAAGTGCAAAACCAGAAAACCTACGGAGTAGGGTTTTGGAAAAGGCTAATATGAACTTTGGGTTGTTGTTTGATGGACAATAGAAAAGTAAAAGAGAGATATGGATGAAACAACCAAAGTCTATGGACATGGAACCTCTCGCTTCGTTTCCCGGGGGTGTTCTTTTCTGCCTTGGAAAGATAACCCTCACCTCAAATTGGTCCCCATCCAACCCTTGTCTTTAGAGAGGAGAGAGAGAGGATGGATATCTTATCCCAGATGATGGCAGATGACGGAAGATGCTCTGTATGGCCGGACTGGACGACAAGACGCAAGACGGCCACAACCGAGTCAAGAAGGATGTGCAAGCGTGGCTGGTGCTCTCGCCGAGAACGAGAACGTGCTTGAAGCTTGGGCCGGAGGATCCGCTGGAATTGGTGGGTTGCAGCGATGGGCCATTGATTAGTTGCGGCCGTTGCGTGCGTCTGCTCAACTAGATGGATGCTTATTATTACTACTATTGTTGTTGTTGTTGTTGTTGTTGTTGCTATTACGGAGTATTGGCTGCTTGGGGGATGAAGGGGTAATGGGAAGATCTGATCTTAGTTACTACAGCCGAGAGAGACGTACGGATAGTACGTATGTCTTGAAGGGGATCAACCAATTGAACATCCAATATGAGCCCGAGAGGAAGAGAACTCTGCTTCTATAAACCCCTAATACTGTAATCGCTCTCGAAATGTCCCAGACTCATCCTTGTAAGTTATGGACAGGTTACAGAGGGGCCAAGTCTCACTACTCGAGTTGAGAGTGAGCGATCGTGATGAATGTGGGTTCAAACCCAGGCACAACCACTATTTCCAGTGGAGCTTGATCTTGAATTCTAAACCAGCCGCATCCAGCGGGAACCAGATTTTTGAAGCAATTGGACTAGATCCCAAGATCTAAACTAAGTGGTCAACAGCGCCTTCGAGAGAGTACTGACAGTCGAACACTTTGCGTGTGAGGCTGTTAATCGGTGAATTTTTGCCGCGCAGTCTCTGTCACGGGAAGTTTGGCCTTTGATAACATGACTTGAGATGCTGCGCCCTCGCTATAGAGGCACTGATAATCATCGAGAGCTCCTTGGTCAATGACATCGAGATATAGCCAAGGCCCTGGTCTCGTCCAGGCGGGACCATCCCGTGCCGGAGCCGATAGTAGACCATCCAACGAAATTGCGTTTCCATTCGAGATCCAACGTTAAGCTTGAAAAGCTGTTGGTGGGAGCGTCCAGGGGGATGAGCCTGTTAATGGTGCCATGGTTGCAGGTGGTGTTTCGTTAGCGCCCATGCCTTACTACTATACGTAGTAGTGGCCAGCACGCAAATAAGTACTCTACTATCTCAAAGTACGGAGTACGGATAGCAATGGTCGTATGCAGTGGAATTTCAAGGTTTCTTACGGATACCTTTATTCCATTGTAAAAATGTTGCTAATGTCGGCCTGGGTTATCTCGTTTCAGATTCAAGGTTTATTCAAGGTATTACCAGCTGCCGTGCTCCATACAATGCAACACCAACCGGACTTGAAAGAGGTTTGGTGATGTTTTGTTCGACTGTGTATAAATACTCGAAACCATTCTATTTGGAGTCGAAAGCCGGCCAATCCCATATTGGACCGAGTGAAGAAACTGATAAGAGTGATCAGAAGAGAAATGTCCTAGTAGGCAGATGGCAAAGCAAAGGTCATCTTACTGCAACTTAACCGAAAGGATAAAAGTCCACGTACGCAGAATGCAGCTGCTGAGTGAGGGGAACAACATTCACGCTTGGGAGGCTGAGCTAATGGGATGCGGCATTGGATGATGATGATCTGAAGACTGCATAAATAGGTAGTAACCCGCATCTCGTATCATGGGAATAACGTGCACTTAAAACACGTCTCTGCACTCTCGGATCGGGTTTGTTGCAAGCAGCAAGACACTGCGTTATTGCGAATGCGCCAGTTTGAAAATTACCTGTGAGTGAGACTTTTGGTCACATCCATAGGTATCAACAGACTTTTGTCGGGGAGGACGACGCCGTCTCCGATTTCTCGAAAGGCAAACCCCAAAAGGCCCTTTAACACTACTTGGATGTAATCAGTGAATATTCCCTCTTCTGGCATTGGTGATGGCTAGAGTTGAGACTTCCCGCTTTCCGATGAAGTAAAGATGTGTCTTCTCTGATCAAACTCTCATCGAGACTGTAACCCAATGCCATCACTCGTCACTGCTTAGGAGACTTGATTGGGCATCAGCCAACAGCTGAATCATCAATGAGGCTTTGAGCTTATTGGAGACATCAAGAGCAAAACTACCAACTAGCCTAGTATGCTCCTCAAGTATTGTGCTGGATTATATAGACTATTATGTGAGTTGACTCTAAAAATTTGACCACTACTCCGTACATGCTTTCATTATAAAACATTAAGATGTGCTGGGACATAGTCCAGTTTTGCGTCCCTGGCCATGTGTATAGATATACAACAGAAGAAGGCTTGGCCTGGGGGCTCGAGGACGCTACTAAGGAGTGAATATATGGTCGCCATGAAGACTCGAGCCTTGTCCTTCTGTAAACTCGATCCGGTTTGTGAACCGTTCGCTGGCGAGAATAGGAGAGAGTCCCACAAATTTGAAATAAATCATGCAATCGATATTGGATTGGACATCACCTCCTATTCGAACTGGTGGAGGTAAAAAGAACAAGATATGAGAGATGAGAAGATAGGTTGGTCGCCAAGCCCATATTTTTGGTCAGTCCCTTGCATGTTAATCGGTCAGCACCGAGTTTGATCAATAGTCAGAGAATTCAAGACCAATCAGACTCCACATTGAACAACAAAGGATGGTTCAGCTGGAACAAAGACTCTGACCAACACGATGCAAAGGCATTGGAGAGAAGAGGTTTACATTAATTGGCAGGCACGTTTATACTGTAGTCAGAAGCGGAGTCAAAGGATGACATTGGTCTATAAAAGGGGGCTGCATCTCGCTTGAGGCCATATAGTCGTGAGCTCTCTGAACCGAAAAGCTGGTTGAGCTGGGAGAACGCCAGATGGGGCCTGTTTTGCTGGCCCAGCAGCGTCAGATCGAGCGAGAAAGGGTCGTTTGAAAGGGCCTGATTGGCCAAAGTCAGTGTGCAAAGTGCATGCATAAATACTTTTTTCAGAAGTACTCAAGTACTGGGTACACGTCTAATTAAAAGCTTGCAGGGCGGATCAAGCCTAGCGAGCAAGCTGGGGTTTTCGTTTCCAGAGGAATGTGAATCAAATTTGCGCCGTGACCCTGGCGACCGGCTACTGGGTGCTGAGAAAGTTTAGTTGACGTGTTGTATGGAGTATATCACCTATTGTTTCTCTGGATTTGAATAATGAAAGCTGCTGCTGATGAGTAGGTAGCTTTTGTAACGGCCTAATGAGTTTATCATTCCAAATTGCGTTTGCGTACTTACGTATATACTGATCATATACGTCATATAGAGGAAAGAATGAATAATGAACAAGGAAAAATACCTTCAAAATAAAAAATGAACAAAGAAATCCGCGGATCCAGCTCATGTCAATGTTTACCTGAGATCACCTTACCTCACCTTACCTTATCCTCTCCTGTAACTGCAACTGTAACTGATTACCCGGCCGCAATGGCTCGAGCCCCTCCCACTCACAGGGCATCTAGTCCGCCCCAGGGCACGAATGTACCGTATACTTCATGACGGGCACCTGCAGGCTTAGTACTGACCTCCCCCCGGTTCGCTCCACTTAGGACAGTCTTAGCAGGCTCCAGCTCCAGCTCGTCCTGCCCGTAACTTAACACTTACCTTACAGCAACGGTCCCTCGAGATTACGCCGCAACTTCTCTCAACTTGGATTCTTCCATTCACTTTCACACAACCAGGCCACTCCAACCACCACTCACCACGATTCACTCCTTGACCATTACGACTCTAATTTTTGCGCCTCGACACACAAAACTCCACCGAGTAACCTTCGATATTTATTATACACCTTTTTTTGTGAACAACACATCGATCGATTCGACAAGATTATACTGTTCTCACGGCAGTTGCCCCTAGCAGCAGAGCACAAAGTGCACCTCAGAAGCAAGTGGCCGGCCATGACTTCACCGTGGAAGAAGCAGCCAGAGGATGTCGTCGATAGTGTGCTTAAGCGTGCAGAAGTGAGCAAGGTTAGTTAACTATATTGTTAATTTCTTTACAATTTATCAATTTTTCTCTCCTACCCCCTTGGAAATCCTCTTTGACTGACACTTCTCCACTCAAGATTGCACGCCGTCTCCAGAACCGCCTCGCCCTCGCAAAATTCAAGACTAAGCATGGCTGGGAGGATCTCACACTCGACTCCATCGAGCCCAAAGTCGAAGAGAAGTTACGAAGAAAGCGTCTAGCTGAACCTACCGATGTCCTCTCCGACTCATCATCGAGCGCATCCGATCTTCCATATCCCTCTCGAGCGCTGATGAGCTCTCCCCTCAAAGCACCCCTGTTTTCGGATGCAGTTGGCTCCAGCAACGGCAGCACAGGTCACCGCAAGCGCACATATGTCGCCTCCTTCCACGATGTTTCGTCCAGCCCCAGCAAACGATTCCGACTTTCTCCTACAGCACACAAGTCCTTTGACAGGAACGGTGTATGGAAGAGCTCACATCAATTAACACGATCATCTCCGCTCAAGCCCCGGCGGCAACAGCACTTTACAACCTCGGGCGGACCCGATGTGTCCTTTTTCCAGCAGCGTCTCATGAGCCGCGAGCTTACATCGCCCAATTTTGCTGCTCCCTCCGATGACGATGACGATCTCTTGCCCATTCACTCATTCAACCCTACCAACATCCGTTCGTCTCCTCCGCGTACACCACCAATGCGGACCCGGTCTGTCAGCAAGCGGAACAAGGGAGAGGCTGGCACAGGTGCCAACGGTGGCAAGACGGGTGAGGAGGGCGCTGATCTACTCCTTTACCTTGCGGCTTCGCCATCACCAGCTGTCAAAAAATCAATCAGGACTCGCATGGAGCCTCCTTCTACCCCTCCTCAGAAGAGCAACAAGATGGATCTGCCCTCTTCTATGATGATGACGCCTGGTGGGGGTAACCTCTTCCCAACCACCCCAAGCCAAGCTTTCGACTTTGCCGATTTCGTCAACATCACTCCTAGCCCAGCACAGAAGCCATTCAAGACACCAGTCTCAATCACAGCAACTAGGACACCTGTGAGTGTGACTCAAAGGCGACTCACGTTCGACTAGTGGTTGTCTTCGAGTTTGAATTTGTTTACCTAAGGGATTCGAGAGTGGTGTTAAAACAGGACCCGAGTTCCTTGTGTACATGATACCATGACAGCACTTATTACAGCACCTACGTACGCGGCTTTTTTTCTTCATTTCTATCTTCACTGTTTGGATTTGGCCCTTGCCATCCGGGGCGTATAGCAACGCTTATTGTAAATGTCTGTTTTTACCCAATATTTTGCGACGGCGTTATAGACAAAGGGGCAATGGCATGAAAGAATGTATTTTCACTGGAGGCCACAGGAGGCCGTGTCCCACGCGGAGACCAGGAGGATGAGTTTATTTATTGCATCTCGATTGAGGTGAAGATTTGTTCAAGACAAAAAAATTATGTTACGGGCAGTTCGAGAGAAAAGGGGCAATGCTGCCTACCAGGTAACCTACGCTTATGGACAATGCGAACACCTATTACTTTACTACGTAACTATTTCCCACACGAGTAATACACATTAATTATCCATTCATTCGTAAGATGTGTGTCATACGATCGCAATCGACCAAGTATGGAACAGCAAAACTTTGTCATGTAGCTGCCAAGGGTTGTCACGTAGGTCGTCAAAAAGGTCGTGTCTCATGCGCGCGTGCAACGGGCAATTTACGCGCGAAAGACAGGGCGCGTAGAAGCGACGTGTCCGTTTCGCGCCTATGAAACCCCTGTTGTTTAATGGGTTTTACAGTGATGGCCAATCAGTGACAAGTTGCTACGTGAATAGGTTTCTGTGTCTGATGTCATGAATTCATGAGGGATGCGAAAGCGTGTTATTTGGTTGGATGGAGCGCATGATGTGGATTGTGGAGGTGGTTCAACGAGTACTTTCTGGACATGTATCCGTACTCGATCACGGTCCAAAAAGAATGCCAATCAGTAAAACAAAAGTTAATGTCAGTAGCCAGTCTTACGCTCACTGTGACTTTCTGTGCCTTATTCCTGCGCCGTCCGCACAACTCTCTATAACGGACGTATCGCCAGACGCACTAGGGCTGACGGATCTGATGGTGAAATGCACTGATGGTAGTAGGCTTCTTTTTCTGGAATAGTTGGGCGATGTAGACAAGCAAAGCAGAGCAGAGCAGAGCAGACAAGAGAAGAATAATGGTTGGCAAAGATGTGGTGCTAGCAACACGGTATTTAAGAGTTTGGACATGAACCAGTGGCACTTGATTGGTGGCACTTGATTGGTGGTTGGCCCACTTTAGCTGATGCTGGGATGGATGTTAGCGAAATGGGACCAATCCAGTATCAAGTTGATCTCAGCGTTTTCATGCTTGTAATTCTTCTGTGAGTACTAAGCAACAGTAACACATTTGAGCCCAGCTTTGGTTCTAACCACGTGAGTTTAACGTAAATACAGAAGAAGAGAGCAAATAGCCTTCGTAGAGACACCCAAGCCACGATACACAACATGAACACCACATATTTTCACCATCTCAATCACTTTACTGACAAGAAGGTCACCATTGAAATCACATTCATGACCATCAAAAATAACACGAACAGCACATTGTATTAATAGTGTTATATAACTAAAGTCTCGGCGGAGCATAGCAAGCTTTTCTGATTTTTGACTCTAGCAACACATCAGTGCGCGTTCTTCTAATGATAAAGAAAGGATAAAAGCCCAGTTCTGTGGTATCATAAGCATAAACGCTGACATCAAGCATCAACACCCTTCCATCTATTCATCCTCCTATTCTTCTTTTCATCTTCGTCTTCGTCTTCGTCTTCACCCCCACATCCCCGAGTCTTACAGCAAGCAAATGAGTCTCTCAGGAGAACATGTCTATGTTGGTCCTCCGCCGAAATGGAAAGAATTGAATTTCCGTGTTCCTGATACGGTGTGGCCGTTCACATCGCGTGACCGCCCTGGCGTCTCAGACCACTGTCGCTCTCGCTACGAGAGTGTCGCTGTTGGCCGAGGAAGTCGTTGTCATCATAACGACCATAGATGCTAGGCACAGGAGGATGGGCCGGCACGGGAGGCCACTCGCTGACCGAACTCACTCCGCTAGTGTATTTGGACGTGTAGCTTTCAGCACGTGAGTGCCTCACCGTTTGCCTGTTAGTGCTGTAGAAGGAGCTGACAGCAGTGTAGCGTGGCTTTTGTTGAACGTTGCCAGCGCCGGGGAGGTGTGGACCGTGAAGTTCCAGGTCAAAGGGGTTGGAGTGAACATTCCCGCGCCAGTGGTCTTGCGGTGCAAGGTTCGGATTGTCGCCTGTTGACTGGGGAGTAAGGTTGCGCGCTACAGAGGGGCTTCGTCGATGTTGGACTGACTCCCTGTAGGCCATTGGCGTCGATTGCGTAGGCCCCGGGTACAAGGCCGAGTTCCCATCAGCAAACGGGTTGTCCGTTGGGGGAGACCGGACAGGGTCAAGAGGTTGCGGAACAAGGGAGCCGTGTAGTGACATGTGGTTGTTGTAACCATAGGAAATGTTACGAGCCGGCGAGGCTGTAGAGTGGAAATCTGAGAAGGGGTTGGGGCTTGGGGGAGTTTGTCTTCCATCGTTACCACTCGCCGGCATTGGAGGAGCTTCTGTGACATCTACGACGCTTGATTCCTCAATGAGTCGCGACCACCATCCTTGTTGTTGTCCATGACCCGAGTTCGCTCTACCGGGAGCACGTGTCGAGGGTATGTTTTGGCTTTCAGCACCGAAGTGAGAATTGGCTCGGCTTGCGTCCGTATAAGAGGATTCAGTCATAGACTGTCGGAACCGTCGACTAATCTTTTTGGCATTGGCGCTCATGGCGGCCGCAACCTTGGTAGACCGAGGCGTCGGGCCCAGGGAATTATTGTCTATCTCGTACTTCTCTTGGCCACCAAGAGCACCGGCGGGGGCGCTTCCACGCGCGCTCCCAGGGGCACTCGGGGGGAAATCAAGGGGGGTAAGGAGTGTACTTCTGCGGCGCTGCATGGCGCGTCTTTTGATGAGCCAGAAGATGACCAGTGCCAGAAAAGACAGCCCCAAGATTGAGCCAACAACGCTTCCTACAACAACGGGAGTCGAAGGTGCATTATCAGACTCTTGCTTGGCAATAGCCTCGGGACTTTCAGTCTCGGATGATCGGTCGCTTGCAGCAGTTGCATCAAGGTCGATAGTCGTCAGGGCACCGTCAGGTAGTGTTGCCGTGGTGAGCGATGGTCCCGAACCATCGCTACCGGTCTCGCCATCATCGAAAACGAAACTGTCAGAAACTTCGGTCGTCTCGATGGCAGACGTGAAAGTCTTAGTCCCGGGTCGGGTTTGTAAAGTTGTCGACCGAGATGGCGGACCTGTATAAGTGAAGGATGCAGTATCAAAGACAAGCATCTCAGAGGTGGATGAGGAGAACGAAGTGGATGAAGGGGACTCAGACTCTGTCTCAATGAGTCGAGCGTTTTCGGGCGTCTCCTTAGGCACGTCCTGCGACGTTGGCTGAGCATTTGTCGTCACACTGTCAGGTATATCTATCAACCGAGCGTTCTCTGGCGTTTCCTTGGGTGGTTGCTGAGTAGTCTGCTGAGCACTAGTCGTCGCATTGTCTAGGGTTTCCTCAGGCGCTTGTTGGGTAGTTGGCTTGGCACTTGTTGCCACGTCGTCAGGTACACCAATCAACCGAGCGTTCTCTGGAGTTTCTTTAGGTGCCTCTTGAGAAGTTGGCTGGGCGATCACTGGCTTGGTAGTCGGTAGAAGGACCGCCGGCTGAGCAGTTGGTGTCAATAGTCCCGGTCCATCTATCAAACGAGCATTCTCTGGCGTCTCCCGGGGTGGTTGCTGATCAGCTGGTTGAGCAGTTGGCACGACAGGTGGAACAATCTCTTGTGGCGGCTCCTGAGAAGTAGGTTGAGCAATCGGTTCGACAGGTGCTGCGGTCTCATTTAGGTTTCCACCGCCTGGCAAAGGTGTAGCCTCTCCTCCAGGCATAACCTCTTTTCCAGGGACAACCTCCCCTCCAGGTGTAGCAGCTCCTCCGGGTACAACTTCTCCGCCAGGTGCAGCCTCTCCTGCAGGTACAGCCGTGGGAACAGGATTGACCTCTTGGCTAGTAGGAACAATCAGAGATGCAAAAGCTGGACTATCATCTGCTACAGGATCCGGACCGGGAACTGGCGTTGTGTCTGCATCGGGCGCTTTCGAAGCAGGCGGTAAATTAGCAGGATCAGTGCCTTGTGTGGCGACGGCCGGGACATGGTAAGTGACCACGACAGTGGTTGGGTCGGGGATGACAACGTAATGAGTGTCCATCTTGGTCTGCGTGATCACTACCGGAGCTCTTTCGTTGAGCGAGTTTAAGTTCTTGGTATCGGTATCTCGTGGTATGCCGGCATACTGTCTTCGGAATAAAAAGTTGAATAGAGTCCTTGTCTGAAGGGCTAACATTCTGGACCAGAAAAGTTCGCGATGCCAGTCGCTTCAAGGTCGCAGGCCTAGCCCAATGATGAACAGAGGTATGAGAATTGATAAGTAAAGCTTTACATGAGGGCCTTGTGGCCATCTACTTTTTGACGATATGCATGTAGATGAATCACCCAGTCACCTTGTAAATGGAATGAGAGTGAGAGAAGGTAAGTATCACGGCCAAACACCGTGATGGGAAAACAAAAATGAGCGAATGAATGAATGGCACAAGAGAATGTAGAGCACGAAACAAGAAAATACAACCAAGAGAAACAGAAACAGAGAAAGAAGGAAAGTCAAGACAGAAAATGTGAGAGAGAATGAAACGATAATATGATTGACCAGAGAGGAGAGGGGGGGTCAAAACGCTTCTAGTACTAGCGTTTGGCATGAATCCAGACATAATAGGATCAGTACAGGTGAAAGCTCAGTTGTAGTCCGGTAGACCGGGGTGTTTAAGGAGTGATACCCTGTCCTGCGACAGATCTGAAGCACGACAGCCTCCCCACGTTGTCTGAGCTTGACTAGTAGGCACACACAGAGAGACCACAGTCCACTACATCTACCGAGAGAGCCTCTAGAGCGACAACTGAGCATGTTGGGACATGTCACCAAACTGACAGACCCAGACTTCTGGGAGGTCTTGGCTTTCCTTGGCTTGCGCGGCCGTGTCCGGTTTTCTGGTGTTTGTATTTGCGTTTGTCAGGAGAAGAGGCTCGAGAGTTCGTTCTGGTGTTGGATGACACGAGCGAACGCCAAATTAGGGGACGAGCTAACTCGCGTGAGCCATCAGATAGATTATTCCATCTCTTCATTTCTTTCAGCCGTTCCTTTTTTCTTTTTTCTTTTTTTTCTTCTCGTTTCCGTTTTTCAATTGAATAGTTAACCGCCCGAACGAAACGCTGCCCGCGGCCTGCAGTCTCGGCGATGATGCTGTTGTTGATGCACACTCGCGTAGACGGAGCATGTTGTTGATGGAAAAAGAGGCCCCGAGCCTGAGCCTCAGCGAGAAAGTGGATCCATTATGATTTTCGCCATGTGGGGCCAATATAGACGTCTTGGCAGCAGCTGTCCCGAGATGAGCGTTAGAGGCCTTAGCGCCCGAGAGCCAACTTACAGAGTACCTACCGTAGCACGCTTAAGTGCCCTGGCAGGTCTGCCTCTACCTGGGCCTGGCCACCTGAGACACCTGAACGTCCTCCACCGTTTCTGGTGGTTCGTCGAGGCGACCTATGTGGATGGAAACGCCTAAGATAGGTAGGTAAAATTTCCGTCTGATGCAGGCCCAAAGGTTCTCCCTGGCCGCCAGAACAACATGGGAAAAGCAAGTCACGGTAAAAATACCAACTGGCCATCCCACGAAACAAAATCCGTACTTATATTCAATACGGACAAGTCAGAACCGCACAGTGGATGCTCTGGAAAAATCATCCCACTTCTTAACCCTTAACGTCAGGGCCCGGACCTGCATAACTTAGTACCTAGTAGCTGCATACCAATTGTCGTACCTGAAATTCGTCCATTCTGGGCAGAGACCGGGCGTTGGCTCGACAGTTGGCTATAGCAGGTATAATTATAATTATAATTATCATTGTCCATTACCACCACAAACAAAACACATCCCCGCTTACTACACACCATCACATCCATCCTTTGGAAACCAAACAGCGGATCTTACCCAGCAACTAAGCATAAACCACCGCTACAAGGCTAGGTCCCCGGGATTAATTAACTTTGTATGTGACAACAGGCGAGACATGCTGACACGATAGCTAACATCGATCCTTCTTTATGCACTACCGTTCCTGTTTCCCCTCTAGATGCTTCAAACACTCTCCTATATAATCCTTGGTCGAATCAGTTCATTCTGTTTGGGAACCCCTTGCTCAACCACTCATGGGGCCCATGTTTCCGGCCGCAGCCGCTATCGCCCCTGTTGCCCCGAGTTCACCGTTGCTCGTACAGAAAGCGCGGAATAAAGGCACGGATAACTGGAAATCTGTTCTTATTAGCTCAAGATGTGCGATTACCGAAATAGAATATCTGTCCGTAATTGTCCGTACACGATCCTACGTCGTCAACACCAGACCCGGCACAGGATCAACTGAGAGCTGATGGCGTGCTGAAGACGCTAGAACTTGTTTAATAACCTTAAACATAAAATCGGTTGCTACATAGTAAGTCAAAACACGACAGAGCCCAGTGAATGTGTTTACTGTCTTGTTCAGTATCTGTTTACTCGACCCCCAAGGAACCCTAAGGGGCCAAACTCTACACGATTAAAGTTCAGGGGCAGTCGAGATAACCATCAAATAAACTCTGCTCTATGCGAAGCAGTCTACTCCGTACCACAGTCTCTTATTCACTCACGGTCATGCACAGCTGGCTTGGCTCGCCAAGTTGCACGGGACTCTTATACACCTGCTTCGTGGTTAGCTTAAACTGGATATAGATATGTGTTTACGTTTAGTACCACGCGTCTCGATGTTGATAATCGCGTTATACTAAGAATTATCAACGACATCTAGCACTTATCATGTTGCTACAGCTCATCGCGCTGCACGTCTTATACCAAAGGTCGATTCATAAGTAGTCCCTATAGGGTAGGTAGAGTGGTCATGGAATGTGTAAACATGTTTGACTTTATGAACACATCGTCGCTTAACAAAGCCTCAATTATGCTTATATCCTAGATAATTTGCTAGGTAGACAAACGGTATTCTCGACGGCAAATAATTGAGCCACAGTTTTAGGAGACATGTAACATGCCATCAACATATATACCTCAAACCGGCCTTATTGTTCTGTTTATGCCTGAAGCATGAACTCACATGTGACATTGTGCCATGTGCGTGCACTAAACATATCCATTTTAATATTAATCCATTGGATACGTCTAACTAACCAATCGTGGAAGTAGGGGTCTAGCAACCAGTTGAAGACACTCATATCATAGTTCATGAGTTACGGCACCACAACACAAAAGTAACGTGAAGAACCTCCATGCCTTAGTACACAGTTCTGTTTCCACTACAAATACTCCGCTTCTGTCGGAGATAAAATGGTTTATATACAGGCAGGCAGTGTAGGCGAAGCTGTAGAGTCAACTTGATTTGATCAGTTCAGTATTGATTTTTGACTGTTGGTTCTGTTAAAAAAAATCACCATTGGTGTTGGCATTGGAGCTGACAATTGTGACCGACCCCGCGGCTGCTCCCGCATGGACCGACCCGATCTTGGCACGACCGTCACCGAACCTTTTGAAGCTTCCATTGTTAATTCGTTCATCTGTACTTTTATCCCTTCATTCTTCAACCAAACGCAACGGCCAGCTCTGTCTGTCTGTTTGACTGGGCGTGTTCCGTTAATCCTCTCTACTCTCTTCCTTGTTTGATAGCCATTACTATTGACCAAATTGTTGCTCTCTTTTGAGTAAACTTATCGTTTAGCTCTCTACTTTATCAGCATCCATACTTGGCTTATCGAATCATTTGTTCTCGCTCATTCTCACCTCCAGCTCTCACCGTTCGACTGTCAAGCTGTGTCTCAGGGCCTTCACCCTTCACCTCAGCCTCCGCATATACCAAGCCACTCCTCGTTACCAATCAACGGCGGATCATTATGTATGCTTCTCTTTCTGTGCTTCTGTCTTACCTTATTTTACTGGACCATCGCTGACGTCGTCCGTTCTCTAGCATAGAGGTAGCATCTGCTGCTGCGGTACCTTACATTGTTAGTCGCGCCACTGCAACCAATCCAGCCGCCATGTTTGGGAACTTCACTTCGTTTGGTAAGCTACCTTAGTCTTTCCTAAGAACCTCAACTTATTCTTGAGCTTCATCCCTTCCTTGTCGTGATATTGTAGAGCGCCCCATGCTCGCAAAACACCTCAATCGCCCCCTCACTTCACCTCCTTGTCCTGCTTCGTCTTCGTCTGCCCCTCCCCCACAGTTCCCTTGTAAGCTACATCCACCGATAGACCCCTGGCTAACCTAGCACTCCATTCATTTCAGCTGGCATTCCAGCCAAGAACAAAGTAGATCCCAAGGACGTTCCGCCTTCTACGCCTGTTACTCTTCCTCGCTTTCAACCTTTCGCTCACGATGATGATCCTGTTGACGAAGCTGTTGCGCTATCCACCCTGCTCCGAAACACCGGACGATCAGCCGCCGCCCTCGGTCCTCTCGGTTTCTCTGCAATTGGCCTCAATCTGAACCTCGATGCCAAGTCTTCCGACCTGATTCCCGACCCTTCGTTGATCCCCGATTTCGATAGCTGGGATAAGTTGACACCAGACGATGCCCAGGAGCAGAACCAGTCTACCCGAAAACCTTTGAGGAATGGCAACCTCTCGCCTGGGTGCCACGTTTACCTCGAACGAAAGAAGGAACTGTCAAACATCAATGAAGACGCCTTTCGAACTGTCAGAAGACTTCCACAGCCCAAGGGAAAGGCACAGGCTCGATTAGGGAATGCCTATGAGTTTTTCCGCTGCCTTGAAGCCTTGACTTCTTTCTGGGACGACCCAACTCAGCCATTGCCACTCCCTCCATCTCCCGAGGCTTCTCCTGAAGTCACATCGTCCGCAGCAACCGCGAATTCGGGAGACACAAAACCTGCGGTTCCCAGAGCTGACGAAGCTCCTAACTTTTTCAGAACCAGTGCCGGATCGTCTATGCCGCTAGAATATCGCAACAATCTTATGACGGCATTCATCAAGCTTGTTGCATATGATTTTGGATGTAACGTCTCACCAGCGCGAACCGAACCCCGACTTCACTTCAGTTCAGCCCAAGGATCTGGATCTCGCAAATCATTCTGTCCCTCTGGATGTCTTTTTGTATTCCAGAGCCCCACAACCCGTGAAGCTGCTCGAGCAGGTGTAGTTCATGGTCCTGTGGCTGCCGTCAGTGCCAGAGGTACAACTGACTTCACTCAACCGGACCCTGAGACTGCGCAGTCGCTTGACCTCGCTCGCGAAATCATAGCAGCGCTCATCACAGCGCAACACCGTGCGCGTGAAGGAAAAACGGAGAAGCGATTTGGCGAAGGAGAATGGTGGACGACCAAAAAGCGCTGGGGAGGCGGTCCCGGAGGACCTATCGGACGTGAGATTGAGAAAGATGCGGTGCAGGGCGACAAGGACGCAAAACCCAGCGACGCCGACGGCTTGCCGATGCCAGTCGCCAAGAAACCCCGCAAGAACATGAGCATCTACGACAACTACCGCATGATTCGACCTCCGTCGGCGACATGGGATAAGAAAGCCCAGTATGAAGCTATCGGACGACGCAAGGGAGCCAATCACGACGATATCTTTGTGGTAAGCTCGCTGTTTCACCACGTCTCGATTCTTCGCGTCAAGGTACCCAACCGGTTGCTCGAGGCTCTGGAAGGGGCACGCGAGCCAGATGCGTCTAATCGTAGCTGGGGCAAGGCCGAGGCTTGGAGGAGTCCCTGGTACGATCTGTTTGACACGGCGCAACGACTGGAAGCTATGAAGCTAGTATGGGGTATGATGGCTTATCAGATGAGAAAGGATCATATTTCCGATGGGGACGTTGACATGACCAATACTTAAGCTTATATCGATGGTGGGCCATTGCTCTTTAGGCAGGGAATTTCCGGTTACATATTCAGGTATTGAAGCCCAGCGTAGAATAAGCGCACAGTATGGCATATAAATAGGGTAGGCGCGGTGCAGTCACTAAATGTATACATTGACTGCTACACATCCATGTTTGTCGCGTACCCTGCAGTGTTTCTATAGCTCATCAAAAGCTGCATGTTATCGAGGCAGAAGGTCGCACTACAGTAGCAGCTGATAGTCCAGATATTCCGTCAGATGTTAGGATCACATATACTCGTTGGGTAGACGACACAGATCTTGATTTACCTTACACTTCTTAGCTTGTTGTTTAAGGGATTTGAGTAATGAAGGCTTTGGGTCATTGGATGGCGAGTCTCATAGTGTTGGTTCAAGATGACTCATAATACTACACACGGATTCCATGAACCATAGCCCGAAATCTGGATTGATCAAGGGGTGATAGAAACGGGTGCCCGGATGTGGTGTATGCAAGGCGTATATTTTGACTCGGAAGCTATGTTTTGTTCAGGAGACTGATAATGAGGTTGCTATGAGGTGATGGTTCTGCAGGGCAATGGGGGGCTTGAAACAGAGCCGAGACTTGACTTGACTTGAAATGCATCTGCCAAAGTGTGTGATGGAAATATGGATACGTACTATACACATGTCTTACCTAACGCTACTAGTTAAGGGATACGCGGAGTATAACTTCCTGCCACGTCCCAAGCCCAACGAGTGTCTAGGGTTAAATCGTATGCATGGTCTGGTGAGAGGTCTACGATGGTCTTAAACGAGGGGTATGCCTGGGTATGTGTTGGTTGAGCAGTGTCTCTGTCTGTGGCTCACGTGGCTGCATGGAAGCTATCTCATTAGGGATAGAAACCCGCGTGGCATAGTCAAGCCTGTTTTACGGAGAACGTTGCTTATTTAGTGAGTATTGAATCTGTTGGAACTGAACTGGGCTGAACTGTACTGAATTATTGCTGGATTCTGGAAGGCTTTGAACGTTGTAGTGGCTGGAGATGGCACGGGAAAGAGGACAATGTGTTTGTTGAATATGTGATGACTTGTAGAAAATCGTATGATAGAGCGGAAGCTGAAAAAGCCTTCTGTATTATGCTTTGTTGAAGATAACCTGCATTTGGATTTGCACTTAGACTTGCACTAGTGTTGGAACTCAGTACCGACAACTTGGATGACACATGGCACATGGCATGGGGAAGTCTCTGGACTCTGGGTGAACAAGTTAATGCACAATGAGGCCTTCACTCGTCGTCTTTTTTTCCTCCTCTCAATCACAGCCACCAGCCGCAGCAGCAGCAACAACATCTAAAAAGCAAAAAAAGACCCCGAGAATGGCCCAAGCTCCCTAAGCTCCCCGGGCCTTCAAGCCTTATTCTAGCTTAGCTACTTAGCTGCTTAGCTGGTGGATTGTCGAACTCGTCTGCTTTATGCGGCTGAGTATCAACATCAACCATTGGATGCCAACTCAGCCCCCAGCCCTGGTTCAGCTCTCGGCTTGCCCGTCTGCCAAGCCTAAATGGGATGATCTCCATTCGTGCCGTCGTGACTGTACAGTAGCGTCTAATTTTCAGCCATTTTCTTTTCCATCGCTGCTACTCCGTACTGTACTCTGCTACTTTTGCTTTTGATTCATGGTGCGCAATCGTTATAACTTGCTGTGAATTGTCCCTTGATCATTTTATTGTCTTGATTTTATTCCAGCTTGGCTGCTTATGTTTGGTGGGAGATATGATGGCTTCGGACATGGCGTTATGGCGCTTCACCGGCTGTTGTTTTCATTGCGATATACATACGGATACAAACCACGGGATACGGAGTGTCACAGACCAAAACCACGTGCGTTAATGTGTAGATAGATATCTTCCGTTTACCCGCTTGTAACGTCTTCCCGTTGAATCCGACCCGATGTCAATCAATAGTCAAAGTCGATTCTGCCCCCCGGAGCCTGCATCGGCGATAGCCGTTGCACCGGGTTCGGGCCCGGGTGGGAAGCGGTGCCTGCGCCGGGTCGAGCTCAGCCTGACAGGGGCCGATAAAATTATCCGAGTCCAAGATACACTTTATGACGTTTGAGGGTTCTTGCATCTCCCGACGGTAATTGGATGAGATGCAAGATTGCAGATTCAGCGCGGTTAGGGATTGGATCTCCAGAGAGTTGACAGGTGGACCGGGGGCGTATACACATAACTTACGGAGTACGAGGGGTTCTGTTCTACAAGAAATGCAAAGTGATGAAAGCGATATCATGATCACATCACGTCTTTAGTGCAGTCGCAGTCGCAGTCGCAGTTGCAGATGCAGATCTGAATCTGGCACCTTGTCCGACATCACATATTCGCGCCTTCGAGTGACGTGTGTTTGGAATGTCTTGTGGAAGCGCTGGTTTGCATATCTAAGTCAAAGCCACGAACGGAGATATGGCGTATATGGAGATTTTGAGGCAGAGACCCAAGGGTATCTCCCTACATGGGGATTAATGGCCGAGGTCTCGATTTTTGAGAAATACTGTGCCACCAACAGCAAATCAGGCCATGTAGGAGATATATTGCACATATCCAAGAATCGCAATTCTGTTATTAATAGGAATGGTTCATACGGACAAAGTTGGGCACGTCTGCCCTGTTGTATGTTGAAGTTTAGTTAATGCCTGAAACCTAAGAATTCAATTACATAGGCCAAGAGGATTCGTGACGCGTAACAAAAGACTTGGCTTATGGGTCATGAGAAGAAAATCAAGTTAATTACTCCGTATGATGATGATGGGGAAATGGTGAAAAGCCCAGAGATTCGGCATTGCTGAGCCGGGGCCCAGTCAGTCGGGTCGAAACGATGGAAACCAGGAGGAGGTTTTGATCCCTGCAACGGCGGTAGGTAATAGGTACGGAGTACTGTAAATTCATTTATTGCACAGCCCGATAAACAGAAGAGAACGGTTAGGTACTCGGACGATTGTATCAAAGAATTAGACTTGAAGGGATATGATAGTAAAAGGAAAAGGCTGTGTCTCTCCGAATTAGAATTAGAGACGGCGTGATGGGAAATATTGCCAAGACTGACGCATCTTGTGCTGTAGCGTAGTCGAACATCTCCGTAGTGGTCGTTGAGCTGCACTGGCGATTTCCCCATTGTCGGCCATGTTTCCCTTTTGGGCCTTTTATGGCGCTGAGCCTCCTACAGTAGTACTGTTAACTCCCGTCAACTCACAAAGTTGCCTATTCGCGTCACAGCATACAGAGCTTCAATGAGACATTAGATCTATTGGCAGATAGACTTTGGGTATATCATTTAAAGATAAAGATGGTCTATATCCTCTTCTATTATTGCTTCTCTCAGTTCACATCTCAGCTTTATCAATCATCAATCCTCGTCACAGAATTCCTACCACTGGTTTTCAGGGTCCTCTACCAATATCCACCCCCAGAAACAGCGGAACAGAAAGTTTCAGTTGTTAAAACATTGAAAAGACATTTTTCATTTCTCATTTCTCAGAAGCGAAATATCCCTATTCTACACCCAACTACCGCGACTGTCTAGAACTTCGTTCACACGGATACAGTGGAAGCGACATTGCCTACAGAGTACACTACAGGGAATAAATCAATCATCACCCATCAACTGTCCTTGCTCAAGCTCAAGCCCAAGGACCTGGCCTAGATCTGCACCCTTACACACCCTTCCCCCCTGTCTGTCTCTGTTCACCCGTTGCTTTGTTGTTGCTCTATTGCTCTCTACAGCAAAAACAAACCCTTTTTTCTCTCCCCTTCCGCGCCTGACTGATTTATATCATCCCCTCTCGTGCCATTCACAAGCATAGAAGGGGCAGACCATTACAACACCTTCTCTTTTCTTCAAGTCTTAAAACTCTTCCTCTTCCTCTTCCTCCTCCTCCTCTAATTACCTACCTACTACCTAGGTAGGTACTCACATACTTCCCCCCCACCTTCAGCTTCATAAGACGCCCGTGCACGCCGCTTTCAGCTTTGGTGGCAGTCCAATCCCATCACAGATCTCGGAGAACTACTTTGAACCCTTAGATCAAGTGAGCGAACGCCTCTTTCTTGCTCGGTTTCCTCTACTGCCCCGCGTGAGCATCAGCAACATCCGCATCAGCACAGCATCAATCAGCACATTACATAGTACCTGCCTACCTGTATTATACGTGTACGTTCACAAGGTCCCACGCGCTTCGACCTTGAGTTACATCGTCATCGCGCCCAGCTTCGCCCCGGGACAAGGTACATTTACATGCGCTATCCTGTCTAATCTGTCTTGGCGCCCAGCCCGAATATCCAGAAAGTCCAGGATCGTGTTTTCTTACTTCGACTCTTCCTCTTCCTCCTTCACCGAAACCCGCCAACTTCTCTCACTCAAGCATCACCAAGCGAGAAACTTCGAAACGACCTTATTCAACTAGATCTTACTCAAGCGCCTCAACAACTCACCTCCTCCCGACTTCTTCACAGCAACAACCGCCCTGTCATGTCGGGATATCCGGGTTACAATTCTGGCCGCTACGGCCCGCCGCAGCCCCAATACCACCAACAACAGCCTCAGGGCAATTATTACCCGTACGACTCCCCCAATCCGACTTGTATTTCACCCGTCTTGATACCCTCTCCCCGCATTTCCCATGCGACCGACGATCACTCATGCGACTAGCCGCCTAAAATACCAAGATATCCGTCATAATGGAGCCCTTGACTAACAATGCCTTTACTTGTACAGACCGCAACCTTCTTACGGTGGTGGCTACCCGCAAGGCCAACCCTCTCCTCAACCGCCATATGGCTACCAGAACAATGCCCCCCCTCAACAACAGTACTACCAAGGAGCTCCTCCTCAACAGCCGCAGTATGGCCACTACCAAGGACCTCCCCAGCCCAACTTCAATTCGCGACCCGGTACGCTGCACTCCATCATGCGCTTACTGCTAAACCGATTTGATCTATATCGCTAACTAGGTATCCTTCCAGGTGCTCCTCCTCCCCCTCCTACAGCCCCCCAGCAATTCGGTCATGGCGCTCCCAATAGTTACAACTTCAGATACTCAAATTGCACCGGCAGGAGAAAAGCTCTGCTTATCGGAATCAACTACTTCAACCAGCGCGGACAGCTGCGCGGCTGTATCAACGATGTTCGCAACATGACGGCCTACCTCTCGGAAAACTTCGGCTATAAGCGTGAGGATATGGTGATCCTTACCGACGATCAGCAGAACCCCATGAGCCAGCCTACGAAACAAAACATTCTTCGAGCGATGCATTGGTTAGTAAAGGATGCTCGACCCAACGATTCCTTGTTTTTCCACTACTCAGGTACGAGCTATACTCTGGAGGCCTTGAGCTCTCCCGCGTCCCTGGAGTTTCACTAATTGTTGCAGGTCATGGTGGTCAGACAAAGGATCTCGATGGTGACGAAGACGACGGCTACGACGAGGTCATTTACCCCGTTGACTTCCGACAAACTGGCCACATTACCGACGACGAGATGCACCGCATTATGGTTCGCCCTCTACAAGCTGGAGTGCGCCTGACAGCAATCTTCGACTCTTGTCACTCCGGCACCGCCCTCGATTTGCCCTACATCTACTCGACACAAGGTATCCTCAAGGAGCCTAACCTGGCCAAGGAGGCTGGGCAGGGCCTGCTCAGCGTCATCTCTTCGTACAGCCAGGGCGATCTCGGAGGTGTGGCCAGCAACATCTTCGGCTTTATCAAGAAGGCCGCCAATGGTGACGATGCTCGTGAGCGCACCATGAGGACGAAGACATCCCCTGCCGATGTTATCATGTGGTCCGGCAGTAAAGACGATCAGACTTCGTGGGTACCCCTTTTCCCTCAATATCACCCTTATTACCAAGTGATCCCGGCTTGACTGTGTGGATCTTTGTCTTTGATTTCGTTATTGGGACAGATTTCTCAATTGGGGATGTTAGCTTGGCGCAAGGCGTTTTGGCTTGATCAATTTGATGTATCTAACTTTAATAATCATTCTTCCAAGCCTGCTCCAGATGTTCAGATACAGTCTGCTAAAAGATTCTGTATTTGTGCATCTGGGGCCACGAGTTGCGTTGGATCAGCGGGGATTCTGCCGCCTGTCTTACTTTTGACAGTATTACCCGAACAGTCTGCTAACATGATATATAGTGCCGATGCTACGATCGCCTCTCAGGCTACTGGTGCCATGTCTTGGGCCTTTGTCAGTGCGCTTAAGAAAAGCCCCCAGCAGAGCTATGTCCAGCTATTGAACAGCATCCGAGACGAGCTGGCGACGCGCTACTCTCAGAAGCCTCAGCTGTCATGTAGTCACCCTCTTGGTAAGTCTGGTTTTATAAAAAGTTGCAAGTCCAATCACTTACATGTTTAGACACAAACCTGTTGTTTGTATTGTAATGTGTATCCATGACCGCCATGCCTCGACCTTGGAGCTGGAAACTCCCGAAATCTACAACACTCGATTACGTCCTTGTCAAGGAATGTGAAAGGATGAGAGAGTCAAGCTAACTGGGTGGCGGAATTACGATGATAACGAGTGGGTCAGACAACGTATGAATGGATGTTACTCATGATGGGAGGCTGTTGTTGAAAGGCTTTGGTGTTGAAATAGTTATGCCTTCATGATTGCATTGGGAAAGTCAAGTATCCTTTGGCTTCTTTGGTAGCGCATGGGAGAGAAACATGAAGTGTTTTCTGTTGGAACCAAAATTCTCATAATTTGATGCTTATAACGTCCACCAAATGCGTGATGCGATGCGATGCGTCACTTGGTACGCCATCCTCCTTTACTCCTCGACGCCGATAAACAATCCGTTGTAAAAAGAAACATGATCCAGGTATCCATAATAACCTTATCAATAACCAAATCAGGGGCAACATCAATCCGCTAGACAAGTTGTGTATCCCATACGCTCCTACCCATGCAATGCCGTGATCAATCTTCTAATGGTTTCGCCAACTTTCATACACATCCAGACTCCGTAGAAACACATACGATCTTATGCTTCGGCCCTCACAACCTTGAGCTGTCTTGATCGCTTCACCTTGCGCTGCTCTTCGGTCGCGACCACGAGTTTGCGACGCACAACCTCTTGCTTAGCCCAATTGTTGGCCGATAAGCGAGCACGGGCAATGAAACGCGCCATAACGAGGAAAGTCTTGAGGGTAGGCTTTGTGGTGGACGGGTTGATGGCTGTTGCGTGACTAGGTATAGCAAGGGCCTTCTTGTTGCCCAGAAGATTGGTGCGAATACCCTCGAGTTCGCGGAGCTGGGCCTTGTTGCTATAAGATTGTCAGTATATATGCTTTCATTTAAAGTACAACAAGGGGAACGTACCATGCATTGGCGACATCAAGTTGCAGTTGGAGGAACTTCTTTGCATACGCGGCATCAGCTCGAAGAGACGCTTCGCGTTGGAACCGCGCTTGCATCCACTCCATCTGCATGAACATGCCTCGCAACTCCTTCTTGTGGCGCTCGTCTGCGCTCTCAGCTGCCCGGATGACCGTCTCAAGAGCCTGGTCAGCTCCCTCGATAGTGATGTCTAGAGCCTTGCGGTCAACAGCGCTTCGTCGCCCTGAAGTCTCCGCTCTAGCGGCGACTGCTGTGGTCTTGATGCGCTCAAGGTCTTTCTGCAACTTCTCGGCGCTCATACGGAATGCCGCTCGTTCGCTACGGGCTCGCTCGAGCTTGCGTCTGAGGGAAGCCTCGGAAGCGGCGAGACTTTCGATGAGTTCTTGTTGCTGAAGAACATCATGCTCAAGGTTCTCCATTTCAGCCTTGTTCTTTCTCAATTGCCGGTCATGCTTGTTAGTATCAGGCTGCACTGTGGCCAAGACATTGCGCTCACGCTCTGACTTGTCAAGTTGGTGCTTCATACGGCGGAGAGCGCGCTCGTGTTGTGCTGCCGTCTCCTCAACCTGCTGTCTAGCCTCCTCGAGAACCTCTTCAAGTACTATCTTCTGGTCCTCAAGGTCGTCCAGTTGGCGCTGGAATTCTTGAGAGACTTGTAGCGCTTTGCGCTCGGCATCCCTGTTCTTGGATTTGAGATCATGGATGGATTTTTGCGCAGCAGAAAGCTGACTTCGGAGTTCTGTAACCTCTGTCTTGCGACCCGAGTCGCTAGCAAAAGATCTCGGAGATGCAATCAAACGAGAAACCTCAGTCTCATGCACTTGGCGCTCAAGGTCGGCAATCTGTCGCTTGAGACCCTTGACAACATCACGGTGTGTGGACTCCTTTTGAAGAAATTCCAGTTCCTTCTGACGAGCTGTAGAGAGATCCTTGCGAATTAATGACAGCTCGCTGTTGCCCTCAAAGTTGTTAGGTATTTGGCGAGTGTTGAGCTGGGCTTCATAATCTTCGACACGACGCTCAAGCTCACGAATGGTGCGTCGAGCAGCAACAATATCTTGGCTATCTGTCGAGGAGGATTGCCGTAGCTTAGTCTGCAGCTGAAGCACCTCCTGACCTAGGCGCTCTTCCTCCTCGGCAGCCTTCTCGATCTCTTCCTCAAGAGTCTTTTCAATCACACCACGCTGCTCGATCAGGGCCTTGTTCTCATCCTTCAGGCGACGCACTTCATTATCGAGCTTGAGTTTGGTTGTGCGAAGGTCAAGTCTCTCCTGGTCAACACGAAGGGTCTCGTTGTCGTATAGTTTCGTTCGGCGAAGTTCACCATCAAGCTCGTCTCGCTCCGCCTTTACTTCAGCCAGTGAGGAACCCACAGAGTGTAATTCAACATTGATCTTTGCTACTTGGTCCTGGAGAGACACCTTCTCTTTAGAGAGTTTCTCCAATTGTGAGTTTGCATCTGAAAGCTGCCACTTCAGCCGTGTTACGGATTCTGTAGATTGTTGGGCGTCCTGCTCCGAGGTGGCGATAGCAGCTTGGGCTGATTCTGCTCGTTGACGCCATATCTTGAGCTCCTCCTTAAGATCATCGAGTTCAAAGTGAGCTGTTTCTGATGATCCGGCCTTTTGACGCAAGACTCTCAATTGGTCTTTGAGGTTGTCGATCTCAATGTTTGCAACTTCTGTAGCACTTGCACGTTGTCGCACTGCTCGTAGTTGCTCTTTGAGATCATCAATCTCCTGGTTGGCAGCTTGAGACGAGCCTGCTCTTTGCCGCAAGGCCTTGAGCTGTTCCTTCAGATCCTCGACCTCAAGACTGGCACCTTCATTCAGATCTGCGCGTTTACGTGCCTCTCTCAGTTGCTCTCTAAGGTCGTCGATTTCCTTGTTGAGCACCTGCGTCGATGCAGCTTGAGATGAATTGGTCCGTTGCCGTAAAGATTTTAGCTGTTCTCTCAAATCTTCACATTCTCGCTTGGCAGCATCAGCTTCATAACGTCCGGCATTTTGCTCTTCATCCAAAGTTGTTTGCAGAACATCCACCTCGTCTTCCAGTGCAGTGACCTTTCGAGCTTGAGTCTGGTGTTCGATTTGTGTCTGCCTTAGCTCATCACGTACTGTGGAAAGTTCGTTGCGTAGATTCGTTAGTAACGTCTGTCGAGTCTCAAGAGCATCCTGAAGATCTTCGATCTGTCGTGTAAAAATACCCTCTTCACTCCTGTGTCGCTCAACTTCGCTTTGAATGGCTTCTTGCAGCTTCGACTCCTTGTCTGAGAGTGTTCCCTCGGCTTCCCTGAGGCGATCAATGGTTCTTTGCAAGCCTGATGCTTTTTCTTCAGCACGGTGCCGCTCCGATTCAAGAGTTTGTTTCTCCATCTCCCATTTCTCACTATCGTTATCATAAAGGTTATCTTTCTCGCGGATTTCGGCTTGGAGATCTGAAATTTCGTCGTTGAGGCGATCCATTTCGACCTTGTATTGGCCGCGAATGTCTTTCTCGATCTCCAGCGCATGCTCTCGCTCCTCCGCGAGACCATCTTCAAGATCTTGGACTTCCCTCTCCAGTTTCTCGATTTCCTTTTGCATGGATTTAGACTCGGATGTAAGCGCCTCATGTCGGGATTGAAGCATGTTCTTTTCGTCAGTTCGAGAGTCGAGGTCGGTCTCGAGTTGCTCAATTCTTGTTGATAGAGAGTTTCGTTCGCGATCAAATTTGTCTTGACTCTTCTTGAGCTCCTTGACAGTGGATTGCAGGGAATTGTTTTCTTGAGTCGTCTGGCCATGCTCTTTTTCCAAAGTCGCATAATCTTCACCGGCTTGATCCAATTCCTGCTGCAAACGAGCGACCTTCTCTTCAATCTGACGAGAAAGTCCCTTGGTTATCACTGACTTGTTGGCCATGTTTTCCTGAAGCTCTTCGAGATCATTCTCAGCTCGCTCCTTCTCGGCCACAGCGTCCTCCATTTTGGTCCTCGCTTCCTCAACCTGTTCTTCAAGACGGCGAATATTGTGTTCAAGGTCTTGAATTGTATCCTTGGCATCCTCCAGCTCATCATTGTGCTTGGGTTGTGTCTTCTCCTCCAAAGCCAGCATTTTGCGCTGAGCATCCAAGGCCTTTTCTTCCGCTTCACCCACCGTGTCCCTGAGAGCTTCAATTTGATCTTTCAGGTCTTCCAGTTCGTCCTCACGCTCGCCGAGTAATCGATCCTTCTCCTGAATATCCGCCTCGAGATCGCCGATATCGTCCTGCAATTTGTCGACCTGATCGCTGTTTCCTTTCTGTTGGCGCAGCTGGCGTTGAAGATCTTCGATATCTGCTTCGCGATCCTCTAACACGCGTTGTAACTTTTCCATCTCGGCTTGGTTGTTTTGGTTGGCGTACTTTCGTTTCGCCTTGTCCTGGACTTCGAGCATTTGCTGTCGATAACTCTCCAGATCCTTCTCAGCTGTTGTGAGATGCTTCTTGTATTTGTGGAGCTCTCTTTGCATCGTGACTTTGTCGACCTTGAGCTCGGTGTTTTCCTTGAGGGCGGCTTCGCTAAAGCCAGGCCCAGCTTTTCGAAGGGCCTCTTCAAGGAAATGAATCTTGAGTTTCAGTCCGAAATTCTCCTTTTCGATTCTATCAATCACATTCTCCTGCTCTCGCAGTGAAAGCTGGTTGCCATCTTGGAGGGGTCCCTTATCACCACCTCTTCTCCGAGGGGCAGCCAACGGGGTCGAAGCAGCGCTACTAGTGTCAACCTCAGGTATGGTGTTTTCCATGTAGGACTGATTACGCGATCCAAGATATATAGACGTGTCGCCGCGGGGAACTGGGGTTAAGTCACCCTCATCGATCTTGTCCAATGCGGGCGTATTCGGTACGGCAGTGCCATTCTCTTTTCCGAAGCGTCGCACGCTATTTCTGGTCGCTGACTTGAGTAATGGGGTAAATTCGGCACCTCCAACACTGGGGGGTAGATTTCGACGGTCGGCTAAGGGTCCCCTCTGGCGTGGGGTGCGAAGGTTGATACCGTTGGAACGGCCATTACGAAGTTGTTGCAATAGGTTGTCCTCCTTTGGAGGTGACTGAAAAGATGCTTCTTGTGTGATGTCGCCAAAGTCGGGCTGTCCAAGGTAAGTGGCATCCCCAACGTTTGTTCGCGGGGTGTCGAGCGCGCCGCCGCCAAATTCAGGCATGATGGCGGTCGTGCGTGAGTGTTGGAAAGCTTAGAAATGACAAGTATGAGAGGCAAAATGCATATTCCCAGAACAATGAACAGACACTTGAGTTTAGAGCGATAAATCCTCTGTAGCAGGCGTCAAAGGTTGCTGTGGTCGTGTTTGTTGTTAGTGATGGGTTGGGTACTATCGTGATAAAGAAAGTCGTTAAGTTGCGTAGCGTTTGAATTGAAGCGCGCTATCTTACCTTACCGCTGTAAGTCGGACAGGGCAATAACGACCCAGACGCTCTGGCCACGCGCGTTTTTTGTTTACTTTGCATCCTTTTCCGGACTAGGATCAAAACAAATGTGAGCCAATTGCCGGTGGTGGTGGCCAAAGCCAAGAGCCAATGGGACTTCGCAATTCTACATGAGTCAGCCATAGCCCGCTACACTCATAACCCCGCTAAGCTCTTGATTCTACCCCAGACCAAGACCTAACGATGATAACATCTCGCGGCAGAAAGAGGCGATAGGCTGACTCGAGCGCTAAAAGAGGGGAGAAACAATGACATGTTGAATGAGGTGCGGTTGATCAGCAGATTACATACCTACAGTACAGTACCAGTACAGCACAGTGAAGCCTGGAGGATTAAGTTACAGCTAAAGAAGACTCTCTTCCAGGCGCAGCCTTCAACTCACCACACACTCAAACTCAACTCCAACTTCAATAATCACACCACACCGCACTTCAACGCGACTTTCAATCCCGGCAATCGATAGCCCTCGCCTCATAGAGAGGCCAGCCATGTTCTTTTCTCAAATACCAGATGAGATAATTCAACATTTGCTCTATTATATCTCTCCCGAAGACAACCTTCTCAGTTTTCAGTTCCTCTCACATCGTCTAAGGCATTTGGCCAATGAATCACTTCTTTGGCGATACCACTGTCAAAGAAGCTTTGAGTATTGGCATCCCCAGCACAACTTCCACCGCCGTTTAAAAGGAAGAGCTTCAGATACGCCATGGAAGAAAATATTTATCCTGCGCAAGTCCCGCAATGCGCAGCTTGATCGCCTCCTGGACGACATTGTCGCAACCAAGGTCGGTCGGCTAAAGAGGTTTGAAAAAGTCTGCAAACTGGGTTATGACGCCAAAGATTTTCTTCTAGAGCAATGCAATGCCGGCGAAGCCGCTGAGGACGTCCTGGCCCGACGGTGAGCAACAGCATATCACCAATTTTATCTTCCAACGCTTATTAAACTAACCCTTCAGATACTATAGTAACTCACTGCTGGATAGTATTCACAGGTCACTCGCCGTTGAAGAGTGGCACAACATTCAACTGGCGAGTACAAACCCTAGTGGGCGACATAGAACCGTCAGTCTCGAGCGAGCACTTGGTGCGTTCGATTTATTCGTTCTGCACGACCAACCTGGAGATTTAGACGATGTAAGTGTTTTGCATGCCTGTCCAGGGTACCCCCGGTTAACGATGAGTGCCAGATTGGCCAGATCCTTGACAGAATGGCAGAAGAGTTTCGCGATACCCAGCCAGGTGGTATCAATGAAATGTCAACACGACAAAAGGCGTTGGAATTGAATCGATGGCTCCGAATAAACAACCTCACAGGATTACAGCATCCTGAGCGAAGTTACCGGAATTTGCGAAATTGTCTGATTGGACAGGCCCTGCGCCATGAAGACCATGACTCAATTCCCATCATTTCCAGCGCCATTTTTTGTTGTGTTGCGGAAAGACTGGGACTGCAAGCTCAATGCTGTGCATTTCCCACTCATGTCCACGCCATAGTCTTTGCAGAATATGGAAGGACTTTGGATGGCAACCCCATGGATGAAGACAATGCACCACCCGAAAGGATGTATTTGGACCCCTACGGCTCAAGTGAGGAGATTCCCATGGCGGATTTGCAAGCCATGCTGTCACAGTTCGGCTGGCAGTCGAGCACTGATGTCTTTCTATCCCCCGTGAGTCCTGTGGCTATTGCAATGCGCACAGCGCGCAACATCAGAGCCACAGCAGCCAGAGTAATCGAAGCCCGTGAGCAGGTCGACCCTGATCTTACGCGTCTCATCACCGGCAACGATTCATCGAATATCGACGCTGCTCTATACTCTGCTCTATGGGCATCCCTGCTCCTTACACCCGTGGATTCCTTTGAATGGGATGAGGTTCTGGAACCGTTTCTGAACCGATTTGCCAAGAGCTGGCATGTAGATGCGTGGCTAGTTGAGAAGTACATATTCCCCTTGTACGATCGCTTTGGTCCCTTTCGTGGGAGACTTCTAAGAAACAACCCCCGTAGATGGGACGACCCCCGCGAGGTCATAGGCCTTGTGGACGAGTTCGATGAGATACCACCACCAGTGTTTTATAGGAACAACGCGCGGACGCAAAACGTGCTCTACAAGATCGGACAGGTCTTCAAACACCGACGATACGGCTGGATCGGTGCTGTCAACGGTTGGACCGATCAGGGTACGCGGCGTTTACCCATGCCACACACCGTGGCTATTGACGAGACGCTGGACGATAACAGCGATACAGAACTACCTAACCGGGTGCGCCCCCGTAACCAGACCTTCTATACGTGCCTGTGAGTTGCTCCTCAGTTTCTGATCGCTGTCATGGAAGCTGACGAGTATGATTGTAGTCGCACAACAGGACCTGAGCGACATGTTGTTGCAGAGGACAACATCGTGCTGATCCATGATCCGAGCGAGGTTCCGCAGTCTTTGTTTCCGCAAGCTGGAAAGTTCTTCAAGAGATTCGATGCCGAGACGTGCACATTTGTTTCCAACATCACTGAGCAGTATCCAGATGACTGAAAAGGTCGTATAACTCTGCTTCATAGGTGGGCTTTTCGATATGCTGTCTGTTTCTTTATTGGCTTGAAGTGTATGTTTGGTGTCTGGCGACCTTTGGTTCACGCATTAGGAGCTTGGCGGTTCGCTCATGAGAACGAGGTTACGGTTTATGGTATGAATTCCGAAGGGAACAAAAAGAAGCACAGGATGTTTTATGATAACAGCCTTCTGAATGGCGTGATTTGTTTTAGGTCCCAGAAAGACCCATGTTCTACTCTATATTCTTCACAATGTTTAATGTAATGTGGAAACTACGCCGCTTTGATAACATCCTCCAATACGCCCTTCTCGGCAAGCTTGCTCATCCACTTGTGCAAGGCTGGCCCGTAGTCTTTCTTACGACCCTTGACTCGCTGTTCATCATCTGATATTGTCGTCAGTTCTGCGCGATACTCGCCCATGGCGGCCTTGACATCGACAACAAGTTCTTGGTGAAGCTCATAAGCGCATTGAGTGTCAAAACCCGCGCGCTGGATCTTCTTTTGTAGAGATTCGGGGATCTGTGCACTTGTGACATCTGATTTTGTGAGGCTGTATTCTGCAAGTTGTTGCTCGCTTTCAATGTCAAGGGGAAACCTTTCGGCAGAAACAAGATCTTTGAATGTTGGGAGGGACTCGGCGCTGGTGTGGAGATATTGGAGAGATGCAATGGCACGGGCAATAGTTTGCGAGTGGGCGCCAAGAGGACTCTGGCAGAGCGCCAACAGGTTGAATGAGAGTTGGCTCTCTTCGTATTGCAGCATTCGACCTTCGATCTGCGGCGTCGCGACAGCTGCCCAATCACCAGTGTCAGGTACACGATCTTGATGGAAGGATCAGTTACAAACCATGGCCAAGTATATACGTGACATGTACTTACCCAGCCGATGAGGCTTTTTCTGAAGCCCATCCAGCTCCCACACATAACCCCCTGCAGGAACATAGGCAATGAAGTGAAAGCCGTAATCTGAATTGGCCTTCCTCTTTCGTGGAAGAGCTCTACTTCCTCTCTTTGTGGGTGCGCGCCTTTTGTTGGTGCTGGCTTTCGCATCCATGGCTTCGTTTTCTAGGAACAGGTCGGCATTGAGATGGTCCATGCGGCGTGTAAAAGAGTTGTGTATTGTGCGAATGAATTTGCTTTTGCTGATCTGGTGACCTCGTAGTGCTGTGTTGAGGTCGCTAGTTGACCTCTTGAAGGCTTGAAGCTTTTCACCCAGGTCGATTCCCTCGGCGTTCATGACGATGTTGAGCATAGCAACGGTTGCACATGCATTATTTGTAGTCTGTGAGATGTGAGATGAGAAGACTGGCCAAGGAGTGACAACTCACTTGATTCGCGAACCATACACCATTTGCATCTTCTTCCTGGTTTGTTTCTTGAAGTTCCGGAAGATATTGGAAGAGAAAGATTAAGCCATAGACTGGCTGTCTAAGAAGAGTAAGTGGCTGTACTGGAAGGAACCGCTCCTGTTCATAATCTTACGGTAGAAGTGCAAGCAAGTCGTGGCCAATAGTAAAGATTTCCTGAGCCTTGACATTGCGAACCCCCAGATCCCGTAGGATGATGTTGAAGAAAGCAGGTTCCGATTCAAGCTCTATCCAACCTTCCCACTGCTCGATATCATCTTGGGATAGCGGAGCTAGTGCCTCGTCGAGAAGATTGTCAGAGTTGATGAGATGATTCACCTCGCTTGCTGCTTCAGCGGCCTTGCGTTTAGGATTGCGCCTTGGGCCGCTCATGATGATTGGCGCAATGCGACGCACAAGAGGTTGGGCAGCCAGACGGCTAGAGCGACGCAGAGAGAGCGCGTCTACTGGACGTTCTTGGCACTGTATTGTGTCGTCAGCTTGTGTTTCATTCTTCATGATGAGCGCATTTGGTGGTTTGAACAGCGGATGATGGACGTAGAAGCTGTCACTGCCCCCATAAGAGATCTTATCAGACCGGAGCACGGTTCATTAGTCATGTAGGGTAATGAATTGTTTTCATGCGTGAAATTGATAGGTAAAGGTTTCCTTTGACACCGATTGCTGAGGTTGGTGTATTGGATGGTTACCTGCCGCCCAAAAGGCTACCTAGGCACGCAAACATACCTACATTAAGCTCCAGCTCGCCCCAGGTGTGTGCCACAGCAGTGAAAGGCCTTTGACGTAGAAACAGGGAAATAATTGGTATGGTTCTTACCCTTTACACGATGATAAATGAGAGCCCGGACTCAAGCTATCAGCATGGCTAGTATAGCGGCCTGTCGTCACTGTGAAGATGATTCGGCGTTAGCACGTCTGTAAGAATTGAGCACATTAGACTTTTTGAGCATGGAATCAAATACAATAAAGGAGGATGCGGGATGAACTAACTGCCTACCTACCTAGGCTTGTGATAGTATGGTACAATGTGTTGAGCTGCTAACCCATGATACGCTTACGGATAGAAGATTGATATTCGTTGCATCAAGGGAGCTTGGGAGAGTGAGACCTGAACATTGACATGGACGGCAGGAATTACATCCAGCTTCATCTCATACCTACATACCCTAACCAATAGCGTACAGCTTGTCGGTATTGTTAGCGCGAAACTAGAGCCACTGGCCAATCATGGGTGTTTGGAAATGTAGTAGCTACTTCAGTCCTTACCTAGGTCTAGTACCTTAGTACTTAGGTAGGTAGGTACCAATCTACAGAAGGCATCATGAAATATCTAGCATTGAGCAGGATATAGGATACCTTGTTAATCAGCCACAGCTACCTAGCTGTCGACTATAGTCTCTACTGAAAGCTCTTCAAAGTATTCTGAAGACAAAAGATACAGCAAGATTCCATTCCTTACTGCCTGGTGACGGCTCTATCTTGCAACCACTGAAGACCAGGCTTCAACAGCTCTGTATCCACTGTAGCTCCAACCAGGGGGGTTCCAGTTAGTCGCGTCCAAGCCCGCCCGACGTGACGCAGGTCCCTCAAGGAATTTCCATCATCCGTGAAAACTACTTTCACTTTAGTATAGTATCAAAACATTAACCCACGACAACGCACCTCAACCCTGCTACCTCACAACACACGCGCAACAGCCTGTCGCCTCAATACACTCAGGCTGTGACTTGGTTTGTCCGATTCATGATTTCTGTCTAGGCGCGTCTCTTTCTCCGTAATGCGAATGCCATGAGCGATTCGACTCCCCGCCTGCGGTCTGGGTTCCCAGCAACCCCAGCTACCGCTGCTCGACGACGCAACAATCAACAGACTCCCAGCTCAGCCGGCTCACCATCATACGGAAAAGGCTCTACCTCAAGATCTCCTTCTTTGCCTCAAGCTCCCGAAAGTTCGCGGCCGCAAACCGCCGTTAGCCAACCTGTCATTCCTCTGACCGTTCTCGATGCCCCCCAGCAACGTCTCTACGCCTTTGGCGTCTACGTCTTGTTGTGGGCGTGGAAGCTCTATGACTGGCTTCAGGTTGTCGAGGATGGCGACTCGTCTTGGTTCCTGTTCCTAAAATGGATCTTTATTGACTTTGCCTACCTTTTCGGGGTACCAGAATTGAGGATACCTTGGCTTGAGCTATCCCAGCCTGTCGTCACCACTATCTTTTCTCTGCATCTGATACTCAATTACATGCTCATGTTCAATATCCCCGTGAGTTTTTCAGTTCTTCCAACATTGAATGGCAAAGACTAACCGATGCATAGATTCCGTGGCAATCATGGCTCCTTGGCTTCGCCAAAGTTCTTTACGACCGCGAAATATCCATCTCTGAACACAACGTCAAGGTTTCGACTATTCTCAACAACCATTCACTCATCATGGGAAAGCAGATTATCAACATCCTGCCTGAAGGTTCCGCTATCCTTAATCCCGAGCACCGCCCCTTTTGCTTGACTGCGAAACCCAAACATATCGCGAATTTGCCCATATACTTCAATGCCACTATCCCTGCCGAGATCGAACTGATTCGAATTGACCTCGAAACCAACAAGGAAGAGACGATCAAAATTTCGAACCGAGAGGTTGGTAGGGTAGCTAAGCAAATCCGTGAGCACATCGCCGATCAGACTACGTCTGGATTCCAGTGGGACTATCCAGTTAAGAAGCCGGGAGTCTATCGACTTGGAAAAGTCTTGGATGAGTACAAGCTCGAGGTTCAACGTGCCACCAAAGACACATATGTTGTGCCCTGCCCTCAGGCAAGGATCCGCGCATCCTCGGACCCCCAGCGATGTATTCAAGAACTCTCTGACCTCTCTCTGGATGTCTATGGCACTCCCCCCCTCAAGATTGTGTACAGTCGCACTATCAATGGCAAGGACCACAGTTTCCACTTCCAGAGTCTCCAACCGGACGGATTCTCTTCACCTCTTATTGGCGGTTCTTCCAGTGTTGTTCTAGAGAATCAGGACGACGTTTCATGGGTGAAACCGGCTAGGGTCACAGTTGGCCTTAACGAGTCCATGACCTCTGCGGGGGAGTGGGAGTACTCAGTCGATGAGGTTCACGATGCCTTCCAAAATGTTGTGAAATATGCCGAATTGGAAGACAACGTCGACAAGGCCCGCACCAACGGCCTCAAGTACGGCTTCAAGGTCAAAGAGCGACCTAAGGCAAGTATGAACGGCTGCGACATGCGTAACCCCTTCAAGGTTGCTAAAGGTCGCTCCGTTAGACTACCTGTTGACTTTTCCCTGGTTGGGTCTGCCGATGACACCTCCCATGAGGTTACCTGGGAGTTTTCACCCATCAACTCCCTCACCAACAGCGGCGAGCATGGTGATCAGGTATCGATTGGAAGCTACAACGCCAAGAACGCGCTTGATAAGCCATTTGTCTCGGAGCCAGGCCTTTACACCTTGAAGTCTGTTTCCAGTGGATCTTGCAAGGGTGAGGTCAAGGAGCCATCATCTTGCCTTCTTCTGAATCCATTAGAGCCTTCGCTCTCGATTCGCTCGGAGGAGATCCCAGATAAGTGTGCAGGCAACTCTATCGGCCTGAGAGTGGACCTAGATCTTGTCGGAACACCTCCCTTCGTGGTCCGTTACGACATCATCACTAGCGATGGGCATATTGAGGAACAATCCCACCGTGTCTCTGGTTTGCGATCCCAGCTGGAGCTGGTGCCCAAGATGGCAGGTCACCACAAGTATATTTTCAAGTCTATCGACGACTCGGTATATGAGAAACTGCCTCTCACTGGTGACGACAAGGTTTTGGAGCAGGTTGTAAAGCCTGCCGCCTCAGCCAAGATTGCAAGCACCAGCGGAGTCGTCAATGCCTGCCTTGACTCGGAAGTTGAACTTGATGTCCTACTTTACGGCGAGGCACCGTTCAACCTGGAATGGGAGATTGTTCACGATGGCAAGCGCAAATCGGAGCGTGTCACTGGTGTTCAAGATAACAGCTTCAGGATTAAGACCAATGCCCTCCGAAAGGGAGGAGAGTACATTCTTGCCTTGAGCAGCGTCCAGGACAAGCGGGGATGCAAGACTTTCCTCCAGGACCAGGTCAAGATCGCCGTGCGACGCCAGCAGCCGCGAGCCGCGTTTGGCTTCGTTGAGCACAAACAGAAGCTCATGGCCGTTGAAGACACACACCTGCGACTGCCCCTGCGTCTGGAAGGAGAACCTCCTTTCGAAATTTGTTACAAGAACCTCAATGGCAATGGCGAAGTGCTGACCAAGCGTGCGAATAACGCGAATGATAATCTGTTGGTCAAATCGCAGGGTGTCTATGAACTCGTGGATGTCCGAGACAACCAGTGCCCCGGATCTGTTGTTCCAACAGCATCCCGATTCGAAGTAGGCTGGTACCCGAGACCGGAGATCTCAATCGTCGAGTCACCTAGTATCAGTTCGGAAGATGGCGCTTTCATCAAGCAATCCATTTGCGAAGGAGACATTGATGGCTTTGAGGTCAACCTTAAAGGTAAGAGGTTTAAGCCCAGGTATGGCACTATTGCTAACATATTACAGGATCGCCTCCTTATCACGTGGAATACGAGGTCACACACAAGTCTTTACAGGGCGCTAAGGCCTTCAGCCGTAAAGACTTCGACGCCGCACTCGCAAAAGCTGCCATCTCCATGGATACTTCCAAGGCTGGCGATTACAGCTACAAGTTCTCTGCTCTAGCTGATAACCTCTACAACAGCGACAAGAACTTCAACCCTCTTACTGTCTTGCAGCGCGTAAACGCCAAGCCTTCTGCTGGATTCACGAAACCAGGACAGTCCTTCAAGTACTGCATGGAGGAGCAAGAGCACGAAGATAGGATTCCCATCAAACTTACTGGAGTTGCCCCTTTCTATGTTGAGGTCGAGATCAAGCATCAAGCCGGCTCTCCGGCTGAGACTTACCGAATCCCCTCCATCGACTCCAACTCGTATGGTGTGAGAATTCCACGTCAACACCTCCGCCTTGGTGCGCAACAGGTTCGCATCCGCACCGTTAGAGACGCTCGGGGTTGCCAGCGCAAGTACGACATCGGAGGACCCTCAGTACAGATTCACCTTTACGAGGCGCCATCTATCTACCCTCTCGAGTCGCGACGTGACTATTGTGTGGGTGAACGTATTGCCTACACTCTATCCGGTACCCCTCCCTTCGACATCGCGTACGACTTCAACGGCCGATGGAATGCCAAGTCGCAAACGACCAACTTCCGCCGTATCGCTGAGAAGCCTGGCGATTTCACCATCACCAGTATCTCGGACAAGGCTAGCGAGTGTCGTGCTGCTGTTAACATCCCCAAGACGATTCACCCACTACCCAGCGTCCAGATTAGCCGTGGTAAGCAGTCTCGCGTCGACATTCACGAGGGTAACGAAGTGGATATTCTCTTCGAGTTCTGGGGCACACCGCCGTTTGAGTTCACCTATACACGTAGCTCCAACGCTAAGAAGGGCCAGCGTAGTGTTGTTCTTGAGACAAGACACGATGTCTCTTACGAACACAGCAAAGTGGTCAAGGCCAGCCAGGAGGGCACATACGAGGTTGTTGCCATTAAGGACAAGTTCTGCTCGTTCTCGACACAGCAAGTAGAAAAGAAGCAAGCAAGGTAGAGCAGGACTGGATGGGAACATAGTTTGAAAATTTTCATTTTTTGGTTGTTTGATAGGTAATGAATGGATTGTACTGCCAGAGGCGGGGACGAATAGCAATGAGAAGGGATACTGAGTTGTATATATGCATTTATTTATACCATGGCACGGCGTTTAGTAGGGTCAGACTAAGGTTGAATATGTAACATGATAACTTATTTCCAAGTGTAATGAGTGATATATTCTAAGATCTTATATGCCGGTATTCCAGGTTCTACTGTATATTTAAATCTTAGTAGGTAAAGGGTAGTTCACACCGGTTTCTTTTTTGAAAGGCCCAACTTGATACCAGCCAGCAGTCAGTACTCTTGGTAGGGGCAGGTAGGTTCCTATCTTTTAGGCAAGGCCGCAGGTGGTTTGTTGCTGTATGTGGAAGAGAGTAGGCACACCAGTCGTCGAATCATCCACTCCTGCCTCATAACCTAGTTATCTAGATATCCACATACCTGGGTATCTAACGTCAGGTAGGTGCAAGTCTTGCCATCGAACTTCTTCCCTCTTCTGTCGACTTAATATCTCAAAGTTCCTTTTCAGCTTAACGACGCTCGCTTTTGTTGCTGCCATACTATTTCCTATACTTGAGTCAGAATTTCATTAACACAGCAGTTCTCAACTCTCCCGTCTGAAACCAATTCACTTGTCACTTACGATGTGTCCGTATTAACAACAGGCAGATCGGTACCCTTGAAAGTCAAAGTCATTTTCCATGGCCTATCTCATAGGGATGCAGCTTATGATTTCTTTCCGCCTTTCGACGATTCGGTTACAGCGTCGGTCGTTTCGAGGCCTATAGAATAATGCTTGGGTCTTATTATCGGACCTCGGGCTTGCATTGGTACTCAATGTACTTACACTATTCCTCCGTCCCCGCCACAAGTTCAACATCTGCTTGTGAAGGCCTAGGCACTGGCATTGGGTAGTACGATACAACAACCGGCAAAGTGCAAAGGACTTGCATTATTATCAAATTTCCGAGACAGCAGCAACATTAACGCCGACGTCATATCTTATGCTGTTTGATGCAAGGACTGGCCTGGCCTCGGTAGTGTCGTTGTCTCGACCTTCTAGTCTGGGCATCGCAGTCTCGACTCTTCGAAAACGGTGACAAGTCAAAGTTAAACAGGGTCGCAAATACAGGGGATACAAGCTCAGTACACGAGCATTGTGCTTGTCACTACGTACTATGAGCTGCTGGCCATGGCTGCAGTCGCGAATGCTCGAATACCATCGATCGAGTATCACTAAGCTATTGATCACTCCACGAAAGAGCTACTCCGAGTGGTCAAATTGCTAAATGACTGACTGGCATTGTTGACAATCATAAACGGCAAGCAAACATCAGTAACCTTGTACAATGCAAGCAACGGCCTCATACCGCGCTCACACTGCCTCCACAACCAACGGTCCAGCCCAAGCCATAGCCATAGCCATGCTCAAATTCAAGCTCAACTGAGGACAAAGTCAGAAAAATGGCACCCTCTTCTGCAGTGCAACGGCTGACAGACACTGCACTATGGAACATTAGACAAAAGCCCCTTCTCAATTAAGGCCTTTCGCCCATTTTGTGTGTCCAAACATGCTCCAACCCCACCACTCGAAACGGTCCAGAACTCAATCGATCTGCACCTTCTTGTGCCACACCTGCGCAACCTTGCAAACGTTATTGAGGACGTACTGGGTATATATAACTGGCAGCTATTCTCTGCTTGTTGTATGTTTTTCCCTCTTTGCCAAAGTTACCATGGCTCTGCTTCAACAGCCAGTATTTGGTTTCTATACAACACTGTCAATTTCCACTCACGAAAGCTTATACGCGGCCAGTTCATCCATCATGACTAGGTCAAGTAAACAACCCAACAAAATTAGCCAAAGGAGAATCCGCGCTTGACATGACTCTCTCAACCGCAAAATTCACACGCCACACTTGATACAACGGACAAGACTCACGCTCGGGTCAAATGTCTAGCATTAGAGCACTAGCAGCTCAACGCCTTACACTCCGGTGAAAAGGATTCATTCATAGTTTATATCAAGCAAGGCGAACCGCCCCCAATGACAATAATATTATCGCAGGTATCAAAACTTGTTCATCAGGCGTATCCAATAACAGAACAGATCCACATACACGCCATTTATGCTCTCAGCAACTGGGTAACAACTACCTCGCTAATCTGCTAGCCGTCCGTATCTTGGCTAGATGCATTTGCTCGTCAAGGAATCCGGGTCGGTACCTACCTAACCTCGATCATAAATGCGAAATGTACGACAAGAAATCTCTTTTCCAAAAAGGTCCGATATGTGAGCCCGTCAGTGTCAAAAGATCATCGTTATTCCACTCCAAACGCCTTACTCCTCATAATGTGGCCACGAATGTACATCAGACGAAGCCCAAAGGACCCAGCCCTATCACCTAACCGGGGCTTAAACATAGGTACGTTGTCTCTTTTCTGGTGGGCTCTGGCCATCCATGCGTCCCTGGCTGGTTTGTGAGATGCCTCCTGGGAAACTAGCTCGACTGGCGCTGGTGGGTGTCAAGCCATATTGATTCGCACCGTTGACCATGCCGTACCCCTGGTCCATTCCTGTGTTTAGGGGAGACTGTTGCGGCATCTGTCCTGGGGACCAAGTGGCGCCAGTCGCTGGGGGCGTAGGGGTTGTCTCGAACTTGAACGTTGTCCCGCCGGGCGTGTTCAAATTACTAGGAGGGTTCATGTAACCTGCGCCCCCAACCACATATCCCGAACCTGACTCCTGCTGAGTTGAAGGGTCATAGCCCTTGAGGAGATAGCTCAGATGGTTCTCGACGATCTTCTGCATTCCGCTCTTGGTAAATGGCTTGGCTAGAACTCCGTTCATACCTGTTCACGCATAATTAGTTCCCGAGCTTTATCGCATCTCTTTCCACAGCTAGTGCTTACCGTGTTCAAAATAGCAATGGACCTCGTCAGACCGAATATTCGATGTCATGGCGACAATGGGAATGGCAGGGCAATCTTGCCGAATGTACATGGTGGTTGAGACACCGTCCAGCTTGGGCATGATGATATCCATGAAGATCATGTCGAAATGGTCACGGGTGACCCCTGTGATTCGGCTGTATGCGTCTGCTCCATTTTGCTAGATCAATCGTTAGTTGAGTCACACTACTACAATCTTTTTTTCACAGAGGGAGCTACGTACAGCATGCTCAACTTCACACCCCATCGACTTCAGGAATTTGATACCAATCTTGGCACAAGTTGGATCATCCTCGACAAGGAAAATCCTGGGTTTCCGCGACGCCCATGTCAGAGCCGAATTGGTCGACGAACCGGAGTTCGCATGTGTCTGGATGTTGATGGGTTGAGGGGCCGGTACTTCCTGCATGGCGTTCGCACTCGATTCATTGGGCATCGCGTATGGAATCTTGTGGATATGATCTGAGTGGAAAGGGTCAATGCCAACGGTCTGACCCACAGGATATACGGGGTAGCGATTGATATCGTTCATTGGATCATGCATCATGGGCATTGAGGCTTGTGGGATGACAACTGCGGAGTCGGCCGGAGACCCATATACTCCCTGAAGACGTTCCAGTTCTCGATCGGCAATTTGATCGGGTGTCACGCTGGACAGAAGTTCGCGAGCTCGTCGCAATTCAGGTGCCGCATCGTCACTCCCATCCAAAGGAGATGTTCCAACATTGAGATGCATGGCCTGCTGATGGCGGTTGCTGGAAGGCGACAGGAAGTTCAGCATCTCATGTTGGGATTGCTTTTGCGCATTGAGCATTTTTTGCAGAGTCAACACCTCGTTCACAAGGAGGCGGTTGGTCTGGGAAACCTCGGTAAACAGTTCCTGGAGTTGCTGCACTTGCTGCTGGGTAGCCGTGAGCTGTTCAGTCATGACGCTGACGTGATGACTCGTTGTGAAATCTTCCGTAGCCTGCGTTCTCCTGGGCGCTGGTGCTTTTCGGCGAATGTTGTCAAGATCATCCTTGCTTCCGACTCTGAAGTTGGGATGCTTGAATTCGAGAGTCTACACCGCAAGGTTAGTATACGCTTACCATCCTAGTGACTACCTGGAACAAAACTCACGTTGGCACCGTTGGCCGAAGAACCACTATCGTTTGTCTGTCGCACTTTATGGAAATCGTACTTGTTCAGTTGCCGGACAAAACTTGCCATGTTGCTGTGCTTGAAGTGCTTTGGAAGGATAGAGCGAGTGAATTTTTCGTTCTGGCAATGTCAGAATGTGAACATGATGGACGGCACCAATTCAAACCCTACCTCAACAACAACGAATGTGTCACCGTCCTTGCCCCATCTAGCGACATCCTGATGCGCTGGGTCCTCAAGCATTCTAAATTTAGTCAGTATTGGAAGTAAAAACATGTATAATTAATCATACCGATAGAGCTTGCGAACCTATTCGACGTGTTAGTTGTGATGTAATCAACCACTATTCTCTCGTTGACCTACGAATTCACTGGCATTGCTGCCACCCACCCCTGGGGTTGATGTTCCATCACCGGCAGACATGATGGCAGTACGGTGAGTCTCTTAGCGATTGCGTGCGTGCGCCTTTTGGGGGCGATCTCGTTGTTGACGGTATTTTGGCGAACCAGTCTTGTTCGGTCAAGATTCGTTGCAGCGGGTAACCGATAGAGGCGTTTAACCGGGCCGAGTCGCCGTTGATCGTTGATCGTTGTTGAACCTTAGGCAAGAACAGGTATACAGAAGATGATTCGAGTCTGCTAAATCAAGCGTTGAAAGACTCGTGATGCGCCAAGGCAAAGTCGTAACGAAAGGTACAAGGGCCGCTCAAGACTCGGGGAGCGAACGCGTTGATGTACAGCCGGAGCGCAGTAGGTCAAGGGGTTGCAAAGATTTGCAGACCCGGGTGCTAAAGGTCGATTTACGAGCCCGTCGCAGGGAGGCAGACGGCGACGATGCGATAGATGAGGGCCGTCGCAATTGCAAGACCAAGGGGCGTAAAATGGAGGGAATGGAGAACGGAAAACGGGGACAGGGCCTGAGTTGTATCTCAAGACAAAGTTGGGAGGCCGTGTGAGCGGGAGTGGGCACAGGCACAGGCGTGGGTGGAACGGAATAGCCTGAGCCTGCTTTTGTCACTCACTGCACTGAGCTGGACGTGGCTTGGCTTTGGCTTTGGCGGGGGGTAGTTATGACTTGTCTCTTTACGTAGCAATGTGGATATCGCCAGGTACCGAGTACTAGTCTGCAGTTGCTCAACACGCTCTGTTCCGGGAACAGATGGCACTTCCCACTTCGGCTGCTGATACTTGATACATGCCGTACCCTACTATCCGTCATTTCTGATGCTGTGAACGAGCCGATGGCGCACGCAACAGCCAGAGAGAAAAGCGAAAAGCTTGAGCCGGGGTGGGCACTTCCAGCCAAACTTAGCTTAGCCTCAACCAAGATCGCGGTGGGAATGGGGCGCTATTGCGCGAACAAGTCTGGCGGCCGTCCTTGTGGGGTGTCCCCTGGTATCTATCCATAGCTTTTTTGGTCTTTTCTGCGCTGACCATGACCCTTACTTGGCTTGGCTGCCCGGTTGCACTGGAGATCATCCCCAAAGTCGACTGTGTGGAGGTGATCATAGCGCACCGTGACCACCATGCGATCTAAGCTCCGCTTAGAAAGATCGTTAGTGGTCGTAGCTGGTAAAGAAGCGAGAAAATATTCAGCTGTTGAAGTGTCTATTCCGCTATTGTCCTGGCTCCGGCGCCATGTTGATCGTTTTTGCACTACGCATGTGCATCTCAGATAGGGTATTGCCTACTTTGGTCGAGGTTCGAATACGAAGCTGGTAATGGAGAGACGGCCACCACCCAATAATGTATCCACCAAGTTGTGGTTGTGCGCTTCTCTGTTCTCTTTGGTCCTAGTCACTGGCGTCGCTACTGCGAACGTTCTTGTTACTGCATCAAGATGAGTGCTGCGATTATTCCGTGTCTTGGATACGTTTCTGAAGCCATGTTGCGTTATGCAGGGAGACTGGTGTGGTACGGATTGTAGCGGTCCATTTAAAACGGACAATGGGTAAAGATACGTCAACTTCATAGCGCAGATCGCTCCTCTAGCCAATTTCGTAACTCGAATGCTCAAGCCGTTATGTCGAATCACAGTCGGGCCTGGAGGGGGGGACTGTTGTGACGATGATGGCCCTCTAGCCTCACGCAATGGGGTTAAATTCTTGACTGTAAGCTGCAGCGCACGCTGTGGAATGTTCGGGATTTCTCTCACTTGGTCAATCAGGAATACCTTACATGCCGCACTTAGACTTGTCGCTCATGACTCGGATTTATGATCCGGCAACTTGGGACTTTGATTGCTTCCCCGAATGGTAACCAGAGCATGGCTCTTCCGTGCACCAGGACGCGACGAATGTGAAGTAAAGAGAATCCGAGTACTCTGTACCATCTGCTTTAAATCTTATATTGTGCCCAATTTCTCGAACGTAGACTCGTCGTGCTGCATTGTTTCCTCTTGATTCGCGATACAATAAGATACCAGTGGTTAAAGATTCAGCCCTATAGAGGCACTTGGCTGCCAACGTTGAATATTATCAAGGGCTTTTTGTTTTGAGGCTAAAATTTGTTGAATCAACCAATACCCATGGACACGCGCATAATGCCAGATCCGTTTCGAGATCCGCAGGTGAATCAAGATATGAAATGATCGGAGGGTCCGATGTTGGGTAGCGTAGAACTAGCAGGTGCTGTATCCGTAACGAAGATGTCGATCAATAACGATAAACGTTGGTTGCGTCGAGCTGACGTTAAAAAAGGACGATGGCAACGTCTGAGGATAAAGACCTTGGCCAATAGCTTGGGAAGGAGGATGAGGGACGAATCCGCTCTGGATTGGTTGTTATCGAACCAGGGTTGAAGAAGGCCAGCCATCAACTGAGACGAGACTCAGCCTATAGGTGCTGTACCTGGTATCGTGACAAGGCACGCCATTCAAGTCCTGCTTCGGAATGAGGATCAAAATTCACATGCCTTTATGCTGACTTAGCCGCAAGGGAGGTCTAAGAAATTGAATAGAGATGAAGCAATGCCGAGTATCTCTAATAAAGTAGGTAGGATTGAAAGTGGGAGCCGATAGCTTGACCTAACAGTAGCAGTGAAGTGAACAAGGGAAGGGTATGTATGAGCTGTACTTCTTTTAGCCTGGTTCTTTTCTCACTTCGCATATATTACTGCTATTAGTACTCCGTAAATGCTGAGCAGAACACCGCACCGCACCGCACCGCACTGTATCGTATCTTGTTGGCAGCGGGTGGTGCTGAAGGCGTGGTGCCTACGTCCTCACGTGGATAGAAGATGGAGCTTTTAGAACGATGATTATAATTATTTCCCCGATATTGCATGTAACAACTTGCGATTTAAATGTGGAGGAGAAAATAAAGAAAGCCAGGCAAGGTGTTCATGACGGGTCGAGACCGCGGCCGTTGATGATGAAAGAAGGCGAGGACACCTGAAGCGGGTAACTACAGTGCAACTGCAGGAACGGATGCGGGTACACTGTGCACGAACCACAAACATGGAAACAGCGCCCACCTAGCCTGCGCCCCCAGTTTCCCAGTTCAACACACGGCTGAAAATTCCTCGAAAGTGGAAGGGCCAGGGAGGGATCTACTAACGCTTGCTGCGCTCTGATACGGAAGGAAAGAAGTTTTTTCCCCCTCTCTTGAAGAATGAACCTGCCTGCCGACTACCTAGGTACCTACCTAATAAAGGTGCTTCCCTATAAGATTGCGGGGTTGTTAATGACGGGGAGGGGCCTTAAATGATTTCAATAGCAACTTAAGGTATTTGCTGATGCAAGAGTGAGCTAGGTTCCTTACCAATTGATAGGGATGCTTATAGATCTACTGATGAGGTAGGTTAGGTAGGCTGTATCCGTGTTTTAGAACCTAGCACAATTCTCGAGGTGGAAGAGAAAGAATCCTTCTGTTGCGCCACAAAACAAATAATCTTTAGAGACATGTGCATCTAATTGTACGATTCAACACCCAAAACATGCAAAGGACTTTGGGCTTCGGACTTTGAACTGAATGTACATAACATGTGAGCAGTCCTGGTCCGAAACCGTTCCCGGGCAGCACGGTTAGCTTCGTCAATCATGGACAACATGAAATAAACTAAAATGACTGTTTTCAAATTTCAAATTTTGATATCTCTCTGTCTCGGAGATTTCCTTGAATTGCCAGCGCACCGGATCCAAAGAAGAAGGGCAAGCTGACGAATCCTTGGTCAACAGCTAAATAATTCCAGCTGAGAAAGACCTCTAAGCTTAAGTCTCAGTCTGACCTCTTCCCCTGCAAGCTGACGATATTGTTTCCTTTCCTGGCACGAATACTTGTAGAGTCACCAGAAAAGAAATCAATAATCCGAAACTCATCGGACACGCGGACAAAGTCGCTCAGATAGGTACCTACCATACTATTGTACCTAGTCCAGTCCTAAGCGGGCTCTGCCGCCTCCCGGAGCCGAAACGACAACAGCTCTTTCTCATTTGACGAGCCTTGCTCGTTCCTGGCCACGTGCCTGTCGTCTGTCTGTCATAAAGCTTGTGCAGAACCTGGCTTGATTGAGATACGCCATGTTGGACCAATTCTCAACTGTCGACTGTCTGTCAGAAGCTAACGCCTCCCATATCCGGTAAACAATTTGAGTTCGGCAAAAGCCAATAAACCTCATCAAAATATGCTGAGTTGTCCGATTTTTGAATTACAGAGCCAAATATGTGAATTATGTTATACATATCAATATATAACTGGCTTCGGCCTGAGATGACAGCCTAGAGAGGAACCAACGAGAGTTGGCGCAGTTAAGAGCGTAAATTCAGTGGAGCTGGGCTGTTGTGTCTGATAACGAGGAGGCTGTGGAATGCTCACAGAACTTTATCGACACATCGTTCGAGGAACAACACTTAAACTTCCACATAAGAATTGTGGAAGGATAATGGGCTGCTGAAGATACATGCTTACCTCAGCAGGATACCCTGCACACCACGGTGAACACACCGAGGTGAGGTGGGGGAAGGTTCGATTGAGTCACTGGAAATTTGACATAGCCCCACGTTTTGCGTGCAGTACGCTTCATCCAAACTTCAACTTCGCAGCATTCGCCCAGAACCTCAGAGCCAGCGCTCTCTATATAACGACAACATGTCGCACAAGGGCAACAGCGGAAAGGGCAAGAAATCCTCAAAGTCAGGGCCCGAGAGCAAGAGCGAGGATGTTCTCCAAGCGGTTGTAGGTGACATGGCGGGGTATATTTTTCGATCAAGAGCACCACAAGCTTACAGTGTGCTACTCAGGTTCTCGCCGACTCCTTTCAAGACCGGTTCAAGCCTTTTACCACGGAGAAGCCAAGAGTAAGGCGCTGACCTGGAAGCTCAGTGTATGTGCGCATGTTGATGATTTTATTCGCAGTGTCTCCTCCCTCTCGCAAACACTCCTCTTATCGAGTACACCCTCGAGTTCTTGGCCATGAACGGCGTTAACGAAGTCTACATCTACTGTGGTGCTCACACCGATCAAGTCGAGGACTACATCAGCCGATCTCGGTGGTCAACAGCCGCTCGCACATCTCCATTCTCCCACCTTCAATTTGTTCGAGTCTCCGACGCGCGATCAACTGGCGATGTTCTTCGTGATTTGGACAAGCGATCACTGGTTGACGGTGACTTTATCCTTGTCCATGGAGATCTCGTTTCCAACATCATGCTCGACAGTGCTCTGGCGGCGCATCGAAAGCGCAGGGAAGACAGTGCAGCCAACATCATGACTATGGTGTTGCTCAGTGGTGGAGAGGGCGATCACCGAACAAAGACAAACGGAATCACGCCTGTTTTTGTGGTCGACACAAAGACCCAGAGGTGTCTTCACTACGACGAAATGAACCCTCTGGCAAGCGATCGATACATGTCACTGGACCCGGCTGTTGTGGACGAGCTATCAACTGAATTTGAGATTCGATCCGACCTCATTGATGCACAGATCGATATTTGCACACCCGAGGTACTTGCGCTTTGGTCAGAGAGTTTCGACTATGAACTTCCCCGGCGAAATTTCCTGCACGGTGTACTCAAGGATTGGGAACTGAACGGCAAGATGATCTTCACGGAGATTTGTGAGGAGGGCTACGCGGCAAGAGCAAGCAACCTGCAACAGTACGATTCTGTCAGCCGTGACGTTCTAGACCGATGGACGTACCCCTTCATCCCGGAGTGCAACATCGTGCCTAAACAATCGTACCAGCGTCATATGCATGGTGTAGTGGCCGAACATGGTGCATTCTACGCAAACGACGCCAAGATCTCAAACTCAATTATCGGACGTGACAGTAACATCGGGTCAGGAAGCAACATCTCCAACAGTATAATTGGGAGAGACTGCAAAATCGGTGCAAATGTCGTGTTGGTGGACTCTTTCATCTGGGACGACACCACAATTGAGGATGGTGCAAGAATATACCGGTCAATCGTGGCAGACTCAGTAACCATTGGCAAGAACTCATCTATAGCCGAAGGCGGTCTGATCGCAACCGGAGTCACTGTTAGTGAAAGCTCTTCTCTTCCTACGGATACTGCCGTATCTTGCATCGACTATGACGGCAACCCCTTGACCCCTGACACAAAGCTGCTTGGTCCCAACACCAATGCTGCCCTCTTCATGGACCCTGAAGATGAGGAGCTGGATGAGAGAGACCCATCTCAACTACAGAAGAGCCTCATTTACAACTTGGCTCAGTTCAATATATCCACCTCATCCGTGTCAACACTATCTTCTGAAATATCCGAGGATATACATGACGAAACTTCACTACATGTTGACACCGACGACCCATCTCGCCGTACTTCATTTGTCTCTGACGACGCCGGTGACAAATTGTCTTTCCACAACGAGGCTGTCCATGGGCTGGTCGACGCTTTGCGCGCCGAGTCTGGTGATTTTGACTCGGCCAAGCTCGAGTTTATGGGTTTGCGCCTTTCTAACGACGCTTCGGATGCTATGATGCGTCGCGCTGTGGCCTCCGCCTTCGCCCGTCGTGCAGTCGAGCTCATGACCCCCGAGTATGGCGGTCTCGAGCCCAGCAAGGCTGCTGAGCGTGCTCTTATCGCTCGCCAAGGTGCAACTAAGTTCATCAACGAAGTTGGAATTGGTGGTGAGGATGACAATGAGTCTGAGCAAGTCGAGTTTATCATCGCACTCCAGAAGGCACTCACACGAGCTCATGGGCCTGAACAATCCCGTGTTGGCATTCTCCTTGCCGCAATGCTACAGCAGCTGTACTCCCTTGATATTCTTGAGGAGGAAGGTATTCTGGGTTGGTGGGAGAACGAACGTGCTGTTGATGGCGAGGGCATGGCCCTACTAAAAGAGAAGTGCCGCGTGTTGGTGGAGTGGTTAGAGACCGCCGAGGAGGAGGATGACAGCGATGATGAATAGACGAATGATTTGGGTTGATTTATCTATCTGTAAAGATAGAGGTGTTTAAAAACATATAAAGCAACTTGGTTCATACATATTCTTTTGGTGGGTGCCAATGCACGTTCATACATGCCTGAGCAGTGAATCGTCCTGGTATTAAGATGTCCCACACTATTTTGCATTGGGTCATCTACATCTTGACTTATATCTTTATATATCGCTGCTTACCTTTGATTATACCGTTGTTCGACCTTGTGATGGCAGGCCTGGTATATGCAGTCTCCTCCCCACCACGTCCATACCATCATTCAGCCCTCTCTACGATCAGGCACAACCAAAAGTATTGAGATTAACAACCTTCAGGGTGTGTATATTTTCTGACTCGGTAACGTATAGACAACATGTTATGCACTGGCTTCTGTCACCATACCACTCGATGTGGTTTTTGTGTGCCCATTTGGTAGATATCGAGCCATTTTACCATTTAGAGTAGATCCTCAATCTTGTATTTCGCGTCACTGAACACTCTAAAGCCCGTCTAAGGTTGATAATACACGTGAGTGACTTTACACTATACGTACCAAGCAACCACCCTTCTGCAGGAGGGTCGTGATTCAATATAGCATACTCCTAAAGCTAGTATCGGGGCTACTCAGAAAGAATCTCAATGCGGTCTTCTTCTCCCCCATGATAACAACAAACACCATGCACGACGCTGCCCCATGGATAACACAATAGTGACCCCCGTAAATGATGCTATTGCGCATACAGCTTAACACCCGTTCCCTGTCTTAAGAAACCTTATTCAACATGAATAATCGAGACCATTTCAGAAGTAGCACAGCCCGAGATTTGATAACACAAATCATTAAGCACAGCGGGAATTATTAGTTATAAAAATAGACCTCGTGATCATGGTATTTTGATATACCCTGTGGCAGGGATATAGTGAAATAGTACTGCCCATCCCTTGGCTTAGCTGCCATATTATATGCCCGGTTTGTAACTCAATCTTTGTCTCTCTTATCCGTACCGCATACAGTTTTAACGAGTTTGTCATAGAGCTGCAGATTACGTTTGTTCATAATCTGAAAGGGGTTTGTCTTTCAATAAATAATGCATCGAGCACTCTTGACCGTGCTGCTTGGCTTACCCTACACTGCAATGATCGCAGCGTTGAGAGGGGGTTCATAAATGACTGCTTATCTTGAACTATCTGGCCAGGACAGTTGAAACCAACCGGAAGGGGGAGATGTTGAAGGATGAGCTCATTGTGTATGATCGGTTAGAACATTGTAGAAATGGCTTCTGGCTACCTGTCTGGTTAACCACAATCCGCCAAGAGTTAACTTGGTGCAGTACGAACCGACTGCCAGGCTGCAGAATTTGCGAAAATGATATCAAAAACACGAGTCATTCGTCATCAGTCATGACACGAGTAGGTTTCTACAAAACCTACTTCACTTTATTGCAGCAAAAGTGAAGATCATAACCCTCTTGAGCGTTTTCGTCGATGTTGTTGACGCTCATATGACTATCACTAACTTACCACCATCTACACCACAACCGCCAGGACGAAGACCCTGGGATTTTTAATTTGGCCCATGTGCATATCTGCACAGATCGTCGCCGTCGAGATGAAAATAGCATTTCCAAAAATAGGGAGTCAATCTCTGCTTCTTTTTTGGATACCTTCGCATACTCTCACCAGCAACACGCCATCAGCTTGTCGGAGTTGATGTACGATCTAAGCAACGATCAGCTCGCTTCACCACCAGCCTTACACAGTCGCAACGGGGAACCTACTCAGGTACAGACAACGTGGAGAAGGGGGGTCAGACATCTCCAAAAACCGTTTTTAGGAGGGCAGAATGCACATGGGTAGGACGTGCGATGATGTAGTGATCAACCTGATCGTGCCCCCTTGGGTATGGCAGTCCCAATCAAACTTCGAGCCCTGCAGTACCGAATGTTTCTGGAAGAGGACCCTGATTCAAAATCCTTGAAAAAACTCGAGTTTTTTCCCTTTTAACTCCAACGTTGAACTGGCCGACATACCGCTCGTTCGCTCCCAACACGAGCCTGTAGCCGCAGATCCATAAGAAGACGACGTTGATGATACATTCGAAGTCCAGGATGACAAGACGATGACTGAGAAGTACAGAGTACAGAGTACAGAGTACCGAGACCATGGACAAGGGAGAGGGGTGTGGTGGCTTTTAACACGGTATACAGTCACCGACCACTCAATGAGATGCAGCTCAGTTCGAGAGTTATTGAGACAACCACCATCGGAATCCTTAGCGAAAGAGCACCAGACAAGGAAACACTACTGTATCGAGTGTTTCAGCAAATCAAAGTGCTCATGCTTTTCAGCCTGCGTCATTGGACCTGCGTCTGGTGCCTGAAAACGATGTCTTCATCAGGCTTGGGATGCCAGGTCTGTGTGTAGCCCCCTCTCAAACTGCCGCTGTATCTCGATTGTCGCCAAACGGCTAGCCCCTGGCTAATCGAGATAATTGCTGAATTCAATCTCAAGACAAATTGAATAAAGTTGCGGTTATCCAGAGTAGGGGTTCGCCGATGCTGGAGGCTTACCGCAGGGTTACATGTAACCCCTAGTTCGCAGGGTGTAGTGCATCCTAGCAGGATTAGCTGGTTCCCGGATTGGGCGTTACCGACGAAAGTATAACCCAACTAGCCAACAGAGGATGTGGTTTTTATCCATGGCGCATTCGCGTGACAAGGCTCCCAAGAGCAACGCTGCCGGTATGGGCCGAGTAATCGCGGTTATATGCAGTTGTGATATTTAGGGCCCTGACCATGAAGGAAAGAGTTGTCTCTGGATTCCTCCAAGGCGCCAGTCAACTTCCACCAATTGATTTGATTACGAAGTGTGATTAACCGGACAATGATCGGATATATGTAAGAAACGGCTAACTTGTCCGAACGTCTTGGTCAAGTAGTCATCTGACAGTTCAATCTTAACAAGATTGAATCATTCGGCGAAAATGTACTCATAGCTTCAAAATGACGTCAACGCCTCCGACGAGTATGCTGTTCGTGATGCTTTATCCAACTATCGGTGGTTTCAGTGATGATGGTACTGTACTCTGAACATCTTCGAAGTGTGACTGGATAAAAGGGGTGCCACGTTGACAGGCTCTAGCCTGATTTGTTTTGGATACACCCATGTTTGCAGTGCTTTCTTTCGCGCCTTTTCTGGAGTAGCCGCGCGTAATTCCTCGTCTATACTCCATATTTTGTTCCTTACTCCGCAAGAACTCTGGTAACTGGTCTTAGAGGTTTCAGCCTCGTGGGTAGACTGACGTGGATGGATCTTGCATAGCGACAATGACATCATGGGTATAGCCGTTGCAATGGTTGGACCCGTTTCTATCATGGAGAGAACCCTGACCTATCCGTGTAGGGAATAATAGGTGACAGATTTGGCGACATCTCCGTTCTGATGTTCTTGATGGGCGCTAATGTTCCGGAACCCTATCGCGCGTCTCACTGTAAGTCAACGAAGGGGTAAATGGCCAACCCCTAGAAGTGGCCATCCCCCATGTCAACTTCAACCCGATTAGTTTGTAAAAAGATATTATGGAGAGTACAGGGTAATTAGATTGAAATACTGGGGGGTTGGCCATTTACCCCTTCGTTGACTTAAGACTTTTTGTCGTATTGAGCTGTAGCTTCTTGAGCAACTTCGGCATTACCCGCACGGCACTTTCAGGCAGTTTTGAAGTAGGTATTGAATCAGCTGCAACTGTTGTGCGCCGTCCACTCTGAGAACCTGCAGGTCGTCACGAGCCTGCTGTCATTTGTGGGGTGAGTGCTTGGGGAACATGGCGCCTGAGACTAAAATTGATGTTGATGGCATCTTGCACGCAATCTGAGCGTCATGTTGTGAGCCTGAACCAACAAACCATATCTTAAATAATATAGAGCCAAACCCGACAAGATGTGGTCAGCATGACAAAGAACAAGGTGCTTCATGCTCAAGATTGTTCGACAACGACCCCTTGGTGAAACTGGCCTATGGGAAAGGGTGTGTGGAAAACAGTTGCATGGCGTACGCAACTCGCCCGAAATTTGCTTGGTGTTCACACCAAGATACCCGCATCGTAGATTGGCCGTTTTGAACCATCAGCCACACCGTTTGCTGCCATAGGGCGACGGCGACCAATCTGCTATTGAGCTTGTGCGAGAGCTTGACATCCGAGTCTGAAAGAAGGCTCGAGCTGGAAAACGGGTTGAGGGTCGAACAAGGCTTTGCAAGTCCATTTCTACCTCATGCCTTACCACATCATTAATATCATGAGAATTTGAAGCCGAAGCTTCGCATTGTCGTGGATAATGTTGACTTTGCTGTTACATGGCAAGTAAAGCGGGCTCAGAGCTTGCTGGAAATTGTGGCCCGGAGGACATTGCCGGTCGCAACTCAGAAGATAATTTGCCGAGCTTGGACCCAAACTAAATACGGCTGGTATCCATACAGCTGCAAAGCCATAGAGTACGGGGTACTGAGTAAGATCAATGCGCATTTCCGTTTTTCAAACCCCAAGGAGGCACGGTTCTGTATCTGGCCGCCTAGACGGAACATGCAATTGCTGAAGCCATGTCATGGGTCTTGACTAGGGTCAGGACGCCTTCCGAGATGGCTCCAGATGGAACCCGACAGGGTAGCCCTGGTGAAGATACGGCACCATGGCTGCGTTTGGTGGAAACAGCCCAACGCAGACTCTAGTCAGACGTTCTCGGCTTGGACTAAGAAAGGTGCTAACATGTAATACCAATCGAGGAGTCGCAACATCTGCTTGGAAACCCGATCGTTGTGTAGACATAGCCGCCTCGATCTTGCACGTTGTATGTGACAGCTTGGTCTGAAAAGGACCTGTTCCATAATGGTTAGGATTTTGCAATATTCAAGGAATAGGTGACTTACAAAGGCAAGGCAGGCCAAGTTCGCATCAGTCACACCTATGATAACCATTTTGGCAGTTTGGTACAGTTTGGCCAGAGTGACGGATAGAGATGCAGTATTTTGATCCCCAAGCATATATGAAGAATAACATCGGTATCGAGTGGCCATTCTGCAGCTTTTGGTCGTAGCCACCCAGTAGAGTAGGTATGAATGACCTGTGTTAGCCAACGTCCGATTGATCGATTGGGTGTGTAAGTCGGAGCCACCACCAGCCACTTACACAGCTGGTGATGCTGGATGAAGATTCAACAAAAAAGTTTCACTACCATCCCGGAACATGGACAGAGAAAGAGGGAGCGTAAGAGATATGAAGAGAAAGGGGACAAGTTAAGACCCTGAATTAGAAAATGCTATGATAAAAAGTTGACGTGTAGAGAGAGACAGAGTTTGCTCATGAATTAACGAATTCCTGTTGAGGTTCTGAAGAAGGTGCAAACAGAGTCCCAAGGGGCGACAGCCACGCGTCAAGCCACATCAACTACGCCACAGAAGCCGACGTTACGCTACACACCTGTCAGCTATGCCGACAAAGCTGAGATGTCAGACAATGATCAACATTGCAACTGCCTTGTCGTGTTGTTGATCGACGCAGATGGAAGTGCCCCAGAACGTGTAATTGGATGGAGAGGCCGCAGATATTGAATCTAGCCCTGTGGCTTCGTCATAAAATCGCCTCTTGCTGTGGCTGTGCTGCAAGCGAACCCGAATATTGGAGCGTTTGGACATTAGATGCGGGGATGTATGTATGGAAGAAATAACACCCCGACGACTTCACATGCAAAGCACCCACGTGCCTATTCTTAATCTGGAGCGAGGAGTGAAGATCTTTAATTAAAGGGCGGCAACGGCTATCAAAGAGCTGGACTAAGGGAGTGGCTTCGGCGACCGCTACAAACGCAGCACATGGCTTTTGCAAATGGCATTCCTAACGTCTAAACCAGGCTGGAACAGGGCAAGCGGTTCAAGGGAATGGTTCGATTGTGACAACTAGGTGGCTCTGTCTTAATTCGAGTCAGAGGATGGATAAGCTCTAAAAAGCCCTCGGCGTCACTTAGACCAATCGAATGATCGAGGGACTCCTCCGTGTGCTGGGTACAGACAAGCGTACCGCACTTGGGCGAGAAGCAGACTAGAGTCTCCCAAGGTAGCACTAAGACCAGGATACATGTCGACAATTTCAAAGGGTTCAACACAGCCACACGGGAAGGAAGAGCAGGCTGCTTCTAGCCCTGGAGCTATCGGGTTGATAGACGTCCTGGATGTGATAGAAAACCACTGTGAGTTATCCAAGTCCCGCTTGATCAACGACACGAGAGGACTTTGCAGTACGTGCAACATATCACAGTATAGTACAATAGGATGATAAAACTTCTCGATAGGCCATGGGATGCCCAGGTGATAGAATGACTGTCCCCGGTCAGGTGGCTGACCCCGAAAGGGAAGGCCTAGGAACAAAGGTCATTTTCGGGCCGTGGACGTGTTGTAGATGAAAGGGACGGATGGGAACTCATCCGCTTTGCCGCCAAACCAGGAGGAGCAGACTGACAGACATAGGTACCACATATACGGATACAGTTCAGTGAAGTTGCAGTCCTCTTCCAAATGAGCCAGTCCTTGACCAATGATGAATAGATTATAGAAATGATGTATAGGCAGCAGGGGGCACAACTTACAAGGGGAACACAGCGCAACACCATGCATACATACATATTGCGGCGGGAAACGGGAGATGAGGCACGGCACGGCATAACTCAGCCATACTTTACTGGTAGGTAGGTAAGATTGTGCCAGTCACGCTCCTGCTGCTGCTGTAGTTGTTTCTGTTGTAGGCATATTCCTCCATGCTAGGTAGTGGAGCTTTTGTGTGTATGTTCGTTCACCTGATGATAGTGGCAGTGGAGGCTTGCATAGAACAATGAAATGGGTATTTTCTTATTCCCAGCTGTAATTGGTTCTACAATCTTAATTTTAGCAGCTTTTCGAATTGACAGGAGCTCAAGTGCCAGTCGAGCACGGCGCGCGCGAAGAAAACGGAGAAGAAGAAGAAAAAAGACACAGTCTCAAACAATGGTTCAATCTCAATATCCCCAGTCATCTCACGATACAACTTTCGATGAGGGGATATTTTGGTGTGGGCAGCCGATGGCCAACGATATGCTCTTTAAGTGGGAGTCGATTGCAGAGGAAAGATCCGATCCAGCTAGTGTCCGACTGTGGGTTGAAGACCTCCACATCCCACGGCTCTGGCGTTCCTGCGTAAGGGCTACCGCTGTTATTAGGTACGTAGGTAGGTACCTTTATCCGAATGGAAGCGCTAGGACCGGGTACTGTCTGTTGGAAACAGCGCCTATAACGCCCGGGTCCCCGCCTAGGTACCTAAGGGCACGGAGTACCTATTGGGCGAGAAGTAAGTGCGTTACAACTTACGCAGAGAGAGGTGAGGACACACTGTAAAGTCCGTCCCGGAAGGAACCTAGAATGGGATGGGATGGGATGGAAATGAGAATGGGAATGGGATATTTTGCCGGGGGTGGTCGGTCAAGCCTCAAAGCCTCACCCCTCACATCCTTTGAAGCCACTCTCAAACATCCGTCGCACATCTGCTAAAGTTACAGCATGGTCTAAGGAACCTAACTCAACTCCTACTGTATCGAGTAAGCCCTCTCTATCTTGTCCAGTCAGAGGCTATAGAAGCTATACCCAGCGTCCACAGCGAAATGGCATGGCGTCACTGCCGTAAAGGCACCCGCCTGCACCTACCTAGCCCGGGCAGCTCAGTAACCTCAACGCTCTTCCTCCCTCCAGCTCCCGCTGTACTGTGAGTCCTGTCTGCCACAAGCCACATCCATGCCACACTGGATGTCCTGGGGGCGCCGACTTAACCGCCCGAGGCGAGTACACCTTTCTCACTCTGTCTTGTCCCTCACTAACAATTTTTCTTTCGAGAACAGACAACCAACCTAAGCCAAGCTCCTCTTCTTCCTCATTCTGTCCCCATCTTTTGTTGCTGTCGCTGTCTCCCCACTCCACCCGACATGCAGCACATGGGCTTGGGCTGCCCGCCAACCCTTGACCCTTGACCTTGACATGGCGGATGAGAAGACGACTTCTAGGATCAGGGTCCCCCTTGCTCATCTTCTTTTTCTGCCACCATCGCTTTGACCCCACAGGCTTCCGAGAATCGACGGGTGGATATTAGGTTAGGTTGGTCTGAATGCATGCAGTAGCCTTCTGACTCTGTCTGCAGTGGTTAGCGACACAACAGTCGATTGCTCTCGTTACAGTATCGTACAGTACAGTACGTATCAAGAGAGCCTCCTCGGGATCGGGAGTGGCAGCCATAGTCTGAGCAAGAGACGAGGGTAAAGTTACGCATCACATTAGGCCTCTAATGCGATAAGACGGATACCTGAAGTTCTAAACTACAGTACGGCGTACGTTGTTGTGGTTAGGGTAATGTAGGTATCGCAGCCGACAGCCACAAGCGGACAGCAGCGCTCGCTCTCGAGACAACGGGACGAAATAGACATCTTATCCAGCACAACAACACTCTAGTACTGCCTACCTGCCTATCTACCTTAGGCGGCATCCCGGCACTACGGACAAGCTATCATCGCCCCCAAATTTCTCATCCACTTTGCAACTGCTTGGCTCGACATGAGGCACTTGTCTAGTTACCTGCAAAACACATAACCGTCCGCTAGGACTTCTGATTCGAAATATCTTGATCGGTCAACGTCTTTCTCCATGTCCTTCCCCGTGTCTATGCCCTAATCTGCCCTCGTAATCTGACCGTTGGGACGATAGCCCACGCTTGAGCGCTATGGTGCTTGTAATAGTCCCTATAATTCAGCTCTGCACAAAACAAACCTCTCGATATCGCTTGAGATCATGGCCTTACCATACATAGTACGTCGCATCAAACATCGCACCACTCCCTGGCGTATGGCACAGGCACAAAACTGTGCGGCACCAGTACTTTCTCTTCACTGCATACACACCTCCTCCGATTCACATCCACCTCGTCCACTCGATCCACGACACCGCCTCGGCGCCCCAGCCCAGGGCTTGGGACGTGGGTACGAGGTACTTAGGGACTTCAAAGTCAGATCCTCGTTCTCCGTCGAGTTTGTTCACCCCTTCTCCTCTGGCGGGACTGACGACAGGTCCCCACCACTCCTCCAATATACCCTTACCTTCTCTAGCTTACCTTACCTGACCCTTCCCAATTACTACCTACACCACCCGCTACAATATCCCACGACTTCACGCACCTCTCTTCTGTTTCTATTCATTCTCTATATACACGAGAATCTATCGCCCTCTGTCAACACTCGCTCAGTACAGCTGGCTCGTCGCCTCACCTTATTCAGCCGTTATAACGCGTCTAACGGCTTACCGCGATTAACGCTTTCAGCTTCGGTCCGCGACACCAGCCATACATAGCCCACAACCCGCTCTCACAATAACACCTTAAACACCGCACCTTGACAATAAATGAACAGCGCAAGCGACTTACCTGCACAACCGTTTTCGAACTTTGCGCACCACGAGTCTTGATCGCAATTCAGCCACATTGTCCACTATTCTATATCACAGGACACTCATCCACAAACTGCGCTGCGCTGACAACCACTCGACATCTCTGCTGTTTTGAGACGGCTTAATCGATATGTTTCGACAAAGGTACGCATTTTACGATCTTTGTAGGCCTGTGTGCCGTTACAATACTGTAGAGAGTCTTGTCTCTCTGGACCACATGCAATAGCTCTTCAACATCCATACTGACAAAATGCTTAAACAGGACGAGCTCCCAGAAGCCTGGGGACGACCTATTAGCCAACTTCCGACAGCAGTTTCCTGACCTTGCCGCAGTCAGCACGTCGTCCGCTGCGCCAGGCCTTTCACAAACTACTGGTGCCGAAAACGCTCCCTCTTTACCACTGCCTGAAAGGTACGCTTCTTACATTGCGACTGTTACGGCGCTGGCTTTGCGCCTAGCTAGCATGCCTAATGCATAGTGCCTTGGTTTCAGAGAAATGTTGCTAACCTGCCCTCATAGGAACCATAATCTCAATCAAGATGCCTTCCGTGACCAGGACCCAACTCCAAGGGCGACTAATGACCCTTGGAGGTTTACACCCTCTCTTCTAGACCCTAATTCTATGTCGTTCGCCAGCTTTGCCAATGCACCACCTGGCTACTACACACCTACACCCGGAGGCACCAATACCCTGTTTCATTCTCAGGCTGGCGACCTACATACCCCGACCTTGGGATTGGGTATGGGCTTGAATACGCCTCTGTCTATGCCAACCTCGGCGGACTCGTTGCACCATGGCCCAACCCAGCCCGTAATGGATATGTCCGGCTTTCAGACTCTACAACCGCATCAGTTCCACCATTTCAACCCTTTTATCCAGGCGCCCCCACCTCAACCAACCTTCGCGCCATCCAGCTTTGTGCACCAAGATACCGGCTACGAGACCATGGACCAGGATGGGTCACCAATGGATTCTGATCCTTCCGAGGAGCGTATGTCCTCCATAGGCGTCACGCTTCAAAAGAACACCCCTTTAATGGGTTTCCAGTCCAGACAATACTCAAATGGTCCCATGTCCCACCCTTTACCTGCCTCAGCCGAGAAATTCCGATTCCATTCAACCCTCAATGCTCCTACGGCCATGATTAAGCATGCAGAAGAAATTCCCGTTACCTATCTCAACAAAGGACAGGCCTATTCGCTCTCCGTCGCTGATACAAATGCCACTATGCCCGCCCCCCCCGGCACTAAGTACCGTACTTTTGTGCGGGTTTCCTTTGAAGATGAGCAACAACGACAACGTCCAGGTGTTTGTTGGGGTCTTTGGAAAGAAGGCAGAGGCACCAATGAGGCTCACCAAAGAGGCGGGAAGCTCCAAGCCGTTGAATACGTGGAGGCAGGTCAGCCAGCAGAAGGCGACGACAAGAGGACTCGCGTGGAGCTTGAGTCTTCGTCCTTTGACGGTTTCTGCGTCACCTGGACACCTGGCATCAACGGACCTCCTGAGGTTAATATTGCAGTGCGTTTTAACTTCCTTTCTACCGATTTTAGTCACTCGAAGGGCGTTAAAGGTATTCCTGTGAGACTTTGTGCGAAAACACATCCGATTCCTTGCGACCCTTCACAACCAGCTGCCGACGCCAATCCAGAAATTTGCTACTGTAAAGTCAAGCTTTTCCGAGATCACGGAGCAGAAAGAAAGCTATCGAACGATGTGGCGCATGTCAAGAAGTCCATCGACAAGCTCAAACAACAAATCGCACAGGCTGAGAGCGGGCTCAAAGACTTTGGCAAGCGAAAACGCTCAAGTGGGGCTGCAAAGGTGGGAGAGCCGCAACGGCCTGGCAAAGTGCAGAAGCACAAGCGAACGTGGTCCATGTCTTCAGCCAGTTCTGCCGGAGGGAGTGGAAGAGTCACTATGGAGGAAGACCTACACTTCAAGCTCCAAACACTACAAGACATGTTTACCAGCACACGCCCCGTCAGTGTATTGTTTCTCAGAGGTGACGAACCCGATGACCCTGATCTACACCCTGTTTCTCTTCCGGGAGATATATCACCCCTAACTAAGCCGGGTGAAGGTCCCAACTGGCAGGCCAGAAGTGGACGAAGCTCTGTCACAGGATCTATCATCTCGCCTTCGCCCAGCTCGCTGTCTCTAGCATCACAAGCATCTGGTATTGGCGCCGCTCCCCAATGGAAGAATTTCGACTCCGTGGCGGGAGGTGACATCTCACGCAAGGGCTCTGAGCAACCCACAAGGGTCAACAAGGGCGACGACGATGGTAGCCTTAGTGGCTGGATTGAAGCTCTGGGCGTAGACACCTCTTACCGACCACCACAGGAACGAAACCCCAAACCTGTGGCATGCTTCTACGTCAAGCGACAGAACCCAGATGACACTGGCAACACAGACTATCACCGCGCTATCTACCTAATGCAGCGTTCGCTTCAAGAACTCAACACCCGAATCGCGGCCAAGTGGGGTATCGACTCTTCCCGAATTCTTCGAACAATCCATTCTATCCAGAACGGCCTCGAAGTGGAAATGGACGACGATGTGGTTAAAGAGCTCAAAGAGGGCCAAGATATGATCCTTGAAATCCAGGAAGTCACAGGACAGTCTGCAGTTAAACGAGAGTGGGAAATGGCTGTTGACCCTACCGAAGGCATTTCAGAGTCCAACAACAAAGCAACAAATGGTTTCGTCCTCCGACTCACTTTCTAATCGTTCTTTACTTTTATACTTTTCCTTTATGTTTTTAGACTCCCATTTTCCCTATCTGCAGCTGCGTACGATGATGAGTTTGCAGCAGCAACATGGGTCTAGATTAGGTTGCACTGTTCTCCTTGGTTCTGTCGACCTGTCGCCAGGTTGGTCACACGATGGCATACATATACGGACAGGGATTCTTGGCTTTGGGGCGTTGACGAATGTTCCTCTTCTTCAAAAATGATACCACTGGTTTTTATTATTATTCTTTTTTTATTCTTTGTTCAGATTTGTTCTTCTTTTCTGCAGACACTCGTGGGGGCCTAGTGATTGGCCTTCGTTGACCATTTTTACTGTTCGTTGAGTGTCTTAATATCAGACCGAGGGGTGGACAATTAAGCAGCAATTTTGTTACCAGCAAGATGGGACGATGGGGATGTCAGGCTATGTTTCGACAGTCAACATCCTGACCAGACGAAATGCATTTGTTTCAAAGCGACTGGGTGTCAGAGACGACCTTTCATTGATTGAGAGTGTGCTTGGCGACCTAATTATTTGAATGGTCGCAAGCGAGTGGACCGTTTTGAAAACATATCTCCGCCATTATTCCACCAAGCAGGATCTGCCTCTACTCTACAGCAACTATCCGAGTCTGGTACATCGAGACGGGTTCCGACAGGGAAGCAACACGTTCTACGAAGATATTTTACCTTTGATCTTGATCGCATTCGAGCATCATACAGAAGCGCATATGCATCACATTCTCATACAATGGACACATGAGTTCAGCGTACACGAAAATAGGGACTTACGAAGCAATGCCAGCGCAACAGGCAGGGGGTGAGGGCATGGGATGGAATATCGATATTGTTCTTGGGAAGCGCAACGTACATATTCTGCCATATACAATACCCATACTTATTCAAGATTCAAACTTGTTCATGACCTTGACCGTCTAACAAAGGATTTTTCCGAACACCAAATCGTGGAAGATGGGCGATATCCCTCGAGCCGTGGTGCCCGTCCTGTGGAGTTCAGCCGTTTGTGGAGTACGATGGACCCCGTCTTGGTGGCGGATCAGGGTTACCATTCGTTACCATTCGAAGTATGTTGAGTGTCACCCAGAGACGAAGACAAGGATGCGCCATTTCTGTCTGCCAGGGCCAAGACCAAAGGCATGGGTGATTATGGCTACCTTCTCTGTACTTGAGCTATCAATAACCTGCGCTACTCAAAGTACGGTGTTGTTCAAATGTGTGTCGTGGACAAATTACAACAGCTCGATCCCAGGCTACTGTTTCGTGGCTGGTGCATCGCCAATGCGTCTTGAATAAACATCATGAGCTAAGAATTGGAATGGCCAAAGCCAGTATCTAAGCCAAGCCGGATTCTTCAACCCGCTGCCTGCAGCGCCAAGCGGGTGGAGTGATTAGAAAGAAAAGGTAAGCAAACACCAGAGATGAATTGCTATACATGGAAGTACAGCAGCATAACTACTAAGGTTACAACGTCAAAGCCGAGATACCGAGAGCATCGAGTAGCACCCATAGGAGCCACAATCTCCAGCGTTCGCCAAGGGGGCCTCGAGCCGTATTCCGAAGAGATTACCAACTCACGAGGAAGTTATTGGTTGATTGGAGGGCCACGCCAAGCTGGAATTGAAAGAAAGAAAGAAACAAAGTGCCGAGCTGGAGCTTAGCCACTTGTGGCGAGGAGGTTTGCGTGTCCCCCCCCCCCCCCCCCCCAGACCCCCAGATATTGTGGCTCTTGTGTAGAGTCGCAACAAGAACGGGAATGAAATTTAACGTTGTGGCTCGTGAGCTGTTCACACTTCAGCTCATCTCGATTAGGAAAGATAACCATGGATATTGACGTGTTAGCGATGTTTCATGGGCAGAGTGTGCCTGGCGCTGATTGTGATGTGATTTGCTGCATCGATTTGTTTTAATCTGCGATGCGTTGTCTAGCCTGAGGGGAACTCGAAGCGCTTGCAGAAATCATGGGCATGGGCATGGGCATGGGCATGGGCATGGGCGAATATGGGAACATGGGAAAAGGAACTCGCCGAGTGAGCGTACAGGATGGGCGCATGCATATCGACACATGAACACACTCGATCTAGACACACCATACTCTTCCTCTTCCAGACTGCATCGGAGTAAACCTTTTTCTTCTTCGATTATTAGGGCAGAGCTCCCTGTTCGGTGCTCACCCATGCCATGCCCCATGTCCCATGTCTATTTTTCGGTCGTGGGCTTGGCAAATGAGTCTCGATCATCGACGATGGCTCGACCCAGGTCTCCCATGCGTTGTGTCTGCAGCGCTGAGCTGTGTTGTGTTGTGCTGTGATGTACGGTACGGATAGGCTACCGCATCTCGGTCGGCAGCATCCTTCCGCTCCTTGCTGGCACGGGAGATTATTATCATGCAAACATGTCATTCGGCGTATGGCGGGTACCCGGCCGTTGGAATCCAATCCAACATCATGGCCCTGATGGTGTTATTGACGGTCACTAGCCACAATCGAGGTCAAGCTCGCGCCTCAGGGTCGGGGTCTGGGTCAGGGTCAGGGGAACTGAACTGAACTGTTGGGTGCAATGCCAAAGTGATCGGCGGGTATTGAACGCGATGCAGCGACACACCCGCTTCCATCCAGACTCACAAACTCTCGGACCCCCCTCAACTTCGCAGTTTCGCCCATCTCAGCTCAGCAAGGGTCGCTCAACGGCCCGGTCGAGACAGTGAGGGTTTACCACACATTGTACATTCTCGACCATGGCCCCGTGGTAGTGGGTTGCCTCGCCACAAAAGGGAGTCATCATGAGCCACAGATGATAACATTTCCGCCGCATGTGTGGCGATGTATCTCGATATCAGTGAAACTTTGCATGATTTTGTCGAATGTTGACTGGTTCGGCACGCAATATCTACTACGTACAGTACGTGCATCTCTGTCACCCTGTACGGGGTGTTGTGGCTTATTCCTTTTCCTCGAAGGGGGCGTGTCCTGTCATGAGGGGGATCGACAAGTCTCGAGCCACAAGTCACTCTTCATCTTGGGTCATCACTTAGTGTCACCGGTCAAAATTCAACAGTAGCCTCGAGGCCTCTCGTGATGCAAAGCTAAGCAAACACTAGCAGCCAAGACCAGTTCAACCGTGAGTGACTGGTGGGTTTCTCCTGCGGGGAGCGCCATAAACGTCGGTGAGAAGAGCAAGACAGAGACATTGCAGTGTTATTAATTACAATGCCGAGCCTGTGACAAGGGCGGGAAACACCCCGCGCAAACAACCTACTATTACAGTGTGTACGTACAGTTGGTATTCAAGCAGAAGACGAGGGAGATTTACCACGCAGGACGAGCTCCCGCTCGTGCGTTTATGCGGTGCAAAATACGGCATCATAGCACCCAATAGCAACCATGAATCTGTCAGGTATGCTTCCTGTTCAGGCAGTTTGAAGGCATTCAGCCACAGCAGAGTTTCTCATGGCTTCAATCCCCAAACAGCGGTTTTTCTGGAGGCTAGGGATTTAACTTACCCCTCGCTCCTGTGGCTTGACGACTCAAATCGATGATTATGACGCAAGTGTGTACTCTGTACTTGGTACTTTGCTGCTGCTGCTACATATTACCTAGACACAAGGTGCGGGGTTTAGGGGTTCAGTCAGCTCAGAGCAACTGGCGTGGGAATATCGAGTGTCAAATTCTCCAAAATGTCGAGAAAAAATGATCTGCGGTCCAGATCCGAGCGAGATATTGTCGATCCTTAGGTATCCTTTGGGTGTCAAGTTACATTCTCCGATGCTCACAGCCGGTCGAGACTTCGATAAGCGATTGAACATGATATACCAGTCGTATCAGTGCAGACATAACATCAGAGGCCTCCTGTGTGCTCCAGGTATCCCAAGGCCTCGATGAAAGTCGTCGTCTCGTCGGTCTGTTTGAAGTTGAGCTCGACATACACCACAAAATCAGCAGTCCTCGCCTTCTCGCATCCCTGCTCCAGCCGCTTCGGCCGAAATTCTAGGGACTTTCAAATTTCGGTCAACATACTTTTCCCGCATCATCCTCGTAGAATATCCGTGTATGCGATGGATCGGAGAATCGCATCTCGATGATCATTAGAAATGCCGATGGGCAGGCATGGTAATCTTAATAATAAAAAAACGCATGCGTGGGTCAATTTTGTCCCAGCCCAGGGCTTGTCATGCAGCCTTTTTCTTTTTGCTTCATTTTCCGCATGAAACATTTGCATCTGTCATTCCCGAGTCATGTGGGTTGACCAAAAGACGGTAAATGCCCAAATTCCACTGCCGAGAAGAGTTCATGCGTCCATACCCAAGTGATAATTTCGATTCTTTATCACCCCTGCTGCCATACATGATGGAGGCATTTCCGGATCTTTGTTCCAAAAAGACGAAGTTTGTACGGATAACAGAAATATAGGTATGTAACCCCCACAAACACGGGCCGTCCATGCATCTACCCGCAGCCACATGTGGTACGAGGAGGAACAAGACCTCGTTCAGGTTGATCAAACAATAAGGGGAGACCCTCAAAGACAGTAATAGTAGTGATCATGGCTTGAAGATATCACCTCAGAACAGAAACAATCTCAAAAAGAATGCAATTAAGCAAAACTTAAGGATAGACTGATGAGGTCTCGTTTGGCTTTGCCGCTTCACGGGATCGAACCGTGGGCCTTGTCATTACTAGTGACACGCTCTACCACTGAGCCAAAGCGGCGATTGCTAATTGGTTGATACATGGCCATAATACTTGATTAATTTCAGTATTATCAAAGAGGTCCATCTGTGGATCGTTCAAACACCATGAACGTACTGTACTACCATAAAACACTGGAACCCTCCCAAACTCATAAAAGACCAATGCGTAATTGCAATTGCCTGCTCGAATTCTGCTGGCAAAGGCTTCAGCAAAGGCTTTGGCATTGGTTGCAAGAACAAAGAAGAGCTAACACAACTTGCACGAACCCTTCGCATAGACATAGAGACATTCTCATCATGCACCTGGCTAGTCCTCGACAGCTCTATTTAGAATCTCTCGTACATTTCTAGCAAAATCATCTCCGTCACCTTTGATCACGTCGAGCACGACAGTCTTGTCGCGTGACTTCATGCCGTGTGTCAGCTGGAGACTGGATTTTGGCACGCTCAATATGCCACTGAGGACCTGAACAACAGCCTTGTTGGCCTCACCTTCTCTCGCCTGAGCAGACACGCACAGCTCAATCGCATCTTCGGTGATAGCCATTACTCCCTCGCGGTTCTTGCTGGCTCCCGGCTTGACGCGAAGCTGCAGATGTAGGGAGCCCAGAGGGCACTTTTTAGAGCCAGCGACGAAGCGAATGGCACCAGACGACGCCATTTTGATGCACAGTTCAGCGCGGTTTAAGTGAATGAGGGGTAAGTTCAAGTCTGCGTAACCTTAATGAAGTCCCAGAGTAATACGGATAGATACCTACTGGGTAATTAATATTTGCCTTGTCTTTGAAGGTCTCACGCCACAGGATGCTCCAACGTAAATGACATCGTGTTGATGGTGCTATCGTGGCTGGTCGACCTTTTGCTACATCTTTTCCTACCTACCCAGCAGCCCACCAGCAGCCCAGCAACAGCACCTCCCCATGAATTAGCGACTGAGATCTGAGATGCAGCGTCTTTCGCCCGTAAAAGCGCTGAAGTTTCAGGGCACTTATTTTTGTGTTATCGGCTCCGTGGCAGTTGCTCGGACCCACTGGCCCTACCCGGCCAGCTCGTTATCAATTCTCAAGGGCCGACAAACTCGGACCTCAACTACATCATCGGCCGTCACCAACTCACGGTTAAATTTAACATTAACGCCCATCTCGAATCCACGCCCACGATACCTCGAACTCAGTCGCACCATCGCGTTATCTCCAGCACAAACGCCAGGCAGCCTTTGTAGACTCAGCCTCTCGCGCGCCATGGCCTCGGCCTTCAGCGCATACCATGGTCCTTCTGCCACCGCGTCGCAACATACCGTCACGGCTTTGGGGCGCTGGTCTGTCCTAAACCAATCGCTACCTGGTTCGTTACCCATTGGATCTATCATCCAACATTGCCTTACCTTTCTGCATGGTGCTGACTTTGCTTGCTGCAGCTGTTGACAAAATCAAGGCCATTCACGTCTACGATTTCGACAACACCCGTGAGTTTCCCACTCCCAATCCTTCCATCCCAAACACCAAGCACTACACGAGTCTAACACATGTTAGTTTTCAAGACACCCCTACCGAACCCGCAGCTCTGGAACGGCCCCACGATTGGAACTTTGTCGAACCAGGAAACTTTCATCAATGGCGGTTGGTGGCACGATAGTCGCATCCTTGCCTCGACTGGTGAAGGCATTGAAGTCGAGGAAAAGCGTGCATGGGAAGGCTGGTGGAATGAAAAGATAGTAGACCTCGTCAGGTTAAGCATGCGACAGAAGGATGCTCTGTGCGTTCTTCTTACCGGCCGCTCGGAGCGCGGATTTGCCGACTTGATAAAGAAAATGGTAACAGCCAAGGGGCTTGAATTCGACATGGCAGGACTCAAACCTGCTGTCAGTCCGACAAACCAAAAGTTTCAGAGCACCATGCACTTCAAGCAGCTCTTCCTCGGGACCTTGATGGAGACATACAAAGAAGCAGACGAGATTCGCGTATACGAGGATCGACCCAAGCATACCAAAGGCTTCCGCGACTTTTTCGCAGAGTTCAACCGCCAACAGAACATCACCCCCACACGAGGTCCTATCACAGCCGAAGTGATTCAAGTGGCAGATTGCGCCACTACTCTAGACCCCGTCATCGAGGTCGCCGAGATCCAGCACATGATCAACATCCACAACGAGTTGGTCTCCAAGCAGTCCCCACGAACACGCCAGCACCGACTCAGAATTAAGAAAACTGTGTTCTTCACCGGCTACATGATTGGACCAGAGGACACAAAGAAGCTTATCAAGCTAGCCCATATACCCCAGAACATGCCCCAGCATGAGCTCAAGTATCACGGGAACAACATTCTCATCTGTCCACGGCCGTGTCCCGCTAGCATCTTGGATAAGGTTGGTGGCATGGGCAGCAAGATGAAGTGGGAAGCCATCGGCACAGCTTGCTTCGACAATAGTATCTGGGCAGCACAGCTACGTCCCATTCCCCAGAATGCCAAGTTTCACACTGACAATCCCAGTCCGCTCGTCGTATTGGCTTTGAGGAAAGGAGTCAGGCCTATGGACGCGGGAAAGATCCAAGACTGGCAGCCTCTGCCACCAGAGAAAGCCTTCTCTTTTGAGACCGTGGTTGGCGAGAAGGTTATTTTACGCATCGAGGCAGAGGATCCACGAGAAGACGAGTATGAGAGCTTATTTGCCAACAAGGCATCGAAGCGGAAGCATAACGGTGACGAGGATTGGGGTCAGAGAAACACGCACAGCCACTACAGTGGGCGCAACGAGTCTCGTGGATACCACTCAGGGGGTCGGGGAGGTCGAGGTCGAGGAAACCGTGGCCACCGCGGTAACGCCAGAGGTGGTCGTGGAGGCCGTGGCAGAGGAGGCGGCTACAACTACCGATCTCTTGACGACGTTGAACCCAAGAACCAGCAGGGCGGCTACGGGCCACAGGTGGATTATGATGACACCTACCCGCCGCTCGGCAAAAGCAACAACCCTCCCGCATCAGCACCTAGCGATCCCAGCCAAAGCCAAGGTCAAGGTCACTTTGGTGGTCGAAATCAACAGTCGCACCGAGGCGGTGCTGCCTCACAGGGGCGGCCTATGGGCAGCCAAGCAGCTAACAACAACTCAGATTTGCAGAATTACTATTAGAGATAGTTTGCACCCGCTCAGCACGGTGGGCATCTCCTTATCTAGACGTTGAACAGCATACACTAGCTCATGTACTTTGTATGCGGTGCCAACCTGAGGACAAGTATGTTTATGTCCATGTATAATCCTAGTCGAGGTTTTTGTTTTACATCCAATTAGGTGCAAGGCGTACTGGAGGAAAACAAAACAAAACAAAACAAAACAAAACAAGCACGATACCTTGTGGAATAATGAAAAGAGAAAGGAAACGGTTCATAAGACGAACCTACAGAAGATCATGCATAGGTATATACTCCTTTATTAGCTTCGTGATCTTTACTATTTTAATCAAACAAGGCCTACCATACGCCAATCTTGAGCAGGGTTGTCTATGAGTGTATCTATTCCTCAGACCAAAGTCATCGTTCCTTGCTGCACTAGCAGGCTTGTAGCACCTCAAGTCAAAGTTACGATCACTAAAGCCAGAATGAGTGATTGATAGTCGAATATGATTGAAGACGGCTCCCATATTTGTTAAACAACTGAACAAGCGACTTGTGCCATGCCCTCGAACCTGCAACTATTAATTAGTTGCCCTGCGTATTGTATCGCTGAGAAAGGGAGATGCCATTCGTCATAGTACCTTTTCAGATATTGATTCTTATTGCTTCCCTCTGACTAATGTATGCCGTATATTCTAAACGCTGACGATTGAGAAGGCCCAATGATGAATCTCTCGGAACCACGACTAAATCATGCCAGATTTTGGATTGTTCCCAGTCAAATGTGACTCCTTCATGGTCATCGTGCTTGGGAGACTGGAGCCCCGCATGTAAATCATTCCTACTCAACCTCAAGACAGGAAACACCCATGTATGAACAGCTCTTCTAATCATATTGCACCTCCTAATTTAAGCTAGGGCCACAATCAAAACGATCAGTTTTAAGAGTGAAGTTAAATATAACCTCAAGGCAACGCGGGGCCAGACCCTTGCCGTTCACCAATGTTGTGTTCCGGCCGTTGTGGGGCCGTACCGGCCGCAGTAGAGTAGAAAGCCGGTTTCGGCACCAAGGCTGTTCAGCTAGGAGTTACTAATTAATTGTTAGGCTACTTCAGGTGTATTCAAAGTATGTCAGTACCACTTGTTTGTTGTTCTTACATTATAAATCTTCTTAGGATCTTCGGTATAAGAAGAGTCAAACTCAGGCTCTGCAGGACCATTGTTGACTCGAACGTAGATCGTTTCCGGGTCTCCTGAAACGCTTATCTCCGCTGGACCCGTCAAGCGCGGAACCGGGCCGCGACCCGGCCTGCCAAAGTAGCTAAAGTTAAGAGTTTGCAGGTTTGTTCGCCATATCTGTAACAAAAGTGCTTATGGCAGCCCACCAAAAGATCCACCTGGGATAGATAACGAATTTGTAGCTCTCCACTCTGAGGAGGCTAGCGGTTGATGAACACTCTCTCGGCATCGATATCGGTTAGACAAGAAAGGGCGTAGGTGATTTATCCATGTATGTATCCGTAGTAATGTGTGTAACTGCTGTTGGTCCTGAATTCCATCCGTGCCGTTTTCCGGTCCTCAGATTAAGTCCCTTGAAAAAAATTCACATATTTCGCCATCATCCCTGGTGTCGTGCAGATTTGAGACTTGATGATTCTTTGATCTTGCTGACAACCAGAAGGAACCGTTTTAAGCCGGAATATGATATGACAACAATAATTGGCGAAAACACCCATCGCATTCCTTCTAGCCGTTAAACTCGCAACATTCGGAGTGGGTGAGAGGCGCGCAACTAATCATGACGAATGATATTGAGAAAGCGGCGCCAGCCAATGATGCCGAATCATCACCCTCGGTATCTTCAACAACATCGTCGCCCATCTTAGAACCTATCAGAACCATCCAGGAGCCTGACGTCTTTGAGGCGTTAGAGCACGCTCTGACGCCAGATGTCGAGACAGCGGCGGAACGCGAAGCTCGTGAGCCCATCACTTACACTCGGACTGGTACCAGCATAGCCAGCGCCGCTTCTAGGCCTCCCGACTTTGAGGTTTTCTTCCAAGACGGAGATTTAGACAACCCTAGGAACTGGTCTAAAGGTTATCGCGCATGGATCATTGTTTGTGTCTCGTATTCCACATGGGTTGTGGTCTTATACAGCACATGCTATACTGCATCGATAGCTGGCCTGGCAGAAGAGTTTGGAGCATCTTCTACAGTGACGACACTCGGACTGACGACGTATCTGCTTGGTCTTGCTGCGGGAAGTCTCATCGTTGCACCTCTGAGTGAGCTGTATGGTCGACAGAAAGTATACATCGTCTGTCTGACTGTTTGGGCTTTGTTGATATTGCCTTGTGCTCTGGCGACTTCGATAACGGAGATTGTTGTTGTGCGCTTCTTTGGGTGAGTGGTGTCTCCTCTGGATTGAGTCAGCTGTACTAACATAAGCGTAGGGCCGTCTTCGGTGCTGCTATGATATCAAACAGCCCTGGAACCATCGTTGATATCTCGGACCCAGACTATCTTGCTGCTGCTATGTCAATGTGGTCGATCGCACCTCTCAATGGACCCTCCACTGGGCCCATCATTGGAGGCTTTGTGTATCAGTACCTGGGATGGCGATGGGATAATTGGATTCCTTTGATGCTCGGAGGTGCTGGAATTCTTATGATGCTCACAGTGAAGGAGACTTACCACCCAGCTATCTTGAAACAAAAGGCCGCGCGCTTGCGCAAGGAACATGACGACCCGCGGTATTGGTGCCAATATGATCAGAAGGTATCAACTCGACATTTGATCAAGGTCAATATGAGCAGACCCTTTACGTTATTAGCAACTGAACCTATTCTGTGGTTCATGGATATCTGGTGAGTCGAGCCAAGCGTACTTCCGTCATAGACGTCGCTAATCGCATAACAGGATATCGCTGATCTACGCCATTCTTTATCTTTGTTTCGTGGCATATCCAATTGTGTTCTCACAGCACCGAGGCTGGAGTGCAGGCATATCAGGCCTATCTTTCGTCGGCATTGGTATAGGAACTATGCTTGCCATCTTTGCAGAGCCCCTTTTCCGTCGTTTGATCAATTCTCAACCTCGGGACCCAGTAACTGGCAAACCTCAGCCAGAGGCGACAGCGTTGGTTATGGGCATTGGTGCAATCCTGACACCCATTGGCCAACTCGTTTTTTCGTGGACATGCCTCCCAGCGACTATTCATTGGGCTATTCCGATCGCGTTCGGCATTCCGTTTGGTGCAGGAAATACTATCAGCTTTATCTATGGCTCGAATTATCTGGCTGGGGCATACTCCATCTATGCTGCCAGCGCGCTCGCTGGGAATGCTGTAATCCGAAGCATTGCTGGAGGTGTTTTGCCCTTGGCTGGTCCCAAGATGTACGCAGCCATGACTCCTCAATGGGCCGGCACTCTCCTGGGTCTTCTCGAAGTGGCCATGATCCCCATCCCGTTTGTGTTCTGGCGATACGGAGCCAAGATTAGGGCTAAGAGTCCAGCTATCAGAGCATTGCGGGAGGAACAAGACAGGCTTGATCTCAAGAGAGCCAAGTATCAGAAGAAGCTTGAGAGGAAGCAGCGGCGAGATGCAGAAGGTGAAAAGACCGACGAGGGGGCATTGAACAAGACAGCGGGTGATTGAGGGTGTCAGATTAGAAGTTATCTTAATAATTATTGATTTATATCATGTACCTGCCTCTTATCTCGCATGTGTAAGCGGCGATGTTATTACCTACCTACCTACTAACCTTGGGGGGTGTAAGCACTTGAGCTGCAACGGAAAGAAGGTCCTTCCAAACCTGAAGCCGTAGTGCAAATAGGAAGGAACCATTCCCGACAGGACCTTATTATGGATACAATACCTACGTAGCTATGGTTGATGATCAACAAAAAAGTGAACAAGGCTACAAAAAAACATGATAACTCAATCCCGTGGGAATTTATAGGAACAGCCCGATGCGGGGGTCGAACCCGCAACCTTGAGATTGTGTGTACTCATTTAAGAGTCTCACGCTCTACCGATTGAGCTAACCGGGCGTCGTTCTTGACGCTTGTGTTGTTGACATGAGAGCTCCGGTATTGAAAATATGAATCTGTCCAAAGGAAAAGGATTCTGGCTTTGAAAGAGTCCCCCCAAGGTAGGTAATAAGTTATAGTGCTTCGTTGGGGATTGGAACAGTGACAATAGATATTCACTCTGAGAATGATTTCGAAGCTTACCAAGTTGTGATAATTTATCTGTATAGGTAGGTTAAGGTGTTCGTAAACAACACTGTTTCGACGCTCATGTGGTTGGTAGACAGATTAGGAATTCAACCTTTATACCAAACTCAACAAGAGTACATACATTTTGATTCGAGAAATACATGGTGGTATGGTTGGCAGGCAAGGATGGCGGTACGAGTGAAAATGAGTTTTGATTATTCGTCTGTTTCATGTATCATTCGGCTATGGTACGCCGACCAAGTCTCCCATACCTAATCGATTGACCTTTGAGACTCCCCGATAGACCACTTTCATATAAAGAAACACAAGGTCGACCTATCCACGCCGTGAAGGTGTCCAATAAAGTACAGCCCAATATCCCAGAGTCCTATGTGACTCGCAAACACTCCTGTTTTCTTTTTTGTGGCAGATTCCGCCCAGCTAATGCAAACAACGTCCGCTGGAGAAGCACTCAAGAAATGTTATCCCATATCAAGCCCAGTCGCTCCTTAGTTCTCCTTCTCCAGGCCATCGAGTTCCTTAAGCACGGACGACTTGGTGTTGATCTTCTTAAGCTGAGTGTCCTCTAGTTTCTCTCCACCAGCAAGACGCATCTCGAGGTCCTCGATGGCGCGAACCTTCTTCTGAAGACTGCGGATCTTCTTAGCATTGGGGTTTTGAGAAGCATCAGCAGCGGCATCAGCAGCACCCTGGGCATCCTGTTGATGAGCGTGGCGACCGTGGCCGTTGCGGTGAGTGTTGCTGCGGCTACGGGCCTGGTTGTGCCGGGACTGGCTTCGGTTGCGAGGGTTGCGTCGCTCGGGGCTGCGTCCCTCGTGGCCAGATCCATGGCCTCGGTCGTGAGGAGGAGGAGCCAGGCTAGCTCCACCGTTAGGCTCGCCTTGGGGTCGACCCTCACCCTGGGCGTTTTTCTTGTTTCTCTTCTTCTTGTTCTTAGACTTGGACGAGTTTTCGTCGCCCAGGGGTTCGGCTCCAGGAACAGTCCTGACTGCAGGAGCTTGCTCAGCAAGGTCCGCGCCTGGCACGGCGCGGCGTGGGCGACCGAAACCATTGGGTCCAACGTTAGGTAGACCATTGCTCACGACGTGGGCGGCACCACCCTCGTCCTCACGCTTGAAGTGAAGGGGAGTGGCCAGGCCACGAGCGCCGGGAGGACGGTAAGCGCCAGCAGGCTTGCTGGGGGTCTTGACTGTGCCCAGGTAGGCTGTGGCAGAGGCGTGGGGCGTGGGGACAGGGCTCAGAGGATCACCAGGAGCGATGCTGTCAGGGCCCTGAGGTCGCCAGATAACATTGTACAACTCAACCATATCCTCGCAGTACATAATACCACCACTGACATGCCACAGCTTCACGCCGTTATCCACACGGAGTCGGGGAGAGGTCGTGGCGGTCAAAAGGTAGCGGCTGTCAGGACTCCATTCACAAACACTGGGGTTTCCACTCTCGATCGTGGTAACCTTGCGGAAATCCTTCTCAAGGTCGTAGATATCGATTTGACCAGCAAGGTTGCCGAAACCAGCAACCAGAACAAATCGACCTGTAGGGGAGAAGGTGATTGTGTTTCTAGGTGCAATTGGGAAGGAGTGCGTCGCAACGGCTCGGTGGTTGAAGATGGTGGCCTTGGCAGGCATGTAGCCATACACCACACCGAACTCTCTGGAGTTTGGCGACCACGAAACATCGTGAATGGGACCCTCCTTATCCAAGGACACACGAGCATCAAAAGCGCCAGTAGTGCTGAGCAGATACAGCGTGGTCTCGCCATAGTAACTCTTGCCTGATCGATCAACGTCAGTTTGCGCCAGCACTAGAATACTTGTGCCGAGCTGGTTCCACTTCAGTTGAACCTTATCTCCCTTGAAGAAGGTCTTCTGTGAGATAGGGTTGGTGAAAAGAGGAACATTGAAGACCTTGACTGCTGCAGGTTGACCCTTGGAGATTATATCAGCGAACATATTTCGACAAAGAAAATGCAGAATTGACTTACCTTGCGTTCAGGAACAAATACGGCAACGGCGTGGTTTTGGCTGCCAGGAGCAAGAGCAAAGTTGGTAGCACCCTCGACTCGAAGCTTGTTCCAGACCTTGACGAGATCGTGGCTTTCGTAGAACTGAACTTCGTTGGTGACGAGACGAGCACAGTACTTCTCATCGGCTGTGTACTGGAGGTTCCAGCCTTGCTGTTGCTTCTGAACAAAGCGGCCCAAAGGCTGCTTGTCCTCAGCAGCGACACCATCCTCTACAACACGCCAGACCTTGAGGTTCTTGGTAGCATCTCCGTTCTCGTCCTTGGCGGGGCGTTCCCAGGTGATGACGAAAGTACCGCGGGGAGAGAAACCGAGTTCGTAGACGTTGAGGATGGGAAGAGAAAGGACCTGCTTGCCAGATGAAGCATCAACGACGGTGACGGCCTCGGGAGAGGCCCAGCCGAAGTAGCGACCACAGGGCGAGTAGGTACAGTATCGAAGGTTGCCCTCAGGCTTGGTGAACCCAGCGAGAGGCTCGTAGACGGGCGCAGCGTCAAAGACGCCGATGGTCTTCTGGGTTCTGTAGGCAAACTGCAGCGGAGAAGCCATGGCTAGTGAAAGTCACAGTATCTCGTGTCTTGCGAAGGTCTTTTTAGGGGGCCGGTTGTTGAATGTTCTGTCGTGTCGTATGCGGGCAAAGCAGAGCAGTGTTGTAGTTGTCGATCGCGATCGTGGGGCTGAAAGCTTGGGCTCAGATGCGGATTGGGCGAATAGCAATAGCGGGAGAGCGAAAAGCTAATGGAAGCTGTGGACTTTTTGACTGCACAATAAAGGGCAGTACGAAGTAGTTTGCTTGGAAGACAAATCTATAGCGTTGAATCCGACTCGTTCGAGAGCTGGATTATAGTGCAATAATAGACTGTTTGTTCGCCAAATATGGATGTTGTTTGATGTTGTCGCGGAGCAACAAACCCAAAAGTGGCGGGGGAGATCGATTGCGATGTATAGCTAAGCCTGGACCTGCGAAAAGGCAAACTAGAAGGACAAGAACAGATTCGATGACCGGAAGGAAGATAAAAAGAAGACGGCAAGTCACCCAAGTACGGAGGGGGAGGAATTGGCGCGGCAGGGCCGTGATATTTTGAGCTGAAAGGGAAACAAGAAGAGAAGAAGTTGGCGGCCTTGGCCACCAGCGAGAGGATTGGGTTTTTTTGTTCAATTTTCCCGCCCTTTTTTTTTTTTGCCTGGGCGGGCACAAGCCACACACCCTACACCGTACCCTGCGTCTACCGTTCAATGTTCGCCCTTGACTCAGCCTCTGCACTGTCTCACTCCACTGTGAATGAATGAATGCCCGGGTGAATGAATCAAGTTCATGCCCTTTACTTCTTCATAGGGCATTTGGCCCCGGATTTTACTCTCTCATGGGTATTCGTAGCCAATTGTCGTGCTCCCGAGTCCACTGTGGGTTCCGTTTCCCGAGGTTTCAGGCTTTCTTTCAGCGGGAACGCCGAGGACTACATACCTCCTTTATTCTTGTTGCTTTCAAGCCACATACAAGAGCCGCATGTGTGCGTATATACATCCATGTGAATGCATACATTGGAGGTGGCTGTTTTAAGTGAACTTGAGATTCCTTTTGAAGTGATAGAGATCTCTTCTCCGAGAAGAATACAACACAGATGCATCCTTCTATTTAGTGTGTTCTCTTTTCTAAACCACACAGCCCAACTTGATATCACTACGTGGCACCAGTCAAGTCTGCTATTGTCCAACCAAACTTGCTGTCCATCCCTAGGTTGGTAGGCCACTCGGTCACATGGCTAGCTTGCTTACAAAGGTGGAAAACCTTCTTTGGGTGTGAGTGAGAGTTATCAGCTGTGGAGTTCTTCCATTGTGAATAAGTCTTACGCCTTGAAGATGATCTAAATAAGAACTGCTGACGTATCTGGCTGTTATCACGGTCGGTAGAGATCACCTCGCTTTTCTAATGTAGAAGTGACATCGCAGTTTGATCACCTGCCCTTGAACTTCTCTCTCCAGCCACCCTTCTCGAACAGCCAGAGAGCTTCAGTAGCATAAGCACGACTGCCCCGGTGGCCGCCATCGCCCATGGCCGCCTCCGTCAAGCTATCTAGAACCCGTCCCTTCTTAACGGCGCCCCACACTCCCATAGCAATAGGGGAATCTTCACTCTTGCCCCATTCACCGAGCCCAAGACGGTAAAGAATTCTCCCCAATGTTTGGAATGCCATGCATCTTTGCGCAGGAACAGCACTTCGGGCAAGATGAGCTAGCTCCGCAACTGTATATCCGGCAGCTTCTGGGGCATCGCCATGGTGATGTAAGCCCTTTGACGAAGGGATAGCTCGACTAACTCTAGGCGATAAGAAGCGACCGCGAAAGTCAAAACGTAGAGCGTTGACCGAGATCTCAGGATGAGGATAGTATGAAGAGTCTTTATCAGCTGGGCTGTCTTCTGTAGGGACCGGTGCCATCCACGCAAGCTTGCTTGGATCAGCTGGAAGGTTGGGGAAGTATTTCTCGTGGAGTGTGGCTAGAAAGTTCGGATCAGATGGATCGAGGTCGGCTAAAGCTGGCGGAACAGGGAAGTGAATGGATTTGGGTTGATCTGTGATTGGGAACAGATCGGCTGGTATTTGTGGTGGGGCCTTGTCCTCATCGTAGTCATCTGCTATGTTTTTTGACGACGTCACTCGGGTTGCAGAGGGAGCATTTTCTTCTTTGAGCTCCTGCGAGGATTCGGGAGCCTGTGAGGAAGCTGCTGGTGGGCTCTTCGATGTTTCGCTCTTGGTTGTGTCTTCAATCTTGATAGTAGGTGGGGGCTCAGGTGCCTCCTGTTTCTCTGGCTTAGGCGGATCAAAGGGCGAAGAGTCGGGCTGCTCATCAATATTGGCTCGCGCCAGTAACCTCTGGATGAGAGCAGGATTCAAGCCATTCATGATATCTGCCTGGGCCTCAGCGATTTCGGCGGGGCTCATGCTTGCGAGCTTCTGCTTGTTCTCGTGGTCGATGCGCTGTTTCTCAACACTTTTAAAGTCCACATTCGCAGATTCATTCTGAGGCTTTGAGCTCCCAGCTTGGCTCTGCTCTTGTGTTCTAGTAGGCGCTGGTTCACCTGCTGCCTCGGCCGCGCGCCTCTGCTTGAAGGATGATTTCCATCGTCGTTTATGTTGCGGGAAGCCAGTGGAAGATATAGGACGGTCGTCGAACTCGACGGGCTTTTTGTTTGATGTATCGTGTTCGACAATATCGTTTATCAAAAGTGTTGGGTCCATTTTTGGGTAGATGTATGGAAGATTTCGCGAGAGGTTTGGTTCTGACGTCTTTTTTTCGGTCGGTGGAGCAGCCGCAGAGTAGGTAATGCTGGTGGGGCAGGGGCTTTGTGTGACCCCACCTCTTATAGCGCGTTTTTGACGGAATTGATCCGTTAATCATGTACCGTGTGCCAATCTAGGAATAACATCGATGTTGAGATCCATGTTTACGTATGGGGTTTATGGAGTTTCCGAAAGAACAAAAAATGGACCTTTGGGGGTGGAAAGGAATAAGAGGAAGAGGGGAGAATCGTTATTTTTGCATTAATTAACTGATTAATTAAGGAGAGGAGCATGTCACTCTGGTGATGTCAGGGTTACGGGCTGATTAATTACGGTATTGTGTCATTACGTGATTTACAATTGCAGCTGAGAATAGCAAAGATAAATGCTTTAGTGTATCTGACTCGAACTTGACACAATATTGATATGATGTAAATAGCTTTATTAACCAACCTGAGCTCTGCATATGTATTCCGTGCATTTATTGATGACCCCAGATGCCGAGTGTTATTTCCTGGATGGATAAAATAAGCAATATGCTGACCATTTAAAATTGTGAGGCCATGTCGCACCGCCACAGATTTGGACTGGGGTGATGGTGCATTAGCGCCGATCGATGGTCGTTCCTCATGAATTCCAGAACTCGTGTGCCACAGAACCTTGCTCGGACTACGAATTGTGGCGGCCAACTTGCGACCTGTTTAAATGGTAAATTAATCAGACATACGGGTACTGAGAGAGGTGAACCATCAACAGTCTGCTTGGTTTGTTCTCTCATGGTGATGATTGGACGATTTCCGAGTAACGAGTGCACACAGATAATAAAAGCAGTCACTGAGCACAGTACGTTGAAAAGTGCCGACAGTGTATCGTAATCCCTGTGAGAGCAGTTGGTGATGGCCAGCATGACATGGTAGAAGCCAGCCTAGGAAAAGATGATACGGAACTGGAGTCAGAAACGCCTCAAGTATCTCTTACTGCCATCTGCGCTATGTAATTGATGATGTAAATGTAAGCTGACAACATCTGATTCACAAACAATGGTAAAAGAAATGTATTTTGCCCAGCCACACTACGCCAAGAACAAACAAACATGTGGCTGATGTGGTCCTGACTGCAGCCGCGTCAAATCCCTGTCGATGTGCCGCGCCTAAGCTTGGTTCAACGTTTCTGGTTCCGGGATGAGATGGTCCACACCATCTAACGTTAGGGGTTAAAGGGGGTCCTGTGTACATACATACTGTCCGGGCTGTCACTCATAGTAGTGGGTTCATGGAGTTAATCGCTGACCCTGGAGAAACACAAGTAGGGAAAGGTTATGGTTATAAGGTGACGGGCGGGAGGTTTATCTCTTGGGTGTTACTGTGAGCGTCGCAGTGGTGAGCGGATAAATGAGAACAATGGTGACGAAAATATAACGATCACGTATCACAGAAAGGTACATGTCACAAGTCGAGAGTTATTCCTGGCCCTTCCCCACGCTACCTAAGAAGTGAGAGCTCCAGCCTCCAGCTGCTGACCCTTCCCCCCCCCCCTGCTGATTGCTGCTGCGGATGTTGCACATGGAATCTGAGTCGGCAAGGTACCTTTACCTTTTTGATTTTGGGCGGGACAAAGTATCCGTGCGCCAACATTAGAGAGGTGTTATGTTTTTTTCTCTATCAGGACCGCCTATGCATGTCTTTTTGAGTCTCCCATTGCATCTTCCGGTTTCCTCTGTGCTCGCCTTTTCCCGCTAAGACCGGGTCTTGGGGTCTCTGGACTGAAGTGCTCTCCATGCCATGTCACGACCAATTATTACTTGGTAGACCCCCTATCAGTCTATTCAATTTGGTGTTGTCTGGATAATATTCTTGAGTCTGAGGTCCAGGTCCCATATCCCAAGAATTAGCCACGCCCCTCGGCGGTTTAATACAATTTCCCTTTCTTCCCTTCCCTTCCTTTCCTTTTCCCTTTCCCTTCTTCTTCTGGCAGTTGATGCTGGCTGCCCATGGCCCATGGTCCATGGTGTTTGGTCCGCCCCCCCTCGTTTCTCCGTTTCTCCTCGTGCCTCGTGCCTTGTCGTGTCGTGTCTCGTCTCGTCTTGTTGTTTCCCGACTCGTAGTCGTAGCATTTCCAAAAGTTAGCAGCTTGCAAAGAGAGAAGCTGCTGGCTTGCCCCGTTTTTCTCCTTCCTGGAAAATAAGATATGTTGTCGTCGCCCCGAAAAAAAAAAACGTAGCCATCCCCGTCTCATTTCTCCTCCCTTTCCTTTCCTCTTTTCCTCCTCTCACTCACCAAACATCCACCTCACACCTATTTTCTCAACAACGACTGTCGATTTTTATCGTCGGATCCGTCTAAATTCATCAAATCGACACTATTCGCACATCTTAATTATCTTCAAATTGTCGTCATTCTCTGCGCTTGGTGTGGCAGTACCTCCTGACGCCCTCAAAACGACCCAAACTCCCTACTCGGCCTTATTTTTCGTATACAACGCTAGATCCACGAGCATCGTTGTTACCAAACTCAAGATCTTGAGGCTATTCAGAGATTCGACCTTCCCCACCGCCCGCACCTGCACTCCACACTCTGGCCACTCACAGCTCGTTTCACCTCGTCACCTTCCGACCGACCCTTTTCCCGCCTGCAACCATTCCGTTTTTGTCGAGACCCACACGACATACCTTGAAGCAATTCTATTGGCTGTACCTGTACCCAACTTGGTCGTGCGTTTCCGCGCCATTTAGCGTGTACCACTACCGCTACCACTGCCACTACCGCCAACCGCTATTCGCTGCCTTTTCGACATCCTCGGGGGCAGTTGGCTGGTTCGAATCACAGCCTTGCCTACGCGACGCCTTATCTGATCTTGATTTCTTGATACTGCGGATGCGTGTTTCTGTCGATCGACACTCGCATTAACATCTCCTGTTCCCTATTTTGGCTCGACTCCAATGCAAACACGGTTACATCAGTGTTTTTAGCCAATTACACCGAATACACACCACGCACGGGTTCATCTAAGAGGCTGTCAACTGCTTCTTCACAACCTCGGCTCGATATGGCCACAATAGCTGGCGACACGTCCATGTCGCGATATGATTCATCAGCTGGCGAACTCTCTTCGCCGCCCTCTGGATCACTCTCTGAACCGGGCTCACCATCACGAAATGGCTCGGGCGGTCGCGCACCCCAAGACTACGACGAGATCGTCGTTGTTTCTAGCGACGGTCAATATCAACATATCGGTCATCAGAACCACAGTGATCGCCCCCCACCTCCTTTGCCACCGCAATCAGGAACTGGCCCTCCCAAAAAGTACGCGCTGGTCGACAACCAATGGGTGCAGCTAACAGCTGCAGGTGTTCCCAGAAAGAAGCCCGGGCGGAAACCTGGAACCATTGTGAAACCACGGAACTCAGACGGCGCTGATATAGCAAAGGCTTCGCGCAAACCCCGTAAACCTCGCGACCCCAACGCGCCGCCAATGCCACGAAAAAGGAAGATCGCTCCTGCAGATGGAGAGGATGACCTGCCTGCAGACTCGAAGTCTCTTGCTGCAGCTGCCTCATCCACCACAGCGCAAGCGCACCTTTCAGATGTCACCAGCATATCGGCAACCTCACCTGGTCAAATTCACCGTCAAACATCATCTTCATCTCATCAACCCGAGCAGCGCTATTCACCAAAAATGCCAAAACGCGAACACTTTGGCTCGATGCAGAGCCTCCTAAACTCGGATCCACCCGCCGAGCGACCTCATTCTCAACCGCAGCCTCAGCCTAGCACGTCTACGTCGATCCCTGTTCGCACGAGTGGTCAAAGTTACGACCCCATCCGTGGTAATTACGATCCGATTCGCGAGACGATGGTTTCCCATAACTCTTATAATTCCGCATCTGGTTCACCAAGAGCCCCTTCTCAGGTTCCCAATCGGTCACCAACCATTGCAAGTCTTCTTGGTGGGAATGAGTCGCGCAATTCTTATCAACCACCCTCAAACCAGCCTCGTTTCCAGGCTCAGGAGCCACCCCAGGCTTCATCACCTTCTAAAGAGCCTCAGACGATATCGACACCAACTCCTGCATCGCGGACACCAGTACAGGAGCCTAAGAAAGACATCCCTCCTCCGCCACCGCCAGTGCAGCGGCCAGTCATCAAAGAGTCTAACTTCACAACCATCTCCAACGGTCCTATCAAGAGGTCATCGCCAAAGCAGAAGCCTCATACTGGGGTTTCAACGCCCAGGACTGAGAATCTTGACGACATGCAGGAAGGTGAAAGCCGCTCGATTCTCGACTTCGGCCGGGCCAAGCCAGGAGAAGAGGCACAGGCTCCTACTATTGTTCTGAGTGTGCCTATTCAGGCTGGCGAGACCAACAGATATGTCAACTTCATGCGAATGGCCGAGGACAGATATGGATGGGATGCTCTTCACCCACGGTTGGCAGCTAACCGAGATCGCAAGGCTCGAATCGCTGCGGCAGCCGCTTCACTGGAAAAGGCAGAATCAGGCCGAGAGTCTGGTGACGAAATGTCCGTTGATCTCTCCGATGCCGAGGCTAGCAACCCCGACAACGGTGCTACCAGCGGTCCTGATGCACAGGCCAAGCCCAAGAAAAAGCGTAACTTTAAGGAGGATCAATATGACGTGGATGATGATTTTGTGGATGATTCGGAGCTTCTATGGGAGGCTCAGGCCGCGGCAAGCCGTGATGGCTTCTTTGTTTACTCTGGTCCCTTGGTGCCTGAGGTTGAAAAACCAGCTGCTGGGTACGTATCTTCCCGTCCCCCCCCCCTCGTACGATCAAGTATTAACAAGCATTAGCCACGAGGGACCTCCAAAGCGTGGACGTGGTGGAAGAGGTAGCCGAGGTGGTGGGAGAGGCGCGTCGACCCGGGGCGGAGCCGGCAGCGGTCGTGGGGGAGGACCAGGTTCACGCGGCGGCTCTGTCACTCGAAAACCTCGCATCACTAAGCAAGAGAAAGCACAACGTGAGCGCGAGAAGGCTGAGCGTGAGAATATGGCTCAACTGGCCAAAACACCTACCAATGGCGGCTACTCACTGAACCCTACTACACCATCTTTTGCCGTCAGCGAACTGGGGGCATGAGAAGACTTCTACTCTACTATTGGGCCCATGCCGCCATTGACATGCCATCTTTGAGAACATTACTCATTCAACCGATGATCGCACGTACAAGAAGGACTGGCACGTACGAACAAACCGCCAGCCCTGCGAGGTATTTGTCAGCGCGCTACATCTCGCAGTGCTACGAACCTTCCGACTCTTTCAGCTGGGGAGTCATGTGTCATCCCCTTTTCTTTTGTCTCCGTTTCTTCGTCGTTGTTTGAGGACTATGTTTGGTCCGGCATGGCCCTTTTTGAGGGTTGTGAGGTTTGTGGGAGTATTGGCGTGTAAGAAATTTGATTTTTGGACTCATGGCGTTTACGTGGTTGCAAATGAACGGAACTCGGGTGGCGGGTCATAGGTGAAGAAAGACCAGGGATTTGTCTTTTTGCCTCAGATGATGGCGCATTTTCGAGGCAGGGCAGACGAAGAGTCATGACCATTAAGTTGTCCTCAGAGCGAGACTTGTTTTTAAGACACTAGATGTTAGAGTTGGAGCTGATCAAATGTAAAGATGGTATGAATGGTCTGATGACTACATACGGAGCACCGCCCCCATATGAAGACTTGTGATATGTCATGTATATCCAATGCCCAACAGCTCAAAGCTAACGCCATACAATGGCTTCTTATACAACCTCCTGTCTTGAATCTCGACTATCAAGTCCTTACCGTCACTCCGCAAACCAGCACATTCGAGAGCCTCTTTCGTCCTGTCATGGTACCTTGACCTTTGAAGACAAAAAAGACGTAAGTATATAACACCGTCACAAAACGCACTTTAACAAAAATAATTGATCACTTGACAAATCAGAAAAATCATTCGCTGACTCGCTTTTTATCTTCGCTTTTATGCTTTACCTTGATGAATCAACAAACAAGATACGTACTTCCGCCTTCTCTTCATCGTCATCCCATTCTTTCCACTGCTTCCAACATATATTCCAAATACCTCTACCCCTTGAAAGAAATGTAAAACTCTTATCCGAGGCTAAACTCTGTCACCTCACCCATCTCATTGACAGCCTGCTCGCCAATCTTGTACGCAGCGCGCCATCGCAGCTTGGCGCTTGTGACCTTTTGGGCACGGTTGCCTGCGTGCCAGATTTGGACTTCTTGGGTAATACCGCGACTTTGCTGGGGAGCAAGGTCACGTCCAGTTTGGGGCTTAAGTTGAAGTTCATAACCCTAGACTGACGTTAGTATCTGCTTAAAAAAGGTACGGAACGAGTAGATTTACCTTTGTCACGGCGAGCTGGAAGTGAAGCTCGCCAATAGGTTGCGGGATGTTGTTTGAGAAGGCAAAGACGATATTGATTGCGTTCTCGTTGCCAGGGGCTCGTCTAGCTTGCATCTCGATCTTTACATTTGTGCTGCTAACCATAGCCTGATGCTCCTTGGGCTTGCTAGGCTCAGGAGGTAGCGCCGACGAGAAGCTCCATTCATCATCGTCATTGGATACAGCCGCAGGTTTAGGCTGAGGGGGAGCGGGTGATGCCCGTTGGGAGTTTAGGTTGCTAGCTCCAAGGATAGCAAAGGGGTCAGATGCAGGTTGCGACGGAGGAGCAGGCTGTTGTTGGAAAGGAGGTTGAGGTGTGGTCGATTGAGAGACAGGCTGTGAGAAAGACGCGAATTGTGAGAAAGGGGGAGGAGGAGTTGGGGTTGATACTGGGCCTCGGGCAGAGTTGTCCTGGGTCATGGAGGATAGGAGCGCAGGTCCGGGGATATCTGATATAGGGGTTAGTACAACCACAAGTATTGATGGACAAGGACTTGCAACTTACTTTGGTTTGCGCCAAATCCCAGCGCAATACCACCGCCCGATCCAAAGCCGCCGGAGTCTCCGCCTATATCAAGACCAAGAAGGTCATTTTCAAGACCTCCAGCGCCTGTAGCAGGCGCAGAGGCATTAGCATTGCTCGACTGGGCGCCGTTGCTACTGGCATCGGCATCAAAGTCGATAAGAGATAGCTCGTTTGCTGCGCTTGAAGATGACGCTACAGCTCCTGAGGAAGTAGACGGAGGAGGCGCACCAGCAGCAATCTTAGCAGCACCCTCCATGTCACCCTTCTTCATCAACTTATAGCGTTCTGCTGTTCGGTGTATGCTATCATTAATCTCCAGGAGCTTGGCGACAGCCTCGTGGTCATCGGATTCTTCCTCGCACATCTTCTGGATCTTGGGCTGAGCGCTTTGCAAGGCAGCGGCCAATTCACTGAAGACATCGCCGTCTTCCATTTTGTCGCCGGCTTGAAAAGAGTCTAGCCGCTCCTCCAATAAACGTGCCTTGGCCTGGATCTTGGCGACATCCTCGGCAGCCTTTGCGCGGTAGTCGGTCTTTGATCGTGTATCGTAGCCAGCCATGATCTTCATGAGGCGGTTGGCTTCTTGGAGGTCCTCAGGTGTGCCACGACGAATGAGCTCTTGAAGCTTAGCTGATTGCGCCTCTCGTTCTTCTTCCTCCATTTCCTCTGCGGACTTCAGATTCTACACAGCATGTTCAGTATAGCAACACAGGATTCAAAGCTTCCCCAACTTACATCGCTAGGATTCAGAACAGCAGCATCTTCTCTCCTCACCTCAGGAAAGACATAGCCCTTATAACTCAGCAAACGATGCATATCCCTGATGAAGCCCAGATCCTCCTTATATCGGCTTGTCTCACATATCGTCCCTCGCCATTCCTCAATCGCCTCAAGTATCTTTGCCTGCACACGCGTGGGTCGCATAGGTGGCCGCTCGGGGAATCTCCTGACGAGTTCATTCAGGAACTCTTTGGTACCAATTTGTAGATGAAAAGGGTATCCGCAATTTTTGACGCAAATATCGAGCAGACCCAGAGCGAGCAGGGCAACATTGGGATTGCGGTGGTTAATGTAGTTAACGATGGCCGTGGCAGCCTCGCGAGGAGCGGTTCCCTTTTTCGAATTTATGAGGTCGGCGATCTCGAGATTGACAGCGAGATTGGGTTCGTAGTTCTCGGGACTGCATGCAGCCTGGATGAAGCGCTGAAGTTGGGAGGGGGATCGGCCAGACGAAGAAGGCATATCGCTCCAGCGGTCGCGAGCCGCAGCGCGAGCAGAAGCGGCCTCCATTGCAAGGGATAAACTCGGCGAGTATGCACAGAAGAAACGAGGCTATTCGAGGTGGGTTGCGCGCGCGTTGGTCGAAGAGGGCAAACAGTACGGTACAATACAGTACGATGCAGTGCTACGTTAGGTAGTAAACACTTAACGTTAGGAGAAGGGTGAGGTGAGCTGGAGCCTGGGTCCGGGGTCTGGGTCTGGCGGGGGAAGTTTGATAGTGTCCGAGCGAATATGGATTAAGCCTGCGGAAACAGCTTGAAACAAACAAATTGCAATTATAGATAATAGAAAGCGGTACAAATTGTGGCTAAGCGAGAGACAGAGCCACTTGCTCTCTTGTTCTGTCTCTGTCCTTGAGCTGATCCTGTACTTCAAGGCAGATGCCAGATGCGAGATGCGAGATGCTAGCCGCCAGGGGACAGCACGACGATAACCTAACCTTAGTACTTACCAATGGAAGGTCCCAACCAAACCTTAGCAAGGCTCTAGCAACGTGTGGCAGTGTGGCGTTGCAGTACTAAGGAGGCTTCCACGTGACAGAATCCAGCACTCGATTGATTTGGAGAACGCCCGATCCCGTTACAGCTCTGAGCTTACAGCAGCGTCATCGCTGAAGGCTCGCCATCGCTAGGGGACCCCAGCACTTGGTGTGCTTTGATGCTTTGGTGGCCTAGCGGACCCCACCATGGATCTACCCATCGTCCATACAATGGATAGCTTTTTTGGTTTTTGGGGCAAAAATTAAAATCTTAACCTCACTTCACGTAGGTACATAGTAACTGCCCACGAACCACTGGGAACATCCCCTAAGCGGTACGCTACGATACCTTACGATATAATATTGCATACGAATAGCAAACAAGATAAAAAAACCATACACAATGGTCCGTCATAAAAAGGATTTCGCAAAGGGCAGGAAAGGAGGCCCAACCCCGCGTCGAGGACCCCGCCGTGATGATGAGGATGGTGAATCCTCGCGCCCAGCTTTCAAGGCTGCCTGCTGGGACTTGGGCCACTGCGATCCCAAGCGCTGCTCTGGAAAGAAGCTCATGAAGCTTGGAATGATGCGCGACCTGCACCTCGGCCAGCGCCATAACGGAGTTATCATCACTCCCAATGGAAAACATACTGTCTCCCCCGCCGACCGCGAGATCATGGATCAATATGGCGCTGCTGTCGTCGAATGCTCCTGGGCGAGAACGCAGGAGGTTCAGTGGAACAAAGTCGGTGGCAAGTGTGAGCGATTGCTGCCCTACCTTGTCGCAGCAAACACAGTCAACTATGGCAAACCCTGGCGGCTGAACTGTGTTGAAGCCCTGGCTGCTGCATTCTATATCTGCGGCCATGCAGACTGGGCCGAGCAAATTCTAGCACCCTTCTCTTACGGCCCCTCCTTTCTCGAGATCAACTCCAGCTTGCTCAAGCGATATGCGGGGTGTGCTGATGAGGCGGGCATAAAGAAGACGCAGGAGGAGTGGATGGAGCAGCTGGAGAGGGAATACGCGGAGAGCAGAGAAGAAGGCAATGATGATATGTGGACCAGTGGAAATACGAACCGAAGGCGTATGGATTCCTCTTCCGAAGACGACGACGACGACGACGATGGCAGTGACGAGGAGGAAGAGGGCAGTGTAGATGGGATATACCTGGGCAAGAAACCGCCCAAGCCTCAGCCAGAAGAAGAGGAAGAGGAAAAGGACCGGTACGCAATATCCGACGACTCAGATGACGAAGACACAATGGCCGAGATCCGTCGCAAAGTCCTTGCCTCAAAGACCTTCGCCAACCCCAATCCCGATCAACAAGAGGAGAAGAAACCAGCCACCATCCCAAATCCGCACCAGCATCAGCAGCAGTTCAAGCCCAACACGAGCGTGCAGCCTGACTCGGACAACGAAAGGAGTAGGAGCGACGACGATGGCGATGAAGACGATGAGTTTGATAACATCATCGAGGCCACACCTGTGACTGATCGTATTGGTTTGGCCAAGTTGGAAAAGGAGCGCTCGCAGGCTACTGTGACGACAAGAACATTTTCGTCAAATGCTGTTGGTGCGCCATCTAGAAGTTGATTACCAGATTGCTAAGTGAAAATTGTAAAAGGACTTCACTGCAGAGTCGCACGCAAAGCCGAAATGGAACAACGCTTTGAAACTGTGATATTTCAACGTAAAATTAGTGAGGTATGGTATATCATCTAGCCGTACAGCATCCAAATATTGTATACAATGTCTTCTCTCATAAGACCATTTCCTTCATTCCACACAACTTTTTATACACAAGGCCCTTACACAGAAGAGGGCCACAACCTTTTGTCTTGCTTTTTGTACATATACGTTCTACAAATCTGTTGTTACAGTGTTCGCTTCTCCTTGATCTCATCATATGTCTGAATCTGATCGTCGACTTGCAGATCATGGAAGTTTTCGAGGCCGATACCGCACTCGGTACCTTTGCCCATTTCCATAACGTCCTTCTTGACATGCTTGAGCGTGTCGATTTTACCTGGAGCGAGTCAGTATAAAAGTGTGGAGATGCAAAGTGAAACGCCCGATGAAGGCAATGAAAATAAAATAGGAGTATGACTTACCATCAAATATAACCTCTCCACGACGGATAACCTTGACCCTAGACGTCCGCTTAATGGTGCCGTTGCGAACCTTGCAACCAGCGATGTTCATCTGCACACGCTTCCTGACGTTGATGGCAAAGACCTGCAGAACATCTGCCTCACCGAGAACCTTATGTGTTATGTTGTACGGTAGTAGATCGGAGAGGGCATTCTTGACATCATCGACGACGTGGTAGATGACGCTGTGGTCGATTATACGCACGCCAGCCTCATCAGCGCGTTGGCGAATGTGAGGTAGGATGGGGAGATTGAAGTTGACAACGATACTCTTTGAAGCAGCGGCGTGATCAACATCGTACTCAGAGATGCCGCCAGCTCCAGATCGCAGGATCTTTGATTGGACTTCATTGCTGCCAAGTTCCTGAACTGTGCCGCAGACGGCCTCTACTGAGCCAGCAACGTCGGCTTTGATGATGAAGTTCTGAAAGATGATGCCAGGCTCAGCCTTGATAGGTTCTGCTGCTTCAGTGCCCTCGGCTTCTGCAGCTGCTGCAGCTTCTTCAGCAGCCTCCTTTTCGCGCATGCGTTGCTCCTGTTCAGCGAGTTGCTGAGAACTCTCTAGCCTCTCGGCCATTTCCTCTCGATACTCAACTGCTGTCTTGGCTTTGCCCTCATCCGGCGCCTGGAGGACCTGTACTCCAGCATCAGGTAGCTCACGCCAGCCGAGGACCTGGACAGGAGTTCCAGGTGGTGCTTCAGAGATCTCGACTCCAGCTTCGTTGCGAAGAGCACGAACTCTGGCCCACGACTTGCCAGCAACGATAACATCACCAAGACGCAGAGTTCCTCGCTTGATCAGTACCGTGGCAGTCTTTCCAGTTTGCTTGACACTAGATTCAAGGACCCAGCCCTCAGCCATGCCGTCTGCCTCAGCGCGGACATCAAGAATTTCTGACAGAGTGACGATGTTCTCTTCAAGGTCTTCCATGCCCTTACCGGTCTTTCCACTGACGGGAACGACCTGGACATCACCTCCAAAGTCTTCAATCTCAACACCATGGCGGGCAAGATCGGCCTTGACTTGGTCGACGCGAGCATCTTCCTTGTCAATCTTGTTGATTGCAACAATGATAGGAACCTTAGCAGCTGTGGCGTGTTTCAACGCCTCAATGGTCTGCGGCATAACACTATCGTCAGCAGCAACAACCAGCACCACAATATCTGTGACGTTGGCGCCTCGTTGACGCATGGACAAGAATGCAGCGTGGCCTGGTGTATCGAGGAATGTGATCTGCTTGCCTGACGACATCTGAACAATAAAAGCACCAATATGCTGTGTGATGCCACCGTGCTCCTGAGCAGCAATCGAAGACTTCCGCAGCCAATCCAAAAGGGTAGTCTTTCCGTGATCAACGTGGCCCATGATGGTCACAACAGGAGGCCTGCTCGGTAACGAAGATGTATCTTCTGGTACCGGTCGAGGTTGGAGATCACGTTGAGAACCCGTGTCAACTGTGGGATCAAAGCCATACTCCTGGGCAACGAGAGCCGCCGTATCACCAGTCATGATTGTATCCTCAGTAAGATCCTCAAAGCCCATGGTCTCTAGATCATGCAAGAAGTCCGCGATGCGGATCTTTAGAGCACTAGACAAGTTGGAGACACTGATATACTCTGGGAGGAAAATGGGCACTGGTGCAGCCGCAGCTTCTTCTTCAAAACGCTTCCTGGCATCCTTCTCGGCTTTTTTGCGCTGTCTTGCTTCCCATCGTCGAATCGTTTCGTCGTCCATGTCCTCATCTTCGTAGTTGCTCTGGCGAGTGTTCTTCTGGCGTTTACCCTTCTTGTCTCGTCTTCTGTTCTCTTTCTCGTCTTCCTCAATCTCAAAGCGGGACTTGCGTCTTGGTTGTTCTTCCTGCTGCTGGGGTGGCTGAAGCCAAGAGTCGTCGCTCAGAATTGGAGCTTGCGATTGATCGCGGGCGGCACTGGGGCCTGGCCGGCCACGGATGTTAGTGACTCTGCTTTCAAGTGCGTCCCAGAAGCCTGCACTCTTGCCCTTCGGTGCATCATCATACGTGCGTGCCGCGCGTTTTAATTGACCCCATACAGCTTCGCCCTGATTTTGACTTGTAGGCGCAGACGACCCCTTGGTCTGATTATGGGAGGCATTCACTTCAGTCTTACTCTTCACGAGAGGTACATGCGTGTCGACTTTTCGAGAACTAAAGGTACCCCAGGAAGGTGTAGCCTGTTTTGGTGCTTCATTGGTAGACCAGGATCTGGGAGTCGCTACCGGAGCCGGTGCGCGGTCTGTCTTGAAGGCTTCAGCCAAGATAGAGCTCGACAACGGGTTCGGCTGAGTCCTGGCTGGCCTTGCTTCTCCTTGTTGCTGCTGTGTCTGCTGCTGTCCGGTATTTCTATTCCTGTCGTTCGATCGATTCGGTCGCTGGTTATCGTTTGGCTCGCGCTGATTTTTGCCTTTCCCTTGACCCTGGCGTTGACCCTGACCATTAAATCCGTTCTGAGAAAGAGTGGAATTTCTGTTGTTGTCTTTTGTTGTTGTCGTGGGGGGCTTTGGAGGAGACGCCTGAGCAGGCTTTTTCAAAGGCAATCCCATCTTTTTGCGAGCTTCCAGTTCGTGTGGGAGCAATTCGCCAGAAGACTTCGAAACGTCCGTTACTGTCTTATTCGCAAATGCTCCAAAAGACCCCATTCCAGCTCCAAACCCTCCAGAAACCCCGGCCCCGGGGAAGCCTCCCGGCTTGTCATTATCGTTCAGTCCACGAAGCGCGGAGCTTGTCGAGAGAGAGCGCACGCCATATAACTGTGCAGAATGGCACGATGATAGTCTGGTGGCCCTGGCTGGCGTTATCGAAGTTGGGGCGCTGGAAGCATGACGATCTCGAAGTTGTGAACCCCTCGGCAAGAGTTTGTGGCGGCAGAAGGCGCATACGTAGGTATTACCGCTCTCCTAGAGACTGTATAAGATATACGCCGAGATTGATTAGTTAAAGGGGACTGACCTGTAAAGTGCGAGCTCTTAACATTGCCGCGGCAAAGGATTGACAGACTTGGAGCGAATCTGTCTCGACATTGGCTTTTCAAGTGAATGTGCTACGGTTCTGTAAGTGTAGAAATCGATCTTAGTGGAGTTCGCAATTGGCCACAGCGCGCAACGCTCGGCTCCGGGAGGGGATTGTCCGCAACAGCTTTGGGTGATGTCAAGACGATGCTTGCTACAGGGATCTATCTTCGAATTTCGATCAGTTAGCCAAAGCAGACAAGGAAAAATCCAAAATTGATAGATTCGAGAACAGAAATCACAGGTATATCCTCAAAAAACAGCCAAAACTTGTTTCATGCCTTCCTTCACTATTTGTACATACGGACATGTTCTGTCCGACAGTAGGTGACGTCCATGACCATACCCGTAGTTTTGTGGGACCAGCACTAGAACATTATCTTATTCTTCGAGAACACATTTCCAGCTACAACAACTCTTACCTACCTTACTCATTCACTCTACCTATTTATCCATCAACCGACCTTCTGTCTCCAAACACAGAGAACAAGAGGCCATCATCTCACTCAAGATGGCACCTAACAAGAGAGCAGGGAAGCAAAAGACTGCTCATTTTGATGATAAAAAGAATGACCCCCCCCCTTCGCCTTTCAAGCGACCCCCTGAGGTCCTGGGGCCTTTTATCGAATCTTTGGATAAGAAGCATGTCTATATCACACACATCGACAACAAGCCCGCAGCCTTCAAACGAAAGATCTTTCTCGTGCCCGTTGGTATGAACGTGGTTGTTGTACTGCTCTTTATTCTACGTATGTGGTGGATTGTCCCCTGGTACTGGCAACTCATGATGACCGGTCTTGGTCATGAAAACGAAACAACCTGGAACACCACAGACTCAACATGGTCCGAAATTGCTTGGGAAATCGGAAAACGTACCGGGACTATGATCATTGACTTCGCCCTGTTCATCTTCGTCTGGCCGTGGCCTGTGGAATTTGTCGCTGGCCAAGCTCGTGGCAACCCTTGTCAATGGCGATGGCAAGTTGGTTTTCGTGAACAGGAGATCTACGTACGTCGAAGCCGAGGATGGGACCAGGCTCTCACAGACATCCTGTCGGATAAGGACTCTAACAAGATTCTACTTACTTACGTGGATCTCGCAACCTCCCCTATTCTCCAGGAGCAGAAGACTGGATATCTCCTGATGAACGCTTACTGGGATCTTGACTGGGCACGCATGGTATATGCGCACCGTCTTGTCGACAAAAAGGAAATTGCTCTCGAGGCCTTCAAGAATGTTGTTCTTGTTCACCATGCGGAATACGGTTGGATATGCTATGATGTGCGCGGCACTACTACTTCCGGAGAGGACGAGCGACGACGCCAAGTCTTTGCTTTTCGGGATGCACTCACAGAGCTCGGAAAGGAAAATTTGTTCTACCGTTGGGTTGAGATTGTTCAGTTTGAAGCTACGCAGCCTGGCGGGTTTGGTCCCAAGGAACAAGAGGTGGCAGCCAAGAGGATCCGAGAGTTATTCGAGAACGACGGGATCAACTTTGATGAGCTTTGGAAAAAGAGTGTTGGCTCCATGCCGTCATAAAAGGGACATCCATATAATTAATTACTAGAAAAACATCATGACACACATTTTCGGTATTTACTACCATTGCTTAGGCTTAGGTGTTCAAAAATTAAAAATACTAATTCCCTTTTCCCTATTATCGTCTATCTTCATCTACATACAATACAGTCATCACGATATCGAATGTATAAATTAACTATCCTAAAAGGATAGGATAAAAAAAAAGTATTATGCGCCCTGCATTCCCTCTCTAAGCGGAGAATCTACAGCGCGACCCTGCTTTCGCGTGGGTTATTTCTTTGCGCACGTCGCTTCCTCGGACATCCTTAGTACAGGCGTCCCCATACTAAGGCACACCAGGGGATGCGCAGCGTTTCTGAGAGAGGATACGCTGACTGGCATGTACACAGGGTCGAACCCCGGGTTTGGGCCGCGGCCCAAGGCCAGGGTTAACCACTGCGCCATGTCCGGTCAGGTCACCTCTCGCTGGTGACAGAGAGTGAGTTATTTTGACAGATAAAGCTTTGGGTGGTGATGCGGGTGGGCGTGGGGCGCGGCTGGCAGGCAGCTGGCACGTTCACTTTGAGCCTCAGCCATAGCAAGAACAAAGTTACCACAGCAATATGCAGTATGTAAGTCCCCACATTGAATGCGCCAGCCACCCAAGGGGGGCGTTTCTTTTCCAAGTTTATCGCTGTTGCTCATCAGAAACAATATCGGGATCTTAACAGTGGCAGGGCCAATGCACCATTCATCGTGGTATTTGTGTCACAACACCAACCAAACAAGAATGAGCCGACAACGTGTACGAGTTTCCGTAATCAGGAGTAGTGAATGATGTCTGACTGGGGTTGCTCTTCGAGAAAAGCATCATATAGGTCCAGAATATGTATCGAGTTCGTATGTATGAGCAAAAGCACTTTCCATTCGCCCCTGACTTCAGGGGGCTATGGGATCGTAAAGAGCAAAAGCAAGATCAAGGCATTGACCATACCGCATCCTACAGCGAGTATTTGACTCAATTGATAATGTGGCAAGACTGCCAGTCCGTCGAAGAGCTCATGTTGGTGTGCTTTCCCAATAATAGGAGAATGAAGGCGCTGGGGCTTGTTGGGACTGCAGAGACCTAAATCCAGAGGACAGCGTCCTGGAGGTAGTCGGAATTGGCATAGGCAAGTACTCGAAGGTAGTTTTGTCTTGTATAGCCGTTTTCTGGGATAATAATGCCTTTCGGTACCTCAATGCGTTGTTGGATGATGGTATGAGGTTGAAATTGTGTGCAGTGGAGTTGCGTGTCGTCCTGGGCGGACTAACAAGACGCCGCACCCACACCTCGACTCAGCTCAAGCCCCGAAGGTGGATTTCACGTGCGGAGAATCCTAGCAGAGGAGAGTTGCTTTTTGTTCAATGAGACGGGGCATAAAGCGGTGAAACAGGTATTTTCCCTCTGAGTCTGAGGCTCTACACAAAACCTAGGGGAAGATCCCAAGGGGAGAAGCAAGGACCCAAAATACCTAAATTTGGGGTTTTCTACCAAATGCCCACGTAGAACAACGCTAACTGGAGTCGCCATCATGGCACTCTAGGCTGATTGATGCTCATTCTGAACAGCCAGTAAGGCGAAGCTCTCAGCTAGGTTGTCGTTGGTTGGCTGTGCAGGTTGGGTTGAACTTACGAGTTAGGCATCCTTCTATTGATTGATTCCTACAGGATAACTTGTCGTTCAATTGGTTAGAAATAATCAATGATGGTTGTAGGAGCAGTGTTGTCTTGTTTTCTACAGGGTGGACTACATGTAGTAAGGTAGGTACTAGGTACTAAGGTACCTAGGCAATGGAGATTTACAGCGTCAAATGGAAAGGGAAAGACTGGGGTGTGTTTTGTTGCTGCATCATGTGTTCTTCCCTTCTTAGACGGTTGTAGTTTTACACAAGAATTCCCATGTGGCACGTTACTGTTAAAGACTTCCCTTATAATAAACCTACGCCAACCTACCTGTTACTAACTGATTCAATCTGAAAGCTCATATATTCGGCGATTATTTGACAATTGCTTTCTTTTATCTCACTCATCACCCCTCGTCACACGAAATTCCATAATTGGAACTGTCCGATCTCGAACTTGAATACGGATCATTATCGGCTGACGGCTGACGGCTGACACCTAGGTACCTAACACATTACACCCCCTGCTTTAGCGTCCAAGAAAAAAAGCCAAGTCAATCGATATTCATTAGGTATTTTTGGCATTCGATCTCAATCGTGAGCAAGGAGAATACGCAACCAAAACAGGGTGAAGCACGCAGTCCTGATTCGACTAACATTTGGTCTCCTTATACCAATCTCCCTTGCGTAGCAGCGTCTGAGCGATCTATTGGCTCCAGTACCTAGGTACCTAGCTAATAAGGAACCATTTCTGGGCACTGCTGCAAGGTAGCTCACTCAGGTCATTAAATAACCAACTTTATACCTACCGTTACAGTACGGGACCCAGTCCAAAACCCCTAAATCTGAACGCGCAACTAGCCCCGTTCAGCCCAGTCAATCAAGTTCCAGAACATCAAACTATCTACCCCTTCAACCTCATCTCGACAAAAAAGCACTCTGCTGCCGCTCCCTCTCTTGGCCTGCTTCCGACCTCTTCCCGGTTCCCTTCAACGTCGAATCATAATATCTCTACTTGTTCGAAATGTCCTCGGGATTGACGCGACGCCGCGGCGGCGCAGGACCTGCGGCTGAAGGCGATTCCAGCAACGGCACTGCCCCTAGAACGAGCACACCCAGCGCCAGGGACAACGGCCCCGAGACGAGCTACGAGAGCACGGAAAATGGCCACAAGATCGCCTTTGACCCTCGCGACATCAGCGAGAGCGCAGAGCGAAGCAAGCAGCCCAAGCTCACTCTCATGGAGGAGGTGTTGCTACTTGGCCTCAAGGATAAGCAGGTAGGCTGGCACACATGCTCATACACGTGCCCTTTGTCCTTGACGCTACAGCTCTAACTCTCGACCTCCTTACAGGGCTACCTCTCTTTCTGGAACGACAACATTTCTTACGCTCTGCGAGGATGCATTGTCATCGAGCTGGCCTTCCGAGGTCGCATCGCAATGGAGAAGGATGCTTCGAGACGCCGATTCCCCCTCGCAGACCGCAACATCGAGGTCATAGACGACACTCTTACCGGCGAGGTTCTCCTTGACGAGGCCCTCAAGATGATGAAGCAGAGCGAGAAGATGAGCGTCGCAACCTGGATTGACCTCATGAGCGGTAAACACCCCCATCCAATATCCCCCAGTTATACCGATGGTCATCGCTGACTCTTCTTCTTCCCTGAACAGGAGAGACCTGGAACTTGATGAAGATCGGATACCAGCTCAAGCAAGTTCGAGAACGACTTGCAAAGGGACTTGTCGATAAGGGCATCCTCCGCACTGAGAAGCGCAATTTCCTCCTCTTCGATATGGCAACTCATCCTGTCGCTGATGGTGGTGCTAAGGAGGAGATCCGCCGCCGCGTTCGCAACATCCTTACCCAACGAACCGTCGTCCTCAACGGTAGCCAGTTCCTACCCGAGTCGCTTGAGTTCCGTTACATGCGCAGTATCGCCATGGTTTGCGCCGCCTACGCTGCTAATGTCCTCGAGAACGCCCTTGCATCCCTTGGCCACGAGGCTAGAGAAAGGGCTTTTGCGCAGACCGATGATCTGCTCGCCGACTACAGCCAATGGCCATTCGGCAAGAAGGCCACACAAAACGGCATCGGGGCCAACTTGCCTCAGCTGATCAACGAGGTAGGCACTATGTTGTATGAGAGTATTTTCCATCACTGACATGAGCTACAGGAGGTCAACAGCGGCAAAGACAAGGAGCTTCAACTCGAGGTGGTTTCGGCTTGCTTGAGCGTCTTTACTCGGCTTGACTCCCTCCTATAGACGTGCTCACGCAAGCCGCGTGTGTGCATACCACTGCCAAACATGACGTCTTGGTACATACTCGTTCAACTACCTAGCGTCCTAGTCCGGCCAAGCTCTCTCCCGAATCTCCGTTCCAACCTACCCGATCATAATCCCCCTTTAACCTGTTCTCACGAAACGACTTTGACGACACCAGTCGCATGGCACCCCCTTCTCACCGACACGAGTTTCCGCACACAATCACTACTATAAGGAGCAAATCAAGGGAATTGGGATGTTGCTCCAGCTTGATTACATGAAGCTGTGGCTTGTTCCAATGCATAACAAATTGGAGCTTGGCCAAATGACTAGCCGAGGCTGAAATATTCCTGGGTGTTTGAACAAGTGGTGTTGGTGGTCCGCTTACCCTTCATCCCACCCAAACTTCTTCTTTTAATGTCCTTTTTATTTCTGTCGAGACTTATCTATTCTTCCTTTTTTATCTTTTTGAGAAACAAAAAAAGGACATGGACAGGGTGACTCTGACTTTGACTCTGTTGTGTATGTGTCGGTCGTGTGCTGGTGTGTTTCTAGGAAGGCTAGGGAAATGGGGGGGAGCGAAATTCATAGGTTGATGCGTGAAGCGGGACTTAGCCGTTGCTGTTTTGTCGTTAAACTTGGGTCTGGTATCTCTGTTGTAATGAAGAAAAAAATGCCACAGACAATTTTTTATTGAACCACGATGAGGGCGTCTGTTTGTTCCACGGATCTTTGGGGGGCCTCAAGGCTCTTCTCTCGCTATATTATACACTCGGCGATGTTGGTTGGGCTTATCATGATCATGGGCACAGAGTCGATCGAGACAAGATGCTTTAAAGAAATCATGGAAATTTGCACTACTAGGCTATGCATATCGCCGAGCTCATTCCTGAGATGCCTTTAATACTTCCTCTTCCTCTCCTTTTTGCCGACCGGAACTCCGCCAGCGCCGTGTATCTTAATTACATCAAAGAGTAAAAAATCAATCAGTCTTTTCCCTTCATCTCTGCCCGTCTCTCAAATATCTTCGTGCCCCTACCCTAGGTAGTTAAGCTTACTTCTTTCGACCTCCAACACCCAGGCTTCCCTCGAAACCGGGACGGCCCTTCTTCTTAGCTCCAGCGGCGCCACCCTTCTTCTTCTTCTTGCCTGCCTTTCCGAGGAGCTTGTCGTCACGTCGTGCGCGGAGATTATCTTCTCGCTTACGTTGACGGTCCCTCTGTGCCATCTTGACACCGTCGGATCGCTCTCGCCAGGCCTTTTCGCTCTTCTTCTTGGCAACCTCCTTTCGCTTGACGGCGCGCTTCAGGAGAGCCTCATCATCGCGAATCTTCTCACCCTCGGCACGGCGACGGGCTGTCAACCAGACGTCCTTCTCAGCAATGTCGGCGCGTTTCTCAGGATCGAGCTCCTGGAGGCGCTTCTTCTGGTTCTGGACCTTGATGAGGGCAGTCTTGGGATCGGAAGGACCCTTCTTCTTGCCCTGACTTAGGACATGGCCGAGATCACGCGACAGCTGAGCGCCATCACCAAAGGCGACACGGCCGAATGTGAAGTTGCTAGCAGCCTCGTCGAGCTCGACAGCGGGGCTCATAATACCCGGCGAGTTGGATGCGAGTGTTTCCTCACGCTTGCGCTGCTCCTCCAGCTTGGCCTGCTTGCGCATCTCTTGCTTGTGAGCCTTTCGAAGTTCTTGCTTCCTTCGTCTCGACTCGATGAGTTCTTGGCGTGTGCGTATAGGCTTTCCATCAGGGCCGTCGGCTTTTCGGGCAGCACGGAGAGCCTCGATCTTAGCAGCTAGACGCTGTCGAATGGCAGTGGTGTCGGCAGGGAGCTTGATGTGCTTGGGCTTCTCAGAAGGGGGGACCGTGGATGAAATAGAAGTAGTGGTGCTGGCAGGGTCGGCAGTTGCGTCGGCTGGGGTTGTTGCAGAGTCGATTGTGTCAAAGGTAGGGGAGTGTGGCTCGGATTCATGGCTTGAGTTACCACTGGCTTCTTCGTCCTTCGCCAGACCTGAGATATCCATAGGTAGAACTTCATCGTCGTCAAGAGGGGTTGTTGTCTCGTCATCCTCCTGTTTCTGGGCTTTGGTAGCGGAAGCCTTTGCTTGCTTCTTTGCGGCTTGCTTCTGAGCCTTTGTTGTCGGGGCGGGCGCATCATTGTCCTCGGCCTCGGGCGCATCTGTCTTGTTGGGTTTCTTCTCCTTCTTCTTATCCTTCTTGGCTGCTCGCTTCTCTTCTTTCCTTGATTGTTTAAGGGCAGCCGCTTCACTTATGGTCTTGGGCTCTGCACCCTCGTTCTCGTCGAGCTTGGGCTTCTTGTTGGTCTCTGCCGCCTTGGTCTTGAGGCCTTCGCCAGGTTTCTCGGAGTCAACGCCAGGAACAGGCTCGTACTCCTCCCAGTCGTCATCGTTGTCAGCCTCGTCCTGCTGCTCCATCTCGCGCGCCTTGCGCTTGTTCTTGGCGCGCTCGTCCATAACCTCCTTGGCGTTTCGATTTAGTTCGCTATCAGGATCCAACTTGGCACGACGGGCAGCCGCCGCCTCCTCTTTTGTTTGCTTCTTCTTCTTCCATTGTTCCTATGGATGTGTATTAGCCTCTTGTTCGGCTATGTATGAAGTGGAAGATGTGGTAGGAGGCATGTGGTGGTAGATATTCAGGCGGTAAATGAGTTGACTCGGGATCGACGAAACGTTCGATTTACATACACTTGTGTCTTCACCGTAGTACATCTTGGCGGGAATGAGACTCAAAAGGCCATCGAAGGCTTTCGCGTGGTCGCGCAGGCGGTCCTATAGCGCTCAAGGTCAGCTTGAAGGCTTCCTATCACCACATATCGGAAGTCTGAAGTGAAGAGTAACGGGCGGGGCATGGGATGGGCACGAGGATGGTTGTGACAACGGACCTGCAAAGACTCGGCCATATTATCGTATGTATTTACCCGGTTCGGTTTCGTTATTATCGTGATACTGCAGATACAAGTTTGAGCCAATGATGCAAAAGAAGTGGTGATGATTTGCTGCTCTTGGTAAGAAGAGGTTGGAAAAGAAAGCTCGGATGGCGATTTGCTACCTCAATTTTTTGGGGGGATCAATTGTAATTTTTTTTTCCTGCCAACAACCGCCTGGCCTTGTGTGGGGAACTTGACGGTTGATCCACCCCCTGCACGCTAGCTCGCTTTTCCAGAGGGTACGTACCTACGCCAACTTCAGGGTCTTCAATTGGACTGATTTCTATCAGCCTCACTCACTTCAGGTCAAGAGATGTAAGTCGTATTACGACAACTGGGTATGATTCACCCTTGATGTAAAGATTAAATATATATAGAAGAAATGGCACAGTAGCAGTCTCTCCTCTCAATGCAATAGAAGTATTATGCAGCTTGCCAGATAACATGATAACTGATCTACGCAAGTTCATTACCAGGTCATCGTCCGCTGAACTACGGCTGCCTACCTCAGCGAACCTGATCATATGGGTAACTGGTCTCAGTTATTGAAGCAAAGCCCTTTGTCTAATAGTGCGAGAGAAAGTTCGTCGATATGTATTAGTACCTAGGTAGTCAAGAAGCCGTCAAGTCAAACTGATGTTCCACTCAGCAGCTTTTAATCAGGGATGCATATTTAACGCTGTTATAATTGACTAACAATCGTAATCATACTCCTTAGGTGTCGCTAACAATTTGTGGGCGTTGATTAGGATCTTATGGCAGCCTTGAATAGGTACTGGCCGATGGATAAGGAGACAGGACACTTGCATTGCAATTGAAAACAGCACCAAACACGAACACGAAACGAAACGTAGCATAGTTTCTACATCGTCTTGGAACTCAATGCGAATACCGGTTGCTGCGTGATCCGATCCAATAACTCTTATTTTCATGAGGAATGTATGGTCATTAGTCATGCATGGCATCATAGGTACCTTATGATACGGTATACTACATCTTATGGATCGCAAGCCTATTGGGACAGTCTATTTCTTCTTGCCCTTCTTGCCAGCGGCAGCCTCCCTCCGACGAGCCTCTCTGGCCTCAATGTCGGCCTTCTTGGTCTTTTCTTGCTCATCCTTCTCTTCACGCTCGGCCTGATAATAGTGTTAGTATCGAAAATTCAAGCTAGTATCGAACAAAGGTTGATAACTCACTTCTCTTCGGGCAGCATCAAGAGCGCGTTGCTCACGAATGGCCTTGAGGCGCTCCAGATCAGCCTTGGACTGGTCGGTCTTGCCCTGGGCTGTTAGGCGCATGTGCTTCTCCTTAGCAGCGGCAGCCTCGAGAGCCTCGCGCTCACGTCGAGTGGGCGCCGCCTTCAGGCCCTCGACACCCTCTGTGATCTCCTCCATGCCCACAGCAGCCTGCTTGCGCGCCTCCTTGGAGTGGTTGGGGTTGGCGGGCATATCGTCATCGTCGCTCTCGCTCTCACTCTCGTCGCTTGAGGGCATGTCGCCAACCTCGACGGTCTTGGCCCTCAGTTTGGCAATGGCTGCCTCCTTTCGAGCTTTCTTTTCGGCCTTGCGTGCCTCGCGCGACTCCTCTTGGGTTTCTGGCTCGGCGGGTCCAGCCTCTGGCTCGTCGTCTTCCTCTTCAGAAGTCTCCTCCTCGGAAGACTCGTCGTCATCACTGTCGCCTTCTGGCTTTTCGCCCGCAGCCCACATGCTCACCTCGTTACCATCGGCGTCGAGGGGTCGGATGTCGCGTGAGAACTTCTTACCGCCTAGAACTTTTGTTAGTATCTCATGTGAATTGACAGATGACTGACGAAGGAGACATACCTCCGCGTGTGGGCTTTCGAAACTTTCCGCCTCGGCCACGAGCGCTTGTTCCAGGGGGGCCTCCGGGTGCCATGATGGGACTAGTTGTGGTAAGTTGGACGAGATGGTGTGTTTTTGGAAGAAAGAGAGAGATAATATTATCTCTGGATAGTTTGATGTTGTTGGGAGAATCTTGGCAGAGATAATATCTTGTTTGTTGTTAGGTTGTCTCTTGGATAATTTGTTTCTTTCAGAGGCGGGGTAGCGGGGTAGCTAATGACGGCAGGTTCAAACAGGAGATGGGAAGGGAGAGATCAGAAGTGTTGTCGATCAGGAACTCTCCTTGGGGAGATTGCTTCCTTTTTATAACTCACGAGCTGGTTACTCAGTGCATGAAAAAGTAAAAAAAGTCAAACGGTGAGTTGAGAATGTATAAATGTCAATGTAGAGCAGATCAACCTTACTTTAGAATTTAGTGTCTCAAAAGCTTGATCAACAGGTGGAAAGTTTTGTATTGCACGTAGCTCATCATCAGGGTACTACAATACAGGAATAATCAACTTTACAAGGTTGCTTGTGGTATGACTCAACTAATTCAAGAATCGAGCGAATCGAATGGCATTGCAATTAGTTGCTGTACAACACACTCAAGCTAAAAAGAGTACAGTAACGATAACGGGGACCCTTGGACCATAGTTTGAAGTTCCACAGGCTGGCCATTTGAGTCATTGCACGAATAAAATACTCCCAGTTTGTCGTGCTTTGATCCGCTTCTTTTGGGGGCAATATTGATTAACGTCCACGGATATGCATGCCATCTTTGTCCATCGCGCACGCGACACGAGGCGCGGCCTTTTCAGCTGGAGTGGTCCTTGTTACACGATTACAGCCTCTTGCAAATAACATGTACGGTAAAATATACTGATTCAACTAGGTAGGTAGTATATGTTGGTCATTGTTGAACGACACATTTCAGCCAGTATGGGCATGAAGAACATCAATAAATAAATAAAAGAGAATATGCAAGCATAGTTTGACAGGCTTTGATTTATGCACTGAGTCCTTGGCTTTCCAACAAAAGAAATTACTTCATGACCTCACTCAAATGTCAAATTCTCAATGATCCATCAGATGGACCACCCCGAACTCGGCACATCAATCTTCCGTAAACCCGCTTCCGGCGCCCCACCCACGTAAACAAAACCACCTCGACCGAACCGCCATTTCGTTTTTTTCTTTCCTTTCTTCTTCAACCTACTAGAAAAACTGAATCCTTCAAATTCACTCTGGCTTTCATTACACCATGGAGGTACTTGGAGGGGAAACTGGAGGAAAGATGAATTCACCGCTGACACTTACCCTCTGTCCTGGTTGCGGCTTCGGCTGTTTTGGGAGAGAGAAATTTTGACGCGGTACATACCATCTGCCGATGATCTCTTAAGAGATGTGATTTAGAATCGCATTGGAGGTGAGTACGTACGGCCACATGGTTCCTGTGAGCGTGCCTCATTAGGTGCACGCCGAGATGCTGCATACCATGTGTTCCAGTCATTGACCTGCCTCATCTACCTTGACATCCTAATAGGTATCCTGGTACGCTCTGAACATGGAGTGAGGAGTAGTGCAGTGTTTCTTCCTGGAACCTAAAACCCTGCCAATACTCTTAACCTAAAATCCGGAAGAGTCCTTCAACACTCTTAATTCCATTTGAGTGTTCAAGTTTATTAATGTGTTGATAACAATTTTTTGCCGACATTAATCGTTGGTGTTGATGTCGCTATCACAAATGTTGCGGCCTCAGATATAGGGTAGCTGGCTCTAGGCAGACGCAACTTTACATTATAATTAGACATGCCAAAACTAAAACTGAGCATGTTCAAACTGATGGGTGGTTTCTCTATTGAGTATCTGATACTAGCGCTTTGGAAAGTGCCATGTTGATATCGAGTCGTATCCTCGAAATACACACACTCGAAAGACAACTTTGTAAATATAGACAACTGACTTACACCCCTGGTTTCTTCGATAATCGCATCGTCAGTCTCGTGTGGTTTCAATTAACCCTTCTCTTTCGAGCTGCTTCCTTTCTCGAATTTTTGATCTGTGCTAATCTTTCAAGGAGCTGTCGACTATGCCGTCGCTGTTGAGGAGTTGGCTCATTACTGATATACCTCCAACGGAGTCTCCGATACTCAGCCAGTTCCGCCTTGTAATTAGCACTGCCAGGGACTTCTGATGACCGGAATAAATCCACGGCGTTCCAACGAAAGGCCCTGAGCTCTTGTCTGTATTGCTCTCCGCATTTAACAAGCCGGTGGGCATGTACCGGACCATTCAGTTGATACACATGGTACGACGGAAGATTTGGGGTCAGTTCGACTGCGACTATGGCTTTTGCGCGTTTGATCGATGCCTCTGCCTTGAGCTTGCTCATGTTCCGTATGTGGCGGTAGTGGTGGATAAATAGATCGGGACGAGTCTCTTGGCTGTCATTGTCGTCGCTATCTGAATCGGCGCTGCTGCTATACATGACGGGGCTGTTTGGACTTGAGCTCGTTTCTGAATCCTTGGGAGTTGAAGGTGATAGTGTTTGTTCGCTGCTGGAATCTTCACCATAGTCGCTGATGTTAGAGCCGCTTGGTCTTTGTGAGCTTGCCGTCACTTTGCCGATATTATCAGACTCAATCAACGGAGAGAGTGGTTGGACTTGAAAGATCGTGATATAGCTCGAAGGAATCATGGACTCGTCAACGGCTTCACTATAATCCACGACAAAGCCCTCATCGCTCTATACAGCCCGTTCGGTAAGATCATTGTTGAAGAAAGTTAAGGCTGTTGAGGGATCCGGGAAGTAAAACGAAGTTGACAACCCATCAGCGTCGGCGGTAGGTATATCAGACATATTGGGCTATTCGAGATACCAGTATCTTTGACAAAACTGCTTTCTAATCGAGTAGATAATAGTTGCTATTGATCTGAGATACTAGTATTTTACTGGAACGACGGCCAGGTAAGCAGAAATAAATCCATAGCGGGAGAACTGGAACGATAAAATAGAAGGAGACACGGAAGTCAGATTAAATAGGTACCTACCCACGTAAGGTAGGTAGGTACTTAGGTAAAGAATGTTAAACTGCAAGGGAATAAAGGAAAGAAGTATGCAAGGTTTGAAGAAAAGCCAACATTGAAACTATCAATTACCGAGTGAATTAATAAAGACTTCTCCTTTCGCGAGTAACATTTTATCAGTGTAGAGAATAAGGGGTATTTGCTTTGTACAGCCGAATATAGAATTTGCTCAACATTTTATCATTTATTTGTTTCTTTCTTAATCGCTGATAAGCACTATGTTTCATCTCTGTTATAAATACCGCGTTGTCCGCCATGAAAGAACATCATTGTTTGGGGGCATGTTCCCAAAGCTGGCGCGGGCTGATTAAGAGTTAAGACCGCAGCGTCAAAGCATAACTGTATGTAATGTCGAAAGTATCCAGCGTTTTCTTTGACCGAACGGGCATCCTGCAGGGAGTTCTCGAATTAGCACTTGAGGAGATCCGGTCTCTGATATTGACCAGACGGTCTGATCTTGGGCGTAAGGATCCTATGCTATGTTGCTTTCACGGTGCAGCATGGCATTCAAGGGCCTAGCGGTATATGGGTATAGCACTCCTAATGAGCAAAACCGGCCTCCTAGTTCAGCCATTAGTCAATAAAGTTCGATATATGTGCGAATGGGAACTTACTTCACCCAGCCCCCTCGATGAGAATAAGGTTATATGTTGGAGGGACAATACATCAGAGGAGCCACAAGAAACCTCAGACTATTTTCCTTCACCTTGAAAAATCTTCCAAGACGTCAGCAAGTCGTTTTCTCTTTAGTTTCCTCAATGCTAACACAGGCGCAGACCGCTCTGAAGCTACCAAGCTCACTTCTTTTTTGGGAATTGGCTTTGGCTTCGGCTTCGCTTCATTCGTACCTCGAACAACACTCTCCCGTGTAAAAGTATATTGCCGCGTCGCGAATAGCCCTCTACTGACATATGATGGTCTTGTGCCTATCCCGCCTCGGCGAGAGCTATGACCTAGATGAAGACATGCAAATGGCCGCGAGGGCAGAACGAATGGACCTGCTACAGTTTTGGTAGGAGGTCGGGCTCCACGAGCTTCTAGATCTCTATCTGAACTGAGCTGACCGAGAAAAGAATAAAGCCAAAATGCCCAGGATTCGAAAGCTACCCCATGGCATGCGCGGGCCTCTCGAGATGCGGCATCAGTGTCCCACGAGGGTGTCTGCATCTTTGTGGCATCAGTGAGATAGTCGAGAAGAGGCGGGGCCTGGTGGTCCTGGACGAATTTGACGGCGCATCGTGAGTCGCTGCATAGCGAGACCAAGTCGTTGTCGATACTTGCAGCAAGGTCACGCAGAGATTTGCTCCTGGTTTCCTCCAGGGGCGCAAACAACATGAGATATCTCAGAAGTGAGTCTTCCAGCCCAGACGGTGCATCAGCCTGCTCCCACCCATTATCCATCGCCGACTCGTAGCTCGTGGCCCAATCCCCCCTTGCGCCCATGACGTCGTACAGGGCGAGAGAAGGGAACCGCGATACCCATTTCAGCGACTCTTGGGAAGTTGACTGATCACCCCATATGCGCAATAACCGCAGCAAGGGAAATGGATCAGATTTATCCGTCCACCCCCGAACAAGACGGTCCGAGACACGGGGGAACACAGTTCGGAGCTCATCGGCAGGTTGGATGAGCTCCAGCGCAGCCAGATTGGGCATATCGGCAAGGCAGAGAAGGTCATGGGTGTTGAAGGAGCAGCCGCCAGTGAGTACAAGATGTGTGACAAAGTCTGTTGGCGGTGCCGTCAGGGGCTGGGTATAACGAGTGAGGTCGGTGCCAGGATGGCAGATGTGCTGTCGAAAGCGATACAGACCAAGAGTCTTGTCATCTTGATCGTCCATGAGAATTTTGGAGAAAAGCTTCCAGGCATGAAGACACACACCTCTACTAAAGCGTTAGTCTCATATATGCGATCTCGTTGTATTCCGCATCATCCGCAGTGTTCACTGACCTTGCCTCCAGGTAGCGCCAGATACGCCATAGCATATTATTCGGAATAGCCTCGAGGTGTGCCACTGAGCGAACCTTGCCAATATTATCGGCAACAACGCTAATAGCCATGTCCACTAGCGGCCGAGGGCCACGAGTGCCGCGAGCTGTGAACCCAGGATATGGCCGACGCCGACTCCAATCCGCCGAGTCTTTGTCGGACCCAGTGAGAGCATCACGCGACATGATATATTCATTGAAGACCTGACCTGAAGTTTGGTCGAACATGGCTGATAATACTGGATATGAAAGAAATCATATGAGTTTTTGTTGAAGGATCCGAGTGAGGTTGAAGAAGCTTACTAAACGAGGTTGACAATGTGGCAAGGTTCTTGTGAGGACGCGTTTGGAGGAATGCCATCTTAGTAAAGAGGAAGTAGGTATGGTGATAAATTCAAGCGACACAATCATAGCGAAATTGATGTAATAAATCAATCACAATGAACGATTAACCAGTTTTCACAGGGGCATTAATGGATTCATTTGTAATATTTTTTAATATTGTTTGTCGCTTTTAAATATTTAGTTACTCTCTCTCTCTCTCTCTCTCTCCAAACGGAAACACCGTCAAAGAGTCCGTCTATCTTTTTCCACATACAGACGGGAACAAGCGAAGCCATGCATATATGGCTTATCAACGGCCGCCCTGTGATGTGATGGCTTCATCCGTTCCGCTCGTTTTAGTATTCAAGCCTTTTCTTCCCTAAAGCCGGGTAATCGTTCTTCAGCTGTTGCTTTTTTCATCAACACGCGCTGTGGTATCCAATTGCAAAATCTTTCCTTCTCTTGTTCTTTGTCTTTATATATCATTTACAGCATAGGCTTGAGGTCCTCGGCGACGTTGAAGGGAGCTTCTGTCTTGCTCTTGACCTCGTCAACGGTGACGCCTTCTGCAATCTCAACGAGAGTAAGACCGTTGGCGAAATCAACATCAAAGACACCCTAGTTGATAGTTAGTACATCATCGTTAAGAAACATCAGACTCAGGGAAAACTTACCAACTCGGTGATGATTCGTGATACGCAGGCTCGGCCAGTCAGAGGGAATGCGCACTGCTTGACAATCTTGGCGTTGCCCTTCTTATCTGTGTGCTCCATTGTCACAACAACCTTGGTCTTGCTGGGGTTGCTGACAAGATCCATAGCACCGCCGAAGCCCTTGACCTTTCCGGGAAGCATCCAGTTGGCCAAATCACCAGTGGCGCTGACCTGCATGGCTCCCAGGATGGTGAGGTTGATACGACCGCTGCGGATCATGCCAAAGCTCTCCTCGCTACCGAACACGGCAGCGCCAGGCTTGAGAGTGACAGTCTCCTTACCAGCGTTGATCAGATCAGCGTCCTCGGCGCCCTTTTGGGGGTAGGGACCAAGGCCGAGGATTCCGTTCTCAGACTGAAGCTGCACCTCGACCTCGGGACCGACAAAGCCGGGGGCGAGCATGGGCATACCGATACCCAGGTTGGCGTACATGCCGTTCTTGAACTCCTTAGCGGCACGACGCACAATACGCTCACGCTTGGCAGCTGTATCGCCAGAGCCCAGAGCCTTTGTAGCCTCCGGGTCGTTAGGGTCCTTGGCCCAGGTGTATTTCTCGATCGACTTCTCCTCGGTGCTCTGGATGACACGCTTGACGTAGATGCCAGGCAGGTGAACGGCCTCAGGAGAGATCTCACCAGGCTCGACGATGTGCTCGGCTTCGACAATTGTCATCTTTGCGTTGCGGCCCATGGCGCCGTTGAAGTTGTGTGCGGCGAGACGGAACTGGCAGTTACCAAGCTTGTCGGCCTTCCAGGCCTTGACGAATGCGTAGTCACCGTCAATGCTCTCCTCGAGAAGATAAGGCTTTCCCTTGAAGACCTTGACGTCCTTGGGGTAAGAGTAGACATCGGGAGATCCATCGGCCTTGTTGCGTAGGGGAAGGTCGCCTGTCTGGACGACTGTACCAAAAGCAGCAGGGGTGTAGAAGGCGGGCACACCCTTTCCACCAGCAGCGCATCGCTCGGCTAGAGTTCCCTGAGGGGTCAGCTCAAGCTCGACCTCACCAGTGAGGTACATCTTCTCAAAGGTCTTGTTTTCGCCGATATAGGAGGCAATCATCTTGCTGATCTGCTTGGTCTTGAGAAGTCTGCCGAGACCGAAACTGTCTGTGCCGGCATTGTTCGAGACAGCTGTGAGGCCGGTGATGTCGGGCTTCTCGAGAACCTCATTGATGAGGGAGTCGGGGACACCGCAGAGACCGAAACCACCGCAGAGGAGGGTTGTGTTGGGCTTCATGTCCTTGAGAGCTTCCTTGGCGGAGGGGAAGACCTTGTTGATCTCGGCGCGGCGAGAGGTGGCCGAGAAGGATCGCGCGAGGACGGCATTGGGCTTGAGAGCTGTCAGTATGCGCCGGGGACTGCTGCATCAATGATGCGCCTCTAGCTGTGCGGAGAACCTACGTTGGAGGGATTGCGAGCAAATGCTCGGAGAGTCCGTAAACGGAAAGCTGCAGAAGGCATCTTGTGTATGTGTTTGGAAGAAAGAGGATGAGATGGGTAAGGATAGCTTCAAGGTCGAACAACACAACCGCCGTCGGCCAAGGCGATAACTGTAGTATATACTTGTATGAGCAATCAATTGAGCTGTAAGCACCAGCACTCTTCCTCAGAGATAATGATTGACGAAGGAGGATGTAAAAGAGAGGTTGAACAGACGATGACGGGGGAAATCCGCGGGCTGTTGGCGGTGGCCCTGTCCGTTTATTAAAGGCATTTGAGGCCGGGAGTGCCCGTAAGTTGACCTCCGTGTAAGCTTAAGTATAGTTCCGCGTTGTGAATTCGGAAGCGAAAGTCGGCATTCGGCCATCACAGCCCATAATTCTACTGCTTTACGTACCCTCACTGATCAACGGGCTCCCGTGTCATACCCGACGACCCCGGCATCAGCAGCACAAACGGCGGGAAGTGGAGGATCTCAGTGCTCTCCCCTCCTGTGGAGGCCGAAGATAATTGGACGACAGCGCCCGACAGCGCCCCCGGGCGGGGGCTCAAGTCCGGGGCAGGCGCTGTAGTTTAGTGGGCGGGTAATGGGTTTTCCGAAGGCCACCGGCTATTCGTGTCGGGAGTTTATTATTACTTGTCATGATAGGTAGGATGGAGCTTCTCATGACACGTTCGGTTCAGAGTCCAAGACAGCTTTTGGTCTCCGTTGAGCTAACTTTGTTTGGTAAATCCACTGGCTTTTGGACATGAACAGCTCGGGGTTCAGTCACCGTTATATTTTAATAGTGTTTTGGTGTATTAGTAGTAACTATTGTGACTACCTCAACTATGGCCCTTCTTCCTTTCCCTTACTGTTCCGTTCCGGCTGCTTTCCGACCCGAAGTCGGCTACGTACTGTACCTACTGTGACCGAGATCCCCTCTTCCTTGCAAAGTAACAACGCAAACACCACATGCCACCATGATATTTTAATCAAATACTCCCAAACTCCAGACTCCAAGGTCAATCAATGATCCTGAATGTGAATCATGACAAGTTCCCTAACGCAAGCTCATATGAGCGGATGAACGAAATAAAACCACCGGGTATTCCTTTATCCTCCACTGTAGGCATTTATCGCGAGAGCTCAACGATCTAATCCATTAATCCACATTCCCTGTGGTAATGGCATTTTCCGGGTGCAGAGACACGAGGCCAATCAAGTTTCCCTCAGGGTCGACAAACTCGCCAATGTCCATGATGCATTGTCGAACGCCGAATCGCAACTGCTTGACCTCGCCGTAGTGGTATTCAATCAACGACTCAGCCATTCCCAGATCAGCCACGCGAATGTGGCATGAAGGTGTTGCGCCTTTCGCCATGGCCATTTGTCTCTTGTGCTCGAGTTGAGCATGATCGTCTCCCATGCTTCTTGCTTGGATCAAAGCTCCTGTGATGCAAGATCCCCCGCTCTGGCTCGAGTTGAAGAAGTTCATGGGCTGCACGTCAAAGTGCGAAGATCCCCATTGTCTCATGTAGGGGTCGTCAGACTGCTGAGCATTCATGTCGCCATAGAATTGCCAGCCGAAACAGCGCGAGTAAAAGTTTACAGCGCGCTGCATGTTGAAGCAATACAGGAGGAGAAAGTCGGGAGTTCCACCAATGATAGACATATCGGGTCTGTCCATTGCACATGTCTCGGTCTGAGGCAACAAAGGAGGAAACAAGTCGTTATCAGTTGTGATGCTTGGAGAGCTAGGAGCATCGAGAGATTGGTTTTTGGCGGCATTTATAGGTAGCGAGAAGGTGGAAGCAAAGGCTGGCGGCGTGGGCATGTCTGCTATGGGAGTACTCAGAGTGTCGTGACCCAGAGATGGTACCGGTGATGGTGTTCTCCGGTCTGCATCTAGGTCCATGACTGATGAGGAGAGCGAGAGAGAAGGTCGTTGTTTTGTATATGATTCCATTACTGGGGATGTGCAAAGGTGAGTACTCAGAAGATGTTGACTTTGCTGAACCTCGTCAAAAGGATCGTCAAGTGATTCAAGCACGGTTTGATATTATGGTAAGAAGAGTGACGGGCCGTGAGGCAATAGTCTAACAAAAGGAAAAGGGTTTGGAAGTGAATCAAAGACCAAGCAAGTCGACAGCGTCAACGACCACCGTCAAACTATCCAACGTTGAGATATATGATTTGCATCAGCAAGCCATCAATATCCCGATCATGGGTCAACCTTGTTCTTATAGCCGCGTCCTGGTTCACAGAGTGCAATTTCCGAGAACTCCCAAGGCAAACTCTCCTTACATGCTGCGTGCCGTCAAGCGCACAAAAACATGCAAAAAAGCAATGATTCGAGACTGAAAGAGCGGAACCTGGCGGCTGGTGCATAAGCGTCTGGGAGGGGAGGCCAGGAGGCCAGGAGGCTTGCCAGGCCAACTCAGGCTAAGTGGTATGGAGGTTAAGGCAAGGAGAGGGCAAGACATTCAAAACATCAACAAAACAAACGCAAGAACGGTTACGGGCTAATGGGGGACCTTTTGGTGCTACGTCAAGGACCAATCGTTCAACCGAAAGACTCCAGAAAGGCTAAAGACGTCCAAGGGCGGAAGAAACCTGCAGCGACTAGGTCGTCTCTTGTCAAGTAGGGGTTCTTCTAGTTCTGGAAGGCTAATGCAGCACATATACCTACTGTGTATCGCAATTGGTGATGTCTTTGACTGTGGCCCTCATCAGCAAAAGCCAAAAGCTGAAGTTGTTGGTGGATTTTCAGGGCCTTGTCTTTTTTTGGTCTGTCTTGCGTTTGCACTGGAATGGTAAACAACCCGATATCCCACGTCTGAACGGTCAAATCATCGAACATTTGTCTCAGAAGAGTGCGTTTCTTAATTTACACACATAGTCCGGGAGAGATTGTATTTGGGTTAGTGCGTGGGTTTGACCAACATGAAGCCAGGTTTGTCTCAGTGTCGAACATATGGCTGATGATCAGCGATCGTGGAGGTTGGATGGCTGAATGGTTCGTGGAGGGGCATGAAAGGGCGAACTAAACAAAGGCTAACCTAACGCTTATAAAATTAGGCGAGCAGGCGAGGCACGAGGTGAGGATATCAGAGTGGACCAACGTGCTGCAGCTTGCAGCTCTGCATCTGCAAGGCGGACTCTCTTTGGCGGATAATGGATTCAAGTAAAGCAAGGAGTTGGTTTAATGTGATCGCCTGGACAATTCCAACACAGTAGCTGCACAATCTGCGTGCAAGGAAGATCTGGCTTGGGTAATTTCATAGCTAATTTCGTGACGAATGAACTCATAGTGTAAGAGGAGATCTTTTAAGAGGGAGAAGGAAATTCATCGTCATGAATGACATGATTCTTTGATGAGGCTCGGATCCGATAGGTAATGGAAGCTGTGATAAATGGGGATAAAGTTGATGGAGTACCTAGGCAAAGGTACGTACCCCTTCCCGATAAGCTTCTTATCGCCCCGCAGATTCATGGTCGCAGAAAAAAAATTACCAGCCTGCACCAAACCATAGCGGCAGCTTCAACACCAAGAAACCTCCGTAACGACGACAATCGCCTTTTCCCCCAATTGGCGCCTAAAACACAATCGCCATGGAGTCCAGTTCAAAGCGCCGTAAGCTGGATCACTCCGGATCTGGCCTGAGACACGATGCTCTCATTGATTTCGAGGCCCAGAGCTCTGCCAGAGTCTCAACCGCTAGCACATTTGTCCTCCAAACCGACGAGCTACTCAAGGAAGCAAAACTCGACTATGGCAAGACTTTGAAGGGTGTTGACGCAAATCTTCATCGTCTGAAGGAAGCCGTCGACACTGCTGTTCCCCACGGACCCGAGCTTGTTTGTTCCACTGTGCCAAAGAGTCGCGAACCTTGAAGTACTAACACATTCTCAGATTACCCAAGTTACAAGCCGTTTTGAAAAGAAGCATCGCATCGTCATCCCTTATCCCGATCCGAAGCCCGCCAAGGATGCGCCCTACAAGCTCTCTTACGAGAAGCCTGCTTCGTACAATGTCGTCGGTAGTTACGTCGCCAAAACCATGGTCAAGTCCCAGGCGCATTTTGGCATCGACATGGTGGTGCAGATGCCCAAGACCATGTTCCAGGAGAAGGACTTTACAAGCATGCGCTACTTCTACCGCAGAGCATACTATATCGCCTACATCGCTGCCAGCGTCAAGAAAGAGTTGGAAGATTCGTTCGATATCGGCTTCGAATACCTCAACGAGAACCCGCTACTGCCTGTACTTGCACTTCGACCTAAGCCTGAAGAGGAGGAGCAGGAGGAAGACATCAAGGAAACGACCAGCAAGGCCTTGAAGAAGAAGACCAAGGCTGCAAAGTCTCCATACACCATTCGACTTATCCCCTGTGCCCCCGACGGTCTCTTTCCCAAGTCAAAGCTGCTCCCAAGCTCCAACAACAACAGAACTGGAGAGGCCGACGACAAGAAGACTCAGTCCGGCACACCTTTCTACAACTCCACTCTAAAAGCTGAAGAGACCTTCATCTCTTACCTGCGAATTCTCACACATGCCAAAAACGAATGCCCAGCTTTGACGGATGCTTGTGTGCTCGGAAGAATCTGGCTGCAGCAGAGAGGGTTTGGTAGCTCCGTGTCTCAGGGTGGATTCGGCCACTTTGAGTGGTCTGTTATGATCGCCTTGCTACTCCAAATGGGTGGGCGAAACGGTCATGCAGCGCTTTCAAACTCCCTGAGCAGTACTGAGCTCTTCAAGGCTACTGTTCAGTTTCTCTCAGCTACTGATTTCAACAAGAAGCCATTTGTTTTTGGATCCTCGAAAATTAATGCCGATACTGTTCGAGAAGTTGGCCCTGTTATGTATGACCCCGTCCGAGAACTCAACATATTGGCAAAGATGAGTCCCTGGTCTGCCACCCTCCTTCAAATGCATGCCAAATCGACCACCGACCTTCTTGCCGACGCAGCTGCCGACAAATTTGATCCAACCTTTATTATTAAGTCCGATGCACCTCTTCAGACTTTCGACGCTATCTTCGAGATTAAGAACCAGGACACTGCAAGACTCTTAAACTCCCCTGATCGCAGAGGACCTGCCTGGGACTTCAGCCTGGAGGCACACAAAGTGCTCAAGAAGGCATATGGCACTCGAGCTCATCTTGTACACTTCCAGCTGCCTGCGAAGACTGGGTGGTCATTGGGCTCTGCGCCAGCATCGGGTTCTAGCAAGGTTCAATTTGGCGTCATGTTTGAATTTGCTCAGATGTCTCGTCAAATGGAGCATGGTCCCGCAGCTGAGGAACAAAAGGACGCTGCCAAGTTCAGACAGTTCTGGGGCGAGAAGGCCGAGCTTCGTCGTTTCAAAGACGGCAGCATCCTCGAGTGTGTGGAGTGGTCGAGCAAAGTTCCGTTCCAGATCTGCGAGGAGATTGCAGCCCACACTCTGAAGCGACACTTGAAGGTTGCCAGCGAAGATGTCACTTCTTTCGGTGCAGGGTTTTCCAATATTGTCGAATTTTCCCATATGGATAAGGAGGCCTTCGATGCGGCTCGACGGGCATTCCAAACTCTCGAGCACGACATCCGAAACCTTGAGGACTTGCCGCTGCAGATACGACAGCTATCTGCAGTATCACCAGCCGCCAGATACGCCTCAGTCGAGGCTCCTCGCCCTGGTTTCCACACAGGCACTATCGAGCCGATAGACGTCAATCTTTACTTTGAGGCATCAGGCCGGTGGCCAGAGAACCTTGTGGCCATCCAGGAGACCAAGATCGAGTTTCTCCTTGATTTTGACAGGCGTCTTACAGCGACCAAGGAGAACATCACTACCTATCTTGGACGGGAAAACAGAGAGATCGGTATTGAGAACTTGGCTTATCTCGATATTGTGTATGAGTCTGGTGCGGCGTTCCGTTTAAGAATTCATGCCGATTTGGAGGATATTCTCTTTCAGCGCCAGATCAAGAACAAGATGCTTGATCACCATATCCGCGAGGAGTCGGAAGCGGCCCTCGCCAGAACCAACTGGTTCTTTGCCACTCTCCCAATCCATACGCAGACTATTGCTACTTTCTGCACAAGACTGCATCCTTTATCTCAAACCATTCGCTTGGTCAAGCACTGGTTCAACTCCCATAAGCTCTCCAGCCATATCAGCGAGGAGCTTATCGAGCTTTTTGTTCTACATGTCTTCTTGCAACCCTATCCCTGGCGGGCTCCTACAAGTGCCTCAACTGGATTCCTACGCACATTGACGTTCCTGTCTCGTTGGGATTGGCGCGATGAGCCTTTGGTCGTCGACTCGGCTGAGGAATTGACGGATGATAACCGCCATAGCATTCGTAAGGAGCTTGAGGCTTGGCGTAAGAAGGATCCCAACATGAACAGCACAGTCATGATCGTGGCTACTTCAAATGAGACTTCTGGTCTGGCTTATACCCGCAATGGGCCTTCTAAGCTCATCGCCTCGCGTATGACTCGATTAGCCAAGGCTGCATGTAAACTCGTCAAGGACAGCGGATATCGTGTGGACGCTACCGAGCTCTTTGACACATCTCTTGAAGATTACGATGTCCTCTTCCATCTTTCCCGCAAGGCCGTACGCTCCATTCTTCGGGAGGCAGCCTCCGATCCTTCTGCTCGTCGCCACTCCCAGTTCAAGAACCTTGACGACCGCACCGGTCGCGCACCGCTCCCCATCCGCGCCCACCCTGTCGATATTCTCATCCAAGAGTTGCAGCGCGCGTACGAGGATACGCTAGTGTTCTTCCGAGGAACAAACACTAGCGATGAAGACGATACTGTGATTGGAGCTATCTGGAACCCGAAGCTCCAGCAGCAAAAGTTCCGTGCTGGTTTGCCTTACAACTTCCGCACAGTCGCCGACGAAGAGGAGGATGCTGTGACAGTGAACCGAAAGGCTGTACTGTTGGAAATTGCAAGGATTGGTGGTGATATGATTAGGAAGATTGAAGAGGTCGAGTAAGGTAGGCCTGCTGGCTGAACATGAATGTATTTTGGATAATACCCATGAACATAGATATAGATACAGGTGTGAATCCTGGAGTCGATCAAAAATATACTTTTAATAGCCAATATTTCTGTATTCAATGTATACTCAATGTATACCTAAGTAGTCAAGATGTGTTAGACACAGACATTTTACAGACTATTTGGTGATACCTAGGTGATAAAAGACATGCTACCTACGGAGTATTATGGGGTGAAATTGATAATGAGGTACGTACCACAAAATTGCCCGAAGTGGAAACCGCTTTACGCGAAAACACGCGCCAGACGCGTTCAACCCCTCAGCCACTAGGGTAGGTATCTTTAGTCAATCTTCTTCTATCACTGCGACAACCGACAACTGAAGATAACCTCGAATTCATATAACGATCAGAGAACTGATCGCATACCCAATTCTTCCTGAGCCAGGCAATAATGCCCCATTCTGTTAAATCAGAAGCCATGTCATCCCCAAACAACGTTAAGAACGAGCCGATAGAGGAGGCAGGAATCTCTGATGGAACCCCCAATGCGCCAGAAGCCGATACCAACATGGCCGAAACTGAGGACGTCAAGAAGGAAGTCAAGCAGCTTGAGGATTTGTTTGATGATGTCGACTCGGATGAGGAGTTCCCTAGCTCTGCGGCCGTTCTGCCAAGTTCACAAGTCGCTCCGCTGTTGTGAGTAGAAACCAAGAAACAAGACGTTCTGGCCCAGGATAAAAGAACTAACCATTACAGTGATGCCATGTCCCTGAAAGCTTCAGACCCAGAAGTCATGCGAAGTTTCTACCAGCGATTATTCCCTTGGCGATATCTATTTCAATGGCTTAACCACGGCCCTACACCAACAAACGACTTTGGCAACCGAGAGTTTGCTTTCACACTCCAGAACGATGCCTACCTCCGATACCAATCCTTCCCTACCGCCGATACGTAAGCAATATTGATTGTTTCTGAATTCAAACGCTCACAATGGTACAGGCTCCGTAAAGACATCCTCCGTCTCATGCCCTCTCGTTTCGAAATTGGTCCAGTTTACAACACCAATCCCCGCGACCGAAAGACACTCCGCAACTCAACCGCGTTCAAGCCCATCGCAAAAGAGCTGTGCTTCGATATCGATGTGACAGATTACGACGATATCCGAACGTGCTGTGACAAAGCAAATATCTGCAACAAATGCTGGCAATTTATGACCATGGCTATTAGAGTGATCGATGTAGCACTGCGGGAAGACTTTGGCTTCAAGCACATTATCTGGGTATACTCAGGTCGACGAGGTGTTCACGCCTGGGTTTGCGATAAGAAAGTCCGAGGAATGGATGACCAGAAGAGAAGAGCAATCGCAGGTTATCTCGAGGTGGTTAAAGGAGGTGCACAAAGTGGAAAGAAGGTCAATGTGAGGAGACCGCTACATCCTCATTTGGCGTAAGTTGACAAAAATGTTTATTGTGTGGTCTGAATACTAACGGCGTGCAGACGAAGTTTGGAGATTCTCAAGACTCATTTCCAAGAGGACGTTCTTGATGTTCAAGACCCCTGGGCTTCAGCTGAGCAGTCTGAGAAGTTGTTGCAACTCCTACCTAACCAAAACCTCAACGAATCACTGCGAAGGAAATGGGACGCCGCTCCAGGACGTGCTTCTGCATCAAAGTGGGCAGACATCGACGCTGTAGCAAAGTCAGGCGCCAGCAAGAACCTCGACGCCAGGCAACTCCTTGAAGCCAAGCAAGACATTGTCCTGGAGTACACCTACCCACGACTTGATATCGAAGTCAGCAAGAAACTTAACCATTTGCTCAAGAGTCCCTTTGTCGTGCATCCTGGCACTGGTCGAGTTTGTGTGCCCATCAACACCAAGAACCTCGAGGATTTCGACCCCTTGGCCGTGCCTACGGTACAGGGTCTTTTAGCGGAGATTGACTCATGGAAGGGTGAGGAGGAAGAGGGTGGTAAGGGCACGCCTGATTGGGAAAAGACAAGCCTGAAGCCCTATATCGACCAATTTAGGCATTTTATCAATGGATTGATGAAGGATGAGAAGGACGTCAAGGTTAAGCGGGAACGGGAGGATGACGGTATGGAATTTTAGACATGATATAAGACAGGATGGGTTTATGAAAAGTGCATATGTGGTAGATTTGGCATCTTTCTTTTTGGAATTGGCTGGCGCAGCACGGCATTAATACAGATGTTTTTGTTTTACTTTAAAGTAACCTCGATTTCAGGTGTACTCTACTCGGGGGAAGATTCCTCAGCATCAGGGTCCTTGATCTCATCGTTATCCTCCTCAAGTTCCTCGATCTCAGCCCGCTCAGCATCCTCTGCCTCAGCCGAAGCACCCTCCTGCTGTCTCAACTGACCTCCTTTGCGCTTGGGGATGACACTCAAGAACGCGTCGCCCCAGTTCTCGTACTCGAGCCACTTGAGCATTATCTCAATGACATGGTTTGTCGTGAGGACCGTTCGGCTTTGCATCACCATGTATTGGCCGATGGGAAGCCGAGCCGTGCGGATGCCACGTTCCCTTGCACGCTTGTAGCACAGGCCCTTTTCGCGGTTCTTGTCAACCAGACCACCAATGATGTAGCTTGTGTTGGGCTCGAGACGTTCAAGTGTGTAGGGAGAGTCCGACGACAGGTAGACTATGTCGTTGTACTCGGGGCGGGGCTCCGGTTCTAGGTCAGGCAGAGGGAGAGGGTCCTTTTCGTCTCTGACCCAAGGACTTTTTTCTGCGAGGCTTCGCTGAAGGGGTTCAATCATGTGGTCCTTCTTATCCTTCATCTTTTCTCGGGCCTTTTCCGCACACTCGATAAAGTCCCCTTCCACAAAGTCAATACCCTTCCAGTTATGGTGTTTGTCTTCAAGAATCTGATGAAACCGCTCAGCCAATTTTCCCTTCCAGTTCGAGACGTAGATATGTGTGCGGAACTTCGCATTTTTGTTCTCTGAGTACGACCTGGTGATTTGACTGCCGAGAGAAATAAGCTCCTTGTCGCGCATGTACTGCTCAAATTCGCAGTCGAAGATGAGTGAGATGGGAACATTGACAGAGGGAGGCTTCTGCTTCTTGTCGGCATAAGGATCTATGCCTTGTGCAACGAGGGCGTCCCTTTCCTCTCGCTTTCGAACCTTACGAGCGACGCGGCTGTCCTTGCGTTTCTGCTTGCGATCTTCTTTGCCGGCCTCCCACTGCTGCTGCTTTCTCAGACGCTTGAGGGCATTTTTGGACATAGGCTTCTCGGGCTCATCCTCAGCAGGCCTTTTTTGAGGAATTGTAGAGCTTGGAGCTGGAGCTGGAGCTGGAGGAGCAGTCTCCGTAGGGTTTGTATCGACCGTGCCACTTGTCTCGCGAGTTTCTTCTTGGCCGTTATTTGTTTTCCCTTTCGCTTGATGCTCCAAGTAGACCTTTTTGTTCGCAAGCTGCTCCTCGGATTCAGCGTTCTTTAATTCCTTGAACTCTTTGGCAGTCATGGAAGCACGGTCTGTGGCAGAGGTATCCATGATCTTGACTGGCTCTCCGCCATCAGGGGGGTAATACACATTGGGCTCATAGGTGGTCAAGAATCGAGGGTGGTCTTTCTTTAGCGGGTCCATTTTGTTGCTTGTTTATGATACTGAAAATGAAGATAGGCCTCTGTTTAAGGTCATGGGAGTTGAATAAGATGAATATCGGGAGTGTGTTGATTCTCTTATACAAGTATCAAGCTCTGTAAGAGGCGCCTGAAGATGACGTCGTGCTTGTAGCTGGTTTAAGTGACGTCGCTGTCGTAGAATATGGAAATTTAGTGAAAAATAAGAATACGAAACTGATGCTCTGGGCTTCAGAACATCAATTGAGGCTGAAATGAATGGTTTAAGCAGTACGTGAAGCTGGAATCAAAAAATATCTTGTCAAGCTCGGCGCATTTTTCTCACTGAGTCTCCATGGTCTGTAGTGGGGCACATTAAAAATACGTACCTAGCTGCGAGCAATTCAGTGGAGTTTGCTAGAAGCTAGAGCTGGCATGGACCAATAAAAGCAGAGCAATTGAATGGCCAACGTCACGTGTCGGAGTGGAGGCTCTCAAACCTACAGAATCCATAGCTCGGCTTCAACCTCAGGCCTAAGCAATAAGAAATAAAAGCTCCCAACTTCTCACAGCAATCGCACTCGCACTCGCATTCGCCATGGAGCACCCACCGTCGAGCGCGAATCTGCCGGCTTACAAGAGGCCCGACAACACATTCAAGCCTCACGATGTCCTCGATGACACTGCCAAGGCTGGTGTTGTTGGTGGTCTGAGTGGTCTCTTCCTCTCCTCCATCAAGAATGCCATGGCGAAGAACAATGTCGGCATCCTGAGCGTTTTCACCCGCGGTTCTTACATTATTGGTCTCGGAGGTATGGGATACCGTCCACCATAATGTCAATTGGATGCCCTGGAGTGCTAACAAGGTCTAGCCGCTGCTCCCGCCGCCTACGTCTTCTTCTCGAGAACCTCGATGAACCTCCGCGAAAAGGACGACGCCTTCTCAGCTGCCCTTGGTGGCTTTGCTCTGGGTGCAGTGCTCGGTCTTCCCAGTATGCCATAGTCTACTACTCAACTTGCAAGGAGACAAGGTCTGACACACTGCAGCAAAACGAATGCCCATTGTCGTGGGTCTGGGTTCTGGTCTCGCCCTCTTCCAGGGTACATTCCACTACCTCGGAGGCCGCTATGACAGCTTCAAGAGGGAGGACGACGAGTTTGAGCGCAAGGAGATTGTCCGACGAAGTACCCGACTGGCCATTGAGCAAACCATTTCAGAGATTGGCGAGGGCCGAGGTAAGTCGCGCACGACATTTGACTCGGGAATACAGCAACTCACACACCAGCAGGCATCCGACCTCCCGGTTACGCGGAGCGACGGGCGGAGCGACTTAGTGAGAAGTACGGTGTTGAGATTAACCCCATCAAGGCGACTGTCGAGGGCAGCCAATAAATATGAAACGACATGCAGGCGAACGGGACGGGAGCGATTGTACATAACTCTTCTGGGCGAGGAAGAGATGCTACACTAGAGAATTGGAGTTTTGTTTTGTTTCCATGTGAAGCTCTCAACTGTGCCATCTCATATTTGGGCAGTCAGGTTACTTCAAAAAGGTATGTTATAAGAGTTTCCCTACCCTACCCTAACCTAACCTTCCCAACGCCACCGGTCTGCTATGATGATATTTTAGCTTCAGAGGCTGTTTATGATCTTAATGATTAAACATTCAACTTGTTCTATCTATCCTGAGCACACATTCACTAGTCAAATGGTTAAACAGCTATACCTGAACGTTTCACTGACTATGTCCAGGTTTTATCAAAACTCTGTGCCTGCCTACTGTAAGGCATTCCTTAATGCAGTTTAGTATGGTATGCATCCCTCATCTTTCCTCATCCTCCTTTACTATGATGATACTTTAGCTTCAGAGGCTGTTTATGATCTTAATGATTAAACACTTAACTTGTTCTATCTATCCTTAGCACATCCCCCCTCAATCGACATTGTTTGACTACTATGATTGAGCGTCTTGCTGACTTTATAGACTTGTTTTGTAGTTGGCCCCTTTGGAAATACGTTCTTTCAACCGGGCTTGATGTGGTAAGTGGCTTCATTCCTTTTCTCTCCCCCTTACCATGATGATATACAGCTTCAGAGGCTGTTTATGATTTCAATGATTAAACACTTACATTTCTATCACATTCCTGATCCTCTACATTCATTGTTCCATATTTAATTGCTGTTTTAATGAACCATGCTAATTATGTTCAGACTAACAGATTTACACTCTGCACAAGGGCTCTTGACGTCGATTCATGGTATGTTTGAATCTCCTCTCTCCTCCATCCTCCCATCCCGCCACCCCCTTTCAATGATGATATTTTAGCTTCAGAGGCTGTTTATGATCGTAATGATTAAACACTTAACTTGTTCTATCTGTATCTGAGAATTCTATATCCATCAGTTATTCAGGTCTACCACAGTATCTATTTTACACATTGCTGATTCGACCAAGTCTAGGTTCCGTTCTGTTTGTTCCACCGTAAGATGCAAGGCAAGCATTGTTTTGTTCCTAGGCTGTTGATGTATTACTCTCTGTCTCCAGCTTGCAACATGTATTGATATGACTGATTCTGTCCACAGATTATGTTCTTATTCTCAGTTTTTGTCATATTTGTCTCTATCTTATTTTACTCTACCCCGAAGCATCACCAGTCATATAAAGGGTATTTCCTACTTTCATCTACAATCCCAAAGCCTTTGTCGGTGACTTATCATTATACCAACGAACTCGTGCCTTGCATCATCTGACCTGTCCTTTTTCATGTTCTGTCTATGTAAAAACTTTTCCGAAGTGTAAACTGGATGTGGCTCTCAAGATGTACGTCTTAGACTTTGACCGGCTTGAAACCGACTTGCACATAACGTGCAGCAAAGAAGGCAGCACAACCTGCCAACATAGCACAACCACAGAATAACTGCAGACCAAGATAGTCATCGTCTTGCGATGACACAATTGCACCACCAATAGGGCTCCCGGTCAGCGCACCGAAAGATGCTATGGCAAATGCAGCCCCAACACGAGTACCGATTTGACGGATGTCGGAAATCTGAGCAACGAGAGCCGGGACGAGGCTGATATATCCACCTGAGGAGAAACCAAAGATAATGGCGAAGACCACGATGCCGGCGGTATCTTTGACGGGAATCCAGACGCAAAAACAAAACAGGGCAGAGATAAAGGTAATGATGACCATGACGTTGTATCGACCAATCTTGTCGGCGATGATACCAGGAATGATACGGCCAAGGATACTGGGACTGAGTCAGTACATGCTGATAATGTTCAAGGTCAGCTAGGTCGGTCACAACTTACCTCACTGCGTTAAGGATAGGTAGCAAATAAGGGATCAAGGTCTCGGACATGCCAGCAGCCTCGGCCTGGAGCAGGACATAGTTGAAGGGGAGAAACATGCCCCACATGAACAAGAAGAAACCGATGACGGTGATGAGCATTGGCAGCTCGCGAAGACCCTTGAGGTATTCCATGAATACAAAAGGCTTAGGGCGAGGAGGCAGTCGAGACTTGACGGTGAAACAGGCGATGCCGAGCAAGAACAGGAACATAAAGGCCACAGTACGCATCATCCAGGGGAACCCAACGCTCTTGATCATCTTGTCCATCATGATTGGGAGAATTACACCTCCGAGGGACGAGCCCGAGACCATGATTCCGAATGCCGCTGCACGATGCTTGAAAAACCAGGTAATGAGCGAGGACATGCAGGCATTGAAAACAGCGCTGGATGCGATGGATGAGACGATGGATTGAGAAAGGAAGAATTGATAGTATTCTGTCGAGAGAGATACCATCATGAGGCCGAAGACATAAATGACAGTGCCGAACCAAAGGAGATACTTGGGTCCATACATATCAAACAGACGGCCAAACTAATGCCATGTTAGTTACTCAGATGCCGGTCCACAAGAGATGGGTTATACACACAAAGGCGCTGCAAAAAACCATGAAGAACGTCTCGACAGACGTGATCCAGCTCACCGAAGAGCTATCATGATCCTTCAATGGTCCAGAAACATAGTATTTCTGAAACACTCCCACGCAGTTTATAAGACCGAACGTGCAGAACAAAGCACACCAACCGCCAAAGACAACCAGCCAGGCCTCGAGGCCGCCATCTGGGAAATCAGCTGGAGCCATTCCAGGTGGGGGACCTGCTGGAGGTTGTTGCCGTTTCTTCTCATCTTCGCCTTCACCACGCTCGAGGTCTGCGGCGACTGCTTTGGCAGGCTCTGGGTGCAGGTTTGCATCTGTTTTGGTGGAGGGGAGAGGACTTTGCTTTTCAGGATCAGTCGATGTGATGGGTTGAATGTTTCGGTCGCTGATTGTCTCTGAGGACGAGGATATTGTTGATCGAGCCATGGCTGTGACTGTGTAGGAAGGATGAAGAGGTGATAAGAAGTTGAGGTTTGTTTATCGAGATGGTGATTAGGTAAATAGCTACCTTAGGTACCCAGGAACAAAAAGACTATTTAATTATTCACTGCCACTCCAGTCATCAGTGATAGATAGTGCTCTGTCAGTGCCACTGCAATAGAGAGATACCAGAGCTACCTACTTATATGACATAGAATAATATTCCGTGGAACATCTCCACGGGACTATTCAATGGGGCTGCTCCAAGCGTCCGGAGGATATAATGTGTTCCCATACCCTTGTAATTAACTTACTCGCCCATATGTATATAGAGGTGCTATTTGGTGGGGTAATACGGATACCGTAATAGTAGATCTCCCGCTGGCGAGAAAGCAAAGACCAGGCAGGGATCGACACCTACAAAAGCTCGGTCTTTGAATTCCACGGGCGGATTAAGACGCTGTATCGATAAATCCGTGAAGGGCGTAGATCGGGTTTACGGCACCTCAACCAGCTGAGTCCTCCATGGCTATAGTCTATGGGCGAGCACAGTCTTGAACGTATGTTGATTTCTAATCATATCTGGCTAGTTATCTGAAACATGATTCTACTGGCGAGATATGCGCCCGAAGGAACTAGCATACCGTTCCAAACTTGTTGTAGGGCTGATTGATACATATTCTCCCACTCGGTCGGCTTTTGGACTTAAGTCGAGAGCCGAGTCGCGAGCTGTTTAAGGTCTAGGCCTGAACTGGTAGACGAAACCATCCAATGATGGACAGTATGCTGACTTATTGCTTCTTCTTCTGGCCCTGTACTATCAATCAAGAGGGGGGACTTGTGGTTACATTCTGGGCTGAGGGTTGCTGTCTGGTGCCAGTAGCTGACCGATTGACTCATCTTGTAAGTAACACACACTTTAATTAGCCTGTTGAGCAATGTATGGTGGCAATGTTTAGGAGAGGGAGTGTCCGAATAGGAGAGGCGTATATTCCAGCTATTCGTAAAATTAATATTGTAGAATGACCTTCTCGTAACGCATACACATTCAATATTAAGTTCACAGCTTCGAGATGGGTTTGTTCGAACCTCTGAATATTGATACATAAAGGCTTCAGCTCTATGCTACATAGTATAGGTAATCGTACATTACAAACAAAACTTCGTGCAAGTGTAAAAGTCTCTTACTCATCTGCGCTCCTTTTTTCATCTCTGTAACATCGCTCACTTACACCTTTGGCTTCATCACATATTCTCACTCTCATCGGATAAACTCTTTAAGATCCTTGTTGTCTTCGAACTTGACCTTACCATCCTTCTCAACTGCAGCAACGTGGATGCCAGTCACAGACTTATCAGCCAGGTCATGCTTAGCACTCTCAATAGCGGCGGGCTTGCTCTCGGAGCCGTCTGTCAACTTGGTCTTGTTGGTCAACTCAACAGCCTGGGAGAGCACGCCAGGTTGAGCATCAGCTATCTCGTTCACTTGCTTGTTGCTGAGCACGTCTGCGGCGCGCACGCCTCGACTTGAGATGAGAACCTTTGCAGGACCATGGAACTGAAGGAATAGACGATCACCCCAAATAGTTCGTCGAGTTGCTGTTCGCATGCTGTAAAGGGCCCGTGCCAGATACTTCCAGACCTCCGAGTTGCGAACAGTCTTTACCCACTCAGGCTCCGAGATCCATCTCGACAGCGACGGCACCTGGAGTTGTAGACTATTGCTCTTGAAGCGGAAAGGCTGTGGGGGATATCGGTTGACAGAATAAGCCACAACGCTGCCAGGATGCGCCACAAACTCCTCTCCCTCCTTAAGAGTAAGCTCGTAGATCTGTCCCGGCGCTGATAGAGCAGCAAGACCTCGTCCAGTCAAGAGGGTGTTACCCCAGTGGGCGAGTGTAAGCCTGCTCTGGATGCGCGCCGACGGCGCAAGAGTATGTCCCGTCCAAGCCAGTAGCGCGTTCCTCTGTGAAACCATCCAGTCCGTCGTTCCATCGAGGTGAAGAACCGTAAAAGAGGTCGTGGGTGACTTTGTCGAGATCAATGCTGTGATTGGTGTCGTTGCTGAGATGCGCTGGTAAAGGAAGGGAACGCCGAGGAAGGCTCGTGTAATCGGGTTGAGGATCGAGAGAGTGGATTGAGCCTGTTCATGTCATTAAAAATACTGCCTATAGCTTCCTCTAAGAATTACGCACATTCTCAGGCTTGCCGGCGACAGCAACCAATGTGCCCCTCCGAGTGTAAAGCTTCTGCGATGCCGACAGGGTCACAGACAGTAGCGAATATGGCGAACCTAGAACCTCGAATCGAGCATCTACACAAGCACAAGGTTAGATACTTGGCCAAACCACAACTCAATGGCAATAGCGGGGCGCAACCATACCCGCAGGATCCCTCGTCTCAAGAGCTCCGAAGGCATCACCACCAACCTTGGGCGCTTCAGTGCTCGGCGCAGCGCTGATCTGAATAGACCTGCACTGGGTGCAAGTATACGAAGGCAATGCCCGCAGCCGGAGTCCTCTCGTCGCTCTTGACAGCGGTAATTGGCCTCGCATTTTTGTTGGATATATGAGCTCCGAAAGAGCTTTACACTTGTATATCTACCACCTCACATGAAGGCCAAACCCAAGCCGGCCGCTGAGCCATCAGTATTGTTAGCGGCTTTTCCCGTTCCCACACGTCATGTCACGTGCGAGTCGTTGCTGGGCCAACGCCCGTGCTTTCTTCTCCATCTCGCTAGACGTGGACCCATGCTGTCTTTCTTATAGCAAACCTTTACTAACTTTCAGGACGTGGTAGCGGTCAGTTTGGTAGGGTGATAAGAGTCCGAGTTGACGATACACTGACCTTTTTGTCTGCACTACTCTTCGTGAACTCCTCCTCAAAACCAATCCTCTCGATACCGAATACACGATGAGTGTCAGAGTCGTCTCCAGGATACGGCCCCTGCTCGAAAAGGAGCGAGAATGTGATATTATCGTTCGAGCCGACACCGTCGATTCCAGCAAGCCCAACACCGTGGTCAAGATCCCCAACCCCAAGAACGAGGCTGAGGAGTTTTCCTTCGCGTTCAATGGCGTCTACGACCGAGCTACGACACAGGAGGAATTGTTTACTGCTGAAGGTGCGATCTCATAAGCTGACGTCTCTTGTTTTATTCTCCTCCGTATCGCGTGTTGACTCGAATAGTGGCACCTCATGTCAAGTCTCTCTTCCAGGGCTACGATGTCACAATATTCGCGTATGGCGTCACCGGTACAGGTAAAACACATACAATGAGAGGCGGTATGAAGCTGGCAGACCGTGGGGTGATTCCTCGGATGCTCAGCAACGTCTTCCGGAGAGGCAAGAAGATTATGAAGGACACCAAGGGTGAAACCGACGTCCAGGTCTTCCTGTCTTACTACGAGATCTACAACGACAAAGTCTACGATCTCCTCGAGCCACCGGAGAAGCGAACACCAACTGGCCTATCACTACGCGCCGAGGCCAGCGGCAAAACCGTCGTGGTCGGTCTCTCGGAGCGAGCTTGTGAAGATCTCAAGGACTTTGAGAAGATGTATATCGAGGCCAACAACAACCGCGTCACGGCGTCTACCAAGCTCAACGCCCATAGCAGTCGCAGTCACGCTATCCTACGTGTCAAGCTGGTACAGACGACTTCAAACGCGGTCCAGGAGAGCACAGCATCAGCCATTGACTTGGCTGGATCTGAAGACAACCGCAGAACTGACAATGGAAAGGAGAGGTTGGTGGAATCTGCAGCCATCAACAAGAGTCTCTTTGTTCTGAGTCAATGTATCGACGCGATTGGCCGTGGTGATAAGAGGATACCATATCGAGAGTCCAAGATGACTCGTATCTTATCCCTGGGCCAAAACGATGGCATCACGATAATGATCCTGAACCTGTCGCCTCTGCGAAGCTATCACCTGGATACCCTAAGCAGTCTGAATGTCAGCTCTCGAGCCAAGCGAATTGAGGTCAGGGAGATTGAGAATGAGATTGTGTACAAGCAAGTTCCTAGGGCGAACTCAGGGCTCTCAGGCTCTAGTATCCCACGCCAGCCTCTGCGCCCGCTGGCTAACCTTACGAATGTCCACAATGGCAATGTTGCCGCCAAGGCTGCCGACAAGGTCGCCGCCGACAAGCCTGTGAAGGCCTTCAGCGTCTACACTGATAAGTCAAAGCCAGCAGCGCCTGTCAGCCGTCCCTTGGTGAACTCCAACCTCGCCCGCAGGACCAACCCGATCAAGCGGCCTTCTGAAAACGATGCCGTTATGAGACCCAGCAAGATCTCAAGACCTACTGCCCCAGCTTCCATCACTGTCTCTGCTGCTCAGATCGAGGCTATGGTGGAGAAAAAGGTCAGCGAGATCCTTGCTGCTCGGATTGCAGCTGAGAAGGAGTCGCAACCGCCACCAACAATTCAGCCTGAGATTAGCGATGCTGTCCAGAAACGATTAGAGGCTCTTGAGAAGCGAATTGACAGCGACGAATGGCGAGAGGATTCCAAGTCGGACGGTTTGCGGTTCCTCCTTGCTGCTCGGCAACACAAGGAGCGGGGTGAGGACGATATCGCTCTCAAGATGTATGAAAAGGCCTTGCCTTTCTTCCCTGGACAAGCGAAATTGCTCAACAAGATTGAGAGACTACGATCGCGGATGAACGGAAACGCTCCCGTGCCTTCTCCTCGCCGAGAATCTCCCCGCTCGGAGCGAAAGAAGCGAAGATTCGTCTACGACGATGCGGATGGCAACTATGAGACCGCTGAGGCAGATGTGGATGAAGACGAATTTGCTCAAGCGGCAAAGCCCAAGGCTCGAAAGCTGAAAGTCAAGGCTCTTGCTACCAAATCCATTCTTTCAGGCGAAGACGAGGGTCCTGCATCGCCTCGCACGCAACACCTTCTTGACATTGTCAACTCGCGTGATCTCGACCAAATCCGAAGCTTGGTCGGCTTCGGCGCAAAGAAGGCCCGTGATCTGGTCGATTACCTCGAGCTTGTCAACGATGACGAGGCTGGTGGCCGCATCGATAGCCTTGCTCAGCTGAGGACGGTGCCGGGCATGGGAAGCCGAACGGTAGAGAGGGCTTATGGAGGGCTTGCAGTTTGAGCGTAGCGTATGGTTTATTTTGTCTTCTCCCACTCTTGGAGATAGGGTGGGCATAGGCATTCAATGCTTTTGGTTTCATATCATAGCCATATACCCCTCTGGTTTGTTCGAAGACGTTGCATTGGAAAGCGAGGGGCGTTTGTGGAGTTTCTTGGGAGGTGAGTTTATTTTACATAGCATTGCATGGACGCCAGTGGTATCTGGCTGTCGATTTTAGAAGTTGATTCATTCATCAATTATTGAAGCTCATATTTTGGTGAAGTTGTGCTACGCTATCCTACGGGGTTCATTTGGTGCCAACACGAGTGGTTGAAGTAGGGTTGAGTTGAGAGTCATGAGGAACAACTAGTCACTGGCTGCTGTAAAAATAACCACGCGTCAAAATACAGGTAGGAAGTATAGGAGTTGTTTGCTTGTGTTTCTGATCTCAAAATAGGTTAATTAGGCTATCGTGTCGGTGTTGGTATTGTAGTGCTATAGGGTGGGTGTCTTGACTGTGTAGGATATCACGCGCTTCTTACACTTACAGCTGATCGAGAGCTTCGTCTCCGGATATGTCAGAGACTCTCGTATCCAAAGGAATAATCCCTGCCTAATCCAGCACGAACCTCCATTCGCACATCACTAAAAGCATAGACATTCATGCACAAGACATAAAACACGATTGATAGCACTATTAGTAGTAGATCTTATGCACAGCCCAAACAAGCTTTAAGATGATCGCACCATATGAAACCAGTCCTCTAACTTGACGTGTACAGCACATAGCCGCTGGCGTTAAGATCATCCCGTCGACGCCCCAACTCAAAATCCCACACAATCCAATTAAATGCGAGATATGCACGCTGGAGAATATTTGTTAAAGGCATTGAGTTTCAACTTGGTGGGAATAATAACAAACCATATTTTATGCAGTTGCATAGTAGTGGAGATACTTCTTATTCGCACTGTTATGATGACGTGACGATATAAATACTGAGGCATGACCAGATAAAACCGGCTTTGTTTTAAGTACCAGCAAAGCTTGAGACACTGACATAGCTCACAGACTTCGGGAAATTAATCTTGATGTGATCTTCTCGTATCGATCGAGACCTGTTTCATCCATATTCGTCATAGCTCACAGCACAGGTGCTTCACTCCCAGTCTCAACTCAATGATGTTTGTGTCTTTGAAAGTTTGAACATGATATGTGTTTTGAATTCATTGGTAACTTGGCTAAATTCCATAAGTCCATATCCCTCCGTAAAAACCCGCCTGTAATACTTTTATCTGTTGGGCTTTGTATGTACAGATTGCAGCGACCGACAGTTGCCCGCCAACTCTAGAAGTTATGCAGCAACCCAAAAGCTGTTTCCAGCGAGAATGCTTGGGTTGAATGAATAAGCAACAATGACAGCGATAAAAGTATGAAAAATCAGCGCCGGAAAAGGAAAATTAGGTAAAGATGTCGGTGATGACCGATGACACGTCCAACTTTGGAAACTTGCTTTGCGTAGTTCCCCAGCATTGTCCAAAAATGAAGGCTTTCAAAACCCCACAGAGCTGGAAAGGGGGAACTGGATAGCAGGCAGGACGGAAAAATAAACCAACAAGTGATAAGTCGTTAAACAAGATTCAGTGGCTGATCATCCAGCCAGAATAAGAAGAAGTGTGAGATAGTGATGTGATCCGTTGTTGTGACAGTGACAGCGTTATAACAGTATCATTGACATGTACCAACAAAGTAGGCGAGCTTTTCTTTCGTTGTTGGGAAACCTTGAATGAATTGGGGGTATCCGTCAAATCCGATTCATCCATTCCCGTCTCATCTCATCTCATCGTGTCCGTTGCTTACACGCTGTGTGCGCCCGCTACGCCTGCGCCTGAGCTGTAATCCATCGCCAGGCGCTAGATTCCGTCAAATCGTAAAGAAGAATGTCGCAAGAAATTTGTGTTGTTTGTTTGTTTCTTTTTAGTGTTGGGTCAAGCATCCCGGAGTTGCTCATCGGATCATGCTGCTCCTTCGCTCTTGGATGCTGGGCATCTGCTTGTTGCTTGAGCCACCAAAATGAGGGATGGAGCTGAAGCGGTTCAGACGCTTACGCTCAGCTGTGGGCATCTGCGGTTGTTGCAACTGCTGCTGGTGCTGAGACTCAGAGGGGAAGTGATGCTCATCAATGATGACGGGGGATGGAGAGGCCAGGGAGTTAACACCAGCCTTGTCGCCGTGGAGAGCGTCCATGTTTGAGGAACCAGAGGAGGAGCCGGTGCTGTTGGGAGTCTGGTAGACATACTCGCCATCGACGTAAACAGCGTTGGAGACGAAGGTGGAACGTCGATGACGGCGGCGGGTGTAGCGTTGCTCGAGGCGGAAGAGCTCCAGCTTGGCCTGGATCTTATCCATGAGAGACTTGCCCATTTTTGCGGTGTTGATTGGCAAGTGGGAGATTCAGTCGAGGAGAAAGTGAGCCCGGGTATTTGTCAGGGCGAGCAGTCCGGATCTCTTGGTGACAGTCAGCGTGTCGAGGGAGGTCGAGAATGTGGAGATTGATGATCTCCGGGTACGGCAGTCAATGCAGTACTATTCGTGTTGTATATGTACTGGAGGCGTAAATGTGTCGTCTCGAGGGTTGTCTTGTCTTGTATCGAGGTTGATTATGCCCTGCTGAGAAAGGGGGAGGACAATTGGTCGACTTGTTGACCGGTTATTGTATTGGTGATTGTAAGTGCTCGGCTGTTTTCGGTGGTGTTTAGGTTGAGTTGTGGTGTAGGTATTAAAAGAGAGTAGAGGACATTAATAGCAATGGAATCAAATCGCCTGGAGTTTTGTTTCCCTGTCGTCTAAGAAGAAGATCGGATCAAATGAATGAGTGGATGGGAGTGGGTGACTAGGGGTAGAAGAAGGATTGCGACAGAGAAGAGCGAGGGGGGGAGGATTGGATGGAAGATAAGACGTGAGGTGCTGGGAGGTCACCCCGGGGCCAGGGCAGGGGGTAGGTTCTGTCCAGGGGCGAAGACACCCGGGGGTAACAGCCCGTCGTTAGGTAGGCAAGTACCTAACTTGGGAGAGTTAGAGGAGGTTGTAGCGTCTGAGAGGCCTGACTCTCCCCACTGTCGGACTGTGTCCAGTGGCATTGACGGATCCATTTTCAAGCTGCAGACTGCAGACTGCAAACCTGGCCTCGCCAACCGGGCGGGACTCCAATCAGGCCAAAGAGAGATGCGGGCATCAGGGGAGGCCCGGGAGGTGGAGGTTTGCTCTTTTGCAGGGGATGTTAATTGGAAGTGGTCGCGTGAAAGTGGATGTCAGTTTGTCAAGAAAAGTGTCTAGGGTGCCATGCGACCGAAGCTCTGGAGAGCGGCCTGCAGCGGCCTGAGGCCCCTGAAAGATGTAACGTTGATGAATTGAGGGGGGATTAGGGCATGGCATGGCATTATAATGGTTGTGGTAGAATGTATTCTTTTGTTGAAGGAGGTTGGTTAAAGAGCCTACATCGGTATCTTTGCGGAGTATGAGTACGGAGAACAGAGTACAGAGTACGTATGCATAAAGAGGTTGGAGAAAAGGACAAGGAAGCATTCAGGGGTGATTGTCAGAGGCAGAATTCTACGGATAGCGAAAGAGAGATCACTGCTCTACTCATCAGACGATGTGTAGATCGATTATGACGAGCAGTCACTAATAAAATCAATCAATCTGTCTGATATTCAAGATTACTGTATGACTACCAGGCGTCAGCCCAAAGACCACCAACACGCATGTCAAAGCTCTCTCTCCTATCCTTCCGTTGACGGGCCGTCTACAGCTGTTTGTTCTTTGTCTCAGCTAGCCTTTCAAAGAAAATGTCGTCTACGGGGTACGGATACTGCATGGTGATTAAACCAACATTAGCAGCTCTTCTAGTCTGGGCCTTAGAAGTCCGTTCCCAACGCCGGTGGAAGCGCTAAATAAGACACTAGGACACCAACGTGATTATGGTGTTGGTGGGTTGATATCTGACGCAGGGGGTGCAGGCTTAGTTAGTACTTACTATCAGTGTTCTAACTTGGCCAAGCAAGACAAGAGGCGAGTGAAGCTGCAGTGGAAAAGGATGAAAGCAAGAAGAAAAGGAAGACAAAAACCCGAGTACGGACAGACAAGGTTCAATTGGTTCCCGGGAATGGGTAGGAATATCTTTCTGGGGCTTCCGAAAGACGATACATAGGCGAGAGGCTGAACCTGATGCTGTGGGTTGGAGGCTAGAGGCTAGAGAAGCTTGAGGCTAAGGTAACTTACCTAGAGGCTAGGTTACTTGGCTGGGAGACGGAAACCACATGGTTTCTGCGAGTCAGTATCCACAGTCTATAAACGTTGATCCTGGGTTGGAACTTAGACTTGGAAGGGAAGTAGAAAATGGTGGGGACCGTCAGACTCTGGTGTCTGGAAATAATTCTTGTGAGGAATTGTCTGTGGACTGATTGACCTGGAGTCGTCGATCAGCCGAGATTAAAATGAGACTCTGTGTTAGACTGGTAGCACATTTTACGTAGTCTCATAAAAGATGCATCACCCCGAGCAATCATCAATTGCTGTTCGGCGTTCGCACAATAATTAATCAAAGAGAGTTGACCCAGCCTTGCTCCTTTCTCCCCAGCGGCGAATTCATCTATTGACCAGGCCCCCCCTTGTCCGCCTCCGGTGAGCGAGCATGGTTGGTTCATGGGACATGCTATATTGGGTATGGCCTTTCTGCACGTTTTTTTTCTGCAGCGTCGCTTCGAAACATCTCCATTCTCCATCCTGCGCCCTGCATCGCGCGATCCCCTCTGCTTCTCTGCACCCAAGCTATCATCGTTTAATCGTCGCTTTTAGCCTGCTGCTAGCCATGGTTCGACCGAGTTTGCGCTCTGATTGAATCAGTTGACGTGTCTGTGGCTTCTAGAATGCTTAGACTTGGAAAAATTTTCTTCTTTTCCTTTCCTCTTGGCCGTTTCATGCCAATGTGTCAAAAAAGATAAGCTGGTCCTCTCCGTCCCATGTGGCTTTGGCTGGGGACATAGTGAACGAGTCAGGTCGTCCGTCGGCTGAGAGATCGCCAGGCACGGACTCGGAGTCGGATCCGGGCTCCAGCCTTGGCCAGTCAGAGGCAATTGGAGAAGAGAGAACGAAACTACTTTTGGTTAATGGCGTGAAACTTTCGTGATCTATTGTTTATTAGTTTCTTTACCTGCTTACTGATAGTGTTTAGATATCATCTAAGAGGTAGTCCTGTAGCTAACCTAAGAGGTACCCCTAAAAAGTAGGGATTTTTAGTATTTACCTAAGAGGTAATAAAGTAAAAATAAAAAATTCTTATTAACTAAAAAAGTAAAATACCTTTTAGATAAGCTTAAAATTAATCTTTTAGTTTAATACTTTTTTTTACTTTTTTTAATACTATATAATAATATATTAATAAGGTATAATTAATACCTTATTATTATTATTATAATTAATAGATTATTAATTTATTAACCTTATTTAATCTTTATTAATATTTTTAATTTTTTATTAATTTATTATTTTTTATTATTATAACTAATTATCTTATTTTTAATAGCCTAATTAGTTAATACCTTAACTATATTAAGTATTATTATAGTTATGATAAATAATATTAATTAAATAATATTCCTTTTAAAATAGTAATTAATATATTATTAATATATTAAGTATTCTTTATTAATATATTACTTTTTATAAATTAATAAAAAGTATTTTATTCTTTAAGGTAAGGTTTTTTATTATATACCTAACCTTTTCTAGCTAGGCTAGCTTTATAATAAGGTTAGTATAATTAATATATTATTAATATATAGTTAATATATTAATAAACTTCTTACTAGGATAATTAAAATCTTTATATCTATATTATTAATTAATATAAAATTAAGATTATTAAGTTAGTTTATAAAGTAACTTTATATAATAATCTTACCTATATTAAAAGTAAGTTATTATTAATATATTAAATAATCTATTATTAATATATTAATAGTCTATTACTTAAAGTACCTTACCTAGCTTAAAGGTTATATTAAGAAAGTCCTTAAAGAGGTAATTACTCTATTAAACTTACTTATTAAAAAAGACTAGGAGGTAAGTTTTATTAATATATTATTAATATATTATATATCTTTAATTAATATATTTAGGCTATTATAATTAGTAATAACTTTAAAGATAAGGATAATAATAATAAGCTTATTATTATCCTTAAGAAGTATATTATTAAAAAAGTAACTATTATAAGTTTTTTAATATATTAATAATATATTATTTAATAGCTAATTAATATATTAGGTATTTAAAAGGGTTTATTAGCTTAAGGAAATATAAAAAAAAAAGCTAGAATCTATTCCTAGTCTTTTTAAGTCTATTACTACCTTTAAGCTTACTATTACCTTTAAGTTAAAAACCCTTAAGATATCTATAAATTATTAATAACCTATTATTAATATATTATATAATATCTAATTAATATATTAACTTAAGCCTATTAAGGAATATAATATTATTAATCTTAATTTACTTATTTATAAAAAAGATTATAATATAAATATAGTAATTAATTATTAATAGATTAATAATATTTATATTTATTTAAGTTAATTAGAACTAGGTAAAGTAAATTACCTTAGCTTTATAAAAGACTATCTTAATTATACTTTATATTAACTATAAAAACTATAATACTAAAAGTAAGTAAATATTAATATCTTATTAATATATTAAATTAATATATTATTTATAGTCTATCTTCCTTACCCTTTACCTATCTATTTATATAATATCTAGTAATACTAAATTAATAAAAAGGAAAAGACTAAAGGTACTATACTAATTAATTAATAACTTATTAAGTTATTAAATAGATTAATAATATATTATTAATATATTATAAATATATTAAAAATAGATTAATTAAAATAGAGAATAAAAAGTTTAATAGTTTTTAAAATATTAAATATATAAATTAAAGTTTATAGATAATTTATTTATAAATATTAATTATAAAAAGTCTTTTAATATTTATATTAATTATAAAGTATAATAATAATATTTATATATTATTATATTTTTAAATTATTTAAAATATTATAATATTAATTAAAGTTATAAAAATAAAAATAATAATATAGTAATAAAAAGAAATAAAAATAGAATATAAAATATAAAGTAATAATATATAATAGTAATATATTAATAATATATTATTAAGGTATTACCTTTAAATTTAATAATTATAAAAACTTTTATTATTTTTTCTTTAATATCCTTAAAAGTATTTCTATTTATTTTATCTTTTCCTTTATAACCTATAGCTAAATAGTTTATTTATTTAACTCTTAGGGAGTTAATATTTCTATCTATTAACTTTAAGGTATTATAAAATACCTTAAATAACTATAATATATTAATAATATATTCTAAATAGATAGATTATATATTACCTTAGTATATTACTTAATAAGGCTTATAATAAAGACCTCCCTTTAATATATAGTAAAGTATTATATTACCGAGCTCTTTAAAAAAAACCTTTATATTAAATAAAGTAATTATAAATAGCTTAACCTATTATTTATTTAAGTTTTTTATCTCCTTAATCTATTAATAATATATTACCTTATATTAAAGACTATAAATATATACTAGCCTGTTATTATAAATCTTATTAATATTATTTTTAAACCTTACTATAATTATAATTAAGGTATACTCCCTAGGTTATATTTATAGAAATAGACCTTAATCTTTTTAAGTTAAAAAGGTAATTTCTTATAAAGATATTAATAATATATCAATAATATATTAATAATAACTTATATTTTAATTACTTTAATTAAACTTTAAAATTAATTACTTTCTTAATAAAATAATTTATATATTAGTTTAATATAATTAGTATATAAAGATAAGGCTAACTATTAAGTAAGGCTTTTTAATAATATATAATAATATAAACTAGTAATAATAATAGGCTAAAGCTTATAATTAACCTAGTATTTAAGGCTTAAAAATATTAATCTTTTAGCTAGGTATTAACTATATATTATTAACTTATAGTCTTTAATTAATTAATATAATATAAAATATTATAATTAACTTTAAGCTTTTAAAAGTTATATTATAAGATAGTATATTAAATCTCTACCGGTTTTATACTAGCCGTATTTTATAATAGTCTTATTTATTAATAATTAATTAATAACCTACTATTAATAGATTATATATTACTTATAGTATCCTTAAGTAAAGTATATATAATATATCTAGATAGATTATTTTAAATACTATATCTTAAGATAGCTTAGATTAACCTTAATTAGATATTACCTAAATCTTATATTTTAATATATTAAGGTATTAATAAGGTATTAATAATATATTAATAATAAATAAATATACCTAATAGATAAGTAATATTAATATTAACTATAAGGCCTTAATAACTATATCTATGTATATATTACTAATAGATATTAATACCTAGTTATTTCTTTAATACCTAAAAGGCTTAAAAGAATATCTTTTAATATACTTTAATATCTTAACTATAAAGAAATACTTAAAAAATAGAAATACCTAGGGAAATAAATTATTAATAGATTAGTAATATATTAAGAATCTATTACTTACTCTTTCTTAACTTTTTATTATATATAGCCTAAATACCCTCCTTTTTTAATTTATTAATAATATATTTAAAATTTATATTTACTTAAAAGGAAAGAAAGTAAAAATCTTAAAATAGTATTACCAATTTTTATAAAATATAAATAATAAGAATATTATTTATAGTCTATTTAAATATATAGATATATTATATAATAGATTAGTAATTTATTATTAATATATTAATAATAAATAGACCTTATAGTATTTAGGTTACTTTAATACTTTTAGATATATTTATATTAAATACTTAACCTTAATATACCTAAGGGAAAGTATAGTATTTAATACCTCTTAAATAAGTAACTTAAATACCTATAATTTATAAAACTTAGGTAAATATTAATTAGTATTTCTATATAATAATCTACTAGTATTTTATATATAGTAGCTATTTAAAGCTATATATTTATTAATATATTAATAATCTATTATATATTATTTATTAATATATTATAAACTTAATATTAAAAAAGCCTTTTTAATAATTTTAAGACTTTCTTTTAGTCTTTAAATAACTTATTTAGGGAGATATATAGGTAGTAAAGGTAAGTATATATATATTTTATATAATATAAATATTATAAAAAAAGCTTAAGTATTAATAGGAATTAAAGCTTAAAATATAACCTTATAAGGTATTTATATTATCTTCCTTTTATTAAAAAGCTTATACTTAATATTTATTAATTTATTAATAACCTATTATTAATAGATTAGTAAGTAATTAAACTAACTATATAAAGGTAATCTTCTTTTATTATTATTAACTATTAAATATAACCGCTTTATTAATACTATAATATTCCCTATAGTAAGGATAGCTTTAATTATAGAAATATAAAGTTAATATTTAAAAGGAATTAATAGGTATAAATAGTCTTAAATTTATAGATATTAATCTTAATAGTAAATTATAGATTAATATTCTCTATTAATAAGCTATATTTAATAAATTAGTAAGTTATTAATAAGGTATTATTAATATATTATATATATTAATATAAGGTAATAAAATAACTTAGGTTTATAATTTAAAAGATAGTTATTATAAGTAGTATTATATTTATATTTACTTTATAAGGCTTTAATCTACCTATTAATATAGAATTAGTAATATATTAATAATAGTCAGATAATACTTTATATAGTATTATAATTCTAATTAATAACCTAAAAGGTAATAATATTAATTTCGGTTTAATATTAATAATAATCCCTAGGTATTTCTATATAATATATTATTAATTTAAGGTTTAAAAACTTATATACTTTAACCTTAGTATAATTATATTTATAAACCTAAACTAGCTTATTTATAAAAAAGGCTAAGGAAGATATTTATTAAGGTTACTATCTTATAGTAAAGTATTAAAGCTAGTTAATAGATTAGCTATACCTTAATAATATATTCTTAAGGGTTAATTAATATATTATTAAATAGATTTTTATATAATTTCTTTAAAATACTTTATATTAAGATAATATAGACTATATTATTAAAAGATATTTTAGGCTATTTAGGTATATTAAAAATATAAATAATAGTTATAATATAAATAATATCTTTTTAAGCTATTTATTATTTTAACTTTAATAAATTAGTTAAGAGTAATATTAATCTATTTTCTTATAAAGCCTAAAAAGATTATTAATATATTATTAATATATTATATATTTATTATTTATATATTAATTATTTATAATATTAAGCTTAGTAAAGGTATTATCCCTTAAAAAAAGGGACCTTATAAGTTAATAACTCCTTAAATTTAATAAGGTATTAAAATAAATAGTTATAAAAAGGTATTATCCTTAGATACTATAATAAATAATTAATACCTTAGTAATATATAAAATTACGGTTAGATATAAAATAATAAAAAAGTAATAGTTAAGACCTTAAAATAATATAAAGTTAACCTAAGAGGTACTTTACTTTTCTTAAAATTAGCTAATTAGAACCCTAGCTATTACCTCTTAGGTAAGGTCTAAAAATCCCTACTTTTAAGGGGCACCTCTTAGGTCAGCCATAGGACCACCTCTTAGATGATATCTGAATACCACTGATAAGTGTGTCTTCTTGAAACGGTTTGTGACGTTGTGTGTACGTTGTCAGATTATGACAATGCTTTATCGATAGATAACTCGACCGTGTATGCGTATATTGTGTGGTGTCCTTTAACCTAGATCAGAACACTGCTTAGATCCTCAACAGATTCTTGTCTATTGGAGTCCGTAAGCTTCATCGATAGTTCAATTCAATGGCTCACGTGCTATGGGGTGCCTGCCTGAGTTGTCGCTATCAACCTCGACCAGTGCCTTCCTAATATGTTCAACCAATAAACAACCTCATTCATGTGAAAGAAGTCCCTGACCTCATCTACCACTTTCGCTAGTAGCTCCAAGTTTCTCTCAACACCTTCACATCCCTTTTCAGAAAATACACACATATCAAAGTGATATCTCTATCAATGACAACTTTCCATCTTACCACTGCTCTCCGTGAAAGTCTTGAAGATGAATCACTCCCTCTTCAAGTCTCGGACACATTGTTTCGTATTCACGTCTTGCAAATTATATGTTGATCGGCTTCAAGATCCTCCCGTCACTGCCGGATCTCGCTAGATCTTGACACAGGTTGCACAGCTTCGGGATCACAACGGCTCTTGTTCGAGAATGTCTGTTGTAGCCGGCCTATCACAGCCGCAAAGAGGCTCAAAAGACCGCTTGCGTTACATCTAGAAGATCCGGCAATGGCAATCTCCGGGTAACTCATGTACATCAAACTGGATTGTTGGACATGTTGAACAGCGCAAAAACTTCCCGTGGTCACGCCTAATCGTTATGTGAGGCAATGTCGATGCATGCTTGTTACTTGCAAACAGTCTTGAGATACGATGATGACCTATGAATAGATACTAGTACAGCCGATCTAAAACCCGACCGGCGTGTATACCCGCACCCAGAGGCGACCTTCAACGAGATGTCTTACCTGACTCTGCAATCCTTGGTTAAGAACATCACCATATCGAAGAAAAAACAGGAGCAGGAATACCCTTGTGACACCGAAACCTCCAGCATTTGGATCACTCGACGGCATCTCGAACAAGACAAATGTTACTCCCCGTCCGTGACTCCTAGGAGAGTTGCAACGTTAACAATGCAGCCTTCCGAGGCCCTGCCGTCTATGCTAATCTTCCGGAGAAGCACCAGTTCTAGCCATACTAAAAATGGCTTATATGCTAGCTAAGTCTTGATGTTCTGGTTAATCAGTAGCTTCTTCCCTCCTCACCATTCATTTTTGCAGCTCAGCTATCATGAAGCTATACAGTCTGTTGCAGGCCTTACTATTCTCAGTATGGGTAGTCGTCGATGCTGAGGCAACTCAAAAACCGGCGGCTGGCTCTTCCAGAACTGGTCGCAGAAGCAGTGGAAACACCCGCAAGTTTATCGTTGAAGTCGAGCCGGTAACATAAGTCAATCCCGTTTTCGAATCAGCTACTCACGTTCACAGAATCGAGGCCTAGCCACAGTGACACACCAGCTTCTTACAAAACCCAACCACAAAAGGCCACTGTTCCAGAGCTTTGATTGTAGTGATGCCTTCAACGGCATGGTGTTGGAAACCGACACCGATAACTTAGACACGCTCCGTCAGATGGAAGGTGTTGTCAACGTATGGCAAGCTCACAAAGTATCAATGCCAGAGGTCCACAGGTCGACCAATGGCCCATCATCTGCTGCGAGAAACTACTCAGTTCATCACTGGACTGGCGTTGACAAACTTCACGCAGCTGGCATCCGTGGAAAAGGGTCAACCGTTGCTATAATAGACACAGGTATCGACTACACACACAAAGCGGTATGTTTGTCCTATTTCACACTGACCTGATGTCTGATCATACCAAGCTTGGGGGTTGCTTTGGCCCTGGATGCAAAGTCAAGGGAGGCTATGACCTTGTTGGAGCAGAGTGTAGGTTGGACACGTAACTTCTTATGGATCAAGAGCTCACTGTTGGTCTAGGGGAGACACACAATGTGAAAAGGCACCCAAAGCAGCCTGATAATGACCCCATGGACTACCAAGGTCATGGAACTCATGTGGCTGGTATTATTGCTGCCGAGAATGAATGGTACGTTGAGATCGGTGGTATGATTCTATAATCTAACTGACATGAAAACCAAGGCTTATTGGAGTTGCGCCTGATGCTGAACTTCTCATCTACAAGGTATTTTCGGATGTACGTACATAACATCTACTGAGTAACCTACATGCCAGGCCCCTAACGTGCGTCAGGATCCTTGGGAGACTGACGAGGAGACTATCATGCAAGCATTATGTGATGCTTATAACGCAGGAGTAAGTGAAATGGTGCTGAAGTCAATTTGGTTGATGTTTATATCATTATAGGCCGATATTATCACCTCGAGCATTGGACAGCCGAACGGGTGGTCCGACAACCCTTGGGCTGTGCTAGCCAGCCGCTTGGTAGATAAGGGTATCGTTGTGATAGCATCTGCTGGCAATGAAGGAGAGTTCGGACCATTTTATTCCAGTAGTGGTGCTGTTGGCCACGGGGTTCTCGCAGTTGCTGCCGCTAATGTCACAACGAAACCAAATGCCAATAGAACTGGAGAGGACTCTGGACCACAACCCGCCTACTTCACTACATGGGGGCCGACAAATGAGTTACTTCTCAAGCCCGATATTGCCGCTCCTGGTTATATGATCATGAGTACAGTGCTAAATCAAAGCTACGATGAGCTGAGCGGGACATCCATGTCAGCACCATACATCGCAGGCATTGCGGCCTTGTTCGTTGGCCAATATGGCGGTCGTGCTTTTAACGGTGCCGGTTTTGCCAAGATGCTTCGAGATCGCATTGCTTCGAGCGGAACAAGCCTGCCGTTTATGAACAACCATTACGTTCACAATTACAAAGCTTCGCCATTTCAAGTAGGTACCGGTTTGGTAGACGCATGGAAAGTTCTCAACTACGATACTCAGCTTGAGTACGAGCCTTTCGCACTAAAAGACACAGAGTTATTCGAACCTCGATGGAATTTTAACATTACCAATACTGGTGGAAGGGCACATGAGTACACGTTCAAACTCGAACCCCAAGGAGGCTTTAACATCTTCGATAGTGACTACGGGGTGGTCTTACTCTACGGCGTTGAGCCTAAGAACATCGTTCCTCTTGTAAGACTCCCACATACAGTCTTCATAGAACCAGGAGAAACGAGGGAATTGAGGTAGAGCCCAACATGGTGCCAAATATTTATTTACCAGCTTACCAAGTTTAGTGTGACCTTTGGCCTTCCCGAGGTTGACGACGACTACTTGCCGCTGTATGGTGGCAAGGTATGGATCAACTCTGACCACGGAGAGAAGCTATCTATCCCTTATGGAGGTTTGTCAAATGTGACCCTAATCTGATGTGGTATTGGCTGATTTAAGAACAGGAGCTGCGTACGATACGGAGAAAGCATTTGACAATATGTTCATTATTGAGCCGTTTGTCACAGACACAGACAAAGATTTGTCGTAAGCTTCTGCTTGGCCCCAATTCCAGACTTGGCTGATGAAAGGACAGCTGGTCTTTTAATATCGAAAATGATCCGAACGACTTCATTGAGATTGGTGGCCGGATATCATACGCTTGTAACAATCTTCGATGGGATGTAAGTATCATATGGTACGACTATTGGTACGCAATTCTAACAGGCCGTTAGATATTTGAGCAAGGTTGGACAGAGTCATTGTGGACGTACCCCCCAGAAGTTGGCAAGCATGGCTACATTGGGGCAGCAACAACGATGCGAGATGCCGAAGAGTTCTGGTTCTTTGACCCCACTGTCAACGACCCCAATGATACAGTCTCTTTCCCTCTTAAACGTGAGCCACGCGGCTTTCATGTCTTTTGGTGGTTTGGTAAGCTCGCAAACGGGACGAGAATAACACCCGGAAACTATACGTTAGTATTCGCCTTCTCATGAGATAGAGACCACTAGCTAATACCTGGTGCAGCATGCGATTTGCAGCCTTGAGACCTTATGGAAACCCAAACATCTCGGATCATTGGGACGTCATGTACAGACCGGTGGAAAGCACCATACAGGTGCTGCCGTACAACGGTACACGCAACTCGACCCTTAAGTACAAGGCTCCCACGTACCGGACGCCGAGTCTAGGTAGTGCTACATTCAAGGGTTAGCAGGGAATTGGAGAGATTGAAGGCCGGAAAAGTTCAGGTTATGGTTTCTCGACAATGGAACTGGCATGCATGCATCATTTTGCTTATGACAAGGTTGCTAGATTTGGCATGAGAAAAATGTCATTTTAATCATTATCTAATCCGTACCAACTCTTTAGATCCTGGCAACGCCATTTATAGTGTAGAGGCAGACCGAACGGTATATGCTCCTCAAACCAACTCCGTGAATGTACAAATATCAAACTCCTTAACCAATCGTTATTTTACCACGATATGTCCAAATTTTCTTTTATGCCCATTTGCCCAAAAGGCTCATCACCACTAGACCGGCAACAAGGCCTAAGCCAGCAAGAATGGTGGTAAGGATGTTGGCCTCAGCAAGCTCAGCCTTGTGACCATGACCTCCAGTCATCCAGTCTGCAGCCCACATCTCAACGAGACCAACCCACATGAGGATACCTGCAGAGACGGCGTCGAGGGTACCGATGGCGATAAGGGTGGACTTGTCGTTGCCATTGAACTGCTGCAGAACACCAATACCAATAGCCATTCCGATCGGAGTGATGAAAGCAAAGAGAGAAGCAAGACCCAGCTTCTTCTTCATGGTCAGACCAGCAGGAGCAATCTCTTCGTTAGAGATAGTTTCGGTGGAAGGAGGAGCTTTGTCCGAGTCTTGGGCAGATGATGTATCTTGAGAGGGGCGGGCGACAGCGTGGGCATGGACATCGGCGGCAGTACCAATAGTAGCGATTCGGCTTCCAAGAGCGATGCCTTCGAACATCTGGTGGAAGAGGATAACGACAAACAAGGTAAGAAAATACTCATCACCTGCTACAACGAGAGTCAACCCGATCACTAGTATCAGTGTTAGTAAGATGTTCTAGTAGTGAGCAGGGCCCTGAAAGAACTTACAGAGCGAGTGGAACAGGATACCCAACTCCATAACGAGGACACTGACAACCTCGGTTGATAGCCATGCACTCTTCCTCTGAGCCACGGAGAGGCTAGCCGCGGCCTTTGTCTTGGCAAGGACTATGCGGTTGCCGATGTACTCGACGAGGAACGAGAGGAAGATACCGGCCATGACGAGGGCGGAGGTGGTAGCTTCATAGCCCAATTCACCGATACACTGGTTGCTAAACATGAGGAACGCATGGGTGTAAAGCTAGAGATATATAAGTCAGCATTGGGTTACTCTGTGCTGGTGGAAATTGACATACGTGAACAAATGCGGTAGAGATGATGATACCGGTACCAAACTGCTTCAAGACAAGAAGGACCAGGTTAAGTTTGCTAGGCATCATCTTGTGCAGCAGGATAGGGCCAAAGACACCCAGGGCACCCGTGGCCAGGATAACAAAGAGCAGACCAACGCGGAGGCCGATGTTGTAATCTCTCTTTCGAGGTTGACAGGCTGAAGAGGATGAAGCGGACTCTGACTCGCCAGACTCAGATTCGCCGTGGCTATGGCCACCACCACCTGTGCAGTGTCTAGATAGGCACATTAGCGGTTGTCGATATTGATCAGAGGGGGAATAGCCTACTCAACACCAGCGTGGAAATGACAGTGCTCGTTGCTGTCAGCTTCTGCGGTCTCTTCGGCGGCAGCCCCCGTGCCAGTTGCACTTTCTCCTGCATGGTCATGATCATGATCATGATCTTCTTCGCCTTCCTCATGGGCGTGATCCTCTTCTGACTCAACACCCTCAGCTTGAACAGCAACATCTTCACCATCCGAGTCTACACAGAACCTGGAGGCAAGGAAAATCAATAACAGTCAATGGAAAGGCTGATTTAGCAACTTACATATCGGAGCCATGGGCATGACAGTCAGTGTACTGAGAGGGGACATCTGTAGTGGCAGTAACCTTGATATCCACCAAGTACTCTGTCTCACCGGCAAAACAGTACCTGGATAGAAGGTCAATTAGGTTCCATACTTTGTCAGAGTTGTAATATGGGTATATAGGGGACTAACAGGTCGGAGGCGTGAAGATGGCAGCCGGTGATGGCAGTGACTTCAGGCGCAGCAGCAGCTGTGGACGAAGGAGCCTGAGTAGCTCTTGGGGCAATATGAGCATTAACATTACTGGTAGTTACAGAAGCTACATAAGCTGCAGAGAAGATGGTGCCCCATCTGGAGAGGGACAAAGCGGAAGAGTGCATGTCGAGAGATGAGAGGAGAGGCCGTGGACGGCACGAGAGAGCCGAGAAAACGCGTCTAAGGTTTATGCTTAATCTGCTAGCCTTGTGTCTCTGGAGACAGATCCGATGATCTCAGCAGGATAACGATAGAACGGGTTGAGTCTGAAACTGTCCAGAAAGGGTTGTTTATTAAAGAAGGATAGTTTGTGCCTTTAGAGCAGAGCGAGCAGACAGTGCATCAAGAGAGAAAGAGGGAGGGCAAAGGAAAGTGCCTAAGTAACAGCTACAGAGTTTAATGTCTTCAATCCCTCAACTCTGAGTCTGAGTCTGAGTCTGAGTGAGTCTGAGCCTGAGAAAAGACCATCCATGTCATTGCCAGCCCAAAAAGCCAATAAACCTCAGCCAAGATAGAACAACAGTGGACTTCTTTGGCTGTGAGGGCAGGGCGAGAGAGAACCTTGATGGGCTATAAGTGGGAAATTACCACTTTGGGTTTGCACTGAGAACCCGGATGGACAATGTCCAGTGCACGAACCCCTGTCGCCAAGACCCTGAAGACTCGATTCGATAGCACGTGCTGCGCTATATCTCCTCTGAAGCACTGCCAAACATCCCATCATGCCCTGTTCTAGCAGGTAGGGAGCAGTAGCTGCTTCAACCCGCGGATCTAATGATGCGGCCCTGGAGAAGAAAACTCTGCCAACTCTCCACATGGAAGAGGTTAAAAACAAGGTTAAATCGACTCTACAGCATACATTGACCAACCAATGCGAGGGCTGCGAAATATGTATCCCATGGCCTAGGTTTATAATGAATAGTTAGTGTAGAAGCTAGCAACTCGTCAGAGCGTATTTCAATACTCCTCATCCTTATCGAGAATAAGTTGTCACATCAGATTTGACTGGAGCCATAATTGTCAATACAACACTGATACCCCAACCTCCTCAGCTTAAGATTCCCACCCTGCCATCGATGACATAGCCGCGGCGAAAAAGGTCGAGTCAATTGCTCGGGCCGTCTGACGCCAGTCGAACAATCTTTCGATATATACCAAATTATGGCTGACTGAAGGTGCTTCGCCGTAGCTGGAACTTCAATGGTGCGCCTTTTATTGGACGGCAGGACCTGAGGCTGGAGTAGTTTGAAGGAATGTGTCTTGGTTGATCACTTCCCGTGTCTTGACTGGTCTATATTGCATTTGCCATCTGATTTGACTTGTAACCATAGTCTGCTTTCTCCTGGCATTGTGGCAGCGCCTGTGTCCCATCTCAGCTAAGCCATGCCAATAAGGAGTCGTCTACATTGATTGTTGAATATAGGTACTTGACGGGGTGTGTAAGTGATGACGATCAAAACTTGAACCCTCAACAGGAACATATCCATTGAACCGCCATTGATTGATTAATGGCCAGTTGCATACTTCGTATATTTGAATATCGAAGCACATGCTGTGCCTGCATAAAATGCACATTACCTCTTATGCATAGATACAAGTACTATACCTACCTACACGCTATGCCTAAGGTACCTAGTATGCACATTATGCAGGGGTTGATTTTGCGTAATTGAGAACCCGCCTAAAACGCGTCTCCCGGCCAATGCAGGACCTAGTGACGCGACAAGTTACTCGACCTCCAACGTCTCTCAGGCACTTTTACTAGGACAGGACCCTCCATTCTAACTTCATATCTGGAGTTGCACAGGCCTAAACAGACATTCATTATGGCTTCACGACCAGAATTAAAGGTAATTTCTCAGCACTTAAACCCTCTGCCAATTCTTTCACTAACATATTTTCCAGCTCGATGACGAAGGCGGTTTCATTCGCTTCTTCAAGTCATTGCCAGCCGTCAACGAAGACACCATTCGCATCTTCGATCGAGGAGATTGGTACACTTCTCACGGACAAGATGCCAATTATATTGCAAAAACTGTAAGAAACCACCACCCTTCCAATCCCCAACACTGCTAATCAAACGCTACAGGTCTACAAGACAACCTCTGTTGTACGACAGCTCGGCCGAAATGATCACACCGGACTCCCCTCCGTCACCATGACTATGACAGTTTTCCGACAATTTCTTCGAGAAGCCTTACTTAAACTAGGCAAGCGAATAGAAATTTGGCAGAGCGCTTCCGGTCGCATGAATTGGAAGTGCATCAAGCAGGCTTCGCCGGGTAATCTACAGGATGTAGAGGACGACCTTGGAGGCCAGATCGAGTCTGCGCCCATGATTATCGCCGTAAAGATCTCTGCAAAGGCTTCTGAAGCCCGAAACGTCGGTGTCTGCTTTGCTGACGCCAGTGTGCGCGAACTTGGTGTGAGCGAGTTCCTCGACAACGACCTATACTCAAACTTTGAGGCTCTCCTTATCCAGCTCGGCGTCCGCGAATGCTTGGTGCAGGTAGACAAAAGTGAAAAGGAGAAGGACCCCGAACTGGCGAAGTTAAAGAAGATTATCGACAATTGCGGCGTGGCTATTGCAGAGAGGCCGGCTGGCGACTTTGGTATCCGGGACATTGAGCAGGACCTAGCGCGTCTGCTTAAAGACGAGCGATCGGCATCTCTTCTACCACAGACCGATCTCAAGCTGGCCATGGGATCTGCTGCATCCCTTATCAAGTACCTCGGTGTGCTTCAGGACCCTTCCAACTTTGGCCAGTACCAATTGTATCAACACGACCTGGCGCATTTCATGAAGCTGGACGCTGCTGCCCTGAAGGCACTTAACCTCATGCCAGGTCCTCGAGATGGATCCAAGACGATGAGCATATTTGGTGTTCTTAACCATTGCAAGACGCCTGTCGGGAGTCGACTCTTGGCTCAATGGCTGAAGCAGCCTTTGATGAGCAAGCAGGAGATCGAGAAGCGGCAGCAGCTGGTGGAAGCCTTCTACGTTGACACTGAACTTCGCCAGACACTACAGGAGGAGCACCTCCGATCTATCCCCGACCTTTACAGGCTCTCGAAGCGATTCCAGCGAGGTAAGGCCAATCTGGAAGATGTTGTTCGTGCATACCAGGTCGTCATTCGCCTGCCTGGATTCATCGGCACTTTTGAGGGTGTCATGGATGAGAACTACAAGGACCCTCTTGACGAGGCATATACTAACAAGCTTCGCGACCTTTCTGATAGCTTGGGTAAGTTGCAGGACATGGTAGAGCAGACGGTTGATCTCGATGCTCTCGACCGTCACGAGTACATCATCAAGGCCGATTTCGACAAGAGCCTGCGTATCATCCGCAAGAAGCTGGACCAGCTTGATAAGGATATTCGAGCCGAGTTCACGACTTCCGCTAAGGACCTCGGCCAAGAACCCGACAAGAAGATCTACCTCGAAACTAGCCACAAGGTCCACGGAGTGTGCATGCGTCTTACACGTCAAGAGGCTGGCTGCATCCGAAACAACTCTAAGTATCAGGAGTGCTCGACGCAGAAGAACGGTGTCTACTTCACAACGAAGAAGTTGCAGGCCTACCGCCGCGAGTATGATCAGCTGTCCCAGAACTACAACAGGACACAAAGCAGTCTTGTTCATGAAGTTGTTCAGGTTGCCTCCTCTTACTGCCCCGTGCTAGAGCGTCTGGCTGGTGTTCTTGCTCACCTGGACGTCATCGTATCCCTCGCTCACGCCTCAGTACATGCCCCTGAGTCGTATGTCCGACCCAAGATCCACGCCCGTGGCGAGGGTCAGACGATACTGCGCGAAGCTCGTCACCCTTGCATGGAATTGCAGGACGATGTCCAGTTTATTACAAATGACGTCGAGCTCTCCCGCGACAAGTCATCATTCCTCATCATCACTGGCCCCAACATGGGTGGTAAGTCGACGTACATCCGGCAAACGGGTGTCATTGCACTTATGGCTCAAGTCGGATGTTTCGTACCATGTGCAGAAGCCGAGTTGACTATCTATGACTCGATTCTGGCACGTGTAGGTGCTAGTGATTCACAGCTCAAAGGTGTCTCGACCTTTATGGCCGAGATGCTTGAGACAGCCAACATCCTCAAATCAGCTACCGCAGAATCCCTGATCATTATTGACGAACTCGGACGCGGCACATCGACCTATGACGGATTCGGCTTGGCATGGGCTATCTCGGAGCACATTATTAAGGAGATCGGCTGCTCTGCCATGTTTGCCACGCACTTTCACGAGCTCACTGCCCTTGCCGACCAGTACCCGCAAGTACAGAATCTTCATGTAACGGCACACATCGACGGCGCTGGCTCTGCGCCAGTCTCAGAGGCGGATGCCAAGCGCGAGGTTACGTTGCTGTACAAGGTAGCACCGGGCGTGTGCGACCAGAGCTTCGGCATTCACGTCGCAGAGCTCGTTCGCTTCCCGGACAAGGTGGTGCGTATGGCCAAGCGCAAGGCGGACGAGCTCGAGGACTTCACCACCAAGCACGAGGACCTGGCTTTGCAGTACAGCAAGCAGGATATGGAGGATGGTAGCGCCATGCTCAAGCGAGTCTTGGTGGAGTGGAAGGACAAGGTCAAGGCGGGAGATATGAGCCGCGAGGAGCAAGTTGCTGCCTTGAAAGAGCTTGTCGGGGCAAATGCAGACCTGCAAGCAAACCCCTTCTTTCAGTCTGTTAAGACTCTGTAATTATCAAAAGGAACATGTTACTTAGGAGCGATATAGCACGGCGATGGGTTAGTTCAGGAATTTGGCGTTCATGGAGCTGAAATTAGGCACGGGAATACTAAGAGGGCGTTTAAGCTAGTCATGGAACTGAGCTACTTCGTTGTAGAATATACTTGTCTCGGGATGGTTAACTAGCGAATCACACAACACAATAGAGTTGGTCAACTCCTATAATAACAGCTATGATTGTCTAGGCTCGGAGGTGTATAGGTTCTATCTAAACTAGAATGTTGTTTGCGGCTTTACTTGGGGTCTATGCAAATATCCGTATATAGGCGTGACTCACTCTATTGGCCAACTAACTCATCTGATACTGGTTCTTGGCCAACTTTTCCCAAACTTGCAATGTCAACTGTCCATGAACCTCTCTCTCTCTCTACTTTCTCAACATAACCAACCTCAACCATGTCGCACATAACAATCCGCCCAGCAACTCACGACGACATCCCTCAGATGCTCGACGTCTTTTTCTCAGCATTCTGCTCCTCGCCCCTCAACAAGCGCTGCTTTCCTCCTTCATCGCCTGACGTGCAAGAGTTCCAGACCTCTTTTCTGCAGAACAACATCGATGACAATGACGATAATTTCATGCTTGTCGCAGAAGACGACGGCCGAATCCTCGGCTGGGCGCGCTGGGCCCGTAGGGAAAATCCTCCTCACGTGAAGAAACTCGATGCTTCTACGTTTCCTGCTTCGGGAGATCAGGCTACTGCGGTAGACTTCTTTCAGAAGAATGCTGACGCGACGGCCAAGTACGTTGCCGAGGAAAGGCACTGGTTTTTGAGCACCATTGCCACGGCGAAGGAAGCGCAGCGACGGGGCGTGGGATCTGCGCTTATGAGTTTTGGTGTTAAGAGGGCTGATGAGGAAGGTTGGATGTCGTATCTGAATAGCTCTGGCGAGGGGCGAGGATTGTATGAGAAGTTTGGATTCAAGGTCATTGGGACGAGTGAGTTCCCTAAGCTGGGCATGGTGCAGTATCATATGAGGAGAGGAGCAATCAAGAGTTGAAGTAGTTCATGGTAACTAGGCACAAGCCATTCATACTGCATAACTATGAAAGTTCGTAAAGAGAGTTAGGGAAATAGTGAAAACATGACAACTTGATAACATGATTAGCCAACCGCCAAGCAACGCCCACTGTTTTATTTTTGTTGAATTTCTTTGATCTATTCGTTTCCTTCTAGAATTCTTTGTCCTTGTAAATAGATTCCCAACATCGAGTCGTATCCATTTCTACTTGACCTGTATAATGTTTCTATATCTTTCTATCGAGAGACAAGACCCTCGCTGACCTTCTTCCACAGGCCGTTGCGCTTCCAGGTCCAGTTCTTCAGGAAGGGAGGGTCCATGCCTGTCTCAAAGGCCTCATTGCGGGCCTGGATCTGGGCATTTAGGAGAGCCTGGCGGGCTGAGGAGCCTCGGTTGTGGAGATGAGGCATGCGGTCGATGGCATCGATAGCTAGACTGAAGCGATCGGTCTGGTTGCGGATGGCAAGCTCGAGAGGGGTGTCGATGTTTCCCTTCTCCTTATACCCGCGAACATGCAAGTTGCGGCTGCCAGGGCGCTTGTATGTCAAGCGGTGCACCATCCATGGGTAGCTGTGGAAGTTGAAGATGACAGGAGTGTCTTCGGTGAAGAGGCTGGACCACTCAGAGTCGTCGAGACCATGGGGGTGGTCACTGGGGTGGATCAGTTTGAACAGATCAACAACGTTGACGCAGCGGATTTTGAGCTCGGGGAAGTGCTCGAGCAGGAGATCGATGGCAGCCAAGGACTCGTGGGTACTGACATCTCCACAAGAGGCCATGACCAAGTCGGGATTCTCACCAGCGTCGGTAGAGAACTGAGGCCAAATACCAATACCCTTGGTGCAGTGCTCGATAGCAGCATCCATAGAGAGGTACTGCAGATGCTCCTGCTTGTCAGCAACAACAACGTTGACGTAATTGACTGAGCGAAGACAGTGATCCATGACTACAAAAAGTTAGTTGAGGTCAAAGAAGTGAACTGTGACAGAACGTACCAGAGAGCAAACAGTTGCCATCAGGAGGAAGGTAGATACGGACAACTTCGGGGCTCTTGTTCGCGACGACATCAAGGAAACCGGGATCTTGGTGAGTGAAACCATTGTGGTCCTGACGCCAGACAACGGCAGTTAAGAGAATGTTGAGAGAAGCAACCTTAGCACGCCACTCAACCTCGAGACACTTCTCAATCCACTTGCAGTGCTAGAGATACAGTCAGTAAGTGTTGCAAGTCATGGAAAGTATATCACGTACCTGGTTGACCATGGAGTCAATTACGTGGATGAAAGGCTCGTAGCTGTTGAGCAGACCGTGTCGGCCACTCAGGAGGTAACCCTCAAGCCAACCCTCGCAGTTGTGCTCAGAAAGCATCTCGACAACGCGGCCAGCCTTGGCAAGGTTTCCGCCGTTGGCATCCTCCTCGAAGTACTCGCCCATCCAGACCTTCTTGCCAGCAGCGTAAACACCACCGAGCTTGTTGGACTCTGTCTCATCAGGACCGAAGAGACGGAAGTTGGTCTGGTTCTCAGCTATGATATCCTTGAGGAAGACGGCCATGTTGGTCATGCTAGCGCTCATGACGTTTCCGGGGCTGTCAACCTTGATAGAATAGTCTCTGAAGTTGGGCATTCTCAGAGGCTTCCTGAGCTGACCACCGTTGGCAACAGGGTTGGCGCTCATTCGTCGGGTGCCCTCGGGAACGATAGAGCGGATAGACTCAATGGGTGCGCCGGACTCCTCGAAAAGACGCTCAGGCTCGTAGCTTCGCATCCAGTCCTCGAGGACCTTGAGATGTGCAGGGTTGGTAGCGGGGTCAGTGATAGGGACCTGGTGAGCACGCCAGTAACCCTCCAGATAGTTGTCGTCAAGCTTGCGAGGGGCGGTCCAGCCCTTGGGACTTCGGAGAACGATCATGGGCCACAGAGGTCGCTTGGCCTCGCCAGACTCGCGGCACTCCTTCTGGATCTTTCGGATCTCATCCACACAGTGTTCGAGTGTAGAGGCCATGGCCTGATGCATAGACTCAATATCGTCACCCTCGACGAAGTATGGCTGCCAGCCATAACCGATAAAGAGGCACTCGAGTTCTCGGTGAGAGATTCGAGCAAGAACAGTTGGGTTGTTGATCTTGTAGCCGTTGAGGTGAAGAACAGGCAGGACAGCTCCATCAACGATAGGGTTGAGGAACTTGTTGCTGTGCCAGGCGGTAGCAAGGGGGCCAGTCTCAGCCTCGCCGTCACCGACCATGGTAAGGGCAATCAGATCGGGGTTATCAAAGACAACACCAAAAGCGTGTGAGATGGAGTAACCCAACTCACCACCTTCGTGGAGAGATCCAGGAGTTTCGGGAGTAGCATGAGAGCCAATTCCGCCAGGGAATGAAAAGTGCTTGAAGAACTTTTGCATACCCTCCAGATCTAGTGTCTTGTCTGGATACACCTCGGTATAAACACCCTCAAGATAGGATTGGGAGAGAACAGCGGGGGCACCATGTCCAGGCCCAGAGATAAACAGAGCGTCAAGGTCGTGCTTCTTGATCAGACGGTTGAAGTGCATATATGTGAAGATTTGGCCGGGGGCAGAGCCAAAGTGACCAAGCAATCGAAGCTTGAGATGCTCAGGCTTGAGAGGTTCTCGAAGAAGAGGGTTCTCCTTGAGATAAATCATACCCAAGGAGAGGTAGCAGCTAGCCTTGAAGAAGTCATTGTATAGCTGAATCTCCTCCGGGGAGAGAGGCTCGCCCTTGACAGTAGAGCGGGCAATGCCATAGGGCGAGATAGACTTGACTTCCTCGGCCATTGGGTAGGGCTATTAGGGTATAAGAGGGGAAGTTGTGTAAGAGTTGTGAGTGAGGTTGAACTCTTGAGATGAGAGATGAGAAGAAAAGAACAAAAGAGGGAAGCCCTTCGTGCAGACCTCCTAAGACTTCTTATATGAGAGGACTGGAAAGATTGCCAAGGAAAGAGGAGGAGGAGAGAGGTAGGTGTAGAGCATAACGGGGAGTGCGGTGAGAGAACGGAGAGACTATACCTACCTCGACTACGATATACAGGACGTATGCACTGAAGCAGGCTTAGATTGAAGTCTTCGCCGCAGATTGGATAGGGTAACGTGAACCCTTGGATGGATCATGGAGCTACGTATGGGTAGACGGCCGTTGACAAGATCAGCAGAGGTTACAGTAGCATAGTGACCCAATTGGAGTGCGAGGAAGATAGAGAAAGGTTTTCTGCATGGCTGAGGGCGTGGGCGTAGATCGCCAGTACAAGTTTGTAACGGATGAGAGGGCAAGACCATGGCTGTTGTGGCACGTAGTGACTGCGTCGGCTTAGATGCAGCATAGATGGACGAGGGCGAGGGCGAGATAGTGGCGTGCGTGGGGGATGTCTTTTTCCCTATCCCCCAAGAGGCACGAAGAGTGGACGAGGACAAGGAAGATGAACCGCGCAAGACAAGATAGTAGGGAGGAAATGGGCAGCAATGTGGCCTGTCTACTCGTTGTTGATGTTCAATATCAATTGAGAGTATTTTCCGCCGGCGGCACGGGGGCAAACAGACCAGGTAACCTAGGTAAGGTTGGTTAGCTTTGGGTCTGTTTAGGATGTTGCCATGGTCGTACATACAGTGTCAGCCAAGGGCGAGTCAAAGGTGGATAGTTTTGACACGTTCTGGGCTTGCTAGACTGCTGGACCCTTCGGCTGGTGACGAAGGTTGTCGATGAGAAAGTGGTCTGATGTGTATTGATAGTGTTTTTGCAGCAACCTACAGGACAAGACGGCATTGCTAGCGCCACCTCCCTCTGTTTGTGTATCATTTCGTGTATACCAGCTTCTGGCTGAGGTACATGGGCTTGCAACAGTAATCACTATGAAAGTCAATCGGAGAATCAATAACTCAATCAATCTGTGGCTGGAAACTCGTCAAGCCAAGGGACTGGTCATTCCAGGACAGCTGCAGCAGCATACGGATAGTATCAGGGTATACTGTAACTAAGACTGCAGACTGTAGACAGGGTCGACAATGTTGGATCCGCGATCTTTAATTCGAGGGGATAAAAGGCAAAAAGCGAAAGGCAAAAGCGACGGAATATTGAAACAATGCCCAGAAGGTGGTATGTTTGCCCAGTCGGTAGTCGGGCCTTATTTTCTTGTCGACCATCGTTTTCTATTAGCAACGGCATAGCTGATCAATAGATAGTGGTAGGAAGTGCAAGGGAATCGACTCTCCCCAAGGGCCACAAGGTCACAGACGCCCACGCAGGACACGCTTGACATCTGACGGACAGGGGATAAAGCTGGAGAATGGGGAGCTTTTGATTGGGGCCCCGGGGGGGGGAGAGCCCTGAAGCTAGGAAAAGGTTGGCAGGGGTGTATTTGGTAGGAGACCTAAGGTGGAGGATGAGGAGGAGGAGAAGTGAGAGATGATGGAGAAAGAAGAACAAGTGGGGGGACCCGGCCGGTGGTGGAGTCCCGCTTACGGCTTATACGGGTGCCACGGCCGAGAGTACAAACGATTAGTCAGTGTGTACTTTATCACAGTGGCGTCTAAGCGCTGTAGCTCAGTACCTCTATCACTGTCACAAGTACCGCATGTGGCTGATTCAACATCTGATGTTAAAAAGAAGCCCAACTCGATATCATGATACTTTTACAAGTTTCGACCCTAGCTTCCATTTTACGAGAATTGTCCGCCATTCCTATTTCTCATGATGGCATCTCATCTTAGGGGTCGGGAGCAGCTCACCCGACGTGTTGGTGGTCTGAAATGCACTTCAAATTGGCCGTCAACCAGCCGATTGGATTCGGGACAACCACAGATTGGGAAACTTGAAGAGTCACTTTCTGTGGCATGGCATGCTTTATGAGTTGTGATTACGGATACTGCGGTTGGTGGTTGGTACTGTAACCACAACTGCTACTGTTGTCCCAACGGCCTGTCTGGGTTGCATACCTTAGTACTTTGGGTCAACCATCCCCCGACCTTCTGAGGTCATATCCAAAACCCTTCATCATTTTCTTACTCTCTTTCGGTCACATTATGGTCAATCATCGCTCGATATTCTCTATAAGATCCATATATTATCGGACATCCTCAGGTTGAACAACACGGGCCTCTCTTGGTTCCAAGCATTCTGGGGAAAGATGTGATATCAATATCAATATCATATCCACTCGTCTCTTTCATAAGCTTCCTCCTCGCTTGTCCTCTGTACGCACGCCCTTCAAAGGGTGTAACTCAATGAGGGGGAGGGGAAGGGATGGGTCTTTTGGGTTTGGATTTGATATTTCTCTCTCTTTTTATCCGCCGCAACCGTGCTGTGTAGGTATGTACAGCACAGACTCTACAGGCTGATGACCGTTTCGTTTTAGTCCCCATGCACGACACCTGGTCTGTCTGCCCTGATCTGATATTACGTCTCCCGCGTAAGAGAGATCCGCACCGCACTATCCGTACATGCGAGGGGAATTCGGCTGATCCAAGGTTGAAAAATCTGATGGCGATCTAACAGTAGGTAATTGACATGAAGCTTCTTTGTTAGATAGAAAGCTACCTCATCCTTCCGTCCCGTCCGAAAGCCAAAAGCTCCCATTCCCGCCGGATCCGACGCTTGGTTCAGCCACCAACAACAGAACAATGGAAAATAAAGAAGCCGGAAAGTCGTAGCCATGGGTAACTGTTGAGAATCCCATTCTAGTTATGATTTCACCATTTCGTTTCCGAAATACTGCTTGTGGTAACCCTGCAGATATGTTACCAAACATGGTGTTGAACACCGCTGCAGTAATATCAGAACATATTCGCATTATGCATATGTCGTTCAAGGCGCCGATCCCACCTTTTGGCAGCACACCCGCAGACTCCAGACCTGTCAATTGTCAATTGTCAATTCTTTTCTGTGCTGGGATCGAAGCCAATTGAGTCTCGTAGACCCTTGTTCCATAACCCTGCATGTGGAAGCTCGTGCGTGTGGCAAGCATGGTACTCTGAGTGTCGGAGCTTGGTCAGAAAGAAAATGGCATTTTGAAGATGGAATGGCGTATTTTTAGCTGTGAATGATGAAGTAATGAAGAAAGGATATACATATGAATTCGCTGTTTGCTAGGATGTAGTGAGGCTGTAATCACATGTCATGAATGTTGTTGTGCAAGTATCAAGACCAGGATTCAACTCACTTACCCTAATCTCAATCATAAAGTACCAGCAGCTGCAACAAGACTGATCAGATCAAATAAAGCAAACGTATGTTACCAAAGATCTCAAAAGCACAGTCTCCATCCCCCGCATTGTCTATCAACTATAAATTATTCTTAAATGTTATCCATATTGCTGGAAATTTAACGGCCCTTTTGAGGATACGCGACAATGATATACGGTATACCTTACTGACATCACTGCGTAAAGTGGCATGATCAACTTTGTCAGAACCGAACTGCAACCCCCTATAGACGGCTTGATAACCCACGTTCGGCAATGGAATGCTTCCCCTCCAAAAACCGCACGTTTTCTGTCTCTCTCTCTCTTCAACCTCCTCCAATAGACTCGATGTAAAAAGGAGATGGCTCACCGAAGCCTGACGTAACGTAACGTAACGTGCCCCCGCGCCATTAGTGAGACTAACCATTTGGTTTTATATCCCACACTTCGTTTTCTTGAACACGTTTGTAACGTCCACGGTTAATAACCCATCATCTTTTTAATCAAAGACTTTGCTGAAATACGAGAATCATCATCAAGTGAATAATAAACAGCAGAGTAATCATGAATTCATTCATTGATGTCGCGCATCGTCCAGAAACGCCAAAACCTGCCTCTCCCATCCCGAATGAGCCTGATGCTGGTGATGGTGACGGTATCACGGATTATCTGTCCTAAATGGACTGAATTGTGACCAGTTTCAACGAGAGGTTTATTACACGGTAGGTCCCCTGATGGAAAAGAGTATTTTCCGACTGATCAGAGATGATTAGCATGGACCAAATCGATCTTGTCTTTTGACGGTTTGGATAAGGTATTTACGAAAGGAGGGGGAATGAGGTTAACCATCAATTCAACCACTTACTGTACGAGATTATGCTGCAATCACTTCGTTGTTTTTTTCACGACCAAAGGATATAAGATACTGGAATTATAAGATTGTCTTGCTATTGTGGTCGATTTCGGAGGTTTACACAAACATTGTATGCTTCACTGGAAATGTATACGCATACACACACGCGCGTACTGCATCTCGCGATATACAAATTGGAAAACATATTTTATCGTCAACTGACATTCGCATCAATCAACCTGATGATGATGAAGACAGGCGACCTTTTGCCCTTTTAATTCATGTATCGAGATCGTGATGTCCCCACGAAACAAACATATCGTACCTATTATCCGTATTTCACGCTGTAGATACATACTAACTATGCTCTACGTCATTTTATTCAACTTCGTATCTATGCCATCAGCCCTCTCACCAACAACGCTTCCAACAAACACTCCAACCCATCATCTCCTACAACTCGCGCATCATTCTGAGTTCTTGACTATATTGATTTATGAACATATACACTCATAACATCCTGTCCTACCTAACAAACTTCACATCCAGACCATTATGAGCGACGCATCAAACCAACCTGAGCGCGCGGCGTCTCTCACACCAGAGATGATCGACTTTGCTAGCAAAATGTACGAAGCTGCTAGACAAGGCGACGTGTCCACCTTTGAACAGGCTCTTCCTGCAGGTCTGCCACCAAACCTTACCAACGACAAGGGCGACACTCTGGTATGATATCCTAGTATATCGTCAGCCTGAGATTACCTAAACTAACAAACTGTAAAGCTCATGCTGGCTGCGTACCACGGCCATGCTGATCTAGTCAAGGTTCTTATCCAGCATGGCGCTGACCCTAATCGCTTGAACGATCGAGGTCAGAGTCCTCTTGCAGGCGCTGTTTTTAAGAAGGAAGACGCAGTCATTCACGTAAGCTCCGATTAACACCCACACACTCTGCATAGAAGCAAAGGCGGAAGTCCTGAGACTCAAAATGTTAACCGTATTGCTATAAAAGGAGTTGCTGGAAGGTGGCGCCGATCCTGAATACGGCCAACCTAGTGCTGCGGAATGTGTCACCATGTTCAAGCAGGAAGACACATGGAAGGAGAAGTTTGATGCTGCCCCTGGAAAGGGACAAGCAGGAAAGACGCGATGGGCGGATAAGAAAGATTGATAGAACATATAACTAAGGTACCTATCGAACAATGCTTCAAGTATATTCCACAGCATAAGCACCAGGACATGTTGTCTCCATCCAACCATTCATTTCATTAACACACAGTATCTACCTCATAAACAAAACAACGCCGGTCGGCTCTCAAGCCGTAATCCCATCATGCGCCATCGCTCTCGCACCTCAAAAGCGTATAACCCCAAACCCACTAATACATACAAAAGAAGTTAACACAGTATTCAAACAAGTATGTATGTAGTAGCTAGCTTATTTGAACGACTTGATCCTATGGTACAATGCCGTGTCGTAGAAGTTGTAGTTTGGATCGAGTTCACAGAATGGATGCTGTGACAAGAGCACATCTGCTGTAGGGCGATCAAAGGGATTTCTGTCTTGACGTTAGTACTTCGCCCAACACTCTGCTGTGATGCATGCAACTTACACTTGGAAACAATCCATCATAAAGGCCACAGCCAATGGCCCAAGAGTATCCTGAATATCTTCAGGAATGGGTGGTCTTTCACCGTTGGCAATCTTATATATGGCACCAACAGCCTCCTCCTTGGCCCACGGACGCTTGCCAGCAAACATCTCCAAGACCACACAGCCCAAACTCCAAATATCCACCTTGGCGCTGTAGCCTTCGCCTTGAGAGCGAATAACCTCGGGTGCCATCCAAAAGACTGACCCTTGCATCGAGTTGGTCTTGTCGTTGCCGTAAATGTTGTCTGTTTTCTTGGAGATACCAAAATCACTGATCTTACACGTTCCATCCAAATCGAGGAGAATATTGTCGGCCTTGAGATCGCGGTGCAGAATGCCCTCGCGATGAAGATATGCCAGACCAGAGAGAGTCTGCCGCGTCAGTGACGAGACCACAGACTCCTCAAACTTGCCGTGCTTGCGCAGGCACGATCCGATACTACCACCAGAAATATACTCGAGGAAGATACTGATGCTAGTTTCCTTTCTCTCGCAACCCAGATACTGCACGATGTTGATGTGATCCAAGTGCTGCATGGTGTCGATTTCCTGGTCCAGGGCCGCGACAAGCTCCTTCATCTTGCTCTTGTCGCCACCAGCAGCCTTGGGGTTAACTTCAACTTCCTTGACAGCCAAGAACTCTCCAGTGGTGGCATTCATACCGAGGTAGACACGACCGTAGGTACCCTTGCCGATAAGCTGACCCTTGAACCACCTAAATGTCGTCTGGCGTTTCGGCACTGCTTCCTGAGGAATTTGGGGCATGATGACACTGCCGCGCCTGTCCGGTCGGATTTGCACAATGTTGGCATTGAACATCTTTGTGCTCTTTCGACGCATGATGTTAGTGGCTGCGTGTCCCTGGTTGGTTGAGGTGGTTCTCTTATTGGCCTCGTGAGCACCGCGTGCGACTTCTCGAATAGACTTCATGCGACCAAGGCCACCTGAGCGCCGAATACTTCTCTGAGCTACAGAAGTAGGTCGTTGTTGATCAAGAGCTTTTAGAGTTGACTCGTCTGAACCAAGAGTGTCGTTTTCGTTGTACAAAGATGGCTGTCTAGATGGGGGAATAGCTGGGGGCGGTGTATGCTGGGAGTGACTTGACATTGGTGTCTGCGATGGCCCTGGATTGTGTACCTGTGAGGCATTGATCTGCTCAGGGGTTGTCTCTGTACCCTCAGCAATTGGTGATGGTGGCATTCCACCTTCACTGCTAGGCTCGTCTAGGACAGGCTGATCCAGATCCAAGTTGGGGAAGAAGTCGTCAAGGTTGTTGATAAGGGCGTCCGTTGGAGGACGATTAGCCCAAACGTCCTTCTCAATGAACGATTTTCGCCGACCAAGCTTGCTGCTGTCCTTGTCCTTATCCTTTTCTTCCGAGTCCCAGGTTTCAGAGCGAGGTGTCGATGGCTTCAGCCCACGAGCAGACTCCTCATTACCATCAGGGGTCAAGCTAGTGCCGAATTTGGGCGATTCAAAGGCAACTGATAACCCCTTTCTCGAGCGTGCTATGTTAAGGGTCAAACTAGGACGCTTGCTATGGCCATTGGCATCTCCATTCGCAGCAGCAGCCTTGCCCTTATTTCTATTAGCAAGTGGAATAGCAAAGAGTCCATCGTCTGAATCATCTCCACTATCGTCATCAGCTGGTGGTGCCGGAGCTGGCTTGTGGAACTGGACGTCCGTGTCCTCATAATCTGGGTCTGCGTGGCTGGCACGCCGTTGCGGAGGCGACGACTCGCTTGAAGGAAATGAAATCCTTGGACGACTTGAATTGGGACTCATCTCAGCAGGAGATGTTGATCTCGGGACTGTTTCATTCATTTTAGCTTCAGGTGCAGTTTCGAGGGTTGGGCTCAACAGAATGGGGGTTTCGCTTGGTGAGTAGTCTGGCACAACAAAAGGCAAGTGTTTCTTGCTCCAGGTCAAAGTACCTGGTACTGACATTGCACTTGGACTACCACGACCGAAATTGGATTGATGGGGGTCATCGCCAGAAAATGTGTCCTTACCTCCTGGAATTGACTGCGTTGAAGATCGAGACGGGGATGGGGCACGGCCATTCTTAACAGACTGCCCGATCGCACTCAAATTCCTGCCCATGCCTGCAAGGGCCGCTCCAATGCCGGCAGGGCCTGTAGCTTGCTGCTGAGGCACAGGCTTGTTCCTCCTTGACTTCTCAGTCATTTCACTCTCAGCATGTGGATATCTTGGTGTTGGGTAGCCCTCGAAGCTACTGCTAGATGCGCGCATGCTTGCCCCAGATTTTCTGCTCAGCGAGTTTGCCTTGATTAAGGTTGCAGAAGGATCGCTTGGTGGTGCTGGAGGTCGCCTCTGGGGGAAGAGCTGTTCTGGTCGCTTGTCCTCATATGGCGATTCGCGAGGTTGATCGAAATCGACGTTTCGACCTACAATACCTGGTCCAACTGACTCCGAAGGACTTCCCTTCATCGCCGCTTGTTTCCTCTTAGCCAGGTACTCACGTTGCTTCCTTTCCATCTCAGCTCTATACGAGCTTGCTTCTCGTGCTACCTTGTCCTCATTCTTTTCGTCTATCAATGTGTTAGACCGAGATGTTGGGGGCGATGAACTAGATCTCTGTCTGCTGTTTCGTTGAGCATCCTCGGCAGAAGTTCCCGGAGCAAGGTAATTAGGAGATAAGGATCCAGGAAGCTCGGCCTTGGCAACATGGCTAGAAATAGGTGCAACTCCTGGTGGTGTTACGAAGAACTTCAGTGATCCAAGAGGATCACCTTTTGCTTTCTTGACGGTGATAAGGCTTGAGTCGTCTAGAGGATCCACATGTTCAAACTTGCCAACTTCTGTAAGATAGACGTGTGAGTTTTCAAAGTCGCCTAGGCCTAGGTGCATGCAGATGACTTGGCGAACTTCCGCTGCTGTCTCTGTTTCGCTGATATCACACATTCGGTAGTTCCAGTAGTCCATAGTGGCCAAGACATAGGTCCTCACGGGGCTTACCCTCCTAGGTCGAAGGCCCGAAGCATGGCCGTTCCTATCATCAGGGCCCAACGTTGAGCCGGAGAGCTCAAGATTAGTGTCGCTACCATTGCCCATCGGCCGAATAGAACCTTGTGGCGAAGTTGGAGAGGCATCCATATCTTCAGGGGACGGATATGCACCATCGTCTTTGGTTTGTCGCTTTTTCCTGGATAGAAAACTCAGAAAGCTTTTGGAGTCCTTAGCTGAAGAGGGCGTTTCTGCACCTGCAGACCTCTCGCCTCCATCTGAGGGAGAGTGGCGAGACCGAGCATCATGGCCTCGGCCATGGACAATCTCTGCCAAGTTCATATTTCGGTTTAGTAATGAAGCAGCATCCGCTGGAACACCAGAACCATATATAGCTGCGACAGAAGCCACAGAGTCCATACTACTCCTTGAGCGATGACCGACTTTTATTGTGCTCGGAGATTGGGAAAGCACAGGCGTTGTCCCTGAACCGAAATGCGCCGGGGGGATACCCGGGCTACCGGTAGGGCTCGCGGAGCGTGCAGGGGGGCCACGGAAGGTAGCTTCACCCGATTCGCTAACGTTAGGACTGTGACGGCGCGCACCGTCTGTATCAACATGCTTGAGAATGTTGCGATGATTAGACTCAGAACCAAGGTTTGGTCCGCTAACACTATTCGGTAATGTGGTGGACCTTGTCTGGGAGAACCTGCGTCCGCCAAAACCAGGGCCACTGAGAGGCGTCTATTACATATGTTAGTAAGAATCAAGTGATCAGAATACCAATTAGGCCGACAAACATTGGGCGAATCCATGGGATCGGTTCCGGCGCTTGGCAGGTTGTTCCCATGTCCGCCGTTGAGGGATTCTTTCCGACCGTGATTAGTTGTAACTTTAGACATATCAGCTGGTCGACCGGTCACGATACTTCGGATCAATCTTCGCATTCGTTTGCCCTCCTCACGCTCGCGGGGTTGGTCCCAACCGGTTCGACTGTTCGTGCACTCCTGGGCAAGCCTAGGATACACCTGTTGATGCATCATACCAAAGTTACCACGTCCACCGTGGCCACTTCCGAGCTCGAGGAATTGCGCTCCGTGTAAGTTGAGGGCCCTGAATGTTTCCTGCCAGTCCTTAGAGAACTGGTTCTGGGCCAACCAGATCAGCACGGTATCGAGGGGCCACTGAGCAGCAATTTCTGGAGGGATCGAGCCGGGAGGAGTGGCGTTTGAGGAATTAGATGTGCCGCGTGGCTGGGCGTTATTGGCAGCGTAGAGACGTTCTCTCGTAGCGTCGTCCATGGGAGTTGTGGCATTTGTGTCAGTTCCGCTCTGAGGCGTTGTCACTGGCCGTGATGTCTGCGAGTTGACAGTCAGGGTTGGGTCTTCCAGTCCAAAGGCGGGGATACCAACTCCCTCTCCGTATGTGTCGCCCTGCGGTATGTAGGTCGCACTCATAGCCTCATTTGGCGGGGGAGGTGGAGGGATAGAGACTGTTTGCCCAGCGGCGATCTGGGCGTGTAACTTTGGGTTGTACGGCTGGTGTTGGCCGGGCGGCGGCGGCGGGATGTTATAGCTAGCAGGTTGCCGTCCGTCATACATGCGCCCGAAGGCGCCGTGCCACGGAGGCTGCTGGCCGAGAGCACTCGCCGGAGGCGGACCGGGAGGTGGGGGGATCGAGACGCCGGAGTTGCCTGGGGCGGTGGGATATCGAGGAAGCGGCGGCGGCGGCGGCAGGTTCATCATGTTGCCCATCTGGCCGGCGTTCGGGGCTCCCATGGGGGGCGGCGGCGGAGGAGGGACCTGGTAGGGCCTCGTGGGGTCGACGCCCGAGACATGTCTCTGGCCTGTCGGATACATGATGGATGGCGCGGGGGGCAACCCGCCTCGAGGAACAAAGTGGGCAGAGTTGTTGTCGACAGCAGACGGCGGCGAGGTGTGTTGTCGAAGGAGAGAGTTACCGGGAGGAATACGCGATGGAGACGAAGAAGCAGAGGCGCTAGCGGTCGAAGCCCTTGGACGTAAGCTGGAGGTAGATGAGACAGGGTGGAGGAAGTGAGCCTGCTCGGCGGCGGTCGCTATGTCGGAGGAGGATGGGCCCAGGGGCCGGGGTCGATTGACAGCCGGAGCAGTGTGTGCTATTGCAGCTGCAGCAGCCGCAGTATTAGTGGCGGTGTTGGGAGCAGCTGAATGCGCGGGAGGATATGAAAAAGAGGATGGACCCGTCGAGGAAGATGAGGACGACAGGGCATAGGCTGGAAGTTGGTCGTGGACGTTTGAAGTCCCGTCGACAGCGACAGGGACCAGGTCCTGAAGACTGGGTCTTGAAGAAAAGGAACGGAACCTGCTGGCGGTTGGAGGAGCCTGGAAAGAAGAGGTGGTGGTCTCTGGGCTTGTCGAGATCACAGCGGTTGCGATGGGCTCTTGAGGCTGAGATTGAGATCGAAGAGCCTGAAGATGAACTTGGTGCTGCTGATGTTGTTGTTGCGCCCGAGCCTGTGCCTGTGCCTGTGCCTGCGCATGGGCCTGCGCTTGTTGAAGAGCTGGTGGCAGGTCGAAATTGCAATTGGCAGCGGGACGGTTAACCCGTCGCAAGCTATCGCTACTCTTCATGGTTTGTATCTGTAGTGGAGTAACATGTCGAGGTGGGCCGGTTTCTACAAGGATGCTGGACGCCTGGGGGGAGCCCTGGGGGGTGGGTGCTAGACCAGACGGAGCTAGGATGGAACAGGATGCTTGTGCTTTGAGATGTGATGCCCAGAGATTATCCAGTGAGGAGACAAGACAAGCTGACAGCAATAGTTGAGATGGGATGGCGAGTTGAAGTGAGTGAGGTCAGAGTTGACGACAATTGAGCCCCCCCGTGGTTGACACGTGCAATAGGGATGGTCTAGACTATCTAAGGTATCGCTCAAACAAAGAATATAAAAAGAGAAGAAACCCAAACCTTGAACGGAATCAGCTTCGTCCTCAAGCCATTGACTTAGTCTATACGGGGAACTTTATTTTCTCCTCACGTCCCCCTCATCAGAATAGGTAGGGAACCTAGAAACTTGAGCTTAAGATCGGCTGTGTTGCTGCGCTGCGCCGTGCTCTGGGCTCCTACGTTCAAGGCGTCTGGCGCTTAGCGACAGCTGAGATGGTGTGTAGAAAGTGTGAAGACCACCCACAGACGTGCGCTAGCATCTGATGGAGGGGGGATCCCCTAGCGAATCGCATCACAATTGGAGGGACTAACAAGCCCTGTACTATCCATGCCCGTCGTAACCTAAACCTCCCTACTAATTATGTACGGATACGGTTGAAGAGCGATGAACTCACTGCTTTGCTACACGCGATATGCAGTTACGATTCTACGAAACTTCAGGCTTCGTATAATCCAATCAGTCATTTCCCAACCGCCTCTCCTCTCTCCTCTCTTCTCATCTAGCTTAGCACGCACGAGACACCCTGGTCAAAAACCCATGGTAACTCAAATAGCCAGGTATCCTGAATACGAGAATGTTCCTGACTAGACCTATGGATCAATTTACAACAACAACAACTTACCAGAGTGCTGGGTCTCTCCACAACCCGACCACTCCGTCGGTTTCCAGATATTCTCGGTATCACGTATTAAGATATTGCGTTCCTATGGCGTAACACTAGACCCAGAGCACTTTGTTAAGGACAGCTAGTTACCCTACCAAACATGGTCAATTGTGGAAATTTTTACTTCGCGATACGGTTGGCGGTTCGAGAAGAAGAGTTTGGCTGGTGAACAGACGCCTCGCTATTAAACCGCGGCTCGGTAGCTCTTCGTATCCATATTATCCAACCGTATCGGCGTGTAGCTAATTTCCCAAGCCCGTCAAAGTTTTACTGTACGTATCCGTATACCGTTAGAAACGGGTTGGAGGCGCAATCAAATGTCCAATTGTGTGAATGATCTTCCACTTCAACATTGCAAACCTAAACGCCCGTGTCCCGTGACATCCTTGCCAGCCGTAACTCAAACTAGATTAACATGCTTCTTATACGCGCTTCATCTAAAATAAGGCCCAGCTCACATAACACTACAGCTTGAAAAATTGTATCCGTAGCCCTGCTGGCACTGCTCAAGATAGCCAGCGTCTTCCTCGGTACCCGCAACAACGTTGTGCTTACGCACTTGCCCCGAGACCTTTATGCTCTGCTCTCCCTCTGCATGCCACCACTTGAGCATCTGAAGCGTTGTGCCCTCATCGTCATCTATGCTGAGTTCCCACTTGCCCGAAGACACGGCCACCTCGCACTGGTCTTTGGGGAAATGGTACTCGGGCAAGAACACAATCGTAGGGGCATTATCTGGTGCTGCCTTGGGCGCCTTGACCTTGAGGATATATGTGCACTGTCGCAGATCGAACCCGGTGGACACAATGTCACCATGCACGACTGTAGGTGTTGGGCGCACATAGGCCTCGGCAGCGCGATAGCCGGGGGCATTGGTCAACTGGGGGTCCTTCGCAGAGGGCGCAGAGCTGATTGACGGGTTGGTGAGTGTACGTTTTAGATTGTCGGGTGTAACATTTCGATCGTCAGCCACATCTTTCTTAGCATTTACACCGGTCGGGGTTCTCGCCAGATCTAGTGATGACTGCGAATATTCGGGAACAGGCGAGTCTGGCAGGGGCTTGTCATCCAGTGAAAGAATAGACAAATCCTCACCGTTCCAAAAGTCTCCTCGGACGTGATCGTTCCTAGCACAATACGTCCATAGACAATGGCCCTCAAGCTGGGATCCCTCGACAGCAAAGTAGTTGGCATCCATTGCCGCTGACTGGCTCGAGTAGTCGCCTGTCTTATAGGCCTTCTTTTCGTCCATGTCATAAGGAATTCCAAACTCCGAAAGTACGCAGGGATGATTTCCGGTGCGGTCAAGACCCTCTTGTCTCAGTGTTGCAAGTTGATCTCGAAGACAATTTCGGATAGCTGTCTCTCCGATTCTGATTGCCAGAGCTGGATGCCAGTACTTGCCTCTTAAGACTCCAACGACATCAACGTTCCATGTGCTATTCCAATGCTTCGTCATGAGCGTGATGCCATCGTAGTAATGTGGGGTAAAGGCCATTCGGGGGTCGTCATCTGCGGTTCCCTTGATCTCGGGTGGTAGCTCGAGAGTGGGAAACTGCATAAGCATGATGCAGTCCTGGTGAACAGCTCGGCAGGTCTTGACATATCTCCGCCAGAAGTCCATAAAGTAGGTGTTTGTGAAATGCGGATAGTCGATTAGCTTGCCAGTGTGGGGGTTTTTGGCAAAATAATCTTTGCGGAGAAGGGTGTCTGTGGCCATATCCCAAACACCGTGCTGCGCCCAGATACACTCGCCGAGCTTCCAACCAGGATCACGCTTCCATCCGTATCGTGAGTCGTCGTAGTCTACCGGTAGCCATGCGATTTCGCCGTGGGGATCGACCAGCGTGGTTCCGGTCTTGTAAGGGCCCAGGCCACCCATCTCCCAGGTGTCAACTTCGCAAGCTCGTCCCATACCAGTCAACATTGTCTGCCACATTGTTGGGGTAGTTCCCTTCTTTAAGGGGTGTTCTTTAGGGATGACAGTAAGGTCCTTGTACCCTGTCATGCCCTTGTTGGGCTCGTTCATGCTCTCCCATCCGATAACAACGACGTTCTCCAAGTCGCCTGCCTCGTGGATTCGCTGCGCAAGCTGACCACACGCTCGCATGAAGTGATCCTGGAGGTAGTCCTGGATATTGACACCGTCAATGATACATTTTGGCGCAAAGTCTTTGCCAGCAAAGAACAGAGTAAATATGGTACCAGCTGCCAGTCGATAGTAGTTTGTCGACCAGATCATCTTTGGAAAATTAGCAGGGTCAGGGTAAGTGTTGTGAACAATTGCTGCTTCCGTCGCGGCGAAGCTCTGAGGGTTCAGACCGCACGCATACAGAGTCCACAACGGGGCTCCCGAACCACCGGTAAAGCGAGACCAGACATCCTGGTGAGGATCCATGAATATGTAAAAGCCATACTCCTTTGCTATTCTCAGAATATCAATCGTATGTTGAATAAAGTCCTCGTCATATTTTCCAGGTCCCGCCGCCTCGATTGCCTCCCACGTAAAGATGTATCGGATGGTGTTGAAGCCGAATCGTCTCAGACGTGCAAAGTGAGATCGCGCATCGTCTTTGGGGAATGGACGCTGGTGGAAGGTTACATTATCGCCGTCGAAGAAGTCGATAGGAGTGTGAGAGGGTTGGTCGGGTTCGCTTGGGAGTTTGGCATCGGCAGCAACGTTGATGCCACGGAGAACGACCTGACGACCATGACCGTCACGGAACTTGCCATCCTCGATTAGTAGGCGGAAAGAAGACATTGCTGGTTCTTCTATAAACTGCGATGTCGATGTTTGGTAAGGCGAGAATGGGAAGAAGTAGAGGGGGGAAACTGGGAAGAAAGGCCAAGCCAGGTTTAGCTGGGTCCTGGGGCAACGCTTGACGATGACGTTCAAGGCTCTGGGGATGGCAGGGATAAGAAAAGAGTTGTTAGTCAGCGGAGTATGGATCGATCACAGAACTGGGGTTATATCAATAAGTGGAATTCGTATTTGGTATGTATGGACAACATTTGTCTGAGTGTTCAAAGGTGATGAGGGGACACTTGAACGATAACACCTAGAATAATGTCTCGCTTTCTCATTCGCGATATTCAAGGTCATGAGGGTCATGCCATGAACCATTGGATCGCCAATCCCCCACCTCCCGGAGTCTATTAGGAGCCCGATTATGAGCCGAGAGAATCCGTATTCGCTCCACGGATATCTGTGCCTATAACGTTATTTATTTTACCGTCTTATTTTCCCAAGCCACTTTCAACCACGAATTGATGACTCTATTGAATATCTGTAGACGTCATGAGAGTCACCATGAATCGTACATGTACATTTGAGACGTGAGCGCGTACAGAAGATCGACAACTGGGATTGTGCATAACCGACGCCAATATTCTTAAAAGAACAACCTCGTTAAGATTCATCGTTTAAAAGAAAAAATATTTAAAGAAAAGAGATCTTACGTTCATGCCGAGCTTGAAGATCTACGGATATAAAACGAGAATGAAGATTTTCCTCACCGAAGTGGGGTCATATGCTCCGTACTCCATGCTCCATACATACAAGCACCTTTTTCCTCAATCGTATTCGTCATCTGACCCCATGCGGCTTTAATTAGGTATTTCAAGCGCTAAAACGAATGCCGCACTCGGGAAAGTTTAGTCAGCGAGATCTCGCATTGTCCGTGTAAGCGAGCGACTTGTCCGAGAGTCCGTACGAGAGACCGAAAGGACCTTATTTTCTTTCCTATAGCTGTGCAGTGCGTGCAGTCCGCGGAATAGAAATGGCCCAAGCTCCTAATAGACTGACTGGCCTGCGTGAGACCCGAAGGCCCCTAGGATATTTCATTCTGCCAAAATCATATAGGCTTTAGTCTTTCTTGTGTCTCTCGTCAGCCTGGACTCATCCTTCCATGGGGCCTCTTCATTCTCACCTTTTTGTGAAACTTGGTCAGATACTAAGCTCGATCAATGGACAACCCAGATTACTTAGTCCGAAATCGGTATAGCTTTACGGCCTCGCAAATCGGACATTTTACGCAATTACAAATGCGAAAATCCGCTGCCGTTAGTTAACTCCGCTACAGTTGACCAAGACTCCCCTCGCCTCAACCAATCCCCCATTTTCATTTTGCATGTATCACTATCAAGCTGCACTATTCTAGAAGCTCTCTCTCTCTCTCTCTCTCTCTTCAGCTCAAAGCCCTTGTCTTCAGCTCCAAGCTCTTTTCGTGGACAAAATATTTTACCTTCAAGTCCCCTTTGACAGCTGCCACTTACTGACCCACACTCATCCTATTTGCCGGCACTGCGCTGCTGCTATTCCTGTTGTGGCTGGACTAACAGAGCATCAACTCGAAACACCCCTACGATTGTCGCATTCGGTATTCCGGAAGGAGTTGAGACTCGTCGGAATCTGAATCTCGGCATCGATTTTCTCTATTCAAGTATTTTGGACTCGCCCGGTCCAAGAGCTGAAGCCGTCCGGTGCTTCCGCCGCCCGAATCGGAGACTTTCCCCGGTCTGCTCGGGAGCCGTTCTCACGGCCCATGACGACGCCCAAAGGAGAGGGCAATTAGAGTTGGTGTTTTCTATCTGTCGCGTACTTCTGTTGTCCTCCAGGGGCTCTCTGCTTGATATCGTCACTCTCTGTATAATATCCAGAGACACTGTATACTATGATAGATAGCATGCGCCAGTCAACCACGCCTCAGCCAACTGGTCCAGAGAGCATCTCTTCTTCGCGGGTTTCTAAGCTTGCCAGAAGACCGCACCGCAAGTCGAGGAACGGATGCTTCAACTGCAAGAGACGAAAAGTCAAGGTAAATATGAAAACTCTCCGAGCTATCCCATCTTGCCGTTCTCCATAGCTGACAAGGCCCAGTGTGACGAGGTGAAGCCTGCATGTGCCAACTGTGTGCGCTTTGGCATCCCCTGCGACTTTGCACCACAACCGCCATCCAGCGACGACTCAGCTCCGCAAAGGTCTCCTCCAGAGATACTATCAGTCCTAGCAGAGCCCGTCACTACACCACGTCGTGGTCCTGGCCGACCACGCAAGGACTGGGCTGCGCTCACGCGACCACCACCGCCGCCGCCGCCAGCGTCAGCATCAGACAGAGCTACCACATCTCCATCTTCTGCTGCAGCTACACCAGCTTCTTCTTCAACAATATCAAACTCGCAGATATGTTCCTTGAATGTTGCTGACGCTGAGTTGCTCTTCCACTTCATGACCAACACGTCCAAGACCTTGCACGATAGTGATGACCCTGCTGACAGCATCGCATCGTTCTGGTCACAAAACGTGCCTCAGATTGGTCTCTCTTATCACTTTGTCCTTCATATGATGCATGCCCTGGCTGGTTATCATCTTGTTTACCAAGAACAGAAAGGAACTGAGCGGCATTCCCAAAACCTTGCTCTCGCAGCACACCATGCGGAACTTGGTATTTCTGAAATGAATAGGACATTAACGAACCTTAACGAGACAAACTGCGGAGCCCTATATGTTGCAGCGGTTCTCGTATGCTACTGCACCTTTGCCGCTGGTCCAACAGGTCCTGACGACCTTCTTATATGTGTTGTTGGTGGTGGGATTTCGCAGAGGTGGCTTCCAGTGATCCACGGCGTTCGGCTGATTCGACAGAGTATTGAACCAGCAACACTCTTTACGGGCCTCACGGCTCCTCTTGGTGGTGGCGCAAAATCAGAAGCAGAAGACCTAAGGCCTGAGTATCTGGTTCAGGGGTTCCCCCACATCGACTGGGTTGGCCCTCTCGAGAAGCTTCGAAATTGGATAGCATCTCACGACAACCCAGACACTGCTTTATACCTGAGGGTTCATAAATCGTTATGCGATGTATACGAGGCCAACTATGGTAACTCGGAGGGGGTTATCGGTGTTCCAATAAGTAACAAACTTGTTTTTGGGTGGCTTTACCGCATGCAAGATCTGTTTGTTGGGTGTCTACAGCGAAAAGCCCCACAGGCTCTACTTCTGTTAGCATATTACGTCCCCTTGTTCAAGACAATGAGAAGATGCTGGTATATGGATGGGTGGGCGGAACATCTGCTCGATAGGATACATGGGCTGTTAAACACGGATTTACTAGGATGGTTAGATTGGCCAGTCGAGATATGTAGACAGCCAGAGGACATATAGCGAAAAAGACAGAATCGAACAGGACAAACAAACTCGACTTTGAAGGTTTTCCCCTGATCATTAAGTAGAATACTTTTGTAATCAATAAGCACTGCACCTCGCAGTCTCCATTTTGTGATTTTGCGTTGCCATAACGTCTGTGGCCTGTAAAAGAAATGACTGTTTCAAGTATGTCAGAGACGGAATAAGGTGAAACTAATCAGTTTGACTTTGAGACGATACGCTGAATATATACATACTACTCCAGAAACCAGACCGCTTGAACAGTTCCTGCTCGGGCATGTCCACCATGACATACGAGTGATTTAACCAAAGTGCCTCTGCCTTTCCGAAAAATCCGCCCCCAACCAACGACGTCAATTGGTTTCCGAAAATCCGCCATCGAATGCGAAAACCCTTGGAAGTTCCACCCGTTTTGGACAATTAGAGATGGAGTGTGTGCGGGCCGTGTGGCGATTCGGTTGATTTTCGTATATTCATGCTCGATCATGCCTACACGTACCTGTGTGCGAGAATCTGGACCATCTGCCCAGGGATTGGCACTGCCTTTTAACAGACTTAGCCAGATGATCTTGCGAGTCGTTTGCCAAGGTTGCCTAGTCGATCTCATCCAGATTGCTGTCCTCCTGAAGAGCCCCGAAAATACAAGGTAGAAGTGCTCTGCCAATGTCATGTAACCCAGAGAAGAAAGCTGAAAAGTCCAGCTGCACGGAGTCGTCCGGATGCTGTACCCGAGTGATCAGCTTTCCAGGGCCCAATATCTGATCTCGACGCACGACACATGACCCTTGGTGCTCCCAAGTCTTGCGAATAATTGACCCTGGAATTGGCAGTGGCTTTCCCGAAATGGCAGCCCAGACCTCTTTCGAATACCCACAACGGGGTGCTTTGGTGATAAAGGTTATTGAGACATCTTTGAACACGTAGTCGAGAGTTTCAACCCTGCTTATCTGTGGTCTGGTGCGATATTCGCCGTGGACGGGTTGTTCATACAACTCTGCCCAGTGGCGATATTCGTAGAGATAGCTAGTATGCCCATTTTGGTTCTTCTCGATGTGGCATCTTGTCGAAAGTAGCTGCCAGCTGCTACCAGTATGTACGACCTCGATCACACCATTCAGCCGATTATAGGTCGGGGGTCCTGAAGGCTTGTCCGGCTGCTGACGGCCATGATTGCAGCAGCATTTACGGTTCGCGCGACGGCTCTTGTATCTATGGCTGTTTTCATCGTAAGTTGCGAGAAGTTTCTCAAGAAGTTCGATTCTGTCAAACTCTAAGTTATCGCGTGTGCTCTCATGGCGGTGTACACTGCGAGAACGGTGTGTTCGATCTTGTTGATGGGCTTGCATTTCCGTTACTGAGACAGTGTCGGCGGCCATTGGACTCTCCTGAGTCTCTATCTCTTTGGAATTCAACGAGACTTCCTCGGTGACTGTGTTAGAGTCTGACAAGGGACCTTCGAGTCCGTTGATATCTGATAACAAAAGCTGACACATCAAAATCACTCCAAATGTAAGTAATGGAAGAGTATATAGGCTGTCGTCTTGTCGCATAGTCAGCTGTATTTGCTGCTCGGTAGTCAGAATAAAGAGGATGATGACTTGCGGATTAGCTAGCCAGCGAGCAGTAGCATAACGAGTGATGAACTGGTGGTTGCGCAGATCAATTGAACGACATGTTGTTGAAGAATGTCAAAGGTAAAATGTAGAAGGTGGGAGAGGAGTAGAGTTGAATTGTTTCCTCAGGTGATTATTACATCTTTATTTTGGAAAGAACTATCATAGGTAGTTGATGGAGCAACTGAGGCTGTGCTAAGGTTTCTGGCATAAGGTACCTGCCCAACTTCTTTTTTTGTCCATGTCGAAAGTATATGTATAAACTCCCGCTTGTTGTTAGTGATTTTGTAAGGACTCTGACGCATAAACGGATTGCGCATCTTGGGTCTTGTGATACTGCTGACAAGTTGTAAATATAAGGTACTTATGACTTCACTGGCATCTCGCGAGTTAAAGTGCTCTCATCGACCCAAGTTAGGTGTCAATCGCCAATGGAAATAAAGAGCCAACTTGACTCCAGTTCCATTCTCATCCACCAAATCTTTGCTCGACATCCATCAATCCCAGGCGGTTATATGTATAAGACTTTAACTACTGCCTGCATTTCTGCCTAGCGAGCCATGTCGCTACAATAACCACAGCGCCTTTCAAAAATGAGTTTGATTTGATGGATAAAATAGGTCGTCTTTGTGTTGGCTGTTGGTAGTATTTATACCTCTTGATCCTGTGTTAGTCTGTCTATTTAATAGAATATATACCTTTAAAAAGGTAATAATTAGGTTACCCTATAGATAATATAATAAATTTTAATATAATAAGAGGCATTATATATAATACTAGATAATATAATAACTAATCTATTAAAGTTTATAATAATATTATTTAAATAGCTAATTACCTAAATAATAATAATTAATATCCTTAATAAACCTTATTTAAGATAAATAGCTAGCTTTAATTTATAATATATAAATTTATAGTTTCCCTTTACTTTTAGTAAACTAAATTCTTTATATACTATTAAATTCCTAAATAGATTATAACTATATTATTAACCGGCCACTACGAAAATACGTCGCTATGCAATCTAAGTTATTAACCACTTCGAAATCGAAGTTATTAATAAGTATATAACCTAGTATTTAATTATTAATACCTTCTTAAATTCGATTAGCGATAACAATATCGCAATATTAAATAGGGAATTCCTTAAGGAAACAGGAAGCTATCGGACTGGCTTAATCGAAGAGAGCCATTAATACAGTAATAGTAGGCCTTTATAGACAGTATAATGCCTATCGATAGTTATAATTAGTATTTAATATGGTTTATAGAGTTAAAATACGCCATGGCATTTATCAAGTTTAAGGCGTTAATATTAAACTAAGGGGTAATAAGAATAGAAGGTTTTAATAGGAGTAAGGAAACCTAGGACGAAAAGCTAGATTATTAGTTATACTTAACTTAATCTAATCTTCCGTTAATTATATAATAAAGTAATAAATAATTAACTTGTTAGATATAATAATATAGTATAGTAATATAGCAGTCTAATACAGTAGGTTAGTCTGTCTATAATGCAGTATTCTTGCCATTCCACTTTCATGTCGCATTTCACCCTCGACATCTTACACTCTTTCCACCACCAACAATGACAACACAAGAAGAAGCAACTTTTTCGCCCGACTTTCCACCTCGAGATCCCTCTCTCAATAGCCGCCCAGTTCCTCATAAGCGTTCCTTCAACATCCGCTCTTTTGGTCCTGGTACTGATCCTGCAATCCAAAGTATAGCCCGGTCTGTTAGTGACGTAGACCTTAGCATTGAGCCCTCAAATTAGAGTGATGATCCTGATATTTTGATAGTCAGGTGTTTGAAAGGGACAGGCCACACAATCGGTGGGTTCGCGATAACGAAGATTGGTTGGGATACAAAATGAGGTCTGACGACAACCGCAAGCTTCTCTCTGCCGTTGAAGATTACCAGAATAAAACACGTGGGCCTCTCGGACAGGCAGTCACGGATCCGACATGGGGTTATTACATCTTTGTTACGGCTTATTCAGACAAGGCACGACCGCAGCTTGGGCCAGCTGTGGATGCTCTGGTTCGGCTGACAATCCGGAGCTTGAGGTCGATTTCAATTTCGGCTTACTGTGAAGAAGCAATCACGAGGTTCAAACGCGGCGTGTTAGAGGACAAGGAGGCTCTGGAGAATGCATCAGAAGACAGAATGAGAGAAGAGTTCTGTGCACAGCTCAAAGGATTGGGGATGTTAGCAGACGACCTCATGCTTAGAGGAATTGGTCCAAGCCGGTTCACAGCATGTATCCTCTTTGATGAAGACACAATCGAGAGATTATCCAATGTTTCATTCTTCATCTACGTCGAGAAGGATGAGCATCAGGTTGAAGATATGTCTGTGAGGCTGATTGACCCCAAATGGGACTACCCGACGGAGCCTTACCCAGAAGTAATCGAAGATGAAGTGCCATACCGAGGCGCAGATGATTGCCCAGTTACCGGTAATGCAGAGTTCTATCGCAGAATGAAAGGGGACTTGATGGAGGATTATCCCCTGTTATGGACTTTGGCCTAGCATGTTTCTTACCCTAGAGCACAAAATTGGGACAAAAATAGCCAACTTCAACCCAGATCTAGTGCTAAATAGTCTATCAATTAATAAGTTAAGTCAAACTACGTTAGGTGTAAAACAGTGATTATAACGTGCAGATAGAATTGGCTGCATACAGGCAACTCAAGTTAGCAATGGCTTGACAAGGTGGAGCCAAAAAAAAGGGCGGGATATCTTCGGCAGCCTCGAAATGACATAATTCATTCACTGGGGCATTTCCACCAGGAAGCAACAGCCTTGTGAATGTATGACCCATTCAATCAATGTATTTTTGACAGCGTTGTCTTTCTTCTCCGACGCCTTATTCTGTAACTTTGCTTACATCAGGAACTCGTCATATAATCTACTAAAAGTTGTAATTCACAGCCTTCAGCATTTGAGTCTCTGTACAACCAAAAGGGAGCTTCTTTCAGCTTTGGTGGGGTTGTCCTCCAACACAACAGAGCCCAGGTAGCCATCATGTCGGGGACAAAGGCAGCTCTTAAGGCTATCAACGATGCTATTCGCCAGCAAAAGTTTGATGATGCCGTGACCAAGGCACAGGAGCTTCTGGAAAAGGACTCCAAGAACTATCAAGCGTGAGGCAGAGCTATAGTACCCCGCCACGAGAAGCTCAAGCTGACACCATATTTATATCTCTAGTCACATATTTTTGGCATTTGCCCTGGATAAGAAAGACAGGCTCGACCAAGCTCAGGAATCTTATCGTTCTGCCACATGGCTTCGGCCTCAGGAAGCACAGGCTTGGCAGGGTCTAATCAAGCTGTTCGAGAAGCAGAGCAATAAGAAGCTCGTGGACTACCAACAGGCAGTCGTCAATCTCGCGCAGATTTATCAAGATGCTGATGACATGTACAAGTCTCAAGATGTTGTGATCAAGTTCATCGATTTTGCTAGAGTTCATGGAGACGAAATCCAATATGCAGAAGCATTGTCGATACAACTCCCCGAAAGTCCACTGTACTCTATTCTTGAGGGTCGATTTCCTCATCCCGCAAAGACGTACGAGACTGTAGCGCACATTCTCGAAAAGTATGAAAAGCACAGGATAAACACGCTCATCGGAGAGCGACGGACTAAGCTAGGTGCCAAGCTCACAGAAGTTACCCTCGACGCCAAGCGAGAAGTCTACAGCCAGAGCAAGCTGGAACACATCTATCGACAGTTCATTAACTGGACAAATGACGATGACCTAAGACGGCAGTATGAAGAGAAGCTTCTTCAACTTTGCTATGATCGTCTCCTGGTCGCGCCAGCAGGTGCTGAAAAGGATACGGAGCGTCAAAAAGTGCTCGATCTGGCCAACGGCATGGTTGCAATTAAATATCCCTACAAGCTCGCCTGGGATATCTCCATAGAGTGGCAGGATAAGAAGGAGATCCGCGAGTGGGATGTTGATGTCCTCCGGGCTTATTGCTCTTTCTTCCCCGACAGCGATCTATACAAGGTCATCACAAGTTTCCTAACAAGTCCGATTTCACCATTTCCACCAGAGAAGCCGCAAGAAAAGACCAAAGAAACACCCAATGAATCAGACGAAAGCTCCGATGACGATGATGGTGGAGTTCCCACTCTCGTGGTTCCTTTGACCGATGAGGATCGTCTCATCATGATTACCGAAGGCATTATCACTGCAGACTCGGTATTTGCATATCGACTTACTGGCCAATACCTCCTTCATATTGGAGAGTACGAGGCTACTGTTGAGCTTATGCGAAAGGGATTGGGACTACTAGAGCAAGAGCGCAAGAAAACCGGGTTATCATTTGCCAACGCCGAAGACTCTTACTACCTGTCACTTGGAACGGCACTGGTTTATTACCAGTCTCCTCGACACCACAAGGAGGCAAAGGAGTTGTTCGACAAGGTTCTTGAGCGTGATACTACCTCCACTTCTGCTTTAATTGGTGTTGGTCTCATTTACGAAGAAGAGGAGGAATACGATGAGGCGATTGACTATCTCACTCGAGCTTTGGAACGTGACCAGACGAACATCAAAGTCAAGTCTGAGGCTGCCTGGGTGAAGGCACTCAAAGGAGACTGGGAAGCCGCGAAAGCGGAGCTTTATGAATGTCTTGAGCCTCTCGAGACGCAAGGTGCTGCATCAAAAGAATTGTTGGGTGAGACACAGCACCGGCTGGGAGTGTGTATATGGAACATCGATACTAGCAAGGCCGCGCGGAAACAACGAAAGGAAGAATCTGCATATGCATACTGGCTAAGCGCTCTGAACAACCATCTGAACCATGCACCCACATATACATACCTCGGAACTTACTATGCCGACTACGCGAAGGACAAAGGCAGGTCACGACGTTGTTTCCAGAAGGCGCTGGAGCTATCTCATGCCGAAGTGGTTGCTGCTGAGCGACTTGCCCGCTCGTTTGCCGATGATGGAGACTGGGATAGAGTCGAGCTCGTAGCCCGCCGTGTTGTTGACTCTGGCAAAGTAAAGCCACCTCCAGGATCAAAGAGAAAGGGAATCAGCTGGCCATTTGCTGCACTGGGTGTAGCTGAGCTGAACAAGCAAGGCTTCCACAAGGCTATTGTATCCTTCCAAGCGGCACTTCGTATCAGTCCCGAGGATTACCACTCTTGGGTTGGCCTTGGAGAGAGCTACCACAGCTCGGGTCGACATATTGCTGCTACCAAGGCCATTCTGAACGCCCAGAAGCTGGAGGAGGAGATAGAGGCGGATATCTCTGGAGACAGATGGTTCACGAAGTACATGCTTGCTAATGTCAAGCGTGAACTGGGTGAATACGATGAGTCAATTGCTCTCTACAGATCCGCCATCGAGACGCACCCCGACGAGGAGGGCGTTATCATCGCCCTACTTCAAACTACAGTCGACAGTGCCCTTTCCTCCGTGGAAAAGGGGTTGTTCGGAAAGGCTATCCAGCTTGCTACTGAGACCATCGAGTATGCAAAGACAGCCAGCGGTAGCGTTCTTGAGACCTTCAACTTCTGGAAGGCTATAGGTGATGCATGCTCTGTCTTCTCCTCCGTTCAAAGCCGCACTCAAGACCTTCCCTCCGATTCTGTTCGGGGGCTTCTCGAAAAGGGCTCACAGGAGGCATACGAAATCCTCGCCAGCGTTGACAAGGTTGGTACTGACGTGGTGTTTGCCAAGGGATTATACGCAGACGATGAGCAGCCAGGAGTTGACCTCACTCGATGTATCCATGCTACAATTCTGTGCCATAAGCAGGGCGTTCACATCGCGACTAATGATCGCCACGCACAAGCGGTTGCTTACTACAACCTGGGATGGGCAGAGTACCGCGCGCATATTTGCCTCCCTGCTGATATCAGGAAGAAGTCCAGCAGCTACATCAAAGCCGCAGTGAGATCATTCAAGCGTGCTATTGAGTTGGAAGCTGGAAACTCGGAGTTCTGGAACGCTCTCGGTGTGGTAACCAGCGAGATCAACCCCTCAGTAGCGCAGCATGCTTTTGCCCGAAGTTTGTACTTGAACGAACGAAGCCCAGCGACTTGGACAAACCTGGGAACTCTGGCTCTTTTGTCAGGAGATGTGCAGCTAGCCAACGAGGTTTTTACGAGAGCCCAGTCTACTGACCCTGACTATGCACATGCTTGGCTGGGACAAGGCTTTGTGGCTCTCTTGCATGGGCAAGCCAAGGAAGCCCGCGGACTTTTTACTCATGCAATGGAGATCGCAGATGCGTCTTCAGTACCCACCAGACGCCACTACTCGAGCGCTTTGTTCGACCATGTACTCACAGTTTCTCCCAATGAGCTCAACGTGGAGTCGCTTATCCAGCCGCTTTTTGCGCTGAACCAGTACCAGAGCCTTAAATCAAATGATCTGGCCTTTAGTCATTTAGCAACGCTATTTCAGGAACGTACCAACGAAAGTGGCCGTGCTGTTGATACACTAGAGAAGATCTCTGAAACCATCGAAGCCGACTACGAGAGTACCGAATCTCCTCAGAGCCTGGCTAAGTTTGCTCTGGCCAAGACTGATCTTGCCCGAACTTACCTTGCAGCTGGCTCCTATGAGAAGGCAGTCGAGTGTGGTGAACTAGCCCTTGGCCTCAGCAGTGAGGAGGCAGAAAACGAGCTCTCAAGCGAGCAACGCAAGAAAGCACGTTTGTCTGCACATCTGACCGTCGGACTGGCTCAGTATTATGACAGCAAGTTCGACGAAGCCATCACATACTTTGAAACCGCTCTGGAGGAGTCTGACGGAAGTCCAGATGCCGTGTGCTTGTTGGCACAGGTCCTCTGGGCCCAAGGATCTGAATCATCTCGAGACAGGGCTCGTGAGGCGTTGTTCGAAGTGATTGAGAAGCATCCTGAGCATGTCCAGTCAGTTCTCCTACTAGGTGTTATCGCCCTGTTGGATAAGGATGAGGACAGTCTGGAGGCAGTCGTGGAAGAACTTCACAGCCTACGCACAAACCACAAGGTGACAGCTTCAGAACAGTCACACATCGGCGAGGTGTTACGAGCTATTGCTACTCTAGGAGAAGGACGTACAGAAGAGGACATGAGAACACAGGTGCAAACAGATATCATGCTATACCCCGGTCTGCCCCACGGTTGGTCTGCCCTGGCGCAATCCGCAGGCGACAAGCACGCAGCTCAGATGGCGCTCAAGGTAGCATCGAGGGGCATTCCTCCAAAGGGTCTGTTGGAGGCTCAGGATCTATCAAAGGCGTATGCTGGAACAGCTACTGCTGGGGATGCTCAGCGAGCAACGTTCCTCGCGCCTTGGGAGCAGAGTGGCTGGACATCGCTGGCTGCTGCTACGGAGGGATTCTGAGCGAGAGAAGGATGTGTATGAGCGTCCTTTGACAATCTACAATAGATGGTCAGTTAGAGAACCATAGAAGCGTGGGCATAATATGGCATACATAGATGTTGGTCATGCATGTTTATAGTAAAGGGGGTATCATGTATAATTCTACGCAAGCATTCATCACGACCATTGCCTCTCATTCTGTCTTATCTCCTCCTTCAACCTTGCCAATCTCCCATCGAGCCACGTCTTCTGCCATGCCTCAATCTTGCCACCGAGCACAACACACTTATCAGGCTCTAAAAGAACCATGCCCCTCGCAATCACCGTTCCAGCTTTGAGCAGCATTTTCTCACCAATCTGAGTCTTTCCAACGCCTATCCCATCGAAACGTCGTAGCTCCAGCGCGTATAATTTTGTCCCCTTGCAGTCCTGCAGCACAAGTCTATGCGTCGCATTCTTGCCTGCGGGTTTTGGACCTGCTGTGTTGCGAGCTCCCGCAGTTCGCTGAGTCTGAGTTTGAGTCTGACCCTCTACGACATTATCATCGTCATCTTCTGCTGTGACACGCACGACTTCTCTTCCACGCGTGGTCTCGCCCCTCGCTACAGCCTCCATCTCTTCAACTTGCTCCCAGCGACTCAGTGCTAGATTCTCAATATCCAGCACCTGAACATGCACTGGCCTTGGGAGGCGCTTCTCGCGAGACTCTGTGGAGTCGGCCTCAGAGGGGAAACTCTGGATGGAGCTTGTGTTGATAATAGTGCTGCTAGTCAAATCCGCTGTTAATAACCGGGCTTTGGCGGTAGCTAACAGAGATGGCAACGGTGGTGGAGGAGAGCGTGCGGTTACAAGAGAGTTTAAGAACGTTGTTGTGGGGTGTGGAAGATTTTGAACCAGTATTGAGGCACGAAGTTGGCTACTGAGATCCATTTTGCGTTTGTTAATGGTGTATCATCGCAAGATCGATCTTTGGTGTTAAGAAATAAAAATAGAAATAGAATTGCATTCAGCCTTGTGATGTTGATGACGTTTCAGCGGCTGAAAGTGGGCCATCCCCTAAATTTAGCGCTCAGTGCCCCTGCATTGCAGGCCGTCGACCACTAATGGCCCTCCACCGTGTCCAGCTCAGGTCAGCCTTGTCAACCTCCAGCTGTCCGTCAACCTTAGATCACCCACTTCGACTCTACGTCTCGGCCATCGTCTACCTTGCACTGAACTCTTCAAGAAATCCTTTACAATGTCTACAATAGCTTCTCCTCGCGAACCTCCTCGTCGCACTCCCACAAACTCCAACCGTCCCTCCTTCGAAACCTCACGATCCGCTGTCGTTTCCCCCGTCCTCACACAAGGACCAACCGCTCCCCCAGGACCTCCCCCGACGCAGCGCAAGACATCCTCAAATCGAGCTGCTCTTCGCGAGTACTACAATCTCCGTGCCTCAGCCCCACGCATCGAAATTCCCGACTCTGAAGTTGCGGCCACTGAGATCGATACCCCTGACTTTGACACGGAGGACTATGTTGCCAAAGTTATCGCCAAGAGCAGTCTCGAGGAGCTCTTGCGACTGTATACTCGTGTTGTGGGTGAAGTGCGGGCGTTGGACGCGGAGAAGAAGGCCTTGGTGTATGATAATTACAGTAAGCTGATTACAGCGACTGAGACGATTCGCAAGGTATGAAATACGTTATTGTAGCATCTACACTACAGAGGACGGCATTAATGTTGGTCATTAGATGAGAGCGAATATGGACCCTTTGAACCCCATGGCCTCAACACTCGACCCAGCCATCGCCCAGATTTATAGCCAAGCATCATCCATCCGAGAAGCCCTGCGCGAAACAGTTCCCACGCCAGACTCCGAACAAGGCAAGAAACGAGACGCCGCGGCCAGACAACAACGGACAAGAGAACTCGCAGTACAAGTTCTAGCGACTCCCGAACGGCTGCGTGCACTTGTTAGCGAAGGAAAGATTGCGCAAGCACGCAAGGAGTGGGTGATGCCGCGAAAGCTACTAGAGTCATGGAAAGAGAAAGGAATTGGTGGCAGCGATGTCGAGGAGTGTATTGAGGAGGGAGATGAGGCGTTGAGGCAGGTTGATAATAAGAGCAGTGCTTCTAGCCCGAGGATATCAAGGGATGAACGACTATCAAGAGATAGTCGAGTATCAAGAGATGGACGGTGATGGATGGTGATGATGAGATACCCAATGCTTTCCAATAGCCTCTTGATATTTTATGCGCTCAATCATGAATATTTGGGTATTGTTTTCTACCTCATGATATATCTCTCATTTAAAGATGTTGCATTGTCTCACAAGGAAGCAATTATTTATTGTAAGTATGCAGCAACGGGACAGTGCGAAAGCACCTTACACACGATATGAGCTCATTTGATGGACCCTTTTCCGCTTCTAGCCTCAAGCTCCAACAGCTTCGGCTTTTAGCTTCATCTTTTGTGCCAGGCTATCAGAGTTCGTAAAATTGGTGAGTGAGCCCCTATCGTCTGGCAATTGTCTATCAGTACTCTCTAATAAACTGCGTATAGTCTTCAATCAACTTAACTGTTCAAGCACATTGACAGCTGCGAATATCACGTGCAGTTGCTATGAGAAGCTCTGTTCTGAGATTGAACAGACTGCTTATACCAAGCCCAGCTCGATTCCTCTCATCTTCTCTAAGATCTTCGTCTCCCAAGCTTCTTGCAGGATCAAACAGACTCTGCTCATCCTGTCCATCTTCAAACAACTCCGACTCACCACCCAAAACTCACTCCTCCAAAATGGCCGACAACGGAGCTTGGGGCGCGTGGCAGGTTGAGTCTTCAACCTTTACCAAGGCCGTCGTCTCTTCTATGCAGAAGCTGTATCCAGAAGAGATTGCTGATAGAAGCTGGGACAATGTTGGGCTCTTGGTTGGAAACTCGGAGAACGATGCCAAGAAGACAAAGAAAGTCTTGGTGACCAATGACCTGACTTGGCAAGTAGCTGCTGATGCTATTGAGCAGGATGTCAGTGTCATTGTCAGCTACCGTAAGTTTCGGATGACCTGAGATTCATTATACTATGAGGCTCTCTAACATGGTGCCAGATCCTTTCATCTTTGGTGGTCTCAAGTCCATCACCAACAATGACCCTCAGCAAGCTACTCTTCTACGCCTTGCCAAGGCTGGCATTGCCGTCTACTGCCCTCACACCGCAGTTGATGCTGCCCCTGAAGGACTCAACACCTGGCTGGCTGATATCGTATCTGGTCCTCACCACAGCAAGCGCTCCGTCGCCATTCCCTGCAGCAACGCACCATCCAGCCACTCTGGCGCAGGCTATGGTGCCATTGGTCACTTCGATAGTGCTGTATCCCTCTCAGAAATCATCCTCCGTCTCGCTGAGAAGCTTGGTGGTCTTAAGCACGTCATGGTAGCAAGCCCTGTGGGTGCTGATGTCAAGACGACAAAGGTCAGCAGCTTTGGTGTCTGCGCTGGCAGCGGCTACGATGTTCTCAAGAAGGCGGATGTGGATCTGTTGGTGACGGGTGAGACAAGCCACCACTCAGCTTTGAGAGCTATCCAGCAGGGACGCACACTTGTGCAAGTCTTTCACAGCAACTCCGAGCGTGGATATCTTCAAGAGGTTCTCAAGCCCAAGTTGGAGGCTGCTCTGCAGGAGAGCGTGCCCGAGGCCGAAGTCGTTACGAGCAAGCATGACAAGGATCCCTTCACCATCTTGGATGTGAATGATCTTAAGTAATAAATTAGTTATAGAATCGAAAAAAAAGGGATTATACTGGGGAAATCAAATCTTGAATATACATGTCTACATATGCATTTACAGACCGTCAAATATGAGGTCAGAATCTGCTGCCTGTACTCCGTAGTTCAGTGGATCTACAGCGGCTCATGGCCTTCACACTGTGCATTTCACTACCCCACGATGATATCTAATCAATCAATCTTAACTTTCAACGATCTTCTCCCTCCCAAGAAGCTTACACCCATCCCCCTAATATCTCCTCCCTCTGAACCCCCAGAAACAATGTCGCAAATCACAGACGAAACCCTCCGCGAGGCCATCAAGCAGCGCCTCGAGGCCACCCACGTCGAAGTCACAGATATGTCTGGTTAGTTGTACCCCGCGGAACCCCTCCAGCCGATCACGGCGTTGGCGTTCGAATTCGACTGACATTGAGGATTGATTATCGCAGGCGGCTGCGGTCAAGCCTTTACCTCTGTTATCGTCTCCCCCCAGTTCCAGGGCCTCAACTCTCTTAAGCGTCATCGCATTGTGAACGCTGCCCTCAAGGACGAGATCGCTATTATCCACGCTTGGACCGCCAAGTGCCAGACACCCGAGGAGTACGCAAAGACGAGCGAGGCCAGCGAGGCACAAGCGCAGGCATAATTCTGGGGTCTCTCCATTATTCTCCAGGACATGAGGGTTTACGACAAGGAGTTATTACATAAAAAGGGTATGCGAGGGATATGGGAAATGTATCAAAATGCATGCGACGAAAGAATTTAGGGGATGGAGCATGTGGAGGGAGACGGTTTCATGCTGCGGTACATCACAAAGCAACAAAATATCGAGGAGTCAACTTTATAATTAGAGCATCTTTATTTGGCAAGCGTTCAACGCGATAACAAGAGGGTTTGTTTGAGGTGGTCATCTCATCTTTTACGCCAACACCATATCTGCGTGAAGGCATATTTCTTTTCCTACCAGAGCATCTCCGTACTCCTTGGTGAACCAACGGCCAACTCTTGGCTTGATAATTCATGTATAAGTGGACGCATCTACAACAGTCCCAGCAAGTCCTCGCTATCCTTCTTGGGTTGCTGAGGAGGTCCTCCTTGGGCCTGCTGCAGCTGCATGGCTGCTGGCAAAGGCTCACCAGCTGCTGGGCTACCAAAGTTCATGCCCTCGAAGCCATTCATCAAGTCGCTCATATTGTTCCTGGGAGCTGCAGCTTGTGCAGGTGCTCCTGCGCCTGAAGGTTGCGCCGGCGCATCAAACATGCTCATCATATCAGCCATACCGCTCGAGGGTGCCCCGGCAGATGGACTGGCCACTCTGTCAGGGGTTGCCGAAGCACTGTTCTGTTCATGAGATGCAGGTGCCGCACCATCGAAGTCAATATCGAGCAAGTTCTCGATGTTGTTCTGAGAGGCACCACCAGATCCGTTAGAGTTAGCTGCGGCAACTGAAGCAGCAATGGGGTTTTCTTCGGCGTTTTGCTTCTGCTCTTGGATGGCAGCCTGCTGGATCTCGTCGGCACCGAAGCGACCCTTGCCAACAAATGACTCCGGAGGCTTGTGGTAGACTGAAGCAAGAGTAGAAAGTTCGGTAAGAAGCTGCTCCAGAAGGGCTGGGGGCAGCGTCGTCATGGTAGTTGTGATTGTAGGCTTCTGAGATAGGACAATACTCTGATAGAATTGTTAGTACTTGTTCGTGTGTTGAATCATGCGAGTTTCTCACCTTAGCAACCTCGGGGTCTGAGGAGAGCAGACGCCAGTAGACGTATGCCCTATCGCGGATATCGGGGTTATCGTTCTCCGCTGTAGCTGCTTGGAGAACCTTTTGAACAAGACCTTGGCTGCTGCCGGGCTTCTTCAGGAACAGCTTCACCACAGCTGTCAAAATTTGCAATTGCGTCTGCACGTTCAGTCAGTAGATTCCTAGTAATTGGCAGAAGACTACCCACCTGTGTGAATTCTTCCATAAAAGACTCGACAAAACTCTCCAGAATCTCATCTGCGTTGTTGATCTTCTCGGCATACTCACCAACAATCCAGATGAGAGATCCACGAGCGGTGGGCTCATCCAATTCGTCGATGTGCTTGCAGAGGGTAGGGATAACACCCTCGTAACCGGGGTACTTTCGCAGAATATCCTTGATGACAACAATCACCTCCTGAACGACATAGTTGACCTTGGTAGAGATGAGATCCTCAAGAGCGGCAACGCACTTCTCAGCGGCGTTCTCAATCTTGATAGCCACCTGGCCAATGGCCTTGACAGCTCTTCGGACAAAGTCCATATCCACTTCCAGGGCATATTCCTTCAACTCGGCGAGAAGCTGCTCATAATTGTGCTCGTTTGCTATTCTAACCATGATCTCCAACTTTTGAAGCTTAACATATTCTGGGTCAGTGTATTTGCAGAAGAACACGCGCATTTCCTTGCTGAGAATGTCGGGCTTAGCCTGGAGGAGAAGGTCAATGTTTCTCAAAGCAACATATTGAACCTCGGGCTGCGAAGCAACCAAAGTAACTAGAGCTGGTCAGTCAAGAATTCATAGGCTGTTGACATATACATACCCAGAGGAGGGGCCATCTTTTTGAGGTATGACCTCACACTATCGGGGTTGAGAGCCTTCATGTGAATGAAAACGACCTTGACAGCTGCAAGAACCACACTAGGGTTAACATGCTGGAACTGAGGCGCCACTCGCTCACAGATATGCTCCGACTCCTTCTGATCAGACGCAGAGTAGTTGGCCAGGGTTGTCAGAATAGTGACTCGTCCCCACTCCGTACATTCGTTAAGAGCCATAAGCAACTTCTTCAGCGTCACAGGCGTAACAATCAGTGCCCTCGTCTCGGGTGCCGTCTCGGTAATCTCAGACAAAGCAGTCACTGAGTTGGCGACAACCATGGGGTTAGGGTCTCCAATCAGCTCTTGGAGAGCCTCCAAAAAGCCGTTTTCGATACACATCTGCGGGTTGAGGTCAAATAGTTTGGCGACGCAGATAGCAGCTGTCTTGCGCACGTAGGGCGATTCGTCTCGCAATGTCTTCCTCAGGGGCTCTTCCATATAATCCACCATCTTATCTACTCTGATACATCCCATTGTTCGAATCGCCAGTGCTCGTATCAGCGGATTCGGATCTTCCGAGTCTTGGACGAATGTATTAACGGCGAGAATGCAAAGGTCGGGATGCGATTTGGCGTAGTTCCTGAACCTCGATGTCAGCTCTCTGATCTCACCCCACGAACGAATGAATTGATAGCTAGAGAGCCAAGGGAGCTATGTAGCTTCATTCACATACATCAGATAGAGGTATACGAGCTTCTTCTGATCAAGATCGGCCGTCGCAATGTTTTTGAGCACATCGGGGAAGAGCGCCGACACATCCTTGCCCAACGTCATGGCCATGATGGTCTTCTGGATGGACTCCTTGCGCTCGTATGCGTACTGCGAAACCAGGCCAGCGCGCAGCTCAAAGGTCTCACCCTTGCGAGGCACGGCAAAGGCGCCGCGAATGCGATTTACCGCCATCGTCGAGGGTCGTGAAGGGGCACGTAGCGGGAGCTCGAAGGTGGGAGAGAGGAACGAAGAGGTTGAGGTCAAGTGTCGAAGAAGACGGGCGGTGACAGTCGAGTCGGATTGATCAGATCGAGTACAAGCTACTTGTCCTCAAGCGTGGAAGCCTGCATCCACCGAATTGTTCTGCGGACCGGATGGTACGTCAGAGATATGCAAGGTTGTCGAGATAGTGGGAAAGGAGATGGTCGAGCTGAGCATGAACAAGGCAGACGTAACTGTCACCAAAAGATGCCAAGGCCACGAGGATACCTTAGGTAGGTAGGTCTAGGCCATTGAGCCGCGAGCCTCAAGCACCAAAGGGGGGCGTGTTACAGCGACCCTGTCAGCTTCTCTTAGTGGGAGTTGCCCTTAGACTCCCCCTAACTCTAAACTTCCGCCGGATTGCCGTTCGCGTGTAGCGTGGCATCTATGGCCGGGCAACAATTTATTTTTGGTCGCCTCAGCTTAGTCACCGTCTATCAACTCTTGTGAATAATCTCGACATTATCGCCAGTCTTTGATCAAGCATAGACTACCTTGTACAAAGGACGAAGAAGTATTCACAGGGAAATTAGTCATTAATCGAACGTCCTGCGAATTAAAACTACTATCAAATAACAACGACTAAAAATGGTGAAGAGCTTTACCCTATAACACGATAATGATATGAGATCTGACAATTGACTAGGCAATGCCAAATCTTCGCCGACTCTTTATCGAGTCACGAACAGATGATGAAGAACGGGACGTATCTCGCACAGCCGTGAGCCAGTTCAGACCTTATTCTAGGTACACGTACTTATCATGTCTAGTTCTATAACGCGGTTCTCTTTATGGGATCAATCGCCGTTTTCAGTCTCATTGCTCAAAAGCTTAACGCTGGCAAATGAAAAAGAGTACCAAAATTCATACCGACAATTTCATCATGGGATCAAAGCGCGGCGTTATTGTTCAATATTAATCAAGAAAGATAGCCGAGATTCAATCATCAGCTTCTTCTACGTCTGCCACTTCTGTTCCAGCATCGCCCTTCTCCTTATTTGATGCAGCCTTAGCTTCTTGTTTGCGCCAAAGAGCAGCCAAAAAGTCGTTGGTGCTTGCTTCTTCAAGACTTTTATCTTCCCGTTTCTTCATGAATCGTGGAAATCTCAGGCTCAATCCTCTCTCATCACTTACAAGGCCGATTGCTGCAGTGTATGTCGGACTGAGTGTAATATCTGCAAAAGCCATCTCCCAGACTTCTTGTGGCTCAAACCAAACATCGGGTCTTGGGCCCGAGTATTCAATAAAACTGGGTTGCGTGGTTCTGGTGTTCTTGGGCTCGCCACTCTCTTCACCATCGTCATAAAACAGACGGTTGGCCTTATAAAAACTGTCAGAGAACCCAGACATGCACTTGCAGACTGCTTCTAGGGATCCCGTCTCTTCGTTACGGCAAGCCATGAGCATGGGCGACCACCATTTTGCCTTGCGTCCCTGGCCATGCCATGCAGCAACAGGGATAAGATCAAGCGTATCAAAACTGGAGTTATAGTCTTTCTTGACTTTGAGCCAGGAGTCAAGTCGCTTATCTGGCTCATACGTAGCCAACAAGGGTTTGCGTCTCGTTTTAGCCTTAGGCTCTCCGTTCGATTTTGCTTTCCCCCTCAACTTCGACCTAGGCGTCAATGACTTGTCGGATCCTTCTGGTTCCTCTTCAACATCACCCACGTAAGGTACTGTGGATAGATTGTCCAAAATTTTGACCATGATTCCCTCACACTTGATATCTGTGGCAGCTTTGAAGAATTCTAGGACCGACTCTGAGTCCGCAGATGTAGCATCAATACTCTTTACCCACGTAAAGTGATGCGGTATCTCCTTGAAGAGTGACCGAAGCAGTTCTCGTCTTTCTCGAAACGGTCGATCGAGTAATGGTTGCCCGTTCAGATACATCAGGTCGAACGAAAACATGCACACATCCACAGTGATGCTTCCAATATCGACGTCTTTCCTCGCCCTGTTGGTAAGTGTCTGGAAGTTCTTGAGCTCTCCAGTCTCGCGATCAACCGCCACCACCTCTCCTTCCATAATGAAGCTGTCAACGCCTTCTCCTCGTATTTTTGGTATGAGTTCGACCAAGTCAGGGTATTTATCTGTCATGACTTCTAAATGCCGAGAAAAGATGCTGACTTTCCCATTCTCATCACAATGTATTTGAGCTCGCTGGCCGTCGTACTTGAACTCACAAGCAAAATCTCTGCCTTGTAGTTTGGTGAGCATCTCCGATAGATCCCTGGTAATGCTTCCGAGCATGGGCCGTAATGGGATGTGGAGGGTTAGACCACACCGTATCAGCAGCTCCTCAGATATGCCAATTTCAAGGAGAACAGGCACAAGATCGTTGTAGTTCGGACGCCTAGCAAAGCACGCCTTCACTATCTCCTCAGCCCGACCCCATATCTCAGCCAAATCTTCCTTCTTGAGTTTGGCCAAGTCAGATACTGATTTTAAAGGGAAGTCGGCTCCTGGCGGGCGTGAGAGTAAAAATGCCCGTGACAGCGCGATCAACATTGTCGTTTTGACAGCGCCGATACGTAACTATTAATTGTTAGATGATAATAGTTAAGAATTATGACAATATCCTTACATGCTGGCAGAGAGTTCGCACGACGAACCGACTCTCTTCTCCACCACGAGCGTCTTGGAGTAGCCGGTCAACCAATCTTTGCTTTGTTTCGGAGCTGCCTTGTCCTTGACTATTGGCGATTTTAACCAAAGATTCGTACACGGCCTTGATCGTCAAGGGTTTCGGCTTTCTCAAAGTGAAGCTTTGCTTCTTCTTCGCTTCGAAGGCGACATCTCCGGCATCACCGTACTTGTCGTAAATGGCCTTCAGAGCTCGATTATCGAGTCCACACACATTTCGCAACGCTTTCGATATTGCCGACCCTCCCAATCCCAACTCCATAGAGATGTAAGGTGGTGAAATGGCATTAGTTGCCAGCCAGACCTATTAATGTCAGATAAGTTGAACCAAAGAACAATTTATACATACCGCTGGTAACAAACTTGCCGGATCGCCCTCAATGATAACTCTTAAGCAGTTCACAAGGGTATCTACAATTTTGATTCGACTGGTGGTGCCGTTTATGAGAATGAAACATCGAGTGAGAAGTGCATAGGATGCATTGCCGCCTTCAGAGGCCCAATGTCCTTTCAGTTGATCAACATATTCCGATGGATCGAAAATCAAAGGAGACTCATCGAAAGGTATAGAAGTTGTTGTAGTATCCTCGGCCATACCCGCTGCCTGAAGCCCAAGTGTAGGTTTTGTCTTTGTGATTGGACCAGATTTGCTAAGAGTTGGGAGGGTGATTGGTGACGTGGGCTTCGGACCTGCAGGACTCGGACTTTCATCGCGAGATACTGATTCGTTGATTTTACTTGGAAGTTGAAGAGTTTGGGCTTGGACCGTAGCTTGTGGTGTATTGGCAACTTCTTGGTCCCATTCTGCCTGAAGCTTCCTGGCAAGTTCTTCATCTGTTAATTCTGTGATGACATCGCTTGATGCGCCATCTTTCTCCTCAAGTTTTGGCTTTTTGACAGAGTCTGGATCATTTTGTTTTTGCTTCGAAAAGAAATACTCAAGGCCTCGAGCTGGTGTTGTTGACTTTGTGCCATTGTTAAGTTTCCGTTTCTTAGTAGGACTCGGCATGGCTGTGTGTTCTGTATTCTCTAGGCTGGCTGTAATTACCACCAATGAAGCCTACGAATTAACTCAGTAACAAAACAAAACGAGATCATCAACAAGCCCTTGTAAACAAAGAATACGCTTCCTTCACGTCCATCTTTAATCAACTGCCCAGAACGCGGCGCCTCTATGACGACGTTCGGCGCGAGTGCACGTGATGCGTCTAGAGAGCCAGGTGGGTCACAAAATAATCCGCACTCCAAATCTCTCCCACCACGCCTAACGTTAGTAAGACAAAGTAGTGACATAAATATTTAGGTCACTTCCCCGCCTGCTTATCACCAGATATTTCTATCAATGTCATTCCGTGTGCGGATTATTTGCGACCCACACGAGAGCTTACCCAGCCCGCTACTCGACGCTTGACTGCTTTGGCACGCACAAGCGATTCTCGGATTCACCTCACACAACCGTCGAAATCTTTGCTCTGCCCCACCATCGCGAACCTCCCCCCGACATCCCCCTCATAACGACCCCTCCATCTACAACCGCCACCATGAACGGAGAAGACCCGCCTGAGAGGCCCAGCGAGATTTCCGCCATCATCAACGGACTCGAACGATACAACCCCGAGGCTGTTGGTGCCCTTGAGACCTACCTGACCGATCAATGCGAGCAGAAGTTCACTGACTGCAATGCCAACCGAACGCTGCTGAAGCTGTGAGTGCTACTTTCTTTTGTATAATAATATTAAGACCGGGGCTCCATGTGATGACCGCTTGTCAACGTTTCCTATTACCTGACTAGTGCGGCGGGTTGTTCGCAACTTGGCCGCATGTGAAGTCAATTATTAGTGCAACTGATACGCCCAATTCTCAGCTTGTCATGCCTTCACATACTCGGCTCGAAGCTAACCCCCTCCCAGGTACCAGCTCAACCCTGACCGCATTAAGGATGAGGCTATCACCAACATTCTGGTCAAGACAATGACCCAGTTCCCCTCCGCGCAGTTCTCCCTCGCTCTCCACCTCATCAACCCCTCCTCAGCCGTCAATGGCGACCTCGGCGAGGCTGTCACCAAGCTCCGATCCCTCAACGGCCAGCTCGAGGGTGCTCAGTACTCCAGCTTCTGGGCCGATCTGGACGACGACATGGTTGCCGATTTGATTGCCGACATTCCTGATTTTGAGGAGCTTATCCGTCACCGTATTGCCCTCCTTGTCTCACAAGCTTTCCGCGAGCTTCAAATCACCCACCTCGAGTCATGGCTCGGTCTCAACGAGGACGCCACCAAGAAGTTCGTCACCGAGGTCTGCGGTTGGACTGTCGAGGGCGAGGGTCTTGTCAAGGTGCCTTCCAACCCGGACAACGAGGCCAAGAAGTCCGAGATCCGCGAAGATGTCAACGTAGAGCAGTTCTCCAGAGTGCTCCGACGGTCATGGGAGGACACTGTTTAAGCTTTTTGAGAGTTTTAGCGGATCAGAAGAGGTTTCTCGCGGACTTCCCCCCATTTGATGGGATTCGGACATTACGACTCACGAATGCGGAGGGGTTAGGAAGGGCTCGCATGGTAGCATGGCGGGGATTACAAAAACTAGGCGTTTAATCGGACATGTCATTGCAGAGCAACCCAAAGATCTAGAAAATGTATAGAACTTTGCGATTTGTTGATATATCGTAATTTGACTCATCGTTGCCCAAGTGTTGTGTGCTCGTTCCTTAAAGTATTTTTGATGTCCCGCTATATTCATTTCCAAAGTGTTTAAATATCTAGTTTCCCTTGGACAGTTCCTCCCATTGTACGCCAGTCCATTCTTCCTGGTATCCAGCTTGTCCAAGGGGCGTTCCTCGAGGGGAGCAATCCTTTTCGCACACGCCAACGATGATAGTACCCCACTCCATGCCCTCCAAGCTCATATCGTCTGCCTCGAGTTCTGCAATAGCGTTTGGTGTTAACTGCACCTCAAAGACTCTTCTCGCTGTGCAGTTGGGGCATCGAGGAATGGCACCATTGTTCACAGCTTCACTAACAGCACCCTTCTTTGAGTACAACAGAGGAGTACCTGCAAACTCATATCGAATAACCTGCTCGGGGTTCTGCGCCAGACGGTCTGCGAACTTCTGGAATGTAGCGTCCATGGCCGACTCGAAAGCTTCGCGGTCTAGTATAGAAGGCTCCGCGGCATCGGCGTCCTCAAGGCGGGCGTTAGTGGGGACGGTATTGGGCTTGGGGTCTAGAGTCTCAAAGTCGGCATCGGCGAGGTAGAGAGTAGGGTAAGCCTGCACCTGGGCATCCTCAGCAGGCCAGGGCTCTGAGGCTGGAGGTGGTGTTGCCGGTGTGTCTTTGATGTTGAGAGATTCAGCGAATGTCTTGGTGAGTGATGCCTCTGGCTCAGGTGAGGTAGGCTTGGCGGGTTCGGGCTCGGTCTTAGGCTGTGAAGTAGAAGAGGAGAAAGGGTTGGCTGATCCAGAACTGGAGGGGTTGCCAGAGCTGCTAAAGGGATTTGCGTTGCCAAAGGGGTTCGTGCCAGAAGCACCTCCCAAGCCCTTTGAACCAAACAGAGTCTCTCCCAGTCCAGGTCCATCGTTCTTAGGCTTCTCTTCCTCGACCTCCTTCTCTTCCTTCTGCTCCTTGGGAGCCTCTTCCTTCCACACTCGCACACCTCTTAGCGCTCGAATACTACCCTCTTTGCGCCGGCAGGTCGGCCGTCTACACGCAAAAACATAGATTCGTCGTTCGTGCTCGGGAAATCGCTCGGGAAGTTCGCCGTTGAGCTGCAGGATCAAAGCCATGAGATCTTTGCATACTTTGCATCGTGCGTGGGCGGCGCTGGGGGCGTTCTCGTCTAACCAGTCCTGGTCCCCAGTTAGCTACCATGAATTTGTATAGTGCGGGACGGGTCAAGAACGTACAGGACGACCGCCGAGTTTGCTAACGGTATCTTCGTCTGCTTCTTTAGAAGCATATCCCAAAAGGACATTTGTCTCCTCGAACTCGCCCTCGGAGGAATCGGAATCGTATGAAGCCATGATGCTGATATCGATGGGGTTTATTGCTAGGTGATGATGGTGGGGTAAATATTTTTTTCTTTCCAGAAAGTTGTAGGAGAATGCGGGGCTTAGCGCAAGTACAAGAAGCCCAGCTACAACTACATGTCAAGTACTCATAGCAGCGCTGATCACAAAAACATACTTCAGTCATAATATTAAGTCGTAATCTTGTTTATTACGTCCAAGAGCCTTTTGTCTAGCCTCACTTTTATCGTGGTATCTCCTACATGTGATCATTAGGTCCATCCATGCCAGGTCCGGGTCCGCCTGCTCTGCCCATCTGTCGAGCCTTCAACAACTCGTCACATAGCAGAAGGTTAGACGCGATACTGGAGCTAGAGGCAATGCAATTTCGCAGAACTCGGTAAGAATCGAAGACACCCTCAAGCTCGGGATCCATGGGCTCACCGGTCTCAAGGTTAAGACCGACAATGTTGCCATCGGCGTACTCATCCTGCAGATCCGCAACTGTAACAAGTTAGAAATGTCTTTAAATAATGTAACTGAGAAACTTACGAGCATCCTGAATGTCAAGACCAGCGTTGGCAGCCAGAGTCTTGGGAATAATAAGAAGAGCATCGGCGAAGGCTGAAACACCCCACTTGGCCTTACCCTTGACAGACTTGCCAAAGGCGTCGCTCTTAAGGTGAGAAGCGCAGGCAACCTGGAAGGCACCAGCTCCGGGAACAACGGACTTGTCGACAATCATGTTGTAAACACTTCGCAGACCATCTCGAACGGCGTCAGTCACCTGAGCGATGGTGTGTGCGTTGGGTCCCTTGATCATAAGAGTAACAGACTTGGGGTCCTTGACCTCCTCAACAAAGGTGAACTTCTCCTCGCCAAGAGTTTGCTCGTAGACGAGACCAGCCCAACCCAGAACCTCCTCAGACAGGTCATCGACACTGTTCTGAGCAGTACCACCGCAGACAAGCTGAAGTCGCTCCATGTTTCTTCTCTTGGCTCGTCGGAGAGCAAGAATGTTGTTCTTGGCGAGGACGTCAAGAGACAAGGGGTCAATACCCTTCTGGTTGATGACGACAAAGTTCTTTGTGCCGTCGTTACCGCAAAGCTCCTTCTTGAGCTCAACAATCTTCTTGAGTTTGGCATCGACGAAACGACGCTCGCTCTCAACAAGCTTATCACGCTGCTCAGCGCTAGAGTAGAAGAAGCTCGAGTTAATCTCAGTCTTCTCATACTCCAGACTGACGTTGAGGGTGAGGATGTAACAGTTCTCAAGTCGCTTAGGCATATCAGGGTGACGAGCACCGTGGTCGAGGGCCAGTCCGCGAATCAGCCGAGTGTCGGCGGCTGTTCGGTGCTGCATCTTCATAATCTCCACCATGTGCAAATCGGGCTTCGCGGGTGCCTCGTAGATGGCAAGAACGGCATCGACAATATCGGGAGTGAGGTTAGCGGCCAAAGTCGAGTTGAGCTTGGTGGCGAGCGATGTTCGGGCGACGCTGAGGAGGAGTTCTCGGTCAACCTCCTTGGCGAGCTTGAAACCGTCGAGGAACTACAACAATAAGCCAATGTTCTGGAGCGGAGAGTTGTGAAACCCACCTTGAGAGCCTCGATTTTGGCAACCTCGAAACCATCAGTGATGATGCGAGGGTGCAGTCCTTCTGAGATATATCGGTCCGCTTGCTTGAGAAGCTCGCCAACCAGCATAACCACAGAGGTTGTTCCGTCACCGCAAATATCATCCTGAGCGGTCGCAGCTCGGGCAATCATAACGGCGGTAGGATTCTGTATTTGCATCTCGCGGAGAAGAACGTTTCCATCCTTGGTCAACTTGATCTGGGGGTGTCGGTCAGTTTTAGGAGTCGTCGAGGGGCATTTTGATAGAGAACGGTACCTGTCCCGCACCGTCGACAAGCCTAGGAAATTGTTAGTTTTCAAATAAATCGATTTGGCCCAAAAAACACTCACATCTTGATAGTGCCTAGGGGGCCTAAGTTGGACTTGAGGACATCCTGTAGACCCTCACCAGCGCTAATGTTGACTTTTAAAGCTTCGCCCCTCCTCTGCGACAACGGGGTTAGCAGGCTGCAAGGCCACTTCACTTGTCTGCGGGGGGTTTTCAACGAACTCGGGACTCGGCCTTGGGGTTGAGAAGTTGTGCGGCCGACATGATTGTAGATCTCGTGTAGGCACGAAGGCTATGTTGAGATCAAAAAGGTCGAGGCTTGAAAAAGCGGTAGTAGGTGTTGATGGAGGTTTCGCGATTTCGTAATCGCACAAGCTTGCACCAGCTGGTCACAGGCAATAGCGAACAGGCTTAGGCTGGGACATTTTTTCTGCCCCTCCTGCCCTCCAAGGGGTGGAAAGCGGTGTAAGGTGAAAGCACGGCGGGGTTCGGTGACGGGCCAATCAGTGGAGGGTTTGGTCTATATATCATGACATTAATTATCTGTAGCTACCATTGTTATTGGTTTATTCAATTCAGTACTTGATGAGATCTCTTATAAGAAGAGGTGTGATCTCAAGAACTATTTTCCCTATGAAATAGTTCTCGTTTTATATATATATCGTATTTTACCCACATATCTGCATTAACTATTTTTGAGTCTCATGATGACCACGAGATCATACATTGTATTTACAACAAGCTCTATGTCTTCATCTATTTCAACGCCAGCTCATGCAGTCTCTCGAGACATCCTATCTAATTACACTCCGCCCGATGCTTCTTCCAATCTTTCTTCTGGCACTCCCCTGAACAATATTTGACCTGTTGGCAACGCGAGCACTTCTTGAGAGTTACTCCCGCTTGACCCTCTGGCTTTCCACAGCTTCTACAACGTTCAATCCGAGTGACTGGGTTCCCCATGCTGGGAATCTCGGCAGGATCAATGACTTCTTCGTTGAACGGAATTGCATATGTTGGACTGATCGCAAGACGAACTGCATTCGGTGCTGCGTTCTCCCATTCAGGTAAGGATACGAAGTCCTCGGGCAGATTGCCGTTTCCGCACGAGCATAGGACTTGCTCGCTATCCTTGAGACTCAGGGGGATGGTCGCCCCTTTCTTCTTATACTCACAGCTCTTGCTATGAGACCAGGTTCGGCATCGTTCTACCATAGAGGGAAGGGCTTTCTTCCAGAGATCCAGTTCTCCGTCGTCCACGTCGATGCTACCGCACTCGAGCTCCCTGAGAATCAGGAGGAACGACTGCATTCGCCCGGATGTGACAAGGTCCATGGTGAATGGAATGACGGCTGCGTCTAGAACAATAGAGGCAGCATCGCCGTCAATTCTGATGGCCGATACAAAGATCAGCATATGGATTCCGCCCCGTTTCGGGTGGCTGATAGCAAACAAGCCAGTCTGGCCACCCTGTAATCCTGAGGCAAGCATGAACATGGTAAAGAGGGATTCTTTGAAGTTTACAACCGGATCGTGTGAGATGTCGTTCTCATCACGAGTGTTGCGGAGGTGTTTTTCTCGTGCGGAAAATTGTAGCGAGGTCAATGTCGTCATCCAGCGGTTTCTGTCTTTGCTCTCCAGGTCAAGAACAGGGAGATTATCTAGATTCAGGTGGGTTATGTTGAGAGTGACTGGAATACCAGCAGTAGAGATTGCCGAGGGGCACAAAAAGTCCAGGAGCTCAGGAGATGACCCTGGCTGTGCCAGAGGCGCTACCAATTCTATGTAACCTGTTGTTCGAGCAACTCGTGATTTCAGCCCATCCTTTGTGACGGGTAGTGGAAACTTGAGAGGACAAGTGTACTGGTTATCGCCAAACACAATATCAATGGTAAATGGGTTTCGTTGATGGAACTCGATCGGAACCTTATCCTTAAGAAGTGCCTTGCCTTTCTTCGAAGTTATGTCCAAATGTCCGGTAATAGCAGTAATAAAAGACTCTGAAGGTGTTATCTCAAGCAGAATCTTTGTTGCTTTGTCCTCTTGACCTTGGTTCACCGAGTTTTCCAGAGGCTTCACAGCACTACATAACAGAGGATAAGCGTTTTGTCCAGGCAGATGCTTCGTCACAAACACGTTTGAATTGTCAGCGGTACGGGTCTCGAAGACAGTCATGGTCATTCCAAGGATAGGCCCGAAGACGAGAGAGTTTTGCCCCGTCGGTGGGACACAGAGTCCTACCAAGGCTGAGTTGGGTTCGTTCTGCAGAGTTGAAGTGGGCACATAGAAAGATGCAATCAGAGGAGAATCTCCAGCCCAGCCATCCCGGTCTCTTTGAATCGTGACTTCAAACTCATCCTCATTGGGCATCTTCTTCGTTTCGACGTTGCCAAAAGAAATCTGAACATCTCCAAACATGTTTTGCCATGCTTCTGTGGCACCATGGCTGGACCTCACCGACCCAACAAGCGGGGGCGAGGCCAGCTTGGCGCCCTGATTCTTATGCTTATAAAGTCGATTCACAGCTTGTCTAGGAACTACAACTGTGATAGCGACCACTGGAGGAAGAGACTTCCAGCGGTTGAATCCCCCGTTCTCAGGGATACTTCTGCTCTCTTGTATCAACCAAGGCTCTGTATTGACACCATGGAGGTGGAGCTGGAGGCAAAGGTCCTGCATGCCATTACTGGCCAAGAAGAAGCGATGATCTTGAGCAATAGTATCAATCAGTGATGAACACATATTCGACCACTCAGTAGCGACTCGGTTCATGACGATTTTGAGCATGGCGGCGAAGCTTGTACGGATAAAGTGAGAATAGGACATTGCTCTCTGATGCCCCTCTTCTGCCTTGGATATGTTTTCGGCCTCGAACATGTAATCGTAAAGTGGTGAGAGGAGCTTAATCAACTGTTTCGAGTCGATGTGCAGCTTTCCATGCCTGGCCTGGCTCGAGAACTGGTTGTCTCGTTTCCAAGCCAGTCGGTTACGCGTTTGAGTCTCCCCCTTGGTTTCATTCATAAGCCCAATGAAAATCTCATCTACGTGTGATTCAACCTTTGCGTTGGTCCAGTACTGCACAGGGCTGAAACCAAGAAGTAGCGAGATGGTAGGCGCATGACCACAGAGAAGTTTCTCAAGGGCATTTTTCCGTGAACCTTCAGGCTTGATCAGAAGCTCTGTGAACAGTGACGACCATGGCTCGTCTTTCAGTAGAGGGCCAGCTGCAACAAGAATATTGAGAGCACCAATGTGATCACATAGGTTAGAGGTGTCGATGGCATCAAAAGATGATGGGCCCGAGCCACCCTTTCCGTAGCTCTTCGAGTCCAAGGTCAATGGTCGTGAGTCCCAAGTCCGTCGATACAGATTAGCGGGTTTTCCAGTTGCATGTGCGGTTTGAAAGCTGTGACAAAGAGTCAACGCATCTGTAACGGCAAAACGAATGACTATGTTATCCTTCAACGATTTAAACGCGGATATCCACTCATTGAATTGAATCTTGGCTGCGCTGGAAGCGGCGAATCCTTGCATTGGCTCCTTGGATTCGAGGGGCGAGCCATCAAGAAGCGTAGCATATGCTGTAGCCAGATGAAAGCCTAGGACAGGGTCACTTCCGTAGTGTAAGAGGCTGTCTTCCGAGAGGAGACTAGCAAGGAGCGGGTTTGGTAGCTTGTCTTCGGCCTTGCGCGGCGTGACTGTTCCATCTTTCCAATACTGCTCAGATGCCTCAAGAAGTACTGGCCCCGCTTGTAATGAAAGCGGTGCGGCTGAGCGCATAGCTGTCAAGTTGGTATTTCTTTGGAATCTTTCCTCGCGACAGCCCCTGGATGGCTGGATGTTCTCCTGAAAGGTCTCCATATAGCTACTCGACTGAGACTTGACTGCTGCAGTTCTAATGGACATCCACACGCGACGAATATCTGACAGAGTATCGGCATCGCAGAATCGAAGATATTTGCCATAGCTGCTGGTGTTCCAGTCATCTAGAGACTTTGATACGTTTATCAGCTTGGTAGCTGTTTCCGACACGGCAGAGGCAGTCTCTTCATCAACGAAAAGGTGGTAGTAAACATTCCAAAGCTGCTCGCTGCTCAACTTGCAATGCTCGCCCAGAAGGAAAGTCAAGAAGAAAGCATTGCGGGCTGTGTCTGGTCAGCGACTATAATGCGCTTGTGTATAGGGTAACTCACCAATGATGGGCTCGGCCACATCACAACAGGTAATGTCAATCTTTCTCTGCGCTACTTCAGTCAGTTAATTGTCACATAAAATGCAAGTCAAGACTCACGCAGCCCTTTCTCGAGGTAGGTGGTATAGAGAATATTGCGCAGGTCACCACAGCCGAGTGACAAGATGTCGACATCCTGCCCTTGAGGCACTGATTTTGTTACACTGGTAGCTGGGGTATTGCCAGCGGCATAGAGAAAGCCAGTCTTGACGGCGACAGTTGACGTCAACATGACCAATCACTCTTGAAAGAGGGTCTCACGATATTCTGCTAGATATTTGAAGAAGTGAGGTTGTGGTGTTGAATAAAGAATGTGATGATGGAGAGTTTTAAGCTGGAGTATTGAAAAGACAAGCTTGGGGGAAGGTGCAGATAGAATATGTGGCTGCGTCTTATGAGTGGAGAATCAGTGCGACGCTGGTTAATCAATGCCACGCAATAGAAGAGCACGGAGATGTAAACAGAACGTTTGGTAAAATGCTGAGAATTTTAATTTATATAGAAATGGGATTTGTATATTTACTGGTTATGATTGTTAAGTATTCGCTGTAGATAAAGCATGTACAGAAACACAGCAGTTGACTCTTTAAAGTCAATTGACATTTTACATCACCATCAACAGGTACAGAAGTTTAAAATCATCATTGAATGATGTTCCATTGGTAATTCAACTACCAAAGATAAAAGCAAAAGCCTCAAAACATAAAACTCCGGGCGGCTCAAGAGGTGTACGAACACCTGACCGCATTGAGACCTTTGCTTTCTAACGATCCAATTTCCAAATCCCAAATCGTAAAATATCCTGTTCATCTCCATTCGCCTGTTTGTCCCGATATGACAATAATCCCCTTTTGAAACCCAATGATAAAAACAAATACCCGATGAAACAACCCCCAAGCCATTTTTTGACCTTCTTCCTTTCGTCCTTGTTGTACATGACCATTGTCGTTTGAGCATTACATGGCTGGATGGCAATAAAAGCCCCAGGGCGTGAGCGTGAGTATCGTGAAAATGAGATGTAGCTTCTTCTGGAAGCTGGTGCATGCTGTTCGGAGCAAAATCAAAAGTACACCGCTGATTAAGTTACGAAAATGAACTTGTTTTTTCGCTGCACAGAAATCAAAACACAAAACAATGCAGAGGTGATCCGCTTAGTTGCTTCCAAAGAAAACGTCGTCGTTGTTGTTGGCAAACATGCCGACGTTGTCAAACTCATCCTCGTATTTGCCCATCACGAGCATGTTAGAATCGGGATCCAGCTGGATAAGATTCTCTTCGTTGGTGAATGCGTACAGCATGTCATCGTCCTGGTTGCTCATTGATAGGGGAAGAGTAGCGGCCATGGTTGCTGAGGTCACGAATGTTGTTGTGCCAGGAAGAACGGTCAGATCGTCGTTGTTGAGAGAGGGGTTGGCTTCCACTTCAAAGAAGTGGGTGGCCGGGGGAGAAGACGATTGTGAGAGCTCAGGAGGTGTGTTGTACTGGCTTCCGGCGCTCTTGGTCGGGGACGCGGCATGCATGGAAGTGTTGTCCATGATGGCTTCAGGAGAGACGTATGAGTGCACGCTGCCAGTGGAGGGAGAAGAGGCATATTCTTGGAGAGCCGCAGCAGTCAGGCTGGTCATGGGTGCTGAAGAGACGGCAGCAAGGTCCTGGCTCTGCGAGGTCATTCCGATGTCCATCATGTCGTCAAGCATGAATTGTTCTGGTGAGTTGACAGCTGAGCTGTCCGAGCATGCAGAGAAAGACGACATGGAGCTGACGGACATGTTCTTCTGGCGGGTCCTTGCTGACTTCTCCATGCGGGTCTCGATATCGGGACGGGTCTTCTTGGGGGGTCTACCTCGCTTGACAACCTTACGGACGACATTGTCGAAAGCGCCAATGCACATGCCTCTTTGGCGGTGACGAGTAAGGGCATCGTGGCGAGCAAAGCTGTTGCCACACTCGCAAGGGTAGGGCTTGACTCCAGTGTGAATCTTGGCGTGTCGCTTAAGGTCGTGCTGTCGGACGAAGCACTTCTTGCATGTGGGACATTGGTACTGGCGGTCGTTGAGGTGAGTTTGGACGTGAGACTTGATGTTCTCTTTGCGGCCAAACTTCTTACCGCAGTCCTCGAATGTACACGTCCACTTGCCGTCATTTCCGTCAGGGCCGCTGATGAACTGTGCAATCTCGTCCTGGGTGACGCCGGTCTCTGTCTTTGTCTCCTCAATGTTGATGCTGGCAATGCTAGCGGCACTGGCGATGCTAGCGACGGATTCTGTGCGGCGGTGGGGAGAGTCACGACGGGAAGGTGTTTGTGAAGGAGTACCGGAGATAGAGTGAGCACCCATTGAGTAGAGGTCGGGCTTGTTGTCGAATGAGCCAATGAAATGTGTCATTTGGGGAGTGTTGGGGGTGGATTGTTGTGGCATTTGGTGGCTGAGGTTGAGACCGTGGATATCTTCCCGGCCAAAGTCGCCCTCGATCTTCATGAACTCATTGCCAAAGCTGTTCATGTTCATGTAATCGGGAGTCGACATTGGTAATCCATTGAAGGACGCCTCGGGAAGAGTATTTGACCGAGCTGGGCTGGACATGACCTGGTCTGAGTGTTGTCTGATGTCCTGGAAGATAGTCTGAGCCCTTCGGTTTCCTCCTCGGTTTCTCACCGGCTTGATGGTCTCCTCCATTGACTCATCGTAGCCATCGGCGAAACGGCTTGGAATAGTCTCATCCTTAACCAATCGGTCATGGGGAGTCTCAATTGGTGTAGGTGGAAAGTAACCTTGGTGGAGGTTAGTCGCCTTGGGCATTGTCATTGTCCAGCTGAGGAACTGACTCTGTGTAGTTTGGCTCTGGCTCTGGCTCTGGTTATGATTGGGGGGAGTTGCTGGTCTATTTGTGTCCAAGTTCTCAAACTTGTTTACGCGGTCCAAGATACCACCGCTCACCCTCCTCACGGTCCTCTTTGCGCTGGAGGTATCACCTTCAGAAGCCCAGCCTTGGGCAGAGGACCCCTCGGAGGGGAAGCCGATGAAGCTCGGAGTCGAGATAGCACTGTCATTGTTAAAAATGTCAAATTCCTTACCTCCCGACATGTTGTCGCCGTAGCCAGCTTGTTGGCCCTTGCTCATCATCACGTTAAGGTCAGTGTAGGGATCAAAGGGGAGTGAGCTAGGGTCAAAGCAGGACGGGTCGAATCGTTGTGTCTGAGGAGTTCCGTGAGGAGACATGAGGAAGTTCTCATTTCCAGTTGGTGCCAGGTTGGCGTAAGGGTTCTGCGTGCCCGGGCGTGCTTGAATGCGTTGCTGCTGCGCTTCTCGCAGTACGTTATGCTGCGGATGATTGGCTAATCCTGTGCTGTTAGTATTTGTACTTACCATATAGTTCTGCCTTGATGTTGCTGGTGATGCTGAGCTGTTTTGACGTCGAATGTCTAGGCTGAGACCGCGGCGGTGAGCGGTTTGTCGTTGTGTTGTAGGCAGAGTAGGAATCTTGATACCCTCAAAAGCAGTCGGTGTCGAATTTTGACGCCGATGCTGCTTTTGACGGGCGTGAAGTCCTGTGGGATTGGACAGCATTTTGTCGCAAGGGGAGTCCGGAGTTGAGAATTGTCGTTGGTTGATATATTGTCAATGGGAACCTTTAGGTCCGAAACTGTTTGCCATTGACATGTTAATCAATGTGATCTGATATTGGCTTGTTTCCTTCTCTTTGCGTACCTCACGCAGCGCAAGCACAGAGCGCCGGGCTGGTTAAAATGGTGTTGTTGTTCTCAGTTGAAGTCGACTTTGCGATATAAGTGGTGGTTTGGCTACGCCTTTATCAAGGCGATGAAGTTTTTTTGGTGAAAGTGCTCTTCTGTGGTTGAGCTCTCTCTAGGGATGAGATTGGATGCGCTGTATTGTACAATGCTTTGTTGAAGATAGTACAATGCAAATACAGTATGTATGGAGTAGCTGTGATGCTAGATACTATACAAGAGGAGCAGTGTGGATAGCTTTGGCCTTGGATCTTTGGGGTCATCGTCAAGATCTACTAATTGTAAACACGCATCTACGTCACCACGGCAACCGGGTCGACCACCTCAATCCAGCTTCACCCACCTTCAGCCCGTCACCCTGGCACGCCAGGCGCTACCAGGCGGCTATAGGAGCGCTAATGGGAGCTAAAAAGCATTTGGTAGCCAACTTCTGAGACGTGACCCGGCGACAGACTCACAGACTTACGGAATATGGGAATATATCGCCCCCTCACGACGGCTTTGTGACGGTTCATTTTGGGTCTCACCGAAGAAGTATATCTACGATACTCTTGATCAAGACTGCACAATCTCCAATTGAGATCGATTATTATGTTTCTCGTGGATAAACCTTAAAACAAGTCGATACTCTCACCATCAACACACCAACAACTGGATATCCCGTACGGGAATAGCACCATCGGTCTATTCCCCGTTGCTACCCATAACAACGTCGGATTCCAGGACATGTCTCACTTACAAGTTATCTGTGCGAAAAAAAACAACCCTTGCAGCCCATGCAATGACGTTTTGTTTCAGGATCAACAGGACTACAAAGACCAGGCTGTCTTAGCTACCATCACCACGCCAAAGCCAGGCAGGCCAGGTTTCTCTTCCATACCAGGAAAAGATGTTCCATTGGACTTTGAAGACGCCCAAAAGGCCTCCAACATGCATTCAACATTCCTATCAAATAGTTGATGGTGATATGCTGTGTCACCATCACCTATTCGTTCACAATGGCGTTGCCTAGGTTCCCTGGTCCATTACTCTACAGTACATTCAGCTCCTCAGTTTGCTCGGCTGAGGCGTGAGGCGTTCTGCAGCACCACGAATGGCCTGGGCGCTTCTCGATCTTCAAGCATTTGATCTGCTCGATGTTAGACATGATGTACACCCAAAATTCTCGTTACCGATCAATCTGCCCCGTGATACTCCGTATATCTGATCATTATCTGTGAGGCGATGCCAAAGCTTACCCTTTGTCACAGCTTGGAACCGCTTACATCGCTATTCACATGATGTCGAATCAAAGTAAACAAACGGCTTTGAAGTGTATGAACTTTATAGTGCCTGCATATGCCTTTTTACTGGGGCAAGTCAACGTACCCTCCTCTGAGGCTCTACATAGTACTAATGTTGGTTGGTCATTGCGCTTCCCGTGTGTTTATTATTACTCGATTTGAGTTTTACGCTCATGATTATCACACCATCTCGGCCCTTTTGGGTGAGGAAAAACGCCTCAAAATATTTAACAAACACTGTTAATCGATTTAAGACTAAAGCCACCAACATATGACAGCGCCTTGAACAAAACATTATTTGAGTATCAACAGTCAATAAGTTCGTACTCCGTACACTACTCTTCAATGGTTCAGGGCACTCAAGTTATATAATCGAGTTATAGCCAGGCCAATTAGTCTACTACTTCAAGATATGGTCGACTAGTTTCAAGTGCCAGCAGACTACGTGCCACGGTATGATGTCCAGTTAACTGCCGGGACCGTTTCTCAAGTCAAAAAACAGATAAGCTGTAAGATTCCTGCGCTGGAGTGCCAACCTACTCAAATTTATGGGGGTTTCTTGGCCCTTTAAGGTCTGCAGACAAAACGCTCCCGGGTTGCCGATGTGGACGGCCCCACACGGCCGGCATTGCAGATATCCATTTCTGATGGAGGGTTGATGGCAATTGACATCCAATGTTTAAACGGTCGGCGGGACCAGTTAACTTTTAGCAACTTGGCATGCATCTGATGTGTAGGACAATCAAGTCATTCTAACAAACTAACGATTTCCAGCCTGTGGTGTGTTATTACAAATCGATGTGCGGTTTGGAGGGTGAGTGTAGGTATCATTTACCTACCTACTCCGTAGAGGCCTGAGAGATACACCGGCAAAGCAGGCGAGAAGCTTAGGTACGTATTTTAGGTAGGCACCTTATATTCATCCGCTCTCGGCACTTGCTTCAAATCACAAGTTGATACTTGAGTATGTGTTCCTGCCAACCTTGGACTACCTCGTGTGAAGGAAGGTACTGTACAGCTTCGATCATTGTTGGCAGCTGCTATGCATCATTGCTGCCGCGTTACGCAAGTCAACCACCGCACAGAATGCCTAGCTTCCTTTATATGGGACTTCTTAGAAGCACTCTCTCACAAACCCAGAGCATATTCTCTGGTTCCGTCTTTCAAGACAACAAAGCATTTCCACTAAGAGTCTCTTAATCTGGGGATCGAACTTTCTGCGGCTATATCCCCTGCACGCAAGCACGATGGATTCCGGCTTGATATCTTTTGACAAGTGCGAAACCACATTCAGGTCCGAGGACCCTATCTACGTTACTACATTCTTGCGAGACCTCAGGCGTCACATCGACGCGACTGGCCGGCATACTATTCTTTACGCTGGGTATCTACGTGCTCTACAACTCTACGGCAACGAGAATGCTTTCGAACTGACACCGAAGGAGAAGTTGAATTTTGAGAACTGCAGAGATTTGGAGATATGCCGAGCTGCAGCGCAAAATGATGGTTACAATCCCAGCGATGGCAGAACCAGCCCATGGGCGGGTGTATACTTTTCGAGAGAATACATCATGACATACCCAGGGCCTCTTGGTACCTCTTTAGCAACCACTGGAGAGGCTTCTCCAAGCACTTCCGGGAGCTCAAATAGCGATGAATCTTCTCAGCAAAATCTAATCGATTTGCGCACGTCAGACTCTTCCCTTTCCACTGTTCGACATTATAAGAAACCAGTGACTCTTCGAGGCATGAGTGGTAGCCGCGTGGTCGAAAGAAGTGACTTTGGGAACACCTGTGTCGGTGGGATGGAAATGGCTTTCGTGGTCACAGAACTACTTGAGCGGGTTGTAGAGGGCGATCTCAGTGACGATTGGAAGGCTGCTATCAAGGAGACACTCGATTACATTGGAGGCTCGCAGAACATGGGAGAATTCCTCGGTTTGATGTACGAGAGATTTCCCAAGCAAGAGGACATTTCTGTGGCTTCGACTATTGGCTGCCGACTGCGTGGCGTAGGCCCGAGCCTACTTTGAAGAAGTCGATGCCGGTATGGACTCACTCACTCAACTGTTCGTGGTCGGTGAGAAAAGGGAAGGCCAATCTGTTTCAGCATTGTTCCTCTATAGCATAATATCCGACTGGGCTCCCAGTGGATAGTGTGTAGTAGTTACATATGGAAATCAACTCATATTAGCACGGGCCCATGATGTGCAGGTAGTTTGCTGGCAGCGATGGATCCTCCCGACGAACTATATGTACGACACGATATCATGCAGGGCATGACTGGGACGGGCGTGCATAATAAAGAGTACCTAGTAGTTATAGACCCTTGAACTGATTAGACGGTACATACTACGTATGTTCGATCAGAGCCTCAATATCTGAACTTATTAATGAAAGAGTGCGAGCCTGTTTGATGAATTAGTCGGATTAAGTCGGTGTAGCGATATTAACGGGTATCTGATTGGCCCATAGCAGCTCCAGAGTCAACAGCCACTAAGAGTTACCACAACAACCTTGAAAGTCCAGGGGCCTAAAGGCGGGACACCAACCATCCTTGGACTCTGGAGCTTGGGGAGTCAGTCAGGTCACTCACCTCGAACAAAATCACCCGGTTTCCTCCAGCCGCAGAATATCTCGTCCACTGCGATTGGCTGATCCTTGATTTTCCCAGGTTCTCTCCATCCAAAGGCAAGAGACTCAGCTTTTTATCGCATCTCCCTGCCGCCCGACGACTGTGACCCTCTTTTGCTTATAGTAAAGCAAAAGCAGAAACGCCAATCGTCCTTCGCCTTTGGCTCTGACGACAAGCCGGACCGACTCCTCGTCTTGTCTTCGTTCCATCTGCCGCCATGTCGGGACATTCTCACAACACCCATAGAGGGACCCCCAATCGCAACCAGGCCCGTGGTGCAGTACCATTCACCAGCAGCCCTGGTGGTGGTTCCAACATCCCTCGGCCTGTCCTCGAACCCTCACCGCCTACCGAGACTGGATCTGCGGTCAGCGCCAGTCGTCAGAAGCAGAGCAAGCGTGATGAGGTTCGTCACGATACACCCTCTTGGCTGCCCTCAACCTGCGGAATATGCCTCGAGATACTTCGAAAAACAAGGTTGCTAACCTTTCAACTCAGGCCATCCGAAAGAAGCTCGAAAATGATCTCTCAAAGAAGAAGAACCTCACAAGCCGAGCTCGCCACTCCCGAAAGGCTCCTCCCGGAACTGTTCTCGCCCTGAAGCCCAGTCAGGCTCTTCAGATCAAACCTGGTACCACCGTCTCTGAGGCTGCTCAGTTGATGGCTGCGAAGCGGGAGGACTGTGTCTTGGTAACCGACGATGACGACCGAATTGCTGGTATCTTCACCGCCAAGGATCTTGCCTTCCGTGTTGTGGGAGCTGGACACAAGGCCTCTGCCATTACTATTGCCGAAATCATGACCAAGAACCCTCTCTGTGCTCGAACCGATACCAGTGCCACCGATGCCTTGGATCTTATGGTCCGAAAGGGATTCCGACATTTGCCAGTTATGGACGAGAATCAAGATATTTCGGGTGTGTTAGATATTACCAAGTGCTTTTACGATGCTATGGAGAAGCTTGAGCGTGCCTACTCGTCTTCCCGAAAGCTTTACGATGCCCTCGAGGGCGTCCAGTCTGAGCTGGGCTCTACCCAGCCCCAGCAGATTATCCAGTACGTTGAAGCTCTGCGCAGCAAGATGTCTGGGCCTACTTTGGAGACCGTGCTTAACGGTGTTCCCCCCACCACCGTGAGCGTGCGAACTTCGGTCAAGGAGGCTGCCCAGCTCATGAAGGAGAACCGTACAACCGCTGTTCTCGTTCAGGATCAGGGTGCTATTACGGGTATCTTTACCAGCAAGGATGTCGTTCTGCGAGTTATTGCACCTGGTCTGGACCCCGCCAACTGTAGCGTCGTGCGTGTCATGACCCCACACCCCGACTTTGCTCCCATCGATATGACCCTCCAGGCTGCTCTCCGCAAGATGCATGGCAAGTTTCTTCAGCGATTATACGTGGCACCGCTAACATGCCCTAAGATGGCCACTACCTGAACCTGCCAGTCATGGACGGCGGTGAGATCGTTGGTATGGTTGATGTTCTCAAGCTCACCTATGCTACACTTGACCAGATCAACGCTATGTCAAACAACAATGATGGTGAGGGTCCTGCTTGGAACAAGTTCTGGCTCTCGCTGGACGCTGAGACGGAGTCCATGATGTCGGGAGAGGGCAGCCAAGCTCAGCACACAAACCTTGGTTCCCGCCTCACATCCCCGGATATGGTTCGGGATCGTATCAATGACACTGTTGCTCCAGGAGATTCAGCCTCTCATGTCGGCATGGATTCTCCTCCTCGCTCTCTTCTCCCGGATGTTCTTGAACATCAGCTTCCCGAGGAATTGCCCTTCCCCTTCAAATTCAAGGCCCCATCCGGCCGAGTTCACCGCATGAAGATTACTGCTACAGAGGGTATTGAGACTTTCGTCAATGCTGTGGCTTCCAAACTTGGTGCAGAGGCAGACAGTATCGGCGGAGTCCCTCCTGTTGTTGACGGCAAGATTGTGGGTGATGGATTTGGTCTAAGCTTCTTGGACGACGAAGGAGACTCGATTTCCATTACAACCGACCACGATCTTCTCGAGGCTGTTATTCTTGCTCGTCAAGCGCATCATGACAAGGTCGATCTCTTTGTTCATGACCCTGAGAAGCCTCCTGCGTCTGCAGCGGCTCCCGCCACACCCTCAATCTCGACTGGCGCCGGTCTTCGGGAGCGCCGTAAGTGGTGGCCTGAAGATGAGGAAGAGGAAGATGAGGACGAGGACGAGGAGGAAGAGCATCACGCACGGAGACACCGCAAGAACCGTGCCCCCGCGCACCAAGCCCCGGAGCAGCTTATTGCCGGTGTGCCGAATGAGCTTATTCTCCCTGGCGCCATTGTCACATTGGCTGTTGCCATCGTGGGTGTTTTTACCATAGCCAGGCTCAGCAGCCGGTAAAGGCTCGCCCTTTCAGCTTAATGACATGATGAAGACTGGGGAGCTTAAGTGTAGATATTGAGAAAGAGAAAGTTGTGCTTCATAGTAGATTACCCTTGCAGAATTAATTCATTGCTAAATCAATTTCATTTGTTAAATAAAATCAATTGACTTAATTACTCTTATTTGTGAGAATCGTGTTAATGATGAGCATGTAAGGTAAGGGTTGGTGTTAGCCGGGCCGGAAAATCTCCCTGCCCGGTTCATTGGCCATAGCCAAATTTTGGCTACTGTCGAACGACCATCACGGCTATCGAGTAATCTCCAAGTCGTCGCCATGATCCTGAGGAACGCCCACGTGCGGCATTGTGAGTTAATTGAGACGCAGCCTTCCCCAATAATATGCTGACATGCTCAGGCCGCCACATATTGGCCTCTCCTATCTCCAGGTCTCTTGTTCGGCAATTGTCCACTCAAGTCATCACCAAAACCGAGACCACACCTGAAGTGAAGGATTGGACGACTTCTCAGCCCTCCGCCGCTCCCCCCAAGATTATTACAGCGGCTCGAAAGAAGCAGAGAATTGTGCAGGATGGTATTCTCTCCCTCAGGACCAACTCTGCGCACGAGCACAAGGGTAGTACATGGACGACGCCTCACAAGAACTCGAACTCTGCGACTCCTGCGACGCCCGCTCAGCAGTACAGGGAATGGAAACGTATTCAGGCCAACACACGAAGTCTCGGCTCAAAACTCGAGAAGCGATATGTCCCGACCGAGCTCGTCAACAACCCGCCCGGACCTGAGGATATCACCCTGGAGATGTTGATGGCTTCGCAAACACACATTGGACACAAGACTTCGCTGTGGAACCCCGCCAACTCTCGATACATCTATGGTGTGCGTCAGGGTGTCCACATTATTTCCCTCGAGACAACTGCGGCACATCTTCGACGAGCGGCCCGTGTGGTGGAGGAAGTTGCGTACAAGGCTGGCCTAATTCTTTTTGTTGGAAACCGTAAGGGTCAAATGGAGATTGTGACCCAGGCTGCTGAGATGGCTGGTGGCTGTCATTTGTTCACCAAGTGGACACCTGGAGCTATTACCAACCGAGATGTTATCTTGAAGATGGCTGGTACAAAGGTTGTGGACCATAAGGACAAGGAGCTTCCCGGGTTTGAGAATTATCGAGGTTCTGCTCGACCTCTGATGCCCGATCTGGTTGTTTGCCTGAACCCCCTTGAGAACTACACTCTTCTTTACGAGTGTGGTCTTAAGAGCATTCCTACGATTGGTGTTATTGACACCAATGTTGACCCATCATGGGTAACTTACACCATTCCTGCGAACGACGACAGGTAAGTACCTCTGTGCAGTTTGATTCTCAGCAATATTGACAAACTACTAGTTTACGTGCAATGGCTGTTGTTGGTGGTGTCCTCGGCCGAGCTGGTCAACGAGGTCAGCAACGTCGTCTGGCAGATGCTAAGAAGGACAAGGCAACATGGGAGAACCCTCCTGATCTTGTCCAGCATATGACACGCGAGAAGAAGGCCGCTATTGCCGAGCGCAAGAACGTCATGGGTCAGATGCAGCACAACATTGAGGGATTCACTGAGGAGGAGCAGAAGCTTTTGCGAGAACAGTTCTACGGAGAGAACCTCGAGGTTACCGAGAGCGAGATGGTTGACATGATGGGAGAGGCTGCTCTGGGAGCTGCGAAGGAGGCTGCTGCTGAATCTGTTGCCTCATTGCCTGAACAACCCACCGCCTCTGAGGCGCCGGTTGAGGCTGAGACTAAGCCTGCCGAGTTGACTTCAACACTAGCTGAGCAGCTTCCTACCCCTGAGGTAGCATCTGAGACTCAAGTTGAAGCCACGCTTGCTGAGTCTATTTCCACTTCCCCTCAACAGCCTACTTCCTCTGAAGCAGCCACCCAGTCTGTCGAGCAGCCCGCTGCCCTGGAGGTTGTGGCTGAAGCTCAGTCCGAGATTCAATCTGCTCCGTCTACACACAACTCTGACTCCAGGTTGACAACCATAGAGGAGCAGCTGTCAGGACTCAAGGATGCGGCGCAGGCGATCGAGGCCGATATCAAGAGCGGCAAGAAGTAGAAAAGTAGTGTACAATAGAAGATGTATAATAGTCTACGGGAGAAATAGAGTAAGGAAGCGATGTATGCTCGTATGAATATAAAAACATGTATTGTATTTAACTGCCGTATATACACTGTTTTCATACATTTACCTTTGATTGTGGCCGATCACGGCGATACCTTGCCGGATAAACAATCGCCCCCAGTTTTTAAGTCGTTGGGTGGACTTACCGTTTCCAGACGGCTTTTCTCCAGTTGACTGCCCCGCCTCCATCAAATTTGGGGAGTTCCATTAGGGACGATTTGACTCAATGCAGCCTGCGCATTTCCCCTCATCACCAAAGCACATCTCAGCACAGTCACGACGAATATCACAGCACAGCACTACGGAACAAAACAAGCACCTCACTGCAACGCCCTGCACATCGCATAGCGGAGCACTGGACGTCCATATTGGGGCTTTTACTGGATCATACTGCCACCTATTTACAGTTAGTCCCCAGTGGATGTCCCCCCCAGCCAGCAAAGGGCGCGCTGTACTCCATACCCCAGCTGTCAAGGCCACCACGCAGCCTGCCCCAGCACACTGACATCGGTTTTACAGCGCAACTACACAATAAGCCTAGCAGTCTAGAGATCTAGGTAGAGGCTTCGGTGCGAAATCGGGGTCTGAGAGAGCACTCCACCATCACGGAGTCGCCCGTAATAGTTTAGCTTTTGGACCGAGTTATTCTTATTAAATTGCCGCGGTCTGGCTCTTTCTTTTAATCGGTATGCATCACTCTGTACCTTTTTCTTTCATTCTACACTTTCAGTCTTGTTGATGGTTGTTTGAAGTAAGACAACATCACCCAGACAGCGAGGATAGATCGTAAGTGACAAGAATCAAAATACTAACTGTGGTCTACTAGGCATAAGCACTTTCGTCGTCCAATTAAATTATCCTTCTGCTTTCGTTCTCTTTCTTGTTTCAACCCCGCATAAAGGATTTGCGCCCTCCAAACAAAATGCCGGCCATGCTGGATGATCCGGCAAGCCCCACTATCTACCGAGTCTCCGGTCAGCCCCCGTACCCGGACCCGAGCAACCCCGGCTTTCCGGCCGATATTACCCCTCGGCAGGTGACGCTCCGTGATCGTCAGACCGTCGCCACTATTATCCCCTTTGCCTCGAAACACCAGGTCCCCGAGTCGCTGATTGCCTACCTATGTGACCAGATCAACAAGGAGATTGAAGGCGGCGACACGTATCCCATGATGGAGCCGTTCGCCGCCGATACGTTCGGTTCTTACTGGTTCCAGAACTTCGGTGCTATTATGCTCCTTGGAAATGTTGAACGTGCCGAGGATGTTGTTGAAGGCAAAGATTGGTCCCACGAGTGTCTGGGAAGCTTCTATATCAAGCCCAACTATCCCGGCCGCAGCAGCCATGTGTGTAACGCCGGTTTCCTTGTCACTGATGCCGCACGTAATCGTGGCGTTGGTCGTCTCATGGGCGAGGCGTATCTAGACTGGGCCCCTAGGTTGGGCTATACCTACAGCGTCTTCAATCTGGTGTACGAGACCAATGTGGCATCATGCCGAATCTGGGATGCATTGGGGTTCAAACGCATCGGCCGAGTAAAGGGTTGCGGAAACCTTCGCAGCTATCCGGGGCAGTTGATCGATGCCATCATCTATGGGCGGGATCTATCACCACGCGAAAGCGAGGAACTCGTGAGTGAAGAGCGTTTCGACAAGATCAAGTTCTACCTCAAGTACGGCGAGTACCCGAACGGCGCTGACCGCGCTGAGAAAAGCAGGCTCCGCAGCGCAGCGACGCACTATAAGCTACTCGAAGGCGACAAGCTCATGCTCAAAGATAAAGAAGTGATATCAGATCCATCTCGCCAGTTCGACATTGCTCGCCAGGTGCACGTTCAGCAGCATGGCGGCATCAATAAGACTACAGCTACTATTGCAGAGAAGTACCACTGGAGTCGCATCAAGGAGACAGTCAGCGATGTTATTCGCAGTTGCGGCGAGTGTAAGGAGCTCGGCAAGACGCCTAATCCCGGCGGTGCGAGAAAAGCCACCTCTTCAAATAACCATGGCGGAGGGAGAAGGTTAGGAGGTGTAATCGGGAACTCAAACGATCACCAGGTACAAGCAACGAGTCCTCCGCCCCCACAGATGCTACCGCTGCAAGAGCACAGCATGATATCGACACTCTCACAACGAACTCCAGACCACGAGCATACACCAAGTCCATATGCTAACCCAGCCGATATATCTCTGATGGCCCCTCCTCACACTTTGCAAAACAGTGCCATGGACCATACACTCCACTCACACAGTCCCATGCTTCAAGATCCTCCTAACGACCACCATCCACATAATCACTCTGTATATCAACCCATCGACCCGCAGATCATCAACCAATCCTCCCCGCACGACCTTGGTCCTTTCGATCAGTACCACTCACCTGCCGACTTCCAAGCCTTGCTCAACGCGACTGAAGATGTAGGACAAGATGTTGCGGACGGGGACTTGGTGATGTTAATAGAACAGCATCAGGATGATGATAATGTCATGGGTGGGACGGTTGATATGGAAGGTATGGGCGTGGATGTCGATGTCGAAACGGATAATCAGGGGCTTGTACACAAGGAGAGGAGTCTGTATGATGTGGGTTTTGGAGGGCATGGTGGGTAGTTTCGGTGCTGCGTCTATGGGTGGTACTATACTGTCAAAGCATGAAGCGAGCGAGTTTGAGTTTTGATTTGCTTTTTTTCTTCTTTTTCGAGCATGAGCTTTATTCTTGTATATAAATACAGCAGCCAAATATTTGCTTATATGGCATGGGTGATGCAGTTCTATCCATGGGCTACATCCCCACAACGAAATTTCTGCAGTTGTTGGTTACTAGTAGTATGTCACTTTCACTGGGTCTTTGAGGAGAGTAAATAGAGGTCATCAAGTTTCAGAGGTCAGATAAGTCTAGGTATCATACAGATCCTTTGGCCCTTCAGCCACGACACCACCACTCCCATTTTCCACGTCTATGTATTCAGGATAAGTTAAGTTCCCCTTTTTTTAAACTTGATCATAGCATCCATCTCTCATTAGATTTTGTCCCTTTACCTTCGGGGCATGCCACGTCCACGGCCTCGCACAGCACGCTGGGCAGCACCTGGTGGTAGCTGACCAGGGGCCTGGGGCTTAGCGCTCTCCTCGTTGCGGATGGTCTCATCAACACCAAGGATGAGGCAACTGGCCTCGGTAGCGGCCTGAATAGCGTTGATCTTGACAAGAGCAGGCTCCCAGACGAAACGCTCCATCATATCGGTAACACCCTCGTTCTGGAAGTCAACACCAGCCCATGTCTGGCCCTTGCGGTGCTCAACACGGAGCTTGTTGAGGATATCTGTAGCATCAAAACCGGCGTTGTCGCAAAGCTGGCGGGGGATGATCTCAAGAGCCTTGGCGAAAGACTTGATAACAGCTTGTTGCTTTGTGGTAATGTTCTTGTCGGCATATTGGTGGAGGTAGGCTGAAACCTCCATCTCAACAGCACCTCCTCCACCGACAATAAGGTGGTTTCGGATAGCTCGCTTAACAATCATGATAGCGTCGTGTAGAGATCGCTCGACCTCAGCAATGAACTGCTCAGCACCGCCTCGCAGGACAAGTGTGCATGTCTTAGCCTCGGGGCAGTCCTCGAAGAAGTTGAATCGCTCGCCACCGATCTGGCGCTCCTCAAATTTGCCGCAGGTACCCAGGTGCTCAGGCAAAATGTCGGAGCATGTTGACTGGATAACAGCACCAGTAGCCTGCACGACACGTTCCATATCATCACCGGCAACACGACCAGCACAGAAGACGTCGCGGTCGGCAAAAAACTGGGTAGCCAAGTCACCAATAGGCAACTTGCTGAGCACAACCTTGGCACCAGTCTTGTAGACTGCCTCAAGCTTCTTGTAGATGATTTGCCATTCGGCATCGACGATAGCCTGGTACTCGGAGACCTGCTCGACACGGACCTCGGCGTTATCCTTCTCAGCCTTGAGCTCTAGCTCGACGTTCAAGCACACAATCTTGGGTTGCTCGAAGGATTTTGGTTGTTGCTCGAAACCGGCGTAAGAGAAGGTCTTCTTGAAAGCAACACCGTTAACGAATTGGGTTTCGGTAAGCGAACCACCGGGAATCTTCTTCATGCCGATAAGCTTCTCGTTAAGGTCGTCCTGGTCGAGTGACAAAACGGCATCGACAACCACTATAATCAGTTAGCGTGATGTCCAAGTATGGGTATCGGGCAATCCTGCATACTCTTGGTGAAGAAAGTAGTATTGCGCTTAATCAGTTTGCTGGTCATGGCGGTAGAAGCCAACTTGATGAGAGTATCGCGGCGGTTGCCCTCATCAGTGCTAACGGCGATCTCCTTAATCTTGTTGACGGCCATCTGGGATGCCCTCCGCAGACCCTTGATGATGACCTGAGAGCTCACACCCTGCTCGACGTGCTCCTTAACCTCCTTCAGGATCTCACCGGCGAGAACAACGACCGATGTAGTACCGTCACCGACCTCGGCGTCTTGCGATCGAGCGATATCGACGAGGATTCTGGCAGCAGGATGAACAATGTCGAGGAGCTTTGCTTAGTTAGCAATGGAATGGGGTTATATGGATGTTCTTTCGAGCGCTTCGAACCTTCATGACGGTGGCACCATCGTTGGTGATAGTCTGTCGTCCATTCTCATCAACCATCAAAAGGTCACCGCCGTAAGGACCAAGAGTGGATTTGATGGTGGCCTGGACGGCGAGACAGGCATTGATGTTGGAGACAATCTGTCCCTTGCCCTGAGAGGTATCGGTTCCTGCAAGAAAGAAACATGGTCAGTAATCCGTTGCGATCATATGCGTTGTTGTTATATCGTGTTTATGCTGTCTTCTTTTGGACGTATCCCCCCCTAGATTTCGATTTCGAGGGGTGAAGCGGGCGGCGGTGGGGTAAAACGTACCTTCCTTGAGGACGATAATCGTGGGCGTTTGGCCTCCGAACGACATTTTGAAAGTGATGGAGCGACCCGAATCTGAGTATGAAAAGTTATACTCGTGTTGGAAGTATGTACGGGGTCAAGTTTCGCTCCGTTCGGTCGGTGGGGGGAAATAAGTCGGCGGGTTCGAAGTGGGAGGAGCTGTGATGGATAGAAGCTTCCAAAAAAATGTGGCAGCCTTCTTCCTCATCATGCCTTGCCCCAGTCACGCACGGACCGTTTTTCTATAGGCGTTAAGGGTCTTGACTTGGCCAATCAAGTTAAGATTTTCTATTCAACAACCAAGTCTTCAATAAGTTTCAAATGGTAGAACAACTTTTTACTTGATTCAGCAGTTGTTATGCGTTAACAACTTTACCTTGTTTTACTTGGCTCACTTAATTGGGTTGTACTCACAGAACCTCAAAGTCTTAGCTACCCTAAAACCCCGGAGTGAGGTAGCAAAAATGATACCCACTGATATAAACAGCTCAGAGACTAAAAGTAAACTCCCCCGGGAAGGCTCGAACTTCCGATCTCCCGATTATCAGTTAATAACAGTCGGACGCTTTAGCCAACTAAGCCACAGGGGAGAAGCTTATTGGATGAGCTGGCGACTTCGTGACGCCGTCTATGCTGCTGCAGCTTCAGATTGCTAGAGGGAACATCCTTACAACAACTAGTTTTGTTCCAAGATAGGATTTATCTTGCCGAAGAGTTGATTAAATCAAGCTGGGGTCGGTAGTGCATCTGGTGACTTGAATCAGGCAGCTGATAATAAGTTTGATGTCCAGGTGAGTATAGTAGTCGAAAGGACATAGCATAATCGTCAAGTGGTTGATGTATGTATACTACATACCTAGGGTGTTTTAAATTTCATCGAAATAGTCATGCTCTGCTTAAAAGTATGAGACCGAAGCATCACTTCAGTTGGCTGTAAGACAACATGCGACGCGCCATCTCTATTCAATCACATCATTGGATTGACATCAACGCCACAAATGCCAGCAGAGACACTCTATCCATATGCTAAAACAATCTGTGCAGTAACTATAATGGCTGTGTTCTAGAATGCTTAGGCAGTATTTCGCCTTATAATATACAGTATGTTGGTTCTTTTACAGGTCACGCCCAACGGATGACGTCCAGATCAATTGTTCACGTCTATCAATTGATAATAGTTGCGAACTGCCTACTTCACCATCAGGTACTTATCATGGACGATGCGAAGAAGACCAGTTGAAGTTTCAGAAACAGCAAGGCCTTGGATATCCCAATCCCTGTTCTCCCCACATCATTCAGAGTCAACACTTTATCGGTTTCTTGTGCCGCACGGCACACTCGCTGCTTGAGTGGTCACAACCTGACGTGTAAAGTCAATAACCCATGTTACTTACACTGGTTTTATTGACTACTTACTAGTACCTTGAGCCACGCAACCCAGGATGGCAGTCGATGCGTGCACCAACCTATGGCCTCGATCACACAATACTGCGAGTCTACGGAGTACTTAGTCACACGTTATCATACCGAGCACAAGCATTGTCTAAAAAAATAAGGTAAGAGGAAAAAGTTGTGACGACAAAAGAATGAATCATCTCCCCCGGGAAGGCTCGAACTTCCGATCTCCCGATTGTCTATTAAATAACAGTCGGACGCTTTAGCCAACTAAGCCACAGGGGACGACAGGCTATTGCCTGAGTTGTTCGGATATCAAGTACTATCAACGCTAATGGCGACTCTTCTCGATCTTCGTAAGTTCAACTTGGTCTATTCCATCAGGAAATGATAAAAGAACAGGGAGGAATTTAGTCATTGTTCTTTAGCGTTAGTTTAGATCAGACTGTCGTTTAGTATCCTGGTATAGGTACGCACCAGTAATGATCCCACCATATAGGGACATGGTGCTTTCGGACCGTTGCATCGTATCTTATATCACGACTTTCTGTTTGCAGAGAAATCTCTCTCGTCAATAAATCTTAGTCTACGTATTCTACGTTAATATTGAGTCATCAGTCGTTGTTCCACATTTGTTAAACTTCTACTTTACTATAGATACTGGACAGTCAAGCTGAATATCTGGACAATTGATTCAATACCTGCTCGGCTTTTGTTCCTCTACCGTCTATATGTTGGCTGGCGAAGCACTGCAAGGTTGGTTTTGTATGTGGCAGACATTCTAACTCTTCGCCCATTGACCCAGGCGAAGTTCTCTGGGCGGAGGTTCTTTGATGGCATACTCGCTTGGTAGGGATTACTTCGACATCTTACCATCTGTTATATTTCGACCAGACGACAATTTACCCACATAGTGGCGCGAACATGATTTGTGAATTTTATTTTAAATCACCCAAGAGCCTTGAGTATTTGCTTCCTTTCATCTCTAACGATTATCTTGGAGCCTTTTATATCAATCTCCTTAGAAAAGTAGTTACAACACCCAGTAACAATGGATCTAGGGTACTAGCTACCTCTACTGCAACACCACTCCCACCCTCCCTTTGATGTGATCGCTACGATTTATCGACAAATGAATGCTACGCTCTAGCATTCACTGGATATCTCAAGAGGCATCATATACAGTAGGTGAATAAAGTGAAATAAAGAAAGGGATAACAATATCACTTACAGACCAATTAGTAAACAGCCTGCACAGTCAATAATGCAAAGCGACAAAAGTGTTGCTAAAATAAATATTTGCCTTTTAGTTAGTATTACCCGGATAGAATACGCTACTAAAGAAGCTTATTTTTTGTTATGCATCAAACACCTTTGTAGATAGGAAGCTATATCTTAATCATCCGTAAGGTCTTATTCAACCGTTGAAACGTCCACGTCCCTTTAAACTTGCAGGAACGAACCTGGAACGGAAGGACCCGCTAAAATTGGGACGCTAGACTCCACAACCCCCCCTGAAGTTAGCTTATCAGCCAACCAAAGCCACTAAGAGGATGTTACTCCTGGCCAAGCCAACAAGGGCCAACAAGGGTAACAATCTAATGGAGGTCTCCTTCCGTCAAGCTCTCAGATCTTGAGACTGTCCTTTCTCCATAATCTCGACGACACTCGCTATCCTTTTCCCGTTATTCATCTTCATCGCTTTTGTGTTATTTGTTGGAGTTTGCACTATTCCTTCCCCCTTTTCAGCTAACCCGGACAGAAGAAGGAAGCTCGAGATACCCGGTGTCTTGTTGGTCAGGTACTATACGGAATGTTGCGCCTAGTATCATAGGCGACACTAGAGTCTTCGACGACACGATCGACCGAACCCCTTGAGTAAAGCGTGACCTTCCCTAAGGGAGCATTTCGATTTAGCTGGCCCAAACCAGTTCTCGATTTTCAAAAGATTCGCTTCGGCGATCAACAATCCGCCGCAATGCTTCCGCTCCGCAGACGTGGACGATTTTATGCCATAGTGGCTGTGGTTATGGTTTTCTTGCTGTATCGTTTCATGCAAGATTCATGGTCACAGTCCCACTTTGAGACGGTAAAGCAACCGGGCCAGTCAGCCTCTGGGCCAGTGCAAGGCTCTAAAGAATCTTTCGAACCGGCTGTCGTACCGCCGCCAAACAACCTCCCCGACTCTGAGCAGGATTCCAGTGCTGCAAACAAACCCAAGCCAGCCGTGCCCCAGGGTGACACGAGCTCGCTGGACAAAACCCACGAAGATATCCCCGCGAAAGTTGATACACCCGTGGAAGAGAAGCCTGCCGCAGAGCAACCAGTTCAAGTGGAGGATGACCCAAAGGCCGTGCCTGAAGGAAAGGCTGAAGACAAGACCGATGATAAACCAGAGAATAAGGCGGAAGACAACAAGAACACACCAGAGCAAGACCCACCTCAAGTTCCTGCTGTTCATTTCAAGGATCCTCCTAAGCAAGTCGATAATCCTGACATCCCCGACGTTAATGTCGACGGTTCAAAGGTTCATTGGACTAAGCCTAAAGAGAATTTCCCTATCCCTCCTGAGTCTATCAAACCACTCCCAACTGGCACACCTCCTAGTATCAACAGAATCCAGTTTGACTTCCAACCTGAGGATGTTACAACGAGCACCACTCGCATAGATCGATTAAATCGTGTTAAGGCCGAGATCGTACGTGCTTGGTCTGGTTATCGCAAGCATGCCTTTATGCATGATGAGCTCTCGCCTGCTTCTTTGAAATTCCGCGATACTTTTTGTGGCTGGGGCGCAACACTCGTCGATTCGCTTGATACTTTGTGGATTGCTGGTATGAAGGAGGAATTCGATGAGGCTGCCAAGGCCGTCGCCAATATTGATTTCACTTACACCCATCGCAACGATATCCCTGTGTTCGAAACCACGATCCGTTACCTGGGTGGTCTTGTCGCTGCGTATGATGTGAGTGGCGGATCGTCTGGCGAGTACAAGGTTCTGCTTGACAAGGCCGTCCAGCTTGCCGAGGTCCTTATGGGCATTTTTGATACTCCCAACCGCATGCCCTTATTGTATTACCGATGGCATGAGCCATACTCTTCGCAGCCTCACCGTGCCAGCACTGTCGGTATCGCAGAACTCGCAACTTTGTCAATGGAATTCACCCGCCTCGCTCAATTGACGGGAACACATAAATACTATGATGCTGTCGACCGCATCACTGATGCTTTGATTGAAATGCAAGCAGCTGGCCGCACTCATATTCCAGGCCTCTTCCCCGAAAACATCGATGCCTCTGGTTGCAACAGGACCGCCGACACTCAGACAGAAAGCCTTAGTCAAGAGGCCCTGCAACAGGTCAAGTCCGCTGATCTGACTAAGGAGCCTGAGGGCTTCAATCCCGCCACACAAGGCGATGCCCCGGGCGATTCTGAACAGCTCCCTAAAGCTGACAGTCGTTGGGAGGACAAGCTCCGCCGCCGTGACGTTGCTGAGGGTACTAGCGAGTCTCTTAAAACGGACGACCAGACACCGGCTCGCCCTGCAAGTCAACAAGCACCCCCTTTGGCTGCAGATGGTTCTTCGGCAGATTGGGAGTGCAAGCCCCAAGGCCTTGTTCCCAGCAGCCCTCACTACGGACACTACCACATGGGAGGGTCCCAAGATTCAGCTTACGAATATTTCCCCAAGGCACGTTGTCTCATGTCGATTCTGCGTAAACTTTCCAACTAACCTTTCTTAGCAATACCTTCTTTTGAACGGTCTGGAACCCAAGTACCGTGCGCTTTACGAGAACACTATTGATGCTGTCAATGAGTGGCTGCTTTACAGACCCATGATCAAGGATGACGGCTGGGATGCTTTCTTTACTGGAAAGTTGACCACTTCCAGCAGAGGTGACTCTGAATGGACAAAAAGTTACGAAATGGCCCACCTTTCATGCTTTATTGGAGGTATGTATGGATTGGGAGGCAAGATCTTTGGTCGTGATGGAGATATCGACAAGGCCAAAAAGCTCACTGATGGCTGCGTATGGGCATACCAATCAACGCCCACCCATATCATGCCTGAATTTGCTCATTTAGTGGCGTGTCCTGCCCTGGAAAAGTGTGCCTTCAGCGAGGAGAGCTGGTATGAGGATCTCGACCCCAGCAGGGAATGGCGAGACAGCGAGTTCCGCAAATGGTCAGAAGGTGAGGCTCAGAGGAAGCTTGCCGAAGATGCCGCTCCTGTTCCTGCCCAAGCCCCAGGATCTCAGCCTCCCACACCTCAATCGGGGGATGGAAAAGAACAGCCTGGCCAGCCTGCTCAAGCAGATAAGCTTGGTGGCTCAAGCGGCAGTGCAGAGCCTGTAGTGAGACCCTTGGAGGCCGCCGGAGCAGCAGCAGGTGGGCCTCCGAATGTTGTCAAGCGGGCTGGTATACCGATGCCTGAATTGGACAGAAAGACGGAGGAAGATGCGTCGAAATTTGGCTCAAAACTCCCCGACTCTCTTAAAGATAAGATCGGACTGAACCAACCCGAGGCGGAAAAGACCGACGCCGACAAACCTGAAGGAGAGAATGGCGAATCGAGCAAGAGCGATTCCGACAGAGCCGAGCCTGCTCTAGCCGAGTCGATTAACAAACCTGCCGCTGTTCAAGACGTGATAGAAAATGCCGCTGAGCCAAAACCAGCTACTGTGGACAGTTTCGATACTATGAAAAACTCGGAGCAAGTTGCTGCTCCTGACGGAACGCCTTTAGAGAGACCCATGACGCACGAGGAATATGTCAAGTCTAGAATTGAGAGAGAAAGACTCCCTCCTGGTTACACGGATATCATTAACCGGAACTACATCCTGCGGTAAGTCTTTGGAGCAAAACCCTACCCATTGTCTTTGCTAATACGAATGTTGCAGACCTGAGGCCATCGAGTCTGTCTGGTATATGTATCGCATTACTGGCGACACCACCTGGATGGACAAGGGCTGGAACATGTTCCAAGCTACTATCGCTGCGACTCGCACCGAATTCGCCAATAGTGCCATCGAAGATGTCACAGACACTACGCAGAATGGTCTGAAGGATGAGATGGAGAGTTTCTGGCTTTCCGAGACTCTCAAGTACTATTTCTTGCTCTTCTCAGAACCCAACGTTATCAGTCTTGACGAATGGGTCCTTAACACTGAAGCACATCCATTCAGGAGGTCCACATGAGCGATGATTTTGTGTTTTTAAGGTGCGATAATAATATGTGTGTGAAGGGTGCTAGTCTTTGAAAAGGGGGAAGCAACGGGTTGGTGGACGGCTGTCTAATTTTGGGAAATCCAAGTCACGGTATGACGACGGCGTTTGGAGAAGGGCCAGTAAAATATTTGATTCTGAGGCGCGAGACATCTAGAGGTATTTAAATGTATAAGAGTGCCTTGATGGCAGCCAGGATATCCCTTCAGCGTCTTGCATACGCTCTCACTTACCGGCAGCGTCCCACTGGACTGAGATGGGCTGATGGTTACCAGAAAACTTTGTCCCACCAAACCACAGTTCGAATCTCAAGTCTGCCGGCGCTACAATCACTCGAATATCGAATCTACATATGTAGTACTTGTGACCACGGCGGAAACAGGTGCCTCTCTTCTCTTTCAAAACGAGCTGATGCTGTTCGACACCGGCAAGGTTGCTTTTCACAGCGCAGAGCTTCATAGCGCCAGCTTGCTTAAGACTTCGAGGAAGCCATTTTGGCTCGTTGTTTGATACAACGATCTCTGCGTCCCAAGCTCGGGTCGTGTCGCCATCTTTCAGCCTGATCTCGAAGGGTTTGGCTAACGGAGAGTCAGGATCGACGGTGTCTCCCTGTACCTTTATCAGCATATTTTACCTCATCAACAATAACGATAGCTATTATCAAAATACCTTTTTGATCAACCATTGAATTTGATTCGTTGCCCACTTCACACTCGGGTCCCATGGGTCGTCTCGGACGTCAGCATCAAAGTGGTGCGCAGGCATATATACTTCTTGAACGATGACACCGTAACTCGCTCGGGCGATCCAGCTGCTCATGACGGATTTGTTCCCTGATTCGATCTTTTGACGCTTATTCTCTAAGACTCCTCGAGCAACTATGAGCTGCGGATCTTGTGATGGTATGACAATGATGCTCCGAGCATTGGGATGTTGGAGCTTAGTCAAGTGGTCTTGGAGTGCTTCGCGCACATATGCAGAGCTTCCGAGACCCCCTGAGAGAATCACGTATTCCTAGACTGCGGTATGAGCTTTGTTGAGCTTGAGGCTTAGAACGAGCTTACCACTTGATCGTGAAGGCCCTCCTCAGTTAACCAATCGAGTCGCTTCTTGATCCTGCTCATAATTGCTTCGATATGGACATCGAAAAGTGTCTGGATATCTTGTCTGTCACAACCAGGATATGCTTGGTAAGTTGATGACAAGAGTCAAGGACGAGCAGGAGATAAGAACTTACTTTTGAAAGAGCATACGGCCATTTTGGACCCCAAGCCCTTTGTGGCTCACATCGTATCCCACCCCCTCCATCATAATCTTGTATACTTGCTGCATGTATACCTTTTCACCAAACTTGTGTTTCACGCTCTTGAACCCTTGACTTCGAGCCATGCGTGCTGCAAAGTCAGCAGGCAGCTTGAAGTCAGGGTTTGCCGCCATCCTTTGCGAGACAAGTCTAGCGAAAGCGCGATCGATGAGCGACGAGCCAACACCGACACCACTGACGGCGGCGACTTGGGAGAGCTGTGGGAAGTTATGGTCTGTCGAAGTGACTTTCATAAGGGCGAGGTCTGTTGTGCCACCGCCTGCGTCGACAGTTAGGAAAATGCTGTTTTCTCGGAGGGCTACGGCCCCTGTCTTGAGAGTTGCGACAGCTGCGGCTTCAGATTCTGTGAGATCCACGAATGCTGAGTGCCTGGGGCCTTCAACTCCGAATCCGGCATCGTGGATGGCGCCCTTGAATGCGTTGATAATGCCCATGCTGGTCCATGTTGTGGGCGCACTGAAGAGGAACAACACAGCCATTTTCTCCCACCCACCAGTTCGTTTTATACCCATGCGTATTTCTATACTGTCTTTGACATGTGTATATACTTGCCTAAGGTAGTCTGTCACAAACTGACGAGCCTCAGCGGTACTGCGCGGAACATTGCTGAGGCTTTGCTGCTGTGCGGCTTCGAGAGTATCTGGATCCAAGAAGATCTTGAAGAAGTCACGTCGGGTTTTGCTCGTGTCATGGTCGTCGTCTGCGCACATGAATCCCCATGAGGAGATGCTGCCATCGGAGTTGTATACGATGGTCGTGGGGACCTTTCGATCGCCTCTGTCGTCGCTGCCAGGCCAGTCGTTGACGATTTGTATGGGGATCCCATGCCTCATCCAGGCCACACCTAGAAGTCAAGTCAGCTATCTCTCTGGCAGTCGTCGATGTGATCTTACCTGTAAAGGTAGTACCAAGGTCGACAGAGACAGTCAAGTCTGGTATATCCTCCATCTGTTGAAGTTCTAGTTTGTTCCCTACGACAACAATCGAAGAAGGAGAGCAATTGCGAGCTTTCTTGATAACCTACGAAAGCCTGACGAGGCTCTGAGGGAAGACATGCTACACGCTAATATGAGGCTCGACCTCGACCTTGGAACGCTGGTCTGATAGCTGCAGCTGCAGCTTCAAGGGTATGCGGGCCTTTGCAGCCGAACGAGATTGGAGCTGTGACAATACAGACTCGGCTGCAGCTTCATAATGAAACATGCATCGTGTTTTTCCTAAGCGCTGAGTGGCTTGACAGGGGTTGCGTTCAGCTGAACTGTTGATTTTGAGAAGCTCTGCTCCGTGACAATCACATGGTAGCAACGATGGGTTACTAAGGTTCTGATGAAGTTGAAGAGGAACCCTCCAGTTCTGAGTACTTGTTGAACTAGGTACCAGAACTTGCCACAGTTCCCATTTTTTCTGTTCACCTGGAAAGACAAGAAGACTCTTCATAGTTTCTGCTCCCTCCTTTCTTTCTTTCTTTCTTTCTTTCTTAAACCTTTCATTTTCTCCCCTCATATTTGTCGTTTTCATCAGTAATCGTTTATCAGCCCATCACAGATATGCCGGCCACACCTTCTAGCGTTATTCTAACGAAACCTGCGACTCTGATAGTATCAGGAGAGGGTGCTTTAAATAGTACAACGACAATTGACTTCTCGTTAATTTCTAATGCACCGGAGCATAAGATTACTGTTTACAACGTGATCGGGGTTGCAACAACTGAAGCAGCAGTGGCCACCACAGCGTCAGAACCATCAGAAGCCGAGGCTGAGGCACCTAGCACATCAACTACGGGTTCAACACTCGCAAAATCAAGCGAAGGCGGAACTGGCGATGATTCAACTGACACCACGTCAACCGCTTCATCATCAGAGACAAGCTTAGCGGTAACTTCACCGTCGTCCTCAGATGGATCCTCAGGCGGAATCTCAGGCGGTGCTGTTGCCGGAGCTGCCATCGGCTGTCTTATTGCTGGTCTTGCTTTGGGACTCATAGCGGCCTTCATCCTCTTTCGACGTCGTCGAAGAAGCAACTCTGCTTCTCCAGACTTTATACAAGCAACACGACCAGATCCCGAACCAAAGGGTGGGCCGCAAGTCATTATAGCATCGTCAGGACATGATGCTGAGCTTTCCCAATTCCTCCTCGAGGCAACTCCCGACAAGGAGATACAGGCAGAGTTGCGTTCTTTGTCCGAGCTTATCTACAACCACGTCGAAAACTATTACCACGGACCTCAGGTTCAAGCCAACTCTGTCGAAGTAGCTCAGAGCCTCGTCAACATTGGCTACTCGCCAAAGTTGTCAGGACTGCCAGCAGAAACAGTTTCCGCTGTGTGTCTTGCTCCCAAAACCTGTCATGTTGGCCTTCGCCATGTCATTTCCCACATCATCTTTCGGAGCCTCGACTTTGGTTCCGCGAGCGGCCTGTCCATGCTTCCTCTTCCAGTCGCGGCAATGGCCCAGGCAAACCCCTCCGCTGAACTCGCAAACAATCCCGGTAAGATAAATCCTGGTTTCAGTCGCAGCCTGATCAGCAAAGCAGCTAACGCGACCACACAGCAATCTCCCTGGCGCGCTCCAGGTGGCGAAGCCTCTCGGCGCTGCTGTTGCATCCCAACCCCAGCGAGAGAACACCACTGCCTGTCCCAGAAGCGGAGGCTTATGCGAATGCGAACGCCCTGACAAATGAGCTCAACACGTTTCTGCAGCTGTTTGTTGTGCAGGACGCCGCCAGCCAGCGCAACCAGGCGAAGCATCTGCAGGATGTCATCATTGAGTGCACCAAACTGGGCTACATTGTTCTATCACAGCCGAGTGACTGGGGTTTTGTTTTTAGCAACGACAGATCGATGGATAAAAGCCGCAGGGTTGTTGTGTGCCCAGGTCTGGAGAAGCTGAGCCATACCGATGGAACGAGGTATAGATTGCCAATGGAGGTGGCTGCTCCAGAGACTGCACCTCTGTGAAAGGTGAAGGAATGTTGGCTTGTTGTATGTAGGTACATGTAGGTCGGCTGAAACCTGTGTTGGTTATTGGGAAGGGATGTTGATTTTATTAATCAATAGTTCGGCGGTTTTCATGCCCGCCATCAGCCTCAGAGCCCAGTCATCCACGTCTAGGTATGCCAGGCAGGGCAATTGCTCTCTAAAATCTCTATTAGTCCGAAGAGTCGATTTTGAAATGTGTTGAGAGCATGGTTATCACTTGAACCGTTTGTGTGTTGCTATAATTGCTATAGTTGAAGTATCTCTCCTGGCACGATATGACAACCATGAAGAGCGGCTATAACCTATGCGATTCCCACTTCTTTATACCGGGTTGTCTAATGGCTTTTATGTGTCTGACTTGCTTGGTTATGAGTGGTTGATAAAAAAGGGCTTTGCAGAGCCTGCTTTCACATATGCAAGCCACATAGTTCATGTCACACCAGGATTCAGCTTGGAACATATATGGAGCATAGACGCCATGTTATGATTGTAGTGGATGGACAATGTGCAAGTTGGAAATTAGCTCAGAGCTACATCCTGATTATGCTTTCTTTTGGCTTGTTTCGAGCGGGGAATATTGTGCTGAATGAGAGTGTTTGTCATTGTAGCACCGTGACCTGCACTGATAGCAGCTACAGTACACAACTCTTGGAGTAGCAGAAACACTCTGTTTGTGAGATCTCCCACTCTCGAGGATAAGTCCTTATAGCCTGGCTCATCATGCCTAACCCAATAAAGGCTATTCACGCAAGTTACAATCTCCTCTCCTGGGTCATGGACCACGATCAAGTCCCCAACGACATTCGCCGCAGTCTCGAGCTCGTACGAACCTGCGACGCTGATCTCCAGCACCTCATCGAGCTCAGGAACGACTGTCTGCCTCTTCTCCAGCGGCGTCCAAAGGTCCTTCATCGTGTACACTGCATCATAGAATCTGCCCAGAAGGGCCTTGCAGAGGTCTGTGAGATTGTCGAGAGATGCCGTCCTGAAACCGACAGAGGCACGAGAACGAGGTTTTCAAAACGCATGGCTTGGGTTCTTGTTGATTCGAGCGAGTTTAAGAGCCAGGAGCCTATTGTTAGTCGACATCACGCTGCTGTGCTCGCTGAGTTGAACTTTTTGAGACAAGTCGCTCTCATGGCTCCTGTTTCTGAACCGGAGAAAGTACAGGAGAGATGTGGTGTTCAGGGCGATCTTCCAGTGTTTGATAGTGTTGCTCTTTTGGGGGATATGTTGGGTGATTTGACAGTGACGAGTAAGTCTACTCTTCTCCGAGATAGCTTCAGAATTTTCTAATCCGATAAACTGCCACAGGTTCCCCAAAGGAACAGCCACGAGCTACACACTCTATCATGTCATTCCCACCTAGCATAGTTCTCAGCAACAAGACTCAGTCGGCAACGCCCTCTACTGTGTCCTCACTTCAACTCCCCTCGTCTTTGCACCGGCCATTGAGTTCTCAGACATTACATATAGAACACGCAGCCGAGTCACTACCAGAAGTTCTTCTCGTCAACATGGCCAGTACCGCACCGTCTAGATCTCTTACTACAAGATCCAAATGTGATAGCGAGGATCTGGCTGGGCTCGCTTTGCTCCTTGGGGATCCCCTAGATATGAAAGACATCTTGTCGCCATCACCACCATCTAGTATGGATGCCCTCGATCGGCCAACAATAGCTTCCTCTCACACTCTCCCTACAGGCCTCCCACGCCTGTATTCTGCATACAACATCTCTGACCTTAGTCTACCGCATAACACTCCAGAGGATAGTGTATCAGACCTAAGTCACTACGGCCGACACGCAAGTGTTGGCTACACGCCTTCGAATCTATCGCACAACATCTCAAACCCTCTTCATCACCGACACTCCTCCATGTCCGTCCTGTCAACAACCACGCGGACACTAAACCAGTATAACGTGCCTTCTACTGCTTATCCAGGCCAACTTGCATGGTCAAACTCATCCTCTACAACAATCTCCTCCATCTCTCCCGGCTTCTCGGCATACGAATCCGCTCTGGCACAACCTATTGCCGAACTGGATACTTCACCATATCAAATGGTTCCATTAGCAGGTTTATCAGATCAAACCGATCCTTACCGAAACAGTTCAACGGGCCAGAAATTGGTGGTACAGGTTAATACGATGCCTGTTGAGCTTCCAGCGGAGGATACCCAGGCCGCCAACTCCAGCCTACGCCGTCGAGCAATTCCTCTTGAGTCCAGGAGACGCAAAAGTGCCTATACACAGTCTTTTTTATCGGATAATCAATAGCTAAGGAACAATCGTTTCTTCAACAGAACTTGGAATCGATGACAGTCGCCACTGGGGCGCAGAGTTGAAGTCAAGGTGACAGAGGGATATCGAAGAGAAAGTGCGAAATTGACAAGTCTGAGGGGTGTATAAGACTGGTGAGGGAAACGGTCGTGAATTCATGGTCATGATTCATGTACAAGATTTTGCTTTGGTGTTCAACAAGACCCTTAGTATTGGTCAAGTACCCTGGAATAATGCTGTACTGACAGTCAAATACATGTACAAAAGTCAGTTGGTATATATGTGGTTATTAATGAGTTCAATGTCGTGTAACAATATATTGTCCCAGATCTCTGAGTAGAGACCCTTTGTAACTATTAAACCTAAACCTAATGCCTGTTCTCAATCCCTCGTTAATCCAACTAAGCACAATTCCCCTCGTTCGAGACACAGCATAATTCCCAAACTCATAATTAAGAAGTGAAAAGCGAGTAAGGCAATTTGAAACGATAAGCAGGTTAAATCAGACCCAATATCCTTAATTCGCAAGCTTGTGACAATAAGTGTCTTGATGATACATATCAATAAACAATTCCAGTTCCTCCTTACGCGTCAAGACATATATCCCATATTCTCGTACCAGATCCTTGTCGTGGTCTCCAAAGTCGTGTCTTGTGGCGCGTTCATCCTCCATCGTCTCTCGTCTAAAGAGATCGGTTGCCTGTGTGGTCAAGCCGCAGTCTATATGCAAAAAGATAAGGATATGCGCTCCTCGCCTCGCTTCATCGTCTTCGTTGGCGCTAAAGAACCATGTCCAAGTTCGGTCGGGAAGCCTCTGTTTTCAGAGGCCATCTCAATGATTATCCGATACCTGGCCGTGCTATGAAGGAGAATGTGTCGTAAATAGAATGAAGCGTCGTGGCACGGTGTCGTGTGTGCGCCGTTCCTTTTCGAGGCCGACGACCGAAATTATAGCCGATCGCTCAGTGTTTTCAAAAGCCAAATCATTTCCGTAACTCCTATGCTGATGCCTTTACCCATCTTTGATCTTACCGTTCCCGTGTCGGAGAATATAGCCGACATATGTACATTTATTCAGTAACTCAGTCCTCAATAATTCGCGATGACTCAGGTATCTTAGAGGATTCCTATACCATCGAACTGAGCACGCTTATACTGAGGATCATAATGAGTAGACCGATTGTGACAACTATCAGCAACGCGAATGAGAACCAACCCAAAACCATGGCGCTGGTGCCCACACCACTCCTGACAGCTCCGTTTCCGAAATCCTGGGCTATAACCGAGGCGGCCACGGACGCTGTATGTTGCCATAGTACGGAAACGAGCACAAAGATGGCCGAGATAAAGATCAAGGCGAGAGCAATCTGCGAGACAGGGCGGGACGGGAAAGGCTTGACTTCGCGGTCAGAACCCTCAGAGTCGGTCTCCTCGTGCCAACCAGGGAAGGTAGCGAGAAGAAGAAGGCAGACAAAGGCGAAGATGATGGCAATGATACTGTGTCGAGTTAGTAACTGTCAAGCAGATCCACATGCCAAGAAGAAGAACTTACATAAGGTAGGGAAAAACAATCATATCCTTGAACTGAGCAGCGAGCCAGATAAGGTTGAGAGGGTCTTGGTCAACATCAACCTCCTTAGCTAGAGCAGTGGCATTGTTACTGCACAGCCAGGAGCCTCCATCAGGGTTTATGCAGATGCCGAAGTAACCGACACGGGCTTGTAGCGACGCATCGCCTGCAATATTTTCGATGGCGGAGTGGAGGTTGTAGTCGACTTGGGCTGTGTCAGGCACGGCTGTGTAATCCTTGTAGTAGATTGATAGTAGGAAGATGTCGGGGATAAGCGGTGAAGATGATGAACATCCAGCGAGCAGTAGTGCTGTTCTTCGTTAGTACACCGCTTCTCGACTGCAAGGTTGAAAGGGAACCCACATAGTAGAATAATGGCAATGGCGATGAGAATCATCAACACATGGTGGTAGCCGAGGAATGGTACAAAGCCTAGTGAGATGGCGTGTTAGTATATAGCGCAGAGGGTGAGACATTCCATCTGGATGTGCCGAGACAGAGGATTACATACGATACCAGCCGACCTGGACCTTTTGCCGCCGTGAGGATGAGCTACTGCTGCTGCTCGTCCCGGAAGCCATGATGTATGGTGTTGATCCTGTACTCCTTCAAGATGATCTAGGTTGAAGTCGTGACAGAAGCAACTCAGTTGTCTGCGCTCGTCTCCCAAGTAGGGGAGCGACGATCGAGTTGCGCAAGACTGCTCTCGAGTGATTTCCTGGCTCTTTCTGCTACCGTTTGGTCGCGTAACTGGTTAGAAGTGAATCTCGGGTTGTTGAATCCTCAATCGTATCAACGTCCTCCACTGGATGGACAAGTCAAGCTGTCTTGGTAATGAAATGAGCGATGGATGGAATGCGGGCGGGAGAAATCGATGTCTCGGTAGACAAACGATGCTGGAATGTGCGCAGGCTGTAGACGACGGTTGAGATCAACGAGTGAAAGTCGGGCCCTGCAATAGTAAGATCTTGTAAGATGAGGTTAAGTCAAGTAAGATATGCAACGGCGAGGTTAATCAAGAGCCTTGAAGATCAGTTCACACGTCCTGCAAACGAGGGTGAAGACTTCTTAGTTTTGTTAGAGAAGGAGCTCCTTTAGAAAAGGAGAGGGAAGGAGAGGAGCGGTCAGTCAGTCAGTCAGTTAGTCAGTGCAGTTTCGTATACCAGTGGGATTGGCAGATATTCGATGGCTGGGGAGACTTGGAACGGGGACCAACCTCTGGACTTTTGGGTGGGTGATGCAGAGGTGTAGTGTCCAGCCACTTATTTACAAACGTTGGCATGGCGACGGTGACGTTTTAAATGTGGAGCCACAGTTGCCACTTAAAGATCTAGCTCTACCAGCTCAGCTCCTGCCAGCACCCAGCAACCCGCCGACTGGGGCGCTGTAGAGGGAAGGAGAGCGCTGACGCCGCCCGACGCTAGTCCGTCTCTGGACAAGCGCCACTGGACCTGCAGCAGCGTCGGCTTCAGCAACTTTCCTGGCTTGATCCCTGAGACCCTAGGATCTACGATCTTACCTTACCAGCTTACGTAGCCGGAGCGCTTCGCCGCAAATTCAACGCGCTGTTGTACCGCCCAAAACGCCCAAACACGATCTTGATTTAGGCTTGGTAGGCTTGACCCTGGCACCTCGTCAGCGCCCAGACTTGCCAAGGAAAGAAGCTCTTGCGGGGCCATCGCAGCTTAATGCAGTTGTCATGACAATTTGGCGCCGTTTCGTATGAGCACAAGGCACAGCTCATCCGTTCTACTACATATCTGGATGCTTGTATTTTATGAGTGTGTTATAGGTGCTCGATCCTTCGTCTGAACCATTCAATCCAAAGATCGATGACTTCAATCATTTCAATTGACCTGTCGGTGTTGAACTGTTCGCTCATTTATCCTCATTGGTCGCCTTGATCAACGTTGCTCGAACCCAGACAGAATTGGGATTACCTGGATACATACCCATCCCTCGCCAATCCCATCCATTGAGTATAACCCGGCTTCCCATCATTTACCCCGTCTGCCCCGAGCAAGCGAGGCCTGGATTGAAACTCCCCGGCGCGTGGACTATGGAGTGCCCCTCTCTACGTATACCTTGTTCAAGCTAAACAACCTCATACATTTTATCCACTCTCCCGGAATTGAAGAGGCTACTCCCGGACCAAGAAAACAATCCAACAGCACGAGCCAAACTACAGAGTGAAGCCGTGATGAAATCTTGTTTGCGCGGCGCTTGTTGGGTTACTCCGGGCAAGGAACGACGACAAAAGAGAGCGCTAAGTCTCGCTCGCCTTTATTTACTATCTCTCGATGGTCTCTCGACGGGTATCTAAAGTCGCACGCTGTTGTATCAGTCGTAATCAAGCCAAATACGTCCATGACTACATGGTTAACGACCTATCTCTCAGCAGGACATGATCAACATGGAATACGGATCAGTTTGCTATCGGCCAATACTTTCCATCATACTCCGTAGTAGAGAGTTTATTCTCCCGAGACAGCCGTCGGGTTCATCATGACAACCCTCAAATATCATGGGAAGCCCAGCCACCCGACTAATTAACCATCCCTGACGTCCAGCCACCTCAGATCGCAGATCCGTCTTCCTACAGCAATTCTCTCTCAATTGCGATTCCTTGACGAAAAGTCGGTGTTCTATGATGTTTCAGACAGTTCTTTGACCCGCCCAGAGCATTTTTAAACATTCTGTGATTCTCATCCCCGCGCCAGTATAGTGCTTCCAGAAGCATGTGTTCCATTGTAGCCGGATTATGTAGTTACCGAGTATAGTGGGGCTCACTCCCCACGTCATTCAAAGTAGCTACGGCTACGTTGCGCTACGAGATTCAAGACCACAGTGAAACCACTACATTCAACATGGCTACCACAGCCGCTGACAACCAGGGAACGTCGCTCGATATTCGCGTCGAAGATTTCCTGGACGATAAGCTTCAGTCGACTACAGATCTCGAAAATCTCGATACTCTTCTTGCAAATGTTGAGCTCCAACGCAACCAGTTGCAATCGCAGCTAGATACAGCTGTCAAAGAGCTTGAAGAGACTCGACGCACTGCTGATGATCGCCAAGGATCGCTCGCTGCTCGTATAGAGGAGTTTCAGAAGCTCCAGGAGAGCATTGATATCCGTGCTCAGATATACGCTGCCTCAGATGCTCCTGACCAGGCTATTGAGCGCCTCAAGTCGCCTATGAACAAGATCAAGTCGGTTGAGCGAGCTCAAAGCTACCTGATTCTCCTGCAGGACGCCGAAAAGTTCCGGTCTGAGTCGAGATCTTTTCTTCCTCGCGATCCCAAAGCCGCCTTAGAGCCATATATCAAGTTGAAGCAGCATGTACTCAAATTACAAGGCCTACCAGGCCAAGACGGTCTACATCTTGTCGACTATACCGAAAGGTTGGCAAGCTCCCTTTGGGACGAGATCAAGTCCACTATGTCTGGAGAGCTCGAGACGGTTCTCAAGGAAAGAAAGTGGCCAAAGGTTGATGCCCAACTGCAGATGGACGAAGAATGGATCAACTGCATCGAAAAGCTCATCGATCTTCAGAAGTCAGAGATAGCGCACACCGACAAGCTGGTTACGTTACTGCCTTTTGAGATAATGGCCTCGATTTTTGTCTCCGAGTTCCGATTCCACTTCCTCAGCGACAAGCCTACGAGCGGCCCGCAAGCATTCGGGACACATTGTCTTCCCTGGTTTGTCGCCCTTGTTGAGAGATGGGAGGACTTCTTCCGGGATAACCTTGGTTATCTACTCGCAGAGAAGTTTCAGGATACCGCCGTGGCGACCAACTTGGCTTATATCGATCCCGTTTCCGCGCTAATCACCTCCTTACTGCCGGTTTTGAGAGAGAAGACCTCGCTAGTCGCGTTCGAGGCCGTTAAGAACCCTTCCTTCTTGAGTAGTTTCATGTCACAGCTTATGGTATTTGATGACAATATTCGCTACAAGTTCAGCTATGACGGCGGCGACGCTGGAAATGGATGGTCTGGTTTGACGGCGCATATACTGGACGACCATTTTGATACATGGTTCAAGGCTGAAAAAGACTTCGCTCTCGAGAGATACCATACCATTATAGAATCACAGGACGCCCGAAACATCGACTATGACTATGCGCTTCAAGGCAAGATGAAGCCAACATATGCTGCCGTACGCGTCACTGATCTTCTACGATCTATAACCAGTCAGTACGAGAGGGTTCGCACTTTCAAGCACAAGATTCGCTTCTTGATTGGTATTCAGCTAGAAATTCTAGATGGTTATCATGATCGTCTCAGAGATGCACTGCAAGCTTACCAAAGCATGTCTACTACCTTTGGCCGCACATTAGCTGCGAACAAGGAGGACCTTGCTGTCCTTGAGGGCACAGGTGCTTTTGAAGTACTCTGCAAAGTCATCGGCAGCGCGGATCATATTGTCAACACGTTGAAAGATTGGAGCAATGAAGAGGTATGTTTACCACCACGAGCGATGATATTCGTGTTCTGACATTTCTAGTTCTTCGTTTACCTATGGGATGAACTCCAAACTCGAGCTCTTCATAGAGCCAGCCAAGGAAACAACATTACCAGTACTATGAGCTATGACGATGTCAAGGACCGCACTTCCGCAGCAGTAGGACAGAAACGTGAGGACGGTGCTCTCTTTGATGAGACTGCTGCTGCATACAGCATGCGACGCAAGGCTGCCCAAGAACTCCTTGTCGGTGCTCTTGTTGAGTCTCATAACAAGGCCTTCCGCGCATATACAGCCCGCGTCCAATGGACGACTGTTGGCGAGACAGCTATCGTTGGTAAGTTTGCGCCCGTTATTGGTTTTATAACCTTATCTGACATAACGACAGATGAGCTTGCCATTACCCCAGAACTCGACGAGCCACTTCGTATACTCCAGCGAAACTTTGACTTCCTCGTCAAAGCTCTTTCCACTGCCGCCTTCCGTCGTGTCTGGCGTGAAGCCCTCATCAAGCTTCAAGACCATCTCTGGCAAACGGTCCTCATGCGCCAATCTTTTACCACTTATGGCGCAACCCAATTCCGTCGCGATGGTGTTGCATTGGTCGCCGTCGTTGAACGTTATATTCCCAATGGCTCGTCTGTTCTGGACAGTCTGACTGAGGGAATGCAACTTCTAAGTTTGCCGGTGGAAATTGGTGAAGTAGGTGGCTTAACCCTTAAGGAAGCGAGTGATCGAGTGTTCACGGATAACGAGGAGGCTCGTAAGGTGTTGGAAGAACTTAATCTAGAGGAGCTGTCCCCACAGAGCGCAAGGAATATTCTTCAGCGTCGTGTGGAGAATAACGAGAACGTCGGGTGGTAAAGAATAGATTAAAATTGGGTATATTATCACACATTCGATACCTTTGTTTCAGGTCATTCGTCAGTGCCATCATGTGTTGAAGCTTCATAACCCTCTATAGGAATACTGTTTTCCCGTTTCCTCTAATCGTTGAATCCCTTCTCATTTTGTCGGAACTCCAAAGAAAGTTCTCTTTCCCTCTCATAAATTTTATTTTGTTTATTTGTTAAGAGCTCGCATGGTCATCTCAACAACGATGAAAGTGCCCGCACTCACAGGCATAGCTCGCGCAAGAGTAGGTCCAATACCCTTAAAGAAACCACCCGCGCCCTCAGTACGCCATGTCTTGGCGAAGCAATCACGCATGGTGCTGTATCGCTGGTTGGCGCCGAAACCGTCCGTCTGCATCTTGCTCTTGATCACGTCGAAGGGGTAGGAAGACAGCCAGAGGACTTCACCAGCAAGACCGCCGTAGAGAGCGATCTTGTAAGCGGGGATATCCTTGCGGTCGACCTTGTTGCGGGCGGCGTCTGAATTCATCATGTATTCGAAGGCAGTGAACCAGGCGCCATAGGCAAAGGCCTCGCGCCAGATGGTGACGGCCTGGCCGCGGTAGATGCCGCTCAGAACACCATTGTGTGCTCCGAGCTTGCGAACGCAGTCGCCGGGTCCATCATACAAACGTCCAGCACCGTGAGGTTGGCTCTGGAGACGGATACGGATGTGCTCGATGGGGCCGGAAAGGACTGAGTTGGAGACACCGGCGAAGGCACCCGCTGCGGCGTACTGCGGGTAAGACAATTCGGCGCCGTTGTTACGGGTCTGGAACCAGCGCTTTGCGGCGTTGAAGGCGCCGAACTGGACGGAGACACAGGCGCCGATTCCGATCAGCGGTGTGAGTGTTCCCTTGTAGAAAGCGAGGGCACCCTCGTTCTTGTAGATTGTAGTGGCGGCATTGATGGCGGAGGAGTATTGGGTGGTTGTTTGTAGTCGGACCTTGACGATGTCGAAAGGTTGGCCTATGAAGGGAGATTTAGCAAATGAGTTGGATTGGTCTTGTTACACGAATAAGTCCGTCATGACTTCACGGTGAGAGCTCAGCTTATCTCTTGAGCCAAGTCTCATCTCATGCCGGTCACCGAGCTCACAGTTTCCTCGGCAGTTTCGTGCTTCTCGTCGCACTTGAGCTGAAGAGAGATTGAACATACCAATCAAGACCTGTGCAATTCCTCCCACAGCGCCAGAGAACAGATCCTTCGCTGTCTCAACTGCCGGGCTCTGCTTGGCCGACTCTAACTCAAGAGCGTCCATCTCTTTGATTTGTTGAGGGAGGAGGACAAAGAAACTATTGCCAACAAACGAACAACAGCACAAAGGACAAAAGGGGAGCAAAGAATCAGAGTAGAGAGCTTGTCCAAGATAAGCCAGCAAAGGGGAAAGAGAAAGAGAAAGATAAGAAATTCCTATCCAACGTTAGGGCGCGAGTATCCGTAACTAACGATATCGCAATCCGGGGTCTGATTTTATCGCGGAGGGCACCCGGCAAATGACGTGCTAGCATTACAAAGCCGGTAACGGAGTTCGGGTTGTCGCTGTTGGTTTTTCGGAGGTGAGATATAGTGGTACAAGTACAACTCGGAGATAGCCCCGTGAGGAGATGGCATCAAGACGCGGGGAATCATTACTTTTTGCTGCTAATTCTACCAATTGCTCTTACCGGCATTTTCTCCGTATACCGTTCCAAAGAGGTATGTATCTGTCTAACAACTCTATCCCCATAGTTTAGTGGCATGGGCATCGCCCCGACTTCGGGCTAATAAATACCGGAACTCGGGATCTGCGTTCTAGACCCGCGACAAACCGAAACTACCTAACACAACTTCTATTATAAAGTCCACTATAACACATCAACATGACGATAGTCTATGGATATGTACCATGTGAACAGTACGGATGTATACTCATTAATTGTTGAAAAGCCTATGATCTAGATCTATGTAGCTGGAAATACCCGCTTCCATTTTCACAACCTCTTCTCTCCTCCTCAGTATCGTCTCGCTCCCTGTTTCCCATCTTTCGCATCATTCAAGGCCTGCGCGTGCTGCTCAATGGCCTCCTTAAGCTTCCCTACCACTTCTGGCTGGTTACTGAACGCAGTTGTGAGTAGGGTTTCGAGCTCGGTTTCCACCTTGGCAATCGGCTTCACGCCTGGCTTCCTGTTCTGGGAGTCGTTCATCAGAGCGCCCCAGCGATGTGTGAAGTTGTAGATAGATTGGCGGAGTAGTTCGTCCAGTTGCTCGTTCATGTCCTCGACGGTTAATGTCTTCGCTGTCACAGACGGAGTACCTCGGGACCATAGACCACCACCGATGATATTCGAGAAGAACCCAACCCAGTTCTGGGGGCTGAGTGTATCCCATATATGAACAAAGTGCTGCATTGAAGCACCGTGGTTTCGGATATCACCAATCTCTAATGAAACCAGCTCATTCTTTATGATGAGCAAATTCTTCACCATGAACAGGTCAGGATCCGTGCCAGCCTTCAATGACTGTATCCTCGCCTCTGCGCGCTGGAGCACATGAATAGTTTCCCGTACAATGTTGAAGACAACCGAGCTGCTCTTCGACTGTATAGAAATCAGCATAATGCTCAAAGTTTCAAGATTATATACTTACTGATCTGTCCTTGGGCATGCAATTGTCGTACATGCCCAACAGTTTGATGGCCTGCTTAACCAAAGGATGGGCGTTTGACGATGCTACTCCTCCTACCACAGGTCCGATCTTCAGGGCGGCATCTTGCATGGGAGCCTTAGCAATAGTTTTCGACACCTCAGCCTCGAACACAGTGTCTGTCATGGGCCATAAGTGATGCGCCAAGAGTTGTGAGGTATATTGTTTGCACTTGATGAAGTATGGAGACTCCTCGTCATCGAGATCAGCACCAAAATATTCATTTGCAAGTAAACCCACAACATTGCACGTTGTCTCTATTGGGGCCGTCTGCAGGACAGTCTGGAGATTGGTGACCAATGGTGTCAAGTTACCAGGGTGAGCAATGGTCGTGTTGATGGGTTTGATGGCCTGGAAAACAGAATGCGCTGCTTGTGTCCACACAGGATCCACGTCAAAGAGTTTCATAAACAGACTCTCTTCGTTATACATGCGCTCAAAACACTGCTTGATAAAATTGCGTGATGCTGTCTCAGCTGACAGGCTCTTTACCTCTTTGTGGAACTCGGCAATATCATATTGTGTTAGCACCTTGAGGTCGCGGTCTCGAGTTGTGAGATGGGTATGGAAGATGTTGTTGGCCGTGTTCGCGTATGTCTCGAAGTGAGTGCAAGATTCGTTCTTCTGGCCATATGAATCGTATGCCCTGCGTATGATCTGGTGAATGTTGGGGATTAAGCCGTACGAGTCCATCATCATATCTTGGAAGCGACCGTACGCAAGCGCATGGCGAGCTGATTCTGACTTTGTAGCGACGATCTGTCGACCTATTTCAGGAGAAACCTTTTCCAGCAGAGTCTTGTAGCCATGCTCGAGGAGATGAAGCGCTTTTGTGAGAAGTGCAGTATACCGGGCAAGGTAGGTATCGCGGTCGCGGTATGTCGCCTAAATGTATAAGCAAATGCATCTTGCAATGGTACAGAATCCTTACATGATTTTCCATAAAGACGATGCAGGCGTCGATGTTCTCAACCATTTCTCCAAAAGAAGCGTCGTCAACTAATCGACTGGCACCCGGCGCATTGAGACGTCTCGTCGCATTATCGAGGTATGCATAGTAATGCAGATCCGTTCCAACTTCGTCGGTTAACGCTTCTAGCCTTCGTTGTTCTTGTAAGAGTTCCTCGCATTGTGATTGGAAGGTTGATGTTTGCGCCTCGACGGAGCCGAATGAGTTCGATAGAGAGGTGAGGAGTTTCAATGTCGCATTCGCATCTTCGATCAGTCCGTCCAAGTGGCGCTCTGTCATGGAAATTTGGTCGCGATAAAGTCTAGAAACAGTCAGAGTTGTCTACGTAAAGTCCATCTCAGAAAGCGCAGCGGTCGTACAAGTATCCTTGTTGACTGGAATTCAGCAATTGCTCGTTGTATGATTCGAAACTGCTCATCCCATGCGTGTCCACGTCATAGCTAGAGTCTGGAAGCAGCAAAGCCTCCCATGCTCTTGTCTTTTTTTCTGTCTTCTTAGGTCGTGGTCGCGCATCTTTTGACAGTTGTTCCTTGACTACGCGATAGAAGTCGGAGTATGAGCTAGCTCGACGAAGAACGGTTGGTTCAGGTGGAGTGTCGGTATCTTCAATGTCTTCGTAGACGTTTGGTAATGGCACGACAGGTTCATTTATCTGGCCCGGTTCCTAGCATCACACAGTGAGCTTCAACCAACTTGGGTACTTGGTGGGGTTTTACTTCGTGGGGGGGGGCATACATTGGGTTGTTGTAGCAGAGACTCTTTGCGACGGTGCCCATGACTTTGGCTGTGGCTACTGGAGTGGCTCTTCTTGCTGGTACCCAGATCGGGCATCAGCGTATACCAAGAATCCTCGTACATGGTGCCAGTACCTAGAGCTCAAGAGAGCTCAAGATTCAAGGGATAGCTGGAGCTCTTCCAGAAGCCACGCAGCAAGTGTTGAATACTAAAGTCGGAGGCGTCAGCTCCGAACCGCCGATGACGGGAAAGTATGGGGCAGATATCCGTGCACAGCGCTAAGGGCATTAGTGCCTGCAGGGTGTGGCGCGTGCTCGATTTGTGGCGCTGGTCACTCATTGTGGCTGAGGTGTCGACTGCTCTAGACCTGGCCTGCCACAGTCCTAAGAATTTTGCTGACCATTGGCTGCGGGAGCTTGAGCTCTATGACCTCACAACATTTTCCCTTTGATTGGGAGGCAACTTTGGAGTTTACATTTCTGGTGCAATTTGAGCTTTTCATCAGAGGTGTTCATCAGTTGCATCAATTGAAATTGTTTGTTCTCAGGTGCATTCATAATGAACGTCTCTCGAGCCGCTCTTCGACGGGCTGCTATTCGCTCTCAAGCTCGCCAGCCTATCACTGTATCCCAGCGCCAATGGGTTCGTCATGCCCACGACTATGGCAGCGAATACTCTCAGCCTCCTCCCAATCGTGGGGGTAAGATTATTTCAATTTCGGCTGCTTTTGCGGTAGTTGCTACTGGGATTTACTTTTATCCTACACTGACTGGGCAGTCCGCGGCAGCTGCTGAAGCTGAGAAGGAGTTGGCCCCCGTCAAGGCCGAAATCGAGTTTGAGAAGCCTCGCAAGAAGGCCAAGGGCAAGGAAGAGAACCGAGATCTTATCAGCTCACAGCATCTCCAAGTCAAGAATAGTTGGGAGCATCCTGGAGTCTATGCTTGGGGATCCAACGTTGGCAAGGTCATCGATCCGAAGTCCAAGGAGAAATATGTCAAGGCACCTCGAAGAATCTCTTACTTTGACGACCAGGTTCTCCGAGACTTGAAGTTGACATCTATCTTCGGTGCGGCTGTCACCGAAAAGGGCGATTTGGTTCAATGGGGTCTTGGCTACAACCAAAAGGACCCGACCCCTGTGCCTACACTTACAGGCAAGGACATTGTCAAGATTGATGTCTCACTCGACAGAATTATTGCACTATCAAGCAAAGGCAACGTCTATTCAATTCCCGCGTCTCGAAATGACCAAGAGGGTGGTCTCAAAGAAGAGCAGCAAAAGTCCTCCTGGTCTATCTGGGGATCAGGTGGTGCACAAGAGAACATTCATTTCCGCAACTTAACACCATCTGGCCTAGCATATGGCGAAACTGTGAAGGACATCAGCACCGGTCAGGAGCATTGTCTTATGCTAACCTCCAAGGGCCGCGTTTTCTCCGCTGCAGCTAGCGCTCTCGAATTTCCATCAAAGGGCCAGCTGGGTGTTGCTGGCTTGAGCTGGCACAACAGACCCAAAGGTCCTTACGATCAGCCTCACGAGGTCACCACTTTGAAGGGATTCGACGTGGCGCAAATTGCAGCCGGTGATTATCACTCGGCTGTTCTCGACCAGACTGGTCGCCTGTTTGGCTTCGGTGACAACTCTTTCGGACAACTGGGAATCGATACCGACTTTGGTCTTTTGGTTTCTGACACCCCAGTCATGGTTCCTACCAACATGTCCTACACCAACACTGGGCTCGTCCCAACAGTCACATCTATAGCTGCCGGTGGAAACAACACTTTCTTCACTGTCGATGCGAAGACCAGTACGATTCCTGGCAGCGCCAAGGGTCTTGCCCCAGCAAGGAGACTTCCACCTGTGACCACTGACTTGTGGGCTTGTGGTCAGGGTGTATATGGTACATTGGGTACTGGTCGATGGTCGCATGTTTCTGCCAAGCCGACCAAGGTGAAGGGGCTCTCATCTCTATTCGAATTCGACGAGAAGGCCAACAAGATGATCCCTATCAAGCTCAAGTCCTTATCAATCGGTTCCACACATTGCTCAGCCATCATGGACAACGTCACTGAGATCTCAATCACGGGTCAAGGTTCAGAGAACGAGACTAACTGGGGAGCTGATGTCGTATTCTGGGGTGGTAACGAGCACTTTCAACTTGGCACTGGCAAGCGAACCAACGTGAACGCGCCGGCGTATATCGCGGCTCTAGACAGCCCAGCTGATACCCGTAAGGAAGGCACTCCCGATTTCCATCGACTGTGCGTGGCTCCTCGAAAGACAGTTCGCCTGGATGGCGGAAAGGGCCGAAAGGTTTCGTTGGAGCAAAAGGTTGAGTGTGGCAAATATGTGAGTGGTATATACTCGGCTGTCTGAGACATGCCATCAAGACTCAATTTGTAAGAACAGCTTTACTGTATTATCAGGAATAATCCATGTATTGTATCTACGAGGATATGATAGGGCGTTTGGGATGAAACTATTAGTTATGATTCGACTCTTGTACTTAACTCGGGCATAAGAAGCCGTGAAATTGATATATCAGCTCAGCTGACTATGGAATCCAATATGCCTATCCGCCGAAATGCGAAGGGCGGATGAGGAGTCATCTGGATTGGATGTCTTGGGCTACGAAATGAATGTTGTGTAACAACACACGCATGACATATCCGTATGTTGAGATGATCAAGTCAGCGGCCAAGATGAGATTTAGTACTTGACAAGATGTGCAGGAATATGCTGGTTTGTCGATCTTTTCGATTGGTATAGGCTAACTGCAAGCTTCATCCGAACTATTTTGGTGAGGTCTGAGACCAATACGAGGATTGATGGAATTGACGCGCAAGCTGAGAGGCTCAAGGAATAGAGTATTACGAGTCAAAATGAGATAGACTCGATAATTATACAGATCGCGAAAGATTATCATGGCTTAGGTAGTTATACAAGGGGTTGATGGCCGGAGTGAAAACATGCATTATCCACGTCATTTTATGGAAATGATGGGATCCACGGTTAAGAGGCTAAAATAAAAATAGACAACCGCCACGCACCTAAAATTATCCTGGCCACGCCCATGGTGCATGAAAAAAAGAAAGAAAATTACCAACTAGATTACTAGACCAGGCACTGGCTGCACTATCGATTCTAGATTCTAGATTCATCTCGAGTCGAGAGCCACGGGATCAGGTACAAGCAGCAGCACGTGTCCCAACAATAAGACAGCCGACAGCCCAGAATCTGTCAAATATCATTTGTCTAGAACAATTAGAAGCCGATGCCTGTAGATCAGATGCTCTCAGGCCCTGTAGCAGGCAGGCCTGCAACAACTGAAGCAAGGGGGGGGGGGGGGGGGGGGGGGGGGGGGGGGGGGACACCCGTAACGACAGTTCTAGGTTACATTATCAATTATTCTTGGAAACGGTTCTCTTTTTCCCCACGTTAAAACAAAACGTACAGTACACATGCGGCATGGCATGTCTTTAGTTTGTTAGAGACGGACACTTGATCAGGTCACGTCAGGTCACGTCATGTTCATTCTTGGCCGAGCTTTAGGGCTGTGACAGATTATAATGGCGCTTGTTCTATAACTCAGTATAGACATACAGTATCCTACAGTATACTCGGTAATAAATAATTTGATATCAGCCTCACTTATAACTTTACTTCCAAAGCCCCTTCCTCACATCATTACTCTCCTCCTCTACTCCGTACCTCTGCTTTTCTTATTTCAGCCTCTCCTTCCCCTTCTCTTCCTCTCTTCCTCTCGCCTTTACTCCCTCCCTCCCTCCCTCCGTCTCCTTCTTCTCACTTACAACGCTCCCCCAGTCTTTTCCGTTTGCGGTATCCCCTCCGGTTCCGCTTCCACTTCCCTTTTCCTCTCTTCTTTCGTCATTCTCCAAGACTCTTCATCTTCTTCTCCATCATCTTTCTCTCTCGCCATCTTCGACTTTCCCACGATCCCGATGGCATAAGACGATTCCGCCATCGCCCCAAAACTTCCATTCGCCTCATCCTGACTTAACTTAATTCCGCCCCCCCTCATCAACCACACGGATCCGATCCCTGCCCGACCTCCACTGACCAGGAGGGCCCGACGCTATTCCACTTCTTTCGCCCAAATCTCCTTCGCATTTCCTTCTTATACTTGGACTCTCGCTGCTGAAGTTGTTCGGGCCTCTGGTTCTGGCGAAAACTGCCACCGACCACAACTTTTGGCGCATCTTCTCCGGGGCCTCACACCTGTCTTTACTAACCTCCGGCGCAATGGACAGGATCCCCAAGTTTAGGCGCAAACCGAAGAACCCCACGATCGAAACCGCTGTCGAGCGCTCCAGCAGCGACACCGTTGATAGTATTGCCAGCTCCGAACTACAAGCACAAGCAGCAAACCTCCAATCGCAAACACAGGGACAACAGGTTCCAACTCCAAAATCCAAACTCTCCAAGAGAGCCGCTTTTCGAAACTTCCGTTTGCGCAGCTCCACAAAGAGAGCGCGCGACAGCCCACCCGTCGAGCTGCCTTCCAGTCCTCCCCCCGCCGTCGTGAGCCACGACGGCGTCAAAAGTCGACCCGTCACGGCCGAAGACGATGCGCTGGGCAACCACAGGGGAACCGGGCTCCGAATTCCTGCCTTTTTGGAATCATCGATGCAGGGTATTTACCCACCCAAACGCGACTGCGATCTCGGGCGCAGTAGTCAGGCAGGCACTAACAATGAATAGATATCGATTTCAAATTCCACGAGTTGATGTGGGCCGAGCGAAACCGAGTCTTAGAGGGCATAAAGAATGATGGAGAGGAAGACTTCAAATGGGGTACTTTTAAGCAGGTTGATATCCAGGAGAAAGGCTCAATGGATCGCTACATCAACATCAAGCCTTGGAACCATAACCGAATCAAGCTTCAGGTGCCCGAGGATGAGCTGGACTACGTCAACGCCTCTGATATCACTCTTATCTCGCCCTCGGATCCGAGCAGGGATCCATTACGGTATATCGCTATGCAAGGTCCGACTCAGCCTTCGATTGACTACGTCTGGCGCATGATTGCCGAGCAGATGTCTTCCCCTGCTGTCATCGTGCAGCTGACAACCATGGCAGAAGGCGGCGCTGTCAAATGCCACCAATATTTCCCCGATGATCAGAACCAGCCTTGTTGGACTCTGAACGAACATGATGCGTGGAACGATGACTGGCAGGCCCAGATCACGTACGACTCATATGAGGAACTCGCCGATGGTGCTATTGAAAAGCGTAAGTTACTTATGAAGCTCAGTGGCGAGGAAGAAACTCGAGTCGTGTGGCACCTCCTCTATCGGCGATGGCCTGACTTTGGAGTGCCCGAACTGGAGGATCTTGACAGCTTCTTTGAACTTATGCGGCTCTCCCGCGAACTAAGCGCACCTACGAATCCACGAATAATTCACTGTAGTGCCGGTGTTGGTCGAACTGGCACTTTTATCACACTTGAGCATCTGATGCGTGAGCTTGAGCTGGGCACTTTTGAGAATTACGACGAACCTGAGGAAGGGCCAGACTTGGTTTTCGAGACGGTCGATCTTCTTCGGGAGCAGCGCGTTGGTATGGTTCAGGGCCGTCCCCAGTTTCTCTTCATTTACCAAGTTATGAGGAAATTATGGCAGGATAAATATGGCGTCGATGAAGATGGCAACGAGCCTGCAGCTAAGAGGTTGGAGGTGGGCGATCCATTCATTGATGACTCGCTTTCCAGCTCTGCGCAAGGTAAAGATAGTGCTGGTGTTGACAATTGATGAGGGGTACCAATAGTGGTTCACATATCCGGCGTTCATTGCGATAAATTGGGGAGTTGCGGCAGGGAATGTATTGACAGGGTTGGAGGAGGGTGTATGTGGTAATTTTATGGTTCGGGGATGAGTTCTCCCCTTGATGCGGGTACTTCCATTACGAAGAACGTCAAACATGTTCTATTGCTCTACGACAAGACCATGGAGGAGTACAAGCTAACTCGTGGAAGAGTATTCGTTGATCTAGAGAGTGTACGATGAAGCATGAAAGGGATACAAGTATTTATGATAAACATAGAGTTCGCATCTCATGATGAGGAGATGACGACGGTCGGTTCAAGGGTGATCGAGTCGGGATGACTTCCAGGAGGGTTTTGTCTAGTATAAATGATACCAAGCACGCGTAGGGGATTGGCTGTAAATAGGGACTATCACGTGTATATAAGATTTGCTATTATTAAGGGAGTTATGAACAGACGCTATTTGTTGTAGCGATTGAGTTGCAATTCACTCAGGAACAACTTTTGAATTACGGTTTTCTTCTGAAGAGACTCTTATCTATTGTATCCTTAAATCATAACAAACAGGTTTTGTGTCCAATCTAGTATTGTTCTCGCCTTATGCAAAGGAGTTTCTCCCAACTTCATTACCACAATACGCTCGTCATACTCGGTTCACTCTTCGCTCTTAAACAAAATATCATACAATTCTTTTAGTATCAGAGGGATCAAACTCAAGCGCTAATCACCAGTGTCACGGTCTCCTTCTCCTTCTCCTTCTCGGTCACAGTGACAGTGGCTTGGTCCTTGTCTGTGACTGTCACGGTGAAGTAGACGGAAACTGTGGGGGTACCGTCAACGACGATGGTTGTAGCGTGGGCATCGTCACCAGTACGAGTGCTTGCTACGGGCTTCAAGTCGTCGCCGCTTTCAACCTTTGCTTCTGTGGCTGCGGGAGCCGGGGCATTGGTGGGTTTGTCTGGGATGGGGATGAGTTCTACAGATGTAGGTTTGTCATTGCCATCCTTGTCCTTGTTGTCATCACCACCATCTTCTGGGGATGCAGTGGGTTTGGCCTCATCAGGCTTCTTGATGGACTTGGTCAAGGTTGTGCCGCCGGGGAGAGCAACGGAAGTGGTCTGCTCGGCGGCAGGGGGGGGAGTGGGTGGTAGATCCTCGTAGGCCTTTGTAGGCTTGGAGTGTGTCTCAGTGGGCTTCTCTTCTTTTGGATGGGAAGGTTGCTCAGGAGCTGGCTGGCTGGGTTGCTCAGGGGTTGGCTGAGAAGACTGTTCAGGTACAGGTTGAGGTTGACTTGGCTGCTCAGTGGCCGGTTGGGAAGTCTGTTCAGGAGCAGACTGGGTAGGCTCTGGTACAGGTTGAGGCTGCGAGGGTTGTTGGTATGCAGGTTGAGAAGGTTGCTCAACAGCAGGCTGGCTAGGTTGTCCAGCTGGCTCTGTTGGCTGCACTGGTTGTTCCTGGGCAGGCTGGCTTGTAGAATCAAGGGCTGCACCATCATCGACAGTAACGATGGTTGTAACTGTGACCACAGGAGCCTCTGGCTGCTTCTCAACAGCGGATGTGGTCACTGGCTGCTTGTCCTTGTCGGCGTTTCCAGGAACAGTATTGCCTTCACCGCTGTTGGGGCTTCCACCCAGGATCTTAGCCGCGGTAGCAGGGTCCTCACAAACAATCTTGATGCCACCTTCGAAGTTGTATAAAGGCAGAGCAAAACACTTCTCACCCTCGGCTGTGCAGGGTGTAAGCTTGAAAGCGCCACTGTCATCGCATACAGCGGTCTCTCCATTGATACAGGCGGCCTGGCCCTTCATACACGAAGACTCAGGGGTAAGCTTAGCGAACTCCTCGTTGTATGTTCGCGCGTCGACGACGTTACTAGCGTAGGCAGCCGCGGGGATGGCACTGGTGCCAGTGGGAGCACCTGTCTTGATGGTTGGGACACCGTTTGCTGATGTTCCTGAGGGGATAGCCTGAGGTACAGATGTAGTCTCGGGTAGAGATGGATCGGAGACAACGACAGTGTTTGTTGGCTGTGCAGGAGGAGCTGCGGGCTGAGTGTTTTGGTCAGGGACTGGGGCCGGATAGTTAGGTTGAGCAGTTGTGGGAACAGGAACTGGCTGCTGTACTGCAGAAGTGTTGACGGGGGCTGCAGGTTGCTGAACTACAGATGTAGCTGGGTTGCCAGGCTGAACAGGGTCTGAAGTTGGAACGGGGTTCTGAGGCTGAGCAGGCGTAGGCGCAGGAGGCTGGGCTGGTGCCGTAGTCGCAGCTGGCGTATCAGGCTGCTGGGCGCTGGGAGTCTCAACGGGAGCATACGACTGCTTAACTTCAGAGGTCAGAGCGGGGTTGCTAGGTTGAGCTGGCTCAGAAACTGGGACCGGGTTCTCATGTTGACCAGTCTTTGAAGTTGGTACAATAGGTGCAGGCGGAGGTTGAGCATCAGAGGTGGTCTCAGCCTGAGGATCCTTCGGTTCGACTACAGATACAGTCTCAGTTGTAGCAGCAGTAGGCTCTGTTTCTACAGCAGAAGTTCCTTGGGCATCTCCTGCACTTGTAGTAGTGCGAGGGTTGGGATAGATGTTGGAAGGATGCTTTGGGTTGATGGGAAACGATGTATCAACAGGAGCCTGTGTGGTGAGAGGAACACTGGAAGTTGGCTCATTGGCGACACTGGTGGTCTCATCCTGAATAGCTGTGGTTACAGGCTGCTCTTGACCAGGGACAGTAGCGGGAGATGAGGGAAGTTCAGGGGCAGTGGTCTCTTCAACAGCATTAGGCTTGGTCTTCTCTCCATCAGTTGGCTGAAGTGTGCCGAGATCAAGAGTCGAAGAGAGACTCTCTGAGCCGGTGTTCTCTGGTTTTTGGGCAATCTCGGTAGTAGGGACTTCAGGAGCGGCTGAGGTGACCTCTTCGACAGGCTCTGAAGTAGGAACCCCGTTCACAGCAGTAGGAATCTCCTTAGTTACAGAGCCAGTCTCTGTGACAATGCCAGTATCCATGGGAGCATCGTACTGGGGCTTATCAACCACCGAGGTCGGCTTCTCAGCTACAGAAGTGGGATCCTTAGGCCCGATAGAGGTGGTGACAATCGGCTCAGAAGGGTTCTGTGTAAAGGTTGGCTTTTCCACGGGCTCTTGAGTCGGCTCCTGAGGTGCTTCGCTCGTAGGCTTGGGAGCCTGGCTCGTTGGCTGGATAGGGATAACCTCGACGGGTTCAACTGGCTCAGAGTAAGGGTTCTTTCTCTTATCGTCTTCCTGGCTATCTGAGAGTAGCGGGTTCGGCTCAGGTGTAGAGTTAAGCGTCTCGAATACAGGGCGTGGGGTAGTCTGATCTCCGCTGCCAGAACTATGATAGATTGTTAGATGTAAGTTCTCATCTTCTTTCTGCAAGTCTGATTCATACCCGTATCCGTCATGAGCCGCAGTAGGGGCTTGAGAGTTTTCCATTCGAACGTCAAGGAAAGCCACGGGTTGTCGTTTTTCTCTATTGTTTGAGTTAGGTCCAGTAACTGATGATGAGGTGGTGTGAGCTGGAGCGAACATTTTACCAGTCCACATAGGGCCAGCCTGGGCGGACTGAGCAGTCAGAAGGAGTGAAATGGCTACAGCGAGCCTTGTAATATTACACCGCATCGTGATGGTTTGGTATAGAGATGTAAGAAAAGTAAAGACTGTTGTTCTTTTTGTCCAAATCGAAAGATATAGTCGTAGTCGTAGTCGTGTATCTCGTTTGTCGATCGTTGGTGAGTCAAAGTCTCGTATAAGTCTTTTTGTCGTCGAAATGATAGTAACACGAAAACAAATGGCTTCCGCCCAAATTCAAGTTCAAACTGATTAAGAGTATATAAAGTCGAAGAAGAAAATAGCAGCGTTCACCTTGGAGTTGTTGTTCAATGTCCTAAGGTCGAAACACAGGCACACAAGCTGTAGAGACAAGGAAAAACCGGCCTTGTTCACAGAATGGAGGTGAGATAAAGGGAACAAACGAACAAGAGAAACAAAGCTGTGAATGAAAGATAGATAGATAAGATGAGAGAGAGAAAGAGTATGAAAGAGAGTCACACAGAGATAGAGATAGGAAATAAAACACTTGACAAAAGGAAAAAGTGAAAGTCAGAATCGGAGTCAGAGAAAGTGATTGTGAGTAGGTAGGTAGGAGAGTGAAACCATTTCCAAGGGAAGTAGCACTCCTGTTAATGTATATGCACTCTAACAACCAGTCATATCCCATTAGCGCCAGAAAAAAAAGGACGCCAAATCGCCTCACTACGAATACTCTGATCTCGTATCAAATCTCATCTTGGTCAACTTTAGTCTCTTGAACCATGATCCTCCCCCCAGTCAAGGCAGAGTATCACCACGCGCCCAGCGGAAGTACAATCCCAGTATCCGTATCAGTACGTAACCGTAGCCGTCCCCGAATAAACCCCAGCTCCTGCCCAAGCAAAACAACTTTTTCAGTAGTTGTATTATTATCCAGTCATCTAAGCCAATCAAGCTCGTCTCGTCCTTGTCGGGTTGTGCTATTAAAGACTGGCTCTAAGCGCTCTGTTTCACTGTTTCATACTGTCTAATCGCAGCCGGTTCCCATTGGTCGTGTGGCTCCACAGCGGCCCGGTACAGGCCAGGCTCAGGTACCAATCGTCCTTGCTCCACTGAACCAACCTGCGGCCTTGGGGAAAGCTTTAGTGCTTGTTACCGGGGGGACGATTTGGTGATGCCCTCAATATAAGGCCTCGTGGGGAGATTCATCCCAGACAAGGCAAGACAGAAGCTATTGTCATGCCTAATTCAAGCCTGGTCAACCCATAAATGGCCTCAGTGGTCTAGACCTGATCAGCCCTTTTCATTTCCCCTTTTGAATATCTTCTCCTTGAGTGGCTACTTGGGAAATAAGAATAGACCACCTCCAGAACCGTCGTCTTGGATCCCTACATCATTTGTCGATAGCCGCCCGCAATCGCAGCATCGTTAGCCGCGACCAAATTCAGGACCGTGGCTGAGTAGCTACTACTTACTAAAAGAGATAGATCCCTTTTCATAGATTTATTAGCTCGACTATTCTTATTGCTTCTTATTTCTACCATTGTTTCAACCATCAATCGCTCTATTCGTGTTATTATCCGTACAATATTCTTAACATATACTTGCACTAAACGCCACCCGCGTCCAATGCTGCCATCAATGCTTCCTTTATCCCTAAAACCAAAAGCCTTACAATGATGGTTCTTTAGCCATGCCTCTGTGTCAACCCCACCGTATCGCCTAGCTACTTTGCAAGGCTATTCTCCTAATCTCTTCCTGGCTATCAAGCTCTTGTTCTAGAGCCCCCTTCTCAGTCGCTTTCCAGTCCAAATCCAAGTCGTCGACATCAGCGACCTCGACAGTCTCTTGAACAGGCCGAGCACATATCCACTCGAGAACTGCTCTCAGCTCTTGATTGCCTCTTACGTTGCCCTCTTCAATGTAGCTCTGCACAACTGTATCGTCTGGCCAGTCCCAGATATTGGACTGCATAATCTCGCCTTGAACTTGTGCTAGCTCACTTCGTGGTATCATAGGTTCCGCAAACGCACGGAACGCGCACAGCGTTTCCATCATGTCTAGGTCGTACGGCATCTCGTCCATGTTCTCCATCTCTTCCTGTACTCGTGGCGAGCTCCATTCTCGCACCAGCCACCTCATTAATTCCACCATCTCGCCAAACTCCCCCGTGTATGCCAGTGCCAACATCAGGTCATGAGCGTAGGTCGCCATCACTGGGTCTTCCCGCGCCCGCATCATATCCACGGCTGACAGATGAATGCTCTCTCCCGGCCGCAAGATCTCTCGCTCCTTGGCCACAAGTGAATAGAAGAGGCTCTTCAGCCGTGCACCCATCGTCTTGACCTTGGATACCGCTGTGCTTTTCAACAAGTCCTCATTTTTCTCAATTTTAGCACCAGCCCCCCACCTGTCATAAACAGCATGAAGCGGGTTCAACTCAAGACTGTCAACTTCCGCGGCGGCCGCTAGCATCTCCATCTTGTAACTTATAATCTTCCGCACAGCTTTTGTGAGTCGCCGAAAGGTATAAAGAGCCATCCCATGGGAATTATCAATACGGTTCGCAAGATATAGCATCAAACGGAGTTGTGCCTCGAAGGTAAGCCTCAATGCAGAATGGTGCTGCGACAGGGTTTTTATAATGGGTGACCACACCCAGGATCCCCAATTCTGACTGTTGCGGCTTAGACGAAGCTCTGCAATACGAATAGCGCGTACCAGGTGTTGGCTTTTAGGATGGGGAATTTTAGCAAGAAGACTTGTGTAAGCTGAGAACACTGGTAAGGGGATGTTCTTCAACATCTCAGCTGTAGGCTGTGGGGATATCAAGTTGTCGTAGTTGTGCCGCTGTGTACTGCCAGCCATCAGATACTCGTGAGCTGCACCAAGTCCCGCGGCATTTGTTACCAGAATGCAGAGACATTGTTCGTTCGGCTTCACCCTGCTCTGTTTCATCATCTCGAATAGTTCCCGTGGCGATGGGGGCTGCAATCGCAGCTTTTCCAACTCTGTCAGATTCGTCTCTTCGTGCGTATCATAATTTAAAGTATTGTCTCCTGGCAAAGTGTTCTCCGCAGGATCAGCTTTGCGGGCATATAGTTTCTGGAACATAGCTGCATATTCGTCTTCCTTAGGCTCCATGCCAGCTTTGGGTGGATGGTTGAATAGCTTCCATGCCTCGAAGGCGTTTCGTGTCGCTTTGATCGATGCTGCCCAAACCGAAAGCTCTCTGCCCGGGGCGAGTGCCGTCCGCTGCTGAATCGTGGGCGTACCATCTTGAGCCAAGCCTTGTAGAACATCCAGAGCAACGTCGACCTCTTTTCTGGGAAACCCTGCTTCCTGCATCATCATCCCTGCCCGAACAACACGGGACCAGCTCTCTTCAGGCTCCATGGCCTCGTCAATGCCGTCCTCTGGCCGCAGATATGGCGGCCAAACCTTTGACTGTCGCCTGACGTTGCGTGTGTCGTCTCTGTTCTTAGGCATCCCAGCTAGTACAGCTCTGATAGCTTGAAACCCGTTTCGGTCTACCAGCAGGGCTTTTGGGAGGCCACCAGACATTCTCAACAAAATACGAAGGGCCTCCCAAAGGTATGCAGAAGAAATCCTGTGCTTTTGAGGCCCGGAGCCCATACGACTAGCAATATGGCCAATTGTAACGTTGAAGAATTTGCATTGTGCATAATAGGTCTCTTCAGCGATCCCAGATTTGGCTTCAAAGAGAGTGATAAATTCCGCGGTAATTTCGGCCAAAAGTGTCAACCGCCTAGGTTCTACACGCCGACAGTGGAAAGCAAGTCGTTCCGTGATGTGCATGAAATCTCCTGTGGAGATTTTATCCATTGCAGCTCTTGAACGTCCTTCATCATATGAGGTCGGCCGTGTCTTGTCGGCCGTGGTACGTAACCGTCTCTTGACATACTCCATTAAACCTTCTAATGTTGAGACTTTCCTGATGCCCGATCCGAGTCTCAGTAGGTACTGAAGAATAAAGATGGGTTTCGGAGATTGATCTGCAAGAAACAGTTTGCACCTCTCTTCATCTGTTCTAGCAAAAAGGATGTCGTGGTAAAGGCTCAACTCCACCTCAGTATGCCCGTTATGCTCCAGAAGCTCCATCAATGATTTCCATTGTTGCGGCACAGGGAGTGCTTTACCGATATCCAGGTTGTTGTTCCTATCGGCTTCGAACTGCCGCTTGAGATGCATTTGGATAAGAATGATCGGGAGGCGCAAACTTCGCATACCAGCAGCCTTCAATTGCATCTCTTTGGGCGGTGGATCTTCAACAAGATATTTGCGGAGCAAGGCTGCAGGACTCTCATCCACCCATCGTTTTTGCATATGTAGTTTTCGCTCGATGGGCTCGCGCAGACCAGTTGGCTTGTACTCGTAGGTTCGACGGTGGTCTCGTCTCACATTTCCGCTAGCATCGGGGCTGTGAACATTTTGCGAGGCCTGGAGCTGGTCTTCTTCGATCTTTTTTCTCCTCCATTCGTGCACTTTCGGTATTTTCTGCTTTCGCTGGTGGTTGCGCGGACGGTTCAATTTGTCGTCGTCTCGACGGCCGTCACGGATCACTGCCTCGAGGCCATCGATATTTTCGTCGTTAGACACATACCGCCGGTTCTGGGTTGAATCGAGAGTCTGGAGAAAGATAGTTGTAAGCTTAACGTCTTCAGCATTGTCTTTCAAGACATACCTTGGCTTGGATCAACACATGATGCGACAACTGCCACCCTCGTCCCAGCTCCCGAGTTGCCCTCCTCAGCATTTCTCCCTCATTTCGTTCCAAGCCAGAAAGATAGCTTAGATATGAGAATATCAAGTATAAACAATTGACGGACGGGTGAGGAATATTATGCAGTGACGTAGGAATAGGAAAGAGTCGAAAATAATGTGTATGCACCAATCGAGATTATTGGATTATCAGGCAGTTCTGATTGGCAGACAACTCTGGGTTGACCCAGTTATGACTACGGCTGTGCCTATATCTCAGGGGAGCTTCCATGAGAGCTACTTTTCCGAATATTATTCGTATCAAATTTATTCATTATTATAGCATTTATAACTATAGCCTCCGCTTGCAGTGAAGCCATATTCAATACCCCCAAGTCTTGCATTTCCACCTTTACAAGGCTACTGTTTATCCCATATGTATCTTGCTTTCTTATTCCTTTCTACTTTTAGACATTTCTACATTTCATAGACACATAAGATACCAACAGGACTTTTCGTTTACAATTAGTCTCCTTGCGACTTGCTCTTCTTCTTCTCTTGCTCCTCCTCGGCCTTATCCTTGCGCTTCTGCACCACCTCCCAGTTGTAAACTCTGGCTATGGCGACCTCCATGGTCTTGGCCCAGTTAGTGAAAGCTCAATTTCGTCGCCCGAGTCATGCAAACGTACCGTAATTTGTTCACGGAGGAAGTCTAGGTCCTCTTCACAATTTGACAGGCTTGTCTTTGCTGTTGATAGTTTGGAACTCAATAGCGTCTCCGCCTCGTCTATGGGGTATGAGAGCATCACATTGGCCTGCAGAATGTTAGCCTCGGATTGCAACTACACAAAATGGTTCCATTACGCCTAGCCAAATATACACCTCCTCGGTCGCGGGGATTTTTGCCTTGGAGTAGAGGGTGTCGTTTAGTTCGAATGTTGTGTCTATCGCCTCATCGTCATCCTATGACCAGCATCAGTATTGATTTGTATGTATTGGCGCCGCCCGTACGCACCTTTCTTAACTTCAGGAATTTGACCGAGTCGAGAGTTTTCTGGATATCGGGGATCTTGTCCTTGAGGCCGCCCATTCGCTTTTGCAGGTTCATCTCCATGAATTGGTATTTCCTACCCCGCCATCCACAATCAGTGCCTGTCCCTGTGTCTTGGGCAGCTCAAGGCGAGCATTTGAGGGTATTTGCAGTCCTTGAGCTTCTCGACATAGGCGAAACTCACGATATCATTTCCTGGAAACTGCGCAGAGTGGGCTCGACGTCGTCTCGCGTAGTAACATAGTCTTCGACCTTATCGACGAACGGGGCATAGGGGATCCCCCGCGGGTTGGTAGGTGTAGCATCTTTGCTATTTGATGTCAGTTTCTGCGTGATTTCTTGAAAATAGAAGCTGAAGAAGCTTTTTGAGAGACTGACCTTGACTCTGCCTCTTTGCCTTTTGACGCCATCTTGTCGATGTTATTATGTCCAGATCGAGGCGAGGTCTGTATGAAGCTCGGGGTCAGGCGTAGGTGGGTTTTGCGACTGGGTGGCATTTCGTCAGTGGGGTCTCACCTGGCTTTCGGTGAGCGGTGAGGGTGGGGCACTCACCTTGACTTACACCTCACGGAAATGTTGAGGCTTTGATCGGAGTGTCTTCTTCCTTCTTCAGCAACTTTAATACCAGGAGGTCAATGTAGACTTGTAAATATACCGAATCTTCTATCTATGGGAACATGGAGAAACATGTTCAGAAGCTCCAAATGAGTATCCACTGAAGCATAACCATATATGCCCTCACAGAGTAATATGCCCTGGGCCTGGTTTTAATTCGACTACCATGCATCCCATAAATGCTGGGGTTTGAAGAAAAACTCTAAAGATATCTTCAATGCTGGCCTGAGGTAACACTTAAACTCAGATTGAATGGTCTTTCGATGCTCATAAAACTCTGGCATAACCTCCTTTGCCTCGATCTTATCCTTCACTTCATTCTACCCAATCCTTTACTGCCTGGAACTTCTGCTTGATCATCTAATCAGCACCTACCACTATGGCTCTTAACAGAAATGACCAATACACCTTCCACCGAAGCTACGAGAAGTTCCTCAGGGACTATCCCCCGGAGGCGTTGACCCGGGCCACATGTCGACAGCGTCTTATGATGAAGGGGGACGATACAGAGAGAGCTAGGTTGCAGTGGGAAACTTCCGCTTGTTGTGTAGTCACGTCTGGATGGCAGAGGATTTCCGATCAGTTCCCTCTCCATCAGCAGAAGTTGGCGAGGCACGTAGTGGATCAAGTTAGACGCAGAATACCAGTCTCATGCCCTCCAGAATATGACCTCGGCCTACGCAACGTACACAACGCGGTCGTCTTGCATGTTCTGTTGGAGTATCCCAAGCCTACCAATGAAGCCTTTGAACGTCTCCTCTCTGAGAGTCGAGTCCCAAAGCCCAATCCGGTGGGAACTGGCAGACCAGGAGCCAGTCCAAGCCGGCTCGATGAGGCCGGTGCTGCCGATGCTTCTGCTCCTCCTCCTCCTCCTCCTCCTCCTCCTCTTCCACAGCTAACACTTCGTGAGTTGGTAGCGACCTCTGTCCCTGACCAGGAAAGGCCGAGTCGACCAACTCGTACGGTTGCTCCTGGTCCTCCTGATCCCATTGATTACAATGATTCCACAGATCCCATCCCAGAACCAGCGTGGATGAAACGGTTATTGGAATCTGGCAATGAGGATGATGACGGCGGCGGCGACGACGACGAGAAGGGAATTTGAAGCAACACCGTCGAAACAGACGAGGCAGGCGACGTTGGGCATGGGACTCCTTCGTTCCCTTGTGCTTCTATTTCGCCTTTGTCTGCTTCTCGTGTCTGTACTCAATCTCTACCTCATTTTCCATAACCCTAAGCCTAAGCCTAGGCCCTTGCGACCTCAATACTGATGATGTGGTATATCAGGGGCTGTACAGGAGTGTGTCTCTTCCGCTCTTTAACCTGCGCCTATCGGGAGATAAAAGGAAAGGTTTTGGTGGATATGTTATGGGTTGGTGGGCGCGGAGATACATTGAGCTCCTTTCTTCTGGGCTCTGGTTCATCAGTTTAATAATAATAATAATAATAATAATAATAATAATAATAATAATAATAATAATAATAATAATAATAATAATAATAATAATAATAATAATAATAATAATAATAATAATAATAATAATAATAATAATAATAATAATAATAATAATAATAATAATAATAATAATAATAATAATAATAATAATAATAATAATAATAATAATAATAATAATAATAATAATAATAATAATAATAATAATAATAATAAACTCAGTGGGCGCCGATGCGGTCAAGAATCCGAACTCTTCCCTGGCGGTATAGTTGTAAGTATACTTGGCGTATGAAGATATACTACCAAGTCAACAAGAGTAGTCATTGACTGAGATGGAGAAACGGTTTAGAATATTCGTGAATTGGTATCATTTCCAACCAGGGAAATACTGAAAGAATTGCTCTCTATTCTCAGTTATCGGCTGTCAATACCAACAGGTTGCTTTTCAATGCAGTTACATCGTTTATCGAGTTAAACATAAATCGTACAGAACCGTCTAGTCGTGAGTCGTGGCATGGTGTACCAATAAGCAGAGTTTAACTGCACGTGCTGTCCTAATCCATACGCTTCTTCATATCTCCCAAATCGCCAATGTCTGCACCGTTATCCAGCACATGTGCGTTGTTGGTTGAAGCCTCGTGTGTATCGTCCTCGTCCCATTCATCGTCGATTTGGTTCTCGTCCCAGTTATCAACCTCTTCTTCCAGGGTTCGAGACCGCGAAGTTCCTTCAACAACGCCAGTTTCATGGTCCTCGCCGAGCTCGACATCAGCATCGTCTTCACCGGGGACAGCGCTGTATCGTCTTCGTCGCTTGCGCTCGAGCATGCGCTTGTGGTACCAAGAGCACAGGCCAACACCCAGCAAGCTTCCTATTACATTCGCCACAATGTCGTATAGATCGAACTCGCGGCCATTGTCGATGAAGCTCTGGACGAATTCGGAACCGACGCCAAGGACGATGGTACACACTACTAGAGTCATGTTCATGACACGCCTACGATTGGTGTCGACAATCCAGTAAAACACAACGCTGAGCGTGAAGAAGGTGACGAAATGCAGCACCTTGTCGTTGACATATTGACCGAGTTGTACAGTGGTCAATCCGGCGTACGCAGCAAGGAGGAGCAAGAGCACGAAGACACCTGGAGTAGCTGTTAGTATCACTCATGAGGAACGATAATGCAATTTTGTTTTCCATCAAGAGTAGATCATTCAGTTGACCATTGAATGGAGAATAAATCCACTCGAGACACTTTATCGAGGAACGCATCGCAATGACGTACCTGCAACCGGGAGTCGTATTCTCATGGTGAAGGGTAGCTAGAGTGGAACCCGACGGCGGAGGGCTGCAAGGTGGGACAGAGTCAAATACCCTGATGGATGTGAAGGAGTGTAGTTTCTGTGTGGAATCTAACGCCTATTGTGAAGCTGAATATGTAGGCTTCTAAAGAACCCAGTGCTGATGTAGATCGTAACAGCTATGTGTTTGGCGTGGAGAGGCTGGGATCCAGAGCTGGGTTCAGAGAAGACGGAACGTGGAGCTCTTGAAGAGTGACGATTGTCATTGTGGCTTGACTTATCTCCAAGTGGCGGTGCACAAGGAACCACCCTACCCTGGACGACAGGGTTCATTTTGAGGTTGCCAATGGAAGTTGAGAGAGAGTGGACAACGTGGGCACTCGCTCATGCAGCCCAGGCCCCAGACCCCAGGCGCAGTAGCTCGGTTGCTCGTTGAGAACCTGGCGTTTTGATTCTTTTCTCTTTGGCGCTGGTGATCTCATGGGTGTCCCCGTTTCAAGGCTTGCCAGGCACAGACGCAGGCCCATTCGTAGGCTCATTGACGTTCATGCCCCCATATTCTCCAATTCGCTGTATCAATCAGCTATTGTAGATTGAGTGTGGGGTGGTCCAGGAGGGCCGCGTCTGTGTTATATCAATGCTTTGTGGAAAAGAGGATATCAGTCAGTGGTTGGTCGTATCTTGCTGAAAGACTTGATACATAAAAATGACATTCGGCTGGCTGTTTATTGTGATTCCTGTTTTTCTGGAGCCGTTCCCGCATGAGCAGCGCTTCAACCAGAGGTCGAATTTCTCAATGAAATTACAGTCAATAATATAGACTACCTACCTACCTATGAACTACAGGCACACGGACAGCAGTCCGTAATTACTCATACATCTGCTATTGTTCAACAGCTCCCTTTGTCCCTTTGTTCAGACAAGCTAATGGAAGTGCACGTGATATGCGGACCATGACGCTTGGGGCCGAAGCAGGCTCATGGAATACATTGCAAGCATTTACTCAGAGCAGCAATCTTTGCCGACAACTGAACTATCGGGCTGATAAAGACGAAACACATCAAATAAATACTCCAAAAGAGATATTGAGATTCCAAAGCCAGCGCAAACATTGACTCCCCCCCGCAAGACGCTCTATAACTTCAGTGTTTTTAGGTCTCAGGTACCCGCAACTCCCCCGCGAGAAACCCCCCACAAGACTGTCCAGCGCGCGCCAGCAGCCAGATCACTCAGGGAAGTCTCCGCTTCGGGAAAGGTACCTTACAAGGCTCCCCCCAAATCCTCAACCTCACCTCTTGAACAGACGACAAAACGGGACAACGCGATCCATCAAAACACCACCTTCCGCGTAATCCTTAATCGCCAAATTTTATCTGCCATCTCTATAGATGACCCCCGTTTGTCCCATGTGGTCTTGAGCTCACCTATTGCTCTTGGTTCGGCAGCACGCGAGCGCATCCTCTTGCGCATGGCGACTCGCGCCCCGTCTTCGCTGTCATCGCCCTGGACCCATCATGTCCATCACAAACGGCCAGCCCGCCTGGCACCCTCCCTACTTGCAACATACAAACAGCAATAGAAGTATATCGCATCTCGACGATGTCCCTGCGCGCACTCAGACCCCCGTTGATAACTCGAGTGCGTTGATGCCTGAGGCACAACTTGATATCGAGGATGAGAACAGACGCGCTCTATTTGCCGATTTGTATCGCAAGACTGAGGACAAGGTCGCGCTGCTATTTTCTGAAGATGGCTCATATAACTATCCCGCGATTACTGCTCTGCGACGCTCTCCGCCCCCCTCCGCACATGTTATCCCTCCTACGACCGACCACGAACCTATCAAGGAACCCCCCTTAAAGAAGGCGAAGCGCACCATCGACGAAGACGACTACGACGATGATGATGATGAAGAAGACGAAGAGGATGAACCCTCACAACCGGTGTTCAAACCCAACTCGGCCGTCGCCCCTGCCAATACGTTACTTTCGCCGTCCAAATCAGGGAGTTCGCCTGTTCACTCGGTGACATCACCGGAGAAGCATGGTGATAAACCCAAGGATCAAGACGGTTCGCAACCTAAAGACAAAGATAGTGAAGATTCGATAAAGAAACTTGAGGAAGCACGAACGGCTACCGAAGCCGCCGCTCGGAGGAGCTTCCATACTATATTCCATACCCTCGAAAATGACCGAGCGGCTATGCTGGAACAACAACAACTTGAGGATTCCGAGAAGCAGTTGCAAGCTGAAATGGATCATAACCATCACCCAGCCACCAACCACAGCAGTGTTGTTCCGAATCAGGGGTCCCTTAGTAGCGCAAACCTCGGTGCTTCCAGTTTAACATTGAAACATCTAATCGCCCGCATCGACATGAAACGAGATCAGGTCCGCGCCTCCGACGCTGAGCTTCGACTGTTGATGAATGAGGTCCGCAAGAATAGGAGCAAATGGGCCAGCGAGGAGAATGTGAACCAAGAGGAGTTGTATGAGGCTCTGGAAAAGGTCTTGACGGAATTGAAGGCGCATACCGAATACTCCACTCCTTTCTTGACAAGGGTCAACAAGAGGGACGCCCCTGACTATTACAATTGTAAGGCACGAGGAAAGTCTCGCACCACTGACAAAACTAATATCCTTCTAGTCATCAAAAACCCGATGGATCTTGGTACCATGACCAAGAAACTCAAGAGTCTGAATTACAAATCCAAGACAGATTTCGTCGTGGATCTTAATTTGATCTGGGACAACTGCCTCAGATACAATCAAGACATGAATCACCCATTACGGCGCATGGCGAATGGGATGAGGAAAGAAGCAGAAAAGCTTATTCCACTGATCCCTGATCTTGCCATTCGCTCCCGGGCTGAGGTTGAAGCTGAGGAACGACGGAAGCAAAACGGCGGGGATGACGATGCAGGAGAAGACTCCGATGACGAGCCGATCATGTCTTCACGAGGCCGCAAAGCTGGCGCCAAGGGCGCAAGCAAAGCACGAAAAGCCCCGAATGATCAGAAAGAAGATACGCCAGCAATTGACCAGAAGCCCATACTTCAAGTCAATGGACTCGTGGGGAAGGTTCGTGAAGGCTCAGAAGTTGACGGAAGCAATGGTTTTGGGACGCCACCAATTGCTGGGTCACTTACACCAGGCGGCGTCAACGGTCACTCAGGAATCGCGAGCAATGCCGATGCTATGGACATTGACGGACCAAGCATCAATGGCTTGGCCCTCAACTCAGCGTTCGGTGAAGCTGTTGAACAGGTCTTCGAGGACGAGGAGTATAAGGTGTGGAAACAAACTACCAAGAAAGATCGAGCTCTGGTGGCCAAGGAGCGATTCCAACTATTCAAGGACAACAAATTCAACACCGAAGCCCCTGCTCTCCTTCGCACCAAGGCCGGCATGCGTCGATTCCTGAAAAGGCAGAGGGAAGCTGAGGCAGAGGGTATCATTACCAATGCTCAAGCAAATTCGACAGCTGTGGCCTCGGAATCTGCGACAACGAAACCAACCGAAACTTTGGCTGAAGAGATCGAGGAAGAGGCAGTCAAGGTGATTCCTGACTACTACGACACCTTAAGCAACATTCCCGACATTCACCCAAAGCTTCAATGGATTGAGGACAGCGAAGGGCAGGTGATCAACCAGCATGAGGAGTTTCTTCGTCTAGTTCCAGCTGGTACATTTGTGGCACCACCAGGGCGCTTTACCAAGAAAATGGACGAAAACATCCATCAGATTCAGGAGACAAGAAAGCTTGCGACCAGGATCTCGGTCATCAAGCAGATGCAAGTCCAGACACAGGTAACAAGCTTTTTCCCTATTTAAGGTATTCTCTTACTGACGGTTTACAGGTGTATACAAACCAATTCCCGAAGTCAAACTCAGACCCCTTCGTGGAGCAGGACATTGAGCCTCATTTCATCTCAGACGATGGCCCTGTGATGGCAACCGAAACATGCCAAGAAGCTCTCAAGCGCTCCATTGCCAAGGTCCTCTATCACACTGGATTTGAGGAGCTTCAGCCTTCAGCCATGGACGCTTTTACGGGAGTTGTGGGGGATTATTTTCACAAGCTGGTTCGGACTTTTAATCTTTATAATGAAGCAGAAAAGGAACCAACGCCTGCAACCGTGCCAGGTGCCAGATTCCAACCCAAGTTCACACCCGAAGAAGTTATACTCCACACCCTGGACGAGAACGGCCACGATGTCAGTTCGCTGGAGCTATACGCCAAGGATGAGATCGATCGACTCAGCACCAAGTTGGACGCTCTTCACGAAAGGATGAAGCTGCACCTCACGGACTTGTTACGACCTGCTCTATCACAGGATGCTGGCGCTGATGGAGTTGGAGCCTTCAAAGATGGCAGCGAGCAGTTCGTCAGCGGTGACTTTGCTGAGGACCTTGGTGAAGACTTCTTTGGTTTCCGGGCACTAGGTCTGGATAAGGAGATGGGACTTGATATGATCTCCGTGCCCTTGCATCTTCTACAAACCCGAGTCCGCAATCAATACCAGATGCAGACACAGACTACTGGGGAGACGGCCACCGATCTCTTCGACCCATTGCCAAATTCAGAGCCAGTCACCAAGGAGAACATTCAGGACCAAGTTGGCCTGGTCAAGAACTTCTTCCTGGCTAAGCTGCACGCTAATGGCGATCAGCCCCTCGTGGAGGACGAAGACCTGCCTACCAAACAGAAGAAGCCTCGTCCTCGTTTGGGTGCGAGTGGAAAGATTGTTACTGCTCAGAAGCGCTCTCCCAAGGAGCAGCTGGCTCTCGCCAAGAAGAAGAAGAAGATGGAGGCAGCCGCTGCTGAAGCCAGAGCCAATGCTAACGCATCGCCTGATAAAGGAGGTGTCAACGCTACCCCTGGCAAGAAGAAGTCCATGACAGCTACGACTGGCTCAGCACCTAATCCTGCAGTTCTTGCCTTGGCTCCAAGCATGGAAAGGCAAGACAGCATGCAGAGCCAGGGTAACAACAGCCAAACAGACAAGGACGACACCATCGGCATGATGAGCCCAGAAAGCATTGCTCAGTAGGCCAAGCAAAGCTTCTGATAGTGCCATAATATATGAGAGATGACGACCATCCACAGGTCTCAGTCTCACGTTTTCCAAAAGGAACTTTGACTAGTTTGTTCTTTAGAATCAAGTTCGTCGTTAGTTTCAAGGGATCTCTGGCGTGGAAGCGCAGTCTCGGAATGTCCGAGTAGTGCCGATCAATGCCTTTCGAATTTACTTATAAATCATGTATTACTCTTTTCCTGCATTTACTCTTGATGCCCTTTCCGGCTTTCTCATACCCCCGCAGATATGTTGTACCGACCCTTGAAGCTGGTCTTTGGTTTTCTTTTTCTTAACTCTCTTACTTTGCATACGAATAACCACTCAATAAAGTACCCATCTATGGCGTTTCTGACTCTTCTTTTCCCTTTTCTTCTTTTGTGTTGAGGAGGTCTGCACGGCATATGCTACACGACACATGATAATATACCTGACTCACCCATCTACACCCAGTCTCGAACGAGGTTTAGGATGCGGACAGGCTTGCCTTGGAATCATCTGGTCAAACCAAAAGCAGACGTGTTGCGTATTGGTTTTCTCATTGCTCGGCGTATGGGAAGGGTTGTATTGGGTGGATACTATTGAGCGAGGCGTAGGCAGCCAATGGTTCTTAGCAAGCTGCCGTCGCCATTATATACGGACCGTGTCGTTTCTTATCTTGTCAGGTAAATTGGGTGGGCGGACTAGGTACAAAAAGGTTATAGCAGTCATGGATGAGACGGATGGGTATACTTGGATTGATCAGATGAGAATGAGATGGAATGGGATATACGCTCGACAGGAGTTAGATATGGATACAGCAGTGAGCGGTGATTCAACAGGTGGTCCGAAGATCTGAGGTGTAAAAAGAGGCAATCATGCTTACCATTCAAGTTGTAAACTACTTTCAGAAAATTAACCGAGTCTTCACGATTAGTTCGATCCGCATTTTCACGGGATCTGCAAATGTTGTAAATGTGAAGGACCGCTTCATAAGATAACTGACGTCTTTGTTAGTCGGGCTTTGTGTGGATACTTAATTGATTAAACATGGTGCCCTATAAGCAGCCTCGAATCCATACGCCATTGGTATGAGTTTGCCTATCATAGTGATATGAGACCACACAGTTTTCAGACATTTAATCTTTGATTTATTTTGGTTGTCTGCTGCTACTCCCTAACGGAGTGCAGATTCCAACTTATCCTGAATCCATACCTTAAAGGTAGAATGTCAATATAGCTGGAGAGAAGGTGGAATAACCATCTTAGATATCATAAACATAACCCAACTCCCACTTCCTTTTTTCCAGCGAATCCATCTATGTTGAAGGATGCTTGTATATCCCGACCTGAAAAAAAGCCCTTTACCGAAAAAACAAACTAGGTATTTGCGCCTTGTTGAAATGCATGCTTGTTGAACGTTTCGCCATTTGCCTCATCCATGTTAAATGCGTGTTGAGAAGAAAGGCATCACATCATGTTGAGGGATGGATGGCCTTTGAGGAGCAGTAGATTCTAGTGCCGTACATCTTAGATGCCGGCATCCAGACGCCAGCCCTCAACGGGGAGAGGGAAGGCACCACACCAGGAAGCAATCTCCTTCCTGTAGTCGTTGATTTTCTGGACTTCACCGCTGGCAACGCGAGCCTTGAAGTCCTTGAGCTTGTTGGCCTCCTTGGGGAGAGCAGCCTGCTCCTCCTTGCAGATCTTGATAGCCTCGTCAATGTACTTGCCGACGCGCTCGAACTCCTTCTCACCGAAGCCACGAGAAGTCATGGCAGGGGTACCGATACGGATACCGCAAGGGGTGAGGGCGGACTTGTCACCGGGGATGGAGTTCTTGTTGCAGGCAATGTTGATCTGCTCAAGCACAGCCTCAACACGGGCACCGTCAAGGTTGTGCTGGCGGAGGTCAATGAGGACCATGTGGCTGTCAGTACCGTCAGAGACGAGCTTGTGGCCGAGGGTCTTGAAGGTGTTCTCAAGGGTCTTGGCGTTGGCGATGACCTTCTCTTGGTAAGCCTTGAAGTCAGGGCTGGCGGCCTGCTTCAGGGCAACAGCCAGGGCAGTGATGGTGTGGTTGTGAGGGCCACCCTGGTGGCCGGGGAAGACGGAGAAGTTGATGGGGTTCTCGAGGTCGTAGAGGGTCTCCTTGCCACTCTTGGCGTCGACGGAGCGGACACCCTTGCGGAAGAAGATCATGGCACCACGGGGACCACGGAGGGACTTGTGGGTAGTGGTGGTGACGATATCGGCGTACTTGAAAGGAGTAGGGATAACCTCGGCGGCGATAAGACCAGAGATATGAGCCATATCGACAACAAGGTAAGCACCGACAGAATCGGCAATCTTGCGCATACGCTCGTAGTCGATAAGACGGCAGTAGGCGGAAGTACCGGCAACGAGGACCTTAGGGCGGTAGAGGATGGCGTTCTTCTGGAGGGTGTCATAATCGATGATGCCGGTGTCGAGGTCGACACGGTAAGGCATGGTCTCGAAGTAGGTAGAGACAGCAGAGATCCTTTGATGAGATGTCAGCATGTGTGAACTTGAGTACCAAGATGCTTCTCATAGAAAACTCACTTGCGGGCGGGGGTCTGGTAACCGTGGCTAAGATGGCCACCGTGGGGAAGGTCAAGACCCATGAGACGGCCGTGAGGAGGCATGATAGCCTGGTAGACCTGGAGGTTGGCGGGGGATCCAGAGAGGCACTGGACGTTAACACCCCACTTCTCGGAGTCGAGGTGGAAGGCCTCAAGGGCACGGCGCTGGCAGAGAAGCTCGATCTGGTCGATGTGCTGGTTTCCACCGTAGTAACGAGCACCGGGGTAACCCTCGGAGTACTTGTTGGACATGGGGGAACCAAGGGCATCGAAGACGGCGCGAGAGGTGATGTTCTCGGAGGCGATGAGGATAATGGACTCACGCTGGCGTTGAATCTCATCCTTCTGCGGTGGGTGTAAGTCATTGTCGGAAAGTCAGGGTGTTCGATTCAGCAGAACGTACCATGATGGTGGCAACCTCAGGGTCGGAGTCGAGGAGAGACTTCTCGAGCATCTAGACATGTGTGAGTCAATTGATCTGTCAATGCCCTCGTAAAAGTGACGAGGGGCAATCGATGGTGGGGGGAGCTTACCTCCTTGTGCGTCTCAGAGAGCGCATACTCAGCGTTTGTGGGAGACATTATGAGGTAGTTTGGTGGGATTGTGAGAAAAGAAACAGACAAGTTGTTTCTCTAAAGATTGAGGCTGGGTTTGAGGTTGAGGAGTGAGTGAGGAAGAAGAAGAGAAAGGGTAGAAAGCATGCGGGCGGGTTCAGGTAAAAGTAGAAGAAGCAGCTGATGGCCGTAAAGGTCCGGTCCCTCTTTCTCTAGGAAAATTTTCCCTTTTTTTCCCAGTACGGGTTCCGAAGACGGCCACCAGAAGTCATTAGTAGTCATAGAGGAGGGGAGCTAGAGAGACTTAGCGCGTGCGGCAAAAAGCTCACCTGTGCCGAGCCTGAGCCTAAAGCGCCAGCGGCTGAGCCTCTGAAGGCGACAAGAGGGTGAGTTGGCGGGGTCAAGGTTGTGGTTTTTGGAGGTGCGGGGTATTTTTATTGGCGGGTCATTGCAAGTGCTAAAATCCAATGAGCCCGTCGATCCGTTCAACCGTGTCATTGGCCTTGCTGGGCTGTGGTCTACCCTGAAGACGGACCTTTTTGCCTCATTCTTTTGTCTCCATTATGACACTTAGACTTGTATTTGAATTGGATTCGAATGACATGTAACGAATTGTATTCGAAGCTTACTTTTTGTTAGTCTGGTCTGAGTATGTGGCGAGTCAACTCATCGTCTGGTCATGTACGGTACATTGAAAGACCCTGCATGCATGTAAATGGTACATTGACTCAACAATGCGTGCATCAACCGTGATACTGTACAAGCCGAATCACCTCCAGCATCAATCAATTGAATACCCAAACATCGCTTCAGTCACTCAGAAGCGAACATAGATACCGAAATACGACAAAAGTCCGTATATAACTTGACGAATTCTCCCGATGTTGTGACGATGCTCGCGGCGTGTCTTCCCGTCGACCCGATCACGTTTCATTTCTCCAACACAAAGTACCCCGCGTAAAGATACCATCTGGAGTTGACCAGATCAGAATCTAGCATAACTAGCCCCTTGATGTAGGTGACAATCCTCTAGTCGTCAATACTTGCTCAACAGCTGTCACTAGGTGCTGATCTACATAGTCTATGTTATCATCGCCCTCAGCCATCAAGTTGTTGGTATGGCTCAGTTGGTTAGAGCGTTGGTCTCATATCTGGTATCAGATTGACTTGGTTACACACCAGGGTTATCCAAAGGTCGAGAGTTCGAACCTCTCTACCGACATTCTCTTTTGCTGTTTGTATGAACTGACTCGAAGTTGATTTTTTTCTTCTTCATTGTTCTTTTCTTGTGGGGATATATAGAACCAATCAGGCACGAGGCTAGACACAAGACCCATCGACAGCCACATATCCACAGCAGCCTCACAGCTGTGTAGGTCCTAAGCCACAATGTCAGAGACTCACTACGCACGAGCAAGGTACCAATATCTGAGTTTGACAACGAGGCAACGTATTTGAAGTTTCACCAAATAGTCAAGATGTTTGCCAATGATTACATGTGAGATTTGAAAGCTCTCCGTCCCTATACCAGCACTCTTTTGTGTGCTCTTCCTCCTTTTCTGCGTAATCTGACCCACGTTGGACTTCTTGAAGCTATTCGGGAAGCCCGCTCCCCACAGCAACAGAATTCACATCCTACCACCAAAGTCGGTGTGGCTCAGATGGTTAGAGCGTTGGTCTCATAGCAAGAAGCTGTGATTTGGCCCTAGGTCAGAGTAATCCAAAGGTCGAGAGTTCGAGCCTCTCCACCGACACAAGCTTGGTTAATGGCAGGTTTCTCTTTTTGCAGCAGCTCAAAGACATTGCACGAGGAAAAAGAAAGCCACGGAAAGCGTAGGCA